AGTCAAAACTCGCCGAGACCCCAATGTTGAAACACTTCGACGCGAACCGAGAATCCGTTGTGATCGTGTACGCCAGCGACTGGGCCATTTCAGGGGTGCTCACGCAGACCCACGACTTGGTGTACATGCCCGTGAAGTTCATCAGTCGTACGCTGAAGCACAACGAGCTGAACTACGACATCGTCGAGAAGGAGATCTTGGCCCTGTTGCGCGTCTTGAACGAGTACTACACGATGCTAGCAGAGAGACCGGTCCGCGTCCTGACACGTCACACGACGCTCGCCTGGTTGTTCCGGTCCAAGGGACTACAGGGGCGACTGTCACAGTGGGCCGCGATCCTCTCGCCGTGGAAGTTGGAAATCTGCCGATCCATGAAGGGAGAAGAAGAACTCCTCGGCACGCTGGCCGCGAGCATTGCCCCGTGAGCCTTCGTCGACGCGGCGCTAGAAGAGATCGCACCACGGAGACGGGCGTCCAGGGTTGTAGTCATTCCAGTCCCCGACGTGGCGCGCGACGAGGTCTTGCACGTCTTGAGCTTCGACGGATCGGCTAAGGCGAAGCGAGAAGGCGGAGCATACAGTGCCGTCATTTGGCGGCTGCCGAACTGGGAGATCGTGTGCGTCGCGACGGGATATGCGACGAACCTCACGGTCAACAAGGTGGAATACCGCAGGCTACTGCTCGGATGTTCTCTTCTAGAGGAGCTCGACGACGTCACCCGACTCGTCGTATGCGGAGACTCCAACCTTGTCATCAGGCAGATGCGGGACGAGATGGACTGCAAGTCCCCGGGGCTGAACCTGCTGCGACAAAAGACGCGAAACGCACTCCAGGCATGGCCGCACCACGAGCGCTTCCACGTACGACGATATTGGAACGCGAGTGCCGACATGCTGGCTGGACAAGCTCTGCAGCGTCAAGGAGGCCGCAACACGCACAGTCCCGAGGAGATTCAAGATCTGAAGACGCTGAATGGCTTGGAAGAAGTCATCCGACCACGGGCATCGAGTCCCGATAGGGCGTCTTCAGCCAGTCTCGACGCGGATAATCTCGACGCTGATGACCCCGCTGAGGTAGCCATGGACGCGGGACGCCGGACAGCACCAGTTTTGCGGTGACGACGCGCTCGGCTGCCGCACGCACGACAACACGTAGGGGCCGACCTCCAGAAGTCCTGGAGGAGCTGGTGGTGCAACGACTGCGCCTGGACCGCAGCCGCGTCGCCCAGGACGAAGAGGTCTGGATCGCCAACCTCAAGAAGTATCTCCGCGGCGACGTCGGTGACCTATCTCGGCGCGAGGTGAAGAATTGCCAAAAGCTTGCACCTCAGTACGAAGAGGGCGAAGGCGGGCTGCTCTACTACCAGCCGAGAAACGACGATTCCGCCGAGGATCGCAATGTGATGATGAAGCTGGTGATCCCGGAGACTCTTAGGGAGGATATACTCCACCACAATCATGCGAGCCTGGAAGGCGGACACCAGGGTATTGGCCGCACATACCAGCGCGTGAGGCGCCACTTCCATTGGCCAGGGATCTTCAGAAGCGTCCAGCGCTACGTCGGCGAATGCACAGACTGCGAGACGGGAAAAGGTCGGCCGACCATCCAGGGCGAGTCGCCGGGCAACATAGTCGCGACGTACCCGTTCCAGGTCATCGCCATGGACCATATTCCGTCGTCGCCGGCATCCTACAAAGGCAACACAGAGCTGTTAGTCTGGGTCGATCTCTTCACGGGGTTCGTCGTGGCCAAAGCGAACGCGTCACGAACCGCGCAGACGGTGGCCGAGGCGTACGAGGAAGCGGTGTTCAGGCGCTTCGGCGCGAGCGAGGCTATCCGCCACGACCGCGAGCCGGGCATCATGTCCGACTTCTTCAAGGCGTTCAGCAAACTCATGGGTCAGAGACAGCGAGCGACGCTCGCTTATCGTCCCCAAGCCAACGGTGCTGCAGAACGCATGGTGCAGACGGTTACAAGAGCGATCAAGATGTACATTGCGGATGTCGACCAACGCGACTGGAACGAATACGCTGAGCGTCTTACCTTCGCGCTAAACACGTCGTACGACCGGACGAGGAACGAAACCCCGTTCTTCTTAGTGCACGGCTGGGATCCTCGGTCGACGCTGGAAGCAACGCTGGCCGTCGGGAACACGTCGACCCGGGACGCCGAAGTGAGGCGGTGGAGGCTCCGTATTCAGCGACACTACAAGGTGGCAAGGGCACAAGCGTTGGAGTTAGTCCGAAAGGCCGTCGAAGAGAGAGAGCGTCGACAGACTGAAAACGCGACGCAACATGAGATCGCGACGGGCTCGCAAGTTTGGCTGTACCTGGATCGGGTGAAGCCGGGGTATGCGCGCAAGCTTGCGCACATGTGGTACGGACCCTTCCGCGTCGCCGAGCTGGTCAGCGCGTTCACAGTGCGCCTCGAGACGGCGGGTACGCCCAACCAGCTGTACCCAGTCGTCCACATCTCCAAGCTGAAGCCTGTCCGGGAATTCTCGTCGCGACCCGCGACGCAGCTGACGGTGCCGGCCAAAGAACGCTTCGACTTCGACGAGGAGCTCTTGGCGGAAGATAGCTGGGAAGCCACGCGCGAGCTGGAGGGTGACGTCTTCGAGGTCGAGAAGATCGTGAACGTGCGCGAGGGGCGGGTTACCCGGTATGGGCGCACGCGACGCGAGTTCGAAGTCAAATGGAAGGGCTACCCGGACACGACATGGGTCGACGAGCTCGATCTGAATTGCGGCGGGTTGTTGTACGACTTCCTGCGCCAGCGCACGGGACGCAACCGGTTCGAGGCGATGCAGTCGCACGAGAACGCGGAGGCGGCGGAGCCTGGTGGGTGAGCGCCCACGGGTGCGACTAAGTCGGCAGGGGGGCTGCCGACGGGAGGACTGGTGGGAAGCCTCGACTCTGGGAATGGCCGGAGCGAGGGATTGGATGAGGGAAGTGAGGAGAACCAGCCTGTTGCTGAAGATGAGACGGCGGAGGGCCGTCTCATAGAAAGATGTGAAAAAGGGAAAGAAAAGAGGGAAGGTGTCAAGGGGATGCATTGAAGTTACGGCTACGATCTACACTAAGGTAACGGGCTACGCTCAAACCTGCTGGACAAACTTGCCTGCAAGGCGAGGCACGAGGTAAGCGTGGTGGCCACGCGTCACGCGACAACGCAAGTTGGCATCCATCTACGCGACGTTGAGCGCCCCGGCGGGATCGGCGGGAGGAAGGGGGACGGCAGCGTTCACTTCCGCTACGTAGGTAGCCTCGAGGCGGCGGATCAGGCCGGCGGTGTCGATGGTACCGCCTACCGACGAAACGGAGCTGGCCAGTTTGCCGGCCAGGTCGTCGCGCACGCGCTGAGCCAACTCTCGGCTCCAACGCGCGTCTCGGAGCATGCGTCTCCAGGCCATCGCACGCTCGTCCCGCTCCTGGACCGCTAGATCGCGTTCGTCAGCCAGGTCGGCGACGCGGAAACTCAGACGGCGGATATGTGCGCCGGCCGCATCGCTCCGCTGCAGCAACCGACGCCACATGGCTAACCAGCCGGTGCGATACTGCCCGGATCGCGAGACAGCTTGCAGCTCATTAGCCTGGGCCCGGGCTGTCTCCGCTTCTGCGACCACACGTGCCGTCGAGGCAGTCGCGGCTGTCGTCTCCAATTCGCGTATGCGAGCCGTCTCGCGCTGGAGCTCCTCGGCGTGGGCAACCAGCAACGCATTCACACGCCGGACGTCGGCTTGCAACGGGTCGTTCATCCGCTGGGCAGATACGGTCTCGGCCTGACTCTGAGCAAGTGAGTTGCGAGTGACGCGGAGATCCTCGACTAGAGCATCGCGCTGCTGTTCAGCTCTCGCCTGAGCTTGACGTGCCTGGTCGCGCTCACGGGTTGCAGCGTCACGAGTTTGCTCCAGAGCGAGGGACACATGTCGAGCCTGATCGCGCTCCACGACGACTGCGTCGCGCTCCTGCTCGAGCGCCGCAAAGTCCCGACGCGCTTGGTCACGCTCGGCGAGGGAGACGTCACGCTGCCGATCTCGACGGACGGCGGACTGGCGAGCCCGACCTCGCCCCGCCATGGCCGCGTCGAGCTGAGCTTGGACGGAGACGAGGGCAGCTTCCGCAGCAGCCAGCCGAGTGCGCAGGTCGTCGCGCTCAGCACGCGCGTCGTCCCGCTCACCGAGCGCGGCGAACAGCCGCGCCATAGAGACCGTAGACGTCGAGGGAGGGGCCGGCACCGCGGGGACCGCGGCGAGCCGTGCAGACAGGTCAGCTACCTGCGCTTGCGAGGCGGCGGGTTGGTTCTGCAAGTTGTGATAGTTCTCTTCCGACGAGACTTTGAACACCCGGAGTTGTGTCTCGGCGGCAGCCGTATGGCCCGCCATGTCACGGAGGCCAAGCACGCGGTCTTCGAGCTCGGAGTTGGCCCGCTCAGTGCGCTCGCGAGACAAGAGCGCCTGCTCGAGCATCACCACACCCGCCCGATAGCCTTCGCGGGCGTGGCAAAGGAGAGCGAGGTCCCGATCGTGTAGCACGGAGGCGTGGGCGGCCAAGCCGGCATTGTTCACTGACACAAGCTCATACTGAGCCCGAAGCGTTCGATTCTCCTGGGCGAGGGCGCGCACGTCGGCTACGAGAGCCGCCACCGAAGGAACTGGCGTGCCAGGTGCTGGAAGCGGGAAGACGCGCGGGAGGATGAGGACGGTGCGCTCCACTCGCGCAGACGACGCAGCCGGCTGCCTCGAGGTCTTCGGTATCGAGCACGTCATCGACCACCTCTATATCAGCAGCGCGTACGTCGTCGCGGCGAACCGTGGACTTGGAAGGAACGACGGCGATATACGGCGACGGGAGAAGCTTCAGTAGGACGGGGCGCGACAGACGCAGAGCGAGTTCTGCGACGGCACACCCACTTGGGGAGTGCGCGTGCGTGGCAGCGGGACGGATGTGGAATGGCGCCCCACGAGATGTCGCGCACCAGGGAACGAGTGACCGAGAGTGATGTCAGCCGACGAGGCGGACGGAATACGACGCGTCGAGATCGCCAGGGAGGTTGACGGGGTGATGGACCGTGCGACACGTAGACCAGCTGCGGAATCAGGCGGATCCTGACTGATTCGACGAGCCGGTTCGCACGCCCGGCTATGCGAACCCCGTCGACCCCAAAACCCGTCGAGGAAATCCCGCCGAGGAAATCCCGCCGAGGAAATCCCGCCGAGGAAATCCCGTCGAGGAAACCCCGTCGAGAAACCCCGTCAAGCCCAAGTCTTGATTATGCTACGTAAATCAGGTTGAAGGACGGTAGTGCAAGCACGACAGAAGTAAGGATAGGCACGGAGCGATAGGCTTAGCGAGCAGTAGTGGGGAATAGCCAGTAGTGAGGGCATAGGATAGGGTAAGTACTCAGTCCCGAAATTTCTCTGAACCACTCAGACCTCTCCCCTCCGGAAGATCGCCAGGTTCTTGAAAACCACCAAGCGTCGGCAAGCAGAGCCGCAAGGAACACGCGCCCCCCCGTCGCTCGCTGGCTCGGGCACTCACCCCCTCAAACCCCGTGCTGGAAACGAAGGCACGTAAAACGTATACCGGTTAGGAGGCGCTCGATAACGCGCAGCCTAGACGAAGGACTGCACGGCCTGATAACCGCTGCGCACAAGACCCCGCGTCGGCCCGATAACGCCACGCAACAAGCCCCAGGAAACGCCGGCCCGATAACGCCGCACGCCCAACGGGGTCTCCGAGGAAACGCCGGCCCGATAAGTCCGCACGCCCAAGGAACAACCGACGCCCTAAGACAAGGAACAAGCGCCCACTCAACCCCCTAACTCTGAAGCTTGCGAAGACTTGGGCTCTATATTCGAAGATACGCTACTCAAGATCCGGGAAATTGTCCGTCACGACCGCAGATTGGACGCGTCGGGTTTGTGCGAGGACGAACTCCGCGATTTCTGTGAGGCCGCTACTCCACACAAATCAGATTTATGTGGAATTACTCGGAAGACAGTGACGTGTACTCAGAATTAAGTAACACCTCAAACTTATCACCAGGAAGACGCGTGCAGGGCAATATTGGCAGCATTGTGGATGAGCTATCAACAATTAGTACTCAAGTGATCGACTTCTTGAAATTAAACCGAGCTTGGTCAATCCATGGATATAAGATGAAAATCGAAAATTTGAGCAGCAACGTTAATAAACGAAGCAATCTGCTAAAGTTAAGCATTCTGGAGCGATGCTAGCGTTAAGACCTGGTGTCAGCTTAAAAACCTAATAGAGAAACTTGTTAAATATGCTCACAGAGAAGCAGTACTTTTTGTGGGGGGCTGCCCCCCTCTCGATCCCCCCCCCCCAAACGACCTGCCTCCGCCCCTGACCTTATAGCAGAAGTCACTTCACAAAACTTCCACCCTGGCGCAGCTCAGTCATTGTCAACGACAGTGCGGGCGCGACGCAGAGACTCTGAAAACGGAAGACTACTGGACGGACATCGTCGCCTGAAATTGAAAGCTCTACCAGCCACCTCCCGCACATTGGAGATTCCGATCTCCAACTATCTGAATTCACGGGCTCCGTCCACCAACTTCCCGAAATCGAGGAGCCTGACAGCCTATCGCTGGGGTTCGATGAACCTGACCAAGATTTGTCTGACAACAAACCCGATATGGTCACATCCCCATACGAGTTGCTACGACGAGTCGTCCTGCTGACATATACAGTCAGGATTCTCCTGTAGCAGACAAAACTGATAGCGAGGCGAGAACCTCTATTAGCAGCGATGACGGAGCTGTATTTGTTGTTGAAAGCATATATGCCCGTAAGATTGTTGATATGCAGCGGCTGTGTCTAATAAAATGGGTAGGGTGGGAAAGACCGACCTGGAACCTGGCCCGTCACACTCCAATCGAGACGATCGGTGCGTTTGAAGACACAGAGCTGCGTTCGGCCTGGCCCGAATATATTTCGCTACAAGACGGACCTCCAGGGAGCAGAGTGTTTAGATCTCTTCCGTAGGTATAAATGACATCATTAATATAAATAATAAATAATGGTATTCTCTTCTTACTTACTCGTCTACTTACAGTCAGCAAACGTACAGGTAACAGTGAGTTAGTGTCTAGTAACTTTCACTAACAGCAAAACGCAGTACACTAGGTGAGCGCATCACTGCGCACGGTGGATGTAACCTGTCTTCATCGGAAATTATCTAGGGTTTAACTCATGAGGAAGAGCTCCTTGTGGCACGGTATGTTATGCGATTGTAGAAGGTTTATGTATTAATCGGCTGTTCTATATCAACACAGACTAGAAATAACCATCGATCGTACAGTCCATACTCTCATGGAAAGGGAATGAGAAGTCGGTGGACCAGCATTGGTGGAGCTATCAGCCGCGGCTTAAGCTCAAGAAATGCTTGCACATGACCATCTTCAAAGTGAAGCTGCCGTTTTTCTGGCTCGTCCTTTCGTCAACTCGAACTAGGCAACTTTAGCACGTTTTACATGCCCACACGTACTTGTTGAACACGGAAACTCGTCCCGGTAGGCCTATCCGTGAGCGGTCCACCCTAGAAGTACGTACAAACGCCTACGTGACTACTTCACCGCGTTGGGACATACTGCACATACGATTTAATCTAGGCAAACATGGTCACGTGGCTGAACCAGCATGCGATAAGGCATTTGGTACGTAGTGGAATAACTATTTGATGTGACGCACTAACGAGCTATGATGTACTATATCAAAGTATCAGCTAAAATCTTAGAAATGTGCTTAATCTAGACATTAGTCTTGAAACATCGATAAAATGTATTCGAGACAATGTCGGCTAGTCTAGTAGATCAGGTGAAGCAGCGATGTTGGATGTTAGAAATGGTGATGAATATATGGATGGAAGCCATTTCAATTGCTATCGCAACGTCTTATAACGGTTGACGCGTAGCAATGATAACATCTACGCATAGATACTTTGGGTAACCCATGGCATCTACAGTCTTGCTCGTCAAAGCGGATGCACCAGCGCGTGTTGTTTACTTTTAGTTACATTTAAGAAAATATTATCGTATAGAGCCGAAAGGTGAGTAAATACATGATTTAGTCCGTAGACAAAGGATATGCCCTCCAGCTCCATCATAACCAAAGCCAATACGTCCACACTACGAGTAATAATAGCTTTGTGCGGGTAGTTTGAGCGTGCCAGCGGTTTCATAACTGTAAATCATTCTACAGGTTGACTCAATTGTTAGTGAGTTGTACAGAAATCCTAAGTAATCTTGTAAGCTGTTGTGATTCTACGAGGGACGCGGCGCGTTCGTCGCGATTTTGAACTATGAGGTCACGCTATAGCTACTGTTGCCGGGTGAGCTGTAAGCCAACTCCGCGGCCGTCACGCGGTAGTCTTGAACATACTAATTAAAACACTTTATACGTTGAGTTGTAGTTCTACTTACTTGTGCGTACAGGTACGTTTCTAGTCGCAACCAGAAAATAACGCTGTAAGGACCTTGACGTTGATTGCAGTTCGCCTTCTACCCCACGGCTATTTCTGGCAGAAGTCACCTACGGACATTCCAGCCCCAGTACGCCCTGGGTCTCGCACCTTGGTTGCCTAGCTGCTACATGCTGTTGCCAAGATTCACATTATTAATAACTCGCGCCGACATAAAGTGAGTCCACCCAGATTCACATTAACTCGCGCGAGTTAATGTGAAGCCACCCAGATTCACATTAAGTCGGCGCGAGTTAATGTGAATCTGGGTGGACTCACTTTAAGCCGGCGCGAGTTTATGCGAATCTGGGTGGCTTCACATTAACTCGCGCCGACTTTATACGGATCTGGGTGAACTCACTTTATGTCGGCGCGAGTTATCGTGGTCGTATTGTTATAACAATAATGTTTATAATAGATATAGTTATTTATGCCGACCTGAACTACTGGATTCTGAAGCTGCCATAAGAGCGTGGTGCCAACAAGTGGAGTCTTTTCGTTACATGTACACGTAAAACACAGTATGCTTTGATTCATATTAACACGTGGGTGTTATATGTATTATGGAATCGCCGTAATTCACTGGGGCTCGGAGATAGTTACAGTGTATTATGGACTTGTGAACGGGCCGCCTTTTCTGTATGGTTAAAAGGTCAGGGATCGACCCCTGGCTTTGTATCAAAATCAAATCCATTTTGCCGGCGCCCGCAAATCTGTTTGCTGGCGCCCCAAAACCGCGGTTTCTGTTTGCTGGAGCCCGTTTGGTTTTGCTGGCGCCCCATCTCGTTTCGTTTTCACCCTAAAAGGTGTTTGTTGGAACCCCTGCCTCGATTACTTCGAAGTACGTGGCAATCGTACAACGTAGAGATACATGGACACAACAACACAAACGGTGGTACTAAACTTGGAGGAAGCAGAGAATAAAACAGGTTTCATAGACGGTGAGACCTTCAGTTCAGTCACGAACCCTTTGTTAAGTATGTGATTTTTGTCCTAAAATTAAGGAAGAAACCAACAATTTCTATGTTACATATTACATTTTTCAATCACCATACCGTACAGGTTCGGACAGGATCGGACAGCTCGGACATTCGGACAACCTATGAAATTCGATCCTATTGAATGTGGTCCATGGAGTGTGGTTTACATAAATCTTTTTCATTCCTCTGGCACGGGCGGACAGGCGGACTGCGGCTGTTTGGCGGACACCGGCCTGAGAGCAGCGGCCGTCAGCAGGAGCAGCAACAACAGCAAGACGTGCGGGACGTTGGCGCCGTGCGGGGCGGCGGGTCGTACTGCGGCTGGTCCTCGGGCGGGGTGGCGGCCCTCGAGGCCAGCAGCAGCAGCGAGCAGAGGCCAAGGTGGTGGAGGAGGAGGAGGTGGTGGAGGAGGAGGAGGTGGTGGTGGCGGCCGTCAGCAGGAGCAGCAACAACAGCAAGACGTGCGGGACGTTGGCGCCGTGCGGGGCGGCGGGTCGTACTGCGGCTGGTCCTCGGAGGACGAGGTGGCGGAGCGGGCGTGTATTGAAGCTCATGTAAGTAGATATCTATTCGGCTAATGAACGTATGAATGGTAAGACGCTTCTAACACAGTTGCTACCAATGCCTTCGTCTACGACTTGTTGTTATCGTTGTAGGTCTCGAGCACGTGCACCGGGGCGTCCTCTAGATCCTTACCTTCTTGCCTGAGACGCTGGTAATTCCTGATGCGGTCGTTGAGCTTACCTTCTGCGTCCATACGCTTCAGAACCTTGACGATTGTGCCGTGCGATTTTGCTTTGACATGCTCAGCATCCAGGAAAGCAAGTACGTTTGCCTCAGCCTCCCGACCCGAACTCAGGATACGTCCCTTGGCATCGCCCTCCTCTGTCTGGGTAGTGAAGAATGGCGGTGGCAGTGAGGACGTCGACTACGTCGTCTCGCAAGCTGAGTCTGTCCGTGAAACCCGTCGCAGCCGAGAAAAGCTTGGCTTGGAGCAGGCGAATCCGGTGCAGAACCAGAGGATCGAAGTCCTCAAGAGTAGGTAGCCGCGACGCAGAGGTCCGAAATAATAATTGCGATCCAATAAATAATTGGGTTTTGCAATACTAATTTTTATTATTGGAGATCAACGATTCCAATACAATACAGTATTGTACCAATTATTGACAATTAATATGAAAAAAGGTTGCACGGCGCCAAACATAGCAAAGTACGTCATAAAATGATAGTTAGGTCTATATACGCAACGATTAAGGTGTAGTAAAAGCCATAATGGGCAATCAACATCTTTAGAAACCAATATGTACGCAAGGCAGAACATCAATGACGTCCAGATGTAGTGAATCCCGCCGAACACATCACATCAGGGAACGGCAGCGGATGGCAATCCACTAGGGACTTGAGCTTAATGTTTTGATGTAGTGATTACGCCTTTGAGGCAATTGTAGGAGAAAAAGCGAAGTGGGTCCGCGAAGCAGTTGATCATACAAAATGCTTAGTCTGTAGCCTCATACCAGGTGCACACACTATGAAGTGTTTCTGTGTGAAGCTTGACTGGTCATGATGCGGTGAACCCATTACCTGTGGCTCGCGTGGGTCACCGCCGCGACATGCTATCGAGCCCTTAACTGCGGTGATACCAAGGTGAAACCCTGGAATCCACTACACCAGATTTACGATATATAGCAAGATCCAGATATATCTCCCTCACGCATTACTACCGGTAGGTTGTTTAAGCATCCACCATGCAAAATTTTCTAAAGCAACACCCCAAAAAGTGTTTCTAAACGACTCTGTAATCCTATGACGCACAGAAAGTGGTTTATTTCTTCTGTAGAAATGCCTCAAATTGAAGAGCAGTATATTTATATTGCGGCAATTTTTATTATTTCTCCTTGCTGAATTGTAATTTTTATTACGGTCTGATCTCGCACTAAATTCAATATAGTACTGTATTTTCGGACCTCTGCCGCGACGTAGCTTTAAGATCCCATCCAGCTAACGATTTTCCCACTGTTTGGTCTTCCTGCGTCGTGCCTACTATGTAGTTGAACGCTTTGCTCACAGCACTCATGCTCCACCCTCCACGGTCAAGGATCCAAGGAGTGCTGATTTTGCTGTCACTATTCGCGTTTTGGGCAGCTCCACGGCGAAACGAATGCGACGACAGCCCTGGGGTCAGGTTCGTACCTTCACTTTGACAAACGGCAGCCCACTTCTGCAGCACGCGATTGACATACGCGTGGATTCCAGGGACGCTTGCCGTTTTTGCAGGCGCTTTCTTGATCGGCGGTTCCTTGCTGGGGCTTGGCAGGGGGCCGGTACGCGCATCGAGCAGTTCGCGAAGATGTGTTTCACCAATTTCAGTAGGCAGGATTTCTTGTGTATCTCGGGGAAGCTGATCCATGAGAAATTCGCTTGGAGTCGACTGCATAAATGTAGCCAACGCTAGAGCATGAATTGGGCAGGAGGTAAAATCGTTTGGGTCGTGAAATATCGACGCTCCTTGGTACGATGCGGACTTCATTCGTTTAAAGGTGATAAACAGACACCCACCTGTGTACCACCACAAACACAATACAAAAACAAGGTTAAAAACAATTAGGCAAATTATTAGCACATGCACTTACCAGGATAAACGGCGACCTGGTTTTCATGAGACACATAGTGTCTGAAGATCGACCCAACAAATACCACAGGATGTTGAGGAGGGCTGCATCCTGGTAGTCCTGCGGAGAAGCTGCCCCCTTCAAAATCGCCAAACTGAGCGAGCGCAGATCGCTTTTGGTGCATGGTGGGGCCTGGTGCGTGAAGTCTGTGCCTCGCTTAGAGCAGTACTTATCCAGGATCGATGCAATCTTTTGTAGCCGACGACCTACCACAGCACTTAGAGCAGGAAACAGCTCCAGTAGGTGGTTTTTGACGTTGCCAAAGTAGCTAGCCACCGAGTTCTTGGACAGCAGCGAGCCCTTTGAGCTTTCCTTAAATGCTAGATACACTGCAAATTTGTCGAGAACGATGTACAGAATATCCCCCGTTGAGTCCCCACCTACAAACTCATAGATGGCGTTGGCGCTGAAGCCCTCCGCGACCGCGAAGCGCTCGAAGGCGTTGAAAGCCGTCGAGCGAGCCCGCTGGGAGTTCCCAGGTATGAGCGCCTTCGTCGACATGAGTCGTTTCTTGAGTGGCTCTGCTGTCTCGTCTGTCTGGCCCTCTCGGAATTAATATATGTACGAATATTGACGATATTTTTACAATATTTCACTTACTGACCTTTACTATGAAAATATCAAATATTTATATGATGTTCGGACAAAATATGTCCGAACTGTCTGAAAGTTGGCCTTTCTCAAACATGTACAATTTACGGTGTGCTGATTGGGTAAAATACTGACATCGCGGAACTCTATTGGACAGATCCTATTGTAAGATTTTGCTGTTAATTTCCTTGTGTCCGAACGGACACGATATTGTACCATATTTGTCATGATGGACAATGGAGGACAGTGTGCAAGATACTCTCCTTATCGAACTAAGCAAGGATTTTCTGTCCATAACAACAAGATGGTGTATCTCTCGAAAGCGATGCCAGCAGAAAAGTTTCTAACTTTTGGCCCTTTAATTTGGGGGCCGACACACGCACAGAACCAACTTTTGTGTGTTTCTTACGACAGGAAGGCGTCCGACTTTTGGTCTTGGTAATTTCATTTTTTATGGATGATCCACCTATTGGGGCTACTCAAGCCACGAGCAGCTCCTGTAGAAATGCCTTCTTCTCCGGAGACTCGCGGAAGAGCGATCTTCACACGACACAGATAATTTCATTAGCAACACGAGAAAGAAATGCAATTATACTTCTGCATGGCAGCATACCTGACGAGAGCAGCGAGTTCCTTCGATGAAAACGCGCCTAGGATTCCGCTGTCAAACTTTTCACGAACTGTTGCGAGTGGATCCATCTGTAGGCGTATACAAACACATACAGAAATCGTTAGATACGCATGTTCAAGGGGTTGGAGAGGAAACAGCGATGCATTTGTACCAGAATTGCAGTGAGTTTCGAGAGCCTTCCGATACTTGGAACATGCTTCGCGGCTTGGGCGGGGGATGCAAATAGTGTTTCAGACTGCTCAAATTAAAAGGATAGCAGTTAGAATACAAAGACTTTGCCTAGCAAGATCTTTTTCTTTACGAAAAATGCTTACCTCCAGAAGCAATGACAGCAAGTGATGCAGGTGAGCTCCAGTGTTTTCGGAAATTTTCTGCAGTTTGAACACATTAGTTTAACGTTAGACAGAGAATTGGTAGCACACGAGCGCAACATATGACTTACCGTTTGACTCAAGATGCCATTCACAACGTTCTTTACAAGAGGCTCAAGCATCCGCGACATCACTTTGTTGTACACGGCTGTCGGCAACCCTTCTTGCCACGAGGAGCTCATCCCATTCAGTTTATAGAGTGTACTCTTCAAGAAGCTCTCGACAAGCTCCATATCATATTCCGAATCGAGGGCTCCAAGCGACTACACCGGAAATATGTCACCGCAAGTTAAGTAACTCGTCAAAGATTCAACTGGTATGCCGCTTCAGTAAACGTACCGGTAGGGTCTTCATCCCAGATGCTACCTCGTCTAGTTGGGCAGTGACATACGAAGTCAGTGCGTGCTCGCCGTCATCTCGAAACGAAGGTACCATGTCGATCATCGTGGCAGTTTGGCTGAGCGGTGCTGGTAACCTACATCAAAGCACGTATGGAGTTAGTACAGAAAAGTACGTATGTCAAGAGCTACCATGCATACCGATGCTTGTAGAGATGCCCGATAACGAGCATGTGATACGTGATGTAGAGACAATCGTTGTGATAAAGCATGCAGGCCCGCGAGTCATTCGCAATATCGTCTTCGTATAACGTGGGCACAATCGTCCGGAACAGGAAGAATAGATCTCGAGACGTCTGGAAAAGCAACTTCGCGCTCATTGCGTCAGCCGTGCATGTCTCAACCAGGGTCTGGTGCGCCAGTTCCACCACTTCGTGCGCACATACAGTCACACGATAGTCAGGTATCTGGAAGCAGCTACTTTCGACATCATCAGCGTTAGAGCTGACGAGAGAGGAGCTCGCTCCTGAACCCCCTTTGCCTCCTTTTTTGCCAGTGCCTCCAGTTGGATTAAGGCTGCATTTCTCCGTGGCACCAGTGATTTTAACAGAATCATGGTAGCCTTGACGCATTAGATCGCGTCCACGGCTCAAAATGGCCTGTCGCCGCTTCTTACAGTGTAATCTGAGAGCAATAAGAGCATCAGTCTCAATAAACCACGTCGTTGAGCTATAGCAATGAGCTGCAACGTACTGGTTGAGTTGGTCGACGAATCCTCGCAGCTGACTATTGCTGCTAGCCGAGAAACCAATCGCTACTAACGTGTTCTCCAAGCTCGTAACCTAGACGTGAGAAACAGCACATACTCAGTCCCTATCATTAACTGTGCTAGCCAACAGTATTGCACAACATTTTTGACAAGACTTACCGTGGTAACGAGCACATCTCGGTATGCATCCAGCGCGGCAGCATCCTGTGGGATTTTATCCTGTAGCAGGTTCATGAGCTGTGCCTCGAGGTTACCAGGGATCTTCCACATGAAATCCCCGAGCTGGTTCATCAACTCGGCGTTTCCCGCGAACAACTCCGCGTGCACGAACTGAAGCACGCTCACGACATTTGCACACTTGCTCTCTACCTCGCTCTCAGCCGAGGAATCGTCGACATTCACATCCTGAGCCACAATTCTCAGTGCCACCCCACTGTCGTCGCGCGTCAGTTGCACTGAGCTAAGTGGCATCTGCAGCATGGGCTTGATGAGGTGCTGGGAGACGGCCTTAGCGATCTCTTTCAACTTGGGCGTGAGTATCTCCAAAACATCGCACGCTCTCCAAAAATCACTGCGTCGTTCCTCCATCGACACGTTTGTCGTCTCAAACTCGTTCTCGACGAAGCCTGCCGTCACCTTCAGCGCGCCGTCTTTCCACACGGCAGTGCAGGCGAAGTACCTCGCGAGCTGGTTCAGCAGTCGGTTCTTCTTGCTCAGCAGCTGCAGCTTCACCACGCGGATGATCTTCCGGTCCTCCACGTTGCCTCCTTCTCCCTGTTCAGCCTCCGTTAGCTCGCGCACGAGCCTCTCGACCTCCGCGACGTTCTCGGACGCGGCGACGAAGCGCTGCTGGTCGATGGCTTCGTCCACGTCGCCCAGCAGCCGGTCCATCTCCGTGAGCTGCTCGATCAGCGTGAGCATGGCCTTGGACTGCTGCACCTGCTTCTTGAGCCGCTCGCGCTGCGTGAAGGACAGCAGCAGCTGCGCCTCGGGCGCCATCTCGCCGCTCTCGTCCAGCTGGAGGCGGTCCACGGCGTCCAGCAGCGCCACATTCAGGTGCCGCATCTTCTCCTGCAGGTCCGAGGCGTCGGCGTCGTCCCCCGCCATGGGGAACGCGTGCGACGCGCCCCATTTGGCCGCGATCTTGACCGCGTCGGCCGCCGAGATGGCCGACGACGACGCGTAGAACGAGCGCAGCGCCTCCACCACCTCGCCCCGCACGTGGACGATCTCCCCGTGGGTCTCCTCCAGCTTCCTGCGGACATGTAGAGCGGTCAGAGGCGACGAGAGCGCAGAGCAAGAGCAGAGCGAGCGTAGCCTCCTTCCTTACCTGGTCAACGTGTCGAGCGACGCCATGATGCAGCAATATTGTAGTCCAGACTAAAGTTTAGTCGGTACAAATATTGTGCTGACTAACTTTTTTTTGTGATTTGTGCATGCGTGTCATCGCATGGCTACATGCTATTTGTTTTGACGGGTGATGAAATCGATGGCCAAAGTGCGTTGCACTCGCGGCCGAAGCGCTTCACAGTCCATTCGTCCGACTACATCGACCTGGCCGCCATGATCTCTGCGCTCGCGTGGGTCCCGAAGGGCGCGTCGCGCCGCATGCCCGAGAAGTTCAAGCTGACGGATGACGAGATGAAGATGCTGCGCGAGGCCGCCACCGCGGAGGAGGAGGAGCAGCAGCTCGCCATGGAGGCGGCCATGGCCGAGGAGGACGCTGCCGCTGCGGAGCAGAGCCAGGAGCAGCAGCAGGAGGGCAGCGACGGACTGCCGGCCTCCTTCAAGATGGACGAGTACGACGAGGAGGACGACGACGCCGCGATCAAAAACTACGTTGGCGGCGGCGGTGGCGCCATGGAGGAGGAAGAGGAGGAGGGCGATGAGCAGGAGGACGGCATGCCTGATGAGGAGGGCAACGTGGCCATGGAGGACGACGAGGACGACCAGGACGACGAGCTGGAGATGGACAAGGACGACGTGGAGATCCGCCCCACGGACAGCGTCATCCTCGTGGCCAACACGGAGGAGGACTTCAGCAACCTCGAGGTGCAGGTCTACGACGACGAGAACGGCGCGCTGTACGTGCACCACGAGATCAACCTGCCGGCCTTCCCGCTGACCATGGCCTGGATGGACTGCGCGCCGGTGCCGCTGGACCCGAGCACTGGACCCGTGGACGGCAGCTTTGTTGCGGTAGGAACGTTCAAGCCGGGCATTGAGATCTGGGACCTCAATGTGCTGGACGTGCTCGAGCCGTCGGCTACGCTTGGTGGCGAGCAGGACGAGGACCTGCGCGATGTGGCTATGCCCAAGATCTCCAAGCGGCGGAAGAACCGCAAGACGGCGCTCAAGCCTGGCAGCCACCAGGACGCCGTCATGTCGCTTGACTGGAACAGCAGCCACCGCAACATGCTGGCTAGTGGCTCCGCCGACTCGACTGTCAAGGTGTGGGATATTACCACGCAGAAGTGCCTGTACACCATGGCGCACCACAGCAACAAGGTGCAGAGCGTGCGTTGGAACCCCGCCGAGACGACGGTGCTCGCGAGTGCGTCGTTTGACCGGACGATTGTGGTGCTGGATGGCCGTCAGCCCGACGCCTTCTCTAAGTTCCAGTTGAGTGCTGAGGTGGAGAGCATCGCGTGGGCGCCGCACAACCCGAGCACCATCGTGGCGTCTTCGGAGGACGGTGTTGTTGTGGGCTTCGACGTGCGAATGAACGGCTCGGCCCCGCTGTTCCGTTTCGACGCCCACGCTGGCGCCGTGTCGGCCATTTCGTTCTCTGCTCAGGTGCCTGGTCTGCTGGCGACGGCTGGCGTTGACAAGACTGTCAAGCTCTGGGACCTCAAAGATAACTCGCCTGTGTGCGTCACCTCCAAGGAGATGAACGTGGTACGTAGTTGCTGGAGCATCGTGTGGTGTTTGAAGTCCGGTAAGTTGACTGTTGTATTTTATTGTTGCAGGGCGAATTGTTCTCGCTGGCCTTTTACCAGGACTCGCCGTTCATGCTCGGTGTCGGCGGCTCCAAGGGTGTGCTGGCGCTGTGGGACACCTCCGAGAACGAGGGTGTGGAGCGCCGATTTGGCTCTCGCATGCAGGGAGCGGCTACCGCTGCGTCCAGCGATATCTCGGCGTCTTTCCGGTCGCCGTACCAGCTCGGCGAAGAGCTGGCGGCTGAGGAGGAGCGTGAAAAGCAGCAGCAGGGCAAGAAGAAGTCGGGCAAGGGCAAGAAGGGCAAGAAGCACTAGATAGGCAGCTACTACATATAATAAAGATCTTGTTTGCAAAGTGCGTAGCTTGAGAGTACGTGGGGTTTTGAATACGCTGTTCATTGGAAGGTGGCCTCCACATTTATCACAGTAGTGTATCCTTCAGGATCTTACACCTCAGATCCATTGCTTGTAGCGGAAGTACAGCTGCAGTGCCGCGGCAATCGCGATCGCAGAGACCCAGAAGAGTGCGTAGCCATAGCGCTCATGGAGTTCCGGCATGTCATCGAAGTTCATGCCGTAAACGCCAGTGAGGAATTGGCCTGGAAGGAAGACGGTCGTGACCACAGTGAGCGTGTAGATGACGTAGTTCATCTGGTTCGCCTTTGCATCGCGGTATTCTTCCGTGAGCTGGCGGCACATTTGGAGCTGTTGCTCGATGTCGTCGAGCACCTGAACGACGTGATCGTGGACGTCACGGACGTAGTCTGTCACGGTGGCGTCGAAATCCTTGCTCTCGATGATGTTCTTGAGCACCTCGCGTGCGGGCTTAAGCAACCGAGGAAGTCGGAACAGCTCGTTCTTCAGAAGGCGCAACGAGCGCAGGTCAAAACGGTGCCGCTCTTGATCAAGCTGGTTCTCGAGCTCAATAAGGCATTCCGTGATGGAATCGACAACGCCTGTCACTTGATCCACGATCACGTCGAGCACCGAGTACACGAGGAAGTTAGCGTCGTTATGCCGCAGCTTGGAGTATGGCACGGCCAATCGGCGATTCAGCTCGGTCCAGATATCACTGTCGCCGCCGTCTTTGACCGTGATGACCGTGTCATTGTCCACGACGAAGATAAATACGTGCTCGATCCAGACTTTGAGTGGATCTTCATCCTCGTCCTCGGTGTCGTCAGTGGCAGCACTTATGTTGCGGTGGAACGAGCCTCGCCTCTCCTTGGAAAGAGTGGGCAAGGGTGTGCCGTGCGAGTCTCCTTGGTGCGTGCACGAGTACAGTCGATTACGCTTGCGCTGCAATGGGAGCCCTTTATCCGGCCTCAATTGCAGCCTCAGCACAGGGAACACGAGAAATAAATGTCCATCGTAGCGGTCGAACTTTGGGCGCTCGTGACCTTCAATCGTGTCCTCAATCGCAAGCGGATGCAAACGATACTTGATGGCCAGCCTCTTGAGGTTCAGACTGTCGCGTCCGTCCAGATTGATCCACCGCACATTCACCCAGTCGGGTCGATGCGCCGTGAAGAACTCGTGCAAGTTTTCCTGTCGCAGCACGAAGCTCTGCAGCTTGGTGCTCGAGAAGTCCGAGACCGACATGGACGCTTGCTGGTAGCCGATCGTCTTCATCTCCTGCACCGCCCCTTCATCAAACATGTGCATCAGCTTGAGGCGGTGCACTGCCGCGTCGAACTGCTGCAGCGTGATGCGCCCACTTTTCAGTCTGTCAATGCTCTGCACCAGCTTCAAGAACACCGCGTCGTCCGAGCATCGGATGCCGAGCGTCCCCAACGCTGCTCGGAACCCTTCGTACGACAGCTCCCCGTCTCCTTCGGGCCCCGCACCTTCAAAGGCCACACGGAGTCGCGACGGGGTCACGTCGAAGTACGGGTCCAGCATGTTGAGCTCGTCGTCGTCCTCCAGCGGTCCGTTGAGCGGCACATCGGCGAAGCTCTTGTAGTTGCCTGGACTGCCGTACCCGGGGCGCGCCGTGGGGCTGAAAAGGAAGGAGATTTTGTCCACGCTCAGCTGCAGCTCCGTCGTCTGCGTCTGGCTGCGGCGAGAGGTGCGGGAGTCCCCGCTGTTTACGGCCTCCGGGTACGACGAGAGCTCCGAGTCGCTGCGTGGCGACGCGTCGGGCCGCAGCAGCGGGGTGTCCTCGTCCACAGGGTAGAAGTCCATGCGCTCCAAAAATGACGCATCGATCTGCGACTTTGAAGGAAGAAATGCGACTGAGCTGCTCGCTGGCAGTTACAGGTTGACAGCTGGTGATTGGTGGAAAAGATCTTCACTTGGTTTCACTATTTCTTAGCGCTACTCGAATCATCTACGCACGCCATGCACTTCAACTACAAATGATACTCTTTTTTTTTCACTATTTGGCGCACTTGAGCACTTCTCGCTCGTCCCTGTGGTCAAGAGCCCCTCGAAACCACGAGAAGTAGTCGCCGAGAGCGAACTTGGCATCTTGCGGCTCAGGGCTCGCAATGAACTGCAGGCGGAGCCGCGTGGCGAAGGGGTGCTCGGTGCTGTGCGGCTTCTGAGAGCACCAGACCACGTCTTGGTTCGAACCACTTGCGTGCTCTTCATGGACGATGGCCTTGCTGCTTTGACTGCTGGGTATTGCCATTGCGGGCCGCGTCACCTCCGCTTCGCGGGCGAGTGGCATGATCGCCATTTCGTACTCGCTCTCGGTCGACGGGGTCCGGATATAATAGTCGTCGTCCTCTCCTGTCGAGTTCTCGTGTGGTGACGGCGGGTCCATGAAGTCCACGAAGCTGCCAGTCATCGGGTTCTGTGATGCGTGTGGGGGTCTAAATCGGTAGTCGCCCTGCTTGCTCTCCTCACTGCCATCGTTGTCGCTGAATCCAAACTCCTCCGATACATAGCCGTCTTCCAGTGCTGACAAACTCGGCGACGTCCCGGGGTACGGCCACGTGGGGAACGTCGGTCGCTCGGCTGCTGCCTTCTCGACGGCCACCTCGAGAACCATCTCCCAGTTGTCGTACGTCGCGACGTCAGGTGCGCGGAAGCGAACGCGCTTGCGTTTGGGCCCGTACACGAGACCGAAGCGTAGATTGTGCACGTCCTTGCCCGACACCGGCAGCATTCGAACGGGATGGACGCTGCCTCCAAGGTCGATCTCCAGGTCGCCCCCGAACAATGCGGACCGCTTGACGTGGAGCACCGGCACCTCCCGACTGGGCTCGCAGTCAGCCAACTCGCGCTTGAGCACGATGCTGAGCGTGGACTTGTGCCTGTTGTTACGCTGTTAGTAATGACGATAATCTGTTGAGTGCTGCTGCACACTCACTCACTCACTCACTCACCAGAACAAGTGGCAGGACTGCATCTGCATGGGCGTCTCGAGCGTTGTACACCGAAATGTGGTGGTGGTGGTCATCGTCATTGCGCGATGCTTCCTCGACACTTGCCGAAAGCCCGCGAAGTCGAGGAATGAAAATACGCAGCGACCAGTCGCACCGCGTTGCTGGCCTCTTGCTGGCCCGCTCCACGATTGGAACGCCACTGTTCCAGGACGGCACCTCATTCAGTCGATGGCGGGCGCGTGGGGCGGCTTTCGCGGATATCAGTCTGGATAGAGGCGCCTCCGTCTAATGGAAGGCGCAATTAGCTCCACTATTTAGCAGTCATCATCGACAACTCTTGGCTGAAACTCGAGCTGACCGTATGCTTCTCGAAGCTAAGGTATCTTTCGCCTTCTGGGTGGAAGTATGGGTCTTTTAATTATCAGGCATCTATTTTAACCCGCTGTGCTATTTAGGGTTTACGTTTATCACCCACGTGATAAAGCGGGTTAAATCAAAACACCCACCTCATTCAAGTAAAAAATCCAGTCGATCCATCACTTGCACTTGCAATAAGACTGAGAGGAAGTGGAGGTACCATGCAGGTGACGGTGACTTCGGCGGACGGCAGTCAGGTGGCGCAGATCAGCGCGGAGCCCACGCAGCAGCTCGGCTCCGTGGCCCCGCAGTTGCAGCAGCAGGTAAAGGCTTCTCCCCTTTGCTGGCTCAGAGCTTATTAAGCCTACTCTGCTGACGTATCATTGTCGTTTATCATAGTTCGGAATCCCCGCGGCGTCCCAAGTGCTGATGCTGGACGGCAACCCACTGCGCCTGGACCAGACGGTATTGAATGCAATGGGGCGGACGTGTTTGCCTCCTCAAGTTACTGACGAAAGCTTTTGCGGTGCGTGACAATCGACAGTTTGAGCAGGCGGGTGTGAAGGAGGACGATCTGCTGGTGGTCATGCGCAATCCGTCGGCTGCACCGGCTGCTGCGAGGCCTGGATTGCCCAGTGCGGCGGGGTTCACGGCTCGTCCGGGCATGAAGCTGCACGAAATTCCGGTGGGTAGTGAGTGTGCTTGAAGTATTTCAACAAGAATTGTATCGTGACTGTGGCCGTGTGCTTCGCCACGGATAGGGCAATGCCTCGCCTGAAATTCTCCTTGACATTATGGACAAGAACCCCCAGCTTCTTGCAGAGGTGAGTGGAGTGTTTTGCGTGTTTTGCGTGTGTTGTGCTGATTGCGCGGAAACTAAAACAAATTGTTGCAGCTGCAAGAAGGCAACCCCAAGTTGGCAGCAGCACTTCAGACCAAGAGTGTGTCGGTACGTGATGTCACGGCCATTTTATCGATTGTGACAATTTTAGTTAATTCAGACCTATTTCGCTTTGGATGTTGGATTCTGCAGGATGTGCGCATGGCATTGATGCAGATGCACATGGAGGCTGCCTCCCGCAAGTTCGAGGAGCAGCAAGAGATTGAAGCCCTGGAGCGAAACCCGTTCGACGCTGACGCGCAGGCGAAAATCGCAGAGCGTATCCGCCTGTCGAATGTCCAGAAAAACATGGAGATCGCTATCGAGGAGATGCCGGAAGCGTTCGCGCGTGTTACGATGCTTTACATTCCCTGTGAAGTGAACGGAACGCAAGTGAAGGCTTTTGTGGACTCTGGAGCGCAGTCGACCATCATGTCGTCGGTAAGGGACTCCGTTGTGCTAGCATCGGTATGTGAAACGGAGGCTCACATACCGTTATCGTTGATGTCTTCAGAGCTGCGCGGAGCGCTGCGGTATCATGCGTCTGGTAGATAAGCGTTTTGCTGGCCAAGTAAGACCAATCGCTTTTGTGCATTGTTATGAAAAAATGGCGATACTCACGTTTATCGCTTGCATCCAACAGGCAGTCGGTGTGGGCACGGCAACAATTATCGGCAGAGTGCACATGGCCCCACTGAAGATTGGCAACGAGTTCTACAACTGCAGCTTCACTATTCTGGACCAGCAGGGCGTGGACTTTTTGTTCGGCCTGGACATGTTGAAGCGGCATCAGGTATGCAATTCCAGCCCAACCTTGCACAGTTTGGGTTTGCAGGTAGTACTAACCAATTCATGACGTGGTGTAGTGCTGCATTGACCTGGGCAAGAACGTTCTTCGCCTCCATGAAGGCGACCAGTTCCACGAAGTTCCTTTCTTGCCGGAGCATGTACGTATTACTGCTGCTTAGCCTCCTATTGGCGCGTGCAATGTACTCACAATGTCTTGCAGGAGATCCCGTCGTCCGAGAACCGAGCGGCTTCAGCGCAGCCCCCGGCCACAATTGGCGGCGTCCCCGTTCCGGCTTCAACCCCAGGATCAACTCCCACTGGCGCCCCACGGGTCCCTGCTCCTGCTCCTCCTGCTCCTGCTCCTGCTCCTGCTGCCGCTGCTACTCCTGCTGGCGGCGAGAGCAACGAAGCGAAGATCGCTCAGCTGGTGGCGTTGGGTTTCCCTGAGCAGCGGGTACGTTTCGACGGCGGAGCTCATGCTTGTTGTTGCTGCTGCTGACATCTGCGACGTGTGTTATCTTTCTTTCACTATAGGCGATCCAGGCGCTGCAGACTTGCAACGGCAACGTCGAGATGGCTGCAGGTCTTCTATTCGAGAGCATGTAGAGAGCTCTTTTAACCAATCAAACCACAGTTTGAGCCCGTTTTTGTCGAATCAAACACCATGTCTTCGGTCCCAACTCCATTAGCAATAGCAGCAGGCAATAAGCGGCGATGGCAGGCGACGACGAGTTCCGCGAGGACCTGTACGAGATCCTGGGGCTGGAACCCGCGGCGGATGAGCGCCAGGTCGCCCGCGCCTACAAGAAGAAGTCCATCCTGCATCACCCCGACCGCGGCGGAGACGGTACGAGGCGCCAGTCGCTGCGATCGCGAGGCCAACGGAAGAGCGTCTAACACCTTGTTCTGGATCTCTCACTGCAGTGCAAAAGTTTCTGGAGCTGACTCATGCGCGTGACATCCTGCTGGACCCCAAAAAGAAGGAGGCCTATGACAAGAAACTGTCGCGCGAGCTGCTGGCCAAGAAGAAGCAGCGCGAGCGGGAGGCGGAGCTCGATGGCAAGCGCAGACAGATGCGAGACGGTATGGTACAGTTCATTATACGGCTTGTTCCTCTTGTTGGGTGTGTATGGCTAACTGTTTTTTTCTTCTTCTGTTGTTTGATGCAGAGTTGCTGAGGAAGGAGCAGCACGTTGAGCGCAATAGGAAGCCCAGCGCCAAGCAGCAGAAGGCGGAGCTGTCCAGGCTTCGAGAGAAGGCGTTGGCAAGGCAACAAGAGCTGCAGGAGCGTCTTGCCAAGGAGGCGAAGCGACGATCTGAGGCCAAGAAATACCAGGAGGCAAATGGCGCTCCGAAGTCACAGCGTGCCGTCACGTTCAAGTGGGATAAAAAGCAGTACTCGCACTCGGACGATACGCTGAGTCGAGAGCTGCGTTCTTACGGCGAGATTGAGGCTATCAAGATGAAGACGTCGTCTGCAAAGGTGGTGTTTGCTGAGGCTTCAGCGGCCGCAAATGCCGTTCGAGTTGAAGGACACAAGGACTGCTGGCGAGAGGTCTCGATCCAAGGTCATATCGTCGAGACAGACGGGTTTACGTCGGCGGAAGACAAGACGGCGAGCACCGCGTTGAAATCCAAGCGCAGCGTGCCGACGCTCCCCGGAGGACCCATCTCACTGGAAGAGCACTTGGCGTTCGAGAAGACCGTCCTCGCCGCGTTGCGTGAGAAGGCGAAGCTGCAGCAAGCGCAACAGCAACAACCCCCTGTGCAATCACACTAATAGAAGATAGGTTCGAGTGGCGCATATTCCTATATAGGTGGCTTGGCTAAAGACTATCCACCTTCTAACAGCAAAAACACGCCTATGTAGCTAACCTAACGCGCTTTCTCGTTTGACGCAGTCATCTGACGCAAGAACTGCACCCAGCCAGACGAAATGGCCACGACCTCTTGGCCCTGCACGTACATAAACGACAACAGTCTCCAGTTAGCACTCAAGTAGCAGCACAAAGGTCATTGCAAGAGCGGCTGATGACGCACCACATCGTTGAGGTGCTCCATGTTCTGGTTCAGGATGTGCACGTTCGACACGGCCTCTTGCATCTCCTGCAGCAACGACACAACTGTCAGTACTCGACCTATTTACTATTTACTATTGCGCCCGTTGACACTTGCACGCACCTCGCGGATTTCGTCTTCAAGGCGCTTCTTCTCCTTCTGGAACCATTCCTTCACCGCCACCACATCCACCATACCCACGCACACACTATCAGCCTAAGCCCCGCCTCAAAAACGTGTTCCTCCACGCACAGACTCACCCGGTCGGGGCCTCCGCGTGAGTCTCTTCGCACGTCGTCCATCTCGGTCAAAATTCGATGAATGATGTGCGTCACACCACTCTTCCCCTACCTAATTGCATCTCATTCTAGATCGTAGGTCACTGGCGTCGTCCTTTCGCCTTCAGCTACACAATCCTAATTCGTACCGGGGGGACACCAAGTCGGATCATGAAGTCGTCGCTGCTGCTGACGCTGCTGCTGCTGGCCATGAGCGCCGCCTCGCTGGGCGCCGTGCAGTTCGACATCCGGCGCCGCGCCGAGAAGTGCCTGAGCGACGAGGTGGCCCAGGGCAGCCTCGTGGTGGTGCACTACAACGTGATCGGCGGCGTTCGCGGCAAGTCGGGCGTGTCGCTGGCCATCACGGATCCGCTACGCAAGTTCCTCAAGCAGGACGCCAACATCGACACGTCGTCCGACGACATCCACAAGTTCTCGTTCACGGCGGACGCCGGCGGCAACTACGCTGTGTGCTTCGTCAACGGCAACGACAAGCCCGTGCGCGTCATGCTCGACTTCAAGCACGGCGTGGAGGCCAAGGACTACACAGAGGTGGCCAAGCGCGAGCACCTCATGCCCGTGGAGAAGGAGCTGCGCAAGATGGAGGACACGGTGGACGAGATCCACCGCGAGATGCTCTACATGCGCGAGCGCGAGGCTACGATGCGCAACACGAACGAGTCGACCAACTCGCGCGTGCTCTGGTTCAGCTTCTTCTCCATCGTCGTGCTGCTCGGCATGGGCGTCTGGCAGGTCATGTACCTCAAGAAGTTCTTCAAGAGCAAAAAGCTCATCTAAGCGGCTGAGATCCACTGGACCCGCTCCGTGGATTCGGGCAACAGCTTTTTACATAGATGGCGGGAATTGGACACCAGGGACTCAGTCCAGCTTTAGCGCTGATGGATCCACTAGCGTCAGAGTTAAGCTCGAGCTTCCAGCTCGACTCTAAAATACAACCAGGCCTGACCTGGGTCCTTATTCCACCAAGAAAGTACTTTCGTCAAAGCAGATTCCCTCAATTGAGAGAGAGCTTCATATTTTTAGTTGAAGTTGTAGGTGGCTATGGTGTCCGTTTGCGTTCCCGAAATGGAGCATTGAACACTTCCAGCGCCGATGCTGCTGCCAGGCTATTTGCAACTTGGTCTGTGGCCCTGCCTGCCTTGTTTAGCTTTTGCGTGTTCGCGTGTTTTGCATCGATTCGAAGGGATGGCGGACTTCCGCGACGCGGTCTCGAGCGACGACGACCAGCAGCACGTGGACGACGATGGCGGCCCGGCATGGGAGACTGCGCCGGACAACGACGACGACGAAGAGGATGAACCCGGTAGCGAAGAGGACGATCGGTTCTCGGGTCGGTACCGAGACAACGAGCACGCCGACGGCAGCGACGGCGACTTTGAGGACGCGTGGCTCGATGACTACCTGCCGGATGCAGTCGACATCCCGCTGTCTAACATGCACACGGGCGAGTCAGCGGGGCCGTCAGAGGACGAACGATCTTCACTGCAACACCTAGGCAATGACAGTCAAGATGACAACGACAATGCCGTGGTCTCGCGAAGGTCCAGTTTGGTTCTGGAAATGGACTCGGCACCATCCCTCATGGTAGTGAACTGCACGGGCGACACAGCCGTGAGTGTGCCATCGCCGCGACTCTCGGGGTTTGCCGCCTTCAAAGAAGGTGGACGGCATTATAGCTCGTCGATCCACTCTGAGCCCTCGCCAGCACTGATTCATCCGATCCCGACATCCATGTCACTTGATCGACGAGATTCCGCTCCAAAGACCCCGTTGACGCCGCTGTCACCTTCGGCCTCACCTTACAAGCGAGCCAACAGCCTCTACGCGAGTCCGGCATCGACTACGACGAAGATCCAGCTAGCTCAGCAGTCCGATCGAGAGGACAGTCGTTCTGGACTAGCTCGACCCAGGTCGTATTCGCAGGTATGGGACTCGTCCGAGACCACGAAGAGGACATCGTCGCGACTGCTGGACGAGTGGAAGCGCAAGGAAATGTGGCAGGACTTGAAGCGCGCCGAAGAGAACGTCGTGACACCAACCAGCAGCAGCAAGCGCGAGAAATCCTCTTCTTCACGTTTGCATCGGTACAAACGTGCAGCTTCAGACGCTCGACTGGATACGTTGCTGCAGACTCTGCAAGCGGAGGTTGCAGCTCCATCACGACGCGAGGAATCCGTGGTGAAGCACAGGAAAGAATCTCGCAAAAGCCCCATGAGACGACGAAACTCGAGCCAAGTTGTGTCGGCGGTCATGAGCCCTGTAAGTGAAAGCGGCGTGGCCACACCGAGACGATCACGACCATCCATTGCGTCGTCGACGTCCAGCACATTCTCGTCTTCGCCGCTCACATTGACCACGGTACCTGTTGTCACCCCGCCTTCGCCTGTTCCTTCGGTCCCCTCCGTACCATTATCCGAGTACGAACAACTGCAGCAGGACAAGCAGATTCTGCTGCAAGAGAAGCAAGCTTTACAGCACGAGAAGCAGACGCTGCGAACAGAGGTGGAAAAGGCTCGAGACGCCTCCGCAGCGGACCAGGAACGTCTTCACCAATTGAACGAGAAGATCCACCTGTTGAACGAGAAGATGGCGCAGCTCAGCGAAAAGCAGCTTCAGCTTGACGCCGTTGAGCGCGAGAACCGAACTCTCAAGGAGGAGACGCAAAAGCACGAGATGCAAGCGCTGAGTTCCAACGAACTGGTCAAAACTCTACGCGATCAGCTCGCGCTTACGAGCAAAAGCGAGGAGCAGCTCAAACTGCAGACCAAGCAGCTCATGGAACAGAACCAAACTCTGCAAGCAGATCTGCTGGAGAAGATCGCCTCGGAGACGAGCAAGTTCCAGAAGATGGCGAAGCTGTCCGCGGAGAATGAATCGCTGGTGGAGGAGCTTGAGCGTAAGGAGAATGCCATCGGTGAGCGAGAGCTTGAGGAGCGGCTACGTATGCGAGGCTTGATCATCCACGGTCTGCTGCGTACGAAATCCCGAGACATGCTTCACTCGGCCTTGTTCCAATGGTCTGGTGCAGCTCGGGGCATCACAACAGCTCGCTCTCGAGCACTGGCGTTGTTGTCAAGTGTCGACAACAGCATATCACTCAAACTGAAGGCCGCAGCTCTCAACAAACTGAAGCGCTTTGTGGTAGTAGACAGCCATGCCGAAGCCACGAACAAGCTCCAGGAAAGTCTTGCCACGGCAAAGCAGGAAGCGAAAGCTCATCGGATTCTGCTTGGCGTGATGCACTTGGACCGCCTCATGGACCACTGCGAGCACCGCCAGGCGGCAAAAACCTTCAGCACTTGGAAGAAAATTCAACGGGAGCACGCAACTTTGACGCGGTCGCTGGAGCTTGGGATGAGCAAACTGCAGCTCGTTCTGCTAGGCCAAGAGAAAACCGCTACGCGCAGAGCCTTGTCAAAGTGGCGATTCGCTACGACGCGTGACAACAATCGTGGCAATCTTGAGCGCGTGCAGCAACTGGAGGGAAGCTTGGCCGAAGCAAAAGAGTGCGTGTTCTCGCTATCAAGAGCGAAGACGAAGCTTGAAGAAAAGCTGCAAGCCTCCCGTGAAGAAGCTCAACGTCTTACAGGGGAGCTAACAGAGAGTGGGTCCGAGCTGCAGCTTGTAAAGCACGGATTCGTGACCACCGTGATTCGCGAGACCGAGCGCGCATGGTTGCGGGCGGTGCTTGTGCAGTGGCGCATTCAGACGCACGTGTCTGCTGTCACGAAGGAGCTCCGGTTGCAAGTTGAGATGGCGGAGCTCAAGGCGGCTGAGCGTGACAAGTACTCCAAGTCGCTCGACGACTACAGTCGCGTTCTGCGCAGTGATCTCGAGCGCTTCCAGTTCTTTTCTCTTGACAAGCGAATCACAGTGGACGTGCTATCGAAGAAGCTGCTTCGCGAAGAAGAGCGATACCGCCACATGGAGGAGCGTCACGTAGCTCTGGAGGAAAAGGCCCACGCGCTCAAGACCCAATTGACTTCGTTTGTCGAGTGGGAAGGGCTGTCGCTGCCGTTCTCCGTGCTCGCATTGTGCAAGGATGTCGCGGTGAACAACCTTCGTGAACTGTTCCAGCTCCACGCAGCGGCTGACAGCGCCGTTGTCAATGACGGCGGAGTCACGAGAGGGGTCGAGGGAGACACTCCGTCGCCTCGACTCGCCATGTCTTCCCTTGTTCGTATCCTGGAGTACTCGACGCTGCTGGAGGAGAAGGTGATTGAACGCGAGGCACTCGCTGAAAGGCTGGCCCGCCACCTCCCACCGTACGCAGTGGAGCGCGGCTTGCTTTTCGCCGACTTCGTTACGGGGCTGAACGAGTTCTTGACGGATCTCTTCGCGTCCAGCAACACCAAACACGAACAACTAAAGCGGTTCTGGTCAAGTCTCCTTTCGCTTCTTGGAGTCTCCCGTGGCGCTGCTGCTGCAGGAACTGCGCCAACCAATGGTCGAGGTGTGAACGGTGCTGGTGAAAATGGTACCGGCTTGATGTTGTGCCCTTCGAGGGCTTCATGGGCTGGTCACCTCAGCGACGACATTCTCCAAAATCAGGAAAAATTGCTCGCCGTACTCGAGCACGAGACCGCAGTCGTAGAGCGCGCTGTCATGGAGAAATCCTCTCTCAAGCACACGTACCCTGCAAGCGAGAATGGAAGCGTTACCCGTAGCGGTAGCTCCACATTCTTGGAATACCAATGCGACCCCCTTCTTCCTCCAGAGCTGGTCAACAGAGCGACCGGATCCCCTACGCACTCAACTGCGTCCGCACCAGCAAACCTCAATCCATCCACCCCAACATCACGTAGCACTGAGCCGAGCGCTGCACCAGCAGGAGGAACTTCAGCGTTCTCGATGGAGGCATACGCGAATTGGCACCTGGCCCCGCAAGTGCGTGATCTCTTCATGGCCTTCCACTCTCCGCTACTCAAACTTGTCGTTCAGTACTCGGATGGACAGCGCACTGCCGCGCTCGGCAACCAATACTGCCTCAACGCGGCTACAGTCTTCCGCATGTTCACTGATCTCAAACTGCACCCAGCATTCTTGTCCCGCGATTTCATTCAGACACATTTCGATCGGTTCCGTGAGTCGAGCGATGCTGGAGGAGGTTTGCTAGCACCACAAGGTTTCACGCTTTTGCTGGGATCCTGCGCTCTTGAGCTTTACGCTCGGTCACTTGCCAGCAGCCAGACCAAACCCGAATTCCTTCTCTCCGCTCGCGAAGTGCTGTTGTCATTCTTCGGCGACTTGGGTTTACTCGCTGAGAGTGAAGTGCCTCCAGCTCCACGGTTATGCTTCGTCGGCATGGACGTCGATACCATTCTCTGGCCGCTCTTCGAGTACTACGCGAAGTCAGCGGATACTGTTGGTGGGGACTCTAACTCAGTAGACAACAGCCGAGTCGGAATGACAGTCGTCACGTTCGAGCGGTTTATGACGGAGATTGCTGGCATGGCAGCGAACGATTCGCGCGCAATCTTTCGTCGAGTAATGCAGGACCTAGCCAAGAAGCAAGATCACGGTCCGGGTGGAGCAAACGAGGATGACCAGCAGTGGCGAATGCGACTAGACGAGTTTTACATCGCCATTTCGTACGTACAGGCCGAGCGAAGTCCAGGGTCTACGTACACGACGCCCGGTGAAGCTATACGCCAGTGGCTGCAGCAAACGCAATAGGAACCAGCGTAGGCCAACATGATGAGTGAGAGAGCGAGCATATAGTATTAGCAAACCCAGTGTATAAGCAATGAAGAAGATAGCTACCCACGATACGAGCCATCATCAGCCGCTGCTTTCTGTCGAAGGACACGTTACCCGAGATCACACCATTTGTCACGATGTTGATGATTTGTCTCCAATAGTTGGTGCCAACTGCACCACCATGACGCGGCTATTCGTCTGGATAGGGGTGCCCACGTTGGAAGGGTCCACTTGGTACTTGAGGCTACGGAACGAGTTCTGCTTTGCACGGCATTGGAATCGAAGCTCGTGCTTGCTAAAAATTGGGCTGTTGGCGACCAAATCCTGAAGCGCTGCAATATCGCGTTGCTGGTCCTCGAGACTGAAGGACGTGATCAGCACCGGTTTGCACGAGGCCAGCACAGCCTGAATAGTAGGGTCCCAACTCTCACGCAGATGCGGGTGTCCAATCCCGGGATTGTACAGCACGAACGCGTCCGGGGTGCCCAGCTTCCTCGTCTCGATCTTGTGATACAACCCGTTGATCAACTGCAGCTCGACGAATTCGTTCTCGTTCGCCCTGGTCGTCGGTGTTTTCTTCCGCGCCGACATCACCGGCACGTGGTCTCCAACGATCTTAATAGCAAACTGCTGTCCAGGATGGAAGAACGACAGCTCGTCCCACAGATACCGAGGCATCGTAGCCTCGGCGCGCGCTCCGATCACATGCAACTCGAACTTTGCCTTCTCCGCCTGCATCAACTCCGGCAGGAACCTGCTGAGAGTCATGACGTACGAGTAGGCCGAGGAAAGCAGCCTCAACGCCCTCTCGTCTCCCAGCCAGCGTTCGTCAGGCTTGTACAGCTTCAAGTAGTCCGTCCACGACGTCAGGTGGTGGTCGCCTCCCCACTCGCTGCTCTCCCGTCGACTCGACTGCAGCACTGCATGAAACAAACCACACCTCGGTCACCAAAAAACTAGTCCGAGCAATCCTACGCCTTCGACAATGTTGCACTACCTTGCGTGAACAATTGCGAGGCTTCGGGCGTGGCGGAATACTCGACGTCTTCCACCATGCTGTCGTACAGCGCCAAGACCTCGGGTTTCGTCTCCTCCAGCGTCTCCGCGCATTCCTAAACGCATACACATATCGTCAGAGGATTATCTCAAGTCTTGTATACAGGGTGAGGCGCCCCCACCTTGGAGCAGGCGAGCGGCAGCCGCGTCTTGCCGCAGTCCGAGCGCCCGGCCAGCACGTCGCCCATGTCGGCGGAGCGCGAGAGCGACAGCGCCGTCTGGTGGCCGCATTGAAGACACGGCAGGCGAGCCACGGCCCCGACGAGCGACTGTGCGCCTGGGACGCTCAGCTTGCGCGCCGAGATGGAGCGCACGGCGCCCAGCGGACGCAGCACGAGCCGCTTGAACATGGGTATCTTGCGGAATGAGGTGTGATTGGACGATATTGTGGAAAGGGGTACAGTGTACCACAAGTGCGTGGCAAAGGACTGACGACTTGTCAGTGACACGAAGCTACTGCCATGGAGTATGGTACGTCTCATTTCTTACGTTAAACGTGCAGGGCTGTCTGTATCCTGCCTGCTGACTCTTGCGGTCATCGTGTCGAATCCCCTATTATACTGGACTTGGAATGGGAAAAATGCTTCGACGTCGCTGCTTGTCGCGGTCGCGCAAAATTGGTTGGGTGTGTGTAGCTTGGCTCAGCTAGTCTTGATTTACATGTCGGCAATGTACTTGAGCGCGACCTCGAACATGGTGAGGAAGTAGCCCACCTCGCCCAACATCAGGGACGGGTGGATCATGGCACCCAGCAGCTCCTTGGTGGCGAGCGGGCGCTTCAATCCGCTCTTCACCACGACGTAAATGTGGATGGGGAGGTAGTCGTCTGCGGTCAGGGCCGAGTTTTCTCGCCACTCGAGGTTCTTCTCTCCGCAGCTCTTGAAAATCTCCAGGGCCGAGCGCAACAACTCCTGGATCTTGTCCATGGGCAGCGTTCGCTCGTCAATCATACTCAGGTGGTGGCACGATAGTCCCCAATCTTCATCAGACTGCAGGTGCTCCGGAATACCGCTGTCTGTCTGTGACCTACACCGCAAGCGCTCGATGTTTTTCACAAGGCGCTGCTCGGCCTCCGTATCCACCGTCGTGCCCACGAGGAAGTTCACCTGCTTCTCTAGTGGTACAAAAATGGTGTCCTCCACTGCGTGGTACACGCAATCGTCCAGCACGGACTGCACGTCAACGCTTTGTTCCAGCAACGAGAGCGTGTCGGCGTACTGCGGATCCAGGTGCTCTGAAATGTACTTTTCGATACTCGTCACCGTGGTACGCAGGTCCTTCACTGCCGCCGCTGCGACCTCGATTCCTTCAAACTTGCTGCACTCGGGGCACACTGCAGTTTCGATCGTGGTCACGCGGTTGCGGAACGCGTGCAAGAAGCGGTAGCACGTGCTACCTTCCACGGTGCCTTCACAGTTGAGGACTCGGAACAAATCGTAGGTCAGCCACTTGGGCTCGATCGGTTCGCCCGTCGTGTCGATCTTCTCCAGCGACGACACAAATTCCGCAGAGCACATCTCGAGCTGCAGCTCCATCAAAATGCTGCGCTGGAGACGCGAGTGCGGGTCTAGAGCTGCCAAGTTTCTCAAAAATACTTCGATCTCGCCCATGCCGCGTGTAATGGCCGAAGCGCTCGCTGGTCGGAACCGCCGACGAGGGAACGGTATGTCCATCAGGAAGCGTAAATAATCCCTCTCGTCGTCATCAGCTGCTGGTGCACGTCGAATCATTCCCCGAACTTTGCGTCGAAGGAAGTAAAAATCACTGAAGCGCTTCTTCGTGATCCAGAACACACGGGTATGCAGGTCCACGACGTGCAGCACGTACTCGGTCACGGCAGGCATGGAGCTCACGGTCTCGGAGCGCACCACGCGCACTGAAAGACCGGGACGCAGTCCAGGGTATTTCCAGTTCGAGTACTCCTTCAGAGTCATGACGCGCGCGCGTTTGTACGCCCTGCCTTTGCTGGGCGAGAAGACCAGCGGCGGCATCGGCGGCAGGATGGCAGAGCCCGTCGCTGACGAAGCTGAGGCGGCTCCGGTCGCAGCAGCGCTGGAGAGGGGTCGTGCTGCGGCAGACGACGACGGCTGTCTGGTCTCGGGGCACGCGGCGGCGTCCGGGTCCATCGGTTGTGTGTTCTTTGGCTGTCTGGCACCGTCTTCTATCCTCCGCAGGCCTGGGATAGCGCTCCGTACAGTCTTCCTGGGCTTAGTCTGTGTACTAGTAGCTGTTGCTGCTGTTGCTGACGAGGAGGAGTCGGCAGTGTCCGAGTCGTACTCGAGCAGGAAACTCGGCTTCCGGTCGCCATGCTGCAATTCATAACGGCATGGTCCGCCCATCAGTCACGTGACCCAACCGACCTCCTTACAGTTACGAATCTGCACAATGTATCCAGTGAAGAGAGTTGCCTACCTTGTGAGCGCCGCGGCTGAGGATGGAGCGCGAAATGTGCTGCAGCAGGCGGCTCTCGTAGTGGGACGACATGCGCATGGCGAGCCTCCACATGACGTGGCCCGCGAGCGTCGAGGGCGCGTGCTCGTCGCCCCCCGCCGCTGCCGCCTCCTTCTTCTGCGCCAGGTCGTGCAGCGAGAACGTGGGGGCCACGGGCGCCAGCGACGGCCGCGGCGGGAGCTTCAGCAGCCGCCGCCAGCCCGCGCCGCTCTCCTCCTCCTCCTCCGTCATGGGCTGCAGCTCGTCGCATTCGATCTCCGTCTCGCTGCTCGCGCGCTGGTCGCGCCGCCCGGCGACGCCGCTCATGCTGCTTTGCCACTGCCGCTGCGCGTCGGGACCTGGGCTGGCTTCCGAGGGCGGTGGCGCGGTTGTCAGCTCGGCTGGGAGGCCTGTCCTGCCGCGCTGCTGGCGATTACGGCTGCCGATACTTTGTGCCTGGTTTCGCCGTCGCTGGCTGAACCGTATAAATTACCTTGCCAAGCGAAAAAGTGGAGTGGCGCACATCAGTGTTAGCACCTGTTTCATTGAATATCCTTTGATTACGCTTTGTTGTTGTTCGAATTTACCGTGTCAAACGACCTGTAATAACGTATAGCTGTCAGACGGGCGGGCAGAGGGAGAGTCCGGCACCAGCAGTTGTCGCAAAAAACGAGCGCACGACGCGTTGGAGCAACACGCACGGGCTTCAGGGAACCTTCAAGCGACCACGGCGCCAGGTCTCTGGCCAGAATCCACTGGCGATTTGGAAGCCGGGGGGCGGACCAACAGTGCCCCCAAGTGTCGGCAACGTGTCGGGCAGTAACAACGCGCCACGCCCGCGCTCGTTAGCCACACATTGCGTTTTCGCCTTTCACGGCGACTTGATGTACGGAAAACGTTTTGCGTCGACACTCGCGCTGCCGGTGTGGATCGCTGATGTATACTGAAGTCAAATGAATCGCGTCTGGCGCAATCGTCCCACTCCCGCGTGGCGGCCTGATTTGCTAGAATTGAGAGGCCACTTTTAGCCAATCGCAGCGAGTTGATAGCGGATCCCGCGCAAGTTGCATTCAACTTCGGCGCCTTCGTGATGAGATCTTGCTTCAGCACCACGCAGAGTCTCTTTCCTACGGGATTTGGCTCCAGGCCCCGATTGAACCTGACGGTGCCAGTGGCTTGGGTGGTGGGAAATCGGTGCCGGGCGCGCCTTCGAGGAGCGTTCAGTCGGCTGAAAGCTGATTTGCACCGATGGCCCTGAGCGCACTACGCATGTAGGATCTCGACAGCGGCGCTTGCTGACGTGCTGCTGCGCAGTGAAGACCCTGATCCACATGTCCGAGACATGAGTGGCGGGAAGTCCGGCTCGAGGTCACGCCGATCCTGGTTCAAGAGCACCGGCATCAGTTTCTCAGGCGTTCGTTCGGTTGTGCCAGTCGCTTCAACTGCAGACTTGGCAATGCCGAGACGCGTCGCACCGGTGAGATTGAATTGGCACGTGAGCGTGAGCTCACGTTGCACTCACTCGGAGTTTCCTTTGAATTCAATGCGAATGCAGTGGTCATGCATGAGCGTCGGACTGCACCAATGCTTAGTTAGCGCCCCCCCCCCCCCCCCCCTCTCCGTTTTCATCAAGGTTGTCATGCAAGTTTGCAGCGTTTGCAGGTTCCAGGAATTCCATTCAGCTCTGAGCGAGCAGATTGCTGAGACTGTACTGTTAGACAATCTCTAAATCAAATCCAAACCACTTCAACATCTCCAACCAATCATCAGCGAGAGTATCCATTCCAACTCCCGACCAATCGCAGCGCGCCACTCGCGATCCGAGTCGCTTCGTGTCGTGGGCGCCCGCACGCATCGCAGCTCATGGTGGAAATCTTGCACGGCGTGGGCTTTGGCGCCAACAAGCGCTCGTGGAGAAGACAAAGATAGTGGGGTTCGCGTCGGAGATGAAGCTCAATTTTGGTGAATCACTGGTGGGTGCACACAATACGAGTCGAAAACAAAGTTTACAAACTTGTGTCAACACGGAATTCGCAGTTGGCGCCAAGGAGGCACAGTCTGCGTCAATTTTTCACTGAATGGACGTATGTGTAGACACTGTTTACACGAAAACCTCACTCGTTTTACGCAGAACAATATATATTGAAGTACTGTATCGTATTGGAATGCGATAACATCAGTTTACAATATACTGCTCTAAGAAGCTCGCTGTTCTCTCCACTCCCACGCTTCATGCTTCAGCGGCTTCATATTTTGCACTTCAGCTGAAAACCCCAGACGTTCACTTGCTTCTCGGTGCAAGAAGTAGTACGGCACCTTTGACTTCTGCATAAGCTGTGCGCGAGGTCTGGCTCGCACTGCCGGTTCGCCAGGGACACCAACGCCGTTCGTAGGTTCCGTCCGCTTCGCGGCTTGTCTGGATTTGCACTGTTGGAACACAAGCTGGCTGATCTTGTTGAAACTACACACTGGACAAGGCGACTCGCTGGCACAGCGCTTGAACTCCCTCGTGAAAGCCAGCTTCGTCGCAAACAGCGGCATGGGCAGTGCGTTCATTCGCTTCTCGAATTCCGGCACGACCTCCTCTTCAAACACACGCTTGGGGAACAGGTGGCCGCATGTAAAAGCCTTCACGTGAGTCTCCAACGGATCGGTCTTTCCGAGGGCCTGCGCTGAATGGGGGCCGATGGAGACAGCACCATGCGACAGATCGTTCTCAACAACGTTATTCTTCACGAGCTCCAGCAGCTTTAGCGTCGGCGACTCGGAGCTGAGGGAGTCCAACGCCTCGGGATTTTCGTAGTCCTTCTCCAAAAAGGACACGCACACTCTAAAGAGGAACTGCCCCGAGAACGGGAGGTGCTGGCATTTGTGCACCCATTCCTTGTCACGGTCGTCGAATCCACGACTAACGTTCCGCCCACTTGTTGTAGACATCGCCGGCCCACCCGATTCAGCCCCCAAAATCGATGCGACAACGTCCGAGAAGAAGATTTGCGCCAACAAAGACGACACGTGTGTGAACACGTCGGGGTCGATGAGAAATACTTCCAGTACTGTGTGCTTCAGGCCATAGTCAAACCACTTAACTAAAATACGCGCAAGAATGGCGGCACGGACTTGCTCCAAAATGACGTCTGAACTGTGGCTCTGCACAACGAGCGAATTCAACAAACCCAATAGCTCCTCGCGCATCTGCTCCTGGAAGTCGGATTCCTCGGACACAGCACTTCCAATCGAGTCACCTGACTGCTGCCGACGGCGAGTGACGCTATCCTCGGACGGTGTCTCCACAGCAGTTGAAGTCGACGAAATTTTTGCGTTATGCGAGTGCAACCGACACTCAAGTGCTTCCACTAGCTCGCCATGGGCCTCATAAATACAGGCTGCAGCTGTCCAATTCTCGTAGTCCACGCACCGAGACACCATAATAGGCGGTCGATACTGGGCTGCCAAGTCCTTCATAAGCATCTCCAGTTTTGCTTGAGAATATTCGTCATCACTACTGGGTTCTTCGCTCACCAATCCGTATCCAGGACTATTTAGTCGGAGTAGTATCGTGAGAAAGAGCTCGACTTGCTCTTCTGGAGTCACTCGTACAAATTCTGACGTGGAAACATCAGCATGCTTCCCTGACAAAGACCCCTCCGTTGCAGTAGTCACTACAGGTTCACTTCTCTCCGGTTGCGTAGGATCAATCTTGGTGGCAAGCTGGTGACACAGCTCGGGTGAAATCGCCGTTAAATTTCGCTCTATCCAGTCTCGATGCTGAAGAATAGCTGGAGTGTACGCCAGCAGAACTTCCGCTTGGACTTCTATGGGGAAGGATCGTAGAATTAAGCGACTGGACGGGGGGGTGAGCGCAGAAGCGTGCCCCGATTCAAGCAATGAGCGCAATATTTTCTCAGACAAAGCGGAGGCCAGGCCCTCGTGAACGATCTTCTCAAGCACTTGCGGCACCTCATCCCGCCGAGTTGCTACAAGGATGGCTTTGTCCACATGCTGCTGGGATAGACAGAGATCCACAATGTCAGTGGTCATGTAATCACTGTTTGTCTCCAAGAACTCCACAAGCCACGCCTCCCGTTCTTCATCGGTCTTTTCCTGCGATGGTAATTCCGACCCCGCGTCAATATCAGACGATGTATCCTTTTGCAGCTGCTGCTGGAGTACCAGCTCCACCAGCAAGAGTGCGACGCGTCTTCTCTCCGATCCATCGTAGAATGAATCTCGTACAGGCTTGGATAGCACATGCTGAGCATAGTCAATGGCACTTTGCACACCACCCATAGCCGTCAGTTGCTCCACTGCACTGGACGGCACCACTCGCGAGACTTCGAACAGATCGCGCACCCATTGAATAAGTTGGGGATCTCCAGGTGTAGTACCGTCGATCACGTTGGTGTACAAGGTATTCGCGACAACCTGACACAGCGATGCCATGTCGATACCAAGTGCGTAGCCGATAGACAAGGCGTCACGAAGTGCGATGGTGCGTGCACACAATGCCTTGAAAAGGGCCAATCGAGACCATTGCGGGCGGCATTCATACACATGGTGCTTTGTCTGCAGGATGTAGATAATCTCAGCCTCACCCGATTGACCACCAACATTACCGCTCGCACGACTTCGACTCGCGTTTCCACGGCTTCGTGCTGTACTCTGCACTACGCGCTCAATCCTCTCATTGCCGTGTAACGAGAGGTAGTGCACAATATGTGCTTTCACGACGTCTTCGTCCATGCCTTGGTTGGAAGGCAGAGAAACCCACGTAGAAATAGTTTCGTTTGACTTTGACATGCGACCTTGGAGTAGCATTAAGTCCGTCGAACAGTAACTCAGGTCAACGTCGACGACTTCTTCTTTGTCCTCTTCAGTACCGGAGCCTTCCGATCCTTCCTGCTGGTCACTACTTCCACTCCTCCCGCTTCCATCTTGCTCCCCAGATTCAGCGAAAGATGACGGCATAAGGTCAGGAACTTCATACTCACCCTTCAGTCTCCAGTGGAAGTTGGAATAGAGGTTGGCCTTCCGCTTCTTGCAGTCGTACAACGCTAATGACGACTCTGAACTCAGTACACCGTTGATAGGATAGAGACACACCTGCGGCGAGTTCTTCTTGATCCGCTGCGGACGGAAGTCCATGTCTTCCAAAAAGTGCTGCGGGAACGTCTTGACGACAAACTTTGGTGCTTTGGCAAAGCTGAACGGGCTGGACGAACCACCTCCAGTGTTGGTCGTCGTAAAGTTTGTTTCGCTGGAAGACGACGATCCACCAGTCGTCGTCACAATCTTCAGCGCCGACGTCGCATTCGTCGACTCGCTTTCATCCTGTTGTGCCTTCCCCTTGCGTGGCGACACTTTGGGTCTCAGCTGGAACTTCTTTTCCAGCACTACGCGGTAGTACCTGACCCCCGTTCCTCCGATCTCCTTCTCCTTCTCGTCAATCTCGTCCGTCTTGGTCTTGACCAGCATAGACGTCCTGCGCTCCTTCCTGAAGTTCTCTTGCAGCAGATCAATACTAACGATGGTTCCTCCATTCACCAGTTCACATCTACACTCTTCCGCGTTCTCCTCCACATTGACAATGGATATCAAACTCTCCGTGCCTCCTACGAGGCAATAATTCTTGCCGTTAAGGGACCTCCACCACCTGACGCACGTGATGCTTCCAATACCCGGCGCGAACTCGAGCGTGCTCATCTGCTCGTCATCCCCAGCCACCTGCGAGTGGTAGCGAGCTCCGTTGAGGCCTCCGTACTCGTTGGTGGCGCGAAGATACGACGCCATCTGCGTCGTCATGGCCGCCTGGTTGACGCTCATGAGCTCGCGCTGGTGCGACGTAGGCTGGTACGACGCGTCCAGCATGGCGCGCCGCTGTTTGGCCACCAGCGTGAGCACCGGCACCAGGTGCAGGCGGTTCTTGCGCTGCGAGAGCGCCGCGAGCCAGTCGCCCTCGGGGCTGAACTCGAGCGCCGAGAGCCGCTCCGCCTTGCCCGCCTTCTGCTGCTTGGGCGTGGAGCACACGGGGAACCGCCAGAACCGCGTGCGCTGGTCCTCCTCGACCGTGCGGACCAGCAGGAAGTTGGTCTTGGCGTCGGCGGGTCCCGCGGTTACCGTGTCGCCCGCGCCCTTGGAGGAGACGACGGGCCGCGGGAACTCCTCGGCCACGGCCAGCGCCAGCAGCTGCTTCTTCTCCAGCGTGTGCACGGCCATGGCCGCGATATGGAGCGCCGGCACGGCGCCCTTGGCATCCGCGGGCGCCGCCGGGAAGCCGAAGATGCGGCGGATCTGGAACAGGTTGCTGCCGTCGTGCGCCATGCTCAGCTCTTCAAGGGAGATCGGGAGAGTGATTGTCAAAGGATATCTACCCGGACAACTACCGAAGTTACTCGAGTAAGTTTACTTACGTCAGCAAAGTATTGGCCAAAATGCCAACATGTCGCGTAAAGGTTAACTTAGTCGAGAGGTTCGGCACTGCGCCAGTCGTCCATCACCCAGTACGTGCGTGTCATTGTTCAAGTTGCTGGAGACCATGAGCAGCAGCGCCCCGACGACCGACTCGAGCGTGCCCCAGGTGGCGCAGGACGCCGTGCTGGTGCGCTCCGAGGACCTGGAGGGCAAGAGCGCGCACGTGCGCGGCTACGACTTCAACGAGGGCGTGGACTATGAGAAGCTCATGCAGAGCTACGTGACCATGGGCTACCAGGGCACGAACCTGGGCGAGGCCATCGAGGAGATCAAGCGCATGCGCAAGTGGCGCCTGAGCGACGACCCCGTGTCCCCGGACGAGCACGACGAGGAGCGCAAGGACCCGGCCTACCGCGCCACGGTCAAGACCAAGATCTTCCTGGGCTACACGTCCAACCTCATCTCGAGCGGCCTGCGCGAGTCGCTGCGCTTCCTGGCGCAGCACAAGATGGTGGACGTCATCGTGTCGTCGGCGGGCGGCATCGAGGAGGACTTCATCAAGTGTCTGGCCCCCACGTACATCGGCGACTTTGCGCTCAAGGGCGAGAACCTGCGCCGTCGCGGCATCAACCGCATCGGCAACTTGCTCGTGCCCAACGACAACTACTGCAAGTTCGAGGACTGGATGGACCCCATCCTGGACAAGATGCTCGAGGAGCAGAAGACGCAGGGCACGATCTGGTCCCCGTCCACGATCATCCACCGCCTGGGCAAGGAGATCAACAACGAGGAGTCGGTCTACTACTGGGCCTACAAGAACAACATCCCGGTCTTCTGCCCGTCGCTGACCGACGGCTCCATTGGTGACATGATCTACTTCCACTCGTACCGCAACGAGGGCCTCATCGTGGACATTGCCAGCGACATTCGTCGTATGAACGACCACACCATCCGTGCCCCCGGCAAGACCGGCGTCATTATCCTTGGCGGCGGCATGGTGAAGCACCACATCCTGAACGCCAACCTCATGCGCAACGGCGCCGACTTCGGCGTGTTCGTGAACACGGGCCAGGAGTTCGATGGCAGCGACGCAGGCGCGCGTCCCGATGAAGCCATTTCGTGGGGCAAGCTGCGCTTGGACTCGAAGCCGGTCAAGCTTTACGCCGACGCGACGCTCGTGTTCCCGCTCATCGTGGCGGAGACGTTCGCCAAGGAGTTCCACGCTGAAAAGAAGGAAGAGGAGGAATCAGCAAAACCAAACAAGAGGGAAGCGAGCTGAGCGGAGCTGCTGACCTGATAGTGAAGGGCGCGCCGCGCACCACCACGTTGTACTCTTTATCTACCAGAACAACTTCGGATAGATTTCCTTGTATTCTCCATACAGTTTTTATCATCTGAACGAACGAGCACCTATGTCTTGACAAGTGACTGACCATTGCCGTTGCGGATGTCGATTGCGGGTCGTTGAGCAGCAGTAGGAGAAACTGGGCCGTTGGGGAACACCGCCTTGCGAGGCACGCAAAGCAGCTCCTGCTCCAGGTCGCCGTAGAAGAGTTCTTGGAGGACGTTGAACACCGTGTTCTCCATGACACCCGAGATGATCGCCTGGCAATCTTCATTCTGCCGAGCTTTGTGGTACAGCGCTTCGGGAGACTGAATAGCCTTAGCTCCTTCCGAAGTTCTTGCGTTATCAAGTGCTCGATCAGAGCGCGGCAGCGGCTTGAGTTGGTCTTCGAGGGCCTCTTGAATGGCGCTAGATGTCAGCACCTCCATCACCAGAGTCTCCATCACGTCGTACAGGACGTCACGGCATTTTGCAGAGGCAGATTCGTCTCCGATGACGGAAGCTGTGGCAGTACCGGGCTTGGCGACTGAAGATCTGCCGCTCTCGATGCGTCCTCTGCTGTTAGGCTGCGTCGAGGACGAAGCTATGCTTCTACCCGTCCTGGCTGGTGTGCTTGTGTCTCTTGTGCTAGGCAACGCCGGCGTTTTCACGTCTCGAACTGACGGTGCGGGTACTGGAAGGACACGCGGGATCTGCTTTGTTGTCGTAAGTGGCAGCTTCTTGAGCGCTTCACGTGGATAAATCCTCTCCATCACTTCAAGCGGCAGAACATGCGCGTATATCCGCACGAATAGCGGTGTCGGCTCCATGGCAGCCAGCATCTCCAGTTGACGGCTGTCACTACTTGACATTGGGCCACTCCGTTCTGGTGACCCCCTTCGTGTCGATTGCGATGGTGCTTTGCGTGAAGTACCTTGGCTGCGCTGGGCAATTGGTGAAGGTGATTGTGTATCAGGAGACTCATTGCTGCCCAATGCCGACATCTTCGTTGCGGGGATGCTGCGCTTATCAGCTACCGCCTCTTGTGTTGCTATCGATCGGTTGATAACGGAAGTTCGAGGACCAGAGATCTTGCTGTCGTTGTTCCCTCGATAATTCGATGAGTTCCCACTCGATGGATGTCCCTTCAAGCGAGTCGGGCTGTTGGTAGCAGCGTTGTTGCTGCTGCCATCCTTGCGATCATCTCTATAGGTGATCATACAAGCCACGTCATGGTTCACCACAAACGCATCACCTCCGGTGTGAACGCTGACGCGAATAAGCGCTTTCTCTCCTGGACCAAGCACACCACGCTTAGGCGAGAAGGCAATCGTTTCATTCGCGACGAGGGGGTGCATACTATCCCACTCAAACACAAAACTACGGGACGACGCCAATGCAGGATCTCCAGGAACGAGATTTTGCAACACCAAAAGCTGGTTAGCCTCCGAGTGCATCGCAATGTGACCAAAGTCAATGCAGTCCGATACGAAGCATGCTGGGAGGTCAGGGATGCTCACAACCTGCTTTTTCGGCGGAGCCGTGGATGCCCTCAGCTCGTCTTTCATCTGTTGCAGAGTCCACTGCTTCGGATGGTACCCCGTGGCCACAACCGTAATCTCCACTATCTCCTTGTATCCTTTACCCATCAGGCCTTGTGCTTTCAGAAGTAGAGGAACCTCGATAATGCCCACCTTAATCGGATTAAACTCAATGTCGAGGAAAATCGAGTTCTTCGCAGGGATAATCTCAGAGCTGCTACCACACGCAAGCACACGGTAGCCATAGTTGGCAGCGTTCACTTGCTTAAACGACATGCTTCCAACATCCAAACGCAGGGCACTATCACCGCGGTTAAACACTTCGATTTGCTGGACTGGTGGACGGCCCATTTGAAGATTAGTCGATGTCTCGTGTTGATCACTGTAAAAATTGTCGTTGTCTTCGCCTGAACTTGTATGTCGGGCCAAAGCAGGTGGTGGCAGGAACCCACGCCGGAACTCACCGATAGTCACAGGAGAGAGGTGAAAGATATGCGTCGGAAGGAAAAGCTTGGGGTCTTTGTGAGTGAGCGTCCTCCCCTGTAAATCCAACACCACTTTCTTGCCTCTGTCCACTTCTAAGTACAGCGGGAGGTCGTGCTCGCCATCGTAAGCCTCCGATGTGTATGAGTACGATAACGTGAGGAGGATACTCTGGTGCGGGAGTAACGTCGCTCGGCGAGGTGAAATACCAAACACTTTGCTGTCGATGATGGCGTTCAGACGCACCTCTTCCGCCGATGGCGCGCCGGTCTCCGCCCAGTGCTCGATCTCTACGTTCCCCTCTTTGGGGTAGCGCAGGTGATACTGCACAACGAGACTTCCGGGGTTACGCAGCTTCAAAAAGACCCTTTCGGTTCGGCTACCCAACGGAGCTGGAGAAAAGGGTATCACAAAGCGTTTGAGAGAGAATTCTTCTCCGAGATCATCGGACTCTGGAGTGCTTGAGTCCATAGCCGCTGTACTGCGGCCCATTCTCTCCTCCTCTTTAGTTAAAGGTGCCGCTAGGTACTCGTTGAGCTCGTTGCATTGGAATTGGTGCCACGCGAGTTGCGTGGATAGTCCAGGCACACGTAAATCCTGGATCTCGACGGTTGGGAAGGAGGCCTCAGCTTGAATAACGCACGTAGCTTGCTTGTGCTGGAACCCCCAAGTGTCGTACGGGGACGACGTTGGGCCATTGCCAATAGAGCACGAAACCTCGAAGGTAAATATCCCCGCTGATGTAGGAAAGAATGTTGCTGTAATCTTCTTCCGGGACTGCGCTGGGATGCATCCTTGGGCTTGTGAGAAGACCAGCTTACCAGCGGGTGACATCGGATTTTCATCCTCTGTATTGTCGTCTTCCTCGTTTTCCCCACTTTGGTGGCCTACGCTTCTATGGGTTTTCGAGATCAGTGTTTGCTCCAGTGAGTACATGAGGTCGCAGTCTGCAGTATTCTCGATGAAGAACGACTGCTTGGCATTGGAGTTGACGAGAATCGTCTCAAACTTGAGTACCTCCGGTTGGAATAGGATTGCGCCCGTAGTACCCTTGGTTTGCACTCGAACAGTGAGCTCCTGCAAAACTGGAATCTTTGATCTGGTACTTTTCTGCTGGTCCAACGGCATACTGATCGACTTCACGGCAACCAAAAAGCGACCAGCATACTCGCGGATGTCGTCAGGCGTGAAAGAGCACTCGATCGACGCAGTCTCTCTGCCGTTGAGGCGGCCAAGCTTAGGCTTGACTCGAAAGACGTTGTGATACTTTGCAGGCAGCTCCCAGCGGTACACAAGAGGAACTCGAGAAGTATTGATCAACTCGACGTGCCTCACAGACAGGAGGCCGACGGCGGTTGGCTTCACATATACTTTGGCCTCCGATGGTAAGAGTTGACCAGCTTCAATGTCCTGGAAGCTCAGCTGTGGTAGAGCGCAAATGGCCGAGAGCTCGATAACCTCTGGTTTCGCCCGCGCATTGTTGACTATACATTGCAGAAAATGCGAGTACTTCCGCACGTTGCGCGGAGTGAACCGAATTGCAACCAGGTGAAAGGATTTCGCCTCGATGTAGCCGCAACTTGGTTTACACGAAAACACTTCAGCTGGGTCTTCCACAAAGGCGAATAGTGCCGGCGTGTCACTAGCGTTCTCAATCATAATTGTTTGGAAGACACTGTCTCCAAGGTAGCATGGTGGGAAGTTCACCTTGTTCTTCATCAACCGGAAGCTGATCTTTGGGAGAAACTGTTCTGTCGGAGAGGCAAACGTGTTACCGCAGGTTTTAGCCACCATGCACCACGGAGGAGTAAACGTGTCCACATTTACGAGTCGAAACGTGCGGTTCGACTTGAATGACGCAAATGCCTCCAGCTCGGCAAAATAGTACGAGTTGACTCGGGATGGCTGGAATGCTACACGGAACTCTGCAGTGGCCCCCGCAGCGATGTCACTGCTAGATGGGAAGACCTGAAACACCGATTGATCATCGTTCGTCTCTGTTGGCCCTGGCGCCACAGCCACTCGCCACGAACAAGTCACCTTACTGTGTGTGTTGTTCGTTACAAGCAGCAGCTTCTTAGACGGGAATTGAACGATACCACAACTGCCGAAGTCGAGCAGCGCACCAACCACAACCACCGGGTTGGCCTTATCCTCGATACTGATGAAATATTCACTGCAGACGTCGACTTCAGCTAACGAAGCTTCGCCGCTTCTCGTGAGGATTCTACTGGGTGGAGGAAGCTCCGATACGGACGACGCATCATCACCGGCAGCTGATAACTCTTCAGCCTTTGCCAGCTGCAGTGCACCCTTAAGAAATAGCGCGTCGCCGTTCTCTTCGTGGTACGTTTCCAGTTGATCAGGTGAGAGGCGACCAAGACCAGCTGCAACACGGAGGCGATACGCGTCAATGTGGGCTTGCTGGAATGGCGACGGGCGTGTTTTCTCATCATATCCGGTCCCCAGAACGTCCACATATCGAGTACTTTGGTTGTGCACTAGCAGAAAAAATCGTCGGTAAAAGTTACCGGAATGAGGCGGCGAAAATGAAATCGTGACGTTCAGGTCCAAAAACGGCGGGATCTTCCCAGTCACTCGGTCAAACCGGAAGACACCCTCAGCTTGAGCGTCGAAGTGAAAAAAGATCTCCATGGGCGACTCATTTCGCAGAGTAATTGCCCTTGAAACTACATTTCCACCCACAGGCACATCTTGAAAATTTACCGACCGCGTAGGCACGAAATTCGACTCCAGATTCTTTCGCCAAATGCTGAGCTTGGGCCCAATCGCTCGCCCTTTGCAGGTGACACGGACTCGGTTCCCACCAGGCGTGAAAATGTCAAAGTGGTCGCATGTGAATGTGCCAGCGCTCAGCGGGGTATAGCGCACCTTTATAGCCACTGTTGATTCGGCCTCTACAACCCCGCTAAGCGGCGAGAAAAAGAAGCGAGGGTCGTGATCACTCTCCACGTTCTCGATAGTAAAACTAGCGCGCACAAGCGAGCGATTCCTCAAAATGAACTCCTTCTCCGTCGGAGCACGGCTCGTGTTAGGTGCACCCACCAGCACTTCACCAAAATTGAGCTCCGTCTCCGAGGCTGACAGATGCGTGAACTTGCTGATCCCGCTGATCTTCATCATATCCACGAGCGCCTGAGCTGGTGCGAACGACTCCTTGCTATCTGGCTGAAAGTACCAGCAAACAGAGAAACCTTAGTAGAAACATTCCTCATTCCTAGAGAAAACCTTAGTAGAAACATTCCTCATTCCTAGCCTCCTCCTCGTACCTTCACCGTGCAGGCTGTAGTCGTGACGTACACGGATGCGCTAGTAGGACAGAAGCTCGCGGTGAGCTCGATACTGGCCCCTGCCTTGACCCTCCCAGACTGAGGGCGAACCGCGAACGGGCTGCCATGCTCCCCCGCGGCTGGCACTTTCCAGTCGAACAAGGCGTCGATCTGCCCGCAGTTGTGCAGCGTAAAGCTCTGCAGCGTCGTCTCCTTGGTCGGACAGAAGCCAAAGTCGATGCCGTGCGGGATCTCAACCTTGAGCGCGGCGATACGCGCGATGACGGGCACCCGGAAGTGTCCGGAGACAGCCGCGACTCCGCCCTCGATCACGTGAACGTGGAAGCCCACGAAGTCGTCGTACTCCTCGAGTTTAACTGGGCGGAACGCCACCTCCAGCGCCGTGAGCATGCCCGGGCTCAGGGTCATGATGGTGGGGAAGTTCATGCTGAAGTACTTGGTGCGCGGCAGCTCGTACTTGAACTTGATGGTGCGTTGTGACACATTGCGCACCGTGAGTTGGTGCACGTGCTCGCCGCCTGGCGCCCACGACCCGGCCTCAAAGCGGATGGCATCCCCGCAGTCCAGGCCGTACCGGCGACGCTGTTCCACGCGGTCCAACACGGGCCGCGGCTCTGCCTTCTCCATGGAGTTCAAGCGCTGTTGTGAATGCGACCGCTCATGATCCGGCGGATCTCAGGTGGCCGGAATATGGATACACTGTCCCTCGTGAATCGTCATTGCAAGCGAGACCCATGAAGCGTTGGAGCGGAGAGAGCAACGAGCGCCGTGGAGACCCATGAAGCGTTGGAGCGGAGAGAGCAACGAGCGCCAAGAGTGCAAAGGTTCATGATACATCGTGTTGTGCTTTAATTGACGTCTTAAGTTAATGTGCGTCTGTGCATGTACACAGCAAAACTGGAGAAGGGGACGCGGCTGGCTGAGGTCAGAGTCGCTTATCTTTTGCGCTTCTTGCCACGCTTCGCACGGATGTCGGCGTTACGCTTGTCGCTCTTCATACGCGGGTCGACCAGCTTCACCTTGCCCTTGCCAGCCTTCTTGCCACCAGCGGTCTTGGTTCCGCCGCGCGTCGACACGACGTAAACCTTGCTCTCCTTCCGGAGCTTGGCACCCTTCATGGCACGGTCGATTGCCTTGAGTTTCTCGCGCGTCGACATGTCGGGCAGGTTGGCAATGTCGGTAGCCTTCTTCTTCGCAGCCTTCAACTTCTTCATCTGCAGTCGCTGCTTGCGGCCACGAGCCTCGCCCACCTTCTTCACAGGCTTCGTGGCCATCTCCATGAAGCGCTCCTTCATCTGAGCCAAGACGTTCTTGGGAATGGGAATCTGCGGGCGGTAGTGTTTCTCCTCGTCGTCTGCGAACCAGTCCGGAAGAGCTTCCGAGTCGTTCCACGCGTAGCGGTTGTAGCTGGCATCAATCAGGTCCTTCGCCTTCGACTTCTGCACCATCATGCTGGCCAGAGCGAGAGTCTTGGCACGGTCTTCAGCGTCGTACTCTTCGTGGTCCGAGTCGTACTTGCGGTCGTCCATGACGGGCAGAGCGTTCTCATCAGGCTCCTCACCAGCAGCCACAACCTCGAACTTGTCCGAGGAACCGTGATCGCCCTTGAGAGCAGCGCCCATACCCGAGCGAATCAGGGACTTCTTCTCAGCATTGGCCTCGTCATCGCTCTCTTCGTCAGCTTCAGCCGCCATAGCAGCTTCCTCATCCGAATCAGCGGGCGCAGCAATGTCGAACTCAGTGCCAAACTCCAGCTCGTACTCCTTCTCCTCCTTCTTGAGCTTCTTAGCAGCACGGCGCTCCTTGCGCTCCATAGCAGCCTTGCGCTTGGCGTGGCGGATCTCCTTGTCGGTCTTCGGCATCTCGGGCAGAGTCAGGTCTTCCTTGTCGTCGATGCCGTCGAACAGCTTGTTGTCCGAGAACCAGCGAGACACTGCAGCGCTTGCCTTCTCGGGGACCTTCAGCGACACGTTTAAGTCTCCTTCATCGTCGTCACTCTCATCGGAACTCTGTAAAAATGATGTCAAAAGTTAGATCGAGGTTCATGATGAGCAGGTAAACGCACGAGTGTGGCATTTCGGATGCACAAAGGACTACGTCTCCGTAGTACCCCGAAGGGTCTAGAGACGCGGTCAGACATGATGGCAATCCATGTTGCTATCCCCCATTTTTGACAACTGAACAAAGGTACTGAACGACCCGGAACAGATAACACGGATGGGGGAGCCACACGCGCACACAGCAACATCCAAGTGGTACATACCTCGTCGGGGTTGATCATCTGCTTGTACTGCTTCATGTCGCCGTCGAACATCTCGCTGTCCTGAACCAGAGCCTCGCCGGCGAGAGCACGCTTCGCGACCTTGGTGCGCTTTACAGCCTTGCGGGTTTTGACGTCATCACCGCGACGAGTGAGGAACTGCTCGTACGCCTTCTCCATCGAAGCCTCAAGAAGCTCGTCGTATTCGGCATCACTGTCCTCAAGACCAGCGTCCTGGTCTTCCTCGTCCGAAGTCTCAAATTGAAGCTCCTCGTCGTCGGAAGAGTCGGCACCGACGTTGTCGAGGTCGTCCACCTTGTCCTTGGACATCTTCAAGTCCTTCAGGCTGAAAGCCGACTCAGCTTCGGTAACGTCGATGCCCTCAGCGTCCATGCCGAGTGCAGCACGAATCCGGAGCTTCTGCTTGCGTTCACGCTCCTGTAAAGTTCAAAGAATCACAACAGTTAGCTCGAAGCTCAACGACACTTTCAAATGGATATGCATCACATGCAGTGCACTTGGAATGTCTGAACACAAGAACGGTTGAGAGTTTTATGGTTCGGAAAACCTCAACAGCTGAAGGCTGCAAGTTAGTGTAGGCGGCTTCAATAGCCGGTCTGTTCAAGGACCAATCCGACCAAATGGAATTGGAAGGGGCTTTGGATTCCCGCCAAATAAATAAATACATACAAGCATACAAGCCCAACTGAGTATGTCCAGCCCAAATCGACCGTCATTCGCACTGAGCAGCGAAGATAGGATAGGGAGCCGGGACTTTCATATGGGCGCTTAACGGGAGTCGGGAGGGTTAATCCGCAACATGTCAAACGAGAAGATATGACAAGGACTACTGGGATGCGCCCACGTGCACTCAACATGCAATATACACACATACAGCAATCGACACACGCTTACCTTTTTCTTCTCGCGCTTTTTCTTGGCCTGCACGGTGGCGCGCAGCTGAGACAGCTCTTCGCGAACGAGAGCGTCCTTCTCTTTCTCTGTGAGCTCACGCTCGGGCTCCTTCGACTCCTCCTTCGGCTTTTCTCCCTCATCATCATCTTCGGGCTTTTCAGCCTTCAGCAGCTCCTTCTTGTACTTCAGCATACGGGTACGCCACTTCAGCAGGTTCTTGAAGTCGGCCTTCCCAAGCACCTGTAAACACATCCAGTCAAAGTTAGCCACTTGATCGAAGTCATAGATATAAATGTGATATCAGTGACGGCTTCGGCTGAGAGAAGAATCAGACTGCACAAGGGCAGTTGACAGCAACGCCACACACTGGCTTCCGGTGGGTTTTCCCGAAATTAATCAGGCGCCGGAACAACAGTGGGGCTCAGACAATATTCAGCTTTGAAATCTTCATTTCCTTCTCTCCAGCCGAGTTTTGTCACCGGCACAATATCATCCAAACATCCACCGGTACATACCTTGAGGTCGCTCAAGCACGTCACAATCTCATCGCTCGTGTCCTTGTGGTCACGGTACACGTCGTCCTCGGGTAAGAACTTGATCTTGGTCGTGTCGGTCAGTAATCGGATCGGATCGTGCGCGTCGATGAATTGCGTCACGCTGCACTCGTTGGTTAGGGTCATGCCCAGAGCCTCATCGTAACCTGAAGATCAACCATCATAACCACAGTTAATATCTTTGCTTTTGGATCACCGTGGATGATATACACAGCATGCAGAGTAGAAATGTCATAGATCATCGCCCCAAACTGCAAGCAAAGAGCAGCTTCCCCCTCCCGAAAGATGGTTGGCAGCATGTGCAGGCACTGGAAACGCTTGATATTGCTCTTGGCTACAAGTAGCGCTAGTGACCAATGGGGACAGGCCACTAGAGACTCTAGAGAATGCAGCCGATACATGCAGAAAATATACAGATAAATAGACAGCAACATACCTTCACGGTGGCGCTTGCGGTCGCCGAACTTGGGGTGGAAGATCGTGATGGTCTTTTCCTGCGCGTCCACCTGGTCGAAGACGTACTTGGGGTCGAACAGCTTGGGGTCGATCGAGTGCGGGGCCAGGAACTGCTCGCACACGACGAAGATCTCGGCCGACTCGTTACGCGACGACAGCGGCTTGGTGGCGCTCACCTTCTTGAACAGCTGCTTGAAGACCCAGAGCAGCGCGTTGTAGTCCTGCGAGCGGAAGACCTTAGACACGAAGGTGCCGCCGCGGCCCATGACGTCCACCGCCAGCTTGAGCGCCACCAGGGCCAGCTCGTTCTGCACGTACGCGTCCTTGGAGTACTCGGCGCCGACGTTGGGCGCACCGTCGCAGAGCACCACGTCGGCCTGCCAGCTCTGCATCTCCTGCTTGATGATCTGCCGGCAGCGCGTGGTCGTGATGTCGCACTGGAACGTCTTGACGCCGCGGATGGGGCGGATGGGCAGCAGGTCGATGCCCAGGATGATGCTCGAGGCCGGCATGTACTTGGCCGCCACCTGGCACCAGCCGCCGGGCGCGGCACACAGGTCGATGCACACCTTGGCCGTGGACAGGAAGTCATACTTCTTGTTCAGCTGGATGAGCTTGAAGGCCGAGCGCGCGCGGTAGCCCTGCTGCCTGGCCAGGTTGTAGTACTTGTCCTTGTCATGCTTTTTGCGCTTCACCATGGCGTCTAGTGCGCAGAGCGGCGCCGATTCGCGAATGACTGGGCTTCCTGGCTCGCGGCTGGCGGGCTAATGCACGCCAACCAACGAGCATACTGAAGCCAAGTGAAAACGCCCGTGGCTCGAGGTTTAAAGGGAAAAACCTCGGGTTCTGGGATACATGTGATTGGTTGAAGAGAGGAGCGATCGCGCCTGGCGATTGGATAAATTGTGCGTTTAGGTAGAGCGGAATGTTTGTAGCGTTTTGAGATCGGAAGTTGAAGCGTTGTATGTCGCCGAGGACGCGCGTGTTGGACGGGTATCATGAGCTCACGCGCCTGGAAGCCACGCGTTGTGTGACTACAGCACAACTAGAAGTTTACGGCTTCAAGCTCCTAACAGAGGACGGCTTGGTGTCGTGCAGCCCGGATAAAGCCGACGCCGCCGTCGGTGCGTCATTCACAATGACCAACGGCAATATCAAGAGGGCGTGGAGGTGCCGCAGTTGTGCATTATAGGTGGATCTGGTCGACGTTGCATGCAGCGAGCTAGGCTGTGAGCTGGTTGTAAACACTGTAATATATCCACCAAAGTCCAAAACCATCAGTTTTGATCAGTCATACCAAGAATCGCCGCGTACTTGTGCGTCATCCTTGAGGAGCGTTCGTCGTGAATATCGGTGAGAAGGAGTCGGTGTCTGAGTTGAAGAAGGTTATCAAGACGAAGAAAGCCGCAAAAACGAAAGACGTTGACGATCCCGACAACCTGCAGATCTTCCTGGCGAAGACGGAACTTCCGTGCTTCGCATCAACGACGCCGCCTTCCGTCACGGAAGGCGGTCAGTGGCTCTCGTCGAAGGACCCCGATGTGGATTTGCTGCTAAGTGGGGCCATTCCCGAGCGAGTGAAGAAGACGTACCTGAACAAACAACTGAACGCAGGCGTCGAAATTGACCACGTATTTGGAGGTGCTTCGCCGTCCAAGACAATCCACGTGCTCATGAAGATTCCAAAGCCAGAGTGGAAAGCAGCGGTCGACACTTCGTTCTCGCTGAACAACCAGTCGCTACATTTCGTCAACCAGCAACAAGCTATCGAGCAGCTCTGCCGAGTTCACGAGTCTGTGTTCATCGGCACCTCAGGTCCTCGGGCAGACACGTGGCCCATAGCTCTGGCGGATAACGACTTCCGAATCGAGCAGACTCTGTTTGGGATGGAATACATCCGTCGATGCCGCGGGCAGTGGCCCCAGTTAGGTTTTGTTAACCAAGACTTCAAGACGTCTTTGTGTGCGAGTCAGACGATCAGAGTGGCCATCGAACCGAAAGTTTTCGTGGACGCGTCGAAGTCTCGGGGTCAAAAGTCCGTTGAGCTTGCTCTAAAGGGGGCCATGAACGCCGCTCTCGTCCGTGCTGTAATTTCTCGCTTGGATGAGACGGGGGAAATATCGTCACCAAGATAGTGAGAGAGTTTGGACCGGTGTTTATCGTCCTCGACGGGATTGGGAGGGGTTTCCAGTTTGACCAAGGCGACGATACCAGCTTTGACGTCGAGAAGAAGTCACGCGGCCTCTTTTTGACATTCTGCTCGAAGTGTGTTGGATACCTTACTTCTTGTTGGTGGGGAATGCGCCGTTTCTTCGGCATGTGAAGGAGCGCAATGGCCGCAGATCTCAGCAGAGGTTCGTTCGCCTGAGTGGGGTTGACGGTGGAGAGCTACAGCAATAGTGCGTTTGAACCTACGGATCGCACGATGAGTGTGAGGGTGTGATCATCGGCAACGATCGACAAAGCTTGCACATGGCGAGATGGCTCACGCTTTGCTTGTCTGTTCTACGAACTACGGTACGATCCAAAGCTTCGGAGTCGTTCAACGGCGGAAGTGCGTGGAGCATACGGATTGGATGTAGGAAGTACAAGGCCGTAGTAGTATTGCTAACAGAGGTCAAGTTGAAGCGAACGGAGCCAACGTTACGTTACGTTATGTCGCTGCGGGCTTGCGCACCAGCACGCGGTCGATGAGGTGGACGTTGGATCGGTCCGTCGTGTTGAACTTGGCGTCCAGCGACGGGTTCTCGAAGTCCAGGCGCAGCATGTTATCCACCTTGGTCACCAGCGGCTTCCAGTAGCTGGGGCGCGTCCACTTGAACGACGGCAGGTCCCTCTCTAGCGATGCGCGCGGGCCGTTGCCCCCACTCCACTTGGGGTCCCTGTAGATAACAGCACGGGGTCAGTCACAGAACGGCGAAGTCGCATAAGATGCGTGTTTTGGGCGTACCTGCACCAGCGACGCGGCATCTTGTCCACCCCGAAGGCGAAGATCTCGAGCCGGCCCTCCTTGTCGAAGTGCAGGCGCAGGAAGTTCTTGTAGCTGGCAATGCGCAGCGACGAGAAGGCCTCGTTGTAGTGGCACCCGAAGATGTTGAGCGACAGGTACAGGTACGTGCCGAAGACGAAGCTCACTACTGGCGTGGCCAGCACCCAGAAGTACGGAAAGACGCTAGCGTAGTACATCCACAGCTCCATGCGTCCAAGGCTCTCGAATCCGGACGCGCAGATCTTGTTGCGATGCAGCGCTACCACCTCCGGCACTGAGCAGTAGCATGGATAATCAGGTTAGCTCATGGCACAGCAAGAATCCAGGCTACAACGTAAGTTCAAGCCACTTGCTTACCGTCGAAGATGGTCATACTGAGTAGCATAAAGTCGTCATACAGCGACGCGAGGCCGAATATGTCGTACTGTCGGATTGCTGAAAAGTCTGGCAGTGTGCTGCTGAAGAAAAGGTAGAGCGAGTGCTCGCCCTCACGCCCCAGCGAGCCGCGAACCGAAGCGACTTCGAGAAGGCACTCGTAAACAAGTAGAATGGTGAAGGCTGCGATGCAGTGGAAAAGCGACACGGCCATACCCATCGCACAGCGCTTCGGCAGTGTCGTGCAGTCCGCGAAGCCGATCATCCCCACTAGCATGCCAATGGAGCACAGTAACGACACGTACGAAGTCGTCACCATGTCGTACAATATGTGCACGAGCTCCTGGCAAAACTGTGCTGCTGCCTCCCAGTACGTTGCTGCAGCGTAAATGGACCCAACAGAACAGCGCGGGAACATAGAGAACACCATGGCAAAATACTAGATTCACAAAACCACACAAGGCTGTTAGTTAGAACTCCAAGATGAAAGCTCATTCAGCTTGTCGTTACGTACCCCGATTCCGCCGATCGCATCAAACCGCCAGTTGATGCGGCGAAAGCCAAACACATTCAGCACTGCATATCGTCTAGGAATCAAGTAGGCAAGCAGTCAGCAGCATAAACCAAATGATACTCAAACCGCACAGCGCTCAATACCTTGATACATGCGCTGGTGGGTAGCATTGCTTGTGTTCGTAAGTCCCGCCGTTTGAAGTCAGGGTCGGACTGGGAATATGCGTGGGGTGCAGAAACGCACCTCCGCCACCAGAGATGATCAAATGCTCGGCAGAGCGTTCACGCTCCGGCTGGGGGGCCGACTGGGCTTGGGCGTCCATGGCAATTCGCTCTTCGGTCGGGATATCATCGTGTTGCTTCATGTGTGGGAAGTGCTTGTGGACTGGGGATGAGAACGAGTGCCTGCGGGGAAGATTAGCTGTCGAGATTTTGGGCCGCGCTGTGTCAAACTGCATGGAGGCCGGGCGCTTCAACGTGTGCGTCTCCTCCACTAACGAGTGTCGCGTGTAGTTGTGAATGTCCCCAGCAAGTCGTACTGCACATCGCCCCTTGAGCACGTTCTCAATAAGGTAGGCAAACTTCGCGTCAAGATTGGATTTGTCCTCGTAGACATCCAAGAGCCATCGCGGTTCGTGAGTGAGCACAATCACCGCGTCATTGGGGCCCATTTGCGTCTGCACCACTCGCTCAAAGAAGCCAAACTGCTCCGTGTCCACGTCGTTTTCTAATGCCAGATCCACGCCAAACAACCACCAGCCATGAGGAAGTTTGATACTGAAGTAACTCGTCTTCTGCGGAAGTAGCCATCCGCCCAGCCAGTCTCGTTGACAGATATACCGCGTGAACGTGTTCAGACCATCAAACCAATCGTGGTTTCCTGGGATCGCGAATACGCTTGGACCTTCGTAGTCGCGCAACGAAGAACAACCATCTGGAGCCTTCTTCCTCGTGGAAATGGCCGATGGGTGGTAACTTGGCGGGGGCTTCATGGCGTATTCAAAGCATCGGAACAGCCGCGTCTCGTACGTTTTGCTGTCTGGGTGTGGGTACGCGAGATCTCCGCCGATCACAAGGGCGTCGCCGCGCGGGAACACGCGCTTGATCGTTTTTGTCTTCGTTTTCTCATTGCTTTCTTGCTCGGTGTCGCTAGACTTATCGTCGGGCACTTCGCAGTCCACCTCCAGTTCTGGCTGGGCAAGCAAACGCGCGATCTGGTAGCTGCTGTTAAAACCGTCTCCACAGTCAGCCATAAAGTCCAGCCAGACTTCGTCCCTGTCAGCTAGGTGGTCGAAGCAGTAGTCCTCGTCGTTTGGATGCAGCGCGCGCTGCATTGTGCGCATGTCGAATCGACCAAGGAAGATCTTGAGCGAGATGAGCAGATCGAAGACGGTGTCGAACAGGAGCATGGAGTACCAGGGAACCATCGGTAGGTTTTGCTCGGGCGGCAGACGCTCGTGGCCGTGCTCTCCCTCTGACAACTCGTCCACTTCGTTGTCTTCAACCTGGTTAGAGAACCACCCAAAAGAAACCATCATGCGCATTCCGCTCATGCGCTCGAGGAAAAAGTTGGTGATGGCGAGGAACATTCCCATGCACCAGATCAAAATTGCGCCACCATAGCTACACGGCAACAAAGCAGCAGCACGTAAGTTCACTACGTCTTCATACTAATTGCAGCAAGACACACACGCCGCTTACCTGCCAGGCACCAGAGTCTCCACGTCCTCCGACTGGACGAACGAGAAGATCTGTGCGCAAGCGTGACTGTTGTACGTCCTCGGTTCATCCGGCGACGCAGCGCAGTCGTACGTGGCATCGCAGTGCACGATCAGCGCCACACAAGCAACACTAATAGCGGCGCTATTGCGCAGCACGTTCATGAACGACCGCGCCAAGCTACAGATGCACAGAAATCCCCATTAGAAACCCCACAAAAGATATAACAATCTGAAGGCATTGAAAACGCACGAGACGTGGGCCACAGTCCACGACAGCCCCAGCCGCTTGGCGATCCGCGAGAGGAAGAGCACCATGAGCACCTCCAGCACGATGAGAAACACGAAGCTGGCCGAGAAGAAGGGAAACAGCAGCGAGATCTGAGTGCACAAACACCACGGGCTCAGTATCGCAATGGCAACAGCGACAGCAATAGCGTCCCAAGTGCCTGGGTAGAATCTGCTCACCGGTTGCTTGATGGTGGAGTCCAGCAGACCCAGGGCGTGCACGGGCGTGTGCAATGCGGCGGCGGAGAATAGCCACGCGTAGAGCACCATGGAGAAGTAGACGTAGGGCGTCCACGAGTTGAGCAGCTCCCGGTTGCCCACGAAGGGGCTCGTGAAGAAGTAGAACGCCAGGTAGATCACCAGGTAGAGCGTGAACCAGACCTACAAGTGCGCATTAGATCGACTCGTTAGCGCTGCGTTTGCAGTCAGAGGTTCCTCCCATGTAGTACGCACCAGCTGGTCCTCCGCCTTGGTGGACTCGACGGCCTCCATGGGCCACCGCATCTTCAACGCGGAGGTACACTTGGTGTTGAACAGGGCAAAAGGTTGGTGCCTTCATTTGCCACAAAGTTGGTACTTTTGGTTGAAATGTGAATCCCTATTTGTGGAGCCTATACAAAATAAAGCTGTTCGATGCTAGCTGAGGTCTGGATACAAAAATGGAGTCTAATTGTGCCAAACGTTGATCGTAAATAGTTTCAGGATCCATTCTGAAACATATCTAAACCTAAAACAAATTTTGGTCCATGTACAGGATTATGTGCATCTAAACGTTACCAAATCTGGAATTTGCGGCACAGATTTTCATCCGAAGAAACCAGCACCCCCAACGAGCAACCTGAGCCAATCTGTACAACACCATAGAAATCCGGGCTGCGAGGTGGCTCAAGTTGTTTTGCTCACCCTCAACAAGCAACCTGAACCACTGAAATGGGTTATTTAGTCAGCCGAGCTCGAAGTGGAACCAAGCGCGATGGCGGCGACCGACTTCCCGGCGGAGTTCCTGTCGCTGGAGGCGGACTTCGTGGACAGCAAGATGGCCATCAACAACAGCATCAGCGACATCCTGCGCGGCGGAGGTGGGCGATCTACAGCGCGTCTCTGCTCTGGGGCGCGGGGTCTTGTAGTGATAATTGATACGGCGACGCTTTGCTAACGTCGGACAATCTTTGCCTCTACGCTGCGATTTCTGCAGCCAACGCCGTCTCCAACGCCTCACAGATCGCGCAGGCCCGCGTGGTGGAGGCTCAGCGCTGTGTGGGTTACGAAGGCTGTGGCTCCGTGACAATTAGATTGGCAATGGGAGTCCTGCTGACTATCTGTGTCTTGTGGTCTGTAGATGAAGCTCATGACGGTGGAAGTGCGCGGCAGACAGCCCAGCCTGCGGAAGGCGATGCAGACAAAGGTGCCGATGCAGCCTTTAAAGATGGCGGATCGTATCCGTTCTTTAACGGCTGATTGTTGTTGGTATGTGCAGATCAATTTGTACCGAGACGAGCTGCAGGGACTCATTCGCGACTTGGAGCGAGCACAGCTGATGGCGCGAGAGGGCAAGATGGCATCTAGCACAGTTAACCAGGTGGGTTAGATACTGCAAGAAGTTCTCCAGTTGCAAGATGAGTGTCGGAGTTTGACCTTCGTGTTGGTGCTGGATCTACTTGAACAGACTTCGCAATACGAGCGCTTGATGAAGAACAACGATCGATTGAACGCGTGAGAACGACGAGCTCTAAGTTGAAAACTCAGCATGCAGATGCTAACGACTCTGGGTGCTTCCTGACTGCAGGTCTTCCAAGAAGCTTGAGGATACACATCGGATCGTCGCGGAGACGGAAGAGGTCGGCATCGCTGTGCTGGATACGCTCGCACAGCAGCGTGAAAGTTTGCTCGGCGCGCACGAGAAGGTCGGTTCATACCCACCGAGGAGGATCTGTCACCTACAAGGGAGTGCTTCCATTGCTAAATGGTTCCTGGTCATGTCTCCTGTAGGTTCGCGAGACGGGGGCAATGACGACCGAGGCGCGACGGATCCTGCAGCGCATGACTCGCCGGATCATCACCAACACGATCGTGCTGTACACGACCATCTTCGTGCTCATCGTCGCCATCTGCTACGTACTGTACGCCGACTTCATCAAAGCCACTCGCTTCTTCTGACCCACCAACGCCCAAATGACAAGAAGAAGAAGGCCGAAACCTTGCAAGAAGGAGGCAGACTATCCAAACCCGCTGCGTAATATTTTGAATTCCTCAACCCCCACTAAAATATTGGTTTCCTGCCTGCTTTGAAGTTTTCGTGCATCGCGTCCCTCCATCGGGGTGGGTGTCCGTTGGTCACCAAGTGTCATAACATGGCGGAAGAGCAGCATCTATCTCGAATAGCGCAGTCCTCTCCGCGCGGGGGCGTCTCGGCTCGCTCCTCCGTCACCTACTCGGGGCGGCAGGTGCCTCTAGTCGACTTGGCCTTCCAGGGAGGCGACGTCAGTGAGCCCCCCGTCAAAATGCCGTCGTCCCGGGCGCGATTCCAGCAGGAGGACGAGTACGTGGCTCCAAGTACCAGTCGAGTGGCTAGTGGAGAGGGCATCCCAGTCTCCGCATTACCTCGAGCTGCTGCCTCTTGGCACGCAGGCAACGGCAGTGCAGCAAGTTACAAGTCTTTACCCCTGGCACAGGACGAGTCTGCGATGATGGAGGCTTCGGACCCCGCACTCTTCCACGCGGCTGTGGAGGAACATGCACGGCGACTGGGGATCGAGCCTACGGTTGATGGGGAGTTCCTGTGGATCGCAAGAGAGTCACTCGTGGCCCCACTACCCGACGGCTGGTACCATGTTACAGCAACCGAAACGGGACAGCCGTACTACTACAACGAGATCTCTGGGGAGAGTCGATGGGACCATCCAAGCGACGACCAGTTCCGACAGCTCTTCAGGGAGATGAAGCAGAAGCAGATGAAGGCTCACGCGTTTCGAGATCCACATCCAGCCAGGTATTACGATGCAGGGGGTGGTTATCAGAGCGGAGTGGCGTGGCAGGAGAACGAGCAGGATCATCGCCAAATGCAGTACGCAGCGCAGTCACAACAAGGCTGGGATCGACGACAAGCGCAAGGCTACTATCAAGGCTACGAGACGCCGTATAAAGCCCCTCAAGCTCAAGTGTATTCCCCGAGGGGAGATGAAGGAGATAGGAATTACCCTGTTGCTGACTCAGAGAGTACGCCCGTGTCGACCGGAAGACAGCAGAACGGCACCCCTAGAGGTGACAGTCAGCTAGCTAGAAAGCTGCAGGAGATGGAGGAACAGAAGACGAAAGACGAGGAGGTTATCACGGGGATGAAGACGGAAGTTGCTGACCTGAAGAGACAACTGGCGAGTCGAGACCAAGCGCTGGAAGCTCTGAAGAGCGAAGTTGGTCAGGTTAATGAGAATCTGGGCGATTTGACGCAGCAAATGGAGGAGCGCACGAAGGAGCGTGATGAAATAGTCGTGGCAAACCAAACACTCAAGAGGGAGCTGTCGCTGGCTCGGTCAGGGATGGAAGGGAGCACCAAAGCGCATGAAGAGCTATTGGAGGAGCATCAGGCAGTGATAAAAGAGCTGTCTCTCGCAAAGGCGAAGCTGAAGGAGGTGCAGTTGAAGCAACGCGGGGAGGCAGAGGACGTTGAGAGCTTGCAAGCTCAACTTTCAGGCGAACAGACTGCAAGAGCTCAGATGGAGCAACAACTGGAGCAAGCTACGAAGGAGCAGTCAGCAATGGCCAGGAAGTTTGAGGCAGCGCAAGCTACGATTCGGAGATTACAAGAAGATCTGAGTAGAAAGCGTGAGACGGAGGAGAAGGAGAACGGAGAGGCTGTTGCCGCCGCCGCAGAAGCAGCCGCAACTGCCGCTGCGACGATCAAGGCTATTGGCGATCAACTGGCTGATAAGGAGCGAGAGTTAGAGGCAGAGCGAGCTCGAGCCTTCTCCTTACAGCAAGAAATTGAGCAGCTCCGATCAAGCCAAGCAGAAGCCAAGGACACACTTGAGCAGGATCTGCAGAAACAACTCGGCGACTCGGTGGCTGAAACACGGAAGGAGCTCGAAGCTGCGAAGGTCAGCTTGACGTCTACGATGGCGGAGAAAGTGGCAGTGGGGAAGCAGTTCGAAGAGTACAAGATCACAAGTGCCGCGCAGATCAGCGAGCTGGAGGATCAGCAGCGCACGCTCAAGCGTGAGTTTCGCGCCATGGAACGCGAGTTCAAGACGCAGCAAGGCTTGTCAAAGGAGAGGGAGGATGAGCTCGCGTCACTGAAGTTAGCGCTGGAAAGCGCCGAGACGAAGCTCTCCTCCGTAGCGCAGACTATCCAGAGGGAACGCATGGAAGCCTTTGCAGAGGCACAACAGGCGGTGCGCTCTAGCTTATGATCTCCGTGTTATGATTCAGGTACTAACTTCCTGCTCGTGTTTTCTTGTAGAGCGCCGAGATCGCCCGCCAAGCAAACGAAGAAAAGGCTCGCGTAGCGGACCTCTACACTCAGGAGATGCTGGCCCGACGGAAGCTGCACAATCGACTGATGGAGCTACAGGGCAACATTCGTGTCTTCTGTCGCGTTCGACCGATCCAGCCCGTTGAGCTCAAGAGCGAGCAGTCCGCACTAGCTGTCTTCTTCCGTGAAAACGACCACGAAAGCCTCGATCTCTTCGTTGGCAGTGAGGCTGGTGATAAGGCCAACCAGATCGGGCAGAAGCACGCGTTCGAGTTCGACCACGTCTTCCAGCCCAACAGTACACAAGAGCAAGTGTTCGAGCAGACGCGTGCTCTGGTGGTGAGTGCGCTCGACGGCTTCAACGTCTGCATCTTCGCGTACGGTCAAACGGGATCGGGTAAGACGCACACAATGGAGGGACCAGAGAACGACCGCGGCGTGAACTTCCGTGCGCTGCGTGAGCTCTTCTCAATCCGCGACGACCGCATGGCAGCCGGGAACTTTGAGTGCTCCCTGAAGCTGAGCATTCTGGAGGTGTACAACGAGACCATCGTGGACTTATTAGAAGGTGGTGGCCGTGCCCCGGGGGCAGCGTCTCCAGCTGCGGTTAAAGGCTTGGACGTGCGGGTGGGCAAGACTGGCGTGTACGTTGAGAACCTGATTGAGGTCGAAGTGTTCAACGAGGGCGACGTGCTTGATCTCATGCGCTTGGGCCACTCGCATCGCAGTGTGGGCTCGCACGACTTCAACGAGCACTCGAGTCGCTCTCATCTCGTGCTGTCCATTACCCTAGAGACCGGCATGAAGACCGACGCTCGGAGACGGACTTCCAAGCTGCATCTCATCGATTTGGCCGGATCCGAGCGTGTCAGCAAGACTGCAGCCAGCGGCCAGCGACTAAAGGAGGCGCAGAATATCAACCGCTCGCTGTCAGCGCTGGGTGACGTGATCGCTGCGCTTGGTGCGAACAGCAAACACGTGCCGTATCGCAACTCCAAGCTCACATTCTTGCTGCAAGACTCGCTGAGTGGCAACTCGAAGGTGCTCATGTTCGTGAACGTGAGCCCTGTGCAATGGAACGCGTGGGAGACGCTGTGCTCGCTCAACTTTGCGTCGCGGTGCCGCAGTGTGGCTTTGGGCCAAGCCAAGGCTGCAACTGCTACTGCTTCAGGAGCTCCGACTCAAGGCAACGGGATGCAAGCGACCATGAGTATGAGCGCGATGATCCCCAGCAGCAATGGAGGCACGCGTGCACCAGGCACGAGACCCGTACCGAGTCGGTGATACCATAGCGATGTTAATCCAATGAAACAAGCTGGACGATTGAGGATAGAACACACTTTTACTTTGCTAATTATATGGAAAGGCATCGCCGCTTACTTTTACATGTTCGTGAGCTCCACCAGCACGGCCTCTACGTCGCCATTGTAGCGCTCCAGCAAGTCGCAGCAGAGCTCCTCGTCCAGATGCACCATGATCCCCCGGAGCACGTCCAGCTCACGAGCCCACCGACTGTCGGTCTCAGCGATGGCCTCCGCACTCGAGTTGTCCACGACGTCCCACTCGCGGTCCTCCTCCTCGTCACACAAAGTGTCCGCGTCGGACTCGTAGGCCATCTGCTGCTCTCCTGCGTCGGCACGGACGAGTGCCGGGGGCTCCTCGTCGCTGCTCTCCTCTTGCTCTTGTGCTAGGAGCGCGGAGGCCTCGGTCACGGATGAAACAGACTGGCGCAGGTCCACAGTCACGGCCACTTCCGACGATGGCAGCGACTGGGACGTCGCGACAGGCGAAGGCTTGACGAATTCCGTCGGGTCGAACGCGCTCACTGGGTCGTACGCGGAACCGCTGGCGGACCGGCGGCGCTCGATGCCCGCTGCAACCGCCGTGCTGGCGCGTCGCAGGCGCGTGCTGACGCCCGAGCGCGCCGATAATAGCGACTCGCGGCCGCGCTCGAGCACTTCGCTGTTGCGGATGTGTTTGATGGCCGCGCCGGCGTGCGAGACGGCGCCGCCCGCGAGTCGCACGAACGAGTCGCGGCCCTTGCCCAGCAGCTCGCTGTTGCGCAGCGTGTTGGTGGCCTCGCGGGCCAGGCGCGCGAGCTCCACGACCTTCTGCAGCACGGGCGCCACCACCTTCTCGCGGAACGAGACGCGCGCCAGCACGCAGAAGTGCAGCGTGGGCAGCTGCTGGTCGCCGGCGCACAGCGCGCTCATGCTCAGCAGCACGTGGCACGCCTCGTCGAACTCGAGCGCGTGCGACAGCGTCACGACGTCGCCCTCCTCGTCGCGGTACACGAGCGTCCAGCAGCGGCCCGCCAGCCGCGGGAACAGCTCGCGCACCGTGTCCAGCACCAGCTCGTAGCTCAGCACGCGCGCCTTGAGGTCCTCGGAGCGCAGCGGCACCGTCACGCGGTGGGTCTCGCCCGCATAGCTCAGCTTCAGCGAGACGTTCTCGGTCATGGTACGACGGGCTTCAATTGGGGTGTTGCAGCGTGTTGCAGTCGACTTGCGCCTCAGAGCGTCTGTTCAAGAATGAGGACATCGATCGGAGGCGCTGGGTTGGGACGGGGATGGTGCAGGAGCCTGCGAGGAAGCGGAGTATGCTTATGACACAGGTGCGGGATAACAGCGTTTGTATCGAGGATAGAGCGGAGACTGAGATCGAGTCTCGGAGGTGAGACCGATGGGATTTGCTTCAAGGTGGACTATGCACTAAGTGCGAACTTGCACCGAAAGGGCGCGGACCCTGTAGCGACAACTGAGACGAGCTCGATAGTGAAACGGAGTTTGGAGAGAGTAAGGTTGCTGGATGAGGAGAAAAGGGGTGGACCACACGAAATTGTTGCAGCTGCTGTTGCTCATTTAGAACTGAAAAGCGCAGCCGATTGGATGTAAATCAGCGCTAATTTGGCGATACGGAGCGCACGCCGCTGATTACCATGGCCGCTGTTTCAGGCAATGCCCTCGCGCACGCCTGCCGCAGCGATCGATCGATCCTGCATGGATCCTGGCCGACCGGCTGGCCGGCGACAGGCAGTCGCAGCTGGGTGCGGCGCGGCTCAAGCGAGCCCCGCGAGAACGTTGCAGTGCGACGCCGCGCCGCTTCAGCTTCAGATATGGACGAAGCCGTGGCTGCGGGCCATTCAAAAATGAGATCGCGCGATCCAGTGAGGTGCCGCCTGCTCCTCAAAGCCCTGCTCGGGAACCTTCCCGGCGGCCACTCGCACGAAATGTCACGGTTCTCAGTCTACAGTAGCTGGCAGGAAAATTGCGAGAAGAGCGCAATGCACTACCTGCACATGTGCATGCATGCACCAAGGCGCTGCAGTTGAGCAGGGGTGCTGTTGATCAGGTTGCTGGCAGCAACTGCAGCAACTGCTGCTGCTATTGTTGGCCGTATCCTGCCACGCTAGCCATGTTAACAGAACACGATCTTCTTGGCCGTCAAACGAGTCGCCGCTGCAGTTCACGTGCCCCTTCAAGAGCAGCCATGTGGACCACATTTTGTACCACGTCACAGATTGATACGCTTGCAAGCAGCGCTCAACGCTCAACGCACCTTCTTCTTGCCAGACCGAGCAGAGCAATCCGGGCCCCTCGTTCCAAGCGAGGCGCCTTGCCCCTTTTGCCAACACAAGAGCCATCTCGCTTTCGCGCTGCCGCTCCCCAGCAGGTTGAGGTTACACACCGCGGCGTGTAACAGCCCCAACACGCAGCTCAAATCTCGATGCAGTGCCTTCGCTACATGTGTTGGCCTCCACAGCACTCGCTGCAACTCGTAGCCAAATGCATTGTGTGTCGTGAACAACGCACCGCGTCAACAATGCACGTGATGGGGTCGCTGTAACGCTGCGAGTTGTGGGCAACGCTGCTCTTTCGTGTGATGCCGTGATGTAGGCAACGCGGCGAAGCGCTACATGCTGCACGCTTGCAATGCAATTGGGAATGGCGTCAAGTAGTAACGCGGCAGCGGATGGGCCCGACGTTCTTGAGTTTCAATCAGCACCGACAGCGCTTATCCACGACCGAATTGGACACTGCTGCGGCTGCACTGCTTGATCGTTGCGCCGATCCTTGGCCTTCGATTCACATGCTCTGGCGCGCTGGCCACACTGCAGCCGCAGAGCACAAAACCAATCGATGCACTCCCAAGCAATTTTCACCGCTTCCACCCGGAGCTAATGGGTTCGTGGACTGCGAGACGCTCGCGGACACTAGCAGCTGCAGGACTGCAGGACACCAGTGATGACTGCGCCGTCAACAGAGCTCGGTCACGGCGACACTAGCCTTAACTGACCCCGTACCCGTCGTCAATGAACGACTGACAGCTGAACCAGGCTGGGATCATCCGCGTTGACGGGCACTCGCCTCAGCAGAGCTTATTGACGGCACACCTGCCTTGCAAATCGCTCAGCCTCTCTAGCAGAGTCTTTTCCGCCGGCCGAGCTCAGCGTCACTGCATCAAGAGCGACTTTGGTCGCCACATGATCGATTCGCCGATTGGCTCGGGGTGATGTCGCGAGGTCGACTTGTTGGCGCCGGAGAACTGTCCATCAAGCTAGATGTCCCAGCCGCTGGAGGCGTCTTCGCTGCTGCTAAATCAGCAACGCACGTGCTATAGGCGGCCATGGAAGCCCCGGAAACTGGTCCGCGTTGAGCTACAGCGTTCTATGATAGAATTTACGGGACTCGAATGCTGTTTCTGCAGTTTTGAGCGAGCGGTTGCCAAAAGGTATCGACAATCAACCTTCAACATCGACATGGCTTGAGGACAACTGCCGTCGAAACCGCTCAAGGTCAATACCCTGCGGTGCATGGGCCTCCCCCGCTGAAGTTCCATCCGCGGCATCCGCCGTAGAGTGCAAGACGACCTACCTGCCCGCCCAGACGGTCCGTGGCCCACGGAGGATCCAACACGGCAGATTCAACGAGAACCTTGGAGCCGACTGACCACATTCTTACTCCGCCGCCACAACGTGTCAACCAGGACACCAGCCGCAACCAGCCTGACCCTCGCTGGCTGATAAGTCCAGCGACTGCAGCCAGCGCCAATCTCGTCGACCGCTCGAGCTTCGCAATGTACTTGCATCATTTTGGTGCGGGGCAACTTTTTCACGTCTTCGGTTGGCAGTAATGATCGGCGGCGGCGGCGTTGAACCGCGGGGGGGGCAAATCCAGTCGCCTGGCAGCAGGCGCTTGCTGTTTGGCCCTCCTCGCTTGAATTTCCCTCGAAGTGTGTGTCCTGCTTTCCATATTCGACGCGGACCGGCATCTAGAGCTTGTATCGAGCCAACCAGAGCACAGAGCCGCGCTTTTTGCTTGCAGTTGTTACAGTTGAAGTTGTACGTTCCCGAAAGATACTTTTTTTGACTTGGCCACTTAGCTGCAACTCGATCCAGGCATTAGCTCCACTGGAGCTGTGCCGCGTTGGTTGCGGTCAACGACGCCACGATTCGCCATCAACGCGCGCTGTCTTACCCGGTCGCCGACCGGCGGTCGGTCAGTTGACCAGATAAGGCGCGTGAGGCGTCTCTCGGCCACATGTGCGCGCCTTGGTCCTGCTGTGGGAAATGAGCCGGAGTCCATGGCTCGAGGACGCAAGCGTCCCACGTAGAAGGCCGTCGTGGCATGACGATGCTGGCCCCAACGGCTGCAGTTCAAGTGCCCGCGCGCGACGCGACAACGGTCCCGAGAGCTTCTCGCCGGTGCAGCTCCAGCTTCACCACCGCCGCGAGCTGTGGCTTCAGCTCAACCGTCTCGGTGTCCTCTTGTCTTTGGGCGGATGGCTGCGCACACATTCGCCGCGTCCTTTTTGCATGGGGCCCATGGACTCCATGATGGAGGAGGCCGCCAACGGGAAGCTCCGGCCGGCCGGCGCCGAGGACGAGCGCGCTGCGTCCAGCTCGCCGCTGTGCAGCGAACTGCACAGCACTGACCAGACCGCGGCCGGAGCGGGTCTCTAGCCCACACACTCGACGGGCACACGCGTTTGTCAAACGAGTCGCTGCCGGGCGTGACATAAAGGTGACCGTGGCCTCCATTGGGCCGGAGCCAAGGTGCTCGCTCTTCACTGTACTGTTGTATGTACATGTGGTTGCACTGGTTGACGAGGGCGTTGGTCCGCCCCACCGGCCACTTCTTGCAGCTTTGCGGCTCATTTTTCTGGAAGACGACCTAACACGGGGCGCGTCACGGCCCGAGCGCTGCCAAATTCACGCGGTCTCTGCGCTCGAAACACCGGATTGTTGCTGAACCCTCCAAGCGGCATGCTGAATCGCGTGTGACGTGTGCTCCGGGCTTCCTCGCCGCCGGCTCCCCCTCTCCGAAACCATCCACACCGGGGGCTGGGGCAGGCAGGCAAGGCAGTGCGCGCTCTCCGCCTTCCCCGTCATTCTTCGATCCGCTCCGTCCCGACCAAAAGCCCGAAGCGCATTCTCGCTTCCTCGGACGCAGCAGTAAGCAGACAGCAGATAAAGCTCAACAGAGACCACCTCACCCCCACCAACCACCGCACCACCACAGAAGTGCCATGCAGCCCAACGGTAGGCGCTACAGCACTGCATTGGCATGGCTGGTTGGTAGACACCGAGGTGCTAACGCTACGCAACGCTATGATCCACAGGAAACAGCAGCCCTTCAGGCCCCGACTACCTTGAGAACTTCTCGCTGCCCGACGCCGAGCTCGCGTCCAAGATCGAGGCGTACCTGGCCGGCATCACCGTGACGGACCACAACCCGGCCATCCTCTTCAGCTGGGACACCGAGGCGCTCGAGGAGTTCGTGCAGGCGGCCAACGCGCAGGCCGACGGTCACCCGCGGTGGTTCTCGGAGCCGCGAGGCAGCGTCTCGCCCAAGTCCGTCATGAGCGACATCATCGGCTACCTGGCCCAGCTGGGCGGCGGCCGCTGCGACCACGTGCTGCTGGCGCCCAACTCGCTCATCCAGTACGGCCACCTGCAGGAGCGGCTCCAGTACATGCAGTACGACGAGTTCATGCAGAAGTGCATGGCCAACGTGGCGCCCGGCAGGACACTCGCGCGCACGTTCGCGCTCACGGTGCCGTCCATCGACCGCGCCGTGCCCACGCAGTGCCTCCCGCCGCCGCCGCCGGTCCGGCAGCTCTTTGAGTAATTGACAGTCTCCTCCCTCCATCCCATCCCGTCCCCACCCTCGGCCCCGTGGTTAGTTAGAGTTTTTGTCTTCGTCTCTGCATGTTTCTCTTTCCACAACTCCCTGGACGAGGCCACGACCCCATGGAGTACGGTGCAAGGAGGAAGAAGAGCGTGGGTCGGTCGGGTCAGCGGGGTGCACCAAGCAGAGCCCAAGCGCAGCAGACATGGATGGCAAATCGCCTGTCCAAGCTCGGGAAGCCGCAACCAGCTCAAACGCCAAGGCAAGTCAGCCAAGCCAGCCACGCCAAAGCAAGCAGAATGTCATCGCCGCGTCGCCCACGCCCCCTTCTCCTCGCACCCACGAAGTAAACTATAATGCAACAAGTGCTAATAAATGCGCCGCCACCATAACACTAAGCTTACCTCAGCATAGCTGCATTGCATCCGTCGTGCAGTCTGCATGACGCAGGAGGGATCCCCGGCTTGGCGACAATATCGGAACACGTACGTGGTCCTACTGTCGAATCTTATTCGGCTCCGATGGCTACATTCTACGGTTTCAACACCTAGCAGGCATTGCCACAGTCAACGCACTGCCAATGCGTTGGACCAGCAAGCAAGAATCACCATGAAGGCAGCCTTCTCTTCACGGCAGAGCACTCCATATCGGTCGAAACTGCCTTCGGGGGCTCGCTGTGCTTGTCCTTGGCGCCCTCATCGCCCCGATGTTGCAGTTTGGACTGACTCCAATCCAGTCAGAAAAACGGTTCAGATGAGTCACACTGATGTGCTCCACATCACCCACTCATCCGAGCGGGGCGGACACTTGATACCGGTATGCTGGTGCTGCGGGTGCGCTGCGTGGACGACGGCCGCGAGCTGCTCGTGGAGCGCCACGGCGCCGACGAGCACAGCGTCCTGGTAGCTGAGCTCAAGCAGCTCGTGCTGCAGCAGCGGCAGCGTCTGCATAACCCACAGGCTTCCAACCTGGAGGAGTGCTTCGTGCTGCTGCGCGGCCAAATTCTGGCGGACGCGGACGTCGTGGACCTGAACGCCTTGTGCCCCTCGGACTTCTTCGTGTTTGCAGTAGACGCACCGCAGTCCGGCGGTGGACCGGCCTCTGGCAGTGAAAGGCAACCGGGTGAGGCAGACGCCGCCACCTTCGAGGTCTTGTGGTCTCAGCTCGTGGACATGGGCTTCTCGTCCGAGCTGGCGGCTCAGGCGCTGCGACAGAGCGGCAACAACCTCCTGGACGCTGCGGCGTTGCTGGCAGAAGGGAGAGTTAGTGGGAAGGGGCCGATGGAGGACGAGAAGGAGCCCGATGTGGTGGCAACACACCCATCGATTGCCCCGCTACGGAGCTTAGTGCATGACGAGAGCATGACGACGCTCCGTGAGCTGGCGGCGACAGATTCGTTCCAGGCGCTAACGCTGTTGAAGGAGCAGTTCTCGTCTGAGACGCTCAACCAGCTCAACGAGAACCCGGTGGCGACGCTGCGGCTCTTGTCGCTGCCGGTTTCCACCCGGACGCCTTCTTTGACGGCAGAGCAACCGAAAGTTGGTGGAGAAGAAGTTATTGATGTTGAAGCTATGGGTTGGGAAGACGCACCGAGAGGGGAAGCGAGCGGTGCCATCGATCGGGTGAGGAACAGTGGGTTCTTGAATCAATTCTACTCTCAAATTGCTAACCTTAACTCCTCCATGGTGTTGTGTACATGCAGCTCACTGAAATGGGCTTTGCTCGAGACCTTGTAGAAGTTATGTATGAATCCTGCGATGGAGATGAACAAGCGACAGCGAATGCACTACTGCAGACCCTGGAATCCTGAGAAAGCAGGTGTAAGTTATCTTTTGGCGGAGCTTGGTACGCACAAAGCACTGCCTCGTGCTTGCCTAATTTATATGATCAAGTCAACTTGTGCTTGCTATTGATCTTCGTGCCAATGGTAGAGCTTGCTAGAATCTGTACAAATGCAGCGTCGACGACTTGGAAATGGCATCTCGAAGAGCTGACTGCGTCGCGAGAACGTTGCGGCTTCACTGATCATCGTCTGTACGAGTGTCGAGCGGTGTTTAGATGACGTCCACGTTGTTGAACGAGCGCGCCTTGGTTTCGTCTTCATGGAATCGAGTGGAATGCGGGGCTTTGCGCATGGTCTTGAGCTGAACGTACTGCCGATTGAGCAGCAGCACCGCCGTCTTTTTCACCTTCCGGAGCTCTCCAGCCAGCTGCTCCTTCTCCAAGTTGCTACACGCCAGCTCCGGCAGTGCTAGTTGGTACTGCGACTTCCAGCGCGACGCGGCGGCTTCGGCTTCATGGAGACGATCGGTGTGCACTTGGCACTGCCGTTGCACCGCTTCAAGCTCAAGCGCGAGGTCTTCGCGTGCTGCTTGACCAGTGACCGCAGCGTCGTATCTCTCCTCCAAGACGACCACGGCGGACTCCAGGTCTTCCAGTTTCATCAGCGCGCGCTCGATGCCTTCCGCAGACCCTCCAACACGCGCCAGTTGCTTGGTGAGCGCTGTTTCTCGCTTGATGAAGTCGACGAGCCTGCTCTTGGTGTAGTCGTGCGCTCTCTTCTCTCTGCTGTAGGCGCGCCACGCTCGATACGACGCCCCAAGGGAAGTGAGCACGTCCTCGTCGCCGCTTCCTGGCTCGCCATCGTCATCATCCTCAGCTGCAGCAGAAGAAGAAAAGGCGCCCCACTCCAAGTCGCCTCGACGTGGCGCTCCTCTGGAGACCTTAAACTCGTCTCGTGGACTACGCTTCTTCTTCTTCGCCGTGAAGCAGCACACCTCCGACAGCGCGTTCGCCACTTGATGCGCCAGCTGAACAGAGCGAGCACACGCGTTTGCTTGCATCGCGAGGAGCTCACTTGACTGTCTGTCTTGCGGTCTTCTTGACAAGGCGAAGAGGTCCGCGGCCTTTCTCGGTGGAATGCTTGGCCCACGAAGTTCTCTTCTTCCCAAGGACCTACCGACGATCAATGACCGAGTCCCCCAACTGATCGAGAAAGTACTGCAACACACGAGGAGCTCAGAAGGTATTGTGTTGGTTGATTGATGATTAGTTTTGAGCGAGCTACACACAGTTGAGCTCGTCCGGTGGATAGAGCAGCTACGCCTTGGACTCGTCGCCAGCGAAGTACGAGACGAGCGCGTTCACCTCGACGAAGGCACTCGCCGGCTCCTTCGACTGCGCCTGGACCGTTTTCAGAGCGGTGTCCACCTCCTCCTCCGAGAAGAGCTCGGTCTCTCGCTTGAGCATGCGCGAGATGTAGCGGACGCTAACCGTGCCCGGCTCCTCTTCGTGGTCCTCCACCAGGTTCATGATCATGTTGCGCTGGAACTCGGGCTTGGTGGTGGGGATCTTGCCATCGCGGAAGTTGTGCAGGCGGAAGACGCCCATGTTCTTGGCGATGAAGGCGTGGTAGTCGACCTCGAGCTCTTTCAGGACGCCCGAGCGGATGTCGTACACCATGCCGTGGATGCGCGGCGCGCCGTAGAGCCCCATGCGACGCTGCACCATGTTGATCTTGAAGATGTTGAGGCACTGCTCCTGGATGTTGAGCTCCACGAGGCGGCGCTCGCGCTCCTCGTCCGTCTTGTACTGCGACAGCTCCTCCTTGTGCGTACGGCAGACGTCTCGGATGTTACGCAGCCAGTTGTCCAGCAGACCGATCTGCGCGTTCTTGAGCGCGGCGGTGACGCCTCCGCAGCCGTAGTGACCGCAGACGATGATGTCGCTGACCTTGAGCTTCTCGACCGAGAACTGCACGACCGACAGCGAGTTGATGTCGTTGCTCACGACCAGGTTGGCCACGTTGCGGTGCACGAACATCTCGCCGGGGTTGAGTCCCGTGATCTCTTCGGCGGGGACTCGAGAGTCCGAGCATCCGATCCAGAGGTACCGGGGAGACTGCGCCTTGGCCGTCCGCTCGAAGAACGTCGGGTCTCGCTGCAGGACGTTGTCACGCCACTTGCGGTTGTTCTCGAGCAAGTGGCTGAGCGAGTGCGAGTCACGACCGTGGCCAGTGCAGTCGCAGTGGTCGTCCTTCTTACGGTCATCGCCCATTGTGTCGGAGTTGGAGTTGGTGGTGGGGTGGTTGGGCTTGGGTGGGGGTGCTCGATAGCAGTCCAAAGCCGGAATGAGCTGCTAGTGGGGGTTGCAAGCCTTCTCCTCCTTCACCGGCAACGGCTTCCCATGGTCTTGCGCATGAAGAAACGACCCTGACTTCACCAAAAATGCCGACACCTTCGCATCCGTTTCGCTGGATTAGACGACTAAAACTACCGGTGGGCTCCCTGGTCACCAGAGTGCTGCTTAGTAGGGCGATAGCAAGTTCATTTGTGCATTGTTGATAAACTTAGGGTGAAGTGCTGGTAATACTTGGATATGCAGATTGCAAGACAGCCAATTCGTCGCCCTACGCAGTTTCCTTCGCCTTCATGGGCGCGAAGTGTGCGATGAGGTCTTTGATGTTCATGAAGGAGCTATTGGGGTCGTCCATCTGGGCTTTGATCGCCTCGATGGCTTCGTCCACTTCTTCAGGCGTGAACAGATCCGACTCCCTCTTGAGCATGCGAGCCATGTAGCGCGTGCGGATCATGCCCGGTTCCTTCTCGAGACCGTCGGCCAGGTCTAGAATGGCGTTACGACGGCGGTGAGCCAGCCCCATGGTCTCCTCTCCGTCCGGGTAGGCGTGGAGACTGTCGGTGCCCACGAGCTTGGCGAAGTATCCGCAGTAGTCGACCTTGAGCTCCTTCAACCCGCCAGTGTGGATGTCGTACACGAGGCCATGGATGTTCGGCTGGTCGGGACGGCCAAGACGGTGCTGCACCACGTTCATCTTGAAGATGTTGAGGCACTGCTGCTTGACATTGAGCTCCACCGTGCGACGGTAACGGGCCTCGTCCGTCGGTAGAGCGTCAAGCTCCTCCTTGTGCTTGCGGTGAACGTCGCGGACGGTGCGCAGCCAAGTGTCCAAGATTCCAATGTGCTTGTTCTCCATGGCCGCCTTGACACCGCCGCAGCCGTAGTGGCCGCACACAATGATGTCCTTGACCTTGAGCGACTCGACTGCGTACTGTACAACGGAGAGCACGTTGATGTCGTTGGTCACCACGAGGTTGGCCACGTTGCGGTGGCAGAACATCTCACCGGGGTCCAGCCCCGTGATCTCTTCAGCGGGGACGCGCGAGTCCGAGCACCCGATCCACAGGTAGGGCGGGTGCTGGCCCTCCGATAGCCGGTCGAAGAGCGAGGCATCGCGCTTCACGAGCTCCTCGCGCCACTTCTTGTTGTTGTTGAGCAGGTGCTGGATCGACTTGGACGAGTGGAAACACTCCTCGTTGGAGCCCTTGCACTCGCCGAGACACTTGTGTTCGTGAGCTGCGCCAGAGCTGGTGTTCATCATTTCTTACTGCGCGGTGTTCGACTTCGAAGCTGCTTGGTTCTTGTTGAGGAGGAGTTCAAAAGGGAAATGGTTGGTTCAACCCGTCAAAGCTAACCACGAGGTTCCAAGCCTTTGCGACCAACATCTTGGCAACCTGATGACCACTTGGAGCCGTTGGCTACGTGGAATCGTGCATCAGGCGGAGAAATGAGGCTCGAGCACTAAAGATACTAAAGATAACGTATAAGACTCCTGATAGCTCCTTAGCAAAAGCTTCAGGGGCTACCCGTGTTTGCGCTGCACTTTAAATACTTGGTTAGCAAGCCAGTTAGGTTGTGACCATAGCCACGGTGCCCGACATCAATATAGCGTTGCAAGGGGCGACGTAGCATCCCAGCCCTGATCTTCATGTTCTGATCCACTGTGCATGAATTCATGTCCTTAGCACTACGACTCGATCGACTTCACATCTGCGATGACCCACCAACGCAACTGAATAGATACTTTTTGCTTTCAATGTAGTAGGCATCTATGAATAATAATCGTCTAACCCACGCCTTCTGCAGCTGGAGTTTGCTCTAACGTTTTATCATCGTAGTCGCCTCTCTTAGCTGACCGTGAGGTTCTTTGTGCCGTTGAGCAAGTGCTTGATATGATGTTCATCGAAGCAAGCGCGTCTGAAGCGATGTACTGCAGCATGCCAGCAGCGTTCTTGCCGCACTTGCCAGGCTTGTCTTGGTCGACGAGAATCACCCGCCCGTACGTCGTCTTGGCAAAACGACGGAGGTTTTTACCGAACAAACTCTTGCTGTCGGTGTACAGCATCTCGGACATGTCGTCATCTTCGCCGTCATGCCCCACCGCTCCAGACGACTTTATGCTGTGGTTCGCAGTTACATCCGACACCGCGTACTTCGAGCTCGCGCCCACTTTCGTGTTGGCCGTGCTGACATGAGACTGCGTGGATTTATCTCCCCGCATCAAACCCATCGCCATGGCCTTCCGAATAGGGAAGCTGAACTCCACCGGAGGCGTCGAGAACCCACTCCCGTGGAAAATATAATCCGCTACCAGCGTAACATGGCCGCTCGGTCCTGACTGGTACAGTTGCTGAAGAATACACCCAAGCGGACAGCTAGTCGAGGCCACTTCATTTTTCACGAGCGTCTCGTCGAAGGGGTCGATACCGAGCGAGTCCAGCACTGCACTAAGGTCCCATCCAACAAACACATAGCGTTTCTGGATCAACTACACAACTTTGTTGTTGGCCACCCGCTTGTACGGAGTCAGCAACATGACAAAGCCAAAGAAGCCGCCTCCGAGCATCATGAGCGAAAGGAGCACGACGAAGTCGATCATGATCTCACTGTTCCAGAAGTTCTCGATCGACGGAGCTCCGCCAAAGATCCCGCGACTGGAATTCGGGGCGTTTACCATGAAGGACGTCTCCCCGCGAACTTTGAGCAGCACGTACAGCAAGAAGCACAGCATCAGACTGTAAACCTTGTAGCTGACAAAGAGCGCGCTCGAGTCGATGTACCACTCGATAGTTTGCTGGTGGTGTGGACGAATCAACTTGATGCCTTTCAGTGAACGAACCGCCAATTTGAGTGTCAGCCTCACCACTGTGTGGACAAAGCACATGAGCCACGTGAGCCGCGTGAGAGCTGAGGCCATGAAGATAAAGTTATCCATGGTAATGTGCATGGAGAGCATCCATTGTCCCATCTCGTAGACGCTATAGGTCATGCGCATACTTACGAGCGCGTCCAGAATGCTCAGTAATATGTAGAGCCAGTGGTTGATCCAGACGTCCGACGCCATGATCACTTTGCCCTTGAATCGGATGATTGAGTTCTCGTCGTCCGATGTCCAGACGGACAGATTCATCAGTGGAATAATATAACGAAAGTATCTTCTAGCCCCAGCAAAGCGCAACTTGGACGGTACGTAGTTGACGACGCGGAGCTTGGCCAGAGCGTTGATGACACCTCGCGCAACGAGGACCAACGTGACGACGCCGTACGAGTAGGTCACGAGCAGAGTGAACCAGCCTGTGTTACCTTGACCTCGGCTTGTTGGTCCATTGGCTCCGTCTGGAAGAGGCCGTAGTTCATATCAGGGTTGAGAAGTCTCGGCACTGCAAGGCACTTGCTGCTCTCGAACTGGACGTGGTAGCTGCCTCCCGCCCAAAACGACTGGTGCACCATCAAGTCCGTGATGTACATGAACGGCACAGGCGGACGACCAGTACAGCGCAGGAAGGGCACACCAGGTCGGCCAAAGTCTCCTGGGATGCCGTTCTGGATCGCTCGAATGTCTTTCAGGTCTACAAAATTGTCGAGGATGTAGCGGTAGCAGTCGTCGGTTGAGTTGTCATGGGTGGTGACACACTCGTCGACCCATTCCGGAGTGAAGTTGATGACGTCGCAGCTTGGGGCCGAGATGCTGTGGAAGTGTCACGTTGATGGAGTTCACGCGCAGACACGTGCTTCGGTCCTCCCCGAGGTTGTCCGGACTGCGGGTTGGCGCCGAGAAGAAGCGGAAACTCTCCCCCACTCGAGTCAAGTTGGTGAGCGTGTCGACCTCGAGGAAGTCGTCTCGAACGAGGTTGTAGTTGATGCGTCTCTCCATCAACCGCGCTCGCATCTCGTCGTAGCGCCCGGTGATCAGCACGATAAAGGGGTTCTCGCGCAGACCCGCCATCAAGGTGAGTACTGTGGAAGCCAGGTTAACCACCATGACTAGGGCCTTCCGGAGCGGAAGACCGTGAAGGTCGCTCCCCATGGTTAACCCCAGTTGATAACACCGTCCAGCTAAGTCTTGTGTTGTCAAACTCGAAATGAACGCTCTCATGGCATGTCCAGAGGCTCGTTTTAGCCTTAGCTTGAGCTAGCTGTAGCATTTTCATTCGTCCCGTAAAACGACCGTTGGGATCAGACCTACTACGTGCTCTGTCTACTACTGTAGACCGATTTTAGGATCACCAAGAACGCGAAGCCACAGTCCTCCAGGCGTTGCGCACGTCCAACTCTAACTCGAACGTGAGTAAAACTCCCACCTCCGTTCTGATGACAGCTCTCGCAAAACACGTTGCTGTCCCCTTCAACTAACCTAACGCGGAAAGCTCACTAAAAGTGGACGAAAATGACTTGGTAACTTCTGTATCATACCATTCTTTAATTTATTGAGTTGCAGGCACGGGCGTGGCTGCCCCAATACATCGCTTCGTGTACGCTTGGGTCCATTCGGCTGGAGCGCGTACGTCTTTCTTGCCAGGATGAAGCTGCTGGTAGAGCGCAAGCATCTTGGAGTCAACATCGGTGACCAACTGTTTCAAACCTCGATTAGGCGGAACGATATCCAGAAGCACATTGATCTCGGCCAAAAACTTGTTTACTCCGCCGTAACCGAGCCGTTTGCGTGCGAATCCACCCTTGCCACCGAAGTTTTGCCACCACGGTTCATCGTCCAGCATCTCACGAAATAGTGCACCGAGTACCATGGCTGCAAACGGTGCTTTCCCAATGTCCTTCCCAGTGTCCTCACCATTGGGCACCGTAGCCGCTGGATTGTAGTTTTGGACGGCTTTGTTCAGCTGGTTGTTTGCCAAAGAATCTGCGAGTTCTTTCACCACGACACCAGCGAATAATGAGCTGGTCGGAGCTGCCTCGGGCGAGGCCGAAATGTCGGGAAGAATGTCGTCGGCTAGATCCAGCTCTTGCCAATTGAAGGACATTTTCATCAGGGACTGCGCGCAGCGCTTGACGCCAATTGCCACGAGTTTGTCCCAAACAGCAGCGTTCTAGGTGCATGTATAACAATAGGTCAGTGCTGTCGCCGATGCTAACCCTGCAAACCGCTAACCCACATGAGCCGCTTACCTGAGTATCCACCTCTCTGTTTTGAAGCGCAGCCTTAGGCAAATACTCCTGAAGAATATTGGTGGATCGCGCAGCGCAGTCGTCCTGAATGTACGCAGCATTTGTGAGGATACCGATGATATGCTTCGGCCGCAACGAAGACGATAACTTCGGTGATTCTAAGTACTGAAGCTCTTCAAAACTGTAGCGAATGAGCAACTCATCCGCTTCCCACACGACAACCCCGTGAACCTCTGCAAGGCTGCACCACAAGAACAAATATATGTTAGTTACCATATTATCATAACGCCTCAATGACAACCCTCGCAGAGTTTCGTACTTGGAGGTAGCACAGGAGGGATTCATCACGCGTTGGACGTCTCGCAAAAATTGCTGCACAAGCGTGTAAAATGATCGCGCACTCTGCGTAAGGATAATTTCACGCTCCACTTTGTTCTCGGGATCGCGAATCATCCGTGACGTCATTTCCCACCGCTCGCGCTTGATCTCTTCTCGTATTGTATTCTTGATAGCTATGCAATAGCTCGTGAAAAAGGATACCAGACCACGTGCCAGGTGTGGGGCTAGATAATGTGCGGTTGGTAATCCTGCCAGCTCCAGTTGTCGCGAGCCGTAAAATACGTAGCGTAGAGCACTCGACACGTACTTCGCGACACTCTTAAATTCCGAGACATCAATCGCCACACAACTTGCTGACGAGGACGCGCCCGCCACAGCTGACGAGCTTCGAGATGAGGAAGCACTCGGATCATCTGGGAAAATGTGATACGTGATTTCGCTTGCAAAATGCTCTAGCTGGGCAGAAATCCACACGGTCAAGGATATAAAATGGGAGCTCTTCTGTCCACGAAAGCTGCAACGAATTATAGCACGAACGACATTAGGACCTCTTCATAAAACTGGAGTGTAGATTGACATCTCGTACCTATGTTCATAGTCCTCGTAGCATACAAGCAGCGAGGTGAAAAAAGTTCGCGAGAAGTTGATGACGTAGTTGAGAGCGTTTCCGTACGACGGCACGTGGCGTAGCTGAAGCGCAATCCGGACCGAGTAGTTTTGAAGACACATTTCTGTTGCCAGTTGAGTCTCGCCAAGCTGAATCAAAAACTCTAGATGGTTTTCTTTCTTGTGCATACGCTCCGACGTCTGCAACGACGAATTAAACTCATCGACCAGCTTTTCAACGAGCAAATGCCGGAGCTCATCGATCTGTGGATCGAAGGCAGAGCAGCGTTCAGATTTATTAGAGTGGAAAAAGACAAGCAATCCTGATAACGCTATGGGTACTTACTTTCGCTTGCTGTGCCTCTGTAGCTGACTCGATCCCTTTCGTCTCCTTGCGCTTGTACTCGAGCATATGGTGTGTGAATTGCTCGTAGTTTCGTTCGTAAAGGTACACCTCCAGGTCGCGAATAAATTCATCCAGAGCCATGCTATGTTTCCGCTCTTCAGCTTTCTTGTCGACGGCTTTAAAGTCGGGCTGCGCTACTTTTTCTGAGTACCAGACAATCACAAGATAAAGTTTAGTATCAGCACAAACTCATACGAGCAAAGCTTTGGTTCCTCACCTGGAGGGGCTTCCAGTGCCACACCTTTTAAGGTGTGCATAGTTCGCCTGCACTCCAACACTAACGCCTTCAACTGCGATACACTATTTTCCATAGTCTTAATCTCGTCCGCTGCTCGAATGAAGGAGGTGTAGTTCGCGCTGATCTCCTCCTTCAGCTCCTCGATTGTGTTTTCCTACATCAACATGCGCAGACCACGCATGAGATCAAATGTCATACACCACAACTCCTCCAATAAGTTATCAACCTTCTGAGCGACAAGCTTTTTACAGTGCGAGTCAATCTTCTGCGGCGAGTGCTTGCGCAGGAAATCTTCAGTGTACTTGCTTGCATTGAACTGGTCGTTGCCCATGAGGTTCGCAATAGAAGGACCTCGCATATTCAAGTGATTCTTCGGCTGCTTCGGCGCCGCAGCTTCCACAAACTTAAACCTCCCCGGGTCCGCCACATCAAAGATATGCGACTTCAAAGGGATGATCAGCTTCTGATCAATCAATCCTTGGCCAACTTCCTGGATCTGCTTCGTCGTCAGATGCGGCAGCGTCTTCTTCACAAACTCCGCGACGTCTTTGGCCGAGAACGACTTGCTGATCTGGATCTGCCACGAAATCGACTTCTTCATCTGCTCACAGAGCGCGCGTAGATCCACGTCCTTGACATCTTGAACATTGTTCCCACTGTCCCTATCGCCCCGGCTCTCCCTCTCCATAGTCTCCGCAACAGCAGGGTCTTCTGGTGTCTTGACGGGAGCTGGAACGGAAGCGATCCCCGTTCCCTTCATCCCTGCAACAGACTCCAGCGCCTCCATCCAGGCGTCCCTCTCCTCTGTGTTCTTGGCCCTATAGTCCTTCTTCTTCTTGAACAGCACGAGCGTGAACACGCGCTGCTGCGGGTCGCTGGGGCTCTTCTGGACGGCCATGATCTCCATGGTCGCGAACGAGTTGGCCGGCTCCTTGGCCTCGAGCGAGTCGAAGTACATCAAGTGCGTCGGGGTCAGCACGAACTGCCGCTTGGTCCAGTAGCCTGCGCGTCGCTGCAAGTTAAGTAAAAACATGAAAAAAGGATAAAGTATCCATATTGGGGCAGTATTTTAGCGATATCTCGGCTTCTAGGCACGTAAATGCCCGCGCGGTTGCGCGAGGGTAGGCTCACGGCATCTGCGCACCTTCCTCTCGAGGATCCCATCGCGGATGGCGCAGCGTAGCGCCTCGGGGGCGCTCACCATGGCGTCGGATCCTGGCTCGGCAGTGCGGACGACGCTTCGCTTCAACGTGTGAATCGGATAAAAAACGCGTTTTGTAAAAAGTGCTTTTTAGAGTTTACTTTTTTGAAAAAAGTTAGTTGAAGCTGCCAAAGTCGCCCAAGCCGTCCGAGGCCGCAGATGTGGACGATGGAGCGGCGCTAAAGTCTCCGAAGCCCCCGAAGCCATTGCTGTCGCTCGAATCCTTCGCTGCTGCTGAGTTGGCGCTGTCCGATGACGCTGGAGCCGCACTGAAGTCGCCGAACGCCTCGAACCCACCGTTGTCCGGCTTGGACTCGGACGGAGTTGCAGCGCTTTCGGTCGTCGAGCTGAAGTCGCCGAGCCCGCTGCTGTCGGCCGCTACAGGCGAGAACGGAGAGTTTCCGCTGGCACTCGCCGTCTTTGCTGGCTCAGCCGCAGCGTCTGTTGAGGCTGGGGCGGCGTTGAAGTCGCCGAACACCTCGAAACTTGATCCGGCGTCGTCCTTGGCAACTGGTGAGAACGGCGAGTTACCCGACGTCTCCGCTGGCTTCCCCGTCGTCGAGGTGGTGTCGGCTGAAGCTGAAGCTGAGCTGAAGTCGCCAAACCCGTTGAAGTCGCTGCTCTCCGCGGCGACGGGCGAGAACGGCGAGTTTCCAGACGATTTTTCAGCTACGGGAGCCGACGCGGTGTTGTCGGTGGACGCAGAGGCAGCACCGAAGTCACCGAACGAGTCGAATCCGCTACTTCCAGTTGCTGCTGCAGGAGAAGGCTCGGGGGAGAACAGTAAGTTGCCAGTCGCAGGTTGAGAAGAGACTGCCGGCTCAGACGACGTCACAGCGCTGGTACTGAAATCGCCGAATGCATTCGATTCACTGTTTCCCGTGGCTGCCGCAGGAGAAGGCTCAGGTGAAAACAGCAAGTTGCCTGTTGCTGGTTCAGAAGCTGCTGCTGACTCAGCACTTTCAGCGCTCGTAGCAGCAGCGCTGAAGTCGCCGAACCCGCTTGATCCGTTGTTGTCCGCAGCGACCGGAGAGAAAATCAAATTCGCAGTACCATCATCCGCCTTCGCCGGCGTCGTTGCATTATCACCAGAAGGTGGAGCAGCCTCAAAGCCTCCGAATGCGGAGCTATCCGTGGCCGCTGGCGACGGGGATGGCGAGAATGGAGAACTTTCAAAACCAGAGGACGACGGGGCCGTGGCGTCAACGGTAGCTGCAGCTGGGGAAGGCACAGGTGAAAACGGGGAGTTTCCAGGAACTTCAATGGCCGCCGAAGGTGAAGAGGCCGGTGCGGCGCTAAAACCACCAAAGTTGCTGTCATCCGTTGCAGCAGGCGAGGGCGAGGGCGAGAATGGTGAGAACGGCGAGTTAGCTGCGGTGTCGCTCGCTCCTGCAGGGGATGACGCCGGAACAGCGCCGTCAACCGAAGCTGGGGCTGATGCGAACCCTTGGAACTCATTGCTTTCACTCGCAGCAGCGGCAGGCGAGGGCACGGGCGAAAACGGTGACCTCCCAGTGGTGTCAGCCGCAGGAGAAGGTGCTGCGTCAGTAGATGGCGGCGCGGCAAAATCACCAAAGGCGTCACTCTGTGATGGGGAAGGAGACGGCGAGAACGGAGAGCTTGATGGAACAGGTACAGCCGCTGCCGGTGACAGCGCAGCACTTGGAATGGATCGCGGTGCCGAGTCGAAGTTGCTAAACGCGTTGAATCCGCTGCTGTCCGTTGCATCGGGCGAGAAGGCGGATACGGAAGGAGCACTCGGCGTCACCAGCGGAGATGGCAACGCATTTGGCCCGTCAAGCGAGAGCGGAGCGGCTGCGAATGCATTAGCTCCACCAGTGCCAGATCCTCCAAAAGATTCACGAGTAGAAGGAGGTGGAGATGCTGCGTCGATCAGCGGAGATCTTGACTCTAGTGACAGCTTCTGCTGTAACTTTGCGCTCAATATGGCTTCCTCCAGTTCACCTTCGTGCCTTGAAATATCGCACTGAAGCTGCTGGATCAACTGCTTCTGGTTCTCGACTAGCCCTCGGAGACTGCGTTCCACAGCGCGCCTAGTCTGCTCCTCCGCGGCGTTGTCAGCCGCCGATCCAGGAGCCGATGACGCACGCAGGTCCTCTCGCTTCATCACCAAAGTGACCAGTTCATGGCGGAGCTCGTCGAGATCGCGCAGCTTATCGGAAAGCACCTCTATAGCTGTCTGCTTGCGCTCCACACTGGCGAGAGTCTGAACAGCTTCGTTGTTCAGCTGGTCCAGCTGACCCACCACCCTCTTCTCCTCCTCGTCTCCCATGAACGGCTTCTCTGGAGCAGCGACCGGCGCTTGAGGTGCACCAAAGCTTCCAGCACCAAAGCTTGCGTAGTTCTGTGAGGGTGGTGGGAACCCAGCATTGTCGCCTAGCGGCATCTGGATACGTTCGTTGCTCCCTAGGTTTCGAGGAGGGAGTTGGTGCGACTGTTGCTGAGGCGGAAGCGGAGCCATACCACTGAAACTGGACATGGAACTCATCGAAGAAGCCGAGTTTGTACGGTCTCGGCCTGCACCACTCGTGATGCTGGGAGTCCGTGACGCTGAAAAGCTGCCAAAATCCTGTTGTCCTGTAGGAGCTGCAAACCCTGCGTGAAGGCTCCCAGCAGGAGTGGGAGCGGACTGCTCGCCAAACCCTGCTGTGTGACTGTTACTTGTGCTAGCATCGGTGTGATTGAACGAGTTAGTCCGTGAAGAGCGCGGTGTCGACGTAGCCAAACTTGGCAGCGGTGCATCCTCAACCGTTGCGAGCGAGTCAAAAGCCGACATACCCTCAGGCTTCGGAGGTGGCACGCTTTCTTGCTGCTGCTGCTGCTGTACGCCAAATCCATTCTGGGACGAAGGCCCTGGCATCTGAGAAGCGAAAGCGTCCTGCCCAGGCATACTTTGAGAGCCCCCACCTGCGCCAAATGCCGTCTCTCCAAGCTCCCGCGGTAGCGTCTGCGGCATCGGTAGTCCGCGCTTGCTCACACACACGATCAAGTGCATTGCCACGTAAAACTCCTGCACGCTCAGCTTGCTATCCTGCGTGACATCGGCCATGGACCAAATATCGCGCAGTGCCTATCGACCACATTCACAATCAGCACGTCCACACAATATTCCAACAAAGGACCCCAGCAACACGTACATTGCGATCGAGCCCAGACATTTGAAACAGCGCCACCGCCTCCGGTCCCATCAGGAATCCATCACGATCCGTGTCGTACTGCTGGAATACAATATCATACTTGCTTTTCTCGTCCGCAGTAACAGCGTACGCAGCGCCATTGCTCGCTGGAGGCTGTTGGTGCACAGAGCCAAAGTCCTGCTGCTGAGCCTGAGCTTGAGCCTGAACCAGGGCCGGCTGCTGCATCTGCTGCATGCCTCCCTGCGGTGGCGGCACCCCTTCCAACATAGGCAGTGGGTACTGCATGGCCGCAAACTGGAGGAACTTCTGCACCGACACCTGCTCTCCGCGCTGCGCCAAGCTGATGAGCCTCATGGCCACGTAGAACTCGTTCCTGGACAGCTCACTCCTCCGCTGCGTGTCCGCGATGCTCCATACCTACAGTAGTTGCAGCCAAACACACAGTAAGTTAGTCGCTCCACCGAGCCACTCTACCCCCTCCAGCGACTAGCTGATACCTCACGTAGAATGGCCTTGTCCAGGTGCGAGCGCGTGAAGAACGCGACCGCCTGCTGGCCGGCGATGGCGTTGCGCCGCTGGTCGTCCACGCGGGCGAACAACATGTCGTAGTATTGCTGCTCCTGGGGCGAGGGCGGCGTCCACGCGTGGAGCGGCGGGGCGCCGCCCATGGTCGGCGCGCTCATGCCGCTCTGCGTGGCGTAGGCGCCCCCATAGAACTGCTGCTGCTGCTGCTGCTGCTGCTGTTGGGGGTTGTACGTGGCGTAGTGCTGCTGCTGGGGGTTCATCACGCTCCACGGTGCGACGCGCAGGGCGGATAAGAGGGGGAGGGGCCGACGTGCGTTATGCCAACTATGATACTGAGCTTTTGGCCAAAGGGCGCAATCATTTCGCAAACTTTTTCGTGTGCTTGAAGTCGAAACGCATGTGCGTGTGTGTGTGCTTTGAAGTCAAGACAAATTGTTGTAGCTACAGTAGCTATCTCGCTTGTGTGGTGTATTCTCTTGCTCCGGGTGCGTATGCATGTTTACTTTCTAGCTTTCTTGGTCTTGGCGGCGGGTCCACCCTTACGGCCGCGTTTGGGGGCCGCACGGACGATAGGAGGCGGGAGCGTCACTACAGACAAGGAAGGAATGGGGAGTGTCAGTTGATGTCGGATTTGGTTCGGTTGATAGACAGGCACGTACCGTTAGTGAACTCGATGGCGAAGACTTGGTTGATACCGACTGCCAGCTTCTGGATGGCCGGGAGGTCGGGTACCTTCGTGGGCGTGTCCAACGGGTCGGACTTCGACTCGCCCAGGCCCAGCTGACCCAGCTGGCCGCGACCCCACGAGTACACGTCGCCCGTGGTCGTGAGCGCCATCGAGAACTCGTCGCCGCAGCCGATTTGCTTGATGCTCTTGTCAGAACCAAAGGCGGCGACGTGCACAGGGACATTCACGCAGTTCTCCTCGGGCGTTTCGCCGCGCTTCACACCGAGCTGGCCGAACTCGTTGTCGCCCATAGCAAACAGGCGTCCGTCCTGAAGAAGTACAAGCGTGTGCTGGCCGCCGCACGCGACGAACTTGACCGCATCGTTCTTGAATGCCTGAAGATCAAGCAGTGAATTGGTCAATCTTGCAACCCCGACAGATCCAGGACACAGCGTGAAGAAGAACACGAACCTGGACAAAGCGAGGGCGAGGAACGCGGAACTGCGAGCGGAAGAACTTGGACTGGCCCGGGGGAGGTGCCGGCTTCGGGTGGCCAATTTGACCTGAATCGACATGCACAACCCGTTCGTAAGCTCCTAGTTGTAGAAATGCTTGAAATCACACGAGTCATACCGCGATCGCCAAAGCCCCACGTCCAAATTCCCTTCGTCCTAAAGCAGTAAACACACATGAAACCCCAGTTAGCCCCATGTTTGCTCGTCAGATACGATGATGTCGTGTCACTTTACCCTGCAACAATAGCGACAGAGTGAGATCTGCCAGCGGCGAGCTGGGTGATGTCACGACCAAGCAAGAACTCCGAAGGATCCTCAATGGTGGTGTTCTCTGACTGTAGCACCACACAGTAAGTTAAGCACACTAGAACCACACTTCGATCAAATAGGTATCCTTTGACGTACGATGGTGATGTCCGGGCTGTCGTTGTTGAGAAGCTGTGGAACCCACTGGTTCTTGTTAGAGGCATCGCCCAGTTGCGCCTGATTGTTCGACCCCATGCCCATGAAAACTCCCGGGTTCTGAGTGTTGAACTGGTCGTCGTCACCGTTGTCCTTTGTCGTCATGAGGACGAAGTCACTGCCACACGCAGCTATGAAATAGGATCAAACGTGCAAGCGTGCATAACTCGGTTAGCTAGCAATCCCCAACGCATACTGTGACGAAAGGCATACCCAGATCGACAGGCACTTCAAGCTCCCTCAAGGCAGAAATCTTCTTTGGCACCTTCTTATTCTTGTTCTCTTGGTGGCCTAGCTGGCCGAGCTCACCGTTGCCCCACGTGTAGGCGTGTCCCTCGGTCGTGATAACCAGACCGAAGCCCGCTCCTGCGTGGATCTGTGAGAACCTGCATGCGTTGCATATTCATTAGTTAGGCATGCTTACGCGTCGAAGGGGTTAACGTTGCCACAAAGCAGTTCTTACCTTCCTTCGCCCTTTGAACGCTTGTCCTCCGTCATGGATTCCATCTGCATATAGACACGCACGCGCCATGAATCTTCACCAGAAAGATCGTAGCAAATCATTGAGGGGCAAGAACGTACCAAACGGAAGTGAACGAGCTTCTCGTGGACGACGTCCTGGTGTCCCAGCTGGCCGTACACGCCCGTTCCAACTGAGTACAGGTTCGCGTCATTGCAGAGCGCGTACGTGCACGTCTCGCTGCAAGCAATGTCCAGCACGCCGATGCCATCCAGCTCGTGCACCTTGCTCGGCTTCCAGATCACCTTCTCCTCGGTATCCGGAAGCGCCAGCTACCGACAACACCATCCAACGCAACGTCAGCTTTACGCCCATTGCAACACCAATTCCACCACTTTCGACAGAAATGTAGCCATCTTTCGCCTTCAACACCAGAACAACGACGCACCTGCCCATCCTCGTTGTCCCCCCACGCGAAAACCGAGGACACGGGCTTCTTGCCCTCCTCTGCTCGAGCGCAACAAGTACAAACAGTTAGACGACCATCCCGCAACTTAAGCGGCGCCACTGGAGAGCTGACGCGTAGCAGCAAAGGACGCACCGAGCTTGGGCACGCGGCCGGCGCAGAACTTGCAGAACCAGTCGCCCTCGGGCACCGCCGGCTTGCGCGCGAAGTTGTTGCGCGGCTTGGTGTTGCAGCAGGTGCAGCCCTGCGCGCAGCTGGTGTGGAAGGCGCGGTCGCAGCCGTCGCACAGCACCAGGAACTCCTCGTCGTCCTCCTTGCCGCACACGCGGCACGCGTCGTCGCTCATCTGCATGGGCGCCATTGATGTTGCTCCAGGCCTCGATTGCAAAGTCGGTTACTACTGTGCGCCGGCGCAAAAAACTTCAGCACCGAAGGAGGTGTGGACCACGTCACGTGTAGCTGCTGCACTGCATAGACAGCTAGTTGAGGAACGATCGAAGGAGGAGAACGCAGCAGACATTTCGCATCTCGGTTAGCGAGCAGCTACACTACACGATGGACGAGAACGCATGCAAAAAGGATGAAGCGGCAGTGGCAAGACAAGACGCGCTTAGCGGGCGAACCGTCCCCACCCGTTCGACGCGCGTCTTGTCGAGGAGCACTTGAATGGGACGGCAAGCTGGAGTGGAGAGGCTGATGGATTGCACACGCACGCTGTGCATTCAGCGAGAGCGCAGGACGGCGACCATGTGGTCTCCTTTGTAGCCAAGCTGCCGCGCGGCTTGGCCCGGAGGCAGAATAAAAATCTTGAAACCTTGAGGCTCCATCTCCGAGGCGCCCCCTGCGCGCGCGTGGCCGTTGCGCCCCTGGATGAGGTAGTCGCGGAACTCCCCGTAGCCACTCGCGTCCGCGATCGACTCCGGCTTGAGCTCGTACACGACCCTTCTTACGTTCGGCCGCTCGAGCTGCAGGAACTCGCTGTACTTGTTCAGGTGTGGCAGCGACACCACGTCCAGATACAGCGGCCTGCACAGGGTGGAGCAGATACGTGTAAGATTACCACTCGATGACAGAATTCAGGGGACTACAACGTACAATTGACGGCTGAAGCCAACCGAAAGCGATGTAGCGCTGCAACGGCATTTGACCTTGCCACTACGCTTTAGCTCAAAGTTCCACTCGCTAGGCGTCTACACAAATTGGAATACAATGGTCACACATAAGATACAACATCACCGACAACCACACCACAAAAGCTACGACTTACGTCAAACGAACGCGGCTCCATCATGCGAGGGCTGTCGGGCAAAGCACGACGCCCGTCGTTAAATGGAAATGGACGCTGCATCATATCTGGCGGAGGACCCCCACGTTCCCAGCTTCGGTCTCTCTTGCGCATCATGTCGCCCGAAGGCGGCCGATTTGGACTGCGGCTCCGACCGCGAGGCGGGAACATGTTCGGCGGGCCTCGGTCGTCAAAGCGGGGGCCAAATCCACCCCCGCGCGGAGGGCTAAACGGACGTCCATTGGGCGACGGGCCTCGGTCTACAAATGGCGGTGGGCCACCAGGGCCGTGTCCACCAAAGCCATCTCGTGGTGGGCTCCGTGGGCCACCCCGGCCACGTCCACCAAAGCCATTCCGCGGCGGACTCCTTCGGCCAGGCCCACGACCGCCAAATCCATCTCGCGGTGGGCTCCTTGGGCCACCCGGGCCACGTCCACCAAAGCCATCCCGCGGCGGACTCCTTGGGCCAGGCCCACGACCACCAAAACCATCACGCGGAGGACCAAAACCATTACCGTTGCGCGGAGGGCTGCGATTGCGACTGCGGCTTCGGCGGGGGCCACCGGGGCCACGTCCGCCCATCGGACTGCCTCGTCCCGGCCCCGGGCCGTCACGGAAATCTCGCGGCGGGCCCCGTCCTGGACTCATTGGCCCACGCCCAAAGTCACCACCACGCGGCGGAGAGCGCCCACGGGGTCCTTGGCCAGGAGGCCCGTTAAATCCATCGCGCCGGGGGCTTCCACGTCCGCCACCGAAACCACCTCCGCGCGGCGGGCTCCCGCGTCCACCTCCGAAACCATTACGGGGCGGGCTTCCACGTCCACCGCCGAAACCATTACGAGCCGGGCTTCCAGGTCTTCCATTAAAGTCGCCACTTCCGGGCCGAGGCGGGCTGCGTCCACCATTAAAACCATTACGGGGAGGGCTCCCCGGTCGTCCATTGAATCCGCCATTACGGGGCGGGCTCCCCGGTCGTCCATTAAAGCCGCCGCCACCACGCGGAGGGCTACGGCCGCCTCCAAAGTCATTACGCGGTGGACCATTGAATCCGCCTCCACGCGGTGGGCTGCCGGATCGTCCATTAAAGCCACCGCGGGGACTGCGCGGGCCTCCCGGCGGTCCGTTGAAGGGTCCATTGTCTCTGGGAGGAGGACCATCAAAGCGTCCATTGCCTGGCGGTCCCCGTCCGTTCATATCACCCGGCATACCGTTACCATCGCGCCCGCGACTTCTGCTGCGACTACGGCCTCTCGGAGGCTCTCCACGTCCTCCCATCATTCTCGGCGACATTGGGCCTCCAGGACCGCCCATTCTCGGCGATCTCGGTCCTTCCGGTCCTCCCATTCTTGGCGACGCCATTTCACGTCCGTTGTTAATCATCCTGACTGGTGTGTTTACTCGCATTGCTGCATACTGTTCATTAGGCGGTGAATGTGACGGCGACGGAGGGTTCGACAGCGCAGGAGCACGAGCGCGTTCAAACGCAGCAGCGGACGGCGACACAGGAGCAGCATCAGCAACAGCAGGAGGCGCGTCAGAAGTTCCAGTTGAAGCAGTGGTAGACGGCGTAGCGGCAGCAGGGGCAGCAGCAGAAGCACAAGAAGTGCCAACGGCCGTTAGTTGCGTGTCACTTCCAGCAGCAGGGGCAGACGCCTCGGGCTGCGGCGTATCTGCCGCTACCTGCTGAGGCTTGGGCTGTGCCTGGGGCTCTCCCTCGGGCTCCGACTTGCCATCAGCAGGAGCAGCAGCAGCAGACGCGCCGGGGCCCGAGGATCCGTTGGCACATGCAGCGTCATTCTCTTCTGTACTGACCACTTCTCCAGCCTCCAGCTCTTGTTCATCTGCGAGTGGCGCAACAGAAACAATATATAAATAAAAAATAATTAGTCATTAACTTTCTCAATTAAAATATTTATATACTGGTATAAGAAAAAATGCCCACGATGGACAGCAGTTGCCGTTGACGCGCCATTTACCTGTCGAGTTGGAGATCTCCGCAGGCTTCTTGGCGCCATCCCCATTGGCCAGCGTGTTGTTCTTGATGTTCAGGTACTGCTCGTAGATGACGGCGCCACTGCCGCGCCGCACCTTGGTCGGGGGCGCCGCCGCGGCACTCGCCTCTCCGCCCTCCATTCTTCCGTTGAGCTTTTCGGAAACTTGCGTAACCAGGATCCTGCGGGGTGGCCCACATACAATAGTGTCCGCGTGGTGTGGCACATCGTTTTGACTTGCTTTTCGTATCGGCCTGATATGAACCCGACCTGTCAATGCTGATGCCTTCAAGGTGGCTATTTATAGAGGGAAGCCGCTGCAAAGAAGGAAGCGACAGCTAAGTTACGGGCGACACCAACGGCAGTCGACTTCCTTCCTTCCTCTGTGCCTCTCTCAACGCTGGAGCTGCCGCCTCGCCACTAGCAGCGCGCTCTACTCCCCGTCCTCCTCGTCCATCCTGCTCTAGTTTCAGCAGCCACAACGACCATGTCGAGGGACTAGTGAGTTTTTATTCTTTCGCTTGATCTTTTTTCCGCGGCTCTTCTTGTCCTACGCTTGGAGCCGTTTCCTCTAACGATAGCGCTGCTATTTGCTGCTGTGTGTTATAGCGACCACTTGTTCAAGCTCGTGCTGATCGGCGACTCGGGCGTGGGCAAGTCCTGCCTGCTGCTGCGCTTCGCGGTGCGTGCTCTGCGGACGGCTGTGGTCGTACGAGTGAGACGTCTAAGCTGACGTCTAATCTATTGCTCTTGGTATTACGATTAAAACAGGACGACGCCTTCACAGAAAGCTACATCACCACCATTGGCGTGGACTTTGTACGTGGTTTGATGATGGTGCTGGTCCGGTTGGGGAACTGTTGCACTGACAGCGTGGGTGGTGTTTGAATTCTGTTGTGGACCGCAGCGATTCCGCACTGTGAAGATCGACAACAAGACTGTGAAGCTTCAGATTGTGAGTGTGGCAGGGGCTGTGACTTGTGCAGTGATTTGATGGTCTCACTAATGTGGTAATGGGGGCTTGTTGTAGTGGGACACTGCTGGGCAGGAGCGTTTCCGCACTATTACGAGTGCGTATTACCGTGGAGCAGACGGTATTATCATGGTGTACGACGTCACCAGCCAGGTAATTCGGCTGTCACTATTCTTGCTGTTTGTACTGCATTGAGTATCTTTTTGGTATAGATTCTCACGCTTTGCTGTCGGTGTCCTGAATAAACACAGGAATCGTTCGATCATGTAAACGACTGGTTAAACGAAGTGAACCGATACGCCAGTGAAGGCACGTGTAAGCTGCTTGTGGGCAACAAGAGCGACATCAGCGACAACAAGGCGGTGTCGTACGAGACTGCCAAGGCTTTTGCAGACAGCTTGTCCATCCCGTTCCTGGAAACCAGTGCCAAGAACGCGCAGAACGTGGAGGAGGCCTTCCTCACCATGGCTTCCGAGCTGATCACGATTCGTGAAATGGTTGGCGACTCCAACCGGCCTGCAGGCACCAAGGTAAGATATATCTTAAGTTCGTTTCAGCGTGAACTCTCTATGGTTTGCATTGCATATCCGGTCTTATCTGACGAATTTTGCTTTTGGTGCTTGAAGTTGACCGAGAACACCAAGAGTGGCGGCAACTCGAATGGATGCTCTTGCAACTAGCTGTGCTCGTGGGTTTCCTGCCGTCGAAAACTACGCTTGATGACAATAGGAACGCGAGCCCTTGTCCGTCTCGACACAGCTACCTAGGAATTAGTGCATCACCCTCTCTATTCTGCATGCGTATGGCTTAGCGCGCGCTAAACCATTCTCTGGCCGCTATAAACAATAACAGAGCGCTCCCAGAGTATCGTTCGCTTCGCTATATTTTTGTCGGTTATGTTGCATGACATTATTTGGTCTTGCCGCTAAAGCATAATGACCCGCGTAAGGTTTGCGGCCGCCGTGGCGGAAGGGGGATACTTAGTGGTCGAAGTATCGGACGAGCTTCTCGATGTTGACCGTGTTGTTGTCCTCCTCGCCTTCCTGGGCCCGAGCAACGGCACTGTTGATCTCAGAGTCGCTGAAGAGAATCGGCTCCTTGGACATGGCGCGCTTGATGAACTTGGCGCTCACACGGCCCGGCTCCTCCTCGTGTCCCTCGACGAGATTTCTAATCATGTTGCCCTGCAGCTGGGATCGGCGCAGAGGCACCTCTCCAGAAGGGAAGGAGTGCAGCTTGTAAATGGAGCGGTACTTCTTGACGTAAGAGTTGAAGTCAATGTCCATCTCGTTGAGCTGGCCGTTCTTGAGGTCGTACACCAGGCCGTGGATGCGCGGGAAGCCGTACTTGACCTGGTGGCGCTGCACCAGGCCGATCTTGAACACGTTGATGCACTGCTCAATGGTGTTGAGCTCCACCGTGCGGCGCATGCGCTGCTCGTGGTCGTCGATCTCCTGCAGCTCGTCGTTGTGGATTCGCACCACTGTATCGAGAAGCAATAGCAACAATAAATCATTAGTCACAAGCACGCGCAGCACCACCGGGATGGGTCGCCCCATATATCTTACCGTCGCGGATGTTGCGCAGCCAGTTGTCCAGCAGACCCAGGTGCTTGTTCTCCACGGCGGCGTGCACGCCGCCGCAGCCGTAGTGGCCGCACACGATGATGTCCTTGACCTTGAGGTGCTCCACGGCGTACTGCACGACCGAGAGCGAGCTGATGTCGTTGCTCACGACCAGGTTGGCCACGTTGCGGTGCACGAACATCTCGCCGGGCGCGAGGCCCGTGATCTCCTCGGCGGGCACGCGCGAGTCCGAGCAGCCGATCCACAGGTACTGCGGGTGCTGGCCCTGCGACGTCTTGTCGAAGTAGTCCGGGTCCAGCAGCTTCTTGCCCTCGCGCCACCTCTTGTTGTTCTCGAAGAGGCGCTCAAGCGACGTGGGCAGCGCCATGGTCGAGGCCGAGCGGGCCACGGCGGGCGCCACGCGCGGCAGCAGCAGCAGCGAGGAGCTCTTGAGGGCGCGGTGCAGCATCGTGCGTGTGTGTGGTGGGTGCTTGGGTCGCTTGCGCTCTGGCCGGCGAAGTTCAAAGTGGCGAAGTATGGCTGTGGAGCCCACAAGATACCGTGTTTCGGCTGGCGGACTACCTGATAGAATTAATAGTATAAATTAGTACAATAATACCACGATATGGGAACTTTTATTGGACTAAACGTCGCAATAATAAATAATCAGGAATAGCGTTTATCTGAAACGAGGGAGGAAAGATGGTATGTAGAAACAAAGAGCCTTTGATAACTGCTACCGACTCGTCATTGCCTCTTTCCGTCCAATCGCGACGCATAGAGCAGATTTTCGGCGAATCGACGCGCGCTTGAAGTTCGGTGTGGCGCACACGAGGGAGATGGGCAGGCGAGCGCCAGCCAATCACGCTGCGCAAAACGTGTTAAATGGACATGGATGCGGCGAACGGCCGTTCCCAGCACCAAGTTGCCGCGACGGTGAGCTTCGGTTGACCTGCACTGCTGCGCGACGCCGCCATTCTTCCCCATGCGCTTCAGCGGCGGCTATCCCAATTTATGACCGCCTATCAATTTACAAGCACGCCTCTGCCACGAGTTCAGAAACCGCTTCTGGGCGAGTGATAAATGGTGCCACCAAATACTTTAAATGTATCCCCAGCATTTTATTGCAACGACAGATCTTCCCTGCAACGGTGACACCACCTAAGCCGTCAGGACAGAATATAGAAATGTGGTCATACGACCTTCCAATACATGCGCTGTAGTTCTATGAGAGGACGAAGATAAAACAGTTGGAATAAAAGTCAGCGCTAAGCTCCATTTCGAAACACTGGGCTTAAAAAAAGATTGGTTCATTGCGTCATCAGTGCGTCCGTTGTTGGACATCCGTAGTGACCCACTCGCCTTAAAACCTAGTCCCCCCTTCTAATACCAGACCAAGTCGAGATTTTGGAGCAAAAATGCCTTGTTCCACTGGACTTGAGTATTGGAACATCCGCTGGTAATTTATCCGTAACCTATCCGGCTTGTATCCAGATTTTCCTTGTTCCAAACCCGGAGATATTCCAACAACTACTTAAAGTAAAGTTCTCTACTGTAATACATGTAGGGGGACTCGAACTTGCCCAAATAAGTGCTCACAATGTTGCACTGCTGATGCTCATTTCCCTCGAGCTTTTCTGCTCATGGCTTACAATTTTATCAGCCACCTCTGAAGGTGGCTCATAATATCGTAAGCACTCGAGGAATTAAGTAATTCAAGTAGATTGAAGCCTTTTTGTAGGTGAATGCATCAACTTGCAAGTAGATTGCCACAGTCAAAAATAACGTTTTATCATATCCGAACTGAACGTTAATTTTATGGGCAAAATAACTGTTTTCCAGGGCCAAGTAATTTCGCACGAAATTACCAATTTAGAGTAAGAGTGTCGTAATGCTAATGTGTAAGTTTACATCCTCGCTTCGTAGAATTGTACGCACGCAGACCAAACTAACGCACTTGGTTCTGTATTAAAATTTCGTCGGCCGCGAGTCTGATAAGTACAGTTGGGTTTGTTGTAACGTACGAAAGCAACAACCTACGACTCGTAAGTTTTAAAACGGACGGGTATTCTGAGCAGGCCACGCCTCTGTTAAGTACTGTTACGTCTATTGTAACGTACGACAGCAAAAACTTACGACTCGTAAGTTTTAAAACGGACGGGCATTCCGAGCATGCCACTTCGCGGTATTCTGAGCTTCTTGTCGTACGTTTTGAATCGGACGTTCATACATTTTTTTCAGTATCTTGGGCCGGAGCTTAGAAACCCATCTCTGCAGGAGTTTCATAACCACGTCGTTTAGCCCGTGTTCTCTTAGCTCGCGAGTTTTCACTGCAGGGCTCATTCGTCTTTTTGTCGGATACCCACCCAACTACACGCCTCAACACCTCTACCACCTCTCCTGTTTCGGTCACCCGGACAATGTCTTCGCCCATGATTACCTCATCCGCTGTCGAAGAAGCGGACATCACCGAACTCATCGAGATGCGCATGCTACGACCTGAGCTAGATGTCGGCTTGGATCCCCGCGACTCCTCTTCTTACGGCGCAGTTTCCGACCATGGGAACAACGTTGCGGCTGTGACGTTTGAGTCGAAAAAGGCTCTGCTGCAACGCTGTCGCGAGTTTGCTCGAGCCCGTGGCTTTTCCATTCGCGGGGCCAACAACAGCTATCGCTCTCGTCGTCAAGAAGGAAACGCCAAGTACACTTGTAAGGCGGTGAAAGGGCAGCAGCAGCTGATTCCAGGCAGCACTGCCAACTGCCCATTTTTCACACGGTGTACGGGATCCGCGACAACTGGAAGATGACAAGGATGTGTCTGGCCCCTGACCACTTCAGACACGGCGGTTTTCAGGGCGATACCTTTGTTGAAGGCGGTCTCGCAGGAGATACCTCTCGTCAGCGACTTCGCGATGTGCCCTACCGAGTGATGAGGGGCGTCGTTGAGCGTGAGATGCTCCCCTCTTACAGCGGAACGTGGGCCTCGGTCAATGGGCGGGCTATCATCGACTTTTTGATGACTAAGGGGATGATAACGAACCGAACTGCGGCATCCAAGATCAAGCGGGATCTTCTCGAATCGCTGCGCGACGACGTCGTCGAGAGTTACCAGAAGCTGGAGGGATATCTAGCCATGGTGAGTGAAGTGAACCCCAAGACAGGCTACGGGTTTGGCAGGCGCGAGAATGGCATGTTTAGGAGGGCTTGCGTTTTTCCAGGGGCATGCCTTCAAGCCATGCAACACTACCGACACGTCATCGTTCTGGACGGAACACATCTCAAGGGTGATATGAACAAGCACGGGGTGTTTCTGTTGGCGACCACGAAGGACCTAGAAGGTCACATCCTAGTTTTCGGACTCGCTATTGTCGATCAAGATGATTACTCGAATTGGAGCTGGTTCCTGCAGAACATGAAAGACGCGCTTCAAGACGTCTCGGCGTGGAAACCTGTGTTCGTATCAGACAGAAGGGTCTCCTGGCGTCTGTGACGGAGTTGTATCCGGATTCCGGACATCGATTTTGCGTTCGGCACATTATCACCAACATCGAGAAGAAGGGCTCCGCGCTGACGCCGGCAGAACAGTCGCTTGTGTTTCAGATGGCACGTAGCGAATGCGAGAACGACTACAAGTTTTACAGCTCAAAGCTCTCGGAGCCTCGCCCTTTGGCTGTGGAGTATCTCGCTGGAATTGACAAGTCGCACATACTGACATACGCGTTCAACGAGAAGTACAACCAACCCTCTTATGACGAGGTCACTTCCAACCTGTCCGAGGCAGCGAACAGTTGGTTGGGCAATGCAGTGCGGTCGTCCTACCCCTTGGAAGCTTTCGAGCAATGCTTCGTCAAGGTGGTTCAGCTGTTCGCCGAAAGGCGCCGCACCTCCTCGCGACAGAAGGGTCCAGGTAGCAACGCAGGACACGCGAGCACCTCCCAAGGCGAGCCGTACGACGATGGCGAAATTGACGTGATGAGGACCACCCCTGCAGCCTTCTCGGACTTTCTCCTTCCCACCTACAAGAAGAAGCTCGACGGGATCATGGCTCTTACGAAAACCCTGCAGATTTTGCCGTGCCTTGATGGCCAGTACATGGTGCGATTCACGGACATCAGCAGCAGACCGGACCACGCCCATCTGTGGCGAACCGTGAACTTGATCGAGAAGGAATGCACGTGCCGACGCTGGCAAGACCTGATGTTCCCGTGTGTCCATGCAGTCAAAACTGCAATTCATCACGGAATACACGCGAGCGAGCTTTTCGCTGGAAGGAACACACCGTGTCGGCCGCGCGGCGGACATATTACTACCAGTTTGTGCCGACCGTCCGCTCGGCGACCATCGCTCAGGATCTTCAACTGCTAGTACCTGAAGCCATCGTCACTGAAGCTGGCTTAGGGAAGCGTGGCAAGAAGCCGGGTCCAAAGCCGAAGAACAAACGCAGGCCCGCACGACCAGGTTCTGCGGTGTTGCCTGCCATTGCTATGACTCAATAATACTAGAGCTGCAAGACGTATGCAGTAAAGTCGTAAGTCTTTGCAAAAGCATAACAAAGCAAAACATACATTTCGAATTCTTAGTGTCAATACGTTGAGAACGGACCTTGGTTATCTTAAAAGTCTTCTCGTACGAAAATGATATCATAAAATTCTTATTTAACTTTAATGGAACTTAGATCGAAGGAAAGTATTATACACGTGATAGTTCATGGATAGATAATATACTGCAAGGATAAACTTCAGTGAAAGATATTATATCTGTAATATCGTACGAATGTGTTACTTCGATACTTACTGTGACTTGACGAAAATTGGTATTCCATAGCGATAATTCGCACGATCGTACGACTTTACTTCTCAACAATACCACTTGTTCTTGTGCGCTATTATTGATACTGACGCAATGTAAATGAAAGAAGTATATACGACAATTATATTATCATTTGCTGCTTAGACCATTTCATCAAAATAAAGTAAAAAAACATTCATTTTTTTTTTTACTCAAAAATGAAGAAAATAAAGCTGTATGGCTAGCCGGATGGCTACATCCGAATGGGAACTCTACACGTAGGGCAGTTAGCTACATCTTCGGCCTGAATGCTTCTCGCCACGTACATGACATGCACTCGGCACACATAGCATGCCGGTATGAGCGCGGGGTGACCGGTGCCACTGGCGCGTACTGGCAAATGGCGCAAGTTGATAGGTCCTCGTCTTGGTCCTCCTCTCCCGTAATGTCGATCACCGTTGGGGGAGTTGGTGCCGAGAAAACACGACGTCGTCGAGCAGAGCGTTGAACCCCCTAACTCAATGTCCCCAGGCACAGGCAGGACGAGCGACTCAACAACAGTCGTGGTCACGTCACCTGCGGCCGTAGTGATGATACGCAGGCCAAGCTCGTTAAGCGCGTCACGGCGAGCGCGGTGGTACAGCTTATCGTACTCGCGCTTGTAGGCTCGGGCCGTTTCCAGTCGCTGAGCCTTTAGGATCGGGTACCGCTTTTCCAGGCACGCACGCTTGCCAACGTGCTGCCGCAGACTTGAGACAGCCAAGTTGGTGTTGCACAGGGAGCAGTTGGCACGAGGGACACCATGATGTTTTCAATAATGAGGCACCTACTTATTTTGTTATCGCTGATGTTCCTTTTGCTCGTCCTCCATCATCTTCGTATCTTACCCTGTCCTTAATTCTTATCGCGTTTTCAATGTTTTGATAAAACGTTATTTTTGACTGTGGCAATCTACTTGCAAGTTGATGCATTCACCTACTTAGACTTTTACAAAAAGGCTTCAATCTACTTGAATTACTTAATTCCTAGTAAGCACTCATTTTCGTGACAAAAAATGTACAGACATCTGCTTCAATAATGAACACTAGAAAACCTATAACCCTTTATATTGTATGGATTCTGATTGGCTCACATACAAATTTGACTATAATGCCATCGCAATATTGCATTACCTTTCACAATTTTGTATATATCAGGTGTTCTTTATTGAAGCAGAAGTTGTATATATCCCTCGCCCTCTCCACTGTTTTACTTTCTCCGTCTCTGATTGTACCAGTATTTTTTTTTCAGTATGAAGATGCAACGGTTAATATATGTACACAAATTTGGAAATCGGTGCTAATATGAGAACCACCCAACTACAACATTTCACCCATTACTTCAGGTTCATACAACATTTGTAGCCATTACTACAGGTTACAGTGGCGGTCCTTCGATTACAGTCAATTCTTCTTCATTCTGAGAGAGGTATGCTACCGGAATGACTTGTTTGGTAGTGGAAGGCTGTGACCTGGGTTACGTGTATGAGATAGATGCATCGCTGCCTTCCCACCGTCCGGAGTGCGCTAACCACATAGTGGTTACGCCGAAGAAGGACAGGTAGCGCATCACCTTTTCAGATGAAACGAAGTTCGCCATGGACGGACCCAAAGCTACTGACACGGCCTGAGACGACCGCAAGAGACGGCAGTCAGACGTCAGAACGGCGGAGACTCTGTAATTATGTAGGGCAGCTTCAGCGTCGAGGAAAATATGGAGCTTGTGATGCTGGTTGGGCCGCATGCCTCGGCACAGCACATCTACACTATTTCGGAGTTCTTGCTGGCCTATGCCCACCTAAACTACGAGATGGACTTTGTCGACGAACAAGCCAATGCCTCCATTCACACGTCGCAGGAGACCAGTGCATTCTTTGAAGAGCAAGATGGGGGGGGGGGGCTCGCGACTGATTGGCCTGCCCGTTCACCCAATCGGAATCCCATCGACCCCCCCACCCCACCTTTCATGCATCCCTCAAGACCGTAAGGGACCATATAATAAAAACTACTCTTACTCGCTGTCCACCCAAGCGCTACCGCAAACCAATAGGTAGCCTTCGGACGCCATCAAAAGCACTGCTTCGTGGCACAATTTGTTCCGGTTTGGAACAAATTTGCTGAGGGCGTCCCGCATTCGACTCCCTCGAGCGCTATTGGTTTCTGTCACTTGCTGCAGAAAGTAAGCACGCCGTTTTCGCCTATCACGATTGTCATCTGCAAGCATGGCTTGATGTGACAAACGGCCAATGCAGACAGCAATAAAAATGTGCAATGACATCGTGCCGCGAAGTTGTCAATCGCTATCTCGGTATTGGTGGTAGCGGTAACCTTTTTAAAGAGTCACCGGTGGGGCCGGTCCATTATGGGTCTTCCCCAAAATGGGACCTAAAAAAAGACCCTTCAAAAACCACTACACAGAGCGGACCAATATGTTATGCAAAGCCTTTTATATTTTATGAACTATCAATATAATCTAGATATACATTAAGGCTATCAGGTTCAATCAAGCAGAGCTTGCGTTGCGAGCCGAGCGTTGTCCTCGTCCACCAGCACACCTCGAAGCTCTCGTGGCTCGGGCCGTTTGACCCCCACGACCCCTGTTAGAGCGGCGACCCCCAGTAGTACGACGCGACGCACGCCGTGCAGGAGCTGGCAACGGCACGAGTTGGACCGGATCTGGCAGCTACACTGAGACTTGAACTGGGGCCACTGCCCGGCGGTTGGTTATATAGTTCAGAAGCTGAACGTACCGCTGCAAAAGTGTGTTGATCGTCCCCACAAAGGACGGGAGACTCGGGTGCGGGGTCGTGATAGCCGTGTTCAACTCGCGTTTGAACCTCTCGAGCGGGTCATTCGTCCGGCTCACAACCCGCAAGTCGATTCCTTGGACGTTCCACACATCCGGTGGAAAGCGCACCATCCACGTTCGCCGGAAGTAGACCCAGAAGCGTGTCCATCTTGTCGAGGAATAGTGTAGCCCCCTTCGCTCGCAGCGCTGGCGGATGGTCCTCTTGGCGTAGTCGATTCCATACGGGTCAACTTGGCCCGGTGGTACTACGGTCAACATGTCGAGGACGCCAATCTCCATAGCAACGCCAATTTCCACTCGAGACATGCTGAGGCCCACCAATCGCCGACGCAAAGCCTGCTTCCAATGGAATAGGCACCCGACCACTCGTGCATCGGGGAACTGCCCTTGAACTGAGTCAATCAGGGCCTGCTCGAAGTCGGCGATCACCGTTCCAGGTTGAAGGTGTTGGTCTGCGGCGTCAGCCATAAACCAGAGCAGACGGCGGTACGTTGCTGACACGATGTGGAAACAGATTTTTGTCTGCACCCATGTCCGACCCCATGGATACGTGGACCCTTCGGTGAGCTGTGATTGGTCGCATGAGATGGAGATCCGGTAGAGACGAGTGTGACGTGTGGATTGTGGATGTGTGTGGAGATTTGGTGGGACCCGGCACTTGCAGCAAGCATGGGCTCACAGGATTGGAGATGCGCCCACCGGATCAGCGCTCATATTCGGTGTGGAGTCACGCATCCTGTCCGTCCGCCGACTTCCCTAACTGCAGGATAGGCCCAAGGCGCGAAAGTGTGGCCAGCGAACGTATCCTGACCACTGCTTGCATTGGCTCAGTCAAGTTGTCGGGCTACCCCACTGAATCGGCCCCACCAGACACGATCATGCGTTTTCTAGTACGCTTAACACTCGCATTTTGACGCTCACCTGCATATGACTACTCAACCATCTACTACAACGGCACAGCCCCCATCGTTGAGAGCCCACGCCATCATTGCGTTAGTTCAGACCCAAAACTCACAGAGTTTTCATAAGACGCTGGAGGATAGCCTACAGCTGGGGCGAGAATGATGGGTTCTTCCCAGCCACAATTACCACTTCTATAAGGCTCTGTCGCGCAAGAATTCGGATAGGCAATCTTGCTCATCCGATGAGCACACTGCGAAACGCTTGCGTTTTTAAGGCACAAAGAGATGGCGGCGTAGCAGGTGAGACCGGTCCAGAGATAGCAACAGCGGCATGAGTGTCACTGAGTGTTTTAGGTCCTCTTGTGGTCACTGCCCGCATGCTCCAACAAAGCAACTTACCCTCCAGCCGCCAAGTCGCCTTCCATTCAGCGCCGCTTTAATGCGACCGCTTTATGGCGATCGGCTGACTTCCCAAGGTTAACGCGCTCTTCCAACGCCCCCAGACCCAGCCTTCCCCGTCCACTACTTCGCCGACAGCAGGCATTAGCTGTGAGTCATGGTGTTGGGATCCTCATGGGTCTACTGCGGATACGGATGCTACATAATCTGACTGATGAACGCGTCTGCCTTGAAGGACTGCAGGCACAATGCGAGGTAGAACGCTGTCGTTAGGAAGCAGAAAGGCGCGAGCTAGAGCGGCACGACGCGTGTTGCGGGCCTACCGTGGCTCGCTACAATAGCTCCCACGTGTGCGCACGTGTAAAAGGAAATGTGGGCTTCTTTTATTTGGGGTAAGTGTACTCCAGACCCACGAGCTCACTTTAAACAAGATAAAGACTCCGAACACGACTGGGTTAAAATGAGAAATGCTATTTTTGGCGCACAAGTAGCTGTAGCTACTTGTGCGTCTAATAGTGTCGCAACTAGCGTGCCCGCTGCGGGGATCACCGCCATGAGGTGTTAAGGCATATGGTGGTGACGGTGCTGACTGTGGCGATCGAACCACGAAGCCGAAACAATGCATTAGCTGTTCATTAGACGACGGTAGCGTAGAACGCATACGAAATTAAATTGAGACCTACATCCGCATACAAAGATGCAACACAAACACAATCGAGTACAATATATGCTTGTGTTCTACTCGCTCCTCGTACACCAGTCTAGATTTCAGCTAAGGAAATACCTTTGTAGCCGTGATGGTATTTATACATTTATGTTTTCACCTTTGTACGTAAAAAAATGCTTAAATGCGCTTAAAAACAGTTTTGCGAGGATCGCTTACATTGTTGACGTATAATGTATTTGGTTGATGCATCCCACTCATTTCTGCGACAAGAAGAGTGCCCTAACAAGAACGCCTCTCTGTTCGAGCCTACGTAGTCATCGTCGAGTTACTGGCTTTCGGACCGCCGCATCCAGCTTTGTTGCGCTACTGTATCCTCGTGGACCTCCACCCGGTCTGTGGGATGACGAGGCTGGCACCCTCAAGCGTGGGCGCCCTTCAAGTGCTCTTAGTACAAACTGCTATCGACCGAATGAGAAGTACAACATGACAATGTGGTGGACCGCACGCATATATTGCTACGCAGCACATGTTAAGGACAAAGCGACGGTCACTTTTCCCACTCACCTTCACGGGCGGAAGGAAACAGAGAAGAAGCACTTAGCTGAGTGTCCGTACCTCACTGGTGCCACTGGCACTGCGTTCCGGGGTGCAGAAGGTTTACAAAAGCGCAATGCACCTCTCCAGCTGAATTTATACTTGCTGAAAAACTTAAGCTTTGGCGCCTGCTGTTGGAGTTTCAAGCTGAAACCTTACTCCCTGATTCCTTTTGGGGCATTGGTGTCATTTAGGCGGTTGCTCGTGTTCTTGAACGCTCGGTGTGGCGTTCTCGGCGCCGTCCCAAATCGCCATATCATTGGTGATCGCGTCTTAGATGCATTTGCAGAACTACAATACCTACAAGTATTGTGGTACAACTTGTTTGTGTGTGTACCTACAGGTATTGTGGTACAGCTTGTTTGTGGGCGTCGTGTCGGCGTTCGTGAACATTCTGGCGACCTACAACACTTTGAACCTGAAGTGCATCATCAAGAGCTGTAACAGCTGGATCCGAGACCCGATTGGTTCAAAACAAAGGCTACGACGTCAGGAAGCACCAGAAGCACCGCTGGCGCAAGCCACACGCACAAGGCATGTAGTTTTCGGCGAAACGTGCTGCGCTTTTCGCGCATCTTCTGTGTCATCGGGCTGATGTACGTCAATTTCATCAACGGCTTCCACTTCTTCCAGAACGTGCCCCTAGTTACTTGTTCCACCAGTACGACGACTGGATTGGCAATGGTGTGGTGAGAGTGTTCGTCGTGTTTGCGATATTTGTCGGTCTTGTCATCGACCGGTGGCAGACGCATCCTGCTACTTTTTCTGGCTGCTACTGGCTTACATGTTCATGGCAAACAGGACGTACATGAGCAAAAAGAAGAAGGAGGGGCAAACCAAGGAGACAAGCAGTGATGCTAAGCAGAACTCGACTGCTGCTGCAAACGTCGTAAGTGTATGCGTGGATTTTCGCTCACTTTACTATCAAGAAGACGTTTTTTTTAGTATTTAGGTTATACTTGTTGGTCAACTTGATATGCAGAACCTAAAGTCAGCGAAGTAAGCTACAAACTACAGAGTACGATTGGAACCGACTACTGCGTGCCATAAGGGACATGGGTTGCCAGCGATGCCAAACTTTCCTTTCGTCCGCGGATCCCGGTGTAGTGTTTTCTCTTCTGGAAAACGTGTGGCGTTGTCAGGTGAGTAAGGCCGTCGGTTTGCTGCTTCAACACGGTCATCGTATGACTCAAGTCTTGTCGCTGTAAATGGTCGGTCATTCCTATCGCTGCTGTTTGCACTATCAGTAGCGCCACCACCACCTGGGTTTCCACCGTTTTGACCCGCACAACAGTAGTTAGCGTCGCCACTGAAACTTGTACTGACTTCAGCAGTTGCATCCCAGCCTCCCGCATTGCTGCTGGAAGCTGAGGCGCAAGCAGTGCTAAGTGTATTCAAACTGGCACTCCAATAGTCTCTTCGTCTCCGTACTCGCCTATTTCTAGCCGTCAAAGTGCTCCAGATACTGCTGCGGTAGCCGCTCATGTCCACGAGACCTCCGCCCATCCGCGGCAAGATGATGCTGGGCCCCGACAAGGCCGACAGCAGCACGTCGTGCATGGTGTTGAAAATGGAGACGTCTTTATCCCGCATCTTCGTGTCGTGCGAGGCTCAGATCCGGGGGCTTGTGAAAGATGTGGTATACGCGCTTGTGTACGCCGCCGCCTGACCTGTAAGCGCTTGCTGCACGGCGCTCATGACGCATGATATGATCCGCTGCACCACGCAAGTTGCACGCGATAGAGAAGCACTGAGAGTTGTTAATTGAGATATCCACCCAATTCCACATTTTTATTAGTTATTTTTTGTTAACATTTTTTACATGGGTTTCCACTTAGTTTAAATAATAAGAATCGTGAAAAAGCCACCACTGCTTGTAGGGTGCGCATTTGTCGCTCGGCTGGCTGCCGCAGACGGTGATTCGCTTACCAGAAGGTGTAGGCAAAACGCCATCTTCACCGCGTTTAACCGAATCCCGTAGGTAACCTTGGTGAACTTGGAATCATAGTCAGGTAGCACAAATTGTTCGTGGGAAAACATTCGTAAGCTTCGCATACGCATTTCCCCAGTCCGGAATTTGCGGATCGTGAACACCGCCTGGAAAATAACTAACACCTGCCGTCCAACACCTGCTGACCTGTTGGGCATTTACAGCCCCTGCTCGCCTGTTAGCCACACCGTTGAGCTGTTGAATATCATCAGAGAAGCAGTACTCCTTACCTGTCTATCCTAGAGAGCGGTTGATATGCGAGTTGTACTATCGTCAATGCTGATCCGACATGACAAAGTGCCAAGTTAAGTTTGCACACGCGAACATGGCATCGTCGTCTACAGCACAAGATACAGATACAGGTGCTGAAGATGTGTCGCACATAGACAATAAGAAATATTGACGGTAGATATAAGCGTGACGAAGGAATGCGGTAACGGGTTTCGGCGCTTGTGCTAATATCTGAGGACCTTGTTGTCTTGAAAGAGGCTGGTCCTCGACCTGTGCAGGTTGTGAATATCGCGATAGGCTGGACTGGCGTTGACGGCAACGTTCACAACACACTTCTGCTTCTGACATCCACCGCAAAGGATGCCTGGGTCGTGCATACATTCCACCGAGTATGGAACAGGGCGGCGAAGGTGCCGATGCCATGTCCGACCTTCTCGCAAGTCGTGCATCGACTACGACAGTTAGCGACTCAGGAGCCTATATACGCCGAGGCTTCTGAGGGCTCTGCGTTTGACTTTAAAGAGGCGAATGTGCGTTAGAAGTGGATACAGCATAGGAAGCTGCTCCACGCCGGTTGTACGTGTTGGTGGCCGTGACTAAGACGTTCAGGGCGGCACAGCGGGCGATGAACGTGTAGAGCCACCACGTGTACCCGTACGAATAGTCGTTACGTGACAGATCGGCTCAATGCTAGGGTCTATCGCTGCAGATTGCACGAAGAGTGTGGACACCGCTACAAGGTCAAGACCATACGTGATCACGACGTCCCCACCCAGTATCATCTCGAGTAGACTGGTAGTCAGGGAATACAGATCCAAGAGGTGAACCGGCGTGGAATTCACCCCCAGCTCCTCGAAAAAGTAGACGTCCTGCTGAACATGGGTTGGTGGACGATGCAGCTGAGGCCAGTGCTAAACCACAGGTACCGTGGCCAGCCTAGAATAGTGCTAAACCGCAAGCATCTCAAAACCGGCAAGGCTTTCTTGGTCCGTAGTTCTGCTAATGACTGGGACATCGCCAACCACGTGACCTTCGAGACACGGGCAAGTCAACGAGTGTACTCAAATTGTACACAGTTCATGACGTGGAGGATCGAAGGGTGGATGAGTTGATCGTGCTGGACTTTCAATGGTCTGGACGAGGGGGAAGGCCACTATTTCGGCGTCGTGGGGATGTGCTCACCTCCGACAGGGATCAGGAAGATTCGCTAGTCTGTGCAACCGACGGCACGTACAAGCTACATTTTGGTGGCTGGTCTGTTGTCGACTGCGACTCGGTAGGTATGGCCTGGTCCCACAACTTGAGTCGGCTGTTGTCGACATCTGACCTGAGGTGACGCTAACTACAGGCTGGTCTGACCTGATTCGCAACGCGCGGCAGAAGAAAACCTAGTTGGTCAACTCTGACATGTTCCTAGACCTGGGAATGATCTGCTTCGCTCCGCTCGCACCCACGAGCCGTTTTTGAAGCTTGATGATGTGATAACAGAACATTGGGTCTTTCGTAGCGAAAGTGCCTCCGCGAGGTTGTTTCAATACGTGTATTTGGGTGAGCGGTAGAACCGATGGCACAGCAATGGGGCGGGAGTGGGTGGGGTACAGCAATTTATTGAGTCGCACCACAGCATGATCAAGAAAACCTGCGCCCCCTTTTCTCGAAGCCTCTACGAATGGGGTACCACTGGGAATCTTACCATGTATACTCCGGTCAAGCGGGGAGAACCTGTGCCCAGAAACAATCGCTCCTTTTTGTGAAGGACCTGTGCCCCCAGAGATAATGGCCAAGGCCGAGCCGCTTGGCGTTGCCCCAGCGCAACTACAAACTGGTATATAAAAGGCGTGCCTGTCCTTTTCAATATAGCCAAGTACATCGTTGGGGGGGGGGCAGGGTATACTCGGTGCCGATGTCGATGATGAGCGAGCATTGGGTTGGTGGAACAGCAAGCGAGGCCTGCTCCTTTTGATCTTCTACCGATATTGCCATTTAAGAGTATCGAGCGAGTTCGAAAATTTCTACGGTACACCTGCAAGAGATTCATCCGGTCGGGTTGAGTCTGTTCGCATGCGCTAGCTGTTCTTTCGCTACTGGGCCTGTTGGAGTTGCGGGCCGCCATGGCTAGTGTCCCAGGGAGACGCGCGCCATGTCGCCCATCCGCCCATCTATTCGGCGCGGTACCCTGACACGAGCATCCAACGAGGAAAGGTTCTATGGCATTGCTCTCGTCAGCAAATTCCTAAGGCGATCTGGGCAACAACTCCAGTGGAGAGTAGTGGACGACCGCGCCGTTACCCCAGAACAAACCGCAGAACCCAGCTCTGTCGTTGGTGCGTTTATTGCTCTGTGACACACGGACGACGTATACAAGTGGTTTGGCGATGCCACTGTGCAAGATTACGAAGCAGAACAGCTTCCACGAGCGGTCAACCAAGTTCACAACCTACTGGTACGAGTAACAAGCTAGTTGTGAGGTCCAAAACCAACATGTAACCAGTGTAGATGCACACATTAGAAGCTAAACGTATCGAGCGCTTCGGGTGCTGAGAACTACCTATTCATTTTAGTATAAAACGAAGACTTCAAACGTTTAGAATTAGTTATGAAGTTGCGTATCGAGTAGCGATCACTCTTAAGTATAAGGATGCACAGTCATAGTATCCTTAGGCTCCAATTTATAGAAATATTAATACTTTACTTTAATATATATGACGTAAGTAGAGAGTATTGTTATTCACGGGGAAATTGTTTGTATATGCATACAATGTCTTATAGCTCAGATATTTAAAAATATATTCCAACTTCAACATGTAACACTTCAACTCGTTGAAGTTCATGTGCACCTTCCATGCAAACTGGAGAAATACATGTTATATATAAGGCAACATGAAAATATACTGCTTGTGGAGCAGACAACAGCTGAACGGAACTATTGTACCGGCCACAGGCATTGATACACGAGATTTTTATTTTGGCTAGAACTTTAGCTGTAGCGCTACCACAAGAATGTTCTACCACTACAAAAGCGCCGTTCCACACAGATCATAAGTTCTCTATCTACAAGGAGTCTCATTTGCAGACATGCCGCCATGAAGCATCTTACTCAGACTGAAAAAGAAACTGATTCTGTGTACCCATAGCTACTTTCTGGCCGAAGCGCAGCAAGGACTGAACCCCAGCAAACGCGGTGTGCAGCAGCGTGTTCACAAGTGTCTTGGCAACAGAATGGCTACTGTCGCGCGCGTCGTGGTCGCGGAGAACAAGTGCAAACGCGGAACGCCGACGGTGCTGCTGAGCCACCTATTGGTCTGAGAGAGTCAGTTGAAATATACATATATATAAAAATATATATTCGAGCAAATCATCACGGCTCGTATTATATCAGGCAAGCCGACCACGTCCCAGCATATTGCCGACAGCGTACAAGATCTGACCGGTGACACCGTGTCTGCCCGCACGGTTCGAAGGAGGCTACGAGCGATGAACTGCACGTACAAGGTGGGCGAGCGGCGCGATATTCGGGCAGTCAATAAAGTGAACGTGGCGTACCGCCTGAAGTACCTGCGCAAAAAGTGCGCTAGCCTCAACAAGAGCACCGCCATACACACCGAAGTCTATTTGGCCGAGCCTACTGCAACTTACATCACGTATCGAAGCAGACATGCCTCCTTCCCAAGATGCGGCGCTCGCTACCCTCTGGGAAAAGGGCGCCGCTTTTGTATCATTGGCGCAGGTGTCATCATGCGCGTGGACAATTATCGCACGCGGAGCGAGTGGGTCGAGGGCTCCGTGAAAGTGTGGGCGGCGGACAAGGCTGCCAGCTCCGCCACCGACGACTATCACGGCAACTTCACGAGCGAGAAGTTCTAGAACTGGGTCGAGCAGCTGAGCGAGACGTTGTGGCACAAGTACGGGGGGTGCAACATCATGATGGGCCGGGCGAAATACCATATGCGCGACGCGGACGCAGCTCTGGCAAAGGGCAAGAACAAGTAAGCTCACGTGAAGTGGCTTTTGCGCAAGGGCGTACCGACAACCATGCAGATGAAGAAAAAGTTGTTGCAGCGGCTGGTCGAAAAGAAAACGCCGCCGAGCTACGAGACGGTCAAGATAGCGTCCAAGTGGGGGCACAAGGTTCTCTTCACGCCTCCGTACCACCCGGAGTCGCAGCCCATAGAGGTCATATGGGCTGCGATCAACGCATATATAGGAGGATGAAATCTTTTGGCGGTACGGCGACCAAACCCTATTCAGATCGGAGAAAAATATCTGAGGAGCAAAATTATTTCCCGAAATTCAGTGGACCTTGTCGCTTTTCCTCGTTTCTGGACGCTTCAAGCGCTTCATGGGAACGCTGATTGGCTCCTTGGTTAGCCCAGATCACGCAGATTCCGACGGTGATATCAGTTTTACAGGGCTCAAAATACTGAACTCAGAACGGACACGTAAATCTCGTGTATCAACGCCTGTGACCAGTACTGGTATGCGGGCTTTGGCCCGCGGTGTTCGCAGTTCGGTCTTTTTTTTACTGTATTCCAAAACCTGCACAGTAGAAAACTTTATTTACTACTAGTAGTACTATGTAGTAATAGCGCTATGCTTGCCGCAGGAGAGAGTTGCGTGAAGACGTTCTTGAATTTTAGCGCTTACTCTTATTTTTGTACTGTGAAATATCATGCGTCCATTTGCTGGATGGCTTACGCTGCTCAATCTACCGTGGCGGATCTACGTGAACTCACACTATTGGGCTGCTACGGCGGGAGTCTCCGTATGCGGCGCTGCAGCAGTGCGTGGCGACGGGCGTAGTCAGCCGTCATAACCGCAAATTTCATTTCATTGCATGAACTCACACTAGCGTTACTGCCATTCATGGTACATACTGCACAGCTTCAAGCTGCCAGACTGAGCTTCGGTTCATATTGAATATATAATGTGTTTATTTTCTGGGGTTATTCGGTGTACATGTCCAAATTTGACGCCTGCAACTTGATTTTGTAGAATTGCTATACTGATTTCAATGCCGTTTAGGTCTCCTCACTTCAAAGTCGACTCTCAACAAACAGTCTGCACCCACGACCATTAATCAATAGCGATAATTTTGTTTTACTCAACGACGGTTTATAGTTGCTGCTGCTGTGGCGTCCGACATGTACATACAGATATCGTATCTTAGAAATGACAGCCACATGCCTAAACTAACTTAGCCGATACGATGGCGACCTACCTATCGTTCGCTTGCTGCCCCGATTCGGTCGATTCCTCACAAATTGCATTGACTGACTGATCACCCCTCTTTATTATTGCTGCTGTCTAGTTAGCTTGTCGCCGAAAGCATGCTTTGAGCTGTAATAATGAATCGGAGTTTGCGCTGCTGTGCTGTAATACAATTGCTGTACAACTGTCATTGCTGTTGTTTCAAATAGCTCTTTAACCGATAATGCAACATAAAACCTTATGTTGCATTATCTCAAACACCCGCAGGGGCGCAAACGACAGTTCTTATGAACTGCGGACAATAATAACAGGCGAGTAGGGCCCACAGGTACTTAACAGGCGGGTCGTGCTAGAAGAACATATACTAATTAGCACCTATACCGCCTGGCGCATTGAGAGTACCAAAATGGTGAGAGCGCGACCGTTGTGCAAACGCCTTGGTCAAGGAGCGCACAATATGAGCGCTGTGGCTGTAATGAAAACAGAGCAGCTGATATTTTTCAAATCAGTTGACGCGTTACGAATCAAGGTATGTAGCGATGCCGGCCTATGAAATCAAGGTAGCTAGCGGTAAATATCCTCCCGGTCCTCCGCTTCCTCTTCGTTCGTGACCGAATATGATAAACGCACTGCTAAACGCCAGGAAATACATCACATGCATCTGAAACACACCATAACTCGCCAGTGTCAACTTATTTAAAGTTTCCCCTCCCTCAGTTACCGTCGTACACCTCTAATTCAGCAGGGTGGACCATATCAACGCTGTGAATCCATCAGCTGCCAAAGGAAACAATCGTCAGCCGAATTATGATACGCATCCATTTTTATTATGTTAATTCAGTAGATATCCCATATCCAACTTCGACACAATACCTGTGTGGCACCAACAGTTCCTGATTGTTTCGTGGATATATCATCCCACCCTTCAGATAGCTACGTCATCGCAGAGAAATTATCGACTGGCTAGTTTGCAACACCACTGTTGAACATGTCGAGATCGGAGTCTTCGGAGTCTTCTTTCTTCTCCTGATACTCGTTCTTCAGGCTCTTAATTATCCCTTGGTTCATGGGCTGCAGAGCTGCTGTAGTGTTGGGGGGGGGGCTTGTGGATCACTACGTTGGACAGCTGAACGGGGCCGTCATCGTGTGATGACACATTGTCAAATAGGAGACGTATGTGCCGCCCCTCTTGTCGCATTCATTCATTTTGCTCTAGAAACCAATCACAGTGTTTTAATTTGTTTATCCACGCCTTCGCAGTGTTGGTGTACATGGCTCCGATCTCCGCCAGCACATCGCGGTTTCTCAACGGGGTCGGCACTTTCGACTTCCCAATGAAGTGCAACAGAAGCCGATCGGAGCCGTCTGCGTTGATGGCTACGGACACCGTGATGCGCTGCTTGCTCTGCTTCTTGTCCTTCTCCTTCTTGTCGACCGTCAGCGAGTCTCGCGGCTCTCTATCGTAAAATTAATGCTATTTCGCCCATATTATAGACGTCTTGCGGGCGGTAGCCCGCGACAATAGCCCGGAGGTCCTTGAGCCCTTTCTCTACCAGATCCTGGGCTAGCGACCCTCCTAAGGCGCGAAGAGGGCTGGGCCGTCGTGAAGTTCAACAAAAGAAGAAGCTGCCAACGTCGTGCCCCACATCAGCATGCTCAAGTCCCAAGCCGCGATCATGCTGAGCTACGTGACGTCCCAGAGAGGGCAGCAAGCCCGTAGCCATCGGCCACTGGCGTCGCCCTGCGCCGAAATCTGCGTGGAAACTTCCACTAGCAGAGCCGAAGCCGCTGGAGATGTCAGGTCGATCACCGAGCTCATCCTGGGCGTCGTTTCCGTATACGTGGCCGGCGACATGGCCGAAGAGGCGGGCAGCACCCCTATAGGTTGTATATTCTTGACGCGCTGAGCAGTCGTGCACCTATTGGTTGTGACACGATGCGCTATTGCCACACTCCGTCGAAATAGCTCCCTCGGGGGCTTGAGAATGAGGAATCTGTTGCACATCACGGCGCGGTGTGTTTTGGGCGTGTCATCGCAGTTGATGAAGTTGTACTGGATGTTGTTGCTCATGTTTCCTGTTGGCTTAAAAAAGCGAAACAGCAAGAAACTTTTAAAGAGAATTTTTACACACCATCAACTTACGTTTGACGACGTTACATGACCACCGTGATTTACGGTACCGTCGCTGTTATTCGCCGCTGCAAGTCGCACCTGCAATGACAGTCACTCGTGTCTATTGATACGGATAGGGTAGGAGACTCCATGTAGTGTGATTCGGGTCATTTCTTGACACTATCCGGACACCAGGGGTATACGCTGGCAACAATACTCAATTACATCGCTATCGCCCTTTCAGGTTCCGTCATAACTTGGCACAGTCGACGGCTTCGGCGTTTTATCCAACGGGATTTAAAAAATAACCTACAAGCTGTTGCGAATAGGCAGAACCTTCATAACCTCAGCTTCCATGAATACGAGTAAAACTCGTTCTATCTTTTATTATCTGCCTTGGTTGACCTCGCGACCATGAAAGTTGCACTCGGTGACGGACTCCTAACTTCTCATAATTTTCAACTTCTTTCATGCCGTTACTTTTAGCGTTGATACCAGTATCAAGCGTTTTGTTAATTTTGTATCGGTAGCCTACTACCTTGTATCACATTAGGCGAGGAACCACCGTGGCGTAGATTGTATGTGTTACACCAGGACTATGCTTGTCGTGGTTAGGCGAGACTGCCAACGAACTGATTTTTCTCTGCTGAAGGCACAGCAACAACGATTTTTAACCAAGCTAAATCCTTTGGTATCATTTAAAAACGTTAATACAGTTATGTGCGTGAATACCGAACGCCTGATATATATAAGGTCTCCAAGAGTATAAGAATACTTTAATTTGAGCCTAGAGCTAAAGAACCTCTTATACGAGAAGCACAAGGCCGAGCCGTCGCTGACACACTCGCAGCTCGCTCGCTGGGCCACGCAGCCGTTCCAGACCCAAGGCAATGGCAAGCGCACTACAGTCCAAGGTATCCTCTTTGTGCGGAATTCGTCGACCTGCTGGGCGCCCAGCGCCAGAGCAAGCGCCGCTGCTCCCTGACCCTCTGCGCCCCTGACCAGAACGTCATGCAAAACTTGGCAGAATACAAGACGTGGCACGACTACGCCACCACCAAGGGCTCCACAGTGCAGAACTTCGTGCTACGCGAAGTTGTGGAGCTACCTAGCTAGTGGCCATCCGAGCCTCGGGTGGCTCTACCGCTTTCAGCAGCGGATAGGGCTGCGGTTCCCCTTGCGGTACGGCGAGCGGCTGTTTGGACGGACCGGTGTGGCTGGAACCCACACGCCTTGTTGATTGGCGCTAACATTTCCGTACACATGGGGGTGGTACTGAGCGAGGAGCATTCCTTCATCTCACCGATGACAGGGGCAAGGAAACTTTACAGACATGCTGCGTGCTCTGTAGCGTGCTAACACGGGCCAAACTTCGTTGTCCGTAGATATGAAATCGCATCTCATGATTGAGTGCTGGAGCTCGAATGGTGCTTCTATTCAGTGTATTGATCCGAATAATGTGATTCGAATTAACGCATTTTGTGACAAGAACATCATGACGGAGTGGATTGACAAAGCGGGGGTCCCGACATTCGAGAATGTATGGCAGTGGGTCCGGTCGTAGCGCCACCGAGTGCACGCCGCCAGATGCCCGCCACCAATAGCGATAAATGGTACATGCAACTAGTCTGCTCCTGTACTCCGATACATGCAATGTGGCTCCAGCCATCCTGTAAGCCACTCAACTACTGCGACATCCTTCTGCTCCCGCAGCTTCTCTTCTCTTGTCTCCACGTGCTCTCTCTTCTTCTGAGGTATTCACCAGCACCTTCGCTCCGTGCGACGTCCACCACCGTTGCGCCACCGTTGCGCCATGAAGCTCTTTAAGGGTAGCCTTAGAGATCTCTACACTAAAATGGTTATTGAAAACCGCACGTTCTCGGATGCAGCCCTGAAGCAACGGTATATTGCCGCTTCAGTGCTGCAGGCGTCGGACAGGGTCGACGAGGAGTTTATCTGTAACGCTTTTTTTAGCTCGGCTTTTTTACGAAGGGCCCGCGCGACGAGAGAGGGTTCTTTAAAACTCCGAAGCTCGCTCTTGAAGGAGCAGTTGATAATTCGAAAGACAATTAATGCTGTCGGGTTGGTCGAGAGGGGGGGGGCTAAGTGACCCACAGCTCAGCAAAGGCAAAATATTGCGAATTAAGACGGCGTCCTAGAAACGTTCGAAGAAATCAACGAGGACAATGCGTATAGTGTGCCACAGAAACATAAATCGAGGTATCCACTACTTATCAAACCTCGTGCTCTCTGTAGTAAGCAGAACTTCGTCTACCATCCACCAAGGCGAACAAATGGCTGAAACCTCTTGCTAGTCCAAGTTCATCTTCCGCGAATTACGCTACCACAACCGAGTGCAAGTTGTAGTTCTCGCTAGGCGTGCAACCAAGGAGAGAAAGCAACAACAGTAAAATAAAAGCATGAAGAAGAAAAAAGGCTCGAATTGCTGGTTTACCTGCAACAGGGGAGAAGTGGCTTCTTTTTTAGTACCTTTTACCCCACGTCGTGAGACGCTGTAAGTGGATTATGAAGAAAACTATTTACACACATTCCTCTATATCTATGCTTATTCTCATCATGTGCTCAGTCTGAAGCAAAAGAGGAAGTGATCTCGTCCTCGGACTTCGTCCTCGGGCGGCTACCATTCCTCTGCTTCATATCCTCATCGCACAAACAGTTTGTGGGCAGGCTTTCTCTGTCCTATGTCCATAGATAAGAGTTCAGAGCTGAACTTCCCTAGAATTTGCTAACAGATTAAACAGGTGTTCAGACTTTTCTCTCTCATTTGCCTATTCTTTTCTGTAGCCGGCAAGCCGGCTCTTCTGCCGACTGCCCTGCTGCGAGGAACGACTGCTCTACTCAACACTTCCACTATGTGCTAGGGGCAAGGTTCAGATGATGAACGCCTAGCTTTTCGCTTAGTGTTATAAAGTGCTTTGTGGGCAGTGGCTTAGTCAGATTGTCTGCCGTCATATCTGTTGTCGAACAGTAGGCAATCTTGAGGCGACCGAGTTCAACCAAGTCAACAAGTACCGAATCTCAATGTGCTTGTTTGTCTTGTGATTTCCAGGGTTCTTAGCAATGCGGATGGCTCCGTTGCTATCGCTGATTGTGCATGAAGAGTGATTGCCACCAAAGTGCCATATCGGAGGCTTTCCGTGATGGCTCCGTTACTATCGCACCAAACCTGCTCTGGTTCCTTCTGTGGAAATCCCATTTCCCCAAGCAGATGCCACAGCCACTCACTTTCCTTGGCTCCTTCGCTAAGTGCAATATGTTCTGCTTCAGCAGTCGAGAGTGATACGCTTCCCGTTCGCTACTGCACCAGGATACGCTTGTTCCTGCCATTTGAATCATATATTTAACCGATTTGCGTTCTTTAGGTTGACACGCGAAGCTCGCGTCTATGTACACTTTGTAAGTCACGTCACTCGTGTTCCCATGGAGTAACAGACCGTACGTCGACGCCCCTTTCAAGTATTTGAGTACCCACCTAGCCGCTTCCCAGCGTGCGCGGCCGTAACAAGAAAGAAACTTGCTTAGCTCCATTACTGCATTAGCAATGTCCGGGCCCGTCCCACGGGCCAAGTATTGGAGCGATCCAACAATGCCTCTGTAGTCAAAAGGCTGCGCAGCTATCTGCTCTGCGCTCAGCTTCGTCTTAGGCTCGAGTACGAGTTCTGGAACTTGCGGTGTCATCACTGGGGTGCTATTGACCAAGTTGAACTTACTGATCAGCTCTGCAATGTATTTGCGCTGCGAGATCATCATCGTGCGCTATCCTCTATTGCGATGCACCTCCATTTTCAGGATGTGGTGAATGTCTCCCAGGTGCTTCATTTTGAACCGACTTGACAGCTTGGCTTGAAGCCTGATGATGAATCTCATGTCGCGTGGCATAATTGTCAGATCATCAACATATACCACGACTATAAGCCATTCATCTCCCACTTTTGGCACATAGATGCAAGACTCTTTGTGGCAGCGTACAAAACCCATCGACGTCAGGAAGGTATGAAGGACCCTATACCAGATGCGAGGGGCTTGGCTTAGGTCATAGATGCTCTTTTTAAGTTCACAGATCGGGTTTCCGTGACCTCGCTTCACAAACCCACGTGGTTGCCGCATGTATATCTTCTGCTCACCCTCCATAATGCCATTAAGGAACGCAGTGCGCACATCCATATGGTGAATGTGGCAATCTAGTATCGTCCCAATCGCCAGAACTGAGCGGAGCAACTCGAATCTCGCTACTGGCGCGTATACCTCGTCGCAGTCCACACCAAACTCTTGGTGGTGTCCTTGTGCAACAAGTCGTGCCTTAAGCCGCTCGACAGTCCCGTCGGTGTTATACTTTACCGCAAGTACCCAGTGGCCTTGCTTCTAAGTGGCAAAGGTACGAGTATTCTCAATCAGAGAGTCATACTCTCGCTCCAGAGCTTGTTTCCGCTGCTATCCATGTCGTCCACTTAGTGCCGCCTTCAGTGTTATCGGCGTAGGCACTTTGTGCCCAAGGACATCACTCGCAATGGTAGTGTCAATAAGTGCCCTGATACCTCTTTGGCTTCTTAGTCTCACAGCGCGGTCGTGACTCGCGGGTTGGCGGTGCCTCCGTAAGTCCAGCACGTCGGCGCTTATTCGAAGCTCCCACCGCCTCAGCGGTCGCCTTAGCTCGTGTGGTAACTCCCACTGGCTGGGTAGTCTCGCTTGGCGTCGCCTTAACTCCCGCTGCCTCGGTAGACTCTGGCAGGAGTTGCCACTCCCACTGCTGCGGGTAACTCTCGCGCAGCAGATTCAGAAGTGACAGCAGGCTCGGTCTTGCCGACAGCCCGCTGAACTATAGTAGCTGCATTGGTGGACATCTCTTGATAGAATGTGCTTGTCGTTGTAGATGTCCCACAAGCGGTAGCCCTTTGTGTCTTTCTGACATGCCACGAAACCGGCACTTTAGTGCTTTAGCTGGTAGTTTCTTGTCCTTTCTCAGCGCTGTCGGGATGTGGGCAAAGCACACTGATCCCCAGACTGATAGCTACCTCACGTTCGGTGGTGTTCCGTGCACCATCTCGTGCGGCGTTTTGTGTACATCAGTGCCTCAGGCCACCATCGGTGGGCCATATCCGCATCTTTCAATGCACAGCGCACTCGGTCGAGTTTGCTCTGATGATCCATCTCTGCAGCTCCATTCTCTTCGAGGCTGTAGGAATTGGATGTCTGAAAGACAATCCCCATGCCTTTACTGAAACTTTTAAAGGCAGAATTGACAAATTCAGTGCCCCCATCAGACCGAATCCTATGGATCTTAAACTTTCCGTCACGTTCCAGCTGTAGTAACAGCCCTTTCACTTTCTCAAACACTTCTTTTCTTTGTGCGTAGGGCGTATGTCCAGCGCCATGATGTGTTGTCGTCGATGATGCTCAGGAAGTACGGATTCGTTCCTATGCTCCCATACACTCCCATGGTTTTCATGGGGCCATTTGTATCCATGTGTATCGTACTGATCGGCTGAGTGTCTCTGGATCCTGTGGTGTTACGATATGACATCCTCCTCTTCTTCATCTCTGCGCATGTAGCACAGAAGAAGGGGATTTTGCGCAGCTCAGATGCTGGTAGTGTAGGCATCCCGGCTATCAACTTCTTGCTGAACATGGCAATAAGCTGCTCTTTATTGATGTGCCCAAGTTTTACATGCCACTCCTGCAGTGCGCTCTCTAGCCTACCGGTCCCAGGTAAGACTAGAGGCTTGCAAGGCCTTTGTTTGACAGCGTTGCACAGCAACTGCCTGTCTTTCACTGTTTTGGGTTGTAAATAGTATGCTCAATTGATTGCACGAGCTACAAACACTAAACTGTTTTCATAAAGTACAAATTGTACTCTCCAGTCTGAGATCCCAAAATTTGGTACCCTACCCTCTTAAGCCAATATTCACTCAGAATGTTGAACTTTGCATGCGGTACAAGTGCTATGTTCTCAAAAAGAAACGATCAGACCCCATGTGGGCCACGAAAATACAGTTTAATCGTTCCAACGTGTGTATTCGTATGTTTAGACCCTTGTGCCAAAGTAAACATGTATCCAGAGTCAGGTCGTTTCTCTACGAGCTTGGACTCATCACTGGTCAGGCCGAATCCGCATCCTGAGTCCGGTACCCACGAATCTTTCGTCAGCAACTTGTCACAATCAAGCAAAGAACGATGGTCAGACCGTACCTTCTACTCGAAGCTCATCTGCAACTGATTCAGCTGCGTCGAGATGTCTCGAGCCATTCATGCGATCCAGGGCAGACTGAAGGCGCTTCGCGTCGTTCATCGTGGTGACCGCAACTTCGGCCACCCCAGACGAGATCGACATGTACGACCGACTGGACCTCCTGGATCCGTGTGAGTGTCTCGAGCGTCCTGGCCGGCTGGACCGCCTGGACGAAGACCTCCGCTTCGACTTCGAGGACCGCTTCGAGGAACGTCGGTGACAACGGCTCCTGGTGCTGCTGGTCTCCGACTCGCTGGACGACTCCGAGCCTAATTCAGACTCATAGCGGTGCCGGCGGTGTCTGGACGAGGACTTGGTCCTGGATCTGTCCGTCCGAGACTTGGAGGTCTGAACGGACTCGGCCATCTCGACATCATCCTGGTCGGCGCGCTTCGACACGACACGCTGGGTCACGTAGTAACCCACCGCGCCTCCACCGACCGCAAATCCAGGACGGCCAGCCTGAATCGACATAGCCATCGGACCGTACGTCGAGGGCGGCATGTGGGCGCCAGCGCTGAATCCAAGTCCGATCGAGGGCGAACTCGCGGAGCTGGTCCTGGATGGGTTGGATCCAGACATCGTTCCGTACAGGGAGGCTTCCGGGGATCCAGAAGTACCGACCAAGCTCGGGACAGGTCCGAAGTCGCATACTCCTGGATCGGGGCGGCCTCCTCCGCCTGGACGACATCACTCCGACTGGAGGTCCTGGGCGACGGCAATTCAGACGGGCTCGACGCGGACGGCAGCGACGCAAGCGGTGGCCGGGCTGGATGGTGTTGTTGGCGCTTCGGTTTAGGCTCGCCATCGGACGACCCTCCTGGACTCCTCGTCGGGCGAAGACCAGTCAGCTTGAGGCGGAGAACGTATTCCCGGACGAGTAGGCCTAGATCGTAATCCGTCATCAATAGATCTCCGTCTTGATCTTCAGCGTGGTAATCCTGGATGGATGCTTGTTCAGATTCAGGAGTCTCTGATGCTTGCGCTTTCAGGACAGGGATGATCTTGAACGTAGCACCGACAGCAAGTGAACGCCACTCCACCAGTTCCAGGGCCAGCGGATGCGGTACGTCCTGGATGACCACTCGCAGCTTGGCTGGGGCGACCTTGGCCGCTCTCGTCCTGAACCAGACCGGAACCAGATTGTCAAACCTGAATTCAGCCTCCAAAAGCAGGCTTGCAGGATGGCCATGCACTCCCGCGGTGTCAGCATCTGGACCGGAACCTGGACAGCCATAAGATCCTGGGCAGTGCTCAAGTCCCGACGGTCGAGACGAAGTTTCGCGATCCAGCATCCATACTGGTCCTCCAAGAGTGCTCGCGCACTGAGGTACCTGGACGTGGTCAACATGGCGGCCATCCAGGGCTGTGCATCCGGCTTGGCTGTCGGCCAGGAGTACTCTACAGTGGGCGGGATCACGCGCTCGGACTCCACCCGCTCCCACCTGGACACTTGCTGCGCAACGTACGCCTTCTCCTGGACCTCGGCGAACCTCTGGTCAGGGGTTCCCGACCGAAGCGAGCCTGGATTCGGAGCTTGGCCCGGGATGACTTGATTTGGGGTCGTCTTGGTCGAAGCTTTCTGGACCGAGGATTCAGGGTTCGTCGTGGTCGCTTGGGCGGACGGCGAGGTCTCTTGCGAGTCCTCGAGCTCGTCCACTTCTTGGACAGTCGGCAGCGGCTTGTCTTCCAGGTTCGGGGCCTCCTTGGACTCCGCATCTTGATCCGGCAGCGGAGAGTCCGAAACTCGATCCGCCGCCGGGGGATCAACCTCATTGGCGGGCTCATCCTGGACGGACTCACCCTGATCTTGGACAGTCTTCGCGTCAGGATCCTGGACGTATCCGGGGACACTTGGTGCGCGTCATCCTGGACTGACGGTACTGGAGTCGGCTCCTTCTCCGATGACTTGGCCTTCGCCTCGCGGGTCGCCTTGCGCTTTGCTGCACCTGCCTTCCGAGCAGCCCGGACAACCTCGTCCAGGCTCGCGTGCTCCTCCGGCGGCAGCCCCTGAGACCTACGCGACTGGCGCGACGCATCAACGCGTCCCTCGCTATCGCGTCTTTCCTCGCGCATGTCTTCTCCGCTTCCTCTCGCCATAAACGCTTCGGTCAGAGAGTTAGTAGACTTCGCAACCTCAATCCTAACAATTTATGTAACCACAACTCTGTGAAGTCCCAAACGATTCGAATCCGGGCACGCGCACCAGCTGAGGCGAGGCGTGTGAACGCCTTTTGCCGCCCAGGTGAACAGTGGCCCGAAAAAGATCTAGACTTGTCCTCTCAAAACAACCCTGGACGAGCACTAGGTGTCGTCCCGGGTGGTGCGTGTTTCTTGTGGAATCCCTTTGGGTGTCGTTTGTCTTCGAACGTGAGACTTGCACTTGGTGAGTTGCGGGAAACAGGATAATATCGCTAGGACCAGGAAGCAGAGCCAACGCACACTTCAGAACGCAGCTTCCACAGCCTGGATCCGGAGAGATAACCTTAACAATACAGAGCTATACACAAATATACAATACACACAACCGCCACTTTACCTTTGGTTGGCCCTTGGACGGTGGGCCCTACACACCAGTCAACAAAGAGGGTAGATCCAGGACACTGGCAAGTCCAAGACCCTCAATCAGTCGCGCACCACCCTCAATCAAGAGGGAAACGCCGAATCAATACAAAACACAGTCCTTCCTATCACTCAGTAGCCTATCGACAAATCACTAGGTGGTGACTACCTCAACCGCCCTAGGAGTAGCTTAATATGAAATGGCAGTGCTGTACAGGACAAACACCCCAACTAGAATATGAAATAAAGCTTATCAACCCTGGTCGTGCGACAACTCAGGTACTCGCCTTAACTTGGTCTGATATTTACTATGGGAGCTCCACACACGACCCTTACGCTGTTAGCCGAGGTGCCCTGAATGCAGGGAAAGAACCGAAGACACAAGGCTCCTTTGAGTCTGAACCAGCTCTGAATTGCCTGGCCCCCAACCGAAGACACTTGCGCTGTACTCAGGAAAACGAACTCTGGTCTTATCTTTGTAGGCTATCACTAATCGTAACATGCAGTCTTGGAAGTTTTATCTTGGTTTTAATATGGGTTGTCATTGATCGAGTCGCAAGATCCAACGGGGATCGGCAGCACAACTGGGAGGGAGTCCAAGGTTCCATGTGCCGAGCAGATCTTGGTCGGTCGGCTTGGTCGGTCGTTAATGTCTTGGGTTTGTATGGTCAGATCTTGGAGCTTGGAGAGTCGTCCATTAGGGATACACGTTGTCGATTCAGGATACACGGGCTTCGGTCAGGCGGCTTGGATGTCGACGAGCTTGGTCGGGCATCTCTTCGGCTCTTGCGGCATGACTGGCTCGAACTTGGCTGGGGAACTTCCGGGCTGGTAGGCTTCAGGATCTTCGGACTTGGCCCAGCCTGGATGCACCTTGATCATCCTGATTCAGGGCGCTGAGTGCATATCCAGGCTATTCCCGCCACTTGGATCCTGGATCCAGCTAGAACCAGGCCGTCAATGTGGGGCTCGGGCTGAAATCTGGAGCCGCATCGTGTCAACTTCTCATCGTAGTCGGGACAAACTGGGCTTCGGCGTCTGCGCCCTTGGACACCTCGAAGTTGCTGTTGTTCTCGATCTGGCCATAGCCAGCACTAGTCAGGCAACACCATAGAGTGCGACACCGTAGCTGTTGTTGGCCTCGACGGGGAACCGCGTAACTATTCTTTTGTCGCGACGTTGAACAACTCGCGGTATTGGAGTACTCGCCCGCTTCTTCACGGTTGGCAAGTGTCTGTAGTAACAGAGCCGCGTTGCTGTCCGCTGAGGTCTTCGCTCGTGTCAGCCCTCGTCTGTTCACACGTATCACCTCAGCATAGACACATAGCGTTAGCAAACATGAGTGGTGGTGTTATAACATCACTGATCAGCGCGGTCTTCGGACTCCGCTGGTGCGGAGGCAAATTCTCCCAAAGAATTTTCTGGCAGTCAAAGAATCTGACAGTGCTCCCCTCTCCGAAAATGTTTTGGTAGAATATACGTGTAAGTATGTGTTCTAAGTAGCCCGATTTTAATGGACGGAGTATAAAACAATTTTCAGCATTTAAGGGGCTTTCTCAATACATTCCATAGATCGAACATTTTGAATTGTGGTAATTCAAAATGTTCGATCTATAGAATGTGGTAATTTTGGCTACACGTCCTTCTGTCTTTTGGCTAAATAACCTCAAAAACTATTAGCTTTGCTATTGCGTTATGATTATTAAGCAAACTAAGGGGGGCTTAACGCTCCGTTTGAAAAGTAGGGGTGGTGATTTGACTCCGCTTTTCAGTAAAAAGCAAGGGAACGCCATAGCCTTTGGCGAGCAAAGTTCTTGATAAATGTCATTTGGATGATTGGGCAAATACGAGAGCAAAACTGGGGCTGACGGATCGTACGGGTAAAGGTTTGCGCCGACGCGGGGAAGCGCTAGATGAGTAGAACGTGACGAACTCATTCGCAACAACCGTGACGAAGACTTCCCAATCGGCGGAGCTCCTAGCGGCGTGATAGACGGAAGAAAGGATCGGAGGAACTACGCTAAGCGCGGTCGTGGTGTAGAAACGCCTACCAAGTTGAGTGATGAGTCAGCTCTAGTGGATAATACGGTCAATTTACCGGTTGCTACGTATAATAGGATTGCACTAGGAGTGGAATGCGATAAGATTACAGAGGAGTCGTTGTGTAAGGATGTTATCAGCACAGCATTTATTGCAGAACTTACACCTATGGCTGAAGCTGTTCGGGACGGCGATGCGGAGACGGTGACACTGTAATGTGCTGCTGATGTCGACTGTATGGCAGTTCGTGTATCAAACTTAACGAACGTGGTGCTTCCGGGTATGTTGTTGAAGTTATTCGCGAAATCGGTGGATGCATGGCAGCATCTCGTATCCAACTTGAGAATGAGGAAGCTAGAGATGCAGTCGTATCTGCGCTTGCTGCTGTTGAGGAACATCATGCCGCTCTTCAATCCTTCACCGACGATGCAATGGAAAAAGTGAGAAGTTCCAAGAGATATTTGACGCAATGAGAACCTACCGAGCAACGCCGTCAAATTTCCTGGGGATTGGACGTATTGCGGATACAAGTACTTTTGAAAGGGTCGATTCGGGCTCGGGCAAAAACGGTTGCGGTGGTACCGATGCTGCCCTGAGGGTGATCATATGAGCGTGTCGAAGTCTAACACAAGCAATGATGCTGAAGCTGCCTGTACGTTTCTATTGATATACATTCCGAAGAAGATTCTGCGTCGTCACCAAATGAGATTCCGGGGGTTGCTGACCAAGCAAGAGAACGCTCCCCAGCGACGTCTATTTCCACCGTTCAAACTTCATATACAGGAATTCAAAAGTAAAAGCGGTCTGAACGAAAATCATCTTCGTCTAAAAGGCGGTGTGACCTATCGAATGGTGATGGAAGCTCCGAAGAGGCATGATAAGGGACGCAAATGCTAAGGCGATTAAGAAAACTCCTCGCTCCTGTGCGCAGAGGTTGAGGGACCAACACTACTACTTGGATGCAAAGTAGGCTTCATTTAGGCGTCCAACTCGTAATTCGCTTGATTAATTCTAGAGCAATTGGTATCAGGTGGGTCTTACGTTTTCTTAGGTTACCTGAGACAAAAAGACAAACGTTTCTGCCAATACATTGAGCCCTTTTCTGGGGCGGGTACACGAACACAAAAACAATCGTGAAGTACCGTTTTGACGACAGATAACGGGATTCCCGCATTTGCGCCTCCTGGCTTAGAAATATTTATCTAGTGCTCCTTTGCCGTATCTCTGTATCAATGACACTTACTACCGAACAGTATATATGTTGTAGACTGTAAAGTACGCAAGGTCCTTCCAGTGGATGCATAATTAGTAGATGGCGCCATTAACAAAAGGCGCAATCGGTTCTTTTTGTTGATGGCGTCTGACCAGCGATCAACAAACGTGTGGCCGAGGAAGAGTTGCGTGCACTAGCGCGGTGAAATAAAGTGCAAAGAGGACTGCGATTTATATGAGAGCATGTCTATAAATTGATTAGTGATTTTGTTCACTACGTAGCTCCCAGGTTTTACTCCTCTGCATGTTCGGTCTCTCTGTTTCGTTCACAAACCGACGTTTGTTGTGACCTGTTTTCTTGCATGTACTGCATTTGTACTTGCTGCGTTTCTTCATTATCACTCCAGATATGGCTTCGCTCATGACGGCAATTAAATCGCTCGTCGCAGAGTCGTACGTGGTGGGGGAGGAAACGCTACCTAGACCTGTAGGTAGCTCCCCTCGACTTTTGATCTGTTTTTCAGCTCTCAAGCGATCCTGGCCAAGATGTGCCACTGAGCCCAAGGAACCTCCAGCTTGGCGATAGCGTGGAGGGGAACGAATGAGGGATTCGCGGGTGAGCTCGGTGTCTGTATGAATACTGATGCCAACATCACTAAACGCGGCATTGTAGCTCGGGGTAATGTACGCTTGATGGAAAGCATCTTTTAGTGCGGAATGGATGCTAAAGTTGTTATCTTGCTTGTTTCGAGTGTAAATCGCAACAATCAGGTGCGCGCACGGAATAAGTTTGTGGACGCGGGTACTGCACCCCTCGCACTCCAGTAAATCGATGTCAACGCTAAATCTTTTGAGGTTTGCAAGGTTCAGTACCTTTCGAAATAAAACGCTGAGACACAGAATATTTTGCAGGGGTCCATTTGCATACCTCATGGGTCGCAGCTAGATGCAGTTTTTCTCGGAACGCACATACCGCCCTTGTAGTCACATCATGGCTAGCGGTTAGCCATTCGCAGGCATTGGCGGTGTTAGATGCGACAACAGACATGACCCTCAAGCAAAAGCGGTAGAATCCTTCTGGCACCAGAGAGTTACGAAGATTGTTCCACAACAACGCATTGTTTTCTCCCTCTATGACACTAGTAGTCCGAACTCTTAACAACGGCTTAGGGGATCCGTACGCTGGGAACTCACCCCAACCTCGCTCGGTGTACGCCTTATCATTATCGCCAAGCGTGCGGTTCCCAAATATCGACCATCTAGTCGGGTGAATTGACCGCATATAATCTGCGATGTGTTGTTCAGCTTTAGTTCCCGCGTTAATCAGTGCGAGAAATTCTTCGTTGATTTCAGCCAAAACAGATTCGTAGTTGAAAATGGCTACAAAGCTCTCACGTCGCGGATTCTAAGGCCCGTTCTTATGTTCCCGGGGCGAGTCCCGGCGGGAATTCGTTCCAAAGTCCCAACATAAGAACCAAAACTTGGGATATTTATGTCAGCCACATAAACGTTTAATTATTATATAACCTCCTATAATTAATAATAATTTACAGGCATGTGAGCGCCAGTGAATTTGGCGCCACCGCTAGTGCTTTGCCGCCAAGTGTTTCATTCATAAAATAATGATTGAAGGAAACAATGGCACTACAGGTAGCCATGGAAAGCGTTACATTGCAGACGAGGAGACAGAATTGGTAGGTGAATGGGTGTTGGTGTATATGAATACGTTGAATGAGCGCAGTGAGAAGCACAGCGGTCCACGGTTTGGGTGGGATACGTTCACTTGGAGGTACCTACTCATGCAGGACGCTTCCAGCGTCGTTATAGAATGCGTTATGATGCATTTCAACAATTTTGTGGGTTCTTAGTACCTGTTCTACGTGTTTACCTTCCATACTCTATCGTTCGTGTTGAAGTTGTCTTGCATTGCACGCTACGATGGCTGGCAGGAGGGTGCTTTGAGGACATTTCTGCCATAGCATCAATGAGTGTCCCAACATTTTTTTTGTTATGTGAATTGTGGTATGAGTGTATTACTTGCATGTGAAGAATTGGATATAAACTTTCCTTTATCGGAACCAGTGATGAAAGATCAATGCAATTCATTTGCGTCGATTAGTGTGCATGTGTGCTAAGGGATTGTATCGGTGCCGATGACGGTTGGCTGTGTCGTATTAAAACGCTCGGCAAACGTGAAACCGCCCATGTTATATCCAATTTTCTGGCCACTATCACTGTTACGGCGTTAACGTACAGGCTTCATGTGATCACCTCTCTCGTTTTACATCTTTTTTCATTAAATACCCTGGCGGTACATATGATATTCGAGCTTTTCAGCTTTTGTCCTTGCATCGTGTGTGTAATAAGCTTCCGCTTGGCGACTATCTAGTGGGAGACAATGCATATATACCTACATAAACTATGCTAACACCATACAGCGCGGCAGATAGAATGGATGTGACTAAGGGTTGTCGTGTAATTCAGTCTCTACTTAAAAGTAATTACAGCATCACGTACTCTCGCACTAATATTAATGGCAAATTCAGTTTTCAGTTTTGCATTACCATTAGCCATGCAACGTGTATTACAATGCTGTTAGCTCAAGCACGATTCCATCTCGCTTTTCAACTTTGCAATACAGCTTTTCAGGTCCGCAAACTCCGAGGCTTCAGCCGTAAGTTCTTGTAACGCTAGAAGCGCAAGCTCCCGTCGCATCTCGCGCAGGTTTTTCTGCAGCGTAACCAGTAGCTCCACCGTGTCCCTCTTCTGGTGAATCGCTGCAGCACGCATCGTCGCAGCGATCGTTCTTTTGGCTCTTCAACATGATGCTTTCTTCAAAAAAACTAATTTGGCGCTTTGTCAGCACAGCCTTGTCTTGATTATTAGCAAAGTCCTTAAGAACGTCAACAACTTTGTCCGTGCGAGAGCCTACAAGGGGTTATTATCACATTACGACACAGTTAACTAAGAATCATTTTGTACAATTCTTTTAAAAAAAAGTTACCGATTTTAGTTGGGGTCGGTTTTGCAGGTTTCCGCGCGGATCTGGAGCCTATCTAGTCAGCCATTAAATCCTCCGGCAGTGTCTGAATAATGCAGGCGTGTAGGTTTGGCCGCATAATTGTAGTCAGTAGGTGGAGGTAGTACATGTCCATCCTACCTCCATGAAGGCCGTGAAGGGGGCTTGGTTTCCGGAAGTTGTAAATCTTCCATCGGCTTCATGCCTCCCTTCAAATGGTCCACAGCTTCTTGCTGTCGTGGTGCCTGAACGCCGCGGGGTCGATGGTAGAAAACGTAGGCCTTGTATGAAATAAAGCGTTAAAAGTTTCATTGTCTTCATCGTTGTAGGCCGCCGTAATCTTTGTCCACCAGGGTGATGCGCTACCCAACGTGTGCGTGTCAAGTCGCTACGTCCCCCAGAGTAGCAACCCCCGCGCAGAAGACATCCGAGAAGAGGACATTCAGCAGCCTAAAGACACATGCCACTGTGTGGTGTAGTGCCCAGCGAGGAAGCGGGCACGTCGGCGTCGGTGAAAGAAGGCGCCGAGACGAATGGTGATGGATGCGGATGATGAACTCGACGCAGTTGATGAAACGCGACGCGATTGATGGGGGCGACGCGCGGCAGAGGTCGACGGAAAGTCGACGCGGGTGATGGGCCGCGAGACACAGCGACAGAGTCCAACTCGACGTAATCATCCGACGAGTCGACCAGCGCCTCGTCTCTGCAAAACGCGTCGACCCTAATCCCCACCGAGCAAAACCCGCCGAGCAAGACGCGCCGAGCAAAACGCGACGACCAAAACGCGTCGAGGTAAGATCTTGATTACGCCACGCAAATCAGGTTGAAGGACGGCAGTGCAAGCACGACAGAAGTAGGGATAGGCACAGAACGATAGGCTTAGCAAGCAGTAGTACGGAGTAGCCAGTAGCTAGGGCATAGGATAGGGTAAGGACTCAGTCCCGAAATTTCTCTGAACCACAAAGACCTCCCGTCTTCTCCGAGGTTCCAGGGGAACCACCAAACGCCGGCAAGTAGAGCCGCCTCGATATCGCGGCCCCCCGTCGTTTGCTGGTTCGGGTGCTCACCCCCCACAGACCCGTGCTGGAACAAAGGCACGTTAAACGTATACCGTTTAGGTGGGCGCCCGATAACGCGCTGCCTAGGCTAAGGACCGCACTGGCCTGATAACCGCCGTGCACAAGACCCCCCGTGTAGGCCCGATAACGCCGCACGCCCGACGGGAACGCCGAGGAAACGCCAGCCCGATAACGCCGCACGCCCGACGGGAACGCCGGCCCGATAACGCCGCACGCCCAAGGCTCGACGCCCTACGACAAGGAACAAGCGCCAACACAAGAACCCCCCAACTCCGAAGCCTGCGAAGACTTGGGTCTGTATTTCGAAGATACGCTACTCCAACAACCGGGAATAATTTGCTCGGCGCGACCGCTATCCAGACGCGCCGAGTTTGTGCGAGATCGCATTCGCGAGATTTCTGCGAGGGCGCTACTCCACAATGGTGCCGCGGCCCGGAAGTACTACTTCGAATGACGGGCTAACGATCCAAGAGGCATCGGAGGCAGGTGCGCAGTCGGCTGGAAGGTCGCCGACCGCAAGAGAGCACAGTGAGAGACCTGTCGCGTCGTGGAGCTCTGAGGGAACCATCACGACAGGCCACGGGGCCAGCGACGACCAGGAGGGCTACGAAGAACAGTTTGCCGTTCCCGATGTGGCTCCCGACGAGGGAGCCGCGAAGGGCCGCGACTTGCGTCGCGGCCCTACCGGTCGGAAGCCTGCAAAGGCCGACGATCAACAACAACCCAGCCACGAAGCGCAAGTCGCACAAGAGGAATAAGAAGAAGAAGCTGCGCGCGCCGGACTCGGCGGAAGCGTCGCTGTCCAAGCCGCAAGGCAAGGACGCGGGGCGCCAGTACACCGTCGAAGAGGTGCGGTACGTCGTGGCGCGCACTGAGCTCTTCCGGCTGCTGGAGCAAGACCCGATCTTGGTCTTCCTCAAGCCCAAGCTGATGAGCAACTTCACGGGCCCATTCGTCGCGCCGGACTTCGATAGTCTCACCAGCGTCGCCCACGCCGCGCCGATTCTCTTCCAGATGCTGCGTGATTCGGGATTCGTGCTGGGATCTTTCGAGATGGAGAAGCTGTGCGACTGGGACCTCAAGTCCTGGTTGCGCGCGATTCGCGTCGTGCAGGAGCTCTTGACGATTCTCGCCGGGTCCGTCAAACAAGACGCGACGAGTTTCTCAGCGGGCTCAGCCCAGACCTCGACGACCACGCCCTCGCCGCCACCTCGATACCAATCGAGTGTGGACTTCAATAGCAGCTTAGAGTCGCACAAGCGCAAGTCTCCGGAGAAGCTCTGCGCGCCGGATTCAGCGGATGGACCGCCCGTCAAGGCGAGAGGCGATGACACGGGGAATCAGTTCACCGCGGCAGAGATGAGGTATATGCTTGCTGGAGTGGAGCTGATCCGGCTGCTGGAGCACGATTCGAGCCTGCGTTTCATCAAGCCCAACGCGATCAAGTTCACGGGTCCTTTCCGGGTGCCGGACTTTGACATGCTCACGAACGTCACGCGAGCCGCAGGGACACTCCTCGAGATGTTGCACGAATCAGGCTTCAGCTTGGGCATCACCGAGAGGACGGGAGTGTATGACTGGGGCGTCGAGTCGTGGACACGTACGATCCGCGGCGTCTTGGGACCGTTGACGGTCCTGGTCGGATCCATCCAACGCAAGGTGACTCCGCCTGGGACGCGCCCAATCTCAACGCAGATGATAACTTCGTCCCAGGCGGAGTCGAGCGTGCATTCCACGTCGAGGTCCAAACCCCGACGCGACGTAGATGACGAACCCGCCGACTTGTTTGACGTGGACTTCGGGATGCCGAAAACCACGGCCGCGACCTCAACCACGACTTCACCGGAACTGGACGAGGTTTTCAACCATCTCAGCGAGCCGCCGCGCGCTACGCCCCGTGAGGTCACGCCAGCGCGTATCAAGGTTCTGCCGGATCTGAAGGAAGCAATTCCTAAGGTGCTGGAAGAGGAAGAGGCGAGTACGCGCTCTACGATAACTCAGGCGTCGAATACCCATGTCTCTGCGGTTCATGTCGAGCCAAGAATCTCGACGCGAAAAAACTCGACGCAGAAAATGTCGACGCGGGACGCGTCGAAGGAGATGCGCCAGCAAGGACTTGGTAATCACACCGTGATGTCCGTCGCAGTGCCGGTTGCGACGACATCCAGGCGACCGTTGGGCATGGCGCGGGCCTCTACGACTCCCGAGCAATCGCGTTACGACGCACGAGTGCGGCCGGTCTCACTCGACGCACTTAAGCAACTCGACCCAGGGCAAACACTCGACGTCCGCCTGCGCTCCAGCCGAGATGCACCGCGCCTGTGGGTCACGCGCAGCAAAACGTGGGTTACAACCATGTTTAAGACTAAGATCGAGCGACAAACATACCTGCGGGTGACCAACGTCACGGACGAGACAATAACGCTCGACGCAGGCACGAACGTGGGTTGGTGGACACCCTCCGATGTGTTTCCGCCTGCGCCCCGCTTCGTTTTGGCGACTAATCGACAGTACCAAGATTGGCAAAACCTTGCGTATGAAGTGACCTGCGACGAGGACGAGACCTGGCGTGACGACGAGCTCGTCTGGCCCATGTATGATGGATGGCCGACGTACGACGATCTGGAATTCGACGCGCGTCGAGGTGAGCTAGAGGAAGAAGTTCACGCGGATAGCAAGCCCACATCGTACCCTGTAGTCGCTGTGAAGTCACCAACAGTGGGGCTGACCCGTGCGCCAGCGGTGGAGACGTCGTCGGTGAGCAAGTTGCAGACGCGTGGCCACTCGACGCTGTCGCGCGTGGTGTTGAAGACACAAGTCGACTTAGTAACGACGTGTGTACGGTCGGACCACGGGTCGCAGAGAAGCGACAATGCGGGGCGCCCAGCTGAAGCGTCGCGAGTCGAACAACCCGTCGAAGGTGCGTCGGGCGACGAAGCGCGAGGCGCGGAAGGTCGCAGCAATGCGACAGGGTGCGACAGTCGAGCGAACGCGCGCAAGTTGCAAAATCCAACAGGGACAAGTGCGACAGTGTGAGATGTGAGGGATGGAACGTCTCGGAACCGTCCCAGAAGCCGTCCCAGAAGTGCGACACCGTGAGACGGACCGAATGTGACACCGTGGGACAGTTGGACGAAGGGTCGCCCATGAGACGGACGGAATGTGACATCGTGCGACAGTCGAGCGAAGGGTCGAGGGGACGCGACGACGTGAGACTGACCGAATGTGACACTATGCGACGGTCATTAGCGAGATCTCAGACCTGCGACGGTATGCGACTTGGGGACAAAGCTGGAAAATGGCGTCTTTGGCGACATTCCGCCCTCGAGCCCGTGAAGAACAAGCCGAATGTGAACTTCGACGTGGTCGACGAGGGGCCTGACGGTGGCGGGACTGGAGGACCACCGGGGTCTGCGCCAAAAGAGAGGCACCGCGCCATAAACCTAGATCGATTGGTCAACCCTGAGCAAGATGCTGGTCCGAATTGCGCGATCTATCGAAGCGGCGGGTACGCCGCGGCGGGGCGAGTGGTGCGATTTCCTGTTGACAAGCCCGAATGCCACGGCGCACCACCTGGAGGATTGCTGGCGAAGGTACCAGCTGTCACTCGACGGATGTCCAGTGAACTCAATAAGTCTGCGGTCCTGAAGATGGCGGGCAAAGCGGGCGACGAGCCACGCAGCCTGAAGCTACACCGACTTCGAACCTGTGACGCACTACACGTACAACCGCGTTACGGCGTACGTCGAGGCGGGAACACGGGGCCCGACGCACGTGTTGGATGCGTACGACGAGATCAAGAAGACAGCACGACGAATAACTCGTCGCAGATCCGGTGCGCGGAGACGATGCACCGCCGAGAGGTCACCGGGGAATCGGATCCTGGGGAATGCGGTCAACGCTCCGCTGCGGCCGGTTGCACTGGCGCGATGCACAGGGCGAAGGACGGTGCCGACTCGGCGAAGACTCAGGTGGGGGTCATCCAGCCTACTACAGCGCAGAACGCATCGAGCCCGAGCGCGACGAGGGTGCCAGACCCACGTTGCACGACGGACAGTCGCGCTGACGCGAGACGCGGGACGAGCGACGGTGACGCAGCAGGGGCAGGGGTGTTTGTCATACAGCCGGCGGATCACTCGCGAGAAGACATCCGACCCCGGACGTTAGATCCAGAAACAGCGTCACCTGTCAACCTCGTCGCGGAAGATTGCGACGCGAAAAATCGCGACGAGGGAAACTGCGACGAGGCCAACCCTGTCGTCAACGTGCCGGAACGAGAGCCGCCGACGCCGGAGAACATGGATTTGGGGCGCGGGACGGCGTACGTCCTCGTGGTGACGATGCACTCGGCTTCTACACGCGCAACGAACCCCAGAGGCAGAGCTCCAGGTGTCCTACAAGAGCTGGCTGCTCAGAACCCGTCGAGTCTGGTCAAGACCCCTCCCAGAGCAGCTAAAGGCGCAGAGGGCATGGCCCCGGGCATTTTACGGGGCGCGGTGCGCTGGACGAAGACGCGTCTTGCGTCGGATCTGGTTGTGCATTCAAGTTTTTGGGTGGCGTGTGGGTCGCAACGAGAAACACGTCAAGCGACGGTGCCCAGTCAAAGCGCCTAGGGCTATGCGTTCGACAGCACCGCCGACTCGCGCAGGTGAACGCGCTAGAAGTCAACCAAGCTGAACACGTCGCAGATCGGGCTCGGGGCGGAGTCGCGACGACGGACACGGCTGAAGTCAATTTGCCGATACGATATTGCTTGGATTGCGACAGTCCCGGTCTCCCCCACGACCTTAAGCGCATGTCCGACGCACTGGTAGGATGCGAGCTACAACGTCATGAGTGCAACGCGACGGGAAACTCGTCGCAGACCCGGTGCGCAGAGACGCTACACCACCGAGTGGAGATCGTCAGGAAACCAGATGCCACGAAACACGGTCAATGTCGTGCGACGGACAGTCACGCTGAAGCGAGACGCGGGGCGATGGGAAGTGCCCCCGACGCGGCGAGAGCGCAGGGGGGTGGCATCCAGCCCGGTGCAGCGCGGAACGCGTGGAGCCTGAGCGCGACGAGGATGCCAGAAGTTCTACATTGCGCGATGGACAGTCACGCGGAGGCGAGACGCGGGGCGATGGACAGTGGCCTCGACGCGGCTAGGACGCAGGCGGCCGGCAACGAGCCTGCTGCAACGAGGAACGCGTCGAGCCCGATCAGGAGGCCTGTTGCAGTGTCGAAATACGTGGAGGGTCCAACGTCAGTACAGCCCTCAGAGTGCGACGACGCGATAAACAGAAACCCACCTTGCGTCGAGGCTGATTGGGAATTCGAGGTTGCGAGGAGCGTGTCGGACGCCGCGAGTGACTCGTCGCGCGACGGAACAGAGTCGACGCGCCGAGGGATATGCATCCTTCAGAACTGCCGACTCGCGCAGGTGAACGTGCTAGTAGTCGGCCAAGCCGGGGTCGACGCAGATCGGACCCGGGGCGACGTCGCGGCGATGAACAGGGCTGGAGTGAATTCGTTGATGTCATATTGCTGGGATCGCGGCAGAATGGGATCTGCCTACGGGCTAGAGCTCATGCTCGACGCTGTGCCGCGAGACGCCCCGTGTGTGAGCACGTCTTGAGACGGGCTGCACGCCTTGTCAATTTTCGGTCAAGGACGTTTCCAAGTTGTTGGCCTGTGCGCGCTATGATCAATGGGACGACCCCGTCGAACGAGCCCGCCGACTGCCGCGACGAGATGCCGCTAGAAGTGAGCCGGGACACTAGCACTGTAAAGAGCGACGGCGTTGCGTACTCGAAGGTCAGGGTCAAGCACGCCGAGAGGGTTCGCGTTGTGGTAGACTTGGCGCTCTCCTTTAGGTTCGCGCGCGACCGAGAACCGCGGTGTACGTCAAGGGCGATAATCGCCGTCGGAAAACTACCGCACCAGTGCGCCGAGCCCAAGCGACGGACGCTACAGATCGGACGGCATGCGCAGATGCGGCGCGTCAGGTTGTGCACCAAAGCGCAAGGCAGACCAAACGAGTCGCGTCGCGAGACGAGTAACTCGCTTTACCAACTGTCTTTCGACTTCCGCACCTCCAAGCAAAACCCCGTTAAAGAGTTTCCGTCACACGCCGCGACGTGTTTGGCGGTGTCAACGAACGGACCGTTTGACTCCACCGATACGTGTTTACTGGAGCACAGCCTGACACTCGCTCTGGACGAGGATGCTTCCGAAGGGGAGAAGTCCTTGGAGCTGCATGCCGGTCGGGCTTCCCGACCTGGCTGCGCGCGCCGCGAGTCCGACGTGACCTGGAGAGGGTGTACCGACGAACTGGATCTCAACTGCGGAAAGTGGCGGTGCGACTTCTCGCGACAGCATGCTGGTCGTTACCGTCTTGCGGCGATTTCGCGCGAGGACGTGGGGCGGCTGAGCTGAGCCCTGGTGGGTGAGCGCCTTCAGTGGCGCGGTGGAAGTTGGCAGGGTGGCTGCCGACAGGTGGATAGGCGGAGAGCCTCGACTCTGGGAATGGCCGGAGCGAGGGGTTGGATGAGGAAAGTGTGGAGGACCAACCTGTTGCTGAAGATGAGATGGCGGAGGGCCGTCTCATAAAAGATGTGAAGAAGTGGAAAGAAACGAAGGAAAAGAGCAAGGCCTACGTGGTGGAGTTACGGCTACAGCGACTACGAGCAACGACAACGTGAGGCACTAGGGCCCCTCAATGGGGTCCATGTCAGTGAACGCGAAGAGGGACGTCGCCACTTGGTCTGAGGGCGGCACGCTTAGGCGTCGCTGTCCAAGGCTCGGACTGAAACTGCGCTGTGACCTGGCGCGTTCGGTCGACAGCAGCAGCCGAGACGAAGGCAAAGACGATGATGTCGAGACCAAACTGGGAGGCCTGCACCCGTGACGCGTTGATTCCTCGGCTCCGCTGTACCGCGGGCGGCGGACACCCACTGAAGCTGGCGGCGGAGTAGACGCCGGACCTGGACGAAGCGTCGGACCTGGACGGTGCGTCGGAGCCCGATGAGTATCCGCGGTTAACGAGGTCTTAGCCTCAGCACCGGAAACGGGGGCGGCAGAACGCATACTGACACCCGTACTCGACGTAGTGGAGGCGAGACAGGAGCAGCGGGAGCCGCCGCTCGGCTTGACTCCGCAGGCCACAGCGTTTATCTCCACCGCGACGGAAGCTTCACGTCGACGGATCAGGTCGTAGGTGTCAATGTGCCCGGCTACGGACGTGACGACACCGGCAAGACGTTCTGGAAGTCCATCGCGCACGTGCTACGCCATCTACCAACCTCGACGCGCTTCCCGAAGCACCCGTCCTCAAACCGCGTCATGCTCGTCGCGGTCCTGGATGGCCACGTCGTGCTCGTCCTCCAGCTCGATTACGTGAGCGCTGGAACGGTGGACTTGAGCGCTTGCGGCATCTCGCCGCTACCCCCACACGCGACGTATTCCCAGCTGCGCGAGACGTGGCCTGAAACTCGCCGATTCCTCCAAGTCGCGGATACGCGTCGGTCGCGCTCCGCCGGAGTTCTTTGGCGTGGGTCACAAGGAACGCGTTATTGTGCCGAAGGTCTACTAACAGCGGCTCGTTAAACGCTGCGCCGACTCGGCTTCCGCACGGCTCTGCGTGGGCGCATTACGTATAAGGGCGAGATGCCCAACAAGGGTAGTGTGTCGCCGTCCGAGCGCGACGGACCTGGTCTCTCTCGGTGACGGCGGTGTTGCACTCCTTTTTGGAGAGCCGAAGCTTGACGCACTTGGTCCCTCGCGATGCTGGAAGCGTCGTGTGCTTGCTCGACGACCGCCAGGGCTTGATGCGCGCGGTCTCGCTCGGCAAAAGCTACGCCGCGCTGCTGCTCTGCAGCTACGAAGGATTGCTGCGCTTGATCGCATTCCGCCACGGTAGCGCCGAGTCGCGATTGGACCGGGGGGGGAGGCAGCTTGGGCTACCGCGAGCTGATCGGACGGATCAGGGAGGCGACACCGATGTGCTCTGCTTGCATAGACGACGATGTCAGCGCAGCCTCGAGGTTGCCCGTGTCGGGCCCGCTCTCCTCGACGCAGAAGTCCTCAGCGCGAACCATGATGCTTGAATGGCAGCGAAGCGGACGGAGACGACAAAGAATTCGACGAATCGAGATGCGGCCAACACGCGGGGCAGGTTCTGCAACGACACACCCACCTGGGGAGTGCGCGTGTGTGGCAGCGGGACGGGTGTGGTGTAGTGAAGCGGGCACGTCGGCGTCGGTGAAAGAAGGCGCCGAGACGAATGCTGATGGATGCGGATGATGAACTCGACGCAGTTGATGAAACGCGACGCGATTGATGGGGGCGACGCGCGGCAGAGGTCGACGGAAAGTCGACGCGGGTGATGGGCCGCGAGACACAGCGACAGAGTCCAACTCGACGTAATCATCCGACGAGTCGACCAGCGCCTCGTCTCTGCAAAACGCGTCGACCCTAATCCCCACCGAGCAAAACCCGCCGAGCAAGACGCGCCGAGCAAAACGCGACGACCAAAACGCGTCGAGGTAAGATCTTGATTACGCCACGCAAATCAGGTTGAAGGACGGCAGTGCAAGCACGACAGAAGTAGGGATAGGCACAGAACGATAGGCTTAGCAAGCAGTAGTACGGAGTAGCCAGTAGCTAGGGCATAGGATAGGGTAAGGACTCAGTCCCGAAATTTCTCTGAACCACAAAGACCTCCCGTCTTCTCCGAGGTTCCAGGGGAACCACCAAACGCCGGCAAGTAGAGCCGCCTCGATATCGCGGCCCCCCGTCGTTTGCTGGTTCGGGTGCTCACCCCCCACAGACCCGTGCTGGAACAAAGGCACGTTAAACGTATACCGTTTAGGTGGGCGCCCGATAACGCGCTGCCTAGGCTAAGGACCGCACTGGCCTGATAACCGCCGTGCACAAGACCCCCCGTGTAGGCCCGATAACGCCGCACGCCCAAGGCTCGACGCCCTACGACAAGGAACAAGCGCCAACACAAGAACCCCCCAACTCCGAAGCCTGCGAAGACTTGGGTCTGTATTTCGAAGATACGCTACTCCAACAACCGGGAATAATTTGCTCGGCGCGACCGCTATCCAGACGCGCCGAGTTTGTGCGAGATCGCATTCGCGAGATTTCTGCGAGGGCGCTACTCCACAACTGCCTTCCGCAGAACATCGGCTCCGAGGAAGGGGTCCTGCACGACGCCCGTATCCTCGATCGTGCCTGCCACAACGAGGCTGGCGCGTAAAGCAACCAGGTAGTTGGCCTTATTTTGGGCCGTGGGCGTAGCTTTCAGTCGCCTGCACTCGCTCCGTAGCGCTTTGGTGCCCCACCCCATGTTCTCTTCCATTGCCCGCTCAATGCGGTCAAGCTCCTCCATCTTTGTCGCCTTGCTTGCCGGAGTGCACTGTGCACACCAACCGTCCCAGCTCCCATAGCGCGAAAAAAACTTGGGAGCGGGACGATTTTGGGACGGTGTCCACTCTTATGCACTAAACCATCAGCCAATAGTAATACAGAATGACGTCCCGGGACGTGAGACTGGGGAAATAAGAACGGGTCTAAATCAATAAAGCGATTGTTTGTTTTGGAGGATGGGATGAGTAATTCCGAAAGCAAAACCGTACAGAAATTCTATTGGCTAAAACGATTCCCTGATATTTCGCATGTTACCTTAACCTGAAGTAAAACCTCACTTTATAAGGGGTCCAAAACGCAGTGTACGGCACTATTTCATTGGATCTTTTCCGGGCTGGAAGATCCCCAAATTCATGCAAAGCCGCCGTAAAACTCACGATGAATATCACTAAATAGGAGTAAAACTACGGGAACAAAACCCTTGGTACCTTAGTAATGGGTGTGATGATTTTGCTGTTATTTGCTTGACAACTCACGTTATGGAACTCTAAAAATACCAGCAAAACAACCAGCTAATAAGGATTCGAATGCGGGTCTACTTTTTTATACTTCTGAGTGTAGTCTAAACTATGTCCCAAAAAACATGCATCATACTTTGGTGGGACCGAGAAGTAGTCTACGGGACATTTGTAGCCACAACAGCCGTGAAACTGAACAAGAATCGCCGGGCTTTGGCGGCCAAAGTGGTGAATCCCAGCGAATGCTTCAGCGTTGCCAAAGTGGCGTAGCATCTCAAGCTTCGTACGCGAGGGCCAATCAGTTGGACGACGCAACTATCTACGACTCACTAAAGCCTTTTCTGCGCGAGAAAATAATGCTTTGCCGGATTTGTTGGGTTATCAACCATTCTTGTTCGGAGGAGCACGACCCAGCACAATGGCCCTACTAAAGACCCCTTTTGCTTTAAACATCGAGCGAAAATGTGCCGAAATCTGCGAATATTTCATGACTGCACATGCTTCGTTTGTTGTATTCCTCTTGTTGATCCCAACAAAAAGGATAGTCTTCATGGTGGAAGTGGTTCGGGAAAAGCTAATGATGATTCCAAGCGTTTCGCGTTTCTTACGCAATATTAATCAGGACGCCACCTGTAAAACATGTTTACAGGCGCAACTGTGTTCTTTGAGCGAATGTGACTTTTCGGCATGGTAAGTGCACACATCGCCCAGTGAAACGATGTAGAGTTTGAGCCTATTGTGCTTTGCATCCAGTGCACCCTCCTAGTTAGTGCATTAGTTAGTGTTCGTACTTAGTGGTAAATCATGGAGGCTTTGAATGCAAGTTGCTAAAGGCGTGCTTCGAGCCCGATTTGGCTCGGAATTGGCACTTTCGAAAGCGTCAAACGGATGCTAATCCATGCTGGATGGGCTAAATCATGCAGGAGATGGTGTTTGTGCACTACTTAGTGCTCATTGACCATCCACGACTTATAGCAATTCGTACTCGAGTACGATTTATAGATAAGTCGTGCTCGATAAGTCGTACGAGTTTCAGACCGAAGTGCCAAAACGTATGCAAACCACAATACATTTAAACGTCTTATGAATAGACTGCACTTTCTCTACTTAATAGAGAGGGCTGTGACGAGGCGATGCGGTGTTTTCTCCCAGAAAACAGTTATAGGCCCTCCTTGACAGACCTCAGGCTACCAGAGCTTTGGATCCGTCTCGGCTGGCACAGGGTGTGTGTTGTCCAGTACACGCTGTTGGTCAGGCGCACGATGTGTATCCCTTGGGTAGCGGTTCTTTTCACCAGGAGGTTAGTATCGACCCCGTGAATCAGACAGCTACGCCGGGCTAACGCTAGAACAATCCAACCCAAATAGAGTTATACACGTTATACAATCACACAAATACTCCTTTGCCCTCTCTTCTTTCTCTAGGCCCAAGGCTAAGGCCAAAATACAAGTCAACTGGTCCAAATCCAAGACACTTGATCAATCTTGGGGACGCGCACCACCTCTCGGAGAGAGGAAACGATCTACCCTGTCGCCAACTTCTTCAGTTCGACACAGGCCCAATAGACCGCAAATATACAACAAAGACGGTCTGCAATCCGCCAAATATACAGATATGGAATAGATATGATCACCTCCAGGCCGAAGCAGTGGATCACTTACCTAAAGTACTTTGAATTTTGTCGTGGAGAACGGCCTTCCAGGCTGTGAAAGAAGCACTTGTGCCCTTCGAAGCAAAACGAACTCTGTTTGGTTAAAGGTCACATGCAGACAAAATCTTTCCTTAGCGACTCTTCGGAGACTGCGATCTTTCTGCGGAGTGGTCTGGCCTTGAAGGGTCGCCAAACTGGATACCTTCTCGGAGTTGTTGGGTACACCTAGGATCTTGGAAGATGCCATAGTGAAACCAAGTGTTCTTGGGTTTGGAGCCTCGGAACGCCTCAAGCCGAGGTCGTTCTTGGAATTTTGTGGGAGGTAAGTCTGGGAACGCGAAGTCTGGGAATCGTTATTCCGGGAAAACAACGGGGAATCTGAGAAGTGCCTCAGCTCCCAGGTTGTGAGCCAGAGTTGAGTTCCGCCGTACTTAGATATACTGGGGATGATCGCTCGCATTCCGTTGCACTTCATGGAACGGGATCAACTCGCCCACATTGATCTATCTTCCGGGATTCAGCGTCCATTCGCAGACATTACCCTTGTTTTTATAGGAGACTCCAAATCATCCAGTATCACCAATCTCCACATCATTGGGACTTCCTAGGTTCAGGTGCATTCACCCGAATTTAGGGGTCGACACCGCGTCACAGGACACATCTTTGTCGCAAGCAGGTCTGTTGTGTGGGATAGTACCATAGCAATATTCATATGCCGCCGCCTCGCCGAGCCAAAATCACCAGTAAACCAGGCCTACAAGGACACCAAACCCACCCCCAATACAAGCTTTTATGCGGAACGGTGCGCGGTAGGAAGAGGCGCAAAAACACTTGACTATGCGAGATTGCTTCGTGGCCTCGATTTAAATCGTGCACAGGAAGCTTGGCCGATTTGACGGCTCGCGAAGGCGAAAGGCGAGAATCACGTGAAGCTTAAGGGGGGGGGCATGCGGATGCTCAAGCTAATGCGACGTAAGTTACCTCGGAAGCAGTGCTGGCAAAGAGCGAAAAGCAACGTGAAGAGTGCAGGAAGAAATGAATGACAAAAGAATCCGACATGGAGTAACTTCATCAACAAGACCAAGCACACAAGACACGAGCTGATGCGCTGGAGCAGTCGTTAGCGGATCTGCAGACTAGTGCAGACCAGATTTCGAAGGAAGCGGAAAACAGTGAAACAGCAATTGGAAACATTAAACGAGAAGTTGGAAGTAGAGAACGACAGAGAAATTAAACAAGTTAACGATGGTTGAAGCGCCGAACGAGAAGTTGCAGAGGGATGAGGGAACTCTGCTTTCAGCAAATATGACATTGGACATGTTCCAGAAGGAACGGGAGAGTTGCAGAGAGACCGCTGTGCAGCCTTGAAGCAAACCTGTGATGACTTAGGCGTAGATGCGATCGCTTGAAGAGGTTTGATGCTACCATCGGAAGAGCGCGGGATGGGTCACCGGTAGGCCTGGTCCTCTTTTGGGTCTCGACTCCAAATAGGGGACCCACCAAAAAGTCAACCTATTTGTTTAGGAGATATTTCTATGAAGGGGCCCACTCGGAATTCTTCTATACTTGTTATATCCTGTGATTATTGTTATGTATATTGTATTCTTGCTTGTGGTGCTAGTATGCCTAAAGCCTAAAGCGAACGAAATCTGTTCTTATGGGATGTCCAAAATTGATAAGTTTGGTTGCTTTAGTTCTCATTCAACTATCGAAAGAGCACAATACAGGATCATTTCTGGAGCTCGTTTTGGTTTACGTGAATAAATAGACTCCATGGCAAGTAAGAAGCACAGCGTGTGTATCAATTTGCTTTGGATAGGTGAGTAGGATGATCAGAGTACCGCGATTTCTATACTACATGTGTCGCCGACCGTGCCAAATAGGCATAATCTATTGCAGTGTGGGTTATTCGTTATGCATCGGCGGTGTGCGCTATACGGTTGGCTATCTGCATTAGACTTCCGTGAATGAGAATTCGCTTTGAAGCCTAGCATATTCACCTTGGTTCACGGAGAATAACTACAACTGTGGCAAGTTGAAGTGAAGAGACTAGAATGTTAGCAACAAAAGGGAGAATGGACACTTCGTGGGAAGGAGCAGTATGAAAAGCTGCAATAATGGCGAAAAGTTCGACCGTTTCCGGTATTATAATAGGCGCGAATCCAAGATGTTCATACAAAAAGCTGTATGAGATGTGCAATTTCAAAGGTACTGCAACCAAACAACTGCTTCAACTGATCGTCGTGCACAATCCCAGCCTTTGCGTTGCAAAACTCCTCAGGTTTTATACAACGACCGGCTAGACTCAAAGAGGATCGGCTCTCATTCACAAATTTCCATCATGCCCCAGACCAAGCACACTCCACGTTTCCAACTCGCGCAGCGATGAACGACGGCACGTCCTCCGAAGGCAGCAACGGCTACGCGGAAGAGCTGTGAAAGTTCGATGACACTCCACGCGACGAGAACTCCGACCGCGAGGCCAACCCCGGATCCACGCGTTGTCGAAGAAGACGAAGCGACCGATGCGGGTACTCCGAGATATGAAGTTGAAGTTCACGGTCGCGCTGATCGACCTGGGGGTAATCCTGCTGGTGACCATGGTGAAGTTGGCGGAGCCAGAGGCGATCCGTCGGACAGTGATGTTGAAGATGTCGAGCAAGGTTCGTCAAGCTCCTCCAGCAAAGAGACGACACCAAGGCACCGTACGGTTATCCAGCTTGACAGATTTCAGTACACGAGGGTCCGCATTATGTACCGCTGCAGCATCTACCGGCGAACGGGTTGCCGAGGCAGTGTGGCCTTCGAGCTTCAACTTGGGAATTACGTCAACTTCGTGCCCCATAGCTGCCGGGACAACGTCATCGTTCCTCGTCCGATAACGGATGTGATGCGACAATTGGAGCTCAAGATAGATCGGGTCGCGTTGACTTTCCAGGGTCGCACGGCGCGAAGAAGTGAACACGGAGTTCTACCAGCGAAACCCAAACACTGTAATCCAAGGTTTGACGCGCGACCAAGTCCTGGCCGGGTCCACCGGGTTCGCCGTGCTCGGTTCGGGGGGAACATTCACGGGGCTGTTGAAGTCCCTGGCCTAGCACTCGTGACTGACACTCAGCTGGTATTTTGTCAGTACCATCACGTCTACTACAAAGGCTCCGAGCTTCAACGCATTTTGGGCTGGGCACACCCTCGCCTATTGGAGCTGCGTCAGTACCCCGGGGCGCAAATGTTCATTGATGGGACGTTCCGCTCAGTGCCAAGGCCGTTCGAGCAGTGCGTCATTCTCATGGTGAGAGACGCAGCAAGTCGTGTGTTCGTTCCGGTGATCTACTCGCTGACGACTAATTGCACGGCAGCAATGAGGCGAGGCGGGTGAACGCCTTTATCGTCCAGGGTGTATAGCGCACTATGCCGGACCGAATGAATTCGGGTTCGGAGTACCAGAGATTGTCCACGCGATAAGCAGCCCACGGGACACTGAATGACCCAGGCCTGAAACCGCTTGGACGCACCGAATCGCACTGATGCGGTCCGGTGTTTGGCGTGTGTCCTTGTGTCAACCCCTATAGGTATCGTTTACCTTTGGCGGACCGGATTTCACCGGGTTGAGTTGTTGCGATACAGAATAAAGTCTGCTGGGTGTGTTCCTGGGATATACCACACCGAATGAACAGAAGGTCAGACCGAATGAAAGGGACCACAGTCAGATCCGTAATTCAGAATAACCAACACACAGAAATACAATGCCGAGCTAAACGTCACAAAATATACAGCCACCACATATTCTTTGAGACCCTTGGGTGGGGGGTCTATACACCAGTCAACTTCGGAGCCGTCACCCAAGGCACTGGCCAGCCCTGGATGCACACTCACTTACGCGCACCACCCTCATAGAATGAGGGAACAATACAAAATATAATTCAGTCCTATCACACAGTAGTCAATCAATTCGATCTGGGGGGGTGACTACCTCAACCACCAAAGACACACAGTAGGGAATATGAAATGGATGCCCGGTTAGAGCACGCAAATAGAAAATAAAGCTCTCACAGGTCACTCCGGGGCGCGAAACCCCAGTCACTGCCGACTTTGCCTTGGTACCTTTGAGTCCCCACTACACCAGTGCTCACTAGGGAGCGTCTGATAGCAAAGCAGTACTACGGGAAGGCCACATCTGTGCCAGACGAGAATCCGTTTATGCTGATGCTGGTCACACGTGTGGCAGTTGCGGACGTTATTACGGAGAGTCCTGGTGACTTGCATGCAGTTGAGAATGCTGGAGAAGAGAAAGAAAAGCGCCCGGCACTGGAACCCAGCAGCGGTATCGACGACGAGAGTGACAGCAGTAGCGAGGAGAATGACTGGGAGTATCTTGATGCTTTTGATGACGATGGTGATGGTCACGGAGACGATGACGATGATCACGGAGGAGCTTCTGGGACTGCAGGAGTTGCTGGAAACCCGGCCACGCATTCTTGCTCAGGTGCGAGCAGCGGCTCGTCAGTGTCGGGAGGCAGTGGGAGCGCGACTACGAGTGCACGCACTACTAGTGGGGCAGGACCTGCTAGCGCTGCGGGAGGTGCGACTACATGTACTAGAGCCGGAACTGCCGGCACCGATGCAAACGCGCCGAGCAGTGCAACCCGAGCTGGAACCAGTGGGAGATCGACAGCTGGATCTAGCGCTACTGGAGGCGCTGGTGCAAGTGGCAACCCGCGAGGAAGGTGGACACGCACGGGGACGGCTGGAGCATCAACAAGTGCTGCAGGGCGCACGTCTCCGACTGGCCCTCGCCAATTCGGACGGCAGTGTAAGCCGAACAGCAAGTACAGCCCCAGCACGAGGGTGATGGCGTTATCCCTGTTGCAGTGTATGCTGATTGGAGTTGTGAACAACATCCTGAACCCGATGTCGCGGCAGGAAGCCATGGCGTCTGAGCACGCAGAATGTTGGAGTAAGGCGATGGATGAAGAGTATGCTGCACTGGTGGCGAATGGAACCTGGGAGCTCGTGGCACGTCCGAAGAAGAGGAAGGGGCGACATCGAGCCAACATACTGACATTGGTGTGGGTACTGGTGGCAAAACGAAATGAGAAAGGTGATGTGGAGAGATTGAAGGCAAGACTTGCTATTCGCGGATTCCTGCGGAAGTATGGCCTGGACTACTTGGCCACGTACTCACCTGTGGTTCGCATTGAGTCCGTGCGGCTAGTGCTGCTCATCTCCATGTCTCTCAGTTTCGAGTGTCGCCACATTGACTTCGTCACCGCGTTTCTAAATGGGGAGCTGGTTGACGTCGTCATCTACATAGAGCAGCCAGAGGGCTACGAAGATGGAACTGATCGCGTCTGTCGGCTACGCAAAGGACTTTATGGTCTGAAGCAAGCATCGAAGATATGGAACGACACGCTGCACAAGGTTTTGATTGAACTCGGGTTTATGCAGTGCACCTACGATGCCGGTGTGTACTGGAGACGTCGTGCCGGCCGAGTGATCTTTCTTACTGTGTACGTCGATGACATCATCCTTGCTGGAGTACCTGCTGACATCGACGAAGTTGTGAAGCAGCTTGCAGCGCGCTACAAGCTGAAGGAACTTGGGCGAGTGCATCATCTACTTGGCATGGAGGTGTACTACAGACCGGGGCGGATGTTAACTTTGTCACAGACAGCATATATTGAGCGACTGGCCGAGAAGTTTGGCTTAGGGTCTTCGAGGGCCTGTGAGATCGCCGCAATTTCACCATGAGAAGATCACGAAGATCGAAAGGGATGAAAGCAAGATCAACAACCCAGAGTTGCCGTACCGTGAGATCGTGGGGTCCTTGTAATATTTGGTCATCTGCACTCGTCCCGATCTGGCTAATGCTGTGAGAACTCTTGGGCGCTACACTAGTGCGTACACCTTGGAGAACTATCGAGCGGCACAGCGGGTCACTTGCGACCAAGCGTCTGGGATTGGTGTACAGAGCTACTTCTGAGTTCCCGGTGATGGATGCATTTTGTGATGCGGATCATCAATCGTGCCCAGACACAAGTCGATCGGTAACGGGCTATCTACTGCGACTGCACGGCAACGCATGGATGTGGAAGAGTCACATGCAACGGCGCGTGACTAAAGATACCTGCAGTTCTGAGCTTGCCGCCTGCTGTGAGTGCAGTAAGATGGTTGTTTGGGCTCGAGGGCTCCTGCTGGGGCTGGGCTATGGTGAACAAGGGCCGGAAGTACCAATCTACTGCGACAACCAGAGCACGATTGCAGTCGTGGCGAACAATGGCAACACGTCGAGAGTGCGGCACAGCGAAGCATGCTCGCTTTGTCAACGAGTACGTCCAAGACAAAGAGCTGGACGTGATTTATGTGCCAAGTGCTGACAATGTTGCGGACGTGTTTACCAAGGCGTTGGGGCCAGCCGAGTTCGAGCGCCAGCGAGACCGCTTGAACGTGGAAGATGTGGCCGAAGCCTGGGAGATGGTTGAGACTGTCGGAGCAGAGGAAGACGTTGAGATGGAAGAAGTGTCAATGCTGCTGCTGTGCGAAGCGGCGAACCGGTGGCACAGTGCATGTGTGCATGTTGCCTGACATCCAACATGGTATGAAGTGGGAGTACGAGACTTCAACGGCAGGACCACCGTTGGTCCTCCTTCGCTGCTTACAAGGTAAGCCGCAGTAGTCACTGAGTACCGAAAGGGGGTTTTCGCCTGCGGGCTTCCCCGATGCAACACTACTGGACTCGCTCACTTTTGGTTTTCCCAACTCAGTGGCAAGTGGCCTTCCTACGTGCTTCGTCCAGACTACACAGCCCGACTCTGGTGCTGGCGAGAGGAGTGAGTCTCTCGTAGCAGCTCCTGCAGCACGTCACGAGCCCGCGTCTTGCTGCAACAGCACGGCGTCTGAGCCGAAGGTGGAGCCGCGGTAGTCAGAGGCGCTGCGGCTGCCGCGCATGGCTGGGAGGGAGGGGGGTCTACGCAGAGCGTTCGTGAGCGCGCTCGTGTGTCAGGCGCCCGCCCAAATCCACGCCGTCGCCGGTGCCTCTTACTCTGTGCTCGTGTGTCCTGCTCCCAGTGTACCAACCGACGTGGCCGCATCCAAGGGCGGTCCTGGAAGAGGCGTGTCGAATGCGTGAGGTGACGGCAAGCAACCTGCGGCATGCAATAGCAATAGCTAAGCAGCAGAGCTATTCTAAGTAGACCTTCAACAAGCGCACTTACCCCGATATCCGTGCAATACGACGCTAAAGAAGGGTCAATAGTTCAGCAAAGCAGAGTATTCATTTAGCTAAAATAATGCGGTTTTAAGCCAAATCCACTTTAGAATGCTCACAGCGCATAGATACCTATTTGGAAGAAGCCTCTTAAAAGACGGGCCTCAGTTTAATGGCATTCGCACCCTTTGCTGGAGGCGAAGTCCCTGAACTTCTATGAATAGTCACTCGAAACCGTCGGACATTGAGCCTGAAAGGATCTTATACAGAGGTAAATTGCTGCTTTTTTGCCCCCGGGAGAGGCAACCATTAAACCATTCCCTAGCCGTATCCATAAATTCATCGAAAGAAAGCAAATCAGAGCGATAAAACAGAGCGATTTCATTATAGGGGGGGGCTTCGCCCCAATAAAGTACATATACCTTGGACCACTACACAACATAAATAGCCCAATCGACGGTAATAGCCGTCCAACGATAGTAAGCGTGAGTACACTCGTAGAAAGATGGCGATCCGTTTTCACTCTGCTGCAATAGCGGTAGGTATACAAAATTGCATTTGATAATATATGGCGCAGAAAAATATGTAAACGAGTTGTAAGAAGGTTCTGACTCAACCTAAAGTTTGTGCAGACGGGCAGAACCAATTACCAGATTGGTTATAAGTACGTTGGCGTCAGCTCCTGTCGCATAATGCCAAACACGAAGATTGTGGTACTCGCGCTACTCGTAAAAAAAACGATGTTTTTTACGAGTAGCGAGAGACGCTGCCGTCGTTGGAAGTCTACCACTGGCAAGTCCTCATAGAGTGTCAATGGCTTTGAAGGTTGATGAAAAAAGGGAGCTTCTTGGCAATATCAGAAAGGTCACGCTTCCAATATTAGGTCGCCACCGCGTGCTAGGGATCCTCAGTGCTAGCTACTGAAGATGTCGAATCTGTTGAGCGTCGGTCGATGTGGCGAGCCGCCGCCCTTAATGCCAACCGGAATCAAAAAGAAACGTAACCAATATACGGTTTTGCCTGTCATACCCAAGATATGGTGGACAAGAATTTCACTCAGTGCTGCAGGCTGCTATTTTTTTTTTAATATTCATCGCTACCATGTGGCATTAATACCGTTTGTTGTCACTGGCAAAATGCTTACGCCCCGGTGGGTGAGATCTTCGGGAAGCCTTGGAATCGATATCGATATCAGACTAAAAGTTTCGGGTATATTATAGTAAATACAACTGCTACGAAATGGAAATCATAGCCCACCAGAAAGAATATATTCGCGGATGTCAGGAGATTCAAACAGTACAGTAGACAACAGAGAACCGCGTTTGCTTGTTTGCCAAGCCCGGCCTACCTGAACCTGAAGCTCAATTTGGGGGCGCCAAAAGTTCTCAAATTAGGCCAATGATTTTTTGGTAGGATTGGCAACGATACGGAATGGTGAGCAGGAACGCACGCACGTGGAATCGTACATCAAACGATCGACGGGGTGGTCCTTACCACGGCTCACTAACGGGCGATTAAACTGTAAGTTCAACCGGCTTGACCGTTTGAGCGTATCTATCGTACTACCAACTGGGGGTTTGATGGCATCACGCACGTCAATTTGCCAAAGAGTACTTATGTATGTCAAGTTTTGCTGTAAATGTTTGTTTTTATTACCTAAGTAGGGGAGGGGGGGGCTAATGTAGATACCGAATCGTAATGGTTGGTTCTGTCGGCCTTCGGCTTTGCATCCAACCGCTTCAACTCCAAGCTACAACTTCAAAGCCTCAACACGATCTGTATCTACCCGAGTAATCCGCAGTAATCAATCAATCACCCCGAAAAAAGCGTGCAATTTTGCCGATCTTCCACTTTCAGCTTACCCAGCTAAGACAACAGCACTACGCCACGAACGCAAACGTTTCTGTTGTCTAGAAGACCAAACGAATGGTGCCCGAGCATCACAATCGAACCGACATGGCGTACTTTGAGGGTATTGACACCCCCAACAAGGGCGTCAACATCCACGTTCGAGCCTTTGACGACACCACTAAGGCTGCTGCGTTGCAACTCAAGCCCAAGGCTCTCTTGTACACCAGCGTCCTGGTGTCGTTGCTGCAACCGTTCCAGAGCGGATGGTCTACTTCACAAATGAACCTGTCGCGGTACAACACAACGTCTGAGTGCGACGCTCGTCCGGTGACGAAAGGCACGTGCCTCATGTTCCCTGGCCACTCGAAGTCCAGTGGACTTTCGCCGTGAACGCGTGGATTTTCGGCGCTATGATCGGGGCTCTGTGCTGCAGATACTTCAGCGACAAGTTCGGGCGTAAGAAGGTTCTGCTGTTCAATTGCATCTTCATGATCGCTGGAGGTCTCACTCAGGCGACTTTATCCAGTATTTGGGCATTTGCTGCGGGGCGGTTCATCGCCGGGTTGGCTTCCGGTACTGCAACGGGAACGATTGGCGCGTATGTGAACGAGTTGTCACCTCCCCACATGCGCAACACTTTGGGTCTGGGGCTGCAGATTTCGGTTACCATCGGCATCGTACTCCCGTCCATTTACTTCTTCGTCGTCGCGGAAAGCAGCTATGGATACGGCTGGCGCTGCGTTCCCGTGCGTCCTCGGAGTTTTGTTCTTGCTATTTGCACCTTCACTCAGGGTGGAAAGTCCAGCGTGGTTGCTGACGCAGAACCGCCGAGAGGAAGCGCGCTTGGTGATCGCCCGCCTGTACGGTGAACAGCATGTCGGAACGGTGCTGTCGTGGCTGGCGGTGTCGAACAAATTGGTCGATTCGGAGGAGGGTAGGATTGCTGGTGAACCGCCCACCAAGGAGTCGGTGTTTGCCCCTCGCTACCGCCTGCAACTCGCGGGTGCCATCTTGCTTTCGTGCGCCCAACAGCTCTCGGGAATCAACGCCGTGTTCTACTACTCCGGCTGCATTTTCTCCGACGCGGGCGTTTCAGACTCACGCGTGGGCACGCTTATCATCGACTTCATCAACGTTTGGCCGGCAATTTTCACGGGTGTGCTCGCTGTCCGCTTCGGCAACCGCAACATGATCCTGTGGGGGTTGGCGGGCATGGTCGTGATGTCGATCGGGATGACGGTGGTTTTCATCATGGACGTGGCGGTTTTGGCCGTTGTATTCACCGCTCTGTACGTGATCGTGTTTGGCGTGACTCTGGGTCCGCTCGTGTGGGTCATGACTGCTGATATGTTCCCGGACTCGATCCATGCAAAGGCGTCGTCCTTGTGCATCGGCATCAACTGGTTGTGCAACTTGATTGTCGGCGTTTCATACCCGTACGTCTCCGTTGCGCTGAAAAGGTATGCATACGTGCCTTTTGACTTCTTGCAATCTTCTATCTTCTGAGACGTCAGGAAAGTCCGCGCAAGAGATTCAGGCGGAGTATGACTTGCGCCGCGACAAATAACTCCGAGCACATTTGACAATAGAAGTGGTCAATTTGCTCAAGAGCTCGTTGACTTTGATAGCATTCTCATCGCAAACTACTGCAGAGCTGGTTATCTGAAAAGTACCGAGATCGGCATGGAATCACTTCGAATAAATAACAAAATATCTCGCGGTATGGGCTAATGTTAACTCGAAAATGGGTAATATTGATATTGATATAATATCGAGCACCTTCGGTTTTGATATGTAAAATATTATGTGATATGTTGATGCCTCGGGAAAAATAACATTAATATTGAATATTGATATATTATATGATATATTAAGATCTCATTAAGTACGAAATGATGGCGTATATCTAGTAGTTTTGGCCAATCGTTAGCTAGATTGAGGCAATATCAGGTTGATCCGGCAAACCATTGACGCAGCGTCACATTCTTTGTGTACTCACTTAAGCTATTTGGTACGTTTGAACCGTTGCAATACTAACAAGTATTAGAACAACGTGTTAACGAGCACATGGTAACCAAGGTATCTGAATACTTGGACCGGGTATTTATTTGGATTTGGATACAGCTACGAGGCCAGTGATTAGAGTACTACATGAGCCTTAGCCAGGCTGTCAGACATGTCTGCGCAAAATACCGATCGCTGTACCCTCGAATCAGTCGCAAAACAATCCGTCGTAGATAGGGATCATGCTTCCGTGGCTCGCAACAAGGAGCCGTCGATATACTCTGTAGCATTGCGACTGAATTCGCGTGGTCAGGCTTTTAAAGGAACGATCTGGTGTTATTATAATACTTCTGCATTGTTTGACAAATTTGTCGCTAGCATAGGAGAGTAGTAATCGGGGTACCGGTCTTCCTGGACTGCCTATACCGGGCGGGGAGGCCATTGGGAGTTTGGGATTTACCCAGAGAGCAGCAGAAGAACATAAGCAGCACTATCATAGTATATGTCGGTGGCTTTGGGCATTCCAGCGCCCACGTTGGTGTTCTGTCTGTAAATCCTCGACCTACTACAATAATACATGTCAGCGTGCTCGTTTAGATATCGAGTGTATCCAGCTCAAATATGAGATTCGTGGGTAATATTTTTACGTGGGGTCGAGCTAACAAAATATCTTACACGACTGCTAGCACAAGCTCTAGGTGATGTTCATTGCCATGCTGAGAGAACTCCTACCGGAGGAAGCGCACTCCTTAGAGGCAAGAGGCGGAGGTCTTCTGGAAATATCATATAAAATATTTGATATTCGGTGAGATTTGAAATGATATATGAAATATCTGATTGATATCGGGTTTGACTACACCGTTCACCCTAATTAGTCGTGTGACCTAAATAGTCGTGCACCTATGGTAATCATTCCATCGGTTTTGAAAATTATTTTTAGTTTCACCTTAAATTGAGAAAGGAGACCAGTTTCGGGTAGATCTCGGCAATACGAATTGCGTGGTATATTTTGTTTTCAGTAAATACGAATTGTTTCCGAGAAAACTGAAATTCAAAACAGGGTGAGGCGCCCTTCAGGTCGTACACGGTAAATAGTCATGGCACGACTAATTAGGTACCTCATATAATATTAGTACCGAATATTATCAATATTATATTCGAAAAAATATCATTAATACCAAGTTAACATTAGCCCCTGCACACCAGTGGTGTATCCCTCAACAAGTCAAGCCCTGTCAATCTGAAGACACAATTGTGATTGGCTAATACTATCCCATAGGTGGGTGGATCCCAACAAAACAAATTCGGTATATTCGATGTGGATTGCTCGGACTATTCAGTAGTCTCTCGACCAATCAGGTGGGCAGGTGGGTCGAATACAGAGTGATGGATGTTTGCCCGCGTAATGATACTTCGGCTTCACGAGCTTCACTTTCCCCCTTGTGCCTTCCTAGCAAAGCCTCCGCAACCACAAGTCTTGTTCAAAATGCTGAGCGTTAACTGCGCTATCGTCGGAACACAGTATTGGCTTGAAATACAAATGGAGCCACACGGCAGGGTCGCCAATCTCCAAGTTCTCATTCGAGAGAACATCGCGGGCCTCGTGGGTGACGACGCGATCTGGCTGTTTAGGACCTGGAGAAGGGAGAGAGGCGAATGGCTCAAAAACACTAGTAGCGAGTTGCGACGCCTTCAAGCAGGCGAGGTCACAGCATGGCTGAGCACGATGATTGAAACAGGTGCTTGGATGGACCCGGATGTGCTGGTCGGTGATTTCTTGTTTCCGGAGGCACATGAGTGTAAGGAGAGTGACTTTCATCTTCTAGTGTTGATCGCGCCGGAGAAAAGTATCATACGTCGCAGTTTTGGCTTTGTTGTTTGGTTGTTCTGGAGTTCTTACAACAGCGTTTGTGGTGTTGTTGTTGTGCTTAGAAATCACACCGAAGAAGGAAGTGACCGCGTACTCGACAGGTGACAAACACTTTATTTGCGTTAGAATTGCGACTCGACGATAACTCTGCTGCCGCTCGTGTTGGAATCTTTCGATTAGGTTGCTGCAGAATGCACGAAGTCTTCTTGCTAGTACCTGGCTACCGTTACGTGCTGCTTGGTGCCGGCTGTCAGCTAGTTGCCCGGAGCTGTCCAATGACAAGAAATCTGAATAGTTGAACGATTAACGCGCTCTCAGGCGGACAGTCCTCGAGATTGAGAGTAAAGTTTTCAACGTTTCAATCAGTTTATCACTCTGCTCAGGGTGCGGAGTCGTCGAAATATCTGTACACCAGTTTCAAGCCAGTATTTTTTGCACTCTCGGCCGCTCAGCGCGCGATCATTTCTGCAACGGCGCGGGCGCCACCAAGTCACCCTCGCCTGTCTGGAGGTCAAGGCAGGTGGAAAACGACGCGGGCCCTTCCATTTTACACTGCTGCAATGAAGAAGGCTATTGTCGAGCACCTGAGACTACACTGCAATGTTTGTTTCACTATAGATACGTTTTTTTCCGGGTCTACCTACAGAGGTATCAAGGGAGAAGATCGGCCTTGAGAGACTTGAGGCAGAGTGCTCAGTTTAGTAATTTTGATAAATACATCTGGGCTTCGTTTTTTTTTAGCAAAATCGGGCGTCTGGTATTTTTGCTCCGGTAGGTGTATCGCAACCACGGCTACCGGCACAACGACTCTGGCTACGACACGAGCGCATACGATCATGAGCTCAAGTACGACTACGACTCCAGCCACGAGCACGATTTCTTTTGCATTCGACGGCTACGGCACTCGACGGCGACAATCACCTTGGCGGGGGGGGGCGCCATTCAACGTGTTAGTGGGCTAATATTGGGGGCTGCCATTCGGCACCTTGCCTAGTAACCAGAGCGCCTCTGGCTTTGGTCCATTAACACAATGAAATCACTTTACCCCCCCCCCCAATGCCTGAATGCACCGAGGAAATCGAAATCTGCAGCCCCCATGCCCCATGCCTGGATGGACTCTGGATATATCCAGTGAATGTAAGATCCAGAAAACATGAACATACCGAATTTGTTTTGTAGAGGGGCCAAATTGCAATTTCCCCCAAAGTTTACTTTTGTTATTACCACCCTATTAGTTGGACACGCAGTTGTACCTTCGAATTTAATCATTCGCAAAAAATGGCAAGCGATAAGAAGAAGCGGTCGCCGGCGGGGCTGTCGCCTTCCGGCCGAGGCCTCGCGAGCCCGCGCGTGGCGTCCGCGCTGCTCAGCAACTCGCTCATGACCGTGGGCGACTCCTCCTCTTCCACCCACCACGAGCCGATGGCGCCGCCCTTCAACTCGTTCACGAGCGCCAGCACGACCAACAGGGCGCTCACTCCCAACCGCCAGCTGGGCGAGCTGCTGCGCTCCATCGACCCCAAGTACTGCTTCCACCCGGCCGTGGAGGAGCTGCTGCTGGACATGGCGGCAGACTTCGTGAAGGACGTGGTGGACTTCTCCGGAAAACTGGCCAAGCACAGACGCTCCACGACGCTGGAGCCGCGCGACCTGCAGTTCTGCCTGGCCAAGAACTACGGCATCTCGCTGGCCGGCGTGCTCCCTGCCACTGCGGGGGTGGGCTCAGGCTTGAGGCCGCTGGGCCAGGACCTGCTGGTGCGTGCACGGCCAGCCAAGAACTCGCTGCACATGCACAGAATGGCGCTGAAGCGCAAGTCGCTGCTGCACACCAAGACGAAGCTCAAGAACGCACACGCGTTGAAGGCCACTGAAGGCGGCAAGAAGGTGGTGCGCAAGGCCAGCGTCAGCAAGTAGTGAAGGCACGTGCAGTGTCTTGCAAAACATTAATTGATTTTTCTTTTTTGCTGTAGCACAGCTACAGACATGTTCGTACTCGTAGAAAATGCCCCCCCCCCCCCACCACGTTTTCACAACATTACACAATCTCTCCGAGACTGTTGACATCGTCCGTATCGAATTCGTCGAGACGAGGAGTTTTGGCTAGCGGGGCGGAAGAGTCCTCACTGGCGACGGACCTCGCGGACGCCACACCGCTCATGACAGCAGTGGACGTGTCTGTGGTAGACGCTGAGGCGGCACTACTCCCAGCACTTCGGGGGCGCTTCTTGTACTTGGTGGTGCGTGCCGGTAGCGCTGGGAGCAGCGACTGGTCCTTGTGCAAGTCGCCGCCAGCAGGAATCTCGATCCGCAGGTTGCGATGAACTCCAGCGTATGTCGTTGCCTTGTAGATCGGGTCAAAGCTGTCCAGCAGCGCCGCCTCGTTGGCGAAGTGCATTGAAGCCGCGATGAAATGGCGACAAGGCAAGCCGAGTTGGAACATCTGCCCGCACGTGCAAGTACGCAGCGCCAAGTCCATGCGGTGGGTGATTTTCGGCCGCGCTCCTGTCAGCCACGCGAATGCCACTTGCTCGTCACACCTGCGCACAGTGAACCCGGCCGCATCCTGCAATTCCTGTCGGTATATCGCGTCGGCTCCCGGCGTAAGCAACGACGGCGACTGGCCTTCACCCGCCAGCAGCTTGGAAGCCGTTTGACTCTTCTTGTACACGCCGTCCATGAGGAAAGCCAGGAACGTGTACATGAGATCGAAGGGGGCCTCATCGCTGCGCTGGATATCGGAACCAACCACTGCCTCATCCGCGCCTGTACTGGCCCAGCGATACAGTTTGACTGATCGATTGAGATGGTATGCCCAATTCTTCGGGTGAACAGCACGCAAAAATGCTGCAGCCGCGGCATTGAGCGCGTCGAGATCCCCGAGAACCTTTAGAAAAGCCTCCTCCGTTTCCTGTCGCTGCAGCTCCCACACCATATCCTCCAGCGGGCCGAGAGCAGGAATGTTCTTGTCGCGTGACATTTCATCGAGTAGGCTTCGCACGCAGAACATAACCTTCGCGTGACGTGAGTCGTGCGCCAAAGCCCGTAGAAGGCCGTTCTCGCTGTGCGAACAAAATACGGGATTCCCGTCAAAGCGCGCGCCGCCACGCTTGGCCAGCCTAAGGAACCACTTCATGTGGTCCATTTCACTTGTCGGCAGCAACGCGAACGCCAGAGCCTGGTACTCGAAGTTGCCGTCCCGAGTGACGAGTACCGTCAAACAGCCCTGGTAGCTCACTGTATCGTAGTGCAGCACCTGGATACCACAGATTTGTTGCTGGTTCGCCAGCACAGCCGTCGACGCATTCGGCATCATGAACGCGCGAATGAAGTGGCCCTGTACGTCCTTCTCGTAGCTCACGACCGACCCAGGGTTCTTCTTTGCGAACGACTCGATCAGGCTCGGGATGAACTTGTAACTTTCTGTAAGGTCGTCCGTAGATGTAGCAACGACCAACCTTTGTGCACGGTAGGCCATACCACGAGGAATCGTGATGCCCGTCTCGGAGTGCATCAAGAAGTTGTCGGTTAGCAACCTACCCGAAGACTTTGAGTGCGTGATAACCGCCTGGCGGAAGAACCGCATCTCGGCAAGCTGTCGAGCCGTGGGCTTCGCCACACCCGTGCAAGTGTCTGAGTGTTTCAGGTTCATGGCCGATATCTTCCAGTTCTTGGACTTCCAGCCTTTGACGAGTTGCACAAACCACAGACACTGCTCGTCCGAGCACACGTACTTCTTGTTGCTTCCGCCGTTGTTGCGCTTGCACAGTTTGGACCGCTTGCGCTGCACCACAAGAGCAAAGTCGCTAATCGCCTTCGTCGCCTCCTTGCCAGTGCTCCAGCGCATATCGTGCGTCAATTGGTACTTTGACACATCGTCAACCACCATAGTCGCACTAGACGGCGTCAGCCCTAACGAGTCCGTAGAACTGTCCGCCTTGGAGACTGCAGCTGGCGTCTCCTTCTTGCGCGCATTGAAATTGCACGTCTCCAGGCACTCCTTTGAGTGCAGTAGACTCAGAGACAACACGGTGTAGCGGTCCGACCCGTCGTCGGCTTCGTCCAGCACCACCATCCACCCGCAGTTGGAATTGCGGTGGTTCTGACACAAAACCCGTCGAGCCATGACGCTCTTTCCGCGCCACATCATCTGCGTGGCCTTCTCCGCCATCACTCTGCGTCCCATGTGATGTCCTAGAGTGCGAATAGCTGCGATCGCCTCTTTCCAGCTCATGAACACCATGCCCGCATACACGGACGCGCCCATGGCCGCAGCTTCGCCTCCAGCTCCACTGGCAGCAGCCAATGCCGCTGCAGCGCTGGCATTGGCGCTGGCCAGCAACTGGTCCGTCGTCATGGGCGACGTAAAGCCTATAGAGCCCACTGCGTCGCTACTTGCCGCAACTGCAGCAACCGCTCTCTTGCTCTCGAGGCAGTTGCTCTTGTGGTGCTCCACGTTCATGCTCGAGATCTTCCACTTCTTCTCGCCCTTGACGAAGGACAAGCGCACGAACCACTTGCAGGCCGGCGCGTTCTCGCACTCCAGCACGACGGCATTGGACGAGGACGAGGCGGCCACGACTGCGGCGAGCGCGGAGGTCGGCGCATTGCTGTCGTCTTCCAGTGCAGCGGGCGAGGAGAAGCCGAGCGCTGGCACTGACGTTGCTGCTGCGTTCTTGCTGCGGGCTTGATGTTGCTGGATGCGTACGTGGCGCTGCTGCGTCTGCTCAGCGAAGGTCTCGACCACGGCCACGGCGTCCGCGATGGTCGTGTAGCGCTCCTCCTTCCTCGGAGTGGCCATAGCGACGGCTTTTGGAACGCGAGTGGACCGCACATTGAGAAAAACGGCAGGGAGATCGGACTTAGTGGGAACGACGACGTCATCGTACTTAACGAAGAGGCGACGTCACGGTTGTGCTGGCTGCATTGAGCGGGCATTCGCATTGTCAGGCCCAAGCGCCCGCATATGAGAGGCGTCCGCGGAGCTTGTGCGTTCTGCTGCGAGACGCTCCGAGCCAGGAACCACATCGTCTACGAGGTACGAAGGAGGAGGAGGAGGAGAAGAGATGAGATTTTGGGCCTGAAAGCGCGTGGATTGGCGCCCTCTCCGTCGAGTTTCAAGCGCACTGAAGCTGTTGACTGTTGTTGCAGGATGCGCGAGTCATCGCTATGCTGGACCACAACCCGCGCGCGAAGAAGCACGTGCTAGTGATACCGCACGAGCACATCCGCTCTGTCGATGACCTCACGCCGGCCCACTACGATCTGCGTACGTAGCAGGACTTGACCTCAACTCCTGTCGTCTACCATTGGTCCACCTTACAACTGACAACGGTCTGTGTATGGTGTGGCACTTACCTCTCCGGTGCTGCAGTTGAGCACATGCTGATGACGGGGAAGGAAATACTGGCGAAAGATGGCTTTATTGACGCTGGAAACTGCCGGTGGGTACTTTGCTCTTTACCTCTTGGCTGGTGCAGTGGAGCTGATCGCTGCTGCAAGCTTGCCGCGCTGGGTACTGATTGCATTGCTATTGCCTTCAGATTTGGTTTTCATCGTTCGCCGTTTGCGTCGGTGCCGCACATGCACATGCACTGCCTCGGCCTGCCGTTCCTCCCTGCTTGGAACCGATTGCGATACACCGAGTCCATGCTGCCGTCGTACATCAGCGCGGACAATGCTCTCGCTGCGCTGCGCACCAAGCGCGACACCCTAGACACCACCAGCTCCTCTGTGCGAGGCTCCGACGAGTGAATCCAACCCAAAAGATACACCACACCCGAGCCGGTACCAAAGAATATAACTAAGTAACATTAAGGCTCGCTGTCCACAAGAGCTCCGCTCGGCTCCACCTCCACCTTCAACTTCAGCTCCTCTGCGTCTATTCGTACGTGCCGGACTCGATGTACTTGAACTGCTGGCTCTGCGTGCTCTGCGGCTTGGACTTGACCACGTACTTGTTGACGCGGATGGCCTTGAGCAGGCCGTCCGACATCTCGTTGAACGTCTCCTCCAGGCTCTCGACCGAGTCGTTGTGCGCCATCACGAGCTTCTGCAGCGCCTCCGTGTTCTTCTCGCGGGGCTTGTCGGCCATGAGCTGCCTGTCCTCCTCCTCCATCTCCGGGTCCTCTCGGGTGCGCAGCAGCAGCGGGATGTCCGCCGGGTTGGGCGTCGACATCCTCGGCACGCACGCAAAGTGCTGCACCAGGTCCGGGATCTCCTCGTTCATGTTCTCCAGCTGCTTGGAGATGACCATGTACTGGCTCAGCAGCTCCGGCCTGCAAGCGCAGCAGCAGCGACAGTAGCAGCACAGAGTGAGTCAACGTCCCCCCCAAATAAGGGTGCCCTTCAGCCCGCCATAGCGACGCCAGCACGCGCTCTCACCAGGTACTAGCCGGGTTCCAGGCCAAGTTGTGCTCCAGGCGCGCCACCGTGTGGCGCAGGTGGTCGGCGCGCGCGCGGATGCTGCTCAGCGCGCGGTCGACATCGCCGCCCGCTCCTCCGGACATGCTGCTCGGCCAACTCCGCAGTGAGTCCACAAATAACGCCTTATTTCTGGATAATTTGAAAAATACACCGATATTAGCCAAAAACGGACAGTTGAAGTGAAGTGATGGCGGACGATGAGCGGGCATCCAAGCGCCAGAAGCTCGCGGCGGCGGAAGGCGCCACTACGCCGCCTGCTACTGTGGACGCTCGCGAGTGCGCGTTCCACTTGACGTGCCTGAAAAATGCCCCGGCAGCGCCCAACGGTGCGGTCAAGTGGAAGCGCATTCCTCTATTCGTGAATATTGACTTTATGTTGTGGTATAATGCATGTTCCAGTGCATACGAAGAGCTTGGGTGACCTGCTGGAGGGGGATTTCTCTCGCTGTCTATTGACCAACTACATGTACGACCTGCCGTGGCTGTTCGCCGAGTGTCCGAGGCTCAGAGACGTGCCGGTGCTGTTGGTTCACGGCGAGAGAGACCGACAGGGGTGCGTTGGCTTGACAGAGCTGCAGTATCTTCCCCGCTCAGTTGAGTGCGTATATGTACTGATCGTTTGTTGCTGTTGCTTTGCGGCGGGTGTAGGATGATGAAGGAGTGTCGGGAGTACGCCAATGTGACGCCGGTGGCTCCTCCGCTGCCGATCGCGTACGGGACGCACCACACCAAGATGCTGGTGGCGCTGTACCCGGAGAAGGTGCGGGTGGCGATATTCACGGCCAACTTCTTGTCCAACGACTGGAACACCAAGACCCAGGGCGTGTGGTTCCAGGACTTTGGGCTCAAGGTGCTTGATGGCAGTGAGGATGAAGAGAAGGACGCTGTGGCCGACAACTCAACAGCAATCAATGACTTCGAGGCGGACCTTGTCCATTACCTGTCGTCCCTGGGAGCACAAGTCAAGCTTTTCTGTGGAGAATTGATGCGCTTCGACTTCTCCGCTGCACGCGTCGCGCTCGTCCCCTCAGTACCAGGAGTTCACAAAGGAAAAGGTACGAGGTTCGAGCTAACAGTTTGTGTTGGAAATCGTGACGCTTAAGTGGTTGACTGACTGTATTGTCGTTCCAGATATGGAGAAGTATGGGCACCTTCGTGTACGGAAGTAAGTGCTACTGCATTGGTCGGTTTGAAGGATGGAATGTGGTCCTAACAGACCACGCTCTGTTTTCTTACTATGCTACGTTAGACTTCTGAAGATGTACAAAGTACCCCCGACGGACAACCCGTTGATCTGCCAGGTGAGTAGCAATACGTGGTGATCTCTCTGATATCACGATCGTGCGCTAAGCAGTGCCGTCTGGTCTGCAGTTTTCAAGCTTGGGGTCGCTAGACGAGAAATGGCTCTTCGGAGAGTTTGCGGAAAGCATGTTGCCAGGAAAGAAGAACGTTTCCCCGACATCCATGCCAGTTCAGGCACTGCACATTATTTGGCCCTCCGTCGACGATGTGGTAAGCTTTCTTTTCGTAGCAAAATGGTCTCTCGTGTTTGTCCTTTTGACCCACCACGCTTTACTCACTCGGCTTTGTTGGCGGTAACCGCAGCGGAATTCACTGGAAGGATGGAACTCGGGGCGGTCAATCCCGTGTCCGCTGAAGAACATGAAGCCATTCTTGCACAAGTATCTCCGCAAATGGACGCCGCCGGAGGAGCTTCACCGACAAAACGCCATGCCGCACATCAAGTCGTATGCTCGCTTCAATCCTAGCGACGAGAAAGCGGGTGAACTGGACTGGGTCATCGTGACGAGCTCGAACTTGAGCAAAGCTGCGTGGGGCGCACTGCAGAAGAACAAGACCCAGCTCATGATCAGGTCGTACGAGTTGGGCGTGATGTTCCTGCCCCAGCTACTAAAGTCAAAAGCCAATGGCCCTCCTGCGCGCCTCGTGGCGGTTGGCAGTAAAGCGGCTAAACATTCCAGCGTTGGGGTATCCGAGACAGAGCTGCTGCCACTCCCGTACGCATTCCCTTTGACCACGTACAACCCGAAAAAGGATGAGCCGTGGGTCTGGGACCTCGCTCGAGATAGCCCCGACATCTTCGGGAACGCCTACATCCCGCACTAGCAAACAGGTAGCATTGAGACATTAAGACAAAGGCGCTCTTCAGTTAAATCGGGATGGTGGTGTCTCTTCGAGGATCTAGCGGAGACGCTTAGGAGAAGTCTCGGCGTAGCGGCCTTTGGCTCATGAAACGGAACCTCGAGCGCAGGCGCAAGATTCGGCCGCTAGCACGGCGCCACAGATCATCTAGTGACCATGAAGGGGACTACGTGTGTGAGGTACGAACAGCCGACAAGTTCGACGCCTAAAGGGTGTGCGCTAACGGACGTCGAGTTTGTATCAGGGTTGTTCTACCGACGGACGAGCTGGTTCGAGTGGAATGCGCGGCGAGTATGACTGTAGCGGATCTCCTGGTCGTCCTGGGGAAGCGAGGAGCTATGCAGAAAAATGCTGGAGTCGACAGGAACGGGGGTGAAGGTTGCGCTGATAATTATTGTGACGCCGACCCAGCCACGGAGCCGAGTTTGGCTAAGAGATCCAAAGCCTCGTTTCGCCGAGGAAAGCTCACTCTCGTGCGCCGGTGTACAGAGCTGGTGGCCGAAATGCTGGTCGTGGATGAAGTTAAGGAGCTGGACATCCTCGAGTTCCAGCATGTTAGTCCACAGATATCCGAGTGGATCCCAGAGAGCAGCTCTCAGCAATCTCGGGCTAGGATATCGCCACTTTTTAGGTCGTCATCTCCCAGGACAGTGGAGGAGCTTCGGCCGCTGTCCACGGCGATAACCCCGCTCTGGCAGCTAAATCAGGACCGAAGTGCTCGAAGGAAGCCAGCACCATGCCAAAGCTGCAGTGTGGCGATAGAACCACTGGCTCCAGCAGCGCTGAAGGCTCATCCAGAGGTAAAGCTGAGGAATTTAGTCCAAAACTCGACTGTCAGGCAATCAGCTCTACGAAGGCGAGGGGCTCGAAGACGCCCCAACTCCCGAGGCAAGCGAAGGCGCTTGCTGTTTACCGGTTTCCAAGAGCGTAGGGCGTCCGCCAAAGCGCGCAAGTACGCGGAGCGCATTCTTCTCCAAGCGGGCATGCAAATGATTGAACGCATGCAACTTCTTCAGCAGGACGTTCGAAAGCTGGTATTTGTTCTCCGAGATGCCATACTGGGTGGTAGTTCGCTGAGTGCAGACGACCTGTTGGCTTTGGCAAGGGCGATGGTTAATGATTTGACGCGCACGGGCGTTGGTCTTTCACGACCTGAGACCTTCCCTGTTTATGATGACTCAAAAGAGAATCTGGTACGAAGATTGTCGTGGGATATCGCTGGCAAAGATGGAAGTGTCTCTATTGTATTGGAAGGGTGGGTCGTGACGGCAGAGTGGGGTACTTTTTGGAGGACGCAGCGCAAGGAGTACGCTTGTCTCTGTGATAACCACATGCTGTACTTCTTCTCAAGTCGAACACATTGCGCGGACTTCGTGTTTGAAATGGGGCGTGAGCGGGACGGCAGTGCATCGGAAACAAGCAAGCGGCTCATGAAAGACAACAGTCCGCTGAGCCAAATCGATCTATCAGAGACGGACTGGACTGTGCGCAAAAGCAGCGTTCCAAATGAGGACTCGGACCAGCCGCATCGCAACGCCTTCGCGTTCTTCGACTCGAAGGGGAGGATGAGATTGGTGTTGGATGTAGTCACAGCCGCAGAAGCCACAACATGGGCACGATTGATCTCAGCAGAGATCAGCCGAAACCATCTCTTTGCGCGTATCCGCGAGTTAAACGACGCCTCTGCAAAAGCTGAGACGGATGGCGAACGTACCGAGAAGTTGAATCCTTTGACCACATGGGTGGAGATAATGACGCAGTCCTCGGCTACAATTGGTGAGCAGCATTCGCTAGTGATCCCGCTTCGTTCACTCTACTCGCAGATCGATCGTCTGAATGGGACGGCACGGGAAGAGCGGTACAAGTCGTGGACACTCAGCCAAGCGCTGAAAGATCTGCAGCGGGACCGTGTCAAAATTAACGGGCTGCTCCTCGCTGGAGCTTCGTTGGAAGCGAACATCCTCGCGTTGACTCTCGAGATTTTGAGATGCACGGAATCAGGCCACGGACGAGATGGTGGGAACCAAGGTGAAACTATCGCATCGGTGTCTGCTGCAGCCAAGGAGATGACAGCGCTAAGATTTGCGCGACAGGTCATCATCTGCAGTTCACGCACTCACGGAGGAGGAGACATCCTTGATACCTTACACCTGCTCTTTGGCAACGAGAGGTTCTGTATATGCCCCGACGCACAGTCAATGGAGCCGATTGAAATCAGCATCTCCAAGCGATCAGCTCTCAGCGCACAGATTTCAATGAAGATGACGTATCGTGTAATCCCCAGTGAATCAATCGGGCCCATGGATGAAGACGCATCAGCGGCAAAATACCCGGCTAGAAATGGTTTGAAAAGTGACAGACCTGAGCAACAAGAAGCAAGGGAGTTCAAGATCCTGGGCACCTACACGCAGATACTGCAGTGCCAGTTCACAGAAACAAATGGGGTCGAAGGATGCGTCCAACTACAGTTTGCAGGCTGAAATCCATTCTCAAAGCCACTCACTTGGCAGCTTGTTCTAACTAACGTCTTAGAGAATGCGACGTAATCTTCCTCGTTCTTCCGAACGGAGCTATCCACCAGGGGTTGGACGTCTGTGCATTCGAGTCGGATGGCTTTACGACGTCAGCGGAGTCGGTGATCTTGGTCGTCTCAGTCGGCGTGAGGGCGTTGTGCACCGCTGTCATGCTCGCCAGGTCAATTGGAGCAGGCATGACGCTTGGTTGGTCTGCAGGCGGCAAACGGTTCACAGCGTTGTCGGTGGTCACGACATCGGTTGGTCGCAGCTCAACTGCTCGCAGGAATCGGTCGGCAGCGTTAATTACGTGCAGGGATTCGACTATCTCGGCCTTCGCTCGCTTGAGTCCTGCTTCATCGAGATCATCCGAGGACCCAAACACGAACCTGTTCCAGTTCAGCAGCTTCACGGACCACTTCTTGACCAGATCCTTGTTGGCCGCGAAGAAGACGACGTGGTAGCTCCCACTCACGACCTCCACAGAGGAGGAAACAGCGATCTGGGGCACAAATGCGTGGGGGTCTGGTCGACCAGAGGCGTCATCGTTGTCGCTGCTGTCTGAGCTCGAGCTGGACGTGTCCTCCACGAATTGTTGCACTGGTGGCACCAACGCAATTCGCGCCTTCAACTCGAAAATGTTCAGCGAGTACATGGCGTTCACCTCGATGCGATGCGTAGTCAGCTGAAAGGATTCCACGGGCTCATCGACCGAGTCGGGGGACTCGTAGCCGCGCAAGTAGCCTTCTTCGATCACGTAGTACAGCACCCGCGACCGGACCGGTCCGTTGCCATCAGGCCGTTGTCTCCACGCAGGACGCGAGTCGGGGAAGCAAGCTTCAACCGGTACGCGAATCAAGTAGCCTTCCATTCGTAGTGACAGTCTGTTGCTGAGTAGATGCTAGTCGACTGCACTTCAGACTCGTAGTAGCTCGGAAACGACGGTATAAGATCCACAGGTAAAGGAAGAAACGTGTTCGGTCGATTGGAAGCTAGTTGGATAATGAACGAGGCTTACGGGGGAACTTGTACCAGATATTTCACCTGCCTATCGTCCTCGCACTAAATCGGTCAGACACAACCATCCGTCGTCTGTGAACGTTTCGAGGATCGTGACGGATATCACAATGCGAACGCCCCAGGCGTTTGCACTCTGGATTCATCATTCGCTGGCCATTTGAGCGGATCTCGTTATCTTGATTCTAGCGTGCAGCAGCGCTCTTTCCTTTCCGTCTAAGTACATGCATGCACTTGCAGGCGAGCGCTACTGCTTGTAGCCTGCTCAAATAAATGAGCCGCTGGCGTGCAACCACGCGCGTTCCCATCGAGGTCGACACTTCTGCATCGCAACTCATTCGTTTGGATGCTATGAGTAACGCGTTACCTCCATACCAACGAGCTCCCGACGACGTACCTCTCTGTACGCAACGATGATAGCAGGAGTTACTGTGGCGATATCGATGGCACACACATTTTCAGTTCTACGGTGTCTGTAATGCCGACGTAAGTTATCGTTGCTGCGTGAAACTGGGAAGGACTTGAAGAGCGGCAGTAACACAACGTGGCCAGTGCTCGATAGCATGTATACTTCACAAAGTACCTGTCCCTATTCCTCCGTCTCATGGGCGCGGAGACGTAGGCTGTCTCGTTAGAGCCCCTGCAGCGAGTGGCGAGTGGTGGCAGCGAATGCAGTACGATTGCCGGTGAGTGCCAGGTCTTGCGTGCTGCTGAGCGATACAGGTTTTGATGGTTAGAGTGCGTTACCGTACATTGAGTCGCAACTCCTGCAACGAACCCACTCAAGCCCGTTTGTGTCGTGCTCGGAACTAGTTCAATAGCTCTTGAGCGTATGCGTTGCCATCTAAGTGCGCAATCCATCACACCGTATAGATGTGTACGGTGGATGTCATTCCCAAGATATGGTCGACAAGAATTTCTCTCAGTGCTGCAGGCGGCTATTTTTTTATATATTCATCGCTGCCATGTGGCATTAATACAGTTTGTTGACACTGGCAAAATGCTTACGCCCCGGTGAGTGAGATCTTCGAGAAGCCTTGGAATCGATATCGATATCAGACAAAAAGTTTCGGGTACAATAAATACAACTGCTACGAAATGGAAATCATAGCCCACCAGAAAGAATATATTCGCGGATGTCAGGAGATTCAAACAGTAGACAACAGAGAACGGCTTGACCGGGGTTGCGGCCCGCCAGCCGCCGCCACCCGAAGGGCGGCTTGACCGGTATTGTCGGGATTATCCTGGGACCAAAAGCCACCAACTGCCACCAAAAGTCACCAAAAACCACCATGTCCTGACATCTGTCCTGGGACCCCCGACAAATATAACAGCCAATAGGAGACAACATTCAGCAAGCTCGCCCGAAGCAGCAAGTTGATGCCAACAAGATCAGTAACCGTCACTGCGGTGGAGGCACTGCGGGCCCGCAAGCTCGGACGGTGCATGAAGTAAGTGCTGCAGATCCTAATGAGATGTATGCGGTGACCTATGTTCTTAACTATTCGATTTGCTTGTGCTGATATGGCAGCATACTCTAGTGGTGATGTGAAGCCGACTACTGAGCGGGACAGACTTACCACAGCTAGCCGTATCAAGTGGCTGCTCAGAGCTGCTGCGGCCTGTACTCTGACTAGTGCTGTGGCTAACAAGAACAGGGGGCGAGGCCTTGATCGTGCTAGGCATCCTGCATCACTGTTGCAGTAGATCTACCCGCGTCGATATGGTTTCGGCGACTCAGCTGGCGCAAAGCGCAGGCAAGCTCATGGAAGCCAACGTACCGTAGACGATTGAGGCTCACTTCGCCGGCGTTCTTTCAGTTGGGGATCGACTCCAACTCGTGCTATGTGAAGGTACATACTCATTTTCAAATGCGTTGTGGGGTGTGCTAATTACTAAGATACTACTACTTGTTGTATATTGATGTAGACGTTTAGCTGGTGGCAAGCGGATTTATTCAGCATGAAAAGAAACTGGTAATAGACTGCATTGGTGCTGATTGGCGGTGCATGCAGTTCGGATTGGTGCTGTTGGGTCCACATCCACGCTTTCGTTTGTTGCAGCTTGCGCACGCTGGGCCTGTTGGCCGTGCACTGTTGAGCGTTTGACTGTGTACAAATGCAGGTGGTACAGGTGCTGGGTTTGAAGATACACTCCCGGATACCGGTGCTGCTGTTGGCACGCTGTTGCCTTCTGCTGCCTGTAGCACTACGCGCCGTTTACGCTCTGCATTGAGTCGACAACGAAGTTTGTTCAAATCCAAGCTTCCGGACGGGTGCATCTGCTGGTACTTTGCGACGATACTCGGCCACTTTCCGTGAGCCCCTTTTCGAAAACTAGCCGCGTGCTCCAGCAGAGCATCTAGAGTGGTTTCGTCCAGAATTTCAAACCGACTTCTTTTTGGTGAGTGTGGAGCTTCTTGGCTACTTGAATTACTGGGGTTGGTCGCTGGTACTGACACACAAACAGCCATGCCAAATTGTAGCTGCTGTGTAGAAGCATCTACCGGTGCAAGAGGTTTCGGTGGACGAGATACTTTATTGTCTGTGAACGGATCTTGCGCGAGTGCCTCTACGGAGGCGTTTGGAGGTTGGATGGAGTTACACGAAGAAGTGTTGAGTTCGACACCTTCATCTCTGCGACGCTTGTAGCTTACGGACCGGCGCAAAGAATCCCAGCGTCACTCCAGAAATTCATCACTCTTCTGATTGATTCCCGAGCATGTGTAGGCAGCAAAATCGTACACGGAGCGGTAGACTTGCTTGACGTGCTTAATACCGACCGGTAATCGAAGTAGCTGGAACAATTCTTCCTGCAGAGCCTTTTCTTTCGGCAAATTGGTTTCATCATCGAGCTTAGTGGATCCTTTCAATACGAGCATGCGAGAGACACTGGATACCACCTTCGCTGAAGGCTGCTTAAGTTGCGAGTCGATTACAGCAAGTCTGCGAGCAATGGCACGGAAGCCTCGTTTCTTAATGTCCAGATTGGGGTTATCGAGCCGTCTGACAGCAGTGTTGTATAGTATCGTAGCGACAACTTCGCAGGATTCCCACTTAGCAATCTTAGCCGCAAGCTGCTCTGCACGCAGTAACTTTAGCAGGGCAAAATCGTGAGCTGAAAACTCTGCGGGATCGTCATATTCAGCTTCCAAACCAAGGTTTTCGACAAAATCTTGTTGACTCAGCTCATTACGTCCATGCCTTGAAGCAAACAGCAGCTTCTGAATATCGGTCTGTGTTGTGTCATCTCGCAGCAAGGTTCCTTCTGCTCGCTCTGCTTGAAGTGGGATCATGTCGTAAAGTGCTTCCCATGGGCGGTGAACAGGAGCCTCCTCGCCACCGGGTCTATACTTGTGCCGCAAGCTAACCGGGCCTGGACGAGTTGCTAGCAGTACGTTGACGTACTCTAGCTGAGGCGAATCAGGAACAATGCCACGGCATAAGACAGCACTGCGACTCAGTGTTATGAAGTCAACCGCATTAAATTCAGGATTCCGCCTAAACTTGGCTCCGACCTTGACATTATGCTAGTATTACAACCATAATGAAAGGGTTAACATACCGTCCAGTAAAAAAATATCCTGCAAGAAAACTAACCTGTAATAGGAAGATATCCAGGATACGCAGCCCAACCTCGATCGAAAGCGCCCGATCCAGAAGTTTTCTCAACTTTGAATGAATCGCTTCAAGTTGACTTGTAGACACCACTCGCACCGTACTGCCACCTTCACTGTAGTCACTCTCCTCAACAAAAAGGTCTCCTTGCCTAATCTGCTCGAGATTGCTGTTGACACAGCCCTCCCATTCACTGGTAGATACACGAATACTTGATGTTGGCACACTAGAGGCAGCTTCCGCAAATTTTTCTGCTGTTGCACTTGGCGATCGAATTTTTCTTTCTACGTCGTAGATTGCTGCCAAAAGTCGCTTCGCGAGCCAGCCTCGCTGAGCTTGATCAGAACATTTTTCCGTGAGCCTCTGAATGACGTGAAAAGGGTCCTGTTTCACCGCGACCGAATCTCCAAAGAGTTTATTTATAAGGCTGCGCATCCCATCCAGCGACCAACTCCAGTAATTCAAGTAGCCAAGAAGCTCCACACTCACCAAAAAGAAGTCGGTTTGAAATTCTGGACGAAACCACTCTAGATGCTCTGCTGGAGCACGCGGCTAGTTTTCGAAAAGGGGCTCACGGAAAGTGGCCGAGTATCGTCGCAAAGTACCAGCAGATGCACCCGTCCGGAAGCTTGGATTTGAACAAACTTCGTTGTCGACTCAATGCAGAGCGTAAACGGCGCGTAGTGCTACAGGCAGCAGAAGGCAACAGCGTGCCAACAGCAGCACCGGTATCCGGGAGTGTATCTTCAAACCCAGCACCTGTACCACCTGCATTTGTATACAGTCAAACGCTCAACAGTGCACGGCCAACAGGCCCAGCGTGCGCAAGCTGCAACAAACGAAAGCGTGGATGTGGACCCAACAGCACCAATCCGAACTGCATGCACCGCCAATCAGCACCAATGCAGTCTATTACCAGTTTCTTTTCATGCTGAATAAATCCGCTTGCCACCAGCTAAACGTCTACATCAATATACAACAAGTAGTAGTATCTTAGTAATTAGCACACCCCACAACGCATTTGAAAATGAGTATGTACCTTCACATAGCACGAGTTGGAGTCGATCCCCAACTGAAAGAACGCCGGCGAAGTGAGCCTCAATCGTCTACGGTACGTTGGCTTCCATGAGCTTGCCTGCGCTTTTTGATTTGCCAAGCCCGGCCTACCTGAACCTGAAGCTCAATTTGGGGGCGCCAAAAGTTCTCAAATTAGGCCAATGATTTTTTGGTAGGATTGGCAACGATACGAAATGGTGAGCAGGAACGCACGCACGTGGAATCATACATCAAACGATCGACGGGGTGGTCCTTACCACGGCTCACTGACGGGCGATTAAACTGTAAGTTCAACCGGCTTGACCGTTTGAGCGTATCTATCGTACTACCGACTGGGGGGTTGATGGCATCACGCATTGGTCAATTTGCCAAAGAGTACTTATGTATGTCAAGTTTTGCTGTAAATGTTTGTTTTTATTACCTAAGTACAGGTTAACGTGCAGTGCGGGGGGAGGGGGGGGGGCTAATGTAGATACCGAATCGTAATGGTTGGTTCTGTCGGCCTTCGGCTTTGCATCCAACCGCTTCAACTCCAAGCTACAACTTCAAAGCCTCAACACGATCTGTATCTACCCGAGTAATCCGCAGTAATCAATCAATCACCCCGAAAAAAGCGTGCAATTTTGCCGATCTTCCACTTTCAGCTTACCCAGCTAAGACAACAGCACTACGCCACGAACGCAAACGTTTCTGTTGTCTAGAAGACCGAACGAATGGTGCCCGAGCATCACAATCGAACCGACATGGCGTACTTTGAGGGTATTGACACCCCCAACAAGGGCGTCAACATCCACGTTCGAGCCTTTGACGACACCACTAAGGCTGCTGCGTTGCAACTCAAGCCCAAGGCTCTCTTGTACACCAGCGTCCTGGTGTCGTTGCTGCAACCGTTCCAGAGCGGATGGTCTACTTCACAAATGAACCTGTCGCGGTACAACACAACGTCTGAGTGCGACGCTCGTCCGGTGACGAAAGGCACGTGCCTCATGTTCCCTGGCCACTCGAAGTCCAGTGGACTTTCGCCGTGAACGCGTGGATTTTCGGCGCTATGATCGGGGCTCTGTGCTGCGGATACTTCAGCGACAAGTTCGGGCGTAAGAAGGTTCTGCTGTTCAATTGCATCTTCATGATCGCTGGAGGTCTCACTCGGGCGACTGTATCCAGTATTTGGGCATTTGCTGCGGGGCGGTTCATCGCCGGGTTGGCTTCCGGTACTGCAACGGGAACGATTGGCGCGTATGTGAACGAGTTGTCACCTCCCCACATGCGCAACACTTTGGGTCTGGGGCTGCAGATTTCGGTTACCATCGGCATCGTACTCCCGTCCATTTACTTCTTCGTCGTCGCGGAAAGCAGCTATGGATACGGCTGGCGCTACTTGGCGGCGTTCCCGTGCGTCCTCGGAGTTTTGTTCTTGCTATTTGCACCTTCACTCAGTGTGGAAAGTCCAGCGTGGTTGCTGACGCAGAACCGCCGAGAGGAAGCGCGCTTGGTGATCGCCCGCCTGTACGGTGAACAGCATGTCGGAAGGTGCTGTCGTGGCTGGCGGTGTCGAACAAATTGGTCGATTCGGAGGAGGGTAGGATTGCTGGTGAACCGCCCACCAAGGAGTCGGTGTTTGCCCCTGCAACTCGCGGGTGCCATCTTGCTTTCGTGCGCCCAACAGCTCTCGGGAATCAACGCCGTGTTCTACTACTCCGGCTGCATTTTCTCCGACACGGGCGTTTCAGACTCACGCGTGGGCACGCTTATCATCGACTTCATCAACGTTTGGCCGGCAATTTTCACGGGTGTGCTCGCTGTCCGCTTCGGCAACCGCAACATGATCCTGTGGGGGTTGGCGGGCATGGTCGTGATGTCGATCGGGATGACGGTGGTTTTCATCATGGACGTGGCGGTTTTGGCCGTTGTATTCACAGCTCTGTACGTGATCGTGTTCGGCGTGACTCTGGGCCCGCTCGTGTGGGTCATGACGGCCGATATGTTCCCGGACTCGATCCGTGCTAAGGCGTCGTCCTTGTGCATCGGCATCAACTGGTTGTGCAACTTAATTGTCGGCGTCTCGTACCCGTACGTCTCCGTAGCGCTGAAAAGGTATGCATATGTGCCTTTTGTGGTGCTTCTTGTGGTCTTTTACCTTCTGGCGGTGAGGCTCGTTCCTGAGACGTCAGGAAAGTCCGCGCAGGAGATTCAGGCGGAGTATGACCTGCGCCGCGACAAATAAACCCGAGGGAGGAATATGAACGTGGCCAAATTGCTCAAGAGCTCGCTGACTTTGATAGCATTCTCATCGCAAACTACTGCAGAGCTGGTTATCTGCACGACGCTGACTGAGAAATTACCGAGATTGACATGGAACCTCTTCGAATCAATAATAAAATACCTCGCGGTATGGCTATATTTCGGCGATTCCGCACTCCGAGAGAAGTAATACACTGGTTCAACGTTCAAAGTTTTACTCGCCACTCTCATTGTCCACCAGAGTGCGAGTTGGTCGTCCAACTATTCTGATTTCTTCTCATTGGGAAACTCCGGGCGACGAGCTGATAGTCGGCACCAAGCAGCACGAAACGGTAGCCAGGTACTGGCAAGAAGACTTCGCGCATTCTGCTGAGAGCCTAATCGAAAGCTTACAACGCGAGCGGCAAAACAAAGTTAGCGCCGAATCTCCTTCACCGCAAAATATTTTATGTCACCTGTCGAGAACGCGGTCACCTCCTTCTTCGGCGTTGGTTCTAACAACAAAAATACTTTTGTAAGATACAGAACAAAACAACAACAAAGCAGAAAGTGTATGATACTTTTCTTCGGTGAGATCAACACTAGAAGATGAAAGTCGCTCTCTTCACACTCATGTGCCTCCGGAAACGAGAAATCACCGACCAGCATATCCGAGTTCATCCAAGCACCTATTTCAATCATCGCTCTCAGCCACGCTGTTGACTCGCCTGCTTGAAGGCGTCGCAACTCGCTACTAGTGTTTTTGAGCCATTCGTCTCTCTCGCTTCTCCAGGTCCTAAACAGCCCGATCGCGTCGTCACCCACGAGGCCGGCGATGTTCTCTCGAATGAGAACTTGGAGATCAGCGACCCTCGCCTCTTGGCCGATTTGTGCTTCAAGCCAATACTGGGTTCCGAAGATGGCGCCGTTCAGGCTCAGCATCCTGAACAGGACTTGTGGTGGCGGAGGCTTTGCCGGGGAGGCTGCAAGGTGGGAAGTGAAGCTCATGAAGCCGAAGTATCATTACGCGGGCAAGCACCCATCACTCTGTCCTTGCTTGACCCACGTGGCTATTATTTTCATAGTCAAGAGACTATGTACTGAATAGTCCGAGCAACCCGGTAGGTCCTCATGTACACACCAAGTCCATTCCCGAGACCCACGATGTATGCTGTTGCCGTTATCACTTCATGTCTACATCACATATAATTGCGTAAAGCAAACGCTCGGTAGCTGGTCGATCCCGTGTTGGGCAGCGCGACTTTAGCACTGGATTCTATATACTGCACCAGCAAAGTCCGGTCCACCTACTCAACCACTACCCCACTTACTTCGTAAGCTTCGCCGTGTCCGACTCATCTTCGCCATCGCTGGGATGGTCGATGCTTAATCGTCGAGCCAACTCTGCATCTGAGAGGATGCTGGACGCGTTGCTCTTCATCGACGACAGCAAAGTCGGTGAATCTGTCGGAGCATATTCTTCATACTTTGCACCAGGGCGGACATCACCTTCACTGCGACGCCGACCTGTAGGTGTGGGTGTATGTCTTCCTGCACTTGGAGCACTGGGCGGCTGGGACGTATCCACGGGCGCTGGTTTGCTCTCATCCGTAGCATTGACGGGGCTTGACTCTGCGTTACTGGACGGGGTATCAGTCTCCTCCTCCTCTGACGTCGTCACCTTGGGTTGCTGCACATCGTCGGCTGCCTGTTTGCTGGATCGCCTGTAGCGCGCGTACAGCTTCAATACCAGATCCACCATCTCCTTCTTCTCAATACACGTGACGTCGCTGTATCCGGCGCGATCGATGCACTGCTTGAGCTCCTTAATAGACATTTTGTGCACGGCCTCGATCGAAACACCGGGCTCTAACGGGTTCTTGTACACTCGCGAGGGTTTCTTGCGCTTCGGCGACACGTTCTTGTCCGCTTTCCCTGTCTGCACCTGTTGCCGCTGCGCTGGCGAGAGGTCGAAGGTCGATAAATCGTCCGGCAGCGGCATCAATCCGACCATCACTCGCAGGAACTGCAGCGCCTGGATGAAAAAGTTAAACGGCCGCGGGCTGTTGTGTCCTCCGGGGAACTTGAACAGTTGGTTCGGCCCGTTGTGGAGTTTATACAGCGCCTCCACGTGGTGCGGCCCCACCAGCTCGTCCTGCAGCCCCACGACGAAGAACGCCGGCACCGCGCACTTGTGCACCTTGGCGATCGGCTTCAACTTGAACATGTCGAACTTGGCTCGCTTCTTGATATCCCTGCGGATGAGTCGCATTACCAGTTTGACGGCGATCTTGGGCACGCCCAGCTTGCCGTCCTCCACCAGCTCCGTGGCCAGCCGCGGCAAGCTCGAGAAGGGCGAGTCCAGCACCATGGCGTTCACGGACGCGTCCGTCTCGGCGTACATGAGCGCCGCGACGGCGCCCATGCTGCGTCCCCAGAGACACAGACTCGAGGCCTCCCCGGTCTTGCGCACGTACTTGACCGCCGTGGCGATGTCCACGCGCTCGTGGTAGCCGAGCGACACGTACTTGCCCTCGGACAGCCCGGAGCCGCAGAAGTCGAGCGCGAAGACCGTGAAGCCCGCGGGCAGCGCGTACATGACGATCTCGAGCGCCCCGAGGCGGCACGAGCTGTTACCGTGCAGCACCACGATGCACGGCCGCTTGTCCTGCTCCGTCTGGCCGTTCTTGGGCGCGCACGGCTTCCACCAGCTGCACTCGAGCGTGTAGCCCGCCGGGTTCTTGAGCTTGAGGTCCACGCGCTGCACCGACACGTCCCCGATCTGCGCGCGCTTGGGGCCGAGCTCCGACGGCGCGTACTGCGCGCGCAGCGGGCGGATCACGGTGCTCACGAGCCCTTCGTAGCCCTCCTTGATCATGGACCACATGCCGCGGCGGTCGCCGGCGGTGGCCGAGTCGTCCATGGTCAATGAATGACCTTACCGCACCTTGGGTGCTCCCTATGTATCAGTCTTCGGAGCTCTTCGCACTTGTCACAAGTGAGTGCACACGCGCGGTGGTGTTTATTTTTGTGGGTTTTGTATTTTTTGGGGTAGGTTTTTGTGTATTCTAGAGCGCGTTTGGCGACTCACTCGCTTGTCTTCAAGGTGGACGCTACGTTACGTACCGTGTGTCCATCTCATGCTTTTGAGGTGGACGCTTGCTGAAGTGTTCTTCTTCTTACAGCGTCTTGGGCGCGGCCTTGATGGCGGCCGTGGCGGCCTTCTTGAGCGGCTTGGCGAAGTTGAGCGTGTGCTGCGACCAGAGCGTGGCCGTCATGAGCACGATGGCACCGCACTGGTGCGACACGGCCAGCGGGATCGGCACACAGGTGAGGAGCGTCGTGATGCCCAGCGCCACCTGGCCGCTGGCCGCAGCCAGCGCCATGTTGAGCGCGTTGCGCGACTGCTGCGGCAGCTGGCTCCAGATGTGCGGGCGGCGGGCCATGGCGTACACGCCGCCGAAACCCGTCAGCGTGCTCAGCGCGAGCACGCGGTGGTCCAACTGCACGAGCGGCACGTTCTCGAAGAAGTTCTTGTACTTGGGCTCGAGCACGAACAGGTCGTCCGGGATCCACTGGCCGTCCATCTTGGGGAACGTGTTGTAGGCCATGCCGGCATCGATGCCCGCCACGAACGCGCCCGAGAGGATCGTGTAACCCAGAGCGGTGGAAACGTGGCCCAGGATCTTGCGGATGAACCGAGTCTGCTTCAGAACGTCCGGCGAAATCATCTCACGCGCCATCGCAGCACGCGAAGGAGGCGCCACCAGGTTGAAACCAGTCCACAGAAGAACGCCCAGCGTCGTGAAGGCGAATCCAAGCTGTCGATAGCAGTGAACGAGCGGGTCAGTCAGTACAACGCCAGCATTCATCCATAATCTCTATGCAGTTTATATACTTACGTGTGTGGCGAGACGGTAGGGGCTCACGCGCACTTCGTTGCGCTTCTCGAGCTGCTCCTTGCCGTGCTCCTCGAGACCACTGCGCACCATCCACCAGCCGACACCTCCCTGCGCCGCACCCAGACCGAAGAGCACAGCGAATCGCTTGTGCAGCTCCACAGGCAGACGCTTACGCAGCATAAAATAGATCAACGGCAGCGTGTACACCATCCCGACCGTGCGGCCCAGCATGCGGTGGCCGTACTCCCACCAGAAAATGCCCTTGAAGTCCTCCACCGTCTACACAGCGACCCACCTCGTCAATAACCCATCACCCTTTATACAATCGTTGCAACGCCATCGTACCATGTTCTTGCGCTGCTGATACTCCGGGAACTGCTTGTAGATCTCGAATTGGGCCTCCCACTCCTCCGGGGTCATGGGCGGCAGACTGCCCTGCGGCTTCCACTGCACCATGGACAGCCCCGACCTCGTCAGACGCGTAGCTCCACCGACAGCAATCATGCCGCCAACCATAGCCGCCGTGCCGAAGATCCAGTACGCAATGGGGCGGTTGGCCGCCACGTTCTCGATCGTCGCCGTCGACGCCGCGAACTTCTGCAAAAATTGCACACCGCACACTGTCAGCTTTGCACATTGCACTACACTACAATCGCAGCCTGTATAGCAACACCAAAGGCATTGCAACAACGCAGAAACACACGAACCCGAGCTTTCGTGGAGTAGACGAGCGGCTGCTTGGTCGGCTTGGCCGCCTGCAGGCCGAGACGCGACCACAGCGACGTCGACTTGGTCGGAGCGGCCATCGCGGGCTTCACCATCGTCTGGTAGCGGCTGCCAGCCAGCCCGAAGCCTCTCTGCACCACGAACACGCCACGGTCAGTCAGAGGATCCGCCATTCGGGTGGTGCGACTTCTAGAACATTGGAACTCGGTGCAATTCCGACAATTCCAATGCCAGTGAGCGGGGAGGGGCGACGTACAGTGGCCGCGAAGCTGTGGGTTGCGGCGCCGAACTGCGCGCCGCGTCGAGCTGCCTGGGCCAGCATCGTCGTCTTGATGGTTATCAGAGCTGCTCCTGAGTGTGGGGACTTGGTTGCGTTTCTCGATCTGGGCGATTTTCAACCAGAAAGTGTCCGGCGTCAAAGCCATGCGGTTAGTGGAACCACATGGGGTACGTTGATATGTGTACCCCATAACCCATGGGTTACTCTGTGAGTGAAGTTGAACGTTCACAACACTCGAAGCTTCGTCTTGGCCAGTTTCACTTTCGATTTCGAGCAGTCAAGGAAGGAAGTTGGCAGGATGCCAGGCAAGTTGGTCGATAGCAACGGGGAAGTTTCCACCTGCACCGCGAATTCGGACGCGAACGGTAGCGTCATCGAGTTGAAATGGGTAATTCATCATCTGAAGAGTAGTAAATGCAATTTCAAGCAAAATGCTGACAGAGGAGGCACGAGCCCACGCGGCCCTAGAGGCTCATCGCAAGGCGCTCAATAGGCATCGCAGGGCTCTCGACACGCTGGTGCTACGGCAGACCAACGCGGCCCAGAACAGTCAAAGCGAGGTGCTAAACAAGTATCGTGAATCTCTCGATGACCACCACAAAGCCCTCGACAGGTATCGCAAGACGCTCGACAAGCATTGCGCGGTTTTCGAGCGACTCATGATCAGGCAACCCAGCATGGCCCACGACAAGCAAAACAAGGCGCTTGATAAGCATCGGGAGTCTCTCATCAAGTACCGCCAGGCGCTGACCAAGTTCTCGAAGGCCTGAACTGGGATCACCTCAGCACTCGCTCCTTCAAGATACCAATTCAAGATACCAATAGCAATACAGAGTCTGTTACTTCAACGTGAACAATTTCCAGGATCAAAGCAGGTCCACAGTTTATGGATCTCTGCAGCCCATGGGCTAACCCGCTCGTGGAGGCTTCCTCGACGCCATATCGATCTTCTCCTCCTGATCGCTTCGTTTCTGTCGGATCAAAAGGTGGTCGGTCTCTCGTTTCAGCTCCTTTTCCTCCAGCTCCGTGAGCCGCTTCAGAGCAACCTCAGCACTTGGGCGCCTTGCAGGGTCGGCGTGCATGAGTTCATCCTGGAACGCTAGTTTCTCCGGTAAATCGAACCACGTCACTCCGCTCGTTTTGATCCAGTGCCCAACCGACCAAATATCCACAGCCGTTGTATGATCTGCGCCGGGGCTGAAGATTTCGGGGGCGTGCTCGTCTGGGCTGAGGTGCTCGCCACTGTTTGCATCTTGTGGCTCGGTGCGGCATCCATGAAGTCGATCACGAACCACGTCTCGGAGCCATCACAGCGCTTCAGCACGTTGGGCCAGCGGATGTCTCGGTGCATCGACGATGCGGAGTGCAGAGCCACCAGAGCCTCCAGCACATTGCGCAAGGCGCGAAATAGCTCCGTCAAGTTGGTCGGCCTTACCTCGCGACCTCGTGGCTGCAAAACGAGTCCGTTAGATTCGTACGTGTCGACGAGCCGATCCACATGAGGAACGTCGTTCTCGACCAGCATTTTGTACACTTGCGTCAGATGCTGCTTGGCGTTCTGGAAGCCATATCGTTCCAGAATTGGGCGAATGCGCGGACTGTTGAGCCAGACACAGCCACCGGGTTCGTGATGCGGCGCACGACGTCAGCTAAGAAGTTCACACACGGGTTTGCGCTTGTGACGAAGATCTTGTCGATCAGATCTGGAGAGACTTCACCAGTCCGGAGCCATTGTTCACGCAACGCCATATCCACACGAATCTTCTCGGGGAGAGGCTGCTTGAACAACCCTTCCAGCTCTGAAGCATGCGGCAAAGACTCTGCAGATAGCGCTGTCTTCAGGAAGTCGTCTCTCCAAGAAGATGTCCGGCCATTGTCGTAACACTGAATCGAGGGTCTTGCCGACGTCGAAGTCTCCGGTGTCACTCCAAGGGCACCATCGGCAACAGCCACGAGCACATATAGCTGGCCGTGCGTGGCGGCCCCCTCAAAGACGGCACCGACCAAACCCGTTGAGTCAATCTCCTTGCCCACCAGGCTCTCGATCTCTTCAGAAGTTGTGTACACCTTCAGTTTTTCCAGAAGCGGGTCATCAGCGCTTAGCCATTTCTCGCCGACCTTGGCTGGATAAAACTTCACGCCGGGGTCTCCTGGGAGACATAAGATGTCGGGGCGCAGCTCGAGGATAGCTTGCGTTGCCATCATCACGACTTGGTTGCTGTCGGCGACGACCATGAACGGCCTCTGGTTCTTCCGCAGCAACACGCACGCGAGCGCTTGCTGCACCATGCTTGGGTTCTTCCAGCGAAAAGAAAAGTGTTTTGGTATTCACGTATCGAAGACATGAGATCTAGCTGTACATATCACTCAGGTCAATCCTATAGGTAGCAACTTTCCATTACTCGCTACATCATGGCTGCCCCGGCCTACCGTCACTTGCTCCTGCAATCACTTCAAAGATACCAAAAGCAATAAAAACACACCACCCACTTCAACATGAACGATTCCCAGGATCAAAGCAGGCCCGCAGCTTGTATATTAGTTTAAATATCGGACCTACGTTTCCATTCACATTGACCACACACGGTCACTCATCTCGCCCATTCAGCCGCGCTCTGCTCTGCCCAGCTCGACTTCCGGCTGTGATGAGTGACCTTTGTCAGCGTCTCATGCGATGCCGAGCTTTTCCTTCCCGAGCTCGTAGCACGAGATCATGATGGCGCAGGACGGCGCCACGCGCGCGAGGCGCGCACTGAGACCCGTGAAGGCTCCGCCCACGCCCTTGCTAGCGACCACCTGTCTGAGCACCACCATGCCGGATGGCTGCGATCCCTGCGCCGTCATGGACACCTGCTGCAGCGTCTTCACCACATCGAAGGGGGTCGTGATCGTGGCCGCAATGGCCCCCGAGACCGCTCCACACGCGAACGCCCTCTGTGTCCTCGTCAGATCTTCCACCGAGCTCATCCGTCGCTGCAGGTTCTCGTAGGACGTCCAGTAGATCGCGGAGAACGGGACGTCCCGAGCCAACGTGGCTCCAAGTCCATTCAACAGCGACGCGTATCCTCCGCGGCGCACAGCCTGCTGGAACGTGGCCGCAATACTGGCCCCCGCCTTGTCGCCCTGCATCCGGGTCCTGATGAGCTCAATGGGCGACGTAATGGACGCCGCGACGATCCGCGCCGTGGTGCCGGCCATCAGCGGCACCACTCCCTCCATGTGCGGGAGCCTCTGGCGGCCCTCGTGCAGCAGCAGGTCGTACGACATGTAGTAGAGCACAGTGGATGGCACCGCGATGACCATGGCGGGGGACAGGCCCGCGAACAGGCCCTTGAGCCCCTCCGTCTGGAAGATGTGGCGCAGCGCGTGCGACGTGCCCTGCAGCTGCAGCGGCGCCACGGCCCGCGAGCACGACATGCGCATGGCCGGCAGCCCGCGCCTCGAGGCCTGCAGCTTCTCCACGGGGCGCGTGAGGCAGCGGCTGCACGCGCAGCGACTGCGGCAGCGGCACTGCTCGGCGGCCGTGGCCACGGACGTGGCGATGCTCGAGTGGGTCACGGCGGCCACGGGGGGCGAGTGGATCTGCGACTGGATGCGCACCTTGGCCACGTCCAGCGGCGTCACGAACAGCGACGTGAGCAGCGCGCCCGAGGACGCCGCCGCCGCCTTCTTGAGCGTGTCCTCCGCCTTGACCTCCATCTCTCCTGTGTCTATCTATCCTTTGCGGGCAACTTTGGCGAGTGGACCTGCCCGCTGCTTGCGGTTGCCCGAGCCTGTGCCGACGGCATGTATTCTACCAATCAGAGCGAGGCCACGCGCGCAGAGCCAATCGCGTTGCAAACACGGTGATTGGAAGATTCCGGACGGTGTTGGATGAGGTCTGTATACCAAGGCAACTGTAGCGGGATTAATGGCCTCAACCCGACAAAGATCACAGTAAGTTCCGGTGGTCCACGTAGCGAGGCCATTAAACAAAGGTGGTGCAGTCATTTCGAGAACGATGATGAATGATTGCTTTAAAGCTGAAGTGGCATTGACTTAACGTACCTGACCATGGACTTGACCCGGTGTCAACTTCCGTGTTTAAAGTCAGAGCTCCTCGCGGGTCTGCAGGCGCCTCTTCTGCACGGTTTGGTGTATGTCGTGGGCCAGCGACTGCAGGAAGCGAAGCGGCATCCCGCGCGCGATGAAGCCCCGGTACACGACCTGTTCCTCGTCCACCAAGCCCTGCTGCCTCCGCAGCTCCGCGACGGCGTCTTCCAGGATTTTTTCGTCCTCCTCGTCAATGGGTTCGTCCAGCGGGTTCAGGGTCTTGAGCAAGAATCTGTAGAGCCAACACAAACGTTAAACGAAGAACGCTGAATCCGATGATCGTCAAGCAGCGAGGACGAGCCACGTACATGTAAAGGTCTTCGACATGGATGTAGTTGTCACGAAACCGCGACATGCCAGCGACCTGGTCGTAAGACCAGTCGATGATCTTGTCCAGTACCTCTTCGTTCGCAAACTCCGCGTTGAACGCGAACAGCTCAACATCGGTGAGGCCAGGAACGATTGGGACGGCTTCCTCCTCCTCCTCGTTGCCGTCGGCTGACTGGTCACTGCCCTGATCTTCCTACTCCAAAGAAAGTAATATGTGTGTGTGTGTTTCACTGATGTTCACATAAGCAACAATCATGTTTTACGCACCAGTCTCCGTTGGTTTTCGAGGTACTCGTCGTAAGTATCGTCCTCGTCTTCGTCCACGGGGTGCCTCTGAAAGATCAGAGAGTTTACCATCGTTACACAGTCACAGAGGAGCAAAACTGCAGCGTAGGAGAATCTGTTTGCTGACGAACCTGTCTGTACTGCTCGTCGAGGTAGTTTTGATGTTCGTTATCGTCCGTAACTTGGTCGACGTCGCGCATCGCCTCTTCACGCTCTCGCTTCTCTAACTCCTCCATGTCACGCTTTGTGCTAGCGTTAGTGTACAAGTACAAGATAAGCTCAATAGTTCAACACGCACCCGCCATTGCAGCTCTGCGTCAAGCCACTCAGGTGTCTCGGCTGCTTCACCCTCGTCGAAATCCTCACTCGGTCGCTGGGTTGCTTCTTCCTGTACAGCATCGGTCTCGACTACGGCTTCCTTCCCAAGGATATCCTCCACCTCGGCGCCAGAGCCTTCGTCACCAACGAAGTCGTCCACATCATCGGTAACTTCGCTGTTAGCGCCTTGAGATTCCGCTCTTGAAAGCTACAGGTACGCACGAGCACAGGGATGCGAGTGAGTACTGCGTACTGCGCCCACCCCATAGCAGGCCCTTGCACGTAGAATTACCTGGAGCAGAAGACCTAGGACGACAACCCAGCGAAGCGGTCGCATGTGGAGCTGCAAATGGTAATCAGGATATCTCGGATATGAAATGGATCGAAAGGACGTGCGTTGATCTGATAACCCAAACGCCGCTCGACGATGAAAGCTTTCGTGCCCACCGATGGTCAATGTCGAGCCTGTGGTCAGGTGGATGCCCACGTAGGACAGCGCATTGCTGAATTAGCGCTTCGAGCACCACTATGGCCCTCGGAGGCTGCGGCTCCCGAATTACGGTAACCTCCTTGGGAGCTCTGTGCTGGTTCATCGCCTTCGGCACAACGGTGAATGTCGCTACAGCCTCGCCCGTACACTCGACAGTCTACCGTGCTCTCCAGGAGAAATCGACGATCAACTTGATGGTGACAATGCGTGGCGGGACAACGACGGCACTCGGCGCTCTCTCGGGCTTAGGGTCAAGTTCCACTTCAACGTCGCGAGGTGCACGAATCTCCCAGCTTGTGGTTTCTCTCAAGACATCCGCAGCGACCGCACAGCGTCCGCTACTGGAGCTTCTCGGCGAAAGGACGAAGAGCGCGACGGCGATTACGACGTTTTGGATCTCCAATCAATTGCTCATCGTCAATGCATCGATCGAGCTGGTGCGCACGCTGGAGCTGGAGCACGGTTCGTCGATCGCAGAAATTCGCGAGGAGCAGATCCTGACAATGGGCAACTTCAACGTTGAGCGTGCGGACGTGATATCCGGTGTGGACGCTGTGGCGGACGCGAACGTCCTCACGTGGAGTGTCGGGAAGATTGGCGCAAAGGCTGTCTGGGCAAAGGGGTTTGTGGGAGTGAACGTGACGGTGGCAACGATCGACACTGGTGTCCGCGTCTCACACGAGGCGTTGCGAGAGAATTATCGAGGCGACTACGGCTGGTTCGACCCGGAAAGTAAAAGTGCGGTGCCTTACGATTCGTCGGGCCACGGGACTCACGTAATGGGGTTGATAGCTGGGGCAGAAGGCATCGGAGTAGCCCCCGGAGCAAAATGGATCGCTTGTCGAGGATGCAGGAGCGCATCAACTTGCCTCGAATCGAGCTTGTTAGCTTGCGCCCAATTCGTGCTATGCCCCACGGATTCGAAGGGAGGGAAAGCGGACTGTAGTAAAGCGCCACACGTTGTGAACAATAGTTGGGGCGTCATTCGTGGCAGTACTGCAACACTTACCGCGGTTATCGCAGCGTGGCAAGCTGCCGGGATTATTCCAGTTTTCTCGATCGGCAACTCAGGCTCGTCGAAAACTTGCGGGACGGTGGTCTCACCCGGGGATATGGCAAATGTCATTGGCGTAGGTGCGACCAACTATAATGACATGCTACTCCCCGAGAGCTCCACGGGTCCTTCTGTCGATGGACGTATCAAACCCGATATCGTAGCGCCAGGGGTGAGGATTTATTCCGCTTGGTGGACTCGAGACAATGTCTACACAATCACCTCAGGAACGAGTGTGGCTTCACCTCACGTCACAGGGGCAGCCGCATTGTTACTCAGCGCGAAACCCGAGCTAACTTACGAGAAAGTTTGGACTGCACTAGCGACTACAGCGACAAGGGATGAAGATCTCGAAAGCAACGCTGCACTGCACGCATCTTGTGGAAACATCTCGAGCTCTACGCACCCGAATAACATTTTTGGCTTCGGGCGACTCAATATCCAGCTAGCACTCGCTCAAGTAGAAAACGATTAAAGGAACTATGTTTCTCCACGATGTTGGTCTTCTTACGTACTGCTGCTTGTGTTAGTGATCGATACCGAGCTCTAGCGCATACGCACCTATGGCTTGAAATTATCGAGCGTGTTGTAGCCCTCGTCACCCTTGGCTGGGTCCCAGAAGAACTCGTAGTCCATTAGCGGGGTGAGTGGCCAGTCGTTCTTGAAGCGCTCGACAAGGTCGGGGTTCGCCATGAACATGCGAGCAAAGCCCACAAGGTCGGCCGATCCACTTCGCAGGACGCCTTCCGCGATGTCTCTCGAGTAACCCTTGTTGGCGATGACAATGCCCTTGAAGGCTGTCTTGGCGTCGAAGGTGGTGAGTGGGCGGCATTTTCCGTGGTAGTGGGCATCGGCGCCAATACCCTCTGAACCGTCGAGGATGGCCAAATACGCAAAGCCGTGCTCTGAAAGACGTTTGTACACGTACGTGAACATCTCGACGTTGTCGGAGCTGCCCATACCACCGTACGGACTGTTCGGAGCTGTGCGCACACCGATACGGTCGGCCGGATAGACCGCCTTCACCGCCTCGATGACGTCGTTCAAGAATCGGTAGCGGTTCTCGAACGAGCCGCCGTACATGTCGGTGCGCAGGTTCGTGCAGGATTGGAGGAACTGGTCGATCAGATAGCCCCCAGCGGCATGTACCTCGATGCCATCGAAGCCTGCCTCCTTGGCTCGCTGAGCGCACTGGCGCCACTGGTCCACCACATCGGGAATCTCGTTGAGTGCCAGCGCACGGGCTCGCTCATATCCCACGTGCTCTCCATTCGCGTTTCGGGTCCTACCGCTCTCGTACAACGTGGCGGAGGACGAGACTACCTCATTGTTCGTGTGGAAAGAGGGGTGTGACTGGCGCCCCATGTGCCAAAGCTGGACGAAGATCTTGCCTCCTTTCTTGTGCACTCGGTTGACCACCTCTTTCCACCCCTGAACTTGCTCGTCCGTGTAGAGCGCTGGCGATCCGTACCATCCGAAAGCTTGTTCGGAGATGGCACAGGCTTCGGTGACAATGAGTCCAGCCCCGGCGCGCTGCTCGTAGTAGGCAGCGTTGCGCTCCAGAGGTGCGTGGGTTTTGATGTCGCAGCGAGCGCGGGTAACGGGGCCGTACACGATCCGATTCTTGAGCTCAAGCCCTTCACCCAGACGCAGCGGCGTGAAGAGCGCGTAGTCAGCAGTATTGGCGACCATGGTCTTGGTTTGGAAGTGAAGAATGCTCGGTTACTGGTTAATTGCAAAGTGATTGCCTCGCACCGACGATAATGAGGCCAATTCTCGCAGCCCAGAAGAATGCCGAGATTGCCAAGAAAATGACGTATACAAGACGTTTGCGTCAGATTCACGACCATGACGATGTCGAGGCAAGGCACTTCAATGGCTGTCACTGCTACTGTTAAACGCAACTCGCCGAGGCGTGGCGTCGCCAACGAGAACAGCAGACGAAGTCTTTCTAAACTAGCCGATTGCGTCAGCAGGGTGCAAGTGTAGCCATCCGCCTGTGGAAACTTATTTCAGTACAGTTTTGTTTGTATCACTTTTACGTAAGCTGATTACGCAAAAAATGTACTGAAATAGGTTGCCATCATCATGGTTGCGCTTGGATCGACGAGCATAACCTTTTGTGCTGGAGGCTCGCCTCTAAGTTCTCACATTGGAATTCCCTTCCTAGCTACAATATCCCAAGCAACTCATCGCTCCCCGGTACCATGGCTCATACCGAAAACTACAAACTCTTCACGCCGCTTCAGATGGGCGACGATCTCGTGCTCAAGAACCGCGTCGTGTTTGGCCCCGCCACTCGAGCCCGCATCAACCCTGTGAGCCACGCCCCTGGTGAAATGAGCGCCATCTACTACGAGCAGCGAGCTGGAGCTGGCCTCGTCATCTCGGAGGGCTGCGCCATCTCCGAGCAAGGCTTCGGATGGTACGGATCACCGGGACTCTACACCGCCGAGCAGGCCGCGGGGTGGAAAGAGATCGTTGACCGCGTCCACCAGAAGGGAGGCAAGATCTTCGTGCAGCTTTGGCACATGGGGCGACAGTCGCACCCTTCGTTCCACGCTGACAATGAGGTGGTTTCAGCTTCTGCTACAGTGCTCGAAGGTGGCAACACTCGCAACGCTGACGGTGAACGCACATGCTTCGAGAGAGCTCGAGCGCTGGCGCTCGACGAGATCCCGCATGTGGTGGAGCAGTACCGACAGTGCGCCGAGTTGGCCAAGAAAGTGGGCTTCGACGGAGCCGAGGTGCACGCTGGAAGCGGTTACTTGATCGACCAGTTCCTTCAATCGTGCACGAACCAGCGCACCGACGAGTACGGCGGCTCGTTCGAGAACCGCTACCGCCTACTCAACGAAATCGTGGAGGCGGTGAAGACGGTGTACCCGGCCAACCGCATCGGTGTGCGAGCGTCTCCCTCCAGCAAGTATGGCAGCATGGGCAGCGCTGACAACGCGGAGCTGTTCACGTACGTGTTCCAGCGCTTGTCGGAGCATGGCCTGGGGTACTTGGCGATCCTGGACGGCTTTGGCTTTGGCTACTCGGACAAGAGCCGCGTGATGACTGCGCTCGACGCGAAGATCCACTTCAAGGGGATAGTGATGGCCAATTGCAGCTACACGCGGGACACTGCCGAGGGGGTAATCCACAGCGGCGCGGCCGACCTGGTAAGCTTCGTGCGTGGGTTCATGTCGAACCCCGACCTGGTCGAGCGGTTCCGGAACGACTGGCCGCTGAACGACGAGCTGGCCTACGAGTTGTACTGGGACCCCGCGAAGGGCAAGGAGGGCTACATCACTCCACCGGCGTACAAGCCCTGTCCGCTTAAGAAGCTCTTGCCTGGCTTTTGAGCTTGCGTAGAGCAGAAGGCTGGCAACACCGGAAGGTGACTGCAAGCAGGAGTATGATTCGAATGCATGCCAAGTGTTTGTACTTGCTTCAGAAATCGAGTTAAGTAATGGATGTGTGACTAACAGCGGGTTGTGAGTTGCTGGCATGTGAATGCGCTCTGCCGCGTCGAACGTGGCAGACAAGTGGTGCTTGGCGTTGGCGTGGCGTGCCATTTGTCCGTGCCTACTGCTGCTTGACCGTGAGTACTGGTGAGTTTAGCATCGCTTGCTGTGTGTAGCAAGCAATTTGGCGGAGGAATCGTACGGTTCCAGCTCACACCCAAATTTACAGCAAGCAAGTGCTGGAAAGTGTTCAATCGAGGAAGACAGGAACCACTCTGCACAATGAAACTGCGGTACACTGCGGCAAGCCCAAACCACGAACACACCACCGGGACTCGTTGATTCGCGCGCAGGGGCCGTGACGAGCCGCATCATTCCCTCCACGGGCGGTATGGCCAATCTAGTGGCAAGAGCAGTTAACATTTACGTTCAGCGAGTGGACGCTGACGCCTTCATGCACGCAAACGAATGGCGTCTTGGCCGCCGGCTTCGCAGAGGCGAATAATTTGCCGGCCCCAGCACAGGAGCTCGCCAATGTGCGGACACCTCGGTCGTGCTGGCTTCAAGTGCGGAGCTGTCCGTGGCGAGGCTGTCCACGGGAAAAGCTCATTCGTTGCCACATCCTTTGCTGTGCCCGGCCCCGGTCCGCCCCACGCACGGAATCTGCGATACCCGGCGGCGGCAAAATTAACCGTACGTGGATCAAACTCAAACTTGGCGCCAGCTGGGGCGAGGAACCCGCTAAGTAAATTATTCTCCGGCTGCCTTTGTTGGCGTCTCGTGCCGCGGGGTTAAATTAACAGAGAGAGCTGCCGGTGCCTCTGGCCCAGCTGGGCCCGAGCCTGCACCGGCAGGACCATCGACCGCTGTGCGGACACCTCGCGGTCAGTTGCTGATCGTCACAAAAACTGTTAAAAAGCGGCGCTGGAGATGGGACGCGCGTGTGATTGGCCAGCTCGAAAGCGGATCTTTTGGCTCAGAGGGAGAGAGCCCGCCTGCGTACTTCAGCTCGGCTCGGCTCGGCTCGAGCGGATCCCCAGTCTCACTTCTCGATTCGCCGGATCCCCCTTACACTACCAGACCCAGACGAACCCCAAGGAGCGAGCAGCATGTCGGAGCACAGCCCGCTGCTCGCCAACGGCGACGAGCACTCGTACAGCGGCGTGAGCAACGACGACCGGTTCTACATGGGCGTGGACAAGCGCTCGCTGCTGGACACGGGCGAGGCCGGCCTGAGCACCGTGGAGGCCTCGCGCCGCCTCAAGATCTTCGGCCCGAACGAGCTCTCGACCAAGGAGAAGAGCCCGTGGGTCAAGCTGGCCGAGCAGTTCTGGGGCCCTATGCCCATCATGATCTGGCTGGCCATCCTCGTGGAGGCCATCACCAAGGACTGGCCCGACTTCTTCGTGCTGCTCTTCCTGCAGCTGCTCAACGGCGTCGTGGGCTGGTACGAGGAGCTCAAGGCCGGCAACGCCGTGGCCGCGCTCAAGGCCAGCCTCAAGCCCGAGGCCCAGGTCATCCGCGACGGCGTGCACCAGACCATCAACGCCGCGCTGCTCGTGCCGGGCGACCGCGTCACGCTGTCGGCCGGCTCGGCCGTGCCCGCGGACTGCGACCTGTGCGAGGGCAACCCCGTGCAGATCGACCAGGCCGCGCTCACCGGCGAGTCCTTCCCGGTGACTATGGCCACGGGCGACAACGCCAAGATGGGCTCCACGGTCGTGCGCGGCGAGGTGGAGGCCGTGGTGTCGGCCACCGGCGGCCAGACCTTCTTCGGCAAGACGGCCAGCCTCATTTCGTCCGTGGACGAGGTGAGCCACTTCCAGAAGATCCTCATCCGCATTACCATGTTCCTCATGGCCATCTCGTTCGTGCTCGTGGGCTTCTGCCTCGGCTACCTCATCTACAACGGCGAGGACTTCCTCGAGGCCATCGCCTTCTGCGTCGTGCTGCTCGTGGCCTCCATCCCCATCGCCATGCAGGTGGTGTGCACGTCCACCATGGCCCTCGGCTCCCGCAAGCTCGCCGAGGAGAAGGTCATCGTCACCCAGCTGCAGTCCATCGAGACGCTCTCGGGCATGAACATGCTGTGCTCGGACAAGACCGGCACGCTCACGCGCAACAAGATGGAACTGCAGGACGACCTGCCTATCTTCCACCCGACGGCCACCCGCGAGGAGGTGCTGGTTACCGCTGCGCTCGCCGCCAAGTGGAAGGAGCCGCCTAAGGACGCTCTGGACACGCTCGTGCTGAACGCCATCGACTTGCGCCCGCTCGACCAGTACACGATGATGGACCACATGCCGTTTGACCCCTCGGTGAAGCGCACGGAGTCGACGATCCGCGGTCCGGACGGCAACGTGTTCAAGGTGACTAAGGGTGCCCCGCAAATCATCCTGGCACTGGCCCACAACGTCACGGAGATCCAGGAGGATGTGGAGGCCAAGGTGCTCGACCTGGCCAAGCGCGGCATCCGCTCGCTGGCTGTGGCTCGCACTTCCGAGGAGGCCGATGGCGGCTGGGTGTTCCTGGGCATCATGACGTTCCTGGACCCCCCGCGTCACGACACGAAGCGCACGATTGAGCTGGCCCACGAGAACGGTATTGGCGTCAAGATGATCACCGGTGACCAGGCCGCTATCGCTGTGGAGACCTGCCGCATGCTCGGAATGGGCACGACCATTCTGGGCACGGACGTGCTTCCTACGGCCAACGTGCAGGACGGTCTTTCGTCGACTCTGGGCTCGGACTACGGTGCCATCGTGGAGAGCGCTGATGGTTTCGCTCAGGTGTTCCCGGAGCACAAGTTCCTGATCGTCGAGGTGCTGCGTCAGCGCGGATGGGTGTGCGGTATGACCGGCGACGGTGTGAACGACGCACCTGCGCTCAAGAAGGCCGACGTCGGCATTGCCGTCGAGGGGTCCACTGACGCTGCCCGCGCTGCCGCTGACATTGTGCTCACGCAGCCCGGTCTGTCCGTCATTATCAACGCCATCACGCTGTCGCGCAAGATCTTCCAGCGCATGCGCAACTACGTGACGTACCGCATTGCCTGCACGATTCAGCTGCTCATGTTTTTCTTCATCTCGGTGCTGCTGTTCCACCCGGACAGCTGCCGCTTCCAGCACTTCATCCCCCACGTCGGCGACTGCCCGTACAACAGCAATGAGAGCACGGAGGCCGTGGACCCGTACTTCAAGCTTCCGGTCATCGCTCTGGTGCTGATCACGATCCTGAACGACGGCACGATCATCTCGATCGCCTACGACAACGTGGTGCCCTCCAAGCGCCCGGAGACCTGGAACCTGCCGCGCATCTACTGGGTGGCGACGACGCTCGGCCTGATTGCCGTTGCCAGCTCGCTGCTGCTGCTCTTCTGGGGTCTCGACTCGTGGAACAAGAACGGTGTGCTCGCCTACTTCGGCCTGGGCGACCTGCCGTACGACCAGGTGATGATGATGATGTACCTGAAGATCTCGCTGTCGGACTTCATGACGGTGTTCACGGCTCGTACCGAGGGTCTGTTCTTCACGCGCGCCCCTGGCCGTCTTCTTGCGGTGGCTGCTTGCTTCGCCACGGTTGTGTCCACGCTCCTGGCTGTCTTCTGGCCGTTCACGGAGATGGAGGCCATCTCGTTCAACCTCGCCGTGTTCGTCTGGATCTACTGCCTCGCGTGGTTCTTCATCCAGGACCTGGGCAAGGTGCTGCTCGTCTTCCTGCTGGAGCACATCGACCACATGAACGTATTCGAGCGCAAGGTCAGCAGCAAGAAGTACGTCAAGCAGGAGGCTCAGCGCCAGAACCGCATCCGCATGGGCTCGACTCTGCTCAACAACGACTCGTTCATGCGCGGCTCGTTCGTTGCCGGCCGTGCGGTTGGCGGCTCGTTCGTGGAGCGCAGCATGACACTGGAGCAGGCCATGGACCGCCTCGTGCGCCTTGAGGCTGAGATGAAGGCCATCCGCGCTGTCATCCAGAACGCCTCGGGCACTGGTAAGCTCTAAATGGCTCCGCAAGGAGTTGTGTGACTGCAACACGGCGACACATAGCGCCGGCAGGTTGGACCCTATCAGGTCGGTCTGTTCATAGTGAGTGACTGCCCGTATGCATTTGCAGGTTGGAGGTAGAACAAGCCGCAGAGATAGATGATGAGTTGTGCGTCAAATGCAAGCTTGCTACTTTCATTTTTCGAGTCGTTTCATTCCTTGTTTCTTTTATCCTTTTCTATACCGGTACACGTACTTGCAGGGCTGTTTCGCGTTTGTGCGATGTTGTTGCCTTGGGCTGCAGCGTGGTCAACGTAGACGAGTGGTGGCAACTATGTAGCAAAACGTATCTTCAAGGGCCGGCAACAGGATGAAGCCGGCACCAGCCAACCTTGTCGGCCCTGGATACCGTCGCCCAGCACACCAAGCCGACGAATACCCGCCAGCGATTACGTGGACGAGTGTGTACCAGTGAAGCCGAGGGCCCCCGCAGCGAGCACTTGCCCGCAAAGGCAGCCGGGAGCATGCCTGGGATCTTTTACGTCTACAGACGCAAATGTGACGTGACAACCGGCTGTCTGTGGACGAGCGGAGGTCCCCACCACCAAATCCGTTGTCGACGCGTTTTTTTACGGTGCGAGCTTCGTTTCTGGCGCTGCCGGCAAAATGTCCCTCCACGTAGAGTCCACGTTGGCGCCGACCGCTGAGGCAATTGGCTGACGGCGTGCCGGCGGCAACATGTACGACACTCGGAAATCTCGCCATCATGCATTGCACACTGGCAGCCGCTGCAGATTTCGCCCAGCCCAACACTTACCGGTACTTCCTCGCAAGACGCATTTGCTGTCCCATTCCTTTGATCACGTAATTTTAAATACGACGCTTGTTTATCACAGTGGACCTTCGTGGACGAACTTCTCAAAACTGCGAGCGCGCTTGACATCCAAACTTCAGAACGTTTTCCAAGTCGCACGTACTCGAGCGCTCGAGCTGCCACACCTTGGCCTCCCTCCATTCGTTCTGCTGCAGCCAACTCCAGTAGACAGCAGCCGCACCAGTGGGGAGGGATGACTCTCCTCGTTTGCATTCTCGAGCGTCGCCGAACGTCCATCGGCGGGAACGCTGCATACATGTACTCGGCGCAAGTGCCTGCAACGGAGGTATGAAATGGTGATGGGCATCAACATCCAAACCGTTCGCTAAACATAGCCGCGGTCTCCGCTATCCTCGCCGCCACTCGATTGGCCGCTAAATCGTCCAGAACACGCTCTTATTCGCTGAAAATGGCTCGGACACACCTGCCTTGTCCTGCTCACTCGCCAAGTCGACGTCTGGAGCTCAAGCAAGCCAAGCGCGTCGAGCCTCGAGCCCTGGGCCTCCGCCATGGAGCCGCTGAACGACGACGAGCGGCAGCTGCTGCTGTCCCCGCATCGCCTGCGCTCCCCGCGCCGCGGCGCGCCCGCTCCCACCCCCACGCACACGCACGCGCCCTCGTCTCACATGGTGTTCGAGCCGCCGCCGCTGCGTCGCGACGCGGGCGGCAACTCGCTGCACTTCACGCAGCAGCCGACGACGCAGTCGCCCGCGCACCACGACGCGCTGCCGGTCACGGATCCTCACGCCGCGTCCCCGCGCTGCTACTCGCCGTACGGGGCCACGCGCGTGTCCATGGAGTCGTGGGGCTCGCACAGGGACACCAGCGACCCGCTCAACGGCTGGGAGCGCGGCGTGACGGACGCGCTGCAGGCCGCGCCCTGTGTAGCCATCGCCGTGCTGGTGAACCTCATGATCTGCGTCCCGTTCGGGCTGTCCTTCTTCCCCGTCGAGTGGAACGACATCCCCGTGCCGCACGCGCTGGGCATTCAGATGTTCCTACTGTCGTCCACGATCTGCCAGTTCACGTTCGTGTGGCTCAGCAACTTCGACGGCGCGATCTGTCAGATGATGGTGGAGAACGTGCCGTTCATGCACACCATTTCCATCGCGATTATCCAAGAATTGGGCCCCAAGAACCCGAGCGTGCTGCCCACGATCCTGGTGACCTACGCGCTCTCGTCGGTGGTGTGCGGCGCGCTGTTCTACGTGTTGGGACACTGGAAGCTCGGCAACATCGTGTACCTCTTCCCCAAGCACATTATCGTCGGCGCTGTTGGTGGTATTGGCGCGTTCGTGCTGCAGAGCGGCATTGAGAACGCTACGGGCCATGCCTTTGACTGGTCGTGGGGCGGCGTCAAGGGACTCTTCGATGAGGAGATCGTGTGGCTCTGGGTCAGCTCCGCCTTGCTGGCGCTCACGCTGTGGGTGCTTGCGCGCCACATCAAGTCGCCGCTGTTTCCTCCGCTCTTCTTCGTGTCGATTCCACCGCTGTTTTACGTGGTGCTACTGCTGCTCGGTATCTCGGCGGACACTGCGCGTGAGCATGGCTGGTTCTTCAACCGCGCACCGGACGTCGCCTTCTACTCGCTGTGGGAACAGTATGACTTCTCACTCGTGGCCTGGCACGTTATCCCCAAGCAGTTCGGCACGATCGTTGGCCTCACGTTCTTCTCGCTCATGCACGTGCCGATTAACATCCCGTCGCTCAGTCTCACTACGGACAAGGAGGTGGATATCAACGACGAGCTCGTTGCACATGGTATCTCCAACACCCTTAGCGGAGTCTGTGGAACTGTGCAAAACTACCTGTGCTACTCTACATCGGCGCTTTATTACAAATGTGGAGGCGGCGGTCGTCGCAGTGGCTTCGTAATCGGATTCATCATGGGGTTCTTCTTCTTTGTTGGGCCCAACGCTGTGTCCTACATCCCGCGTTGCATGGCAGGCTGCGTGATGATGCACCTTGGCTGGGACTTGCTTCGTGAAGCACTCATTGACACGTACGACCAGTTGGATGCCTTGGAGCTTGGCACGGTGTGGGCTATCGCTGGAACGATGACGTTCTGGGGCATGAACCAGGGCCTGGCCGTCGGAGCGTTGCTGGCCTGCATGACTTTCGTGATGCAGAGTGCTCGCACACCGACGAACGCTCCGATCCGTGGCAGCATGAGTGCCGCCACTCTTCGCAGTCATGCTTGGCGCACGACTGATGAACTCGATGTGCTGGACCGCGAGTGCCGCAACATCCACGTGGTGCAGTTGAAGGGCCACCTATTCTTCGGCAACATCAACCAGCTCAGCGATTACGTGCGTGAGCTCTTTGAGGAGGGCGCGGATTGCACGAGTAGCCGAATCGAGTCGCCGCTTGAAAGCGTGCTGAGTGAAGACGTCCGTCCGCGACCGGATATCCGCTGGCTTGTGCTCGACTTCACGCTGGTTGTGGGATTGGATTCCTCCGCTGCAGACCGATTGACCAAGATCAAGTACGCGTGCGATGCGCATAGTTGCAAGATTGTGTTCGCCGCTGTACCCCCTGCATACGTGAAGTTCACGGAGCACTTGATCGAGCTCTTCGGCGACAACCGCATGCTCCACATCGCGTCGGATCTGGATGGCGCGCTTGAATGGTGCGAGAACGACATCCTGGGCAAGAACGTTTCTGCCAAGAGCGGGTCTCCTGCGAGCACTTGCGCCGCTGACGAGGACGAGTTCACGCACTTGCGTAACCTGCGACGATTTATGCCGGATCAACCTCTTGCAGTGCAGCAGCGTCTCCTGGACTACTTCCACATCCAAGAAATTGAAAAGGACGAAGTCGTGTGGAGACAAGGTGACACCCCTGACCGCGCGCTGCTGCTTGTCGATGGAGCTCTCACCGCCGTGGTCGAGGAAGAGGCTGGTACAACTGAAGAAGTCTCTGTTGGCTCAGTCGTGGGTGAGATGTGCTTTCTGACGGGTGAGAAACGGAAAACATCTCTCATCGCGACAAAGCGCAGCGTGGTGTACGTCTTGGACCGCAAAAGCTTTGCCGAAATGCTAGAAAAGGACTGCTACCTGGCCTTCCTCTTCCAGGGCATCTCGCTACGCTACACATCCTACCGATTACAGTACGTGGGCAACCGCATCTGGGAAACCAAGTGTCTCCCGATCTAAGCGAAACTTGTATCGTATAATATATCGGGTTGACTATCTCTTGACGATAGGTTGCGACTCGCCAAGAACACTTTACTTCAATCTACAAATGTGGCCCAGAAGAGGCATCAGACTTCAATTGTCCCGGAAACGAGAAGAACCGATGTCACTGGCATTGCCAGCACCCCCTCTACCCGATGAGTTGTGGGTAGCGTGCCTGGTGGTCGATGACGGCAGCGTGAAGTTTGCAACCACCAGGGAGGGTGCCACAGGCGCCGATCTGAAAGCTGCCATCGCGACTGTGTTTAACTTCAAGTTCCTTCTTTCCAGACTCAAGCTCTACAGCACCTTTGACCCCTCCGACCGCACATGACAAGAGCAAGTTCGAAGCGGGAACATCCCGGTGGTTACCGACCCGTGGCTCCCTGCAGCAGAGCTGGAGTACGCTCTGAGCAATCAGATTATTCTTTGCAGACCAAGAAGAAGCTTTCAAGACCCTGTATCGTGCCCACCTCACATGCTTCTCAGGCTCTCGCGAGTGGGGGAATCCTTATACGTGGAGTATCCCGCTGGTCGATAATGCGTCCGGTCTCGGGAAGACAGCGTTTGTCGAGAACTATATCAACCAGTGCCGACAGAAGTGGTCCGACGAAAGGCTCCGAGAAGGATTCCGGGCAGAGTTGTGTCAGTGCCACACAGTGTTCTTACGCTCGCCCAAACGAAGGGTAGACGATGGGACTGTTAGTGAAGAGATTGTCAATGGCGCACTGGCAGAAGCTCGACTGCGGAAGTGAGTGGAGTCTACTATCGGCGTCATTCCCTGACTCGGCCCTTTCATTCGTGAAGAGCCTTGTCAGCATGTTCGGACCCCTGTACATCGTCATCAGGGAAATCGGCGAGTGGTTCAATTCCCCAGATGATGACATGAAATCGCGGGACTGTTTCATTAAGTTTTGCCGCAACGTATTGCTTCCGTGGCTTCACGTACAAGGCCTATATTTCGTGGTGGAGGGATCTGCTTCGTTCCTGCGATATGTCTACAGCCCCTCGAGTGAGGTGGACGAGAAGTTGTTGCCATCGGGTCACTTCTGGATCTGCGTCTTCTTCAGTCTGAACAGATCACAGTGATCCAAGCAGGGGAGCAGACGCTGAAAGATCGATGGAGACTGGAATCCCAGGAGAAATTGACACAAGCAGCAATGCTTTTATATCGGAGGTCGTCAGGCCACCCACATACATTGATGGAACTTTTGGAACGTCACGAAAAATACCAGTCATTTCTGGATGCCAAGGAGCCTGGAATGAACCAAATGGAGCGGCGGAGTCTCCTTCGAGAACTTTGCACATATCAAGATCTGCTTCGAGAATGGCTGGTGGAAGGTAAGCGCGTCAACCTCCCGATGAAATTTACGGGCACCGAGGAGCTAGTGCCATTCGAGCAAATTGCATTTCGATGTCTTCTTGCGTGGGAGGGACCTCTCGACAAATCAAGAGTCTACGCGCTGCCTGACGTCAAGCCTGTCATTGCCGCGATGATATATCCGCTTCATGACTTCATTGAGTACTTGGCTTTTAGTAAGAAGATCTTGGCGCTACCCGAGGACGCATTGGAGAAGCCAACGAAGATCAAGCGATTTCTTGGATTATCTGGGAAAGTGGAGCGCGGTAAGAATCCAGCAGTAACCAAAGCTATCGACGAGCTTGCTGAAGATTTTTCTCTGCGCGCATCGTAAGTTTGATGTCACCTTTAACATCTACAAGAAAGAATGTGTCATCCACGATACGGTTCATTCAATTGCCTATCTTTAATCCTTCTTTCGAGAAGGAATCGGTTGAGCCCAATACAGCCCATCGACAGATATCCGAGGGTCGCTCTTAATTTTGGTGCTTCTAAGACAACTTGGTCGCTGCAAGTGCAAACAAAATGTAATAGTTTGTTCAAGCGGGAAATTTCCACAAGGCACCATGATGGTAACTTTTTGGCATCGTCTTGGGCAGTTGAATGGTATCAGCTTCTTTGAAGCTCAATCTCCTGTAACTTGGGATCTGCGGCCTGACCTGCGCTCCGCAGAGGGGCAAACTCTTTTCCATTCAAAATGGCCGGTCTACACGTAGCCCGGGATGCATTCAACCGGGCTCACAGTTTCCTCAAGGCATTTTCTCGTTTGCATGGCCGACCACACCTAGAAGGCATTGCGCAGAGCTATCCTGGTTCATAAGCACATGGTGAGCCCTTAGATAATTTGACTTGGTTTCACTATATCGCCCACATGGCTTCACCCACCGGACCATCACTCCTCACTCAAAATCGCGCGGGAATCAACAAACACACCACCGCCCAAGACCAAGCCAACTGATGGAGCTGGTGCAGCTACTGGAGGGCAGCCTGTCGGCCGCCACGGACGTGCGCGCGCAGAGCGAAGCGCGGCTGACGGAGCTGCTGCGCACGCCTGGCTTCGCGCTGCAGCTGGGCGAGTTCCTCTTCTCGGCGGAGGCGTCCGAGGCGCAGCGGCAGCTGTCGGCGCTGCTGCTCAAGAAGCTCGTGACGTCCTACTGGGTGGCCAGCGAGGAGGAGGAGAGCGCGGTGGGAGCCCCCTACGTGGTGCCCGAGCAGGAGAAGGCGCAGGTCAAGCAGGCGCTCGTGCTGGCGCTGCAGCAGCGGCTCGAGCTCTTCGCCGGCAGCAAGCTGCAGACGGCGCTGTGCCTGATCCTCACGGCCATCTTCGAGCGCGACTGGCCCGACCAGTGGGCCGAGATCCTGCCGGCCGTCATGGCCATGATCTCGGGCCAGGACAAGCTGCGCATCGACTTCGCCGTGCGCTTCCTGTCCCTCGCGGGCGGCCACTTCTCGAGCGACAACTGCTGCGAGCTCGTGGCCTCTGTGTTCCCGCACCTGCGGCGCGTGTTCGTGCTGACCGCCGAGTTCCCGGCGGGCACGCGCTCGCGCATCGCGCGCATCGTGCAGAGCAGCCTGCTCATGGTGGGCATGGAGGCGCAGGTGGGCAACGCCACGGCGCTGCAGTTGCTGCACGAGAACACGACCCAGTGGATCGCACTCTTCCTGGAGCAGCTGACCGCGCCCGCGCAGAGCGTCAAGGACTACTCGATCAAGATCCAGATCCTGACGACGCTCGCGAGCTTCGTGCGCGAGTGGCCCAAGGAGATGACGGACCTCATGCCCCAGATCATGCCCCAGGTCTACGGCCTCATGGTGAACGACGCCGAGGCCTACGAGCGCGAGGTCGTGCTGAGCGCCTCGGAGGAGGAGGAGGGCTACGACAGCGACGGAGAGGGCGCGCTCATTGGCCGAAGCGCCATGATCGTCGCTGCCTTCGAGTTTGTGCGTGGCGCCATCCAGGCACCGACCAAGAAGACCCGCCAGCTAATTGTCGGCGGTCTAGCCGACTTTGTCTTCGTCATGATCGGGTACATGCAGATCACGGTGAGCCAGATGGAGTCCTGGCAGGAGGACCCCAACAAGTACGTCGCGGACGAGGACGACGAGAGCCTCGCGTTCAACGTGCGCAACGCGGCCACAGACCTCCTCACGGAGCTGGAGGCTGTGCTGGGACGCAAGGCGGTGGTGGCTGCGCTTGATGCGGCCCAGCGACGCCTCAAGGCTGAGAACCCGAACAACTGGCGTCTGCAGGAAGCGGCTCTGCTGGTCGTGGGATGCCTGGCCACGTCGACGCTTGATGCCATCAGCAAGAATGCCACGGACATCTCCCAGCTGCTGGATCTGTCGGCTTTCCTGCAGACGCTGTTCAAGGTGATGAACGCGGGTAGCCAGGAGATCTACCTGCGCGCGAGAGCGCTGTGGTGCGCTAGCCGCCTGGCGAAGGGTATGAACCAGGAGATGCTGGATGCCTTCCTTCAAGTAGCGATTTCGGGTCTGGAGCAGGGCCAGGTCCTGCCCGTTCGCATGTATGCTTGCCGTGCTATTGGCGCCATCATTCGCAACGATACGGGCAAGGCGCGTCTCCAGGAAGCCAACGCCGTTATCATTGACCGCCTGACGAGTCTTGCGGAGCAGTCTACGCACGAGACGCTTCACATCGCCCTCGAGACGCTCGTCGTCGTCCTCCAGGAATCGGAAGTCCTTGCGCTTGAATCGGCCCAGCGTGTTGTGGCGTGCTTCTTGCACCACTGGGGCCAAAACCTGAACGACCCCCTGATTTCCGAGTTGATTGACGGTGCGTTTGGCGCTCTGCTTCAGCTGGACAACGCTGCGATTACGGCCAAGCTTCACGAGCAGGTCTTGCCTGTTGTTCGCTCGATGCTCATCCAGAGTATGTCGGACCTGGAGGGTGCTGGAAATGGCATCTACACCGCTGGCAGCGCGCTGACTATTTTGAAGACTTTGCTGCGTCACTCCTTCGCTTCAAGTGGCACCTTGTCGAGCGGCGGCGCGGACCCAGCGACCCAGCAGCTCGGTGCTCAGGTTGTTCAGCAGACGTTCGAGCCTCTTGTTACGGTGCTTGGTGCTGTCGAAGACGAGAAGGTGCTCAACGCCGGCTCGGAATGCTTGAAGTGGTTTGTGATGTTTGCGGTCGACCCGCTGGCGGCATACACCACGGCTGCTGGCAGCAACGGTATCGACACGACCCTGTCGGTCTCCGCTAAGTTGCTGTCGCCTGCCGTGTCCGATGCGAGCGCTACCTGCGTTGGCGGTTTGATTACCCAGATTTTGCTGAAGTTGGGTCCTAGCCTGCCTACGGCCACCGTGCAATCAATCCTGAGCGCTGTCTGCGCTCGTCTTGCGGCGACGGAGCTCCCGTCGCTCGTGCAGTCTCTGTGCATGGTGTTTGCTCGTCTTGTTCACTCGCATGGCCCGGAAATTCTGAACGTGTTGGAGCAACTTCCTCCTCCGCCTGCATCGGCTGGCCAGGCTCAGGCCCCGAACATGCTGACTTTTGTGTTCCGCACTTGGATCGAGAAGCAGCAGGACTTCTACGGACTGTACTGCATCAAGGTGACCATGAGTGCTCTGCTGAAGGTTGTCGAGTGGAATGACCCTCGGATCAATGCCATCACTGTGACTGGAAGTGCTGTGGACTCGGAGAACGCTGGTGCTTCTGGCTCGAATGGCATCCAGACGCGGTCGAAGGCCCGAAGCACTCCTGCGAGCGGCAAGACCCAGTACACAACGGTGCACTTTTTGACCAAGTTTGTTGTCATTCTTGCCAAGACGATGTCCAACTTGGCGGAGGACGAAGAGGAGTGGGAATCATCGGACGATGACTCGTCGGACGGCGAGGGTGATGACGAGGTTGTTTCCGGTGCTGGCGCGACGTCCTCGGTGTTCGCCCCTGCGGGTGAGTGTTTACGATTTGCGCGGGTTGTTTGGATTGAAAACTCTACTAACACATTGTTTTGTACTTGCAGAGGACTATGAACTTCTGTCGGACCGCTTGGATGCCGACGGTGGTACCGCAGTCAACGATGGCGAAGAGCCCGAGGAAGAGTTCGAGGCGTACTTCGACCCTCTCAACGAGGTTGACCTGAAGGTAAGCATTTGGATATTGCGTAGCTTGTTGATCAGGCTTGTAACTCGGTTCGTTTCATGTACAGGGAGCTATTCCTCAGGCGCTGCAAAATATTACGGCCAACGCTAGTGTCCTTCAGGCCATCATGCCCGAGCTGACGGCCGCGGATAAAGAAGCACTTGCGGCTGTGTCGGTGCTTTCGTCGTAGACCGGAGACTTGCCAACCTCGTTCCTCCTGTGCTGTGGTGTGCAACACCCTGTTAACGAAAATTTAACACTGTTTCTGAATTGTTAACATTATCTATGAGTTCGCTTTGCGTTTTGGTTTCTCAGGTGAAGGTGCGCCAACTTGGTCCCAGCGGATGAGCCTCAATCTTCGAGTAAGGATTAACACTGCGCCGAGCTCTTTTCCATCGGGGTCTAATCGAATCTCTTCCAGCAAGTACTTTAGTCTATGCAACTTCATCATGGATACGTTGAAGTCAAGAGTGGCGAGCAAGTCAAGCGCCCAAAGTGCCTGCTGTCCAATCTCCGTGGGTGTGAAGTCTACAACAGCTAGCGAGGCAATGGATACGGCTTGTCCCGACGCATCGACGGGAGGTGGCGGCGGGGCTTTCTTGGATTGCATCAGAAGGCTCATCCACTCGGCAGACTCTGGCAATTTCTGAAGCTTCGCCAGCCGATCTGCTTCATCTTTCTCATCGGCCTTCTTCTGACGCTGCATTTCACGAGCTTTGAACAGCAAGCGAATGGAGCCTTCGATGCCTCCAGTTTGACCGACAAGTTTCGCGTTTCGCTCTGAAGATGACACGATCGCAGACAACGAAACAGTGAGCGAAGATATCCACGCAAGGTGTCTTGAAAGAAGCTTACCTTCGATCGCTACGAAAGAGATAAAGCGACACACGTGGACGTACAAGCTCAGGTACTTGTCGACGTCGAACCGGTTCAGCGTTTCCGTGACCAGCGTGACGACAGCAAACGTATCCAGCTCTGCGAACAATGCAAGACGCTCGAGCTCTACTGGATCACTCGTCTTATTATTTTCCTGGTCACCGGGTCGATCTCCTGGAGCCGTTTGCTGTGCTGTACGTGTCGGAGATTGGGACGGCGAGTACTGGCGAGCCTGGACGTCTGCGAGCAGTGAACAGATCCGTCGGACTCCTGCGAGCTGCACAATGGCACTCTCGTGGTTTTCCTTCATCATCTCAACAACGATAGGCACATTGCTGATCACGATTCGTCGGACTGCGTTATCGCCGCCGTAAACAGCGGAGAAGATGGCCTTGACGTCATTTTTCACGAAGTCATCCAGCGGATTTTCGAGTACTGCCTGGTTCAGCACTGCAGGCCCGCCAGATTCTTCGAGCTGCTTCTTCCCGTCTTGGCAGAACATCATGAGACGCAGACAGCGAATGCTCGTTCGGAGCACTGCAATCCTGAAGCGCGGGACTTCGTCTGGTGGGACGACAACAAACCTCGGAAAGGGTTTGTTTTTGCGCCATGGAGAATCGTACCACCGCTTGAAGGTGTCGATGTCGGGCGAGAGCTCCAGTTGCCGATAGTTGCGCACAGCATGCAGCAAGGCCTCTGTCACCGCTGGGTTCTCTGACAGCAGCTCCACTTCGGTCGAAGCCTCTTCAAACACGCGCTTGTCTGTGATGACAACGTCCATCGAGATCTCCTCGAGAGGATTCTCGCGGTTGGTGCCTTCACCAAGCTCAGCAGCATGAAGGAAGTACTGCACCGCTACAGCAGGCAGCAACGAGGGGTTAAATGGAGCGACATTCGTCGTGCAACCAACAAAAATGCCGTACCAGCTAGGACCGGCTCCAGGAACATTGGATAGTGCTGCACGATCAACACGTGGGTGTGGATCTCGCCGCGCAGCTCAGACACCGCGCCTCCCATGTCTTCTTGGCCAGTTTGAAGGCACCGCGACCGCTGGCAAAATAAAGAGACGCTTCCTCCCAAAAGTATCAAGGCAATTTATTTATTCTCATGCTCCAGCCATCTCTGCATTCCTGCAGCGTCGACGGCAGAACCACGAGTTCTTTTTCTATGCTTTTTGAGTCGTGCAGCAAGGCAATCAATGCTCCCATACGAGCAACACAAACGCAGCTCCACTCTTGTGCCACGTGTCGCTCTTCTGGAGCTTGCCGAGTCGAGTTCGAGTTGGGGGGGGGGGGGAAATCAGGTCCACAGACCAAGTGCCAGCCCAGCGTTAAGCTTAGGCCTCGTCCTTGTGGGAGTACTGCTTCTTGCCGCGCAGCTGCATCTCGCCAATCATCTCGAGGTTCTTCTGCACGGCGTCGGCTGCCCGCTTCTGGAACTTCCAGGCGCCGCCCTGCTTGACCACGACGTCCGACCACGTGACGACCATGACGGGCGTGCACTTCCAGAAGACGGTCGTGTGCGACGTGACCGTGGCGTGCTCGGCGTCCGAGAGCTCGACCACGTGGCCGCTGGGCAGGTGGCGCGTGTCGGCCAGGAACTTGAGGCTCACGAGCTCCTGCAGCGCCGCCTCGATCTCGCTCGTGCCCGTGCAGTTGCCGCCCACGAGCTCCTCGAAGAAGGTCGCGTCCTCCGTGAAGAGCGCCAGCAGCGTCTTGACCGACTTGTCGCCCTCCTCCAGCGAGTACGAGAGCGCGAACTTGTTCACGAGGTTGATGATCGCCGCCACGTCAGCCATGATCTCTGCTATCAGTCTGTGTGTCTTTGGTCTTGATCTGGTTGGTAGCTTCAAGTCCGATCTGGAAATGAGGGGGATTGGGTGTTGTGTCGTTCGTCTGGTGTGTACAACCGAACGACGGGAAGAGGTGACGAATAAGACCTCGAATTAGCACCCACGTGCACCCACGTGCGCCTAAATCGGAGATACAGCTCATTTGAGCAGCAATGCTCAAAGCTACAAGTGCAGCACGCCTTCGTACGCGGGTGTGTTGCTCGTTGGATACATACATACTGTACAAATGCGTGCGCGACAACTGAACGATAGCCGACGGACGGAGGTGTAGGTGCGATTTCCGCTCTCTCTATGTATTATCATAGAGTCCGATCGAGTCTTCGTCCTCTGCGGTCGGAAGTTGTAAATTGGAAGTGGAAGTGCCGCACCGCGTCTGAAGAGGGCGGCTCCATTGCAGCTTCGAGAGCTGGTGATAACACACCTCGCTAAGACCCGTCTGCATTTAAAGGGGCTGACAACTTATCCTCGCTGAACTGAAGCAGGCGTGCAAGACCATCGAAAAGGTAGAGCCGACTGGTTGGTTGCCTTTCACCAACGCTGCATGAATCACGCCACTATGCAACAAGAAAAGCGCCCGTGTACGTATGAGAATCGCCTGTGTATCGGCTGGCTGTATCGAATGCCACACTATCGTCCGAGACTTGGACAATCGAACTACGAGCTTTGCGATCCAACGCCGCTCGCTTGCACAACCGCTGCTTCCGAGCAACCTGCGCCACCGTTGTTTGAACGCTCCGATAGTGCCGTCGCCAACTGCCTCGCAGTGCGTTTCCGCCTGCTACCGAGCAGCATGTTCCGCCCGAGGCCTCGCCGCCAGAGCAGCGGGAGTTAGATAGTAACTCCTTCGCAAAACTTCCGCCCCATCACAGCGTCGCCCGCCCACGCTGCAAGCCTGTCCAAGGCGCGTACGCCCTCAACGGCCGGCCCGACGGCGCACTGTCCATATATGGCTCCGACTGTGCAGCAGCGCAGGCTTAAGTTGTCAAAGGGCCATGATAGATAGCACTGCATAGCCCTCTGTGGTTGAAGTGCCATTTCTAATTCGTCGCCATTTTTAGCAATCGTTTGGTCGCTCGGCGTTCTAAAAAGGAGAGGCCGCTTCCCTGCGTGCGACCTCTTGGGCTTCTTCCTCCCCCTCCAGCTCGCCCGAGTCACTCACTCAGGCAGTCAGTCCGCGCCGCGCCCGCCGCCCCGCAAGTCGACTGCCAGCTCAGCCCACTCGCCGCCTTTCGATGACCCTCGGCGACTGCGTCATTTCCTGTTAGTGCAATTTACCTGATATCCACGCAGAGCTTGGAAAGCCGCAGCACAGTCACTCGGCACTCTTTCGTAGGTGCGGCCTCCCACCCACTCTCACTCACTCGGTTTTCTTCCGAATCCGGAGCAATTCGTAGAATTCCTCGCTAACTCTTCTCCCCCCGATGCCTCCCCCAGTCATCCGCACCATGGAGTCCGCCGCCGCCAAACCCAGTGGCGACAGTAACCTCATGGAGCTCTGCGCCAACGAGCCCGTGGTGGGCGCGCCGCCCGCGCGCAGCGACAACTCGACCTGGAGCTTCGTGCAGATGAACATGACGCTGCTGCCCATTGCGCGGCCGCTGCCGGTCAGCGTCTCCCACAGGTTCCAAGAGGGCGCGGCGCTGGCCGGCGTCAAGCCCTGCACCCCCACGCAGAAACTGCACCACCGACTACGTCAACACACCAGCAACATTAGTCCGAGACGACACGACGTCGACTGCAACAGTGTGCGGCCAGCTACTACAACGTCGTCGTCGTCGTCGCCTGGCAGTCGGGGACTGCCGCCCACCCCCAGGTCAGCAGCGTGTGGAGCCAAACGGAAGTTCTCCGAGACCTGGCACGTCCCAGCGATTGACACCTCCATGCCCCCGCCGGCAGTGCTGAGAATGCGCAGCCTGAGCGAAGACCTGTACCCTCCAGCTCCACGAAGTGATAGTGGATACTCCAGCGACCCGGCGAGGCAAACTCCGTTAGGCTACAGCCCGCTGCACCGCAGCGCCAGTTTGTCCTCGGGCTGTGTCGCCAAGGGGCTCTACAAGGGCAAACGCATCCTGGAGCTACAGGACGAAGATCGCCGACTGCACCCGGACGATCGCATCACGGCCCCGTCGCCGTCCAAGCGGAGCAAACACCAACCATAGTCGGTCCGCGGACTGGGGGCGTGCTGCTATCGCTACACTTACACCTGCAAATACTTTGATGCATCTCTTACTTTATTAACTCCCGTAACAAGCTCATTATCAATATTTTTTCTTAGGACGTAATGGATTCCATCGTAAACGTGCAATGAATGGTTCAATGGTTGAGAAAATATCTAGCTGTGCTGTCTCGATGGCATGAAAAGATGCCTGCCGTTTACTGTCGTGTACTCAAGTCGAGGAACCCGGTTCGTAGCAAGCACTCGCCCTTAGCCTTCACGAGGTGTAAAGTTGTCAAAGTATCGGCTGACTTGTCCAATGCACAACTCCTGCGTAGCCTCCGGCATGTCCTCGATAAGTTTTCCTGAACAAAGTCAACACGGTCAGGACTGTACTCTGCATTTCGATCAAAGAAATAAACTGAATGCGTACCAGGGATGCCTCCGATTCTGGAGAACGGCGGAATGACTGCGTCTGCCGGGACGACCGTATTGTCTTCGATCCGGCAGCAGTCTCGAATGATAGCGCGCTTACCCTACACAATAACAGTGCACCAAACGTCATCATCAGCAACGTCAGTCTTGTCCAGGCAGCAAATTGCAGACACGGGCACGCACAATGACGCAGTTCTTGCCGATCTGCACGTAGGACCCGATCATCGCAGCCTCCACCACCGTGTCCTCCCCAATGTACACGTAGTCTCCCATCTTCACAGGGATGAAGGCCAGTCCACTACATGTTAGTAAACAATGAATAAGTGAGCATTCGTCCACGGCTACAGTACTAACAATCCGCCTCGTACGTCGACACGACTCGCGTTGGGGGCTTGACGACGCATTTCTCCCGGATGATGCACTGCTTCCCGAGCGACACTTTGGCCAAGTCAGCGCGTACAATTGCTCCCGAGTCAATAATCGTCTAGAATAAAAAAACATTTCAACTCATGGGAACCCCGAAATCCAGAAATCTTGCGACGGACATGGACGGACCTTGCCGCGCAAGTGGATGTTGTGGGCGCCGCAGAGCGTGCACTTGCGGCTGATCTTGTTGCCAGTCGACGTGTGGATGTACGTCTCCGGGTCGAACTGCGTTTCGGGTGCCTCTACGTACGGGTTCATGGTCGTTTTCCACTTTCCCTCGGGTGCAATGATGAAATGCTGGGCTTATGTTGCTCCACGTGTGGCACGACATAATCTTTTAGAGCAACTTGCTGGCTTCAACGTCAAGGATCTCTTGCCGAAAAGCTTCGATTCAAAGATAAAGTATACTTCTGTACCAAATGTAGGGTAAGTTACGTGTAATTAGTTTACAGCCATTTCTTGTTTGCATTGAGTAAGTGCGACCGCTTGTCAGGGCTGGTAGGGTGGTAGAATGCCGGACCTGGTACATTGCCCTTTCTTGATTTCCCTTCTGATACCCCTTCCGTCCTCGACGTCTTCGACTTGAATACGCTGGCAGATCCCTGCTTCTCTGAAAGTTTGTCAACTAGCGTGGGAACCTCGTACGTTCCTGGCCCTGCAACACATCAGAGCAATCGTGTGAATCTTCGAATACCAAATAAATACTTCAGGTGCACCCTTACCCAGCTCTCCGTCTGTCACAATTTTTCCCGGTAGACGGCCAAACCTATCGGTGTTGCTAGTGTGGAAGGCGGCACTTGTATGGGCTCGAGCAACCCAGTCGTATCGAAGCGCGCTTTCGGCATCTTCGGCGTTATACGCTCCAGGGCCGGGAGTAAAGGTTGCATCCGATCCTAGTCGCTTGACGCCCGATTTGAATATTGAATGGGGTGATCGGTTCCCACGAAGCGATCTACCGAGCTGAATGGGGTTCTCGTACTGTCCTGGAGCAGGAAGCTCGGTAGGAATATTCCAACCTCGAGATGTTTTCGAGGAGAATACAGACTTTGAGACGTTGTGCGAATATGCTGACGATGGCTGCGCCGAGTTGTAGTCTGCTGGGCCTGGGACGGATGCGTTTGGGCTCTGATTGTTGCTATGCTTGGGCTGCACGCATACAAAATAGTAAAGAGCATAGTTAGTAGATCAAAAAGTAGCGGCTAGCGCGCAGCACAGCAGCGTACGGTGTTGACAAAGCTGCTCATGCCGTGCTTCCTGTTCAACGTCTTGCGATCGTCTCTATTTTTTTTCAAGAACACGAAAGCACAATAAATTAGTGACAGCGTTGTTGCTGAAGAGTGGGGCTTTGAGGTTTTGTACTTGTTTGGCTGGTACTGGCCTGGGCCAGGTACAACCAGCTTGACCTGTTCATTAAATCGCTTCGACTTGGACACAAATCCCGTGCTGTAGCCCAAACGAGATACTGATCCTGAATCGACAGTGGATCTTACGAGACTTGGTTGCTTGTAGTACTGACCGGGCCCCGGGAGCTCGTTCTGCAGCGAATGCAGTAGGGAAAAGTAAACTGCACGTCAGCATCTCTTCGAAATCTCAACACTAGGCAGCCACACACACCTCGCAGTCGCCGAAACGTAGCGTTCGATTACCAAAACCATTGCGCTCATTCGGGTCTCGATGCAAAACAGTCTCGTACTTGGACGGAATCGACGACACTTTCTGCTCATTCGCACGCGGCTTCCACATCAAATACCTTTCACCCTAATTCAAAGTTGCACAGAGAACCGTACCATGCTGGGGTCTGGCGGCGGTTGCCTGAGCGCTGCTGCTCCACGCATAACGGAGCCTGTCGCCTTTGTTCCGACTTGTCGGAAGTTCGGCTTCGCCGCCATCTCCTCGGCCGGATACGTCGAAGCTGGCAACTTCATGCTCTCAAGTGTCGGAGCTTATTTGCTGTGAAAGGCAGCTCGGAGCTCCTGTTCGCTATATATATGCCAGGAAAAAGCTCTCAGTACTTCAGAATTAGATCAGACCTTAGAGTATTTCCCCAGTATCCCCTCCATTTTTGAGTGCTAAGGAAAAGTAATCAGAGTAGAAGAGTAGAAGAAGTGATCTGCATTTTTGCTTCGCAAAAATATCAAAACTTGGATGGAGTTGTGAGCATGGAGTTACCGAACTTCCGACAAGTGTAGACGAAAGCCGTCTCCATTAAGTCAGTTTGTTATCCTAGTGGGGTGTTTGGGATGGTGCTTACAAGAGAGCTATCCATTAGCGCTGACCTTCTTCGTGCCGCTGGCGCCGCTCTTGTTGGGTTCTTCATCTCGGGCGACATAAACCTTTCGTGTTCAGCAATGCGATTCTGAGAAGGAAGGCTGTTGTTCTTAGAGTTTACCTTATTTGTGTGACTGTGGTGCTCTTGCCGAACATGACGAAGTGCTAGTCATGGCTTTACATGACATGCCTATCAGAGTAAATTCCTGTAGGAAATGACGACAAAGTGGTAAAAGCTCTTACGGATAAAGAAATGGGTCCGGCAAGGAAACTTCCAGCAAGAACAGCAAGAACAGCAAGAACGACCCCGATACCAGCAGCGCGATGGAGACGACGGGGCCTGACGCCGTGAGCAGCCACGGCGTTAGTGGCGAAGACAAGGTGCTACCGATTGCGACCGTGTTCGAGCCGCTGGCTGGTACAACTAAACTGGTCACAGCGCTCGAACCTGCTCCAGCAGGGTTCCCCACGCGCATGTTGGCTCTCGAGTGAGGATGAGCAGCCTCCCTGCTTCTTGATGACATAACTTCTTGCAGCTGCGATAGCCTCGATCATTTTGGACTTCGAGTACGTTGAATCTAGTCAACATCCTAACCGAACAAAGCAACACTATTTTGCAATCACGTTCTTGATTCTAGCTACGTGCTTGATTGCCGAAGCCATTGCGCTCTTTTCTAACCATGAGAAAAGCGCCAAATCTAAATGGTCCTGGTTTTCTTGTTTGAAGGATCTCGCTCTTCGAGAAATGGCGCACCTCTATTGCCTTTTGCTGGTAAAGTGCACTTTGCACTTTAACTTGGAAAAATCGCCACCAGGTTGCCCTTCTCGCTCACATCGCGCGTACAGTAGCTCTTGTTCCACCCTACACGATACCTGGACGACTCCATCCCAGACTCCGTGCCATGCTGTGGTCCGTGACACGTTGCCATATAAGCCTCCCAACACCTTCGCATTTAGACTCCTTCCTCGGAGCCATCTCCATCCAATCGGAATGGTGCGGCATAGTGTAGCCAGTCAAAAATCGAGCACAGTGGCAAGAATGGCGTCAGCGCAACAGGAGACTCCGCTCGTGTCCTTCGGCCTGGTGACCGACGTGCAGTACGCCGACGTGGAGGACGGCTGGGACTTCCACCACACCTCGCAGCGGTACTACCGCAACGCGCTGCCGCAGTTGCAAGCCGTAGTGGCCGAGTGGCTGCGCATGGCCCAGAGCCAGAGTCAACTCCGCTTCGCCGTGAACCTGGGCGATCTCATCGACGGGAAGAACCGACCCGCGTCCACGTCCCGCCAAGCTCTGGAGAGCACCAAGGCGGCGTGGGTTCCCTTCCAAGACGCGGTGGGGCCAGTGCATCACCTGGTTGGCAACCACGAGCTCTACAACTTCTCGGTCTCCGATATTCAGAAGGAACTGGTGTACCAGTCGTCCAAGACGTCGAAGGAGGAGGCACCACCTCGCACTTACTACGACTTCCAAGTACCCGAGGCGCCCAAGTTCCGCTTCGTGGTGCTGGACTGCTATGGACTGTCGATCCTCGGACGAGAGAAGACCGACCCGGTGTACCAGGAAGCGCTCGCTCTGCTGCGCCGCGTGAACCCGAACGAGAATCTCAACTCTCCGACGGGTCTCGAGGAAGCGCAGCGGAGGTTCGTCGCCTTTAATGGAGCAGTGGACCGTGACCAGATGCAGTGGCTGGAGGGGGTTCTCCTCAAGGCTACAGAGGCGAAAGAGCACGTGGTGATCTTCACGCACGTCCCGATCCACCCGAGCACGTCGCCGACGCCTTCGAGCTTGTTGTGGAACTACCCGGAGGTGCTGGAGCTCATCCGACGCTACGCCTGCGTCCGCGTCGTCTTCTCGGGCCACTCACATGCCGACGGATACGTGCACGCCCACGACGGCATGCACAACAAAGGTGTGCACTTCGTAGTGTGCGACGCCATCCTCGAGTGCGCTCCGTCCGAGACGGCACACGCGCTAGTGCTCGTGTTCGACGACAAACTGGTCGTGCAGGGCTACGGCAAGATCCTGACACGTGAACTTCGCTTCCCCGCAGCTGAAGACAAGGACGGAGAATGTTAAACGGGAAGAAAAACCGGCGGTAAAGCCATAGAGAAGTCCTCTACGGTAGTTGAAGTGCTTGCTGCATCTGGAGGGAAAGATAGCGAGAATGGTATCAAAGTAGAGAGACCAAGAGATCAACAAACACAGCCACAACACTTGCGGTCGCGCTCTTCATGGTTGGATTTTGGCTTCAGGCGTGGGGGTTCTTATTTACGCGCCGCGTCATTTTTTCACTCCAAGGATCGGCCAGCGTCGCTAGCGCTACCGTAGCTGGCACTAACTGCTTCTGGCTTCGTCCGTCCTGCCTCCCTGCTGTCTGTACACCTCGCCGGTCCTCCTCTCTCATCTAATCATGAAGACGGAGAAGAAGGGTGTCCTCCACATTTTGTCAGACCCGACCCAGCGACGTCACAGACCGCTGAAGAAGAAATAGAGAGAGATTTCTCCACTTAGTGGTGCTCCTCCTTCTTCTCAGCGTGAGCGTGTCCTGCAGAAATAATAAGATAAAATCAAAGGTACCGTTAGCAAATAAGGCCCCTCATAATTAATCAACGCGGCGGGATCAAACGTACTGTGGTGGCACCACCACTCGACAGCGCAGCCGGCGCCGCCCACGATGAGCATCATGTGCACGAGCGGCTTGATGCTGCCGTTGTAGATGAAGCGGTTGCCGTAGCCCTGCGCCCAGGCGTTGAACTTGTTGGTGGGCGGGTTGGCCGTGCGCGCGGCGATGCCGGCGCGGGCGCGGTCCACGAGGTTGGCGGTGGCGGCGCGCGAGGCCTGGTACTCCTGCGCCAGCTTCTCCGGGTTGGTGTCGGCCAGGCGGCGGATCTCGTCCAGCGTGTACTCCTTGGTCATGGTGGCGGTCGGTGAAGTTCCTGCTGAGCTGCTGGCCGTTCAAAGAGTCTGCGGCCCTCGAGCGATGTGCGGCGGGGGGCTTTCGTGTAGCGATGGTGTGGCAGGAAGCGTAGCCATCGTGCCATTGGTGGCATGGCACGTGGTATTTCAACCAATCATGAACCTTCTACAATCCGAACTTAACAGTCAAGCCTATGCGAACTTACCAAACGCGGGTGCCGTGAATGTAGCCATGTACGCCGAATCGGATGCAAGGCAAGCTTGCAGGCGATCTCGAGTTCCTTCGGTTTCCTGATCGCAACACCAATGCGTAAACTTCGTTTCCTGAGTCTCGTCTTCATCTTGGTTCATCGGAGTCGTGAATGCTGGCTGCATGCATATCTACCTGAGCTTTTACCCCTCGCCTTGGAATTCACCGCCGTGAGCTCGAATGCCCGATTGCACTTGAAGCTGACTGGACCTGACGTGAACATCCCTTCACCGCCGACGTCGTCTTTCAACCTGCAAGCTGGTGTCGTGGACCCCAATCTTCAGGATCCCATTCCGATGGTCCATCTTCACGTCGGATTCCGACGTGAGGTCTGAAAGAGAGCTTCAGTTGCACAGTCGACAAACCGCCGCGCAAAAGAGACCGACCATGAGCAAGTACCCGCACCTGCTGCAGCCGCTGGACCTGGGCTTCACGCAGCTCAAGAACCGCGTGCTCATGGGCTCCATGCACACGGGTCTGGAGGAGGGCAAGTCGCTCACCCGCCTCGCCGCCTTCTTCGCCGAAAGGTGAGCAACATCTACCAACCGCTTCTGGTGGTGCATGCACTGACCTTACTACACGAATTGCTATCCTGCCACTGCAGAGCCAAGGGCAACGTGGGTCTCATCGTGACTGGTGGCATTGCACCCAACCGCGCCGGTCGCGTGAGTCCGCTGGCCGCCAAACTGACGACGCAGGGCGAGGTGAACGCGCACAAGGAGGTGACTCAGGCGGTGCACGACAACGACGGCAAGATCGCCATGCAGATCCTGCACAGCGGACGCTACGGGTACCACCCGTTCAACGTGGCGCCGTCCCCCATCAAGGCGCCCATCGGCTGGTTCACCCCGCGCGAGCTTTCCAGCTCCGGCGTGGAGAGCACGATCCGTGACTATGCCAACTGCGCGGCGCGCGCGCGTGAGGCGGGCTACGACGGCGTGGAGATCATGGGCTCGGAGGGCTACCTCATCAACCAGTTCATCGTGGAGCACACGAACAAGCGCACGGACCAGTGGGGCGGAGCGTACGAGAACCGCATCCGCTTCCCCGTGGAGATCGTCAAGGCGGTGCGAGCTGCTGTGGGCAAGGACTTCATCATCATCTTCCGCCTCTCGATGCTGGATCTGGTGGAGAAGGGCAGCACTTGGGACGAGATCGTGCTGCTCGCCAAGCAGATTGAGGCGGCAGGCGCGACTATTATCAACACGGGCATCGGCTGGCACGAGGCGCGTATCCCCACGATCGCGACGAGTGTGCCTCGCGGTGGATTCTCGTGGGTCACGCAGAAGATGAAGGGCGAGGTCTCCATCCCGCTGATCACGACCAACCGCATCAATATGCCCGGCGTCGCTGAGCAGATTATCGCTGATGGTCACGCAGGTGAGTCGATTTCTCCTTGTACGGTGGGATAATGGTGTTGTGCTCATATCTGCTCTGATGTTGCGCTTGTAGACATGGTGTCCATGGCTCGGCCGTTCCTCGCGGATCCGGAGTTCGTGCGTAAGACGGAAGAAGGGCGAGTGGACGAGATCAACACGTGCATCGGCTGCAACCAAGCGTGCTTGGACCATACGTTCAAGGGCATCACGGCTAGCTGCCTTGTTAACCCTCGATCGGGCTACGAAACCATGCTCAACTACACACCGACTGACGGTAAGTCATTGCATTTAGGCGGAACCACGTGGCACATGTCTTAACTGCGTCTTTATCTCTGCTACAGACGTGCAGCGTGTCGCCGTGGTCGGTGCGGGACCTGCTGGCTTGTCGTTCTCGACGGCAGCAGCAACGCGCGGTCATGACGTGACCTTGTTCGACCAAGCCGACGCTATCGGAGGTCAGTTCAACATGGCCAAGACCATTCCGGGCAAGGAGGAGTTCTACGAGACGCTTCGCTACTTCGAGAAGCAGTTGAAGCTCAAGGGCGTGAAGGTGAAACTCGGTCAACGTGTTGAATCTGCTGATCTGGCCGCAGGAGGCTTCGACAAGGTCGTTATCGCCACGGGTGTGCTGCCGCGCGAGCTCAAGATCCCCGGCGCTGATCACCCGAAGGTTCTGAGTTACATCGACGTACTCAAGAACAAGGCGCCGGTGGGCAAGAAGGTCGCCGTTATCGGAGCTGGTGGTATCGGGTTCGACGTTGCTGAGTTCATTACGCACGTGGGCGAATCCACAAGCTCAAGTGTCGACGCATTCGCTCGGGAGTGGGGCATTGACATGACCAATTCGGTGCGTGGAGGTGTGGCTGGCATTAAGCCCAGCATCCCTCCGCCCCCGCGCGAGGTGTACCTGATGCAGCGTAAGAAGACGAAGCATGGCAAGGACCTCGGCAAGACGACGGGTTGGATCCACAGGCTTTCGCTCAAACACCGAGACGTCAAGATGATCGGCGGCGTGTCGTACGACAAGGTGGACGACGCAGGCCTGCACTACACGGACAAGAAGGGTCAGAAGCAGGTTCTGGACGTGGACAACGTGATCGTGTGTGCTGGCCAAGTGCCTCTGCGTGAGCTCGAGAAGCCGCTGCAGGAGAAGGGCGTCACGGTCTTCCGCATTGGTGGCGCCGACGAAGCTGGCGAGCTGGATGCAAAGCGCGCCATTGACCAGGGTGCACGTCTGGCTGCCAAGATCGAGACTGCCAAGCCTGGTGACCCGCTGGAGGCTGAGCCTACGCTGTCGGCCAAGGTTTTCGAGTTCTTAGGCAAGTTCCAGCAGTAAACACGAACACTCAGTGAAGCTACAGTATTGTACTGGCACTTCGAAGTAGTCGTTATTATGAATCACAAGCGACAGCAACACGAGCCTTTATCTGCCTCTCACTGCGCTGTCTTGCGGCTATCAGCCGCCACTTTTACTCTGTTTTCTGGCGCTTGGCCTGGTTCATCCCCTCGAAGAAGCTCTTGATGTCCTCTGCTTTCACCGTCTTGCCGCTAGCCGCGAAGCCTGCGAGGTATTGCTGGAGGTTGTTCTTCATGAGGCTGTAGCCCATGGCAACTTCAACTTGCTGCTCGTGCGTCAGCTTGTTGGCGAAGGCGCGTTGAGCGATCTCCTCGTCCGACGCCGTCTTCTTCTCCCTCGCGGTAGCTTCGTACACATGCAGCGAGTCTTCAGGGTCCAGGAGGGCCGCGATGCCGTGCTTTTCAAACAGAGCAACACACGACGAGCACTGGCACAGCTCACCGCGCCACTCACTCGACCAAAAGGTCGGCCGCAGAGTCGTCGATCCTTCCGCTTCTAGCTGCTTCTGCTTCGCCTTGAGTACACACTCGTCTGTCTTCTCTTTGGCGGCATCGTCTCTCCCTTCAGTCGCCTCCGTGTCCGAGGTCTCGACCGTGTAGGCCAAGAGGAACGGGTGCTTCTTCATGCACTCGAGGCAGATGAGCTCGTCGAAGCTCTCAGGAGACACCGTGTTGCCACTGTCCGTGGCAGCATCTGCATCCGCGTCTTCATCTGCAGGCGACTCCTTGTCCGAGTCAGTCACCAACGCCTCTTTCTCCTTCTCCGTCTCCGTTGCTGGAGCTTCCTTCTCAGCTGATTCCTCGCTGGCCACCGGCTTTTTCTCGACGTCGTTGGAAATGTGCTCCTCGTGCAGCCAGTCCTCACAGATGACACACTGGACCATGACCTCCTCCGTCGTCCGCTCCGGGTCCGGGTACGGCCGGTGGCAGTTGCAGTACAGTCCACCATAGTTTTGCGAGTACGTGTTGCGCGGGTTCGTCTTGGCCTTGTCCGTCTCGAGTTTGCACGGGTTACCTGGTCAACAACAACAAGCAGCACCATGCATGCAACTCAAGGTCAATAATACCAATAACTCCAAGTTGCAGCAACTTTAGCGACGTACTCTTGGGGAACTTGTCGTTGCCGCAGTCGCAGCGGAACGCGCGCTTGGTGTAGAGCTCCACGAGCTCGTGGTCCTGGTGGCAGTTGTACGTGCAGGCCAAGCACACGCCCGCGCGCGCCTCGGGCTTCTGCAGCGCCTCGGGCGTGCACGTCATGCAGGCGTACACGGCCTGGCGCATGTAGCCCATGGGGTAGCTGCAGTGCGTGTCGCTGGCGTCGCCCAGCACGGCGTCCGCCGTCTCCGTCAGCTGCTCGTTGTGCTTGAGCACCTCCGAGAGCGTCACCACCTCCTCGTCCTCATCCTCATTGGCGGCCGTCGGTTGCTGCTGCTGCTGCTCAGCTGTTTCTTCTTCTTCACGCGGGCGCTTGTTGCCCGTCACCTGGGCGTCTGCCCCAGCAGAGGCGGAGGGCGTCTTGGCGTCACTTGGCTTCACCATTGCAGCGGCGGACAATCGAGTAGTGAGCTTGGGTCAGAAAGTGAAGGTGAAGTTGGCGCCAAATATAGCTTTCTTTAAGTATACAACGCTGCCGATTCCTTACTAAGTTGCTTCAGTATGTATACATATCCCAAATGTATACTTAGACGAGTAGATTTGATTGGCGACGCTTGCAAGGCATTAGCTCAAGTAGTGGCGTGACGTACTAGTGCGCTTGGGCGGCAGACGAACGATGGTGTTCTTCGTGTGCGAGGGCTGCAATGAGACGCTGAAGAAGAACAAGGTGGACGCGCACGCGGGCCGCTGCCGCAACTGCTGGGCCGTGAGCTGCGTGGACTGCAGCGTCGTGTTCGAGGGCAACGACTACGCGGCGCACACCAGCTGCATCTCGGAGGCCGAGAAGTACGAGAAGAGTCTGTACCAGGGCGACAAGAACAAGGGCAAGCCCGGCAAGAAGCAGACGCCGCAGGAGCGCTGGATGGACGCCGTGCAGTCCGCCACGTGCCCCGACGACCGCAAGCTGCAGGACGTGCTCACGCGCATAGCCGGCTACGACAACGTGCCCCGCAAGAAGAACAAGTTCGTCAACTTCGTGTCCAACAGCCTGGCGCTGCGCGACGCGGCGCTTGTGGAGCGCGCCTGGACCATCTACGAGACGGCGTTCAAGGCCTCGGCGCCCGAGAGCAACGAGACCCCCGCGGCGGCCGCTCCGGTGCAGGAGAACGCGAGCAAGAAGCGGCCAGCGGAGACGGAGAAGGAGGAGGACGAGAAGAACGCTAAGAAGAGCAAGACGGAGGATAAGCCCGTCAAGTGGAGCAAGCTCATCAAGTCGGCGCTGAAGGACGCTGGCAAGGAGCTGGAGATGGACGCGCTGCGGGAACAGGTGCTCAAGCAGATCCAGGACAAGGCGCTGTCCTCCAAGAGCGAGAAGGAGCTCAAGAAGGAGTTCAAGGCCGCCATCAAGGACAGCGACAAGTTCGCGGTCGTCGAGGTCGTGCGGCTGAAGTAGAAGAAGAAGAAGAAGAAAAAGCACATAGAGACTGGCATGTAGACTTCTAAGCTAATGCGTTGCACACACACACACTGCGTTGCCTTGCCTTTGAGCGACTACTGGTCGTTCACGAGGGCTTCTTCTCTCTGCTTGACCTCTTTCGCGTGGAGAGGACGAGGGAGTTGATCCTGGGCGTTGCTGCCAGCAGATTCGTCGTTTGCTGTTAGACTGAAGGGATTCAGTCTGCAACTCGCCAGCCCAAGCTCAAGCCCATCGAGTGACCTGATTAAAAGGAGAATCATGCATCTGAGCTACGTCCTGTTAATGGTTGCGGCCACTCTCCTCGCCAGCAACGAGCTTGTGTCGGCGGCTTCTGCTTCTTCAGAGCTCGTCGCCTCGAACGCGAGGGCCTTGAGAAGCCACAAAACCCCGAGCGTGCTCGCTGCTGGCGACGAAGAGAGGGCGGCCGAAGAGCGCGCGGCGGAGGAGAAGAATCTCGACGCCAAGATCCTCGCCAAGATCCTCAGCGACCACGCGTACGCCAAGCAGGTCTTCCGCAGCTGGCTGCAGAACGGTCAGACCAAGGAGGACATCGAGAACCGACTGGAGACGCAGGGCCTGCTCACCAAGTACGGCAGCGTCGTCACCCAGTACGGCAAATACCTGGAGGTCCTCGAAGGCAAAGCCGCCTAGGGAGGAAGTACAACAAAATACAACTACTGCTTGAACGAAGCTCGAGTTGCCTAGCAGCTTGCAACAAGGGAAACAAGCTGTTGAGTTTCCCAAATAATAGTACGTGTTTATTGTTTTACTTACGATAAGAACTTGCGCTGCTGGACATCCACAGCATCATGAATGCATCGATCGTGGGCCAGCTCCCCAACTCCCACTCCCATGCAACAGCCATTTACGCCGCCGCAGCGTCTGCCTCAGCTTCAGCAGCCTCACTCGCCTCCAGCTTGTCCACAGGCGCAGCCTCCTCCGCACCCTTCTCAGCCGGCGTCTCCTCCTCAGCTGCAACCGCCTCCTTGTCGGCCTTTTCCGCGTCATCAGCTGCCACGTCGTCGGTAATTACCTGCTCTTTCTCTTTTAATTCATCAGTCTCCTCCGCCTTCTCCACGTCCTCCTCCGCCTTCTCAGCCTCCTCAACAGCAGCAACTTCCTCCTCCTCCTTCGGCGCGTCAGCGACCTCTTGACCCTCCTCCTCCGTCCTGGCCTTCTTGGCGGCATGCTCATCATTTGCCTCCATCTCGTCGCGCTCCTGACGCTTCTTGGACGCTCCCTCCCCCTCCCCCTCTTCTTCCTCCAGCTCCTCCGTAGTTCCTTCATCATCCTCGGCCGTCTCTGCGGCCTCCTCTGTCTCGGCAGTATCCCCCTCGGGCGTCTCCTCCTGCTGCAGCGTCTCGGGCGCCACGAAGCCGCGGATGAAGGCGTCCACCTTGTCGAACTTGGAGCTCGTGTAGTCGCCCGCGCGCTTGCCCTCCTGGTACACGCGGAAGTGCGGGTAGCTGTCCACCTCCAGCTCCTCGCAGAGCTTCTCGAGCTCCTCGGCGCTCACGCTCACGAAGTCGGCGCTGGCCTCCAGCTGCTCCGCCAGCTCCGCCACCTTGGGCGCCACGAGCTTGCAGCCGCCGCACCACGGGGCGGAGAAGCACGCGACGAGCGCCTTGCCGCTGGAGGCGGAGGAGGCAACCGCAGTGTGGAAGTCTTCGGCCGAGGCAATGGTGAGCATCTTTTCACTTAACCTTTAGGTGTTGCGCGTTGCTGGCGGGGGGCTTGAGAGGCGCGCGGCAAATTGCGGAATGAACCGGATTGCATCTTGACGCGCCGGCAAGCAAGGAGCCGCTGGCTTCGCTTTGTCAAGGTTGCCTTTCCACATACAAACATCAAGTGGTCGGCAGCAAGCAAGAATGCAACTTGCAACCGGATCTTTGCTTGACGTACGTATACGTCAGGCGGTTCGAACTTGAACTTGTTCTACGGCTTTTGGCGGGAAAAAGATCGGGCTGGCACATAGATTCACTTAAAGTTCACACAATCTATACACAACCTAAGAGTCGATCTCCACGTAGCCATGGACGCCGCGCCCGTGGAGAGCGTTGCAATGGCCGCCGACGCGGAGGACAGGTCGCCTCCCAAGGGCGGCAAGAAGCAGCTCGTGGCGTGTCGCATCGAGGCGCACAAGATCCAGAAGCGGCTCTCGCCCAAGAAGAAGGCGCTGGACCCACTGCGCTACCTGCCCGATGGCGGTGGCTACTACGCGCTGTTCACTGTGGCCGCGTACTTCGAGGGCGAGCACGACGGGGAGGAGCCTACGGAGCGGCGGCATGTGGTGCAGCGAAGCTACAAACAGTTCCGCACCCTGCATTCTAGAGTACGTGGCAACTTTAAGTGGTGTTTAATGTGAGGTGGGGGAGGGCAATGTTGCATTTGGCAGCATGGTGCTAACCAAGATGCAAATGGGCAATTTTGTTGGTGGTGTACCCATTTTCAGCTGTTGAAAACGTACCCCAAGTCCAAGTTGCCGAAAGATTTGCCCGCAATGCGCAGCAAGCGATACGACAATGAGTACATCGAGGAGAAGCGCAACGAGTTGACGGCGTACTTGGCCCAATTGATGCAAATTCCCGAAGTGAAGGCGTCCAACGTGCTCCGTGACTTTCTGGAGGCCTCCACTGCAGTCGAAGAGAGCAGTGACGACGAGGACGGACTTTTGGTGCCGTCGAGGATGCTGGAGGGGCTACCCGGCACAATTGTGACTGTGAGAGCGGGTCAGTCCTTCTCCGTGACGTTGCCACTCAGCGCCGCGGGAGATGTGGCGTCCTGGCAATTTACCACAAAGAAGCACAACATCGGCTTTAGTGCCACATTCGAAGGTGAAATGATCCGCGCGTATTCCCGCGAAGGTACCTATGTGAAGCCGGTTAAGGGGTTTTATCGCTGCACCACCCCTGGCACGTGCACTCTAACGTGGGATAACACTTATACCTGGAGCAAGGCAAAAGTGCTCATTTACTGGGCAGAGGTGGAGTCGCAAAATGGGACACCACAACAAAATGGGCAACTTGCAGGCTCGCACGATAGAGTTGCCTCGGTTGATGGCAGTGATGCGGCGTCTACCGGCAGTGGAGCCGCGTTGGATGGCTCGGAGCTGGACAACCGCCGGTTGGGGTTTATCGAGCACACTCGAAGCAACTCGATGCACCCTCGACATATCGTCAACTCGTCCATCTCGCTGCTCTCTAAACCGTTTGCGCATGGCAAACATGGCAACGAGGATGGTTCAACTCCCGGAAAGTCTCGGCATTTGTTGCCTCGGAGGACGTCGGCACCCACCGTCAACATCCCGAATGAAGTGCAGACGTCGGACCACGCTATGCCTCCAGTCAAGGCTGGGTCTCTCATCATCCAACGCAGTGTGAAATTTCGAGGACGCAATTGGTACCGCAAGTGGTTCGTATTAGATCCGCGCAAGTGTATCTTACGGTACTACGACTCGGAAGCTGCTGCGCGTCGCGGGTTGTCGCTGGCCAAGCTGAATTTGACCAACAAGCACGCGTCGCTGGCTATTACCAGCAGTTTGAGTCTGGACGCGGCCCCCACCCCGTACATGTTCCTGATCCGCACCAAGAAGCACTGCTGGAAGATCTGCGCGCCGTCTCAAAGCGAGTACAATGAGTGGGAAAACGCCATCTCGACTGCCATTTTGACGGCGCAACTGTCACGTCGCGGCAGGAAGAGCAAGAAGGCCATGCTGAAGGCTGCCAAGTCGGCGGCGGTGCGGAAAGATTCCCACGCCAGCGAGTCTGATGATGACACGCCAAGGAGGAATGGAGCGGTACCGGATACGAATGGCAATGCCGAGGCGAGTATGAACTCATCCGTGAACCACGAGCAGCCTCTGAGCCCAATTGAAGAGTCCGACGACGACGATGACGACTCGGAGAACAAAGAAGACTCGGACGACGACGACGACGATGAATCCGAGTCGGACTCCGATGACGAGCTCCATGAGGGCGACGACTTTGAAGTGGTGCAGCCTATCGTGTCTACTACTTCTCTTATTGAGAATGATACCGAGGCCATTGGAAGCCTACCCAATCTACAGAACCTCCCCCTGGAATGGAAGCTCGGTCTCGCAGCCGTGCTAAACGTGGCGCTGTTGTCGGTGCGCTCAGCCCCCGTCGTCGTTATCGTGCTCGTGCTGTTTGCCCTGGACTGGTTCCTGATACTCAAGTGCATGAAGCGGTCAGATGACGACAAGCTCAAACCCAAGACTGAATAATTTAAAACCGGTAAAGTGAATGGCAGGCGTGAACATTTTTGCATCGATTCTACTCTACTGTTCCTCCTTGTTGTCAATCAGTTCGAGGTAGTCCGGGTGCTCCCATGCGTCTAGTTGCTTAGCCACAGCAGGAAACTCCTTCTCAATCGTAGCGAGAATTGTGTCAGCGACCAGCGCATGGCCCTTCATGTTGAAGTGCAGTCCGTCGTACTGGCACGCGTGGCGTTCTTGCTCCCCCAAGTCGTTCATGATCGTGTGGAAGTCGAGCGCCGGCAGCCCCGCAGCCTTCGCCTCTTCAACGCACGCGCGCGCGTACTCCCCCACTGCTTCATTAGAGAAGTCGAGCTCCTCATTGGAATAAACTTCCAGCCGAGCCGAGTCGTTCACTGCTGGGGGAGTGACCATCAAGATCGCAGTCTCTGGAGCTTCGGCTCGAATTGCTTGCACGATTTCGCGGAGGTTGGCGCGGTACTTGGGGATCGGCACGTGAAGCGCAGCCTCGAAGCCCGTTGGCAGTGCCGAGTCGTTGCCACCGAGCCAGAGAGCCACCAACGCTGGGGGGTCGGTCCATGAGGCCAAGTCTCTCTTGAGACCTGGAAGAGCGTGACGCACGAAGATCTCGGTGCTGTAGCCGTACAACCCACGCACCACCACGTCGGCGGAGCGAGTGTAGCGGTGCTGGAGCTGACACACCCAGCCGCCGAGATCGGGATCGGTGCCCTCTTGAGTCAACGAGTCGCCGATCAGCAGGATCTTCGGACGCTGAAGTGTCGTCCAGGACGAGGATGCTCGTGACCCGGTTGACGCCACGGCGGACACGTAGCGGCCTCCAGTAGGCAGCAGGAGACGACGGAGCGGCAGCATGAAGGGGGGATCTACAGATCGTGTGGACTGTCTAGGACAGCCAGACTACTTTGGGACTCGTTTGTTAGCCGCGCACTCGGACGTTGGCGAAGTCCACTGTGGTGCTCTCCTCCGGAGTCCACGGGTCGGTCTCGGCCCAGTCCTCGAAGCGCGGGAGCTGCCACCGCTCAAGCTTGAGACTAAGGTCGGGGAAGTCCGAGTCGATTTTGTCGCGGAGTTGCCTGTAGACTTCGCCATTGCCCGTCTCGTTGAAGTGCAGTCCGTCCAAGAGCATCGCGTTGCGCTCCGACTTGGACATGTCGTTGAAGTACGAGTACAAGTCGAGCACCGGGACGTTCAATTCACTTGCCGTCTCGACGCAGGCGCGCGCGTACTCGCCCGTCACTTTATTCGAGCGAGAGACTAACCCTTTCTTGGCTCCTTTCTCGTCCATGGCATTGGTCTTCTGCACTTCGTCGTCAACGTGTGGAGGGGCAACGCGGAGAATGCTGGCGGCTGGAGCAATGGCCTTAAAACTCTGAACAAGCTTGACTAGATTGTACTGGTACGCTGCGATGGGGACGTGTTGCTCCGACATGCTCCCGTCGGGTAGTGCGGCGTCGTTGGCGCCCAGCCAGATCGTGACTAGCGACGGCATGTAGTTGCCACTCGTGATCTCGTCGTGGATAACGGGCATCGCGTACTTGAGGTACCATTTCGTGTTGTATCCGGAGAGTCCGCGGCCCAGAATGTCGACTGAGCGTCTGTAGTCGCTCTCCAGCATTGAGAGCCACCCCATGGAAGACGGGATGGAGCCTCGCTCGGTCAATGAATCGCCTACAAACAGCAGCAGCGGCCGCAATCGATAGCGGTAGCCGACTCGGATCATAGCACTCTCCCACGCTCCAAGCGACCACGCGACGAAAGCACCAAGCGCGAAGAACGCGAACAGAATGATCTTGGTGCTGGAAGGTCTGGTACGGGTTGGCATTGCTGGAGGCTTGGACGATAGCGGCAGTGGTGACGGCTGTGACGAAGAAGATAACGAGCAACTCGAGGAGCTGGACGACTCAGAAGGCGACGACTGTGCTGGACTTTCGGGAGGGTGTGCCATGGCAACAACTCCGCCAGCGCGGTGATCCTCGATGGAGAGGATTTCGACTGACAGCGACGTGGCTGTAGAGATTTCTACAACCAAAAGAGCGCACTCCAGAACGAAATCATGACAAGTTCATCATGTGCTAAGTAGGCTACAACAATTACCCGATAAATTTCAATCAATTGGCGTTTTCAGTCGAGTTTGTCTTCTTCGGAACCCACGGATCCAAGTCGACCCACCTCTCGTAGCTCGGGATCTGCCACCGCTCGAGTTTGTGCGAGATGTTGGGGAACTCGGCCTCAATCTTCTGGCGGAGCTGCTCGTACATGTGATTGTTGCCCTTCAGGTTGAGATGCAGTCCGTCCTCAAGTACATGCTTGTGCGTGTACTCGGTCAGGTTGTTGAAGTACGTGTGCAAGTCCAGCACGGGAAGCCCCAAGGTTTTCGCTGTGTCCACACACGCGCGCGCGTAGATCCCCGCCATCGCGTTGGAATGGGCGACCATGCCCTTCATATCGCCCTTGTACTTGTCCGCGTGCTTCTGCTGGACTTCATCATCGACGAACGGAGGGGTGATGAACAAAACTTTGGCGTCCGGTGCCATCGCCTTGAAAGTATCAACGAGCTTGACGAGGTTCCCCTTGTAGTCGTCGACGGGCACATGCTGCGCCACTGCAGTTCCGTTGGGCAGAGCGGCGTCGTTGGCCCCCAGCCAAATCGTGATCAACGCCGGCATGTACGCCCCACTCGATATCTCGCCCTGGATCACTGGAACTCCATACTTCAGATACCATCTACACGAACAACCAGCACGAGTTAATAAATGCTACCCAGATCGGCAGTATCTCTCCCACATACCTGGTGTTGTAGCCCGAGAGTCCGCGCGGCACGACGTTGACGGAGCGTCTATAGTCGCTCTGCAGCAGAGTGACCCAGCCGTTCGTCTTGGGGATCGTGCCCTTCTCGGTCAAGGAGTCTCCAACGAGCAGGATCACCGGTCGAAGGCGAGGGCGGACGCTGGTCCTTTGAAGCACGGACTCCCACGCGCCAAACGACCACGCGACGTATGCGGCCACAACGAAGAGCGCAAGAAGACTGCGCTTGGTCTTCGCGGTTAAACCTCGGGCTGGTACCGACAGAGCCGACAGCGGAGACGGCAGCTTGGACTTCTCGCGAATAGCGGCCATGGTGTTCAAGCGCCGGGGGTTTCAGCAGTGAGTGCTGATCTGATGGCGAACGCCTCTGGTTCACCATCGCTGGGATGCAATTCCGGCTGGAAGGTGCTTCCTTCCGGGTCATCGGGTCGCGACCACATGAAGCAAGAGCCCCACTGTGGTGATTAACTTAGTCAACACTCTGATCAACAATGAGTCTCCAGGGACTTCAGCTTAATACGAGTTCTATGATATAAGTTAGCTAGCTGTGTGTTCAATCGTCTCGAAGACTGCGCGTGCTGTGGGCGTCGGCGTCGTCCGTCGGCGCCCACGGGTCGCTCTCGACCAACCGGCCGAACTTGGGGAGCTGCCAGCGCTCGAGCTTGCGCGCCACGTCGGGGAACTCGGCCTTGATCTTGTCCAGGAGCTGGTCGAACATGAGCTTGTTGCCCCTCGTGTTTAGGTGCAGTCCGTCCTCGAGCAGGTTGTTGCGTCTCCACTTGGGCATGTCGTTGAAATACGAGTACAAATCCACCACGGGCAGGCCGAGCTTGTACGCGGTGGCGACGCAGACCTGCGCGTAGTTGCCGGCCATCTCGTTGGTGCGGTCGGGCACGCCCTTCTTGTCCACTTCGTTCTTCATGGCCCGGCGGTGGCGGGCCATATCGTCCACGTGAGGCGGCGTGATGAGTAGGATCCTGGCATCGGGGGCCATGGCCTGGAACTGCCGCACGATTCGGACCAAGTTGTCGCGGTACATGTCAATGGGAACGTGCTGTTCCGAGTTGCTGCCATTGGGTAGAGCGGCATCATTGGCTCCGAGCCACAGCGTGATCAATGCCGGCGAGTAGCTGCCGCTCATGATCTCGCCCTGGATGACCGGCATGGCGTACTTGAGATACCATCGAGTGTTGTAGCCCGAGAGGCCGCGGGGCACGACGTTGGCCGAGCGCGTGTACTCGTTCTGCAGTAGAGTGGCCCAGCCGTTGATCTTGGGGTTCGTGCCCCTTTCGGTCAGCGAGTCGCCGGCCAGCAGCAGCACGGGCCGCAGCTTGGGCCGCAGGCCGCTCTCAACGAGAATCGCCTCCCAGGCGCCCAGCGACCACGCGATGTACGCGGCCAGGACGAGGCACGCGAGCAGACTGCGCTTGGTGTTGACCGACGGGCTGGTAACGGAGACCGGGAGGCTGAGGCCCAGAGGAGAGGGCTTGGTGGGCTTGATGGGGCTCGGGATCATGGTGCTGGTGGTCGACCAGGTGGTGGCCCTACGGAGAGCAATTTCGGCAGTGACCAGCGAGTCGCTACATCGGACCGATCGTCGGCCATCACTGACGTTTGATGATGCCTTGGGATCTGTCCTGTACCTACCCGTACCTCGGGTGGAGACGTGGTAAGGTGTCACACACACCAGAGAGGAGGGTCGCGTTGGACAAGGAAGCGGAGCGGAGGCGCATTGTGCAGTCGACGAGGAGCTCGAGTTTCATGTTGCCTATTCTCTAATAGACTGTATGGATGGATATGCACAGGATATCTATCTTGTTGTCATTGCCGAACTTCATTTAGCGCCGCATTGAGCACTTTGCATTGCATTCGCCATGGTTGAGAACAGTCCTATCAGCTGGGTGTGACACTTCAAGATGCAATTTGCACCCGCACTCTGTTAGCGAAACGTAGGTTATCTTGGCACTGCCAAGTTGGCAGCATCCCAACTTGTATGACCACGGTGGGAACGATTGGCACCGAAGCTGTGCAACCGAACTATCCGGTGAAGGGAATGAGCGTCTCGATAGGTTTGCACCGCTGGCAAAGCACTCACTCGTCTGGAAAGTAAACAGGATTGCAAGCCAAACTCACACCGTAATACGTGACTATCGTTGCTGCGCGAAGTTGATTCTCGTTGCTGCCCGTGGCTGTGTCGGCTCAAGATCTATTGGTCATGTGAGCCGTGAGCCGATCCCAGTTGGGGATCGCTGACTCCTGCAGGCGCGCCGCCAGCGTAGGAAACGCGTCTGCAATCTTCGCCCGCAGCAGCCGATCCATGAGTCGGTTCCCCAAGCCGACAAGTGCAGCCCGTCCTCCAGCGCCAACGCCCGTTCGCGTGATGACATTGCGTTGAATAGAGAGTGCAAGTCCAGCACTGCAACTTCGAGTCTCTCGGCTGTGACAACGCACGCCTTGGCGTATTCGCCCGCCATGGCGTTTGATCGGTCGAGTCGCCCGGTCCTGGATTCCCTCCAGGTTCGACGCGTAAGTATCCACTGGAACGTGCTGGCGAGACGAGGGTCCGTCTGCGAGCGCAGCGTCGTTCGCCCCGAGCCAAAGCGTGATCAGGGATGGAGAAATGCCGGCACTGGACAACTCCCGCTTGATCACCGGCAGAGCGAAGTCGATGAACCACCTGCGAGTAAAGTTTGCATTGAAACGCGTTAGTTACCGCTCTGTTGTACATCTTCACATAGCGAGTCAACGAACTCACTTGGTGTTGTAGTCTGACAGTCCGCGGGGCAGGACGTCAGCCGATCGTTGGTAGCGGTTTTGGAGCAGAGCCACCCACCCACCCAGACTTGTCGGGGTCAACGCCCTGCTCCGTGAGCGAGTCGCCCAGGAGCAACAACGTCGGGCGAGTCGCAGCAGGATTGCTACAAATTGTCTGCAGCGTTTGCTCCCATGCCCCGAAGTACGACGCAAAGTAGACTGCAGCAAAGGCCACAACAACCGGCACCACGCTGCGTAGCGTCACACGTGGCATGGATACCAAGGAATGGCAGATGGGAAAACCAACCGGTAAGAACCGGTGCGAGTGTGCGGCCTGGAGCAAAGCTGTACTCGATGGCAGTTTTGCTACTGTCTACGCATCCATCCAGACGTGGAAGTCCGGGAGCTGCCACGTCTCGAGCTGCTTCACCACTTCGGGAAAAGCTTCAGTGATCTTCTTGTGCACTTGTTCGTCCACTATGCGGTTGCCCTTCGCGGTGAAGTGGAGTCCGTCGTCCAAGCACGCAGCACGCTCGCTCTCGGACATGGCGTTGAAGAACGAGTACAGGTCCACGACGTTGAGCTTCAGTTCATCAGCAGCCTCCACACACGCGCGCGCGTATTCCCCAGCCGCGGCGTTGGTGCGCTCAGCGCGTCCAGCAGGCGAGCGCGACTTGCGGACAGCGTCGTCGACGTGCGGCGGAGTGATCAACAGGATCTGAGCGTTGGGCGCGCTAGTTTGGAAGGTCTGTACGATCTTGACCAGGTTCTCCTTGTACGCAGCAACGGGGACGTGCTGACGCGCCGCGCCGCCGTCGGGGAGGGCGGCATCGTTGGCGCCGAGCCACAACGTGATCAGCATGGGCGAACGCACTTCAGCGGAAAGTTCGCGCTTGATCACAGGCAGAGCGGACTCAATGAACCACCTGCAGTCGCAACAGCAACAATGTAAGAGGGACATCGTTAGTTAAATAGAATCGATGGTAGGAAGCTGTGGGGTGCAGTGAGACGCACTTGGTGTTGTATCCCGACAGTCCGCGGGGGACGATGTCGGCCGAGCGGTTGTAGCGGTGCTGCATCAACGCGACCCAGCCGGCATTCTCCGGGTCGGTGCCTCGCTGAGTCAGCGAGTCTCCCGCGAGGTAAATGACCGGGCGCGGGGTCGATGGCGTGGTGGTGTCCTTGGTGGCGTCGGAGGAGCTCATTTTTGGCGAGGGGGGATAAATTGAAAGTGATTAGTAGTTTCGTTTCACTTAGGAAGACGTGGAAACCTATAACCTATTATATTGACATCCTTCGTAAGGCTCATCATTATCAAATTAGTAACTCGTAACCTGATACCCTTGGCAATATACACATAGCAAGACTGCCTTAGTAAGGAATATAGAGCTGTATTGAGTCATAATGCTGTGTTTTTGGTTGTCTTTGCTGAATCGGTCGAATCGATCGAATCGATTCGCCTTCGTCATGCCTAATATGCGTGGCTTATATCATTTGCTGACTACAGCAGACTGGCAGCCGCAGCACCGATCAGTGCAGCGGCCAGCGCAGCGAGGCGGGTAGTTGACGACTCGCTCGAGTCGACATTGCCGGTCGTCGATCCGGCCGTGCCCGCGGTCGACGATGAAGCACAAGCGCTCGACACGCACGAAGGCTCGCGGGCAGGAACGCTGGACTCGTCGCAGGTGAGCGACCCCGTGGAGTCGTGTTTGTTGGACGCGTTGGGCATCGAGATGCGGCTGGCGCCCTTGCCCTCGTAGGTGGTGGCCGTGACCTGCTGCGCGCTGATGCAGATGGTGCCGGTGCCCTGCGTCTCCAGCTCGAGCTCCGTCACCGACACGCTGTCAACGATGAACTGGAGCTTTGACGTGCCGGTCGCCTCCAGGTGCAGCTGGCGCGCGCTCACGTCGGTGCTGGCCGCCGACACGTACACGGCACTGGAGCCGCTCGTCTCCACCTGCAGCTCCGCGGTGGTGCTATTCGACGCCAGAACGCCGTCCTCGACCACCACCTGGGCCGACCGCTGGCTCTTGACGTCCGTCACGACGCCGGTGGACGCCAGGAAGATCTCCGTCAGCAGGTATCCGCTGAGCGTCGTAGCGGTAGACGTGCTGTTGCCGATGCGGATGTTGAGCTCTCCATCCGTGTCATTCGTATCGTCGGCATCATTGTCATTGGTGTCATCGTTGGTGACAGTCACAGCGTCAACCACGGTCTGCGAGTCGCCCGACACGTTCACGTAGCCGAGCACGCCGCTCGGTAGGCCGCTCACGTAGCTCACGTACACGCGCCCGGCGAGGTCCAGGTCGATGGAGTCGATGGTGTCGGCGGAGTTGACCGCGCTCAGCGTCCACTGCTTGACGAAGGCCGCGTTCTCCGAGGTGGAGGTGGCAGCTTCAGTGACTGCAGAGGTGACGGTGAACTCGGCGGAGGCGCGCGCAGTCATAGAAGCCGCGACGAGGAGAAGAGCTTGGATGTTCATAGTGAAGTTGAGTTCGTTGCTTTGAAGTGGACTTGCTGGGTAGCTGTGATTTTCAATAATGAGGATGACCAACGCCGCGCCGATAACGCCGCAAGCGCGGTGTGGGGTAGATAGATGTAGCTATCGAACACCACTGTCTACAACGACGAGGGTTGCAGCTACTCTGCGAATTGTTGCGACAGCCGACAAGAAAATAGGTTCGTCGTGAGCTTCGGCTTTGCCATGTCGGGACAGCTGAAAGCGGTGGTGCCGCAGATCAATCAACGTGATGCAAATCGGACCGAGTCCAACAATGGATTTCCACCATGGAAAACCTTGTCATTTGTGGCAAACCTGAGGTATTAATAGAACTAGTGTTCATAACACGAACCGTTTAATCACGCGATTGGAGATTAATTTCCTGAAGTTGAAGCCGGATGGCTACACTTTTGCAACAGTACTCGTTGTTGAAGTTGGTTGGTTGATTCAGTGCACACCATCGCCAGCAAAATGGACAAGAACAATTCTAGGTCGTTGGACTGATCGGTTATCTAATGCGGTACGGATCATGCACAACATGTTCATGTATATACACTCGCTGCGAAGCAGGAGGCTCCATGTCACTTGTAGCGCGTCGAGACCGCCAAATTGCGACGCCCAAGATCATCGTCTGACACAGGCTGCGTCGAGACTCGCTGCTCATGTTAAACGTGATTCTAGGGTCGTGCGACTTGAATTTTTGCCATACCGGTGGTAGATTTTATACAGCTACAAAACGAATTCTCGGACCTGCACCTTTGGGATGGCAGTGTGGCCATCAGCTACACCATCGATTACGAGATGGGGGCCAAGCGGATACACACACCAGTCTTACGTGCTGTATCCAAGCCCGCTGAAATGTAACGTGCATGCGTGTGTGCTCCTTACTGAGGTGTTAACCATTCAATGCAGACGTTGAAGTCACGCTCTATAGCACCGCTACACTCAAATACGTCCAACGGAGCAATCTGCAATGCAGATTCCTCGATTTCCACCAATAGCAGAAGCGGATGTAGCTTAACTGACCAATGCTGTTCGTTGTCCGTTACAGCTTCAAGTATGTCAGAGGGTCGCTCGAGCATTTTCACTTCGTCATGGGCTCTTCTAGACGGTGGGCGGCGTCTTCGGGCTCGTCGTGTTCAAGTTGCAGCTCTTCGTGGCAGCGTTATGACGAGCGCAAGGGGGCAGCAGCTAACGCGAGGCGGAGTGGCCAAGGTGCCGAGCGGCTTTCAGTTGAGGACGAGCGAGAGGTGGCGAGACGTGTGCTGGAAGATCTCGAGTCGCTGTACTTTGACGGAATCGGCGACGGCGAGAGTGAAGACGAAGATGAGGACGAGTTTGACTCGAGCTCGGAGTGGGGGTCGGAGAAGTCGTTGCGCAGCTCAAGTGGCAAGCGAAAGGCAGGCGGGATGACCCTCGAAGAACTGACTGTTGCTCTCAACGCTGCGATCGAGTACCATCGGCCAGCAACATTGAAATTGAGTACCCCAGTGCAGGAATCCAAGCTCGAAGCCGATGAACGGCTTGACCAAAGTTTAGGCGAACGTCACCAACGACCGCGTTCTCGCCGTCAAGAGGAAGTGGCGTCGTTAGCGTCAACTCCTAGAGGAGAGTCGAGCTTGGAGTTTTTCCAGGATATGCTGGAGAGGAAGCAACGGGATTTTTACGCCATGAAAATTGCGCCAGAACCCGATGAAGAGGTGATTGAAGACAGACAATCGCAAGGGACCGTGCCTAGCAACAATGCTGTCACTTCAACTCGGGAGAAACAAACGGTGACACTCGTGCGAGATCAAGCGACAGAAACAGAGGAGTACTTTCAATACCCAAGGTTTGATGCATCCTTTGGAGTCGCTGATTTCCAAACGCCACCACACTCACCTCCAAGGAGTGTCTGTCTTCGAAGTACGCAGGCTGCAAACGTACTGCCAGTTACAATCGGTCCTACACTAGCAGACCTTGCTGCCAGTCATCGGAGAAGGGAAAGAGATCGACTGTCTTCTCGATCAGTTCCAGGGCCGGAATCTTCATGGAGCTCATCTCCATCTTCTTTTGCCTCTCATCAAAGAGCCCAATCCGATTTTTCGTATGCAAGCAAGCGAAGCGAAGGCAGCAGTAGCAGCTCATCCAGCAGCTCTCGCACGAGTAGCAGAGCTAGCGACATGAGTAGCAGAAACAGTAGAAGCAGTAGAAGCAGCCGCAGTAGTGAAAGGAGTAGCCAAGCCGAAAGCTTGATCAGCAGAGCTAGCAAAAGCGAAAGCCAAGTCAGCCAGATCCAGAAAAACTACGAGCCGGAACAGTTAGTCCTGGAGCCACCGACGCAGCTCAATGCTTACCTTCCCACGCCAGCGACCGAGATCCAAATCGACAGAGCATCTTCCAACTCGCCGCGTATTCCGAGCAGCCCCGCACTCGTAAACTGGGAACTCGATCTCTCGAACTTCGTACTATGAACACTGAGCGATACTTTTTTTTCCTTACGAGTTAGCTGGAATTAGTTGGACAACGGGATCAATAATTCGAACGATGATGTGGCAACTACACCTTGCTTCTCTTCGCGCGTTCTGTGACTCGCATCACTTCAACTGATTCTGGGAGCGTCTTGTTGCTGAAGTCGCGAACAAACACTGAGCTCGCACTGCCGAGGAGCATCATAGTGGCCGTGATGACCAGCAACAGCGTCACGTGAACAGGTGGACCGATGAGATAACCGTTGACAAACTGCGCAGCAATGGATCCAGCCCTTCCAGCCGCCGACAGCATGCCCATTCCAGTCGTGCGGACGTCCGTCGGGAACGACTCGGCGGACATAAGATCAATCGCGTTCCAACCGGCCGTGCTGAAGGCGTTAAACCCACTGGCCAGCAGTACGATGGCTGCTGCACCTGAAGCGGAAGAGTTCGCATAAGCGAATCCAGTGGCACAGCCAGCGGAGAGCAGCATGGAGATCGCAAGAATACGACGCCCTCCAAGGCGATCCATGAGTAAAGCGGTCATGATGTTTCCAGGAAGATTCGCAGCAGCGTAGATAAACGCGTTCGCGAACGGATCCTCCAGTCCGATGCGATTGAAGAGCATCGTGATCCAAGTTGCGAGGCCATACGACCCGAAGCTCAAGCAAAACCACGACAACAGCAACGAAATTGTCGTCCCGCGCAGCACTGGATCGAACAGCAGACCAAAAGCGGTCCATGTGCTCCGCTCGACTTGGATGCCAGCGTTTGACGACTCAGCATACACTTCCGACTGATTGCTGGCCCCTGTAGAGTTATGCCGAGCCAGCAGCGACGTTGACTCGGTTAAGCCGTCATCGTCCGAAGCGTTGGTGGCTCGAATAGTATCCACAACCAGTTCTGCAGCAGTCAGCAGCCTGTGTCGAAGGAAAAATTGGGCGCTTTCAGGCACGTATCGATACATGAGAGCCCAGCAGGCAAAGCTTGGCAGCGAGATAATTGCAGCAAATGCACGCCATGAATACGCCGCCTCTGGACGCCCCAACATGAACCACGCTAACCCTGCAGTAAACACAGCCCCCTGTTGTGCAGTCAGCACAAATAAAATGTTAGAACTTTGGTATCACTGAGAGTAGAATACAATAGGCTTTACTCACCACCATCCAGTAGGCAGCAACTATTGTGACGTAGTAGCCTCGACGGTGCGCAGGTACGTGCTCCGAGCAGAGCGTGAACATTGCCGGCACGGTGCCTCCAATACCGACACCGGCACAAGTGCGGAAGATAATGAGTGCGTACACATTTGGCGACAATGCCGACATGAGTCCAAAGACGCCGTTCAGCAGCAGCGAGTAGAGCAAACTCTTCCGCCGACCAATGTAGTCGCTCAGGGAGCCGAACAGCAGCCCTCCAGTGAACATGCCCGCGAAGATTGCAGCCGCCAGCAAACCTACAAAAGCATTACCCTAAGTATAAGCTGCAAGTAACCACAGCCAGAGCTGCAGCTATAACCGTAGCTTACTCTGCTGCGTCCGAGTGAGCACCACCCCCTCCTTGTCTTCGTACACCGCCAAGATGTACCCAATCGAGAGGATCTCAATGGCGTCGGCAGCGTTACCCAGACCTAAAATACTGCAGCAATTCCCCCATTAACCCCATTGCACAGTTCTGCAGATACACTGCAGCACGCACAGCACAGTCCGCAGCTGGAAGAACCCGTCGCTGATGCTTGCAATGGCCTACACAACACCCTAACACTTCAGCATACACTCAGAGGTCTATCAACGGCCAACCCTTTGGCTCCTTACATGCTGCAGTCGCAGTAGTCTAGCGCTACCCCCTCCAGCTCCAGCTCCTCCTGTCATCATGCGAGTCAAAAGGTGGAATGACTGAGGTTTCGGAGACCGTCCTCCAATTACCCAATCACGCGCGAGGAGCTCACTTATCTTGGTTGGTCAAGTCAAGTATGGGACGGCGTCGCTCCAAGTGGAAGGACAACACGCGCCTGGACCGCGGCAGCCAGTTGCTGCACCATGCCAAGGCTGGCGACTGCAAGGCGTTGACGGCGCTACTGGAGGAATCGGATCAGGAAGCGCAGCACGAGCGCAGCGACTTCTTGCAGCTCACTCAGGACCACAATGGCTCGACGGCGCTGCACCTCGCGGCCAGTGAAGGCCACGTCGAGATGGTGCAGACGCTGCTGCAGCTCGGCGCTGGAGAGGTCCATCTGGGCGGTGGACGCAAGAAATACGCGCGCACGCCGCTGCATGAGGCTGCGATCAATGGGCACCTGGACGTCTGTCGCCTGCTGGTGGAGTTCGGACTGCTGGTGGACTGTCACACCACGAGAGGACGCACGCCGCTCATGTACGCGGTGAAGGGCAACTACGTGGAGCTGGCCCGATACCTTGTGATGGAGGCGGGCGCCAACGTGAACGAGCAGAACGAGATGGGCGTCACGGCGGTGTACATTGCGTGCCAGGACGGACACGAGGACATGGTGAAGTTCCTGGTGCAAGAAGCGCAGGCAGATGTGAACCTCAGCAACCGCACCAACCACGTGCCGCTCCATGAAGCTGTCGCTGGCGGGTTCACGGCTGTGGTGGACTTTATGCTGCGCAACGGAGCCGACAAGTACGTAGTGGACAAGATGGGCGTCACGGTGTGGCACGAGGCAGCGGGCAATGGGTCGGTGGAGATGCTGGAGCTGCTCGTTCAGCACGACGTGTCGCTGCATCCCAACGGGCAGGAGCAAGTGGACAAGGTTATGGCGAGGCACCCGTTCCACTACGCGGCAGTGGAGGGCAAGGCCGACTTCGTGCAAGCGCTGCTGGAGAAGAAGCTGGTGAACGTCGACTTCGTGGACATTGACGGCTGCACTGCGCTCTACTACGCCGCAGCCAACGGTCACGCTGATGTTTTGCAAGTGTTGCTGCGCTTCGGCGGAGACCCAAACATTGTGTCCATCCGTCGGTCGCCGCTGCATTGCGCAGTCGAGTGGCACCGCGTCGAGTGCGTGAAGCTGATGCTTCAGCACGGCGCCTCGCTTGAAGCAACAGATAAGGACGGCCTCACACCAGCTGAGGTGGCCGCACAGAAGGGATTTAACGACCTGGTAGCAGTTCTTGAAGTTGGCAGTGGAGGCACGACCCCATAAAGGGAGCACTGCACAATAAGTCTAATGCATGTAGCACATTGAATACTTCTCCACCACCGTGCTAACCTGCTCCCTTGCACTCCGAGGCGCCGCAGCACGCATTGAAGATACCCTGGCCGTGCTGCGCTGCGCTGTGGTGCCGAGGTCGGATCCCGAGGTTGCACATGGTTGCCACTGCGACACGATGGTCATCTTGCCGATTGCGCCGGCCACGAATCGACCAATGGCACCGCGGCGAGCGTCTCCGCTGCGGATTCGCCTAAATTGTCGCATTTCAGCGAATGACGCTCCTCCAAAAGGCGTGGACGCAGCCAATGGCGGGGCGGTCCCGTCTTCGCCACTTTGTCCTTCCTGCCCCCATGTCTGACGTAGCCAAGGCCCAAAGCTGAAGCGAGCATCCCGAGTCGGATTCCCGACGCCACGTACTTCAGTCTGCAGCTCAGAATTGCATTTGCACTCAAGCGCCCAAGCCCCGCAACCAACTAACACCCACTTAAGGCACTACCTATCTCTAGACGACCATGCCGATCGAGATCCAGACCCCGGAGGAGTTCAACGCCGCCATCGGCGAGAAGCAGCTGACGGTCGTGCAGTTCTCTGCGCCGTGGTGCGGCGGCTGCAAGATGGTGGCCCCCAAGGTGACGAAGCTGATGGAGAGCGAGTTCTCGAGCGTCAAGTTCCTCAAGGTGAGCGCGGAGGAGCTGGAGGACTTCTGCGAGGAGATCGACGTGGACAGCTTCCCGACGTTCCGCGTGTACAAGAACGGCGAGGTGGCCGCGTCGTACGTGAGCTCCAAGTTCGAGAAGGTGGAGGCGTTCATCCGCGAGAACGCCAACTAAGCGGCGACAGTCTGCTGCTAGCTGCCACAATGGCGGCTGAAGCCGAGGATACGCATGTATCGTCAGCGTCTGCGCCCATGCGATCAACCCGCGCTTCGTTTGGTATTGATCGAGTGGATCAGCGCACGTGCGATGTATCGAGCGCGTCGTTAGCACCCCGTTTTGACGATGGAGAGGCAAAGATCACCTAATGTATGGAAATATAAAGCCTTTGCACCCTTGCGATGATGGAACTGTGTTGGAAGTAGTTTCGTTAGGATGTTGGTATTAATGGTGAGGTGTTGGTGCTGTAGGTGCTTGTATGTGGCCCCGTACATGCTTGTATCTGTAACGTTACCTCTTCATGTGTTCCCTGCCTAGAATCTGGGTTGCATCCAGCGTGAAGCACGGCATTGGTTATCATAACGACGAAAAGACTTTTACTGTAACTATGAGCGATAAAGGAGTCCTGAACCTTGCTACAGTTTAAAGTACAACCGTCTGAGATCCTTGTTGGGTCTTGCCGCCTACCCAAATGAACCTCATCTTCGCGACGTCCATGTCTCCTCGTCATAAGATAAATGCATCACTTTGCCGACTTTTCGGTTGGATGCATTAGCATGTTTCCACGGCATCAGTAGATGAAAAGCCGCAACAATTGAGGAAAGTGATTCCACATGAGAACCAGCGGCGGGAAGCGTGCGATATGCTGATATTCGACAGCACCAAGGTTTTGCCAACCACCAGATGAATCGATTAAACAATCCAGCCCCGCGCCAATAACCTAGCAGCCAAACTCTAAAACCAGCACCACCCGCTTCGTCACCAACATCCTAACGAAACTACTTCCAACACAGTTCCATCATCGCAAGGGTGCAAAGGCTTTATATTTCCATACATTAGGTGATCTTTGCCTCTCCATCGTCAAAACGGGGTGCTAACGACGCGCTCGATACATCGCACGTGCGCTGATCCACTCGATCAATACCAAACGAAGCGCGGGTTGATCGCATGGGCGCAGACGCTGACGATACATGCGTATCCTCGGCTTCAGCCGCCATTGTGGCAGCTAGCAGCAGACTGTCGCCGCTTAGTTGGCGTTCTCGCGGATGAACGCCTCCACCTTCTCGAACTTGGAGCTCACGTACGACGCGGCCACCTCGCCGTTCTTGTACACGCGGAACGTCGGGAAGCTGTCCACGTCGATCTCCTCGCAGAAGTCCTCCAGCTCCTCCGCGCTCACCTTGAGGAACTTGACGCTCGAGAACTCGCTCTCCATCAGCTTCGTCACCTTGGGGGCCACCATCTTGCAGCCGCCGCACCACGGCGCAGAGAACTGCACGACCGTCAGCTGCTTCTCGCCGATGGCGGCGTTGAACTCCTCCGGGGTCTGGATCTCGATCGGCATGGTCGTCTAGAGATAGGTAGTGCCTTAAGTGGGTGTTAGTTGGTTGCGGGGCTTGGGCGCTTGAGTGCAAATGCAATTCTGAGCTGCAGACTGAAGTACGTGGCGTCGGGAATCCGACTCGGGATGCTCGCTTCAGCTTTGGGCCTTGGCTACGTCAGACATGGGGGCAGGAAGGACAAAGTGGCGAAGACGGGACCGCCCCGCCATTGGCTGCGTCCACGCCTTTTGGAGGAGCGTCATTCGCTGAAATGCGACAATTTAGGCGAATCCGCAGCGGAGACGCTCGCCGCGGTGCCATTGGTCGATTCGTGGCCGGCGCAATCGGCAAGATGACCATCGTGTCGCAGTGGCAACCATGTGCAACCTCGGGATCCGACCTCGGCACCACAGCGCAGCGCAGCACGGCCAGGGTATCTTCAATGCGTGCTGCGGCGCCTCGGAGTGCAATGGAGCAGGACGGAAGTGGACTGATCAGTGAAGTGCAAAGGTGCTGCTATGTGTGCACTTCCAGTCACCGTGAAACATGTTTTGCCACCTTCAATGTTTGCGTCCGTCGCCGAGTAGTATCCTCGTCATCTCGTTGGCATTTCGTCCAAAGCTCGAGCAGGACATACAAGCGTGCCTCGCTTCACACGCTCTGCCTTATTCTGATCTATGTTCTGGCTCAGCAAGCTGCAAGCGTGAGTCACCGCGCCATTTGGCAAACTGTAGCCATGTGAACGTCAAATCTTATCCACGAGCGTATCTCCTCAAACCTTATACCCCATCCTTTTCTGCCAATCGCGTGCTTCAACGAAGCGACACTCTTGCCCGCATACAAAGCGCAAGAGCTCCGCAAGTCAGCACAGAGTGACGGTCGCTGCCTGCACACACACGGGGAGGAGAGCTCCATGAGCGCGGAACCGCGCCGCAGCTACCGCAGCAACGGCCAGGCGCGGCCCGGCAGCCAGCGCCTGAGCAGCGACGAGTACGCGCCGGCCCAGGCGTCTCCGCAGCCGGCGCGCCAGGCCCCGCGCCCCAGCGTCAAGAATAGTGCGTCTAGTGCCGGCACCTCGGCGTCCGTGTCCTCCTCCACCGGCCCCACGCCCATCGAGGAGGGCGACTTCGTCTGGGTGAGCGATGAGAGCGGCGTCTGCACGTCCGCCGTGGTGGTGCGCACGGGCTTCCTCTTCGACGAGGACTCGGACCAGGAGCAGCACGTGACGGTCGTGCACACGGAGGACGGCGAGGAGCGCGCCATCCGCGGACGCCCATTGGTCAAGCTGCCGGCCTACCACCACCCCAAGCAGCTGCTGCCGCTCGAGCTGCACGACCTCAGCAACGTGCCGCTGATGGCTACAAACGTGAGAGATTCAAGTTGGGTCTCCGTTTTGAGGTCTCTCATAGTTTTTAATTGTTATTTTTCTTGGTTTTCTTATTTTATTTGCAGGGCGATGCAGGCCGAACCGAGACTTTCACGACCGAGCAGTTGGAGAATGTAGCGCTCTACACGCTGCGCGCGAGGTATCGCATGGAGCAGGTGTACACGTGGGTGGATCGGGTGCTGGTTGGGGTGAATCCCATCACGCCGTTGCCGATCTACACACCCGATCATATGCAGGCGTACAACAAGAGCAGGGAGCAGACCCCATTCTACGAGAAGGACACGGTGAACGACGCGCCGCCGCATGTGTTTGCGCTGGCTCAGAACGCACTGAGGTGTATGCAGGATGCAGGAGAGGACCAGGCGGTGATTCTGCTTGGTGGCATGGGTGCGGGTAAATCCGAAGCGGCCAAGTTGATTGTCCAGTATTTGTGCGAGATTGGAGATGGGGCCGCTCCTCGAAATGATTCGGAGGGTGAATCGGGTGTACTGCACCCCATCGGCCAACAGATTCTGCACGCATTTACGATTTTGGAGGCGTTCGGAAATGCAGCAACTCCCCAGAACCCGAATTCATCACGGTTCGCAAAGATGATTTCAGTGGAGTTCAGTAAGCATGGTCACGTTATTGGGGGTGGATTTACGACACATTATTTCGAGAAATCGCGCGTCATCGACTGCAGAAGCCATGAACGGAACTTTCAAGTATTTTACCAGGTGCTTGCAGGCGTGCAGCATGACCCTACGCTTCGCGATTCGCTGGAAATGAACAAGAGCGTGGATGAATTTGCTATTTTAAAACAAGCTGACCCTGATCTCACGAATCTTGCCCTTGATGCTCGCGACTACCGAGACCTGATGTCAAGTTTTTCGGCGTTGCGGATCCGAAAGAACCAGCGAGTGGAAATTGTGCGCATTGTGGCTGCATTGTTACACTTAGGAAATGTGGACTTCATTCCTGATCCCGAAGGTGGCAAGTCTGTTAATGGAGCGAACTCGACCACTGTGAGTGACGCTCAATCTTGCGCGTTGAAGGACCCCGCTCAGATCCTGCTCGCATCGAAGCTGCTGGAGGTCGAGCCTGTCGTGCTTGATAATTACTTCCGCACCCGTCAGTTTTTCTCGAAGGATGGTAGCAAGACTGTGTCGTCGTTGAAGGTGGTGACTGTACATCAGGCACGGAAGGCTAGGGACACCTTCATCCGAAGTCTGTACGAGTCTCTCTTCAACTTCCTCGTGGAGACGCTGAATGGCATTCTGGGCGGAATTTTCGATCGTTACGAGAAGTCAAACATCGTTATCAATTCGCAGGGCGTTCACGTGCTGGACATGGTTGGTTTTGAGAATCTGGACCCGTCGCAGAACAGCTTCGACCAGCTCTGCTTCAACTATTGGAGTGAAAAGGTGCATCACTTTTACGTGCAAAACACACTAGCTATCAACTTTTCGGCCCTCGAGGATGAGTCGCAGCAAGTGGAGAACCGTCTGACAGTGCGTTCCAATGTGGACATTACTAGCGAGCAGGAGAAGTGCCTGCAGTTGTTCGAGGACAAGCCTTTCGGCATTTTTGATCTTTTGACAGAGAACGGAAAGGTTCGATCTCCTAATGACGAGGACTTCGTAAACAAACTGTTTTCGGGTAACGAGGCTGTGGGTGGGCTGTCGCGACCCAACATGGGCGCGGATACGACAAATGAATACCTGGCACCGTCGAAAGATTGGCGGCTACTCTTTATCGTTCAGCACCACTGTGGCAAGGTGACGTACAATGGCAAGGGGCTCTCATCCAAGAACTCGCTTAGCATCTCTTCAACATGCGCTGCTATCATGCAGTCCTCCAAAAATGCTGTTTTGCATGCCGTAGGGGCGGCCCAAATGGCAGCCGCATCTAGTGAAAAGGCTGCAAAGCAGGCTGCTCGCCGAAGTACCTCCTCAAAGTTCCGAAACTCCATGAGCTCCGCGAAGGAGGCAAAGAGTTCCGGTGACAGTGCAGCAACAGACGTGTATAACCAAGCTGACGCCTTGCTCCACGCATTGAACCACACGGGGAAGAACTTCCTCGTATGTATCAAGCCAAACGAAGAGCTTGAAGAAGGAGTATTCGACTCGGCCTACGTGATGAAGCAAATCCGTGATAACCACTTGGTTGAGCTTATGCAAGCCAGTCGATCTATCTTCACTGTACACTTGACGTACGGTCACTTTTTCCGACGCTACAAAAATGTCTGTGGTCACCGTGGTACGCTCGAGTCGCTGTTGCGTTCGCTGTCTGCTATTGGCGTTTTGGAAGAAGAAAAGTTTGTTGTTGGAAAGACGAAAGTGTATTTGACGAGTCATCAGTGGAAAAAGCTGGAGAAGGCGCGTTTCCTGTACCTTAATGCCTGCGCGACCATGATCCAGCGTAATATGCTTCGTGGTGGCTTCCGGAAGAAATCGGCGCGATTGCTGTATGTTATTCGGGGCTTGCGTGAGGCGATGGCGCAACGCGACCAGAACGATATTATCCAGCACCTTGCAAACTGTACACAAATCTTAGGAAAGCGCGCTTCGGAGGATATTCGCGTGTTGAACGAAGGCCGACAGCTTATTGCGCGTTTGGACGAAGAAGAATACGTCAATTCAATTATTGCAGATGCTACCAGGATCGGTCATCCTGCCTTGATTGAATATGCTGTAAGAGTCGCTGAAAAGAGCTCTCCATGGCTAGCTGTCGACCATTTGCGGAGGAAAAGCAAAAGTATTGTGGCTCTCCAAAAGCAGAAAACGGAGAAAAATGCTGCAGTCAACAAGAAGCTCCGTGCTTCGATGATTGCAAACGACCCAGAAGCGCTCATGGGATCTTTAGCAACACTGGAAGAACCTTCTGTTGAGTCTTTGGAAAGAAAGCTAGCTACAATGATGATCATCCGTGCGCTAGAGGAGAAAAGCGCTGTGGAATCTGTAGCACACGCACTATCTACCATCGGCGAAGATGATGATGACGCGGCCATTGTGAAAAAGTTGTTGGGGCCTGCTACCAAAGCCATCAGCTTGGGTGTCGAAGCGAAGTTGCCAACACTTGTGGACACTCTTGGAACGATTCCTTCCGATCTTACTTCATTTGACAATGACGATGAGGAGGACGACGATGAGGACGACGACGAAGACTTGGAGGAAGAGGAAGCTGCCCAAGAAGTTGTTGCTCTCAGTGCGTCTGTCTCTGTTGATACGACTAACTTAGAGGCAGCTCTCCAGAAAGCTCTGGACGACGAAAACTTTGTTGCCGTGGAGAGAGTGCTGGCGCGGCTTAAAGTTCTCGGTGTTCCCGGAGGTGATTCTCGAACAGTTGAGGCTGAACGTGCACTTGAAGCACAAACCGTTCCTGCGAGCACACATTCCGAGCGCAAGCAAATGGTTAAATTCTTAGCGGTGGCAAAGTTGTCTCAAGATATCGAGTTGCTGACTGAAGCGATTGAGGCTGCTGTTGGCGTTGGCCTGGCGAAATGGGACTTTAACTTGAAGAATGCTGAAAGAGAACGCGAGAAGCTGATCGCTGCTGCCGAGTGTGGGGACAGTCCTCCTCCGACTCTGGTTGCTGTGGTGAAGCCAGCATCACCAAAGCCAATCAAGTCCCCTGTGAAGAAAGAGAAGGTACTGGAGCCATCACCGATTAAGCTATTCTTGCAGATCTGGGAAGCTCAGCGTATCAGTGATCTGGACCAGTTGCGTTCGTCCGTCACCCCCGAGTTGGAGGCGGTGTTTGAAGCGAAGTCGGCGCGACTGCAGCAGGTGGCTAGCGTCGAAAACGCTTTAAGGCAGGCCCTTGAGACTGATGACCCGAAGGTCGTAGAGCAAGAGCTAGGACAGTCTATCAGCATCGGGTTCTGCTCGCCTTTGTTTGGCGACCTGTTCGAGCTTTTTTCAAAACTTCGAAGCGGTGCTAACGGTGAAGATGCCTCGGATCCTACTGCGATCATGGATGGACTACATGCCGCCATTCATTTCTTGACTCGTCGAGTCGACGAGAACGCCGAGATTCGCGAGGATGCGGTGCAGCTGTTATCTACTGAGATCGAAGAGTTTTCTTCTCCATCAAATGGTGAAAGCGAAATCGTGTACGATGAAGCGGAGCGTGAAAAGGTTCTCCTTACAGCAGGCAACTTACGCCGGAGCTTGGAATCTCGAATTTCGGCTGCTGCCCGCCTGGAAGCCACTCTTGCTCTACCGACTGATGCATCATCAGTAGGAGCGCTGGAACTTAGCATTCAATCGGCAAGAGAAGCTGGCGTCCACGAACGACTTCTGATGAAAGCTGAAGATAGAATGGCGACGGCGAGAAGGAAGTCTGTTGTTGCTGGTGACCGATTGCGTGGTCCTGGCACGCTTACGCGTAATGATAGCGACAGCAGTAGTCAACCCAGTCTGCATGAAGGCGAGCGTCCACGGTGTGATACAACTGAGTGGCCTGGAATGGGAGAGGACGACGGATCTGAGAACGCAAGTGACAAGAAATCAAAGCAAGGAGCTGAAAAAGATGCGCTGGCGTTCAATCATTTCGAAAACCTCCGTGGGTTTAACGCGCAGTCAGAGCGCGCACTCGCCAAGAAGTTGTGCTGGGAAAGTCGTGCCATCTCTCAGAGCCTGTCTGTGCTGGATGACAGTCCTGACGAAGTGTCATCGCTCGCTTCATCTGCATCCGCCGGGCAAATGGCACTCTCCATCAACCGCTGCATTCTGGGGTACATGCGTGACCGAATCGTTTTCTACCGCGAAATGCTGGCGCAGTACATCCTGCAGATCGGTCTTATGAAGCCGTCTCTTGTGGACGAAATCTATCTGCAGCTCATGAAGCAGCTCACCAAGAACCCGAAGAGGGATAGCAGTATTCGAGGTTGGTCTCTGTTTGCGATGTGTGCGACCTCATTCCCGCCGTCGTTAGCCCTCCAGAAGTATGTGATCATGTTCCTGAAGGCGCAAGTTGCTGATTCCAACAGCTTTTGGCGGCTCGTGCGAAACTTTGCGGCTTATTCGCTCAAGAAACTAGAGAATTTGCTCGAGAACGGAGCAACGGGCTTCATTCCCAGTATTGATGAAATCCGTGGCTACGAAGCGCGGCCACCATTCCTTGCGACGATTGAGTTGCTGGATGGCACTCCTTTAGCAGATGCCTTCCCGATCACGCCAGAGTTGACTGTGTCCCAGCTTGTCGAGATCTGTTCTCATTTCCTCGGCTTGGAAGACCACGTTGTCAACTTCTTGGGCTTGACGACGATAACTGAGCGCGTCGTTGTTGGAAAGAGCTCGACTGGTGCAGCTAGCTCATTTGTATCGGCAAGCAATGAAGGCAACGACTCAACGCCCGATAACAACGAAAACGGCGGTGTGAAGGAGATTCCGCCCCCTCCAGTTCTCACTGTCAGCACGTCGACGTCCTCGACGACTTCAACTTCATCTCCATCAAGTTACTTCCACAAGTTTATCTCAGCGCCATCGTTCCTCAACGCTGATACCTTCCTGGGTGATATCTTTGAGAAGGAACTGATCCGAGGACGCGACGTGCGATTCGTCCTCAAGATTCGGCTCAATCCAGTCTACATGCTGCAGTACACGGACGAAATGTACGATCGCCTTGTGTACATTCAGGTGCAGGACGAGATCGTGAAGGGTAACCTCCCTGTATTGGAAGAGGAGGCTCTGCTCCGACTGACTGCGCTAGCCATCGCTGTTGACTGCGAAGAGGTCCCACCGCTGTCTGTGGAGGAAGTCATCGAGATGGGTGTCTTGGACTACTTGCCGCAGGAATGGCGTCCGGCGCATGATGAAGAAGAATGGGCTGAGCTGGTGCTCGATACGATCACGGACAACCTACTGGACGAGCAAGACGCGCAGTTCCCTGTGAGTGAACTGCAGCGCATCTACATCGAAGAGGTGACGCGCCACCGGTTGTACGGCTCCTGCTTCTTCCCTTCCAAGTTGGTGAACCGCGGCGCAAAGGGCAACGGCCTGAACTATTGTCTGGGCATCGAGCTGCCGAACTACTTTGTGATAGGTGTGAATGGCTACGGCATGCACTTCCTCAGCCGCGACGGCACCATGCTCGCGTTCTGCGAGTACACCGACATTGCGTTCTGCAGCGGCGCGTACCCGCAGTACAAGATTTGCCTCAAGAAGGCGTCGGACATGACCGCCCCAATGGAGGACATCATCGTCACAACCAAGTACTCGGAAGAGCTGGACGCACTCATCACCGACTACAAGGAAATCACGGCGCTCATGAACGAGTCCTAGATGGTATGCACAATGTGTTAACGCATAGAATGTCGATATATTCATTTGTCACTTACGCCCCCCAAAATGCCTGCGCTTGGTAGTTCGTGGGAAAAGCACAACTTGCGATATAAATTAACAGCCTCGAGGTTTCCATCACCTTCATACTGCAGGTAGAGAACGCCTCAAACCACTACCATCCTGCAGGGCTGTCATGAGAGAATCCGGCCAGCGAGCACGTTGACCAGATTCGAGCTCTCGTGCTCGGGGACAAACACCGAAGTCGGGTGCTCTCCTGTCCACTTAGGAACTCGATAGCTGGGGTCCTTCATCAAAAACTGCATGGTCTTCTCCATCACCACGTCCGTCTTCTCGAACAACCGCACGCCCGTTTCCTCCGCGCGGCGGTCCAGCTTGGTCGTCGTGGGCTGCAAGTTGACAATGCACAGCGAGCCAGCGTAATCCCCCGCCATCTCCGAGAACGGCTCCACGCGCAGCGACGTGCCGAGCACCAGCGCCACGTCCGCCGCTTCACACTCGTCGATGGCCAGGTCGATATCGCCCAGCGGCTCGTCAAAGCCCACCACGTTCCTTTTCAGTCGGCCGTTCCCATGCCGTGTACGCGCCCTCAGCCTCTGCTCCACGGGTCGTTTGGTGCTCACGCACTCGGGGTCATCACACAGTCCAGTCCAGGGGAAGTCCTTGGTGTAAATCTTCTCGCACGTCTCGCACTTGGCCTGCGTGGCATTACCGTGCACCTCGGTCAATGCACTGGCCGGCACGCCGCTTTTAAGGTGCAAGTTGTCCACGTTTTGGGACACTACGTGCTTCAAATACCCGAGGCGGTGCAGCTCGTAGAGCGCCATGTGGGTCGTGGAGGGCACGAGCGAGTTAAAGTCCGGGATTTTAATCCGCGCCGCCTCATTTTTAGCGTCGTTCTCGTCCCCTTCGCTGCCGTCCTCTTCATTGTCTTCGTCCGTTTTACGCCGTTTCTTGGCCTTGCTGAGCTTGGATTTATCAAAGTTTTTCGTGCGAATGCCGTGCTCCCCGCGGTAGTCCGGAATGCCCACGGACGTGCTGATGCCGGCGCCCGTGAAGGCCACTAAATGCCTGGAATTGGCGATCAACTCCGCCAGTTTGCGGCACTTATTGCCCAGCTCCAGGTCCGAATTAGGCGCAGGCTTGACCCCCAAATCCTCTTGTTCCTCCTGCTTCTCGGACTTGATCGAGTCCGCCAGACTCTGCAGGTAGAAGTCGCGCCGCGCCGAGCGCAGAAGCGCCTTCATGGGCGCCAGCTGGTAGTTGTGCGCCGCCGGGAGGTAGTCGTCGCTGTCGCTGCTGGGCGCGCGGCAGCGCTTGGGGGCGGACGCCAGCATGGCTGCGCTCGGTCTCGCTGCTGGTGGAGGTGGAGTGAATACTGAGACCCAAAAGTCCAGCGTGATGGAGTGTACCATTGCTCAGTGGTACATAGTTTCGATGGTCGAAAGTTGAAGCGGTAAACTTTTGTCGATCGCTCGAAGTTCAAACAGTACGAGAGGAGATGGCAAACGTTGCGAAACTCGACCGTGCCATGCCCAACTGTACCATCGTTTGCCGTCCGCACTTTGAAAGCCTCCACGCTTGTTTCTCCAATATTACAGGAGATTCAACGCCTGACGCGACTTCCGCAAGCACCGTTAAACCTAATGCGTAGTCTTCTTTTTCAACGCATTAATTTCTTAAGTCCCACTTGCATTGGCCCTGAGCGACGGTATTGACCTAGCAACCAAGCTGCCCATTGTGTAGCTAGAAATCAACTAGGACTTGTAGGTGATTAACGCTAGTGTCTTGTTCGCCGGGATACTGTGGCGCGGCATGGATGCATTGCAGTACTACTACGTAGTACTGTAGATATTTTGTTTCCGCCGTGGCCTGCCAAGATTGCTTGCATGACACGCGGGTACTTTAAAATTCGCGAAGACCTGTTACGCTCTGCTTTCCGGCAGTTCTACCAGAATGACCAGCTTATCGATATGTTCACACGCGCGCTTCCCAGTGCATTCAGCATTGTTGCAGTTGTTCCTCATGTGACGAACCGAGACGCTCTCAGTCTCCACTCCCAACATGCCATCCTCGACGCGATTCACGCCGTAGAAGACAGCACGGAGTAGCCATGGACATTCACGAGTAACATCGTCGAACTTCCGCTTCTTGTTCTTCCGATCGCGCTTTTGCTTTCGCTTCTTAAAGTAAGAAAGCAGATCCTTCATGTCTTGTAGGAAGAACAAGACGACGGTGCATTCGGCGGGAACTCGATCAAAACATGCCACCAGATCGTCCTTCGTAAGCGTTCCCTGGCTGAGGTTGCCTTGGACCGAGATCACACCAAATTACAGACTGATTGAATTGGCATCAGACCTGCCAGATTCTTTGAGAGACCCTAAGTTCAAAGTCGTCGCAAGAAACGCGGGCCACTCCAGCGTGAGGGGCGCCGGGAACGGTATTTTCTCCGCCAAAGCCACGAGCTCCGTCACTTTCCCTGGAAGTTTGACTTCGGTATCACGCTCCCGTAGACCCCCAGCTCGTACAGCAAAGCAGACAGAAATCGTGGAAATGGCAGCCCACCGAATCCGCCCCCTCGACTTGCAACCACAAGCGCGCCGGTGGCTAGTTCTGCCAGTGTGGTATTGCCGACCGACTCAAAAGCAAAAGCCTCGCGGAGTGGAATTGGACTAACCCGTTGGTTCTTGAAAACGTGGACAGCACCCAAGCAAAGATGCAGCAGAACATCCTCCCCCGGACTTGGAAAAATGCTGCTCCACCGCCACGGTTCAGCGCCATTTTCACCTTTTACAGGGTACTCGCAACCACGAAGCCAGAGCTCGAACATCTTCGTTTCATACAGACGGGAAAAGTCTCCAGCGGGGCCATTCGTATCGCCATATTCACTGTTGCTCTTTCTGTAGCTGGACGCGAGAAACAGTCGCGCATGACTTTCGTTGACGTTTTCAGGAGTGTATCGTCCTCCATAGACAAAAGCTCGAGCTAGGGACTGAACCATTGTGTTCATGTACTTCTCAACACCCATGCCCTCGTCGTAAGGATGTGAGCTCACGTATTCCATCGCTGGGTTCCCAAACATCGGTCTGCTACATGTAATAATCGTCTGTAACTCGCGTGGCAGGCTCTTCAGGGACGGGTCTTCAAAGCGAGGGAGCAACGGGTACACGACACACCACAGTTCGTCGTGTGTTTGGGCCTTGACGGCTGTCGTCAGAATACTTTTGGCCGCTTTGTTAGACGCGCTCACGATAACCACCAACCCGAACGAGCGGAAGACATTTCGCATGAATCTCATCTTTCGAGTCCACAAGTTCTTTTCTTCTTCGCTCATGCTGTTGTCGATGTGTGGGTAGTCGTCGAGGAAGAAGACGCAGTGCCTGCCTCTCGCTCGACGGGCATTTATCGCATCCAAAACTTCTGCTCTGGTTCGTGTACCAGTAAAGCCAGGGAGATCACTCAGCAGCGTCCGAATGAACGCGTAGGTATACAACTCCGACTGCTGTGATATCTCAAACACTCCAGCTTCACCGACTTCACGAATGTCTTTATCCACACACTGGATGAATGCTGACGAGCGGTAACAAAACGCCAAGCGCACAACTTCCCCGTCATTTACACACGCGAAACAAAAAACGTCAAGATCATCCCGAGCCATCAAATTAAAGGCCATCTGAGTCTTGCCCGTTCCGGAAGAACTTGCCAGCATAATGAAGGGGATGGTGTATGGGACGTCAGCGCTGAGGCTTGCCAAGTCGTTCACAATTGCCACGAGTTCGCTCACCTCCTGGGCATTCTTCAACAATTCTGCCGCTTCCTCGTACGGCTCTGTGGGTGTCCAGCTTCTTACGTATTCACTTGGCGCCTCATCGTCCGAATCTGAGGACGACCAGCTTCTTTCGTACTCACTCACATCAAACTTCGACGGTGGGAGCGCCAGAAAGTGGACCGTGTGCTCCTCGAAGTCGTGAAAAACCTCCGCGATAGTTTTGAGAGGATCCAGCTTTTTCCGAAGCAACCTGTCCGCAACTTCCTCATTTCCGGCCCTCAACGTAGCTACTTCAGGTGATTAGCTCTTGAGTGAATTTCCGTGCTCGTCGATAGCCTCGTAGATGTTGATCGTTTCCTCTCGAACATCCAATGCGTACCGATATATACGCATTTTCAGCCTCCACTGCAGGTCCTGAATGAGAGCAAGCTTCTTGATGATCACGGGGAAGACCGATGTGCCGTCTCCAACGACTAAACACCACAGCTCCACCTCGGCGTCTCGCACTTCGTGGCTGCGTCGGAGTCGCTCTTCCACTGTCATCTTGTAGTTGATGCCGACGAGAACGTGAATATTCCTCCGACCCAACGTGGCCACATCGAAGTGCTGAGAGTTTGTCCACAGGATTAAGCGGCGCCACACAAAATTTGTCGATCATACCTTCGTTTCCCTCCTTCAGAGCCTTCAGTTCGTCCGAGTCGCATGGGAGCCACCCTCCGGTGGGCTGTTGGGCGAGATATAGTTCCAACTCGTCCAGGTCGACGTCATCGAGACCGATACTGGCCTTTTTGATAGCTAGCGTGAGAGCTGCGACGTCCTCACTGGACTTTAGGATCACAACGAACTCCTCCAGGAAGGCTCCCACGACCACATAGTAGATCACCAGCTCTTCTTCGTTGTTTAGTGTGAAGAGATGGAAAATGCGCATCAGAAAACTTCGGAAAAGTGATGTTTAGTGACGAGATGATCTGCTTATGTGTGCTTTCCGCTAGCAAGAACTTAACCTTAGTTCAATAAGTACATGTACTTGCCACTTCTCTCACAACTACAGGAAGATAGCGGTTCTTGATCAAGCATGTACCACGCACTCACGAGAACTTAAGCAAACAGCCTTCACACTATCAAGTCATTAGATAGCCGACACCAGGTCGGCGAATTAAAATATGCTACACGCCACTACACTTAATCCGACATGCACGTACATGTATGCAGGCGGCGATGATCCGGTGTTTCGTCTCAGACCACTTAGAACGACTTGCCCACCAAGGCCGCCTTCGTGTTCTTGATCAACGTCGGCACCACCTCTGGATCCGCCAGCGTGGACACGTCGCCCAACGAGTCCTCCTCGCCGTGCGAGATCTTGCGCAGCACGCGACGCATGATCTTACCGCTGCGCGTCTTCGGTAGTCCAGGCGCAAGCACAATCAGGTCGGGCGTCGCGAACGCCCCAATGTGCGCGCGCACCTGCTGCACCAGCTCCTTCTGCACCTCCACGCTCGGCTTCACGCCGTCCACCAGCGTCACGAAGCAGCAGATACCCTCGCCCTTGATGCGGTGCGGGATGCCGATCACAGCGGCCTCAGCAACGACACTGTGCGCGACCAGCGTGTTCTCCACTTCAGCCGTGCCGATACGGTGGCCAGACGTGCAAAGAACATCGTCGATACGGCCCGTGATGAAGTAGTAACCATCCTTGTCGCGACGACAGCCATCGCCCGTGAAGTACAGACCCTTGTGCGACGACATGTACACCTTCAAGTATCTGTTGTGGTCGCCGTACACGGTGCGGGCCATGCCGGGCCACGGCGAGCGGATGCACAGTTGGCCGTCAATGTCGTTGCCTTTGATCTCGTTGCCGTGCTCGTCCGTCACCACGAAATCGATACCGAAGAACGGCTTCGAGCATGAACCGGGTTTCATGGGCGTCGCGCCAGGCAGACCCACGCCGATGTGGCCACCGGTCTCCGTTTGCCAGTACGTGTCCGCGATGTAGCATTGCCGGTTGCCGACAACTTCGTAGTACCATTTCCACGCCTCCGGGTTGATCGGCTCTCCCACGCTACCAAGGATCTTCAGGCTTGACAAGTCGTAGTCCTTGATCTTGTCATCACCACGGGCCATAAGAGCGCGGATGGCCGTCGGGGCCGTGTAGAACTTGGTCACCTTGTGGCGCTGCACCAGGTCCCAGTAGCGGCCGTGGTCCGGGTACATTGGCGTGCTCTCGAACATGACGGTGGTCACACCGTTGGCCAGCGGCCCGTAGATGATGTAGCTGTGACCCGTGATCCAGCCCGCGTCCGCCACGCAGGCGAAGATGTCGTCGTCGTGCAGGTCGAACGTGTACCTGGCCGTCAGCATGGCGTAGAGCAAATAGCCCGCCGTGGTGTGCGCGATACCCTTGGGCGTGCCCGTGGACCCGGACGTGTACAGGATGAACATGAGGTCCTCCGAGTTCATGAACTCGGCGGGGCAGTACGGACGGTGGCGCAGCAGCTCCTCATCCATGTCCACGTCAATGGCCGGGTTCATCTTGACGGCCGGGTTGCGTGTGCGCTTGAACACGAAGACCTTCTTCACGAAGTCGAGGCCGTTCACGGCCACGTCCACGATCTGCTTGAGCGGCATCGTGCGGCCGCCGCGCTTGCCCTCGTCGGCGGTGAAGACCCACTGCGAGCGGGCGTCCACCACGCGGTCGCGCAGCGAGTCGGCCGAGAAGCCCGCGAACACGACACTGTGCACGGCGCCGATGCGCGTGCAGGCCAGCATGACAAAGGCCACCTCCGGGATCATGGGCATGTAGATGGCCACCGTGTCGCCGCGCCGCACGCCCGCGTGCTTCATGGCGTTCGCGATGCGGCACGTCTCCTCGAGCAGCTCCGTGTAGGAGATCTCGCGGCCCTGGCCGATCTCGTCGGCCTCCCAGATGATGGCCGTCTTGTTCGGGTGCTTCTTGACGTGGCGGTCGATGCAGTTGACGCTCACGTTGGTCTCGCCGTTGAGGAACCAGGCCGTGTCGCCCTTGTTGACGGTGCCCACGACGGCCTGGTCGAACTGGCGGAACCAGTCCAAGTGCTGGCGGCCCATGTCGCCCCAGAAGCCCTCGGGGTCCTCGAGCGAGCGCTTGTACATGGCGTCGTACTGCTCCATGCTCTGCACGTGGGCCGTCTTGGCCAGGCCCTGGGGCACCGGGTACACCCCGTTGAAGCTCACGCCCGCGCTGTCTCCCATGCTTGTGACTGGTCTGGCCGCTGGGTAGCTGGAGGAGTGACTTGCGCTGGCCGGAGAAGATTCCGAAATGAGCGAGCAGAGCACCCAGGTGCGGCTAGCTGGCCGTTGACCCTTTCCTTCTGCTCTCGGCGGTTTAGTTCAACGTGAGCGGCCATCCACGAGAAGAGCCATGGGGACGGGCACATGGCAGCACAGTCTGGCCACAGTCCAAGCCTCGAGGAGAAGACCGAGCAAGGTTTGCTCGCTGTGTTTGGCTCGCGGCGAGCTGCATTGCAGAGGCTGGTTGTCGCTGGGGCAAGCGGCAGCATGCACAAGGCAAGTGTTAAACCGGGCCAACTTCAACGTCCGCTGGTCCAGGTCGACGGCCGAGTCATCACGTGAAACGCGTCGAGCACTGTTGGCCCGTGCCGAACGCCTCGCTCACTCATCCGCGAGAAAATCCTTGCGGCGGAGGAAGTAGTCGGCCACTGCGCTGCATCTAGCGCTCGACTTCGACGTGAGGCCGCTCTGGTTTAGCATGCATTTCACATGAATACACTTGGCGCTAGTCTTCAACGTGCACAAAATAATCATCATAGGGCCCCGCCCAGCAGGCTGGCAGTCAGGTGGCCGGCCCTGCTGATGGCAAGGCTTGGCGCTTGCCACGGGCAACAACTTCAACGTGTCCGTCCTCAATGCCGAGCCGCAGCCGCAGCGGATGACGACCGCCAGCAGCGGCGGACCTGACGCAAGCGACGAGCAGTTAATCTGTCTGCACAGGGCCAGCAGGTGCTCTGCTTCAGCCGTGAAGTTTGCACGCCCAAGAGTGTATGGAAGCGAGCTAAAGTCTTGGGGGCTGGGCTGCCGGCCAGGGTCAAGTTGAAGCCGACGGCAAGTTGCTGTTTCGGCGGTCTTTCAGAGCGACGCAATGCAGCTATGTTGCGTGTCTAGCGAATACTGAGCGAGGCCGACTCGCACTTAGCCGAAGACCATACTGAGACCAAGCTGTTTGCCTTTAACAGCGGTTTGGAAACGCAAGCTTCGGCGGTTTTTATGATGTCGAAGGTCAAATGTTCTTAAGTACCGGTGCCTTGACAAAGGATAGCACATTAACCACTATTGCTAATGTCCTTATTGCCGCCCATGAGATGGGTTCACTGAACAAGTTCAACTTGGCGCTCCCCCGCTTCTTATCGACAGCCGTCAGTGTGGACCGCACGAATAACATGCTTTAATGAATACTATTAGTTTTGCATTTTTACCAAACATATCCACTCCCAGAGACACGCATAACAGATAAAGCTCCGTAGCACGTTTGCTTCGCTAATACAATGTTATCCGCTCATGAAGACTCTGCTCCGAAGCTATATCACTATCGGCGGGTAGTACCTCAAACTGCAACGAGTGCAAGTTGTCACCCTAGATTCTGAAGGGGGGCCACCCGTCCGGTGCCTCCGCTCGGCACAGCCCCGACCCCACTACGCAATTTGCTTTGCCGAGCGCACCGCGCCCTCCCGCTCGAACCTTCTCTCCACATCACAGCAGCCATGGGCGACAGCACCGGCGTGAGCGTCAACGGAGAGTACCCTCCGCTCCAGGAGCTGGCCAAGACGGCCCACGTCAAGAACTTCGAGCAGTACGAGGCCATGTACAAGCGCTCGCTCGAGGACCCGGAGAACTTCTGGGGCGAGCTGGCCCGCGAGAACCTCGACTGGTTCCGCGACTTCGACCAGAGCGTCGTGGGCACCGTCAACAAGGGCGACGTGGCCTGGTTCCTGAACGGCCAGATCAATGTGAGCGTCAACTGCATCGACCGCCACGTCAAGAAGCACGCCGACAAGGTGGCCATCATCTGGGAGGCCGATGAGATCGGCCAGGGCCGCGAGATCACCTACACGGAGCTGTTGGAGGAGACGTGCCGCATCGCTAACGCCATGAAGCACGCCGGTGTCAAGAAGGGCGACACGGTGGCCATCTACATGCCCATGATCCCGGAGATCGCCTTCGTGATGCTGGCCTGTACGCGTATTGGTGCCGTGCACAGCGTGGTGTTCGCGGGCTTCTCGGCCGACGCTCTTCGTGACCGTCTCATTGACGCCAACACCCACTGGGTCTTCACTGCCGACGAGGGCAAGCGCGGCGGCCGCACGCTGCCGCTCAAGCAGATCGTGGACGTCGCTGTGGACGGACTGGACTTCGTGCGCAACGTGTTTGTCTTCAAGCGCACGCGCAACCCGGAGGTCAAGATGAACCCCATGATCGACATTGACATGGACGACGAGATGAAGCGCCACCGCCCGTACTGCGCCGCCGAGTTCATGAACGCAGAAGATCTCATGTTCATCCTGTACACGTCAGGATCCACGGGTGCCCCCAAGGGCATTGCCCACACGACGGCCGGCTACCTGCTCTACGCTATGATCACGTGCAAGTACACGTTCGACTTGCAGCACGACGATGTGTACGCCTGCGTCGCGGATGCCGGTTGGATCACGGGTCACAGCTACATCATCTACGGGCCGCTTGCCAATGGTGTAACCACGCTCATGTTCGAGAGTACGCCGATGTACCCGGACCACGGCCGCTACTGGGACCTGATCCAGCGCCACAAGGTGACCAAGTTCTACACGGCCCCAACTGCTATTCGCGCGTTGATGGCCCGCGGCAACGACAAGATCAAGGACTACGACTTGTCAAGCCTGAAGATCCTTGGTAGCGTGGGCGAGCCGATAAACCCGGAGGCATGGAAATGGTACTACGAAGTTGTCGGCAACCGTCAGTGCTACATCGCAGACACGTACTGGCAGACTGAAACGGGTGGACACATTGGTGTTGGCCTGCCCGGCGCGACGCCCATGAAGCCTGGTTCGTGCACGAAGCCGTTCTTCGGTATCGACTTCGTCGTCACTGATGAGAACGGTAACGAGATCAAGGGCAACGATATTGAGGGTCAGCTATGCATCCGCTCGCCGTGGCCCGGCATGGCCCGCACTGTGTACGGCAATCACAACCGTTACCTGCTCACCTACATGGCGACGCACAAGGGTCTGTACTTCACGGGCGATGGCTGTCGCCGTGACAAGGATGGTTACTACTTCATCACGGGCCGTATCGACGATGTTCTTTGCACGTCTGGCCACCGTATCGGCACGGCTGAAGTGGAGAACACGCTGGTCGCGCACAGTGTCGTTGCTGAGGCCGCTGTGATCGGCATCCCGCACCGCATCAAGGGCGAGGGTATCTGCTGCTTCGTGACGCTCGTCCAAGGCGTGAAGTCCTCGAAGGAGGTCGAGAAGGAGCTGGTGCAGCAAGTGCGCGCACACATCGGCGCGTTCGCGTCTCCGGATTTGATCGTGCTGGTGCCTGGCCTGCCGAAGACCCGCAGCGGCAAGATCATGCGCCGCGTGCTGCGCAAGATCTCGCACGGCGAGGAGGACTCGCTGGGCGACGTGTCGACCCTGGCGGACCCGTCGGTGGTGCCGATCCTGATCACCAACACCAAGGCGGCACTCGTCGGCAAGTCGTTCTAAGTCGTCCGCGTACGCCGCGCACCCCACCTCAATTTTTAATCCCCGCTCGTCTGTGTATTGGTAGTCGTCGCAATCGCCCCGCTCCTTGCTGAGTCGGCGCACGTACTTTTCGATAATGAATTGATCGTTTCTCCATTTCGCTTCGCGTTGGTGTGGTGGTGGTGTGTGCCCCGTTGTCTTGCGCTTGGCGTTCGCACTGGAATTCTGCGGGTCCAGGGCGGAAGTTCGCGCGGGCCCTGAAAGTGCACTCTGGAAGCTGAAGTTGAAGCGCGCGTCACTTTGCGCTCAGTCTCTGCGTCATGCGTGTCGCACAAGTTCAGAAGTGAGCCGGAATCGACGCGTCCAAGCAGCATTGGTGGGCCCTGCTAACCGCTCCGTTGCTCATTGTGACGGCCCGGCATCGAGCGCCACGCTGGCCGAGGAAACGCTCGCGCCTGCATGGCGGGCGATGCATGCCAAGGCGCCGGACTCGAAGATCCGTGGCATCTTCCGGGCCGAATTGTTTGGATGATCTCGGCTCCGGTTCACGCGGCTCCCAGGCTCATCTCATCAACATGTTTGACGTGGCCGAGCTAGCGCTTTCGAGCCCGAGCGTCCGCGCTCTTCCGCATGGGCCTGTCGTGCGCCCGCGAGACACTTCCTCGGCCGGACAAGGCCGCGGCGAGCGCTCGTTTGCAAGGCCCAACATGGCTCGAGTTTCGAGGGGCTGCTCCTGGCGCGCCGCGGCGTTTAATTAACAAGGCCTGGTGGTCGAGGGCCTGCGCTAAAGTCCAGGTTCCAGGTTCGGCGGGCGTTCAGTGCTTGCACCACAGAGCCTGAAACGCAACGGCTGCTTCCTCCCGGTGCGATGTGTGGGGCTGCGATGGCGCCCCACGTCATGAAAGCAGGCCGAGGTGACGCGCCACGTTGGCGCTGCGATCTGGGGCTAGGAACGGCCGACTGGAGCCGCGAGCAAAACTGCCGCACGAGATGACGCAGCTCGCCATAGACAGGAGGCCTGCGAGGCGGGCTTTGTATCTGCAGGTCCGAATAAAGACGTGGCGTGGCTGGCTGCGACTCGGCTCGGGCAGCGCCGCCGCCGGCCATAAAGTTCACCGCCCTCTTTGGCCCTCACAAACGGAAGAGCACCATGGGCGACATCGCAGGCATCAGTTTCAACGGCGTGTACCCGGTCAACCCGGAGCTGGCCAAGACGGCGCACGTCGGCAGCCTCGAGCAGTATGAGGCCATGCACAAGCGCTCGCTCGAGGATTCGGAGAACTTCTGGGGCGAGCTGGCCCGCGAGAACCTCGACTGGTTCCGCGACTTCGACCAGACCGTCGTGGGCACGGTGGCCAAGGGCGACGTGGGTTGGTTCCTCAACGGCCAGCTCAACGTGAGCGTCAACTGCATCGACCGTCATGTCAAGAAGCACCCGAACAAGACGGCCATCATCTGGGAGGCCGACGAGATCGGTGAGGGCCGCAACATCTCGTACACGGAGCTGTTGGAGGAGACGTGCCGCATCGCTAACGCCATGAAGCACGCCGGTGTCAAGAAGGGTGACACCGTCGCTCTCTACATGCCCATGATCCCGGAGACCGTCTTCGTCATGCTGGCCTGTACGCGTATCGGTGCGGCCCACAGCATGGTCTTCGCGGGTCTGTCCGCGGACGCTCTTCGTGACCGTGTCGTGGACGCCAAGACCAAGTGGGTGTTCACGGCCGATGAGGGCCGTCGCGGTGGCCGCACGTTGCCCCTCAAGAAGACGGTCGATGTGGCCCTGAACGGCCTCGACTTCGTGCAGAAGGTCTTCGTGTTCAAGCGTACTCACAACCCGGAGGTGAACATGAACCCGGCCATCGACGTTGACATGGACGCCGAGCTGCTGCTCCACCGCCCGTACTGCCCCGCTGAGTTCATGAACGCCGAGGACCTCATGTTCATCCTGTACACGTCGGGATCCACGGGCACGCCCAAGGGTATCGCGCACACTACAGCGGGTTATCTGCTGTACGCAATGATGACGGCCAAGTACGCGTTCGACATCCACGACGACGACGTCTTCGCTTGTGTCGCTGACTGTGGTTGGATCACGGGCCACAGCTACATCGTCTACGGCCCGCTGGCTAACGGTGTGGCCACCGTCATGTTCGAGAGCACGCCAATGTACCCGGACCACGGCCGCTACTGGGACCTGGTGCAGCGCCACAAGGTGACCAAGTTCTACACGGCCCCGACGGCCATCCGCGCGCTTATGGCCCGTGGTGACGACAAGATCCGCGAGTACGACCTGTCGAGCCTGAAGGTGCTGGGCAGCGTGGGCGAGCCGATTAACCCGGAGGCGTGGAAATGGTACTACGAGGTGGTGGGCAACCGCGAGTGCTACATCGTGGACACGTACTGGCAGACTGAAACGGGTGGACACATTGGTGTTGGCCTGCCCGGCGCGACGCCTATGAAGCCTGGTTCGTGCTCGAAGCCGTTCTTCGGCATCGATTTCGTGGTGACGGACGAGAACGGTAATGAGATCGAGGGCAATGGTATCGAGGGCCAGCTGTGCATCCGCTCGCCGTGGCCCGGCATGGCCCGCACCGTGTACGGCGATCACAACCGCTACCTGGAGGTATACACCGCTTCGCACAAGGGCCTGTACTTCACCGGTGACGGCTGCCGTCGCGACAAAGATGGCTACTACTTCATCACGGGCCGTATCGACGACGTGCTGTGCACGTCTGGCCACCGGATTGGCACGGCCGAGCTGGAGAGCACTCTTGTGGGCCACACCGCGGTGGCCGAGGCGGCCGTCATCGGTATCCCGCACCGCATCAAGGGTGAGGGTATCTGCTGCTACATCACGCTGGTGGACGGCGTCGAGTCTACCCCGGAAGTCGAGAAGCAGCTTGTACTGGAGGTCCGTTCGAAGATCGGCGCGTTCGCGGCGCCTGACATCATCGTCATGGTCCCTGAGCTGCCCAAGACGCGCAGTGGCAAGATTGTGCGTCGCGTGCTGCGCAAGATCTCCCACGGCGAGGAGGACTCTCTGGGAGACATGTCGACGCTGGCCGAGCCCGAGGTGGTGCCCGTGCTGATCAGCGCCATGCGTTCGGCTCTGGTTGGAAAGTCGCTGTAAGTAAGACTCTTACGGCGACCGAGCTGAGTACTTGCTGGCTGGAGCAAATAGGTAGCGGACAGGAACGTAAGTATGTGTTTCCGAGGACGGTGTGCAATGCGGGCCGCCAACGAAAGCTACATGTAACAATATACACGCCAAGTCGGTAGTATTTGTGAGTCATAAAAATTCTCGTCGAGGAATCCCCACCGAGGATAAGTGGCTTCAAGTTGAAGCCTCTCATCCTTGGTGAAGCGTTCAACGCCCATCAAATGGTCCATTTGGATCCGAAGCACGCAGTGTATCCTACAGATGTGTGCTTTGATGATTTTCATTGGAAGTGACGGCTCAGCCGGAGTCTCCGGCTCGATGATTCTGGTCTCGATAACTTCCCGGGGCAGCCTAATCCGCTTTGCTTCCTAGCGTTTCACTTGGCAATTTGCTCGCTCAACACCACAGTCTCGACCAAGTAGCTCACGGCGCAGTCACAAGAGCAACCCAATGCGTGTGTACGGAGTAATTTTGGTGACTGCCTTCGTGGCCACATTTCTGTCGGCCGTCGCCGGATCTGGCATAAAAACCTCGTTGAAGGGGGCTGGCGTGGAGATGAACGACAACCACGACCGCTTTTTGGCGACGGATGAAGATCGTGCTCTGGAGGTCACCCCTGATGAAGATGACGAAGAAAGATTCTCGTTTTTCGGCAAGAAAAGGAAGAAGAAAACGCGAGAAGAGCAGGAAAAAGAAAAAGAAGAAGAGGAAGCTACACCAACTCCGACCCCTCCAGCGAATGCAACCACGAGGCCAACGCTCATTCCGACACGGGCGTCTATCATCAATGGTGTAGTTTTGGACTAAATACCAGGGTTCTGTCTGCCGAATAGGAAGAGAGCTTTATTAAGAACTACTTAGTAATGGATATCGTTCGCTGTTATAAAACATGAGGAATTCAATCCGCCACTGCATTCTGCAATTCGCCATCCAGTTCTACAGCCCCCCAACTTGTCAAGACCCAACGTCCCCCAATGAATCCACACCGCGTACTGTTGGTTGCCGTGTTTGCCGCTTCGCTCTCGATGATCAACAGACTCACTGTTTCGCGCGAAATCTCCACAAAGACAGCTTTGAAGGGTGACGCCCAGGGATTGATAGTAGATATTACCAGTAGTAGAATTTCTTTAATATTACCGGTAAAATAATATTATTCGACTATAGTAATAGTAGAATTTTCCTTGGCTGATTACATTCTACTATAGTAGATATTAGTTGTGTTTTGGCTAAATATAGTACTATTTGGATACTAGAGGTATATTGGCTAACGCAGGGCGTTTGGCCGGTTCAATGGAGGAAGCGAATTCGCTGCTGGGAGGCTCACGCGTTCGCCGGCCGCGGTTCGTCGCACGGGACCGGTCTACTAGCTCTCTGCAGTGAGCGATTGGAGGCTACAAATTGCAGCGTTCGGTTTGGGCTCATTCTGTAATCTTCCAGCAGCTCGACAAGTCTACAACCTCTTTCCGACTCGCTCGCTCAACCAAGCTCGACCAAGATCGTCCGTGAAGTGTCCTAGCCAGGGCTGTGGAAAAAGTGATTGCGATTGTAATATTGCCGAGATTGTCAATCACAATAATTGATTGCTCCGTGATCGCAATCGGTAATCCCGTTCCCATATTGTTCCTATACTGATTTTGAGCCTTTGCCCGCGATCCGGTAGAGAAATACGCAACGTCAAACCTATGGAACCGATCCTAGCTCCTAAAAGCCATTATGTGTCTTCTCCTGCTTCGAAATGCGGATATGAGGGGTCATTGGATGCCTGGATGGGGTGCACGCTCACCATGATGAATATAAGACCCAACATTGCATTTGGCCAAGGTTTTTGAAGCTCAACACAAATGTAATCGCACAAGCAAAGGTCTTAGAGCGATAGCGCCGCCAAACCAGTAAAAATATGGACGTAGCAGAGGAAATACAAGCGAGAACTTAGATTGCAATCTTTTTGTTTGTGAGATTGTTGAGATTGCAATAATTGATTGTTCCAGATCTGAGCCGTCAATCAATAAACAATCTATATTTCCACAGCCCTGTGTCCTAGCTCCAAGTACTCATCGCGGGCTTGTCGGCGACGCCAATTGTGGGTTTGGCGCTGGATTCGCCGCCTCCGACAAACTTACCGCCATAATGGACACCGGAAACCGAGCCAGCCTCGCCACCAGCTGTCACCTCGTCCACGCTACCACCGACGGCAGCACCAAGACCGGCGTCCTCGGCCACTGCGGACGCATTTGGAGTCCATCTCGAGATTCGTCACCACCGTCTGGACCGCGACCGCCATGACGTGTGGGAACTGTCCCATCAACTTAATGCGCCCAACGTGATCTTGGAGAGTGGCGAAGCAGCGACTTTCAGTCACGTTTGCCTGCTGTGTGCTCAAGAGCTCGCTTGCCACCCACACGCAAGCCCCAACGCGTGGGAAGGTGCCTTGTACCGCTGGCAGCACGCATCCAACGTGAGGGCGCGCATGATGCCGCCTCATGGCGATTGTCCACTGGGGAAGATAGAGGCATCGAAAAAGTTGGAGTCCTCTGTCCGCCATCTTGATGACGCAATTACTCTTTTGAAGAGCGTGTATTCTGAGTTTGTGATGAGTAGCCTTCGTACAGACAATCTACGTGCTGAGATGTAGGTGCTGTTGGAGCACAACAAGAAAACTATGTGTCGCATGCAGCTCGCAGACAAAACCATCGACGAGGACCCTGGTGGCCGACATGGAGGATACCTTGGTGGTCGACATGGAGGACACCTGGTGGTCGACAGTAGTAATTTAAATTACTATAGTAATATTAATTTAGTATTCTGGATTGCTAGAATGGGTTAATATTGGAATAGTAGAATTGAATTGGCCTTGTCAATTCTACTATAGTAATTTAGGAAGAAAATCGCGCTACTATCAATCCCTGGTGACGCCACAGAATCGATCGGTGGCGATGTCTTGACTGGCCGCTTATTGTCGGTCGGTCGGTCGGTCACCAGGAAGATGCCGATAGTTTGGACGAAAAGAAAGGCCTTTTTGGTGAGTAAAAGAAAGAGGAAGAGCAAAAAGGAGGGTAGGCGAGGAGGAGGAAGAAGAGGATCCAAAAAACGAGGACGAGAACGAAGAAGAAAAAGGAGACTAAGAAGGTACAGCAGAAGAATTGACCGGTTGAGAAACAGCGATCCAAATGGTATTGTCTTCGAGAAACATTCGTTACGGTGGGACTTCGGAACCTTCCTTCCGAGTGGGTTAATTGTCATCATCGTCGTCGTCGTCGTACAGAAACCAAAAGAAGGGTCTTGTCGACGTCGTCGAGTGCTCCGTTCCTCTTCGTTTGGATCCGCCAGCTCAGCGGCGTGGTCAGTCTTCTGAGTGTCGTTAATTGCCAAGATCTGCTTGGTGGATGCTCCCACCCTCAACGCAGTTACATCGGTCGAAACTGGTAGATCATTGCTAACTGCAAACAGTGTGCCAACAATCGCCAACACTACGTGAAAACGCATAATTTGTTGGAGGCTCGGAGCTCTTCGCGGCTGGAGATTAATTTGCCGAATGAACAGCAAAACACGACATGAAGTGCCTAATACATGTACAATAGTGTAGGAGTCTGTGCCGTGCAAAACGCTGTCGATGTACAGTATTCCGTCGTCACAACACAAATATTCGTACATACGAAGTAAATAATAACTTTAATCGTACGAATCAATCAATGTGTACGAATCGCGCTTTTGAGTGCCCAAACTAAGAAGTACATGTATGTTAATATTGGTAAGGACGTTTCTGTATGTGAGCGAGAGCGTTTATATTCGAGGAATGAGTGACCTGCGAATCAAAATAACTGAATATGGTACTTTGTAACGTACACCCTGGAGCAGGTTAGCAGTGTCGGGTCACTGACGCCGATAGCGGTCTTACAGCGGTAAGAAATGTATTTTTCATGATACGTACAGTTGCTCCTCCGATACATGTATATATGTACTGTTCAGGCGCATCAGTGCTTGATCATGCCGTAGCTTATTAACCCCCCCCCCCAGCGCGAGAGGTTCTGGATGCGCCTATTTACCGAAACCCTAAACACGTTATTGTTTTATCCCGTGCTGGGCACCTATAGTTTAGTCCATACTAATCCAATCGTGTATCTACCAAAGCCAGTCCATGCCCCTAGCTCTGACTTGGCATCTCTAGTCTAACGTGTATCAAGTTTGTTAACATACCTACTCGATACAGCTTACTGGGCCTAACGTGTCCATACCGTGCAAAAACAGCGCAGTCGTCAGATAACTTTTTTGTCGAAATTTTGAGACTCAAGTCAGATGGTGGCTAGCATGGCGAACGTATATTGAAATCAAGTCAATAAAAGAGTCGGAAGAGCTGCAGCACAGATTATATTGCGTTTCATCGTACGCGCTTGCGTTGCTACGCGACGCTTCCACATCCGTCGAATACGTACCGCGGTAGCTGCCAGTCACCGCCTGCACTGATTCGTTCGCGAGCCTTCGCCTAAGTTATTCCGCGAGGGTCACGGTGCCTACCTCCCGTCGTTGCATTTCATCGATGCTGCTTCCTCGTTACAAAGGATGACTACATCGCTTGAAGCTTTAGCGTACATACATCACCAACCAAATGCTCTATTGTTGTAACTACGTACCTAAGCGCCTATCGTACTTGCTCAGGGGTGTTGTCACTCGCGACCGTAATCCATTACTACTGGCATCAAATGCGCGAAGGACTTAGCGTTGATCGCTTCCATATATGTTTTTGATGAAACGACTATATCGTGTATTATACACGATTGAATCTATAGTATATTGTATGAGACACGATAACAGAACTTAGCGATAGCGAGACAAACGGAGTTTGAACACTTCCACGTACTATTGAAAACAGCTTTGTCGATTATCAATGTACGACTAGGGTAGATGGGAGCCTTCATCGTCGCATGTGCATGAAGAAAGCTTCCATGCTCAGCCCGTGGTGACACACCGCTCATAGTAGCGACAAATATACCCTTTAGAAAATGATCATATTTTCATCCGGAAATGCCACTTGTATATTATCAGCAAGGTTTTATCTGACTGCATATGAATTCGTGGTCCTTCTGTCGCTGTTACCGTGAGGATGCCGCTTCGTGAACCTTGGGAGTCGTCCCTTGACTTGAGTAGCTTGTGACATGCTGCTTGGTGGTCCGTGTAGGAGGCGAGACTTACCCCACATTCATTCTAGAACGAGATGAGCCCACCAGCAAACAGAAAACTGGACACCCCTGTACCATACATGATAGTAGTTAGTAAAGCACATCCGTATCGTGTATGTACACGTTAAACGAACCCTGTCGCTCCGTTTCCGAGCCATTCGCGGTTCCTTGATGTATTTGCGGGTCTGTCTTGAGGCTCCTTCATGATCAGAACCTAAACGATTCCTCAACACACACACACACACACACAACGTCAGAATATCTGAAAGCGCATCTGCATCGTAGCAGATTGTACCCGATGGCCTGACTTCGACGGCGATACTCGATTCCAGGGCTTGGTTAATTTACACAGCCGTTCATTTGCTCTGGACGAAGCACCGGGGCATCAATCGCGAGGCACGCTGGACCTGCATAATCTAAGCATTCGGTACATACACGATAACGTTAGAAGCATACCATGTACAATACAAGCTACATGAATGTAACCTTGCATCGGATCCACGTCTGTGGTGCTTTCGTCGGCCCGCATACGGTCCCTTCTTCATCTTCGCTGCTATCAAACCATACAAGTTAGTTCGTACACCTCTAGAAACCTGAACAAACGTTAACAGTACATCAACAACGCACCTTACAGACTTCCTTAGGATCCAGCAATGGCATCCACACGCTCGCGTTGTGCCTCGTGGGCTTCAGTTGCTTGAGACGAAGGCGACTTCCACGGGGTTCCTGGGTGCCCATTTGGCCTTGAAAGCTGGTATCGACACGGGGAAGATGGCCGGATGAGGTCTGTGCGGCCGCGGCGAATTTTCTAAAGTGAGCTCGAAACGAGTGGCGTACGAAAACGCCTGTAATCCCTAATACTGATTTGACGAACACCTCTAGCACCTTATTTTTAGGAAATACGAAGATTAAGTAATACGCACGGCTCTGCAGACTGATCGGGAAAGGATGGGACACAAACCTACCCTCGATTGACTTCAAGTTTGTATGCCTCCATACAAAAAATAGGTGGAAAAATCCTTAACGTGTATAATACAACTTAAGCTTTTTGTCTAATCGTGTCAAATACAGCGTCTCGCGCTGGGGGGGGGTTAATTTGCGGATTATTCAATTAAAAATTGGATAATGACCTATGATCGCGCTAGACAAGGCTGTGTCGGATATCATACTCGCGTGTCGGATCGTTTTGACTTTTGCCTTTTACTAGTACATCTTCCAGCTCTCAGCTTGAAAAATACAACGCAAAAACAAATACACCCGGCCAACGAATACACTACTGCCACGAGTCATAGTACATTTCTGTTTAGGGGTATGATCATTTAGGAGATTTAGTTTTCTACAGATACTGGATTGAGAACAAGAAATAGAACCCCGAAAAAAAAAACTCGCAACGTTTTCTCTTGCTAAATTGACTCGTTCCAATCGATTGCGACGATAACTTTTTCTTAGCTCTCTTGAACTACTAGAAACACTACGAGTTACTACACGCTAGCCATCGTCGCTGCTGCTATCGTCGTCGTCATCATCGTGTCCAATCCACCAGTAATGCCTTCGCCGTCGGCGACGTCGTTTCCGTCGACTGCTTCGTTCCTCCTCACTCACGTCCTCGCCGTTCACCAAGAACCGATCGCTGGTCGCTAGCGCCCTCAACTTTGGAGCGCCACGCGAAGCTTCCACCCCATGACTGACTGCAACCAGCGCCCCGACAACCACCAACACCAGATGAAGAAGACGCATCCTCGGTCTGATCTCCTTCTCTGCGTGCCTGGAGACAAAATCGCAGAATGAACAGTAAAGCAAAAGCAGCAAACCAGTGGCTTAGAGCCGGACGGCTGCATAACGCAGCGCTGCATGTCATGCAATAGACCTGTTTAGTGCAGTGCACGAAAGTCCCCACAAATGCACTAAAGTACTTTAGTGCACGCGCTAATTTCCAGCATCAGTTGTGTGCAGGTGCGTTAAAAGTGCACTAAAGTACTTTAGTGCATTTGTGGGGACTTTCGTGCACGGCACTAAACAGATCTACTGCATGACCAAAAAAAACAACCAACCACACCCATGCGTACACGGCATCCTCCAAGTCATTTCATTGGTTAAAACTAGCGGAGCATCACGTTCGCTGTGCTCATGTTGCTTCAGGGGCCGACATCCAAAACTATGTTGGTCACAGAGTTTTGGACGACGTCCCCACTCGAGAAATTTGTTGCTTCTCCATCCGCTTGGCCATTTTGCAAACAACATAATACCATCAGATCTTGTTCACGGTAGACCGGTACACTGTAGTAGGTTTCGGGGCTACGAGGGAATCTGGTGTTCCCGGGCAAACCAAAGCTCTCTTTTTGGTTTAGAGGTAAATCTCAAAGTGATCTCTGTCTGCGTCTCTGCTGCTAGCTGTCGGCTGCTTCCTGCCGACGACTCCTGCTAGACCTTCTGCCAGCGTCTTTTACCAAACCGACTTCTCTGTCGATCGCATTGGTTTTACTGTTCTCTCTATTCTACTACCAGCTTGATGGCGTCGATCCATAGATGTCGCCCGTTGAGTGGGCTGGGCTTGCTTCCGTGAAACCCTCCACTACATATATCTGTCCTGGGGTTCGAATGCGGGCACACATACATGTATATTCTGTATATTTCTCTGACAAGCCGAGATGCTAATCTACTATCTCCGCTCCGTTTGCGTGCAGCATGGACGTCAAACAGGCTACCACAACTACGGCGACAAGGAAGAGCTGTTGCTGTGCGATATAGCCGCTAAAATCCTACCGACTGGTAGAAATATGTGGGAAGCCGTAGCCGCCCACTACAACGTCTCCAAGGAGCGCGAATGGAACGCCCGTGATTTTGACTCGCTGCGGAGGAAGTTCCGCGCCCTGTACGGCAAGCCCAAGCCGACGGGTAACCAGGGAGACCAGCTCACACGCAGGCAGCGAGCCATCCTGATGTCTCACGTGATCCAATTCGCCATTGAGAAGAAGGGCGGGGCGCACACCTCCCACGACGGGCGCGGCAACGGCCAGGACGACGCTCTCATCCTGAGTGAAGTGACCACCACCTTCAATCAGAAGGACAAGGGCACGCCGATCTCCGATAAGGGCGGCGCCGATGACAGCGAAGAGGCCGGAGACGAGTAGGAGGATGAAGAGGATGAGGAGGAAGAGGAGGAAGAGGATGGGGAGGAAGAGGAGGAGGAAGAGGAGAAGGACAGTACTTCGGCCTCGGCTCAACTTGGCGAAAGGGACAGGAGTTTGGACGAGAACATGCCCGACGAACCGACCGATCCCAGCAACTCTCGCGACCTCCGTATCCAGAGGCTTGCCGAGCGTCAGGAAGGCAGATCTACTACCATAGGGGCCGTAACTACTCCTCAAGGGATCGTCCCCGTCGAGATCGCGGCGGACTTCATCGAGGACTCCGACTTCCCCGCTACTGGCGACGACGACGAACAGGAGGCACAAGGTGGTGGTGTGGGTGACCGCGACGAGGTTGCCATCACAAGCGAGGCGAAAAATGGCAGTGGCAGAGTTAGCGGCGGGTTAAGCGCCCACATCCCGTCCCCGAGAAGCATCGCCGGTACGCCTCCGGCGTCTAAAACTCGTAGTGCCCAGACCCAACGATCGGTGGTACGCCCCAGGGCTTGCGGCAAGCAGCCTGTGCCCTCTGTCGCCTCGCCGGAAGGTCCCACGTTGCAGCGGAACCCTGACCGCGCCCAAGCGGACGCGTTGGAGTCTGAAAGGTACAAAAGACTAAACACCACGTGCGATCGTCTCGGTGGGCGGGACCTTCGCGTTCTCCGAGACAATTTCAAAGAGATGGGTGGGCGCGAACCGGGAGCTAAATCAAAACGATCCACGTCCGAGGGCTCCACGGCGACTACGTATGCAGCATCCAAACGAACGCGCGCCAAAGCGCGAATGGACGCTATCGACAGAGACCTTAAGCGAGCGGAGACTGCTTACGCGTCTACGGGCACGGAGATGAAAGGCCTGCTTTTATTTTTCCGCGAAGACGCTGACCGCCGTGCCGAAGCCGAGGAGAAACGCCGCCGCGAAGAACGTGAAGAGCGACGCGCAGACGAGAAGCGGGAGCGAGAAGAACGCGAGACCATTCGACGTGACGAACTGAAGAAAGAAGAAGCTGCTCGAGAAGAACGCCGAGACCAAGAAGCAGAGAGACGTCGACAGTTCGAAGCTCGTCTGGAGCAAGACCGTGCTGAAGCCCGGCAACGCTACGAGCAAATGATGATGCTGATTTCAACCATGCAAAAGAACAAGTAGCTGAGGTCTTTAGCACAGAACGTGTAGGAAGGAACGTGTTGAGTTTTACATCTTGAGTAATATCGGTTCTCTCGCTTAGTGCAGATTGTTGTATCTCCTGTCATCGTTGCCACGAACGAAGGTGGTCCGTATCTTGCTGATGCCAACAGTACGCACCCTGTAATTGGCAAGCCGAAATATGTTGTCCAGGCGCTGTTGGCGCTTGTTCTTATCGAAAGGCAGCGGAATCACCAGACGATGATACACCTTTTCTATCGAGCCCATTCCCCACTCTGCGCTTTGGCGGATAGATGTTATTGCTCCTGATAACGCCTTTGCTGCTGCACGAACGGAAGGCACCAGACGACTCGCGTCACCCTCCTTCAAGGGCGTAAGAATTTTGCCGGTCATTCCAGCGCTACACGGGAAAGCGCTGTCTGCAACTACCCCGTAGCGGTCGTCGGGGTTTAGCTCTCGTGATGCTAGCTTACGGCGGAAGTCCAGGCTCGTGCCGCCATCATTCCACGAGCCTGGACAGTTGTGCTTCGCCCAGACAATTAGCCCGTCCGCCGAGAAGCATAGTGTGCCTGTTACAAAGACACCATGCAGCCATCCGTTGTAGTGGGCGTTTTGAATGTCGCGGCCCGGTGGCTGCTGCACCTGGAACAGTAGTTAGACAACCTGTGTAGTTAGATAACAATTCGATCAAGCGAATACAAACGGTGATGTAAATACCTTGTAGTTCTTGCCGTCTAAGAACCCCCAGGTAAACTGGAGCATGGGCTCTTTGGCTGCCACGAGCTGAGCAAGCGCTCGCTGCCTTGTAAGTGACGGCCACACAATCCGAGCGGGCGCAAAGCCGCACAATGCCGACGCGAGTGCATCCTCGGCCGCGTTTAGAACTCGGGTAAGCGTGGGAGGCACCCCGAACATCAAGCACAAGCGTCCGCGGTACTCACAACCTACGTAGAACGCCAACAACAAGCCCAGCACCTGATGGTGGTGCTGGAGCTTCCTAGGGCGACCACCTTTTGTACTGTAGATAGGAATCTCGTAGTACAGCACGAATCTCGACAAGAGTTGGTTGAACGAGGCACTGAGGCAGATCAAAGGAGTTAGAGATAAGTTAATCCACCAAATACAGCAAGCTTCCTTACCGAGACAGGCTTGTCACAGTTATCATATTCTCATCGGTTCCTTTAAGCCAGGTGTCCATCCACGCGGACTGCTCAGGCTCCTTCAGACAGTCGATCGTGATGTAGTGCCGCATTCTGGTTAGTCGCTACCACTCCCAGCGTCTCCGTTCGTCGTGCAACCTCCGCCTCAGGTCTCGGATGGCCTGTAGCGAACGCTGTTCCGTCTGCGAGGCGGCGAAAAGTGCCACAAGGAGCGCGCATCTGGGCCGGACATCGTCCCTGCTGGAAGAAGCGCGAGCGCGGTCAAAGATGAAGCGGGTTGCTCGATGCGACCTTTCCCGCCCATCGATATCTTTACTAATAGAGATTGTTTCATTAAATTTGTCCTAGTTGTGTTTGTCTCGTTCCAGGCCTCATACTGAATGTGACGGGGCACACAGCACTTCTTAACAGAGGAAGCAGGAGTATACAAACTCCAAGTGAACAGCCGTTCACGTGTCCCTGGTCTGAAGGGGACGACTTGACTTGAAAAGCGGTAGATCTAAGACTGAATGTATTTATAGGTTGGTACAGATTTGGCCTGCATACAAATCCTAAGTTCCCTATGGTTTGTGTCATACAAAATGTATCTGTTAGGCCACTTGGGTCACTATCCAGGGGAGTGACCGACGTAGCCATCCCGGAATAGTGACAGGGTCACTATTCCATGTAACCCCGTTACTGAAAGCAGTATATTTTTGAATTGGGGTCACATTTCACCGGACACAGATCAGTTTTAATTCTGGTTTTGGCCTAGACGTTTATCACGACGATTTCGCACGTTATTAAAGTACCGAATAATGATACTACAGTCAAACCTGTTTATATGATCCTCTCTATTTGAGCCATGCCGTTTATTTGATGCAGGCTTTGTCGCTACCAAATATTTCACTTAGTTTTTGTATGATCTCTGTTTATATGCATACAAGGTATATGAGTCACATTTTTGGGGACCAAATTAGGTCTCACCTGTTTATTTGATTCACACTGCTCACGGCCACACACTCTTCAAAGCACCACTGCTCAACACTCAACGCCTGCCGCAAGCCTTCTTCGCTCGCCATGTCTCCTCGCACCTGTCTGACGCTAGAACAAAAGCTCCAAGTGCACATAAAGCTCAAGCAGAATCCTGGCATGAACAACCCCATGCTCGCCGAGTGGATCTACGCAACTTTCAAGGCCCGGGTCAGCCGTGCCACACTCGCCCGACTGCGCAACCTGCCTTCTTCCTACTTCAGCCACGTCGACCTGAGTGCGACCAAGCGGCGCCGAGTGAAATTCCCTCAGTTCGAGCGGGAACTGAGGGAATTTTTTCTTCCAGAACGAAGCTAAAACGGCGATGGCGGACGACGAGCTCCTGCTGAAGGCGCATGAGCTGGCGGAGCGCTTACGCATCGATGCCACGCAGCTCCGGCTAAGCACCGGCTGGCTTCAAAGCTTTGAGTAGCGCAATGGGATCCGCTCCCATACGCTACACGGCGAAGGTGGCGGTGTAGAAGCTGATGAAGTGAGAGATGCGAGGCTAGAGCTACAAGAGTTGGTGGCGCAGTTTACACCCGAGAATGTGTTCAACTTCGACGAAACGGCGCTTTTCTATCGCTTAGCGCCTAATCGAGCGCTAGCTACGACTATTCGCAAGGGCAAGAAAAAGGAGAAGCAACGTTTGACTTTGGCCTTCTGCTGCAATGCGACTGGCTCCGACAAGCTCGACCCAATAGTCATCGGTACGGCCAAGAACCCGAGGTGCTTTAAAAAGGGAGCGGCGATTAAAGGTAAACCTATATTGTACAAGTCCTCCAAGAACGCCTGGATGACATCCGTCATTTTTGACGAATGGCTGCACCTCTTCAACATGAGAATGGCGGCCGCCAATCGCAAGGTCCTACTTCTAGTCGACAATGCTTCATGCCACAAGATTCTACAAAACCTGACTCATGTGACTGTTCACTTCCTCCCTCCTAACATGACATCCGCCGTACAGCCGCTGGATGCAGGTAAATATTTTATCTATATTGTGGGGTAGCCTATACTAACCATCTCTATTACGGTGTTTTTTTTATTCACGTATTATCAGGTCGTTCAAGGCTCGGTACCGAAAGTATTTTGTGCGGTGGTGTTTGGATGCACTTGAAGCTAACATTACACGCAAGCTCAACGTACTGGAAGCTGTCCAATTTTCCATTGATGCTTGGGCGGGTGTGACGCCAACGACAATTACAAATTGCTGGGTCAAGACTCGCATTTTGGGAGGAAAGATGCTAGGAAGGACCCGTGCTGACACGGATTACATTGAGGAGGTATCCAGCAACGCGATGGAGGAGTTAACGGCGATGCTATCGAGGTGGGAGGGCGCTGTTAGCGCTAGTGAGTATCGGGTAGTGGACGAAGACGTTCCTGTGCACGAGCCAGATGTGCTAGTGGACGAAGCGGCAGGAAGTGATGCAGTTTCGCAGGACGAGCAGGAGGAAGAGGAGGAACAGGAACCCGCAGTTCAACCTGCCATTGCTCTGAGACACTGCATGGAGCTGGCTGCATTTCTGCTGCAATGCGGAGAGCAGACTGACAGAGAACGAAGAGCTTTACAGACCGTGACCGCTTTGGTTCGAGAGACTACGGTGAAGGCAAAGCGGCAGCGAACTATGCACGATTTCTTTACGTGCACCACATAATTTTTTTAACTGAGTCCATTTTATATGAGTCATTGTAGTAGATGGTCACCAACAGGGCCTCATATAAAAAGGTTTGACTGTAACGAGCTGATCAGAATTTTTCGATAAAACCTTTTTATGTGCAGAATTGATGTAAAAAGTAAAGAGGAGTGTATATAAGAGACGTAAAAACTCACTAAATCAGAGTCGCATGATTATAGGGGGGACTTCGTCTCCAACAAGGTATTAATTTCCTCCAATCCCATCTATTAAATAATTCAAACCACTTCCAAGACACCTCCTCGACCATGGCGGTGCGCGCTCCTCCGCGGCGCCGGCGCGACGCGTCCCTGGGGCAGATCCCGCTGAGCTCGGGCGAGATCGAGCTGTACTCGCGGCAGGACGAGGCGGCGCGTCGACGGCGGCGGCTGCTGGCCGTGCGCGACCAGGAGCGGCGTCTGGCGCAGCAGGTGACGCAGCGCTACCGCCAGAACCTGCAGCGGCTGCAGCGCGGCAAGAGCGACCGGACCCAAAAGCAGCTGAGCGCGCAGCAGCACAAGATGCTGACGGAGCTGCACGCGCGCTACCAGAGCTCGCTGCAGAGCATGGGCGCGGCGCAGCGCAACGCGCGGCTGAAGCTGCTGGAGCTCATGGAGACGGCGCACGACGAGCGCCACAAGTGGGCGTTCAACGCGCAAGTTACAGGCAAACAGCGCCTACAGGAGGCGCGGGAGGTGAGAGAGGAAGAGGAGAAGAAGAGGACGGAGAGACGGCGCCAGGTGGAGCAGAACGTGGAGAGACTGAGGGTGCTGACAGGCCAGCAGAGACGGCAGGCCAGCGCCCGCGCGCGCCACGAGCAGCAGCTGGTGGAGCAGCGAGCTAAGGACAGGGAGGAGATTGAGAGGTTGAGAAGGGAGCATAGCCCCGAAGAGGTGTTTGTGACGCCCAGGCCCAAGGCGAAGGACGTGCAGGCCTACAGGTTCACGAGGACACACTGCGTGGTGCCGTCGGTGGAGATGGAGAAGGAGCGGCCGGCGGTGACGGTCATTCGACATAATAGACGACACCCGACGGCGCTGCATGGAGGGCAGGAAGCTGACAAGTACAGGGAGGAAGAGGACAGGAGAAGAGAGAGGGACAGGCTGGTAGTGGAGCAGCAGGAGGAGACGGCTGCGGACAGAGGGAAGGCAGCTCTAGGAAATGTGACGTCGAGGCAGCAAGGACAACAGGCGCTGGAGTGGCTTGCTCTGGTGGATAAAATGGAGAGACGTGCGCGCGGGATGGAGTTTGGAGGAGAAGAGGATGTCGCGTTAGATACTGGAGATGGGGGTGGAATGGGGGATGATCCTGACAGAATGGCGGAGAAGACATTTGCACGGATGCTTGGACTAGATGAAGACTCGGTTGAGCTGTCGGCATTTTCAATTGAGACGGATGATGATCGATCGGTTGGCTTAGGCGATACAGACCATGAACACTCGGACGGTGACAAAGTTGCCAAAGCGGACGTTGATTACAAAGCGCATGAATCTCTCTACACTCCCCGATTGGGGGGAAATGACGAGGTCGACCGTCTTGGCGTCAGTCGACAAGGTTCTGGTCATACAAGCTCGCTTGATAGGGAATGTGTGCGTGGAGAGAGGCGAGTTGTGGAGGAGGATTCGTCACCAGCGTATCCTGCTGAAGTACCGCAGGATTTCCCCCGAGTCCAGAGCGATGATGAAGACGAAGGCAAGACCAACATACATCACCCCGATATCGGAAGCAACGATGCGCACCGATTGGGGGGAAATGACGAGGTCGACCGTCTTGGCGTATGTCGACAAGGTTCTGGTCATACAAGCTCGCTTGATAGGGAATGTATGCGTGGAGAGAGGCGAGTTGTGGAGGAGGATTCGTCACCAGCGTATCCTGCTGAAGTACCGCAGGATTTCCCCCGAGTCCAGAGCGATGATGAAGACGAAGGCAAGACCAACATACATCACCCCGATATCGGAAGCAACGATGCGCACCGATTGGGGGGAAATGACGAGGTCGACCGTCTTGGCGTATGTCGACAAGGTTCTGGTCATACAAGCTCGCTTGATAGGGAATGTGTGCGTGGAGAGAGGCGAGTTGTGGAGGAGGATTCGTCACCAGCGTATCCTGCTGAAGTACCGCAGGATTTCCCCCGAGTCCAGAGTGATGATGATGAAGACGAAGGCGAGACCAACATACATCACCCCGATATCGGAAGCAACGATGCGCACCGATTGGGGGGAAATGACGAGGTCGACCGTCTTGGCGTATGTCGACAAGGTTCTGGTCATACAAGCTCGCTTGATATGGAATGTGTGCGTGGAGAGAGGCGAGTTGTGGAGGAGGATTCGTTACCAGCGTATCCTGCTGAAGTACCGCAGGATTTCCCCCGAGTCCAGAGTGATGATGAAGACGAAGGCGAGACCAACATACATCACCCCGATATCGGAAGCAACGATGCGCACCGATTGGGGGGAAATGACGAGGTCGACCGTCTTGGCGTATGTCGACAAGGTTCTGGTCATACAAGCTCGCTTGATAGGGAATGTGTGCGTGGAGAGAGGCGAGTTGTGGAGGAGGATTCGTTACCAGCGTATCCTGCTGAAGTACCGCAGGATTTCCCCCGAGTCCAGAGTGATGATGAAGACGAAGGCGAGACCAACATACATCACCCCGATATCGGAAGCAACGATGCGCACCGATTGGGGGGAAATGACGAGGTCGACCGTCTTGGCGTATGTCGACAAGGTTCTGGTCATACAAGCTCGCTTGATAGGGAATGTATGCGTGGAGAGAGGCGAGTTGTGGAGGAGGATTCGTTACCAGCGTATCCTGCTGAAGTACCGCAGGATTTCCCCCGAGTCCAGAGTGATGATGAAGACGAAGGCGAGACCAACATACATCACCCCGATATCGGAAGCAACGATGCGCACCGATTGGGGGGAAATGACGAGGTCGACCGTCTTGGCGTATGTCGACAAGGTTCTGGTCATACAAGCTCGCTTGATAGGGAATGTGTGCGTGGAGAGAGGCGAGTTGTGGAGGAGGATTCGTTACCAGCGTATCCTGCTGAAGTACCGCAGGATTTCCCCCGAGTCCAGAGTGATGATGAAGACGAAGGCGAGACCAACATACATCACCCCGATATCGGAAGCAACGATGCGCACCGATTGGGGGGAAATGACGAGGTCGACCGTCTTGGCGTATGTCGACAAGGTTCTGGTCATACAAGCTCGCTTGATAGGGAATGTATGCGTGGAGAGAGGCGAGTTGTGGAGGAGGATTCGTCACCAGCGTATCCTGCTGAAGTACCGCAGGATTTCCCCCGAGTCCAGAGCGATGATGAAGACGAAGGCAAGACCAACATACATCACCCCGATATCGGAAGCAACGATGCGCACCGATTGGGGGGAAATGACGAGGTCGACCGTCTTGGCGTATGTCGACAAGGTTCTGGTCATACAAGCTCGCTTGATAGGGAATGTGTGCGTGGAGAGAGGCGAGTTGTGGAGGAGGATTCGTCACCAGCGTATCCTGCTGAAGTACCGCAGGATTTCCCCCGAGTCCAGAGTGATGATGATGAAGACGAAGGCGAGACCAACATACATCACCCCGATATCGGAAGCAACGATGCGCACCGATTGGGGGGAAATGACGAGGTCGACCGTCTTGGCGTATGTCGACAAGGTTCTGGTCATACAAGCTCGCTTGATATGGAATGTGTGCGTGGAGAGAGGCGAGTTGTGGAGGAGGATTCGTTACCAGCGTATCCTGCTGAAGTACCGCAGGATTTCCCCCGAGTCCAGAGTGATGATGAAGACGAAGGCGAGACCAACATACATCACCCCGATATCGGAAGCAACGATGCGCACCGATTGGGGGGAAATGACGAGGTCGACCGTCTTGGCGTATGTCGACAAGGTTCTGGTCATACAAGCTCGCTTGATAGGGAATGTGTGCGTGGAGAGAGGCGAGTTGTGGAGGAGGATTCGTTACCAGCGTATCCTGCTGAAGTACCGCAGGATTTCCCCCGAGTCCAGAGTGATGATGAAGACGAAGGCGAGACCAACATACATCACCCCGATATCGGAAGCAACGATGCGCACCCTTACGACCCGTATCGGCAACAAATTGATCACTATGCACGGAGAAGCAGTACTTCTGCGGTGTCCATCGCCCAGTACTCGCTACCGCCTTCGGACACGCAGACCTCATTTGACGATAGCTTGCACCCTGGCTATGGGGACGACAGCTTCGTTAACGAACTCGTCCCGATGTTCCCTAAGGGTACTCAACCACGACCTCAACGGTCTCTAGAAGACGACAGTCAAGCGCTGGAGGAGTATGACGTACAGCTGGATGCGCCAAGCATGAGCAGAATGTTGACGGCAGAGCAGCGCAGCTCTTTTGGTCGGAGCAGACAGCGTGTAGCTCATCAAGCTCATCAAGCTGTGGCAACAGAAAGCTCGCGAAATCAAGCCACATCCAAGGGCGTTCAGGTCAGTGCTGTATCGACTCGATCTGAGCAGAAGGTGCTCTTTTCTCTACGGCCAAGTCTCTCCAGCAGCTCGGACTCTTTCGATTATGAAATGGACGCAGAGAATATGGATACTTCAGCGGAGGAACCGCGAGTACGCCATCAGGCAGACACTGGAAGAGATTGTGGTGCGCGCCAAGAACGCGGAAGCAGGAAGCACAACCTGGCTGATAATAGTGCGGCGGTCGATCGGTCGGATATTTCGAGCGATTCTGGTGTTTCTGGTGTCGGGTTTACGGCCCAATTGAATCTTGCAGCTGGAATTCCACGGAACCGGAACGGTGATGGAGAAGTGCCAAGTTATAGCATCCCACCACAACGATCAGCAGCATCTCAAGATGAACAGGATGATCAAAGCAACATGTCGGAAAGGAGTTTTGCGTCCAGCTCGAGCCTGCCATTGGATGCTCATTTCAACTACCTCGCCAAGATGACATCGGCAGTGGGAAAGTCGTTGCCGCTACATCTCCGGTTGCCTGCTATGATGTACGGGAAGAAGGATATGACCAAGCCCCCAGAGTTGGAGAGGCTTCCTCATTCCGATAGAAGCAGCATGTCCAGCTCGAGCTCGAGTATGAGCGAGTCCCTGCTTGAAGAACAGCATATTTCGGCACCTATTGGGCGAAATTCGGACGATCAAGTTCGTGTTAACCGTTCCCAGCAGTCTCTTGCTTCCAGTTACCTAAGCAAAGCGTCGGATGAAAGCAGCAAGGGCAAGGAAATGTCATTAGCTGAAGCTTTCAAACGACGCCATCCAGGTTTCGATCGACGTGCTGAAAGTCATCGGGAGAAGCTGAAGCGGCAAAGAGACAAGCAGCAAGAACAGGAGCAGGAGCAGGAGTTGCAGGAGCAGGAGCTGCAGCAGCAGCGTGAACCTGAGCGGAAGCCCACTCCAAGACGTTATACCACCGAACAGAAGCCCAACTTCTCTGATACTAGTGGGGTGGAAGATCGGTCGGATATCTCGAGTGCATCGGGTGTTTCTAGTCTCGGATTTGCGGTCCAATTGAACCTTGCAGCTGGCATTTCTCGAAAGCGGAATGAAGACGGAGGCCGACGAGAAGTGCCCAGTCACAGTAGCCTACAGCAGCGGCGAGGTGTATCTGACGATGAACAGGATGATCCAAGCAACTTGTCCGAAAGGAGTTTCGCGTCCAGCTCGAGCCTGTCGATGGATGCTAATATCAACTCCCTCGCCAAGATGACGTCGGCAGTAGACAACTCGTTGCCGCTGCATCTCCGGTTGCCTGCTATGATGCATGGCATGAAGGATATGACCAAGCCCCCAGCGCCAATTGCTTGGTCGGCGTCGTCTGTGTCAAGCGCGAGCGTTGCAGAATCGAACGAAGAGTTGGAGAGGCTTCCTCATTCCGATAAAAGGAGCATGGCTCGCTCGAGCTCGAGTATGAGCGAGTCCCTGCTGGAAGAACAGCATGTTTCGCCACCCATTGAGCGAAATTTGGATGATCAAGTTCACGATAACCGTTCCCAGCAGTCTCTTGCTTCCAGTTACCTAAGCAAAGTTTCGGATGAAAGCAGCGACAGCGAGATACCAAGACATGGTAGAGGCCAACAAGCGATGCAATTCACACTCGAGGAGATCAAGGAACAGGTGTCGCGGTTACCGCCACCTCCACTTGGCTCCCTCGACATGAGTCAACCCCCAGCACCACTGCAGAAGCTCAACGATGGTCAAGAGGGCAAGGAAATGTCATTAGCTGAGTCTTTCCAACGACGCCACCCAGGTTTCGGTCGACGCGCTGAAAGTCATCGCGAGAAGCTGAAGCGGCAAAGAAACAAGCAGCGTGAACAGGAGCAGGGGCAGGAGCTGCTGCAGCAGCGTGAACCTGAGCGGAAGCCCGCTCCAAAGAGCGACACCACCGTACAAGACTCTCGTTCCCGAGGTGCTACGGATCCGCTACCCCCTGAAAAGCAGCTACTGCTCGACCGCTTAGCTAGCGGTAGCCGCGCCAAGATTTCCAGTCGTGAGATGAAGGAGCGCAGTCGCCGACTGTACCGCCAACTCCCCGAGGTGGTCGAGCGCAAGCGCCAGGAGGAAGTCATGCGCAGACGGCGCGAGCGACTCAACGAGCTGCGCGAGCAGGAAAAGGTGCGCGATACACTGTCAACTGTCTATCTGCTAACTGTCCACTAACAATCGCATGTCTTTCGTTGCTATCTGGCAGGAGCGACGACTTCAGCAGAAACAGCGTCGACAGCAGCAACAACACCAGCATCGTTGAGCTCGGCGAGTCACGATCATGGCTCAACTCACACCCGTAGTCGGTAAAATTACTATTTAGAAGCTCCACCGCGACGTCTTCTGTCTCTCATCTCTCTCTCTACTTCTTCTTGGGCTGCTTGGCACCGTCGTCGCTCAGGTCGGGGATGGTCTGGTGGGATGTTACACAATCAGTATCATAGTCTCTATGTAGACTTGGTTAATAAATCACCGCTCACCAGGTCGGGCTGGAGCACGGCGTGCATGGCGCTGGAGCCCGCGAAGAGCGAGCCCAGCGTCGCGCTGAAGAGGACGAAGTACTGCTTGGGCGTCACCTTGGCCATGTCTGCTGCGCCGTTCGATTCCCCACAATTGCTGAGCTCTTGAAGACGGCATCGGATTGGTCGATGGTATCATCATCCAATCAAATCACCGCAAAACCTGGGGCTCAAACATTTTTGATGCATTTCTGCACACGCGCAGCAATAGCAAAGTGCTCTACCCGTTCTACCGTTCTACCTATTGAAGCATGCTCCGGACCGCAGTGCGTCGCTTCTCCGCCGCGGCGACCAAGCAGCAGCCGCCGTCTGTGCGGCCCAAGAAGCACGGCAAGAAGAAGAAGAACCACTTCGCGACGGCCGGTCTCCCACTCGTGCTCTTCATTGTGGGCGGATATGTGGCGCTGACGCAGGTAGAGCACTACGTAGAGCGCCGAAGAGAAGAGGGGTGTTGCAATGGGAGAATGGTTGATTGGTGCTAACTGTGTGGCTATTGCTGCGGCTCTGACAGTTCGTCGGCGGCAAGTACGAGGCGAGAGACCACTTGGTCAAGAGCCAATCGGAGCACATGTTCAACTTGGAGGAGGAGCACAAGGTGCGGCGATGACTTGTGATCATTAAATGAGACTGAACTACTGCGAATAGTGTGAGTTGGTGGTGATAATGTGTTGTTGTCGTGGCTGCAGAGAATGACCAAGAAGCTGCAGCTGGACGACTTCGAACTCAAGCCCGTGCCTAAGCCCGAGGACCCGTAGAAAAGTAGTAGCTGTCAAGCCCACGCTTCCAGGCTTTCTTCCCTGCAGGAGAAGCAATTCGCTATCGACTCTCACCCAACTTGCATTAAGCGACAAGCACTAGAAAAAAGCACTATTAGTAATGCCAAGAAATGGTGGTACCCAAGATATAGTCTGGATCTTTGATTAAAGCTTGTACACCGGTCAGCACGTTTAGCCTCCTGCAGTGACTAAAGCTTGTAGGTTCGTGCCAGATTTCTCGCGAGACGTTTGATGTTGCCTTTATTGCAGCAGCGCGACGTGGAGACCTGAAAACGGTAAAGTTCCTGTGTAGCAAGATCCTCGTTTACCCCGATTTGATTATCAAGGGCTTTATGAGTGCGGCTATTGAGAGTGCATGGTCATCGACGACCAAGCCGGCGTGTGGAGTTCTTATACACCAAAAGATACGTGAGTCCCGAGCTGATCAGCCACATGTTCCCCGAAGTTGCCGCCTGCAGCTCTGTTAAAGCGGTGCAAGTGCTCTACGAGAACGGCGACATTTCGCCGGATCTGGTGGAGGCAGCGTTTCAAAACGCGGCCCAAGAAATCAGCTCTGATGTCCTCGAGTTTTTGTACAAGACTGGATGTGTCGGCGCTGAGTCTGTTCGTTGTGCTGTACTGGACGCAGCCGATCGCGGGGACGTGTATGTAGTGGACTGCATGATTAACTTCGGCTGCGTTTCTCGGGAACTGCTGGAGAACGCCCAAAGCAAGTACACTTCAATTAGAACGCGCAGAACTCTATTGCGCGCTTGCAAGTCGTTGCCTCCGACTCAAGGCTAGGTACTTAGCCTTGTCTCTCTGCAGACACCATACGCCTACTCGTCCACGACACCAAATGAATGGAAGAACTGGCAACTTGATGTACTTGCCTAGTGGGCTAAACTTCATCTCATCTCCTAGAGGAGGAGGAGACTCGTGACTCTCAGCTGACATACTTGAAGCCGCAACGAACAACGAATCTGATTGGTCGACGTCCGTATGTACACTTTACGTTGCTCACACCCTCTCTTAAGTACGCTCATGAAATACACCACTTCACTCGCCAGATATTAATTAGACAAAAGCCCGACACGTAATGGCCTCGTCGCGTTCTCGGCGCGCCGCGTCGGAGCCCGCGGCCGGCCCCGTTGCAGGTCGCGCCTGCAGCTTGCGGTCCGTCCTGTTGCCCTTCTGCGTGTTGGCCAGCTGCTGCGCGCTCCTCCTGCTCAACTGGACGCCTGCGGACCGCAACAACATCGGCGGCGTCACGGCCTCGGACTACCTCTCGTACGGCCCCATCGACGTCGTGTACACGTGGGTGAACGGCACGGACCCGCGCTGGAAGAAGGAGAAGGAGTTCTGGCACAAGCACTGGATCGCGTCGCTCACGGGCCAGCCGCTGCCCGTGTGGGGCGAGGAGGCCAACGTCAAGGGCCGGGACGACTCCAACTCGGACAACCGCTTCCGGGACAACGAGGAGCTGCGCTACTCGCTGCGCTCGCTGGAGAAATACGCACCTTGGGTGCGCCACATCTACGTGGTCACGGACGGCCAGATCCCGTCGTGGCTCGACATCGAGTCGCCCAAGATCAGCATCGTCAAGCACCGCGACATCTTCGCCAACGAGAGCCACCTGCCGGTCTTCTCGTCCCCGGCCATCGAGTGGAACCTGGACAACGTCCCCGGCCTGAGCGACATGTTCCTGTACTTCAACGACGACGTGTTCCTGGGTTCGCCCGTGCGGCCCGAGGACTTTGTAAGCCAGGCCGGTGTGCAGAAGGCCTACTTCGCGTGGGAGATCCCGCTCTGCTCCAACCGGTGCTGGGAATCGAGTCTGGCCAACGGCCGCTGTGATAAAGAGTGCAACGTCACGGCCTGCGACTTCGACATGGGGGACTGCGGCTGCGACGTGAACCCGCTGGATGGATCTGTGACGTGTGACCAGGAGAAGATCGCCAGTATTCTGGAGCACTCGCCCAAGCCGCCCAAGATTGGCAACCATTTGTGCTTAGGGACGTGTCATTACTCCTTCTTGGGCAACGGAGTGTGTGACCGATCATGCAATGTTAGCTCTTGTGGGTTTGATGGAGGCGACTGCAGAGTCCAGAAGCCCTACGACCGAAACAGGCCGTATGTTCATGATGACGAGGAAGAGGAAGGCATGTCCCCGCTGGTGAAGGACCTGTGGTCGGCGGAAGTGGAGGCGAACCACACGCTCGTGCACGTGCCGCTGAATGTGAACGCGACGTACCTGAACCTGACGGAGGCCTTTGGCGTTAATGGGAGTATCGTGAGCGCCGCGCACGATAATGACGAGCTCGTTCGCTTCGCCTCGATCTACGAGACGGAAATGGTGCTGTTGCTCGTGTTTGGTCGCGACTCGGAGGCGCGCCTGATGACGAGCAGTGTTCAGATTACTGTTACTGGCGAGGACGCTGAAGGAACTCCTATTCAGCTTGACTTCTCGATGGTGAGAGGAAAGAATACTATCGAGGCGGCTCTGAGCCCTGTGGAGGATGAAGGCAGCGAAGAGATTTCTGGTGGCGTGTCTACGTTCCTGAACACGAGCGTCCGGCCAAACCGCATCCGTCTCCCTTTCGGCTTCCGACAAGCTACCTTCCGCAACGCCTTCCCAATTAACGAGAAGGACGCAGATGTGGAGCAGGCAGAAGGATCCGAGGAGGGCACTTCGGACTTGTCGAAGGATGAGCAAATCGCTGCTGTTGCGGAAAAGCTGGCCGCAAAGGTGCCGATGATTGAAATCTTCTTGCCTTTCAATGTTACGGGAAAGAAGCTCGAAGATGGAGAGATTCTAAACCTTGGCTGGCAACTGGATCTGAGGCTGCACAACGACGAAAAGGATGTCGACTGGAGTGATCACGATGTCTGCCAGCTGCACGTTCCTAAGAAGAAACCGGTGGTTGCTGCGGCTGAGACTGCTAACTCGGAAACAAAGGACAGTGTCATTTCCACTGGCAGTGGTGAAGGATCTTCTACGGGAGAAGCAAACAGCAAGGATGGAGTTGCCGTTGATTCTACCGAGAAGGCGAATGGTGAAAAGCCCAGCGAAGAGCAGGACAATGTGGAAAACGAGGGGGAGGATAACGAGAACACTGGTGTAACCAAGTGCCGTCTAGCAGAAGACAACCGTGGAATTTTCGTCACCGTGCGTGTTCTGACAAACCACGCCCACACGGTGTTCTCGGTTGCTGGTGCTCTTGACGAAGAAGACGAAAGTGAGGCCGAGGCTCCAACAACTGCCCATGAAAGTACCACGCCTTCCAAGGACGATGAAACTGATGTGGATAGCAGCGAAGTGCAGAAGCTGATGGAGACGTGGGAAACAAGTCCGCAGGTGACTGACGGCCAGGTCTGCTTCTACGACACGGACCGTGCTGATCCTTGGCGATACCGCTACTGCTTCGCTCTAGCCTTGGGCCACTATCACTCGAAGGAGGTGGAGGTGGTGCACAAGCCGACTCTTTGGGCGCTGCTGCATCCGCCGAAGCCGAAGGTTGTCTACACGCCGTACATGGGGGGCGATCCGGCTCTGATTGAACTGCTCGACCGCTGCATTGATACCTCTCGCCGGCTTATTGGAATTCGGCCTCGCATTTGCTACCCGAATGAAGTGCCAGTCCCGCGTCCTCCGGTCAAGGATGAAGTTGACGCCAAGGCAAAGAAGGAGGAAGAAGGCCGTCGACTGGCTTGCGAAGCCCAGAAGTGGCGATTGGCTCAGCGTATGGAGCGCGAAAAGGAGGAACTGGAGGCTCAAGCTCGCGAGGGACTTTTGGGCAAGCTGAGCCGTTTCTTCACTAACGTTAAATCCGCTGTGGGGAATGGACATGTCGTCCCCACGAATGAAACTCTGGATGACATCGAGTACGCGGATGTATGTGGGCCTGCACCTGAGGAGGTGAAGGAGAAGCCCCCGGTGACGCTCAAGAGTGCACAGGCTCACCTGTCGAAGGACACGTTCGGCGACTCGCTGCGCTTTGTGAATAAGCTGTACAACCGCGCGTTTGGTAAGCCCAAGACATCGGACCGACGTCGCGTGCCCTCGCACATGCCGTTCTTGCTGCAGAAGTCGATTATCCGCGAAATCAAGGACCACTGGACCAAGGAGGTGCAGGACACGTCGGCCCACCGCTTCCGCCACCCGGAAGACATGCAGTTCAGCTTCTCGTACTTCCACTACCTGATCAACCGCGCCAAGATCCACCCGCACACACTGGAGGAGATCTGGCGCGAGTATCTGGACGCGAACCGCAACGGCATCCTGGACGAGAACGAGGTTCTGACGGCTGCCAGTCTCGCCCATGGCGATGCGCCCCCTGAAGACTTTGTCAAGGAAGTCCGCGACTGTGTGCAGCCCGAGAAGCGCGAGAAGGTGCGTGAGATCCCGACGGCCGAAGGAACGCTGCGTCTGAGCGAGACCTTGACGCCGTACATCACGCTGGAGAACCTCGAGCGCTGCCCCTCAGTGCGAGACGCGCTAGTGAAGAACGTTCGGTACGAAACCAAGGTCGAGCTCATGCCGGAGACGGAGGTGACATTCCACATGCTGAGCGACAACTACAACTTTGCCTGGAAGCAGATGATGGGCACGCGCGCGCGCCGAACCAAGTTCGTCTGCATCAACGACGACATGAAGCACCCGTCCGCGGCGGTGAGTCAGATCCTGCACGAGCTCTTCCTGTCGATCTGGCCCAAGCGCTCGCAGTTCGAGCTGCCGTACCACCTCAAGAACCGCTACGCTCACATCGACGAGTACAACGCCGCTCAAGAGCGCCGTCAGATCGCGGCTGGGATCGCAGTCGTGATCATGCTGTTGATCGCGTTCGTCTTCCGGGCCGAGCTCCGCGCCATGTTCGGGTTCCAGGACATCGCTCGGGCACGCGCGGCCTCGGCGTCGCAGCTGACTCAGGACTTCCAGCAGGCCCAAGACGAGGAGGAAGACGCGGACGAGAAGCCCAAGGCGAACACAAATCCGACCTCACCCAAGAACAAACGACGCTCGAGGAAGGCGTCGGCCTAGAGACACATGACACAGTACTGTACGTACACGAAGGAATGCAATGAATGGAAATGCATCAATGAGATGGCATGTTTGTGGCGTTAAAGCTTTTGGTGCGGAAATAATGTAAGCGAGGAAGCGCTGGAACCTTCTTGTTCTCCTCTGCGGCCGGGCCATAGCTCGTTCCGAGTGTCTCGAGAACAACGGAGCAACGACACAAGACGACAGCGAAGCAGACGTCGAGAACCTTCCACCGGCCCTCGACGTCGTCTCGCTCGTCTGTAGATCCTCATGTCTCCAAGTCCAGGAACTCGGGAGTTGAGCTGAGCTGAGGACGTCCAACGCCAGGGGAATCGGTCGATACACAGAATGATACGCAGTCGGCGGCGGAGAAGAGAGAGAGAGCCTTGGCCTTGGCGTCCCTTGTAGCTCTGGCCTTCCCGACGCTCCGACGCCAGCCCATAGAATAATGAATAGTAGTAGAACGGGAGGCCGGCCGGCTGGCTGGTTGTCTATAGAGAGGCCTGGCCAGCCTAGTACACGTCGGGCGGCTGCTGCTGGTGGCCCAGGCCGGCGCTGGTGCTGGTCTGCAGGTGCACGCGCAGCGTGTAGTTGGCCTGCTCGAGGCGCCGAATGTGCTCGGCGGCCTGCGTGGCCAGCTGCTTGAGCGCCGTGTTCTCCTGCTCCATGGCCTGATTCTGCTCGTTCTGGATGTTCACGGCGCGCTTGAGCAGCTTGTTCTCGCCCTGGAGGCGGGCCACCTCGCCGGCCTGCTGGGCCGCGCGCTGCTGCGTCTCGTGGCGGAACTCGGCCTCCTTCTTGAGGATGAACTGCTCGTACTCGGCCCTTATCCGGGCGATCTCGGCCTGCTTCACCTGCTCAAAGTACTCGACGTGGCGCTGGCTGTACTTGGCCACGTCGGCCTCGTCCGGGCCGTCGTCCTGGGCGCCGTTCTCGCCCACGCGGCGCTGGCGCTTCTTCCTCGACAGCTCGAACGACTCGCCCAGGCGCGAGCGCTTCTTGAGGCCTTCGGGGTACACTGCTGCAGGGGCCGAAAGAGGAGGGGGGTTAGTGATGGAGGGTAGGACGGGGGGGGGCGATAGGCGGGGGCGGGGCGAGGGGTATTCTACCTGGGGAGGCCGCGATGGACGCCATGGCTGGGGACTCGGTGCGTGCCGTGGGGAGTTTTGGATGTGGCGGAAGAAGGCGCCCCGGAGTCTCTGGAGCCAGAGGGAAAACCGATACCGCAATCGGATTGGCCAGGGAACTAGTCGGATGTTTGGATCATTCAAACCGTAAACGCAGGTGCGGGATTAGGACTGCAACTTCTTTTTTTCTTCTTCTGCGAGTGTTGAAGACAGGAGGCAAAGGAGACGTCTTGCTTGTTGCAGCTTGGATTCACTCGATTGCGTTGGGAGTTCCTGCCTAGTGACAGCGTTTAGTAGAAGACGCAAAACTAATGTGTGGATTTGTGGACTTTGAGGTTTTCGTTGCTCGCCGCCAAGCAACCGTGTTTCGCTGCTCTGAGAGACTCAGCTGCCAGCTTAATTAACCTGCAGCTTACTACAATTCTACAACTCCTTCCATCAAAATGGAGATCTGCTCTTCTACACCTTGAAGTAGACCATATTGGGGCGTGGGGTGAGCGATCCATGATTAATTTGCTAAACTTTATCACTAAGTGATGAACCGATTCGTTTTAAAGCAAGTCTTGAGGACTTGTATGCGGTGTCGATGCCCGCTACGCTTTAGACTTCATTTTCAAGCAGGAGACGCCTCAATACAACGAGTTGGGTTTACACGCAACAGGCAAGACGACACGAGCGGTAACCAAGGATCTACGTTCGTGTACTGGCAGACTACCAAAAAAAGTTGGGTATCGAGAAGTGACGTGGTTTTCAGGCTTTAAGCTAGACAGGTTGCAAATCTCGCTGGCGGTTAGCTGGTTCGCAGTGGTCCAGTCCCAGTGTTTCCGTTACCCTGATGTTGCGTGCAGCAACAAGGAAACGGATACAACGATCAAAGCTTGATCTCGGCTTCGTACTCAAGTCTCCACTATGCTGGTTCATGACAGCTAACAACTCGAAACGATTCCGTGCCTTCTAGAGCTAGAAGTTCCAGCCTTCATGTTCAACAGTGTGGGGTTTCAATAAGATATTTATTTTTAAATAAATAAAAACCCGTACCAAGTAGAGGGTCTAAGAATTATTACGCCTCTACAGTAGATGAGGGCGCTTGCTGGAAGTCTCACCGGTAAAGCGTCCCGCTAGAGTCCTCAATTCGCTCTTGAAGTTCTCCAACTCCGTTTGGCGCTTCAAATACCACTCCCGGGTCTTGGTGATCGTCACAAAAGGAGTCTCATTCTCCTCTGCTGCATCCATTTCAAACGACGCGTTACCTCCTCCCTTCCGCATCCATTTGCCCGCGAAGTTTTGCGCGCCTTGGGGAGTCTTAAACTCGCAGGTACCCTCGGTAGTCATAGTATTATCGGGACCTCGCAAAAATGCCTGGATCTGCTCGCATTCCGGGAACGCCGCGCCTGGCATCTCCCACGTAAATGGTGTATCAAGAGCGTGAATCCTGCTCCTCATCCACTGGATCCTCATTCCAGCAAGAGACGACAGCGCATCAAATTTATCATCTTCTCCATTGAGCCCTTCCACACTCTGGATCGCTGAATTCGTGGCAGGACCCAGCAAGCTCGGATCAACTTTCTTAAATGCGGATGATAAAGTCTCGAAAAGGTTTGTCGCTGGAGATCATGGCCCATTTCCAAACTATTTGCATACGCTCATTCGATCTCTGGGGCTCCTCGTCAGCAGTGAGAACTGAAACCCTATCAACTACAAATTTCAGCATTGCAGTTTGAGATATTCCGCTGTCCAACCCGTCTAGCACTCGCAGGGCGAACACCACGGCGTCTTGTTGATCCATTTTCCCCAATGCAATCAACATCTTTTGGCTGACGTCTTCCCACTTGAATGAGCGTAATATCACAACCACAGAGTCCACTAGCGAGTCCTTCCCCTTCATCTTCGCGAAAAACTCGTGAAGAACAATTCCACAAGTGTCGGGTCGCCAGCGTCCACGAGCAACTCGCACAGCGTCCGGTAAAATACCAGCGACACCGTTTGGGGTTCAGGCCACGGATACTGATTCAGCACTGCCTTGATAGCTTCCATGAGTACGCGGACTTTTGTAGCTTCAACGGGTTTCTGGGCTCGCAACGTAATTGCAGCGACTTCCGAGCCATTCAGTTTAAGAACGTTCTCGATGTCTTGGGCTGCGGGCCACGCGAGCACAGCGTACCGGCAGTACGTTGTGTCCTTCGTGTTGCCCTCGTTGCCAAGGCAGCCTGCGGTGATGTCCTTCCCGTGTGGCCTCCATAGTTCATGAAGCGTTTCTTGTCCGGGATTCAGTAGGTTGAGCTTTACTGGAGCCAACCGCTGCTTCGTGCGCAAGTGAGGCATGTTGTGTACTTTCATTGAGCGCCCCAGGTTTTCGCCGCTAACAGAGTATCCGTCCTTGCCCATTCCTCCCACCCTTCGCAGTTTTCATTATAACCGACCGATCTTTTGCTTCAGCTGCGCAATGAACAGCAACAGCCTCTTTTCGGGCGAAACGAAGGCGTTTGCGGCGTCTAAAGCACTGAATCGAGCTCGATCCATGCCTTTCAGAGCCGCAGCACCCATATCTTGGATGCTCTTCTCAGTGTACTCATGCGACAGCAGTAGCGCGAACGAGTCACTTGTAGCGTTCATATCGCTGATTGCAAGCTCGTCACTGATGAGTTTGTCGTGATCTTTCTCGAGGTGGCGAATTGCTGGCGGTAGGCAAATCGAGTACACGAGGACCAGTCACCGTTTCCAGAGCGTGCTCTTCGTCGGCATAGTGCACGGCGTAGTGTGGGAAATACTCTGCTGTGATCAGCCTCGCCGAAATCGTGACGGTGGCTAACCTTTCCTCCTCGATAAACTACCAGATCTCCTCCCTCATGTGTACTTGGGAGCTGCACTACCAGTGCTGCAATCATTCCGTTCTCCTTCTCAGTGTCTTGGTGCTTTACAAAGTGACCTCCTTCTCCATACACCAACATCTTGTACAATACGCACTGCAGAGCCACATCCGGGTAGCCTAGCCGCTGAGCGATAAGCTGGACCAATTGCTCTAATCCGCTGTGCCATTGAGGGTTCTTGAAGTGCACGATATCGGGCTCAAGCTGCCAGCTCTTACGGACGCTTTCGTCCATCTTCGTCTCCATTTTGTGTCCGAACGGGGACTTGTCGGCCCGGGCGATTAACTTCACCGCGCATTCTTCGGCCAACGGAACGGAAATGTGGCCGACACCGTCCACCGATAGTCCAGGGGCAACGGGCAGTGAGTTTGCGCGGCCCCCAAAGAAATACTCGCCAGCACGTTCATTGGCCTTGGACAGCAACTTGCTGATTCGAACACACGCAGCTCCGGCTGGAATCGGTACATTGTCGGAGCCGCCTCGCCACCAAAAGGCCACAATCCTTTCACTGGGCCAAGCTCGTTGTACTCGTCGTCGCTCTGCTCAGCGTCGGTGTCGCTCTTGTCGACGCCCATAATCCGTGAAAAACACTGTGTGAAAAACACTGTCCGAGCGCTGGAAAATTCAAGAATGGCACAGCGAGGTGACTGTGTGATGGTCGCCATCAATCAACTGGATTGCTGGCTTTGCATACCAAAGCTTCATAATGCTGCTTTCATGAAAGCCTTATCCAGACGCATAGCGTCCCCTTTATAGCCAAGCTTGGATTGCAGGAGCTTCGCGATCTTCATCCTGGAGCAGTACCTCTTTGTCGTATCCTCTGTTCGTGCGATGGCGGCTGTAGCTAGACCCAGCAGGTGCTATTGAATCGACTTTTCATCTATCTCTCGCACTCTCCCTCCTCCACGAATTCATCACCAAATGTAAGTATACTTGCAAATTCATATCTCTTCCTCCGCGAGTCGATGAATACCTACAGTGGAACGTAGTTTGTATCAATCGCCTTCCGCAGACGCTCCAGCGGCACCGAAATGGGCGGCAGGTCATCCGAGAACGAGTGGCGACTTGTCTTGGGCGGGAAGAGCTCATCAGACAGCGACATGTCGATCACCTCCTGCTTCGTGAGCGAGTCGCGGCCGCACTTCGGCCACACGTCCACTGTAATCGAGTCATCCTCGAGATAGTCGACCAGCACCACCGGCACGCACTCCAGCTTCAGCTGAAGCCCGACGTTGTAGCGGTGGTGGCCGTCCAGGATGGCGCCGGTCTTGGCATCCACCAGCAACGGCTCCAGGTACGCATTCCAGCGCACGGTGGCGCGACGCAGACCGTCGACACGGTCCCAGCTCACAACATGCTCGTGCGCCTTCAGCCAGCGTAGCGACGCGACATGCACCACGAGCTTCTTGGGCAGGCGCTGCGGGCGAGCGTCGAAGTGATACTTGTAGAAGTACGACGTCGGGTCTGCAATACGCGTCAAGAAGAACTTCTGGCGCCGCTCCTTGTCGTCCGATAGCAGGTCCTCCAACGTCGCGGCCTTCTGTCGGCAGAAGCTCGACGTCGGGTCGTTCTCGCGAATGGCGTTGAAGAAGTCCTTCGGGTCGTACGATGGTCGCCTGATCAAGTCCATCCGGGTGGTCTCACGGACGCGGTCGATGGAGCGCAGACGGCCACGGAACAGGCTCTTGGTCACCGACGTGGCCAGGTTCTGGGCACCACAGATCAGGCGGATCGACACTTGCTGGAGACTCGGCTTGCGCTGCAGCGCGCGCAGCGTCTCCGTCTGCATCGCTTCATTGGAGACTGGCGCCGTAGTCTGTGTGATCTCCTCGATGGGGATCGGGGGCTGGCGCAGTACCGAGAGCGGGATGGAAATGGGCGGCAGACTCTCCGTGAACCTGTGGCGACTCGTCTTGGGCGGGAACACGTCGGGCGACAGCGACATGGCAATCACCTCCTCCTTGGTCAGCTGCGAGCGTCCACATCCGGGCCAGACGTCCACATGAATAGAGTTGTCCCCCAAGTAGTCCACCAGCACAGCTGGCACCTGCTTGAGTCTCAGCTGCAGGGCCACGTTGTACCGATGGTGGCCGTCCAGGATCGCGCCGGTCTTGATGTCCACCAGCAGCGGCTCCGTGTACGCGTCCCAGGACAGCGTGGCCTTCCGCAGGCCGTTGACGCGCTCCCAGCTCACGATCTGTTCGTGCGGCTTGAGCCACTGCACGTCTACGAGCTGCACCTCGGCCTTCTGAGGGGCCAGGTGGTGGTAGTCGTCGTAGTGGAAGCGGTAGAAGTACGACGTCGGGTCCGTCACGCGCGAGAGGAAGAACTCCTGCACGGCCGACTGGTTGGCCTTATCGGGGCTCGCGGTGGAGCCCAGCAGCGCCGAGTCGTCCTGCGTCTTGGGCAGCCACAGGTGCTTGCGCGTCTTGCGCGAGTTGCGGATCTCGTGCTCCAGACTCGACTGCGCGTGGCCGCAGACCTGCTCGGCGTCGGCCAGGCGCGCGGGCGCCACGTTGCGCAGCACGTCGTCGGCCACGTGCTTGCCCTTGAGGTAGAGCCGCATGGACACCTGGCGCAGCACGTCGCGCTTGCGTCGGCGCGCGGGCGACGGGGCCACGGCCACGGCCACGACCTGCGCCGCCGCCGCGGGCTTGTCCGGGTGGTCCACGACGTAGCGCTCGCCCGAGCGCAGCGCCAGCGCGGCGCCCGGGTCCGTGTCCACGTGCAGCAGCATCGGGCCGCTCTTGGCCGCCACGCGCAGCAGCTCGTCCTGCACGGGCTGCTCCTCGGCCACATCCGCGGCGGCGCGCTTCATCGCCGTCGTCGTCGGGCTCGCTTCCTGTCTGCGCGCGTCACACACAGAGACTGTCAGTTAAGTTATGGTACTTAGGGGAGGGAAACGGCCGGAGCGGAACAGAGGCAAACCGACCCGAAGTGCGGGGCCATCACTGCGCTTGCTCTCCACGCGGCGGTTCTGAGACTGAGCCGCCCGCTCGCCTGGTCTTTAGCGCCAACAGCCGCAGAAGATAAAGAATCCGTGCGCAGTGAATGAGCGGAGCCGAGCCGAGGCTCACTTCTGGCCGGCGAGAGGGAGCACGCACCGGCAAGATCAGTGTATCACTTGCGCTAGGGCGTCTGCCCGCCCTCCGTTGCCCGCGCTGCTCTGCGCGCTTTGGATCGAGGCTGGCGGTGAAGGAATGGCTTTCGGATAAGAGGCATGCATTCGCTTCAACCGCCACGTACTTCAGCCCAGGACCATCTTGAGCGTGGTGATGGATGACAGTGTCGTTGACCGTGTTCAAGGTGTTCGTCTACGAGGCAAGCGCTGACCTACATGCGTGTTACCGCGCAGACCTGTTTCTACCGAACACGCGCCGCCCGCGTTGGCTCCGAAGACTCGGCGCACTGCACGCTGCTGTCGGCTTTGTCGTCGGCGTCCACGGAGGTATTAGAGCTGATCGCTGGGCCTGTTATCACGTAGTGCAGTACCAGGCCCAGACACACCGGTCCGACGTTCTCCAGTGTTGACTGCGCGGCGTCCAGGAGGAACATGGCCGTCATCGTGCCCACCAGGCCAAGGCAGTACACCAGCACATTCACGGAGAAGGACGAGGAGGGGAACGTAGCGACGCTGCCGATCACGTTGGCCCGGTGCGAGTCGTACCGCAGAGAGAGCGATAGGATGGAGCTGGGGAACAGGATAGCGAGCGCGGTGTCGGTGTCACGGTAGCAAGCCAACAGGTTGCAGGTCAGGAGAACGCCCGACTTGAGACTTCCGGCCGCCACCACCATCGTGCCCTTGGCGACGAGTACGATCAAGAACGCACTATCAAGCACGTAGAGCTTGGTCAACAGCCAGGCAACCGTGAATGACGCAGCAAGCACGAACGCGAACATCCAGGTCGCGGTCAGCTCGAGTTTGTACACGCCGTAGAGCGGCACCTTCATGTCGTATGTGTAGACCCTGGGGCTGTTCGTGAAGTGCAGGTTCGAGACGAGAGAGTTCAACGCCTCAGCGATACAGTGGACGCCGACCATCGCGAGGTATGGCTTGGATACCAGGCTCGCCGGGTCCTCGAAGTCAAGCAGCTTGAGGACGATGAAGAGGAGCAGTTCCAGGCCGAAGACCTGCAGTGCCGGCATGCTGACGTCCTTGGTCTTGATGATCTCGGTCTCCTCGCCGCTCGCGAGTTTCAGCTTGACCGCCAAAGCGAGCGTCGAAGTGATGAACACGACGACGCAGGCGGCCGAAACGACTTGGATGGACACCGGCGTTGTCACAACGTGGGGGGCCAGCATGAGCGCTAGCAGAGCAGCGTAGCAACACCTCTGCACGAAGATCGCCATGCGGAAGGATGCACTCTGAAACCGGTTGAGGAACTTGTCAGCTTGAGGTCAATTGGGGAATGGGAGACCTGCGGCCTCTACACAATTGCATTGTACCCACATCACTTGAACACGCACGCTTCAACACCGCTGGTCTATGAAGCTCGTATCACATGTAGTTTGCTGTGGATTCTCCAGGAGATTCATCTTGTTCACTAGGGTGAATCATTCACGGCTGAGGGCATGCGTGTTGAATGATGTTCGTCTACAGGGGCAACTACCACACGTATTCAAACACGCACAGACGTCAACTCAAGCGGAATCTCGACGATCACATTACGATAGCTCTACCAACTGTCGGTTCGACTCTCCTACTTGGACTTCTTGTCGTCCTTGTCGTCCTTGTCGTCCTTCTTGTCGTCCTTGTCGCTGTCCTCCTCCTCGTCCTCCTCCTCCGAGTACGCGAGCAGCTCCTTGAACTCGCCGCGCACGAGCGCCGTCACAAGGGCCGAGCCCAAACACGCCGGCACGAGGTACAGCAGCGCCGGCTGAGCCGCGTTGAAGATGAACATGACGGCCACCGTGGCCACCAGGCCGAGGATGTAGAACAACAGGTTCACGTGGAAGAATGGCTTGGGGAAGCTCTGCTCGCTGCTGGTGGCGTTGGCGCGGTGCGCGTCGTAGCGCAGCAGCAGCGCCACGAAGATGCCGGGGATCACAATGTCGCCCAGGCCCAGGATCGAGTTCTTCTGCTTCTCCGACTCGGTGGCGAACTCGCGCGGGAAGATGAGCTTGATGGGCGCGTCAAAGGACGTGGCCACCGTGACCATGACGTCCGTGCCGAAGACCCAGAAGATGTCGTAGAAGAAGAGGCCGCAGAGCAGGATGGCGCCCACCTTGAAGCTGCCGAGCGACAGCGACTCGATGCCCTTGATGGACAGCGAGATGCCGAAGATGTTGTTGAGCAGGTAGTGCTTGGTCTGGAACCACGCGGCCGCGAAGGCCGCGGCGAACACGAACGTGAGCATCCAGGCCGTGGACAGCTCGAGCTTGTACACGCCGTAGAACGGCACCTTCATGTTGTGCGTAAAGACGCGCGGGCTGCCCTTGAAGAGCACGCGCGAGAGCAGCGGGCTGAAGGCCTCCGTGAGCGAGTAGGCGCCGATGAGCGCGAAGTACGACGTCAGCAGCAGGTTCACCAGGTCCTTGTCGAAGACCTTGAAGAGGATGTAGAGCCCCAGCAGCACGCCCGAGCCCAGCAGCGGGAACATGTAGGCGTCCTCGGCCTTCATCACCTCCTCGTTCTTCTCGCCGCTGGCCTCGCGCGCGTGCTTGAGCTTGAGCGACAGCGTCGAGCCGATGTACACGATGGCGGCGGCCGACGTGATGAGCTGCACGGGCACGGGGATCAGCACGAAGTTGGACGCCAGCATCAGCGAGATGAGCGCCGCGTAGCAGCCGCTCTGCACCGAGTCGATCATGGCGGGCGGGGCAATAGAGAAGAGGAAATGGCACTGCAAGGTGCAAGGCGCAAGGCCGAAGGATGGAAGTTGCCTCGTCGAAGTCGAACGAACTGCCACGTGGTGCGTGGACTCCGTACCGCGAGGGTCGGAGGTCATTGAAGCGGGGGGATGGACGGGTTTCGACCAATGATGGACGGGAAGCGACGCGGTTGGATGAAAAGAGGCGGACCAATTTTAGTGTCCTTGAAGCAGAAGGACTAAATATTTAGTCCAATTTGGTCCCCGTTTCCAACGGTGCTGTCGTCAATGCGTTTTCTCGGCGTTAGCGTTGCGAGCGCGACGCAGTGTGTCGCCAGTAACGAGATGACAGCACTGGAGACACGCCCGCGAAGAATATCAGCGCGCGTGAAAACTTTGGGGGTAAGATTAACCGTTCGCATTGCTTTCACCAGCACGAGCACGAGCTGTTGTTGCCTGCCGCTGCTGGCGTCGTCGCCGCGCGGGCGCGCGGCCGGGATTGGAGCGGTGAGAAAAATCGATCTCGCCGCTTTGAGCGCTGCTTCGTCTGGGATTCAGCCCAGCGCGAGGCATTAACGTCGTCGGCGTCGTCGGCGGTGACGACCACGGCGGCGCTGGCTCCACGGCGCTGCATTGACGCCAAGAAGAACGCGCCCTATCTTATGCAGGCTGTCGTTGCAGCTGCAATTGGGCCGGTAAACAACGCCTCGGCACAGGAAGGAAGGAAAGACGCGACGCCAAGCTGGTCCCGCCCATCCGAAGCGAGCAGCCCCGCCGCCCAGGTGAAGGCGGCCGCGAGCTCCAGCCCCAACGGGCTCCTTCAGCTCGACACTCGTTCCGCCCCGAGGTCGCCAACATGGCTCCACGCTATTCCACCGCCGATACAGGGCGGTCTGAAAATCGAAAGACCTGCCAGCCGTTACCTGAGAAGTACCTGATTAATGGTACTCCCCTATCCCCGATCCAACGACACTGGGTTTCACTATGGCGCGACAGGCGCATCGCCCAGGCGTTGCACACAGGTGCACCTGCGACCAAAAACTGACCTGCGGGCGTACCCATCCTTGAAGACTGCAGGCCGTGCGCACTCACACCACCAGAGGCCGATATATTCACTCCCCCAGAGCTCCCTACTCCATGGGGGCCACGAAGATGCCGCCGCCCGCGCAGCGGCCCAAGCGCCTGCCCGTGAACGAGGAGAGCAGCGACGACAACCAGAGCGAGGGCTGGGCGCTCGCGGACGAGGAGAGCGACTGGCGCACGTCCAGCTCGTCCGAGCCGCGCTTCTCGCTGCTGGCGCTGCCCTCCAAGGTGCGCAGCTCCGTGTTCCGCAGGCCGCAGCGCAAGACCAAGGAGCGCTCGGGCACCGCCGACACCACGCGCACGTCGTCCGCGTCCTCCACGCCGCGAGACTCGGCGCTGCTACTCGTAAACCCGCAGCCGGACTGCGAGAACGTGGAGAAGTTCCGCGTCTTCTGGGACGAGAAGCTGCGCAGCGCCATGGACCGACTCCGGGGCGAACAGGAACAGCACAAGGACAACGACGGCGACGACGACGTCTTCCACCTGCTGCTCAAGCTCTACGCGCACCAGGACGTGGTAGCGCAGCTCTACAGCAGCTACGAGGCCAACGCGGCCGAGCTCGAGTTCTACATCCCGCAGCTCTGCACCTTCCTGCTGCACGGCAACTACGCCAAGCAGCACCAGCTCGAGTGCTTCCTGATGTCCCGCAGCGGCGACTCGCTGCCCTTCGCACACAGACTAACGTGGTTCCTGCGCTCCTTCTGCGACGACGCCAGGGAGTACCAGTCCGAGTACCTGAGCGTCACGGCGTCGCAGGACCAGGAGGACTCCGACCTGCTCACAGCCATCGGCAGACGCGCGGGCGTCCCCGCGCTGCTCATGAACAGCGGGCTTTGCGTAGAGGAGGTGTCGGCCGTCAAGCCGGACAACTTACAGCGCAGGAGATCCACCATCTTCCCGTCGGACAACGAGCTGGACTCAAACACGCTCGAGACGGACGAAAAGTTCGCCGGCCATTTGCTCAGCAAGAGGAACTCGATCCAGGACGAGGCGCGCACGGACGAGGGGAACTTACAGCAGATCGAACTATTCCGACAGACGCCCAAGTTCGTCGAGGCACTCACAGATCTGGCGGAGCAGCTCATCCCCACGCCTCGACCAAACAGGAATGCAGAGCTACGCAAAGGACTGAGCGAGATACAGGAGCAGAGGCTGCCCTCCGACGTTATTTATCTCCCGATCGGCAACTCGTGCCACCGCGTCAAGGGGATTCGGGTCGACGAGTGCTTCACGTTCTCCACTAAGGAGCGCGTGCCTTACTTCCTCTGTGTAGAAGTGCTGGACTACTCGGTGCAGTCGCCTAAAGCAGGTACCAAGAAGCAGCGGAAGCGGAGGAAGTCCAAGGCCAGTCGCAACCAGTCCAGAGTCTTCTCCTTGAAGCTCCCGTTCACCAACTCCGATGCGGAATTGAGCATCCCAGTGGATGATTCGCCCATGTCAAGCAGCACGTCGCCTGAGAGCGAGCTGAGCTTCGTGCCGTCGCCCAGCGTGGCGTCCCCACTACCTGAGATCGATGAGGAGAACGTCCCAGCATTTACGGAATCGTCGATTACGCGGCAGAAAGATGGCGATGATGTACTGGATGGGGAGGATGGGGATGACGAGAAAGAGGACGGCGATAGGAAACCCAGAAAGAGCGTCCAGGAAGACGAGGACCTGCATAGAGCAGAAGAAGAGCAGCAGGATCGACTCGGCCAGTGGAACTTGCCGAGACCCCGCCGTCGTAGCATCAAGGAATACTCGTCCAGTGCGTCGGCTAGATCGGGGGGTCAGTTCGACAGCTTTTACTCGTCTTGGTTCTCGAAGAAGGCGCAGGAAGGAGATGACGAAGAGAATGATTCGGTTCAGGTGCCGCTCACATCGCCGAACGCTGCGGACATGGTGCTTGAACAAGACGAGGACAACGACAGCGCTATGAAGGAAGTTGACGTGGATGCGGCTGAGGATGCCGTCCCAGTAGACGTTGAGCCTACTGGCGATGCAGTCACTGACGATGTCGAAGTCACTGAGAAGACTAAGGCTAAGGAGATAGCTCCACCGACTGCTGCGCCCAGCGTAAATGGTGGGATTTTCTCTTCGATCTTCTCTAGAAAGCCGAAGCCGGAAGTCGATGCCCAGCAATCTCAGGTGGCTGCTTCATCGCGACCAAACGAGACGGAGACTAACAACGAAAGCGCGCCGGCTGAGGCTGACGAGCAAAAGACTGACATGTCGGAGAAGACTGCTTCATCGACTCCAGCTCAGAGTGGCCGCCTCTTCTCCTCATTGTTTTCGAAGAAACCTGCCGACGCAGCCAAGCCCGTAGTCGTGTCTGAGGACGAGCCGAAGCTGAGCGAATCTAGCAGCGAAGAATGTGCTGGAGCAATTGAGTGCGGCACAGCAAAGCTTGAGGTCGTTCCTGCTGAATCAGTTGGCATTTTCGGATCCCTCTTCTCGATGAAGCCGCAAACAGCCCCTGAACCGGAGACCGCGAGCGGCGATGGAGTTTCATCAATCGAGCCTAGCGAAGACGGAGCTTCGGACAACCTTGAGGCTGACGAGGCTGACGGAGAAGAGTCCGAGTCAAAGGAGGCACTTCCATCGGACACCGACCCTGCCGATGGAACGACTGAATCGGCGTCTTCGCTTGAGCCAAGCGAAGCAGGAACTTCTGACGATCCAGCGGCCGAGGATGCGGATGGCGAGGATACGGACTCCAACGACGGATTGTTTTCTGAGGATGATGAAAATGTGGTATGCGAGCCGGAACGTTCGCCGGTGGAGAAGCCGATGGAGAAGTCGACCTCGTTTGCATCTTGGTTCTCTCGGAAGCCCGTGACTGAGGTGGCAGAGCAATATCCGACGGTGAAGGCCTCGGACGCTACTGCTATCAACGATAATAAGACCGCATCTCCCGAAGACACCAGTGCTGAAGGTGAATGCACTCCGGAGCCCTCCGTTCCTGCCAACAAGGAAGACGTCGTCACTCAGGAGGAGGTTGCCATTCACCAGCGACCGCGTGACTTGAGTGTAAGCCTCGACTTTGCTGACCCCACCGCTTGGAAGGAGAAGTTCGACCTTGAAGATGGTCTCACCGATGACGAGCCTGATGCGGAAACGGGTGACACTGACGCGCTGGAGGCCGATGCCGAGGAGGATGCAGAGACGCCCGAGGACGACGAAAAGCCGATGATTGTGTTCCGCGAGCGCTGGAGCGAGAAGGAAGCGCGCGTCCGCCGTGAGTCGCCGTTCGGTGATCACCCTGGCTGGCGGCTTCTCTCCGTCATCGTCAAGAGCAACGACGACCTGCGCCAGGAGCAGTTCGCAGCGCAACTCATTGCCCAGTGCGATCGGATCTTCCGCGAGTACTCCCTTCCTCTATCACTGAGGTAAGTCTCTGATCGCTTGTGTTGCTTAGTTTGAGTAGTACGTATTGACTGATGTTGTGCATGGTTATACAGGCCATACAACGTGATCGCCACGTCAGCCACGACTGGTCTCATCGAGGCCGTTCCGGACACCGTGTCTCTCGACTCTCTCAAGCGCAACGACCCTGGATACACCACCCTCCTGGACTTCTACACCCGTCTCCACGGTGAGAAGGAGACCACCGGCTTCGCCCGAGCGCAGCGGAACTTCATCGAGAGCCTCGCCGCCTACTCGATCGTCTGCTACGTGTTCCAGATCAAGGACCGCCACAACGGCAACATCCTCGTGGACACGGACGGCCACGTGATCCACATCGACTTCGGCTTCCTGCTCACCAACAGCCCCGGCAGCAACTGGAACTTCGAGCGCGCGCCCTTCAAGCTCACGGACGAGTTCGTTGAGCTCATGGGCGGCCCGCGCAGCTCGTCGTTCCGCTACTTTCGCACGCTCTGCATCCGCGCGTACCTGGCTCTGCGTCGCAACATGGACCAGATCGTGCTACTGGTGGAGATGATGCTCGTGGGCAACTCGGACCTGCCGTGCTTCGCTGGCGGCAAGAAGGCGGTAATCGAGGGGCTACGCGCACGGCTCAAACCTGGCGCGCGTACGAGCACATGCCAAGTCTTCGTGAACCAGTTGATCGACCAGTCGATCAATAACTGGCGGACGCGCTGGTACGACAAGTACCAACGAGCTTGCCTCGGAATCCTCTAGGTGGTGTGTGGCGTGACGTTTGTTCGACAAGGGAAGGGAAAGCTGCCTCCAGTTTTGATTCTAGTAGCAATAGCGTAGGTAGCGTGCTAAAGATTTGATTTATAAACGCTTGAAGATACAGAGACTTGGAGTGTGATGCCAATTACATGTACAATCATGGTGAAGTTTTGTGTGGGATATCGACGGTGGCCACTATGGTATCCTAACTCTTGGTTCATTTTATAAAGAAGCGTCCAACTACAGTGTAGTTAAACGACGGAGCCGGCGGTGCCCTTCAGCAGGACTTGTTCCGAGGGTGAGCACGTGTCCACTGCGTGATCTTCTCGGATCGTCCCGGAGTGTTCATCATCTTCATCGTCTTCCTGGTCCGTATGCGCTGGAGTACTGAAGTCCAGCTTGTCGATGATCTCCTGCGGGTCCGTGGATGGGATCAGGAAGAGGAAGAAGATCGGCACGACCTTGAGCGCGCTGCGGAGCACAATGGCCAGCCACAGGTTCTCGTACTGGTCCTGCGTGATCCCCATCCAGTCGCAGACGAAGGCGCCCCAGAACTCGCTCACACTGTACGAGAGGTTGGAGATGGACATGAGCAGCGCGAACAGCGTGCCCTCGATGCCCCTGGGGCACAACTTGGCGCACAGAACCATGATCGGCATAGTCTTGAGGCGGCCGATGACGTCTGCGACCACGTGGTCGCCCAGCACGAAGGCCTTGTCCGGAATCCCGAGCTTCAGGTTGGTGCGCGTCACTAGTACAACATCCACCAGCGACACCAGAGCGAGACAGAGCTGCGCGGCCATGAAGATGCGGCGGAACGACACGTTGGTGAAGAACATGTTGTACAGCATGGTCCCCACCATGAGGAAGATGAACCCGATGGCCGACACCGTGCCCAAAAACTCCGGAGTGAAGTGCAGCACGTCCGTCGAGAAGAAGAACAGAACTTGAGTGTACGCAGGACTGATGGCGTGCGAGATGAAGACCCACAGCGCGCACATCCAGACCACGGGGGTGCAAATAGCAGTCTTGAGTTGCTTCAACTGCTTCGACGCTGAAGACACAAAGTCGCGCTTGCTCAGTGTGCTCTTGGACTCCTCCATAGTCATGGAGAACATCAACGTGGTGATCGGACCCAGTGCAGCAGTTAAAAAGACCCCACGCACGCCTAAATCGTCCGTCGCCGGGCCAGACAGGAAGGCGCCGAGCATTCCTCCAAGTGACGTTGCTATCCACGACAAGGACTGCAGATCATTCGGCCCATTGATGGGGTCCAGTCTCGAGATCTCCACGACTCTAGCGTCGATCACCACGTCGATCACAGCCACCGACAGACTCTGCAGCATGAGCATGAGCACCGCAATGGCCGGCGTCGTGACGAGGTCGGGCACCGCCATAGTGAGGGATGCGGCCGTCTGCAGGACGCTGCACAGCATCATGTAGGACTTGCGGTGGTAGCCAAAGAGCGGCAAACTGTCCGACAGGATGCCGTACACAGGCTTGACCCTCCACGGGACCTTGATGAGCATCTGCAGCAGCTGCGACTGCGTCGGGTGCAGGTGCAGATGGTCCTTGAAGAAGTAGTTGACGGCCAGCGCGGTGAAGCTCGAGAAGCCTTGCACCACGTACACGACCGTGATGAGCACGAGGAACGCAGTGCCGAAGGTCTCGCGAAGATGTTGCACCCAATTGAGGAACTGTCGGGCCTTGGAGAGTTTGGTGGCGTCGTCGCTAGGCTCGTCTTGGAGGTGCTGGCCTTTGTCCTTTTGGGGAGACGACGTCTTGGTCGACTTCGGGTCCGGCTCGAGGTGCTCGTCCACGTTGAGCCGGGGCAAGCGCTCGGAAGGGGACGCGGCGTTCTCGGGCGCCATGGTCGACGAGTTGCGGACGGGACGGAGCTCCGCTCAACGGCGACGAGATGCGTAGCGAACTCGAACCAAATACTGAGCCTGAACAGACGAATTGGGCTGCCACATGTCGCCACCATGATAGCAAAGCGGATAGGAAGACCTGCTTGAGCCAATCACCGGGTCTGACTTGTTTCGCGCATGGAGCTGGCTGTGAAGCCTTGAGGCGAATGCTGTGGAGACCGACCGTCGCAGGAGCGACAGTGAGGTCACGGGTCTGGGCGAAGAAGCAAATGGGAGAAAGGAGTTGAAGTACACGCATGACGAATGGTCTGCATGAAGAGGAGCTCACTCTAATATCTGCAAGCTGGGTGTGAAGTCGCGTTGGCTTTGTCTTCCTTACTAGGTGGTGCAGAGCGGAACCGCGTCGTTACAGAGTTATGGCCCAAGGCCTGCAGGTGGCCGCTGGCTGGTGACCAAGTCCTGCGACTTCATGTCAACCTAGGTGGGTGGAGATCTAAAAGAACGTCCGGCTATTTGCAGCCCCTGGGCTCATAACCCTGTTGCGACGCGGTTCCGCTTTGCTTCACTCGGTGGAGCCACGACTTCGAGGGCTGACAGAGTTGCTCCTACGACGACGGCTGCAGAGCTAGCAAGCTGATCACCGTTTTGTCCGTGGAGGTCCTTGTGTGAATTGTTCGGACCCAAGTGGCGGAGAGGGAGTGCTCTGCGAATCGGCTCTGGCTGTAGCCGTCGTCGCAGGGGCAACAGAGCCTCAGGGCGAAGTCTGGACGGCGGCGAAGGAAGCGTGGACAAGGACAAGTTGTCGAAGAATGGTCAGGCGGAGCACTGCGTGTCGATTAAAAAAAAATCTACCCGTTGGGTCGGTGTCTTCGTTGATTATCTGCCTGGTGTTGAAAGTTACAGGTACAACTTGTAATAATGCTTCTTCTAGCGCGGTGGGTATATCCTCCATATATTCCTTCACCTGACCAAGCGCCACAACAACTAGCCTACGCAGCTCTACAACTTCAATTTGTACTTGCAACGTTGCTTTGGCGACACCTCGGTACTTCATTTTCGACCCTGCCCAAAGCTCTGTTGATACCGGTGAGCAGGATGACCAGATTTCAGGTGCCCTCGAAAACGTCGAAGTGGTGAAATTCCTCGATAGCAAAATATTTGTTTCCCTGGATTTCTACGTTAAAGCCATTTTGAGTGCGGCTGTGGAGTGCAACACCACGTATGGGGCTGTTGGCAACCAAGTCGGCGTGTTGCAGTTCCTGTATGCCAAAGGATGCGTCCGTCCTGAGTTGATCAGCCACATTTTCCCTAAAGCCGCAGCTTGCAGCTCTCTCGAAGGGGTGGAGTTTCTATACAAGAAGGGCTGTATATCGCCCGATCTCGTTGACGCAGCATTTGAGAAAGCGGTCCTTGAAAATAGCGCTGATGTGGTCAAATTTCTCTACAAGACCGGCTTCGTCAGAACTGAGTCGGTCGAAGGAGCGTTTTTGATCGCAGCAGAACGTGGTGATGTGTATATCTTGGAATGTGTAGTGAATCCCGGGGAAGACATCACATCAGGGAAGAACCAACACACGGCAGGGCGGATGGCGATCCGCTGGGAAGTTGAGCCTAGTGTATTGATCTAGTGTGTATGCCTTTCGAGGCAAATACATGAGTGAGATAGATCTCAAAGTGAACTGGGTCCGTGTCCAACGGCCTCTGGACACGAAGAGAAGTATGCAGTTGGCCATACAAGTTCCTGGTATGTAGAATCGTACCGCATACCAGGTACAGACACTGTGAAGTCTGACTGGCCAGGAAGTGGCGAACCCTTACCTGTGGCTCACGTGGGTTCACCGTCGCTAGCAGCGACACGCTATCGGGTCCATGACTGCGGTGATACCAAGGTGAAACCTGGAATACACTACAGAATGTCTGATCGAATGCGGCTGTAGCAGTCGGAATGTGCTGAAACAAAGTCAGAAAAGCTGCTCGTCGATCATGACACGTAGGCTTTTGTTGCGTACTTACAAATCACTCGCGCCTTAGGAAGACTAAGCACAGGTGCTACTCCGTTGTGATTATCATTTAACAGTGTACTCAGCCATTAAAGCCTCGATCAATAAATTCAACGATTTTTCGCCAAAACGTTGACCATGTTCAGGTAGCCAACTTTCGCAACAGCAATCATTCGAGTAGGATTTTTCAATCCCCAGACAACCACTTCAGGCCTTCTAAAATATCTTTTTTTATACTTTCACGAAAGCCTTATCCAGGCAAGTTGTACAGCCTTCAGCAGCTTGTACGGGTGCACATCGACAAATCGCAAATTAAATCATGACAAAAGGTATGCCATTTTTCGGTCCCCTCAAATTTACATGTTAGTTGCTCTCTTATCGCCTGTGCTTCATGTGAAAGAATTGCTTCACTCTGCTACTGCATGTTGAAATATGATGCAGTAAGACGTCTTCAACCCATGTTTGAGGGATGCATCCACACTTGAAAAGGCAATCCAGCACGTAAACGTCATCATCAGCAACAGCGTTCCAGAAGACGCACCCAACCGACTCGGAACTGACACCGCCAGTCTTGTAGAGGAATTCAACGACATCAGCGCTGATTTCACATGTAGCACAACGGAATGCTTCGTCAACCAAATCTGCCGAAATATCACCCTTCTCGTACAAGAACTTGACCACTTCGACACTGCTGCCGCGTACAGCGTCCATGAAAGCGTAGCTGATCATCTCATGCGCGACGCCGGCCTTAGTGTATAAAAATTCCAAGACACCCACTTGATCGGGGATGGTCTTGCCATCTAAAACCCAGTTCCATGTCGTCTCCATGAAAGTTTTAAGCATTAGATCGGGAGAGACCTGCCTTTTCGAGTCCAAGAATCGCACAATTTCGAGTTGTCCCGAAGAAGCAGCAGACGTGAACACTATATCGAGAAAACCTGGATACATCAGGTGATCATCAGCTGGATACAGGAACTCCACAGTTTCCAAGGACCCCGACCATACCGCTTTCATGATAGCTTCGGTAAAAAAGAAATCGCTAATACCGAACGTGGATTTCGATTTCAGGAACTTGGTGATTGCAAGCTGCCCACTTCCGGCAGCACAAACAAAAGCCTTCCCGAGTACTGACTCTGACCCATTGAGTAGTCCGTCGTCGAAGAACCTTTTAACCAATCCGAGCTGGCCAGCGTCGATTGCACTCGACAGCACAGGATCAATGAAGGACGGGTTGAATCCGTTGTTGGCGTACAAGTACTCAGCAACGTCCATGTGGCTATTGGCAATGGCAATAGCAAGTGCAGCTGGAGTGTTTGCGTCATAGCCATCATGCGTATACAGTCGTTGACCATATTTCTCGTTCAGGAACTGGACCATATCGAGATATCCATGAGAGCACGCCTCCAACATCACACGATACGCAGCCAGCGGGCCCAATACCTCTGCATGAGGGTAAGTGTCTAAAACGCGAGTCATCAAGTTAAGCTCTCCATGTTTGGCTGTCAACAAAAGTGCGTCCACCAACGGGACACCTTTGCCATTCAAAGCGGAAATTGTGGTCGATACAATTTCTTGCTGGCCCAATGTCACTGCCTGCTCCAACGCCGGAAGCAATACAAGTCGATCTCCGTACAAAGAGAGCAACAGCTTGTATGCAGCCACATGTCCACCAGCGATCGCCTTGAACAGGAAAAATTTGCAGCTCTGTCTGGCCCACGTTAAATCCGGGTCGTCCCAGCTGCTGTACATGAAGTTGATAACATCACAGTGGCCGTGGGCTGCAGCAACTTCTGTAGCCGTTGACGCTACACATTCCTCTTGGTCAGACAGTGCTGGTCGGTCGAGCAGACGGCTGAGCCACTCGACTTGGTTCGTCGCAGCAGCGGCAACCAGCGCCTCAGAGACTGACATGACAAATTCATCAATGAGCTTCATCACGTGGGGCAAGTCTTGGACCTGGTGCGGGAGCTGGACGCCCTTCAGCCGCTTTGTCGGTCGCAAATCGGCAGCTTCGTCATGCATCGTCGAATCTGGCTGGCAAACGTCAAAGATTTTTCCTGATTTAGATTCTTTTGTCCTATTTAAAAAAATTCCAAATTATGAGACCAAGATTTGCCCTTCGCAACGAAATTCCCGGTACCTGTATTCCACCAACGAATGTGATGGTAATTCCTCGGGTGGATTTTTTTTCAAAAGTAGCTTACCAAGGAAGGCTCGCTGGAAATGTTCAAGCTTTTTTACGATGCAGAGAGATTGAGAAGCTTTTATATGCGCTCCAGCTAGAGGCCACCCGGAGATCATGAAGTTCTTGCAGTCCAAGCCTGGTCGAAGTGTGGACACTTCTTGCCTGGATACTACTTTCGTGAAAGCGGCAACGAGAAACCACGTCGAGGTGCTGAAATTGCTGTCCAGAATGGAAGAGTGCCAAGTTTCGCCTCAAGAAATGGAGGCGGCATTCATTGCAGCTGCTACAGTGGGAAACCTTCACTAAGTGAAATCCGTGGACACCGATAATCCCTTTTCTTCAGACTTGATCGTCAAGGGTTTTGTGAAGGCGGCTACCGAGTACGTCGTTGAGTGCGAGGCCATCGACAATCAAGTCGGTGTGTTGCAGTTGTTGTTCGCCAAGGGATGCGTCGGTCCCGAGCTGATCAGCTATATTTTCCGTAAAGCTGCAGCTTGTAGCTCGCTTCAAGCATTGGAATTTTTGCACAAGAGGGGCAGTATGTCAGCAGACGTTGTCGACGAAGCATTTCTAAACGCGCTTGGTGTGAATAGCGTTGATATCCTCGAGTTTCTTTACAAGACCGGAATTGTGAGCCCAAGGTCGGTTGTGAGGGGTCTGATGGATGCAGCCGATACTGAGGATCTGGACGTTTTGCAATACTTGCTACGCTGCGGGTTTACCATTCGAGCTCTTCTGAAAGATGCGTCAAAGACGTTTTACGCACCTAGCAGCATGATAAAGATGTTATCACGCGCTTACAAGTCGTTGTCGCGGAAGGATAGCTACCGGTAGGTTACTTGGCATACATCTAGGGCACCAAGGTATTCCCTTTACTAGTTTTGGTATTTGAAAGATGAAGCTGTATACATTATTGTGGCCACGAGTTCTTTCATACTATAGTATACAGTAATGCTGTCAGCTACAATGGCTTCAAGCGCCATTCAAGCGAGTTTTCATGTGACAACCGCATCGACTAACAAGCAAGTTAGTAAAACGTTAGTAAACTGTACAGTAAACACCGACCATATCAACAGCAACCGCGTCACGTCGTGCACAAGTACTTTCATGTACTTTCACGTACTTTCACATAACGGCGTTGCCCACGTTGAAGGGCTCCGCGACCATCGTGACGGATACTCTGTCGACGGTAGCACCATGAGCCATCGAGACCTCTAGGTACCGTACACTCATCAGCGCCCCGTGCTCCAGCAGATTCCCCACCAATATAAAAAGCAAGCAGAGCAACAACGTTAGATAATTGAAATATCGCCGCGATACTACATCACATCCAGTCGCCATACGGAGAGGTTGACTCACCCAAGCCACCACCATTCTCTTCCAGCGTGGACAGCCTTCTAGCATGCGGCAATTTCCGCCCTTCTCCACTAAGTCCGATTTAATCCCTTCTTGAGACAGGGGGCCCCAGTATCAAGGCGAGTTGGTCTCACTTTCCAATTCGCCGCCTCGAGCGCAAGTGGCTTCCGACCGCCCAAGTGTCCAAGCAGCAACCCCGCGCCTGCTCTCAAGCCCCTCCCTGCCCCTCCCGCTTATGACCGCCGAAGCATGCGAGTACCTGTCGCCGTCATGTGACCCCGCGTCGTTCTGGACCTACCTCTGCGTCTGCCTGCTGCTCGTGTGCGCGGCGGGCCTGATGGCCGGCCTGACCATGGGCCTCGTGTCGCTCGACATGCTCAACGTGCGCATCCTCGAGATGGAGGGCTCGGAGCTGGAGAAGCAGTGCGCGCGCAAGGTGCGCCCCGTGCTGGAGCGCCACCACCTGCTGCTCGTCACGCTGCTCATCGTGAACGCCAGCGCCAACGAGGCGCTGCCCATTTTCCTCGACAAGCTCGTGCCCGAGGGCGTGTCCATCGTCCTGTCGGTCACGTGCGTGCTCATGTTCGGCGAGATCATCCCGTCCGCCATCTTCACGGGCCCCAACCCAGCTGCGCATCGCCGCGGCGCTCACGCCCGGCGTCAAGGTGCTCATGGCCGTGGTCTTCCCCGTCGCGTACCCCATCAGCAAGCTGCTGGACTGGTGGATCGGCGCGGACCACGACGCCGCGCAGTACAAGCGAAACGAGCTCAAGGCGCTCGTGGCGCTCCAGAGGGAGAGCGAGGCCATGCGCCAGAGCTTCGTCGAGTCGCGCCTCTGCGACTACGAGATGGAGTCCTCCAGCACCAGCAGCGCGCACAGTAGTGTGCTCATGTCGCCTAGCACGCTACGTAAGCAGCCGCTGTTGAAGCCCGAGCCGGAGACGGAGATCGACGTGGACGTCCAAGTCGAGACGCCAAACCAACGCAAGCGTCGCCGTCAACAGGCCATGGCAACGGGCACCAAGCTGAATGTGGATGAGGTCACCATTATCCATGGCGCTCTGGATTTGTCCTCCAAGACCGTGGCGGAGGTGATGCTGGCCATGAACCAGATCTACATGCTCGAGATGGATACCAAGCTCGATCGTGATACTATGGCGGACATTCTGGCCTCGGGCCACAGTCGTATCCCGGTGTACGAGACTCGCAAGTCCAACATTGTGGGCTTGCTGTTCGTCAAGAAGCTCATTGTGCTGAACCCGGACGACGCGCGTCAGATTAGGGACCTGGTGCTCCGTAAGCCCATTCTGGTGTCGCCCAGTGGGTCGTGCTACTCGATGCTGAACGAGTTCCAGAAGGGTCGCTCGCACATCGCGCTGGTCACGAAGGAAGTTGAGCTCGTGGCCTCGTGCTGGCGCAGCAACCAGCCCATTCCGCCGCACGTCGTGTTCGAGGGCATCGTAACTTTGGAAGATATCGTAGAGGAACTCATCCAGGAACCGATAGAGGACGAGAGCGACGTGTATGTCCACGACATCGTGGACGTCTGGAGCTCCAAGGCCCAGCAGTCGCGTCTTCAAGCCGTTGCAGCCAAGGCCTTCGTCACCAAGAAGCTCAAGATGCTTGCGGATCGTGCGCGCGAACGCGTCAGGAATCGCCACGAGGCCCAACAGCAAGTTGCCGCATCGATCCAAATCACGGTCGTTCCCAGCGCTCCATCTGTAGTCAACTAAGAGCATACTATACACCTTTGTGCGGACTTCGTACCAACGTGCAATCAAATCCGAAAGTCGCAAAATTTGTATTGCAAATTTCTATATATATATTGCGACTTTCGGATTTGATTGCACGTTGGTACGAAGTAGGCCGCACAAAGGTGTACTGGGTTGCTTTGCTAGGAAGCCTTGTAGGATGCAACCTTACAAGTAGGAGGATATCAGCGACCAGGTATTGCTTGATCATCGCCTGGGCAGCGGGAACCAGTGCGTGGACATCAAATCCAGACAATAATACTGTAGTACAAAACGTTTGCCTCCAAAGTTGCCATCGCATCATGATGTCCACGAATCCAGACTCTAATCATGAGGGACTCGAGTGCTCTGCTATATGGATACACTCAGAAAGGAGAAGGGTGGGTTGTATACAGATTGGCGAGAGAGAACAACTGGGTATTGCAGGAAGTACTCGCTTCAACTCGCAAGGCAAAAACCAAGACGATGGAGCAGCACTTTGATGCCACTTGATTCGTCTTGATACGGAGACCCTGAAAATTAGTCGATTTCGAACGCACCCTAGTCGTACTGGTGTCATTCTTTCCCAGATCATACAAAGGACACCCATGGCTGTCAAACCCATCGCGTGATACATTGCTCAGCCGTCGCGATGAAGCATTTTGTAGCTGGTGGAGCTTGTTGGGCAGCGAGGAAAGGCTGTTACTCATTCCTTTCGCTAGGACAACTAGCGTAGCCCAACCAATGATCAGCCACGATCGTTAGGCCACCAAAGTGGTTGAGATTCTAATCCCCCCGTGCGATGTGGTACATAATTCAGCGTCCTCACCTCTCTGGATCGAAAAAATGCTCGACCATCCAGAAGATCCGAAATTGTTGACAATTGAACAGGGGATGTATTGAAGAAGGGATCGTTCTACCTGTCCTTCGTAGCGCATGTTGTCTGGTCAGGTGAAGTATGCCGTCCCATCCAGTTCGGTGTGTTTTTCGCTCGGTTGTTGCTTCTGTAGCGAGCTGCGAGTGCTGATTATTCTGGAATATATTTATCTGGAGTAGAATCAAAATCGAGACAAACCTTGGCCCACAGGTAGACGTCCAAGCTGCCCCGTCCGACAAAAGCGGCGCTAGATCCAAAATCTACCTCAAACGTGCTATATATTTTTGCGAAAACACCAACATAACGTGTCATGTATCAAAGGTTTTGTTGGCCGATCAGGAAATCAGACTGGCAATGACAACCGAATAGCACCTGTGCTGGTCTTCCTATGGTGCGAGTGACTTGTAAGCACGCAACAAAAGCCTACGTGTCATGACCGACGAGCAGCTTTTCAGACTTTCTTTCAGCACAGCCCGACAGGTGCAGCCGCATTCGATCAGACATTCCAAGATATACACATCACCACGTTCTGCTGCGATCAAAAACGCTCCTTCGACCGACTCAGTTCTGACGAAGCCGGTCTTGTAGAGAAATTCGACCACATCAGCGCTATTTTCAAGGACCGCTTTCTCAAATGCTGCGTCAACGAGATCGGGCGATATACAGCCCTTCTTGTATAGAAACTCCACCCCTTCGAGAGAGCTACAAGCTGCGGCTTTAGGGAAAATGTGGCTGATCAACTCAGGACGGACGCATCCTTTGGCATACAGGAACTGCAACACGCCGACTTGGTTGCCAACAGTCACATACGTGGTGTTGCACTCCACAGCCGCACTCAAAAAGGCTTTAACGTAGAAATCCGGGGAAACAAATATTTTGCTATCGAGGAATTTCACCACTTCCAGGTTTCCAAGGTTAACTGCTGCAAGGAATGCAGTCTCCAGTACTTCAGCTGAAACTTGGTACCCTTCAATTGCATACAAAAGCTCCAGAACCTGCAATTGACTTCTCCTTGCTGCTTTCACGAAAGCCTTGCCCAGACCCATAGCGTCCACATTATAGTCAGGCTTGGATTGAAGGAGGTTCACGATCTCCAGGTGACCTCTAGCTGCTGCGGACACCAAGGCGTCGCTGAGTGAATCAGCCCTCAATTTATCTTCATTGTAGAACGGCTTGACCATCTCCAGTAACCCAACGCCAGCTGCCTCTACAAAGATTCGATTGAGATAAAGAGCATCACACCCGTTCTTCGTGTACGAGTACTTGGCGATATCCACGCGGCCTCGCTAAACTGTCTTTCCAAGAGCAAAGTGCAGGTCTCGTAGCTGGGCACCCAGATCACACTTCTCATTCAAAAACTTGACCATTTTGAACTGTCGAGCAGCTGCCGCTATCTCCATAGCTTAATTGAGTGCGTGCATGTCGCCTTTTGCGGTCTTGTTGCAATTTAAAATGCACTTCATCACTTGGAGATTTCCCGTCTGCGCTGCCCAGTCGAGTGTTTGCCTGTAGTTTTCCGTTTTGCACAGCAATTCGACTATTTTTTGCTGGCCACACTTGACTGCGTGCCCCAGCAGATCCGACAATGGACGGGAACCCCCATAAAGAAGCTGTAAGAGCTGAAACGCGGACCTGCGATCGCCTTGAACATGAAGCGTGCAGACTTGAACCCACTGTTGTCTACGCCCCTTTGCGACCGTCTCTCGTAAATGTAGTAGATTACGGCACAATGGCCGTGAGCTGCAGCTACTTCAGAGGCCAGTGTTTCGACGTCATACCCGTTGGTAGAGAGTCCTGGTTGGGTTATCAGTGTGTTGAGCCACTCGACTTGGTTCGTAGCGGCGGCTTCAATCAATGCCTCGTTCGTCGACATGGCAAAGATGTCGATGAGCTTCATCACATGGGGGAGGGCTTCGATCTTGCAAGGGAACCCAGCACCCTGTAGACGCGTGGTCAGGAGTGAGTCGAATGCTCGGGTGCGGCCCATGGCTATTAAGCTGAGATGCGAGAAATGGCGGTGCTACTGAAATTCCCACGAGATTTCTCGTCGCTCGCCAAGACTTGTCAATCTCCACACGTAAAAATTCTCGATACCATCGGTATGCTTTGCGGTATGGGATACTTAACCGACACATACGACAGATCTCTAGCCTTCCTCCGATGTCAACAACTTGTAAGCACGAGCTAGTAGTCGGTTAGTCGGTGGATCCTTATCGAAGAGCACATACCCAGTGCACTGTCCAGCACAGCCCGAGTGGTAGTGCAGCCACAACTAAGCAAGCCTTCCAAAACATAAGCATCTCCACGACTGGCTGCACCTAGAATACCCTCTTTGCCCGCCTTTGGGCGACAAACCCAGTCTTGTAAAGAAACCCGATAACATCAGCGCTGTTTTCATGAAGAGCGTTTAAAAATGCGGCTTCCACCAGATCGGCTGACATGCTGCCCTTCTCGAACAGAAACTCCACCGCTTCAACGTAGCATCGCGCTGAAGCTGCAGGGAAAATGTGGTTGATCAACTCTGAATCGATGCATCCTTTGGCATACAAGAACTTCAATACGCCAACTTGATCGCCAATAGCTGCACACTTCACCTTGCACTCTGTGGCCGCGTTCACGAAAGTCGGGCGAAAAGAGGTTTCTGCTATCCAGGAACTTGATCACTCCCAGATTTCCGCGTGCAGCTGCTGCACTGAACGCAGTTTCGAGTACTCGAGCCGAAACTTGGCATCCTTCAATTGTGTACAAGAGCTTCAGGATCTCTGAATGATCCCGCTTCGCCGCTTTCACGAAAGCTTTACCCGGACATGAAGCGTCGATACACCAGCCAAGCTTGGACATCAGAAACTTCAAGATCTCCACCTGACCACCAGTTGCCGCGAATCTGAAGGCTTCGCGAAAGGACTGAGCGTGTATTTTTGCTTTGTCGAAAAGGAACTGGACCGTCTCAAGTGAGCGTAGACCCGCTGCTCTTACAAACATCGCATTAAAAAAGTCAGCGTCGAACCCCTTCTTGGCGTACAAGTATTTGGCAATCTCCACGTGACCTTCTGTAACCGCATCGGCAAGTGCGAACCGTACGTCGAGTGCCTGTCCTTCATAATTCCCAACCAAAAGCTCGGCAATTTCCAAGTGTCCGGCTGCAGACGCCCTCTGCAGCGTAAGGCTGACCACTATCTCGTCAACAGATTGGTGGTACTTTAGAATGCGCTTCATCACGTAAAGGTCCCCGTTCTTTGCTGCCCACTCCAGCGTTTCACGGCACTCGTCTCCTTTGCAAATAATGTCGACAATCTCTTGTTGCCCGTTTTTCACTGCCTGACTCAATAAGCCCGGCAGCCATTCAGTGTTTCCATAGAGATCCAGTAACAGCTTGAACGCAGTCACGTGCCCACCAGCGATGGCCTTCGGCATGAACCGTTCGAGCCTGCTGATGCACATGTGCGTGAACGACTGAAATGACGTCGCAGTGGCCGTGTGCAGCGGCAACTTCAGTGGCGAGTGCCGCCGTTTCGTCCCATTCGCCATCGAGCTCCGGTAGATCCAGCAGTTTGTCGAGCCACTCGACTTGGTTCGTCGCAGCGGCTTCTATCAACGCCTCAGTGGCTGACATTGTGTAGATGTCGATGAGCTTCATCACGTGCGGCAGGTCCCGGATTGGCGCGGGAACTGGGCGCCCTTCAACCGCTTGCATGGGCGTTGAACGCAGCGGGGATCGCGGGCGTGTTTCATGGAGTCGATCTATGAGGAAGCCAATCAATTTCGTGTCAAGAAACCAAAAATCAAAAGTTAGGTAGCAGTGAGTTTGTTTTGCAAGGAAAAACTACCCCACCCCGTTCCCTTGAACCTTCGTCGGCAATATATATATATATATATGTATCATTTATTAATAAATTTGCGACTCGGTTATTCTCTGGATTTTATCCAGAGTTGTTAGGGCGATACGACTGCAGGTGCAAATCATTATAAAAATGCATGCTCCGCTATCGGTTATAAACGAACGGATCATTAACGTATCGGAACGTACCTTAATAAACGCTTGGATAATATATTACCCAGCGGCGTGTTGCTTGAGTCTTTTAGGGTCGACATTCGCGTGACACGATCGATTGGATGTCGCTCGACCATGACTCCAAACATAACTACAGTTGTGTTTGCAGTACATGTATGTTCAACGATGTTACATCGGTGTCGCCACGTTCAAGTCATGGAACGACACCCACGAACACCCACGACTTCAATTTAAAGTCGTGGGTGTCGTTGAAGTCTTCAAACGATGCTGGTCTCGTTTCAACCATTCTGCACGTGCTCGTTTCAACCATTCTGCACGTGCATACGTACCGTTACCGCCGCATTCAAGCCTTGACGTTGGCTGCATATTATTGCAAGATAGCTAAGGCATAGCGAGTGACCAGTACATGCTCGCGTAAGGGCTTGAGATAGTTGGCAGTATGGTTTCGGAACTTGGTAGCAAACCCGAACAAAGACAAAAGCACCAACTGCTGAAATTTAAGGATGCTCTAACCAAAGAACCTCGGGTAGAACTGCTAGGCACATTTAAGATAAATTAACTTAGAATCAAACCTAGAATCAAAACTACATGATAAAATCCGAGCTTCTCCGTGCTTTAGCCCTTGTTCTCGGCGTACGCCATGGTGTCGCACGTGTAGCCCTGGATCACCAAAGGACCCGCCAGCTTGGGGATCACCACTTGCTCCTGGTAGACGCCGGGGAACAGGAAGAGCGTGTGCTGCTCCGTCGTGTTGGGCAGGTACATCAGACCCTCCGCCAAGCTTTGGTAGCTCTCGTTGTACGTGCCGGTGATGTCGACGACGATAGCTCCTGGCGGGGGAACGGTTCGGGCGTAGGGGCCATTGCACTCCGTGGTAGGAACTTGAGCGGCAGCACCCGCCACGAGTGTACTGTAGTACTGAGCGGGGAATACAGATACATATATAAATACAAGCACGGCTCTATAAGTTAAGATTGCAATACATGTACCACGTACACGTATCACATGAGCAAATTTATCGTTTTGCATTCCCATGATGCAGATGTCACAAACAACGGAAAATATTACTTGAACCGGTGTTTTTAAGGCACCAGTCCGGATCTACCTGCGAAGTCAGGTGCTTGTTGAGAGTCTCAACTTGAGACGGGCTCGGGTGGCGATTGTGGTCATCAATGCTTGAGCACATAAACCGCTGGGTAACTGAATGTTATGGCTGCTTTTGTCAGGATTTTTGAATCCTCATAATTACAACAACAGCCGATTTTTAACTTTGCAGTGGTTGCAGCACTACTGAACTATATACTTTCATGAGCCGGAGATCATGAGGTATGGTCTCCTGCATGCTTCAAGGCGCAGTTATGAAGCTATTGAAAGCATGACTTGTTACACATTCTTCAACCTATCTAACATGTCAAAGAATAAAGGGATGTAAACATTCTTGTCACGTTTGATATGTCGTTACCCAGGTTTCTTAGCAAATACTTCGAAGTAAATTTTAATAATGTTGATAGGTCCGCCAGCCAACTCGTGTGGTATTAATTAGATCTTTCGCTGACGCAGGAATTGCTCAACTCTGGTTCCGTAGACCTTTCGGGATGCCTTTCGTACCAGCGCTTGAGGAACGCAGCCAGACTCCACAATTGCATTTAGCATGTAAATGTCGCCCGTCTTGGCCGCTCTCAGAAACTCGTCTTCGATTGCCAAGGCATAAATGGTCTCGGTCTTGCAGAGAAAACTGACTACCGCAGCACAGTTTGCTTGAACCGCAACGGCGAACGCGATATCGGAAACCATTGACGGAACCGTCCCTCTGGCATACAAAAACTGCATGACGTCCACACAGCAGCGTGCCGCTGCTGCTGGGATCACTTTGTACACTTCCGCAGTGGTGATGCAGCCTGTTGCGTACAGGAACTTCAGTACATCAACGGGGTCTGCAATGTACGAAGATGGTTGGCCGCCGTCCTTGGCTGCTTCCCCAAAGGCTTTAACAATCGTCGCAGGTGGAATATACTCCTTCGTATCCAGTAATTTTACCACGTCGAGATGGCCTCCACTTGCTGCAGCTGTGAAAGCCTTTCCAACCCAAACAGGCGATGGTTTAAATCCCTGAAGGGCATAAAGGTACCTCACCGCGTCGAATTTACCGCAACCTGCAGCAGCTTCGAGTACCTTGCCAATTTGTTCGTCGTCAATATGTCCTTTAGACTGCAGGAATTCCACGATATCCAACTGTCCATTTTCAGCAGCACCAACAAAAGCATCACCGAGTAAAGTTGCGCTGAATTTCCCGTAATCGTACAGCTTCTTTACAAGATCCAGAGATCCGAGCGAGTCAGCAGAAAGGAAGGCTTGCGTAAACGATGATACCTTGAATTTTTTGTTCGCAAACAAATAGTTTGCGGTCTCCATCGATCTTCCTTGAATCGCAACTAACAGCGGACAAGCAGCATGGTCAACATTCTCGCCATATTGAAATATACCATCTCCACAACGCTCATTCAAGAACTTTACAATGCCGAAATGGCCATGCTCGGACGCTAGAAGCATTGATACGTGCAGAAAGTAAATCTGGTCTTGCACGTCGAAGTCTGGCCTTGGGAAAACAAGTTTAATCACTTGAAGATGACCATACTCCGCTGCCCAAAGCAAGCGCCTGGTAACTGGAGCATGTCTGCATATGAGCTCGATGTCTCCTAGCTGGCCCGACAGGTAGCTTCTTCGAGCGCAGCCGTGGCTCTAGGGCGGAACAATTTCTTGATTGCCTGAGACCCCTCGGAGTTTTCGTACCAGCGCAAGAAAGCCGGCAATACCGCATTCGATCTTCCTCTTTTGCCTCCTACCACCACAAACCCACCAGCGATGGACCACGTGGATCGAATCGCGATGTCCATGAACTGCTGCGACTTCAAGAACCCCGTGTACAGCGAGTCCGACACCTACTTGATCAGAGAATTGAGGTAGAAGTGTCAATAGCACGTCCGTATTTCCAGTTGTAGCTGCCTCCATCACCTCCGCTTCGGTTGATACTGTGAACTCGTTGATGAGCCTCATAATGCTAGGTAGCACCCGGAGCTTCCATGGGAATAGCAGACCGTGGTCAGAGGTGTTGTTGCTTGAAGCCAAGTGGACGCTACTCTGGGTCATCTCGATGGTATCCCCGTTCTGTCTGAAGAAAAGCCCCACTTTACTTCGACGATAATGTGGAAGCCATGACTTTTTAAGAGCGCCACGTAAATTGCACCCACACTGGGCCAAACCCTTTACAGCGTAGACGTCATCCCTATCGACGGCTTTCAGTAAAACATTCTCGACCACCTCTACCGATATATCACCAGTTGAGATCACAGCAGCAACGGCGTCTGCAGTGTTATCGCGCACGGCAGTTTGCAACGCGTCTTCAACCATTTCCGACCAGATTAACCCAGTGCTGTACAAGAACTTGATTGCTCCAGCACTGCCACGGACCTTCGACTGTCTCCGAAGGAATACACCCTTTGTCGTACAAATACTCCAGTACTCGAGCTTGGTCTCCAGTAATGCCATTGATAGCTTCGGGGAGACATTTGTTCTCTAACACGCTGGTAAATGCTCTTATGATCAAGCCTGACGTGAAGCTCTTTTTACTTTCGAGGCTTCATCACTCGTTCGACCGTTCATCTCAGCTGCCGCTGCCGAACCGGCAACCACTTCCACCTATTTTTATGATTGATCTTTATAAGTAAATCGCTGAAACCAAGCGCTACTTCGTCGTAATTTGGCGTTTTGTAAACAATTACGGAAAGATATCGCTCCCTAAGGAAGTCATTAAAGCAACACTGACAACCAGGTCCACCAGCACCACTACAACCGTAATTTTACTACGTAAAAAAGGTCACATCGCTAATGTAAATTTCCCAGGCGTGAATTTCACGTTTGGAGGTTGCGAGCCAGTCGCTCCAATTTGGAGCGACTGGCTCGCAACAGCTCATAATAATATTATCAGAATCTACCGGGTTGCGCGCTCGTGCCCTCCCTGATGTGCGACCGTCTGCAGCGGCCTCCTGCTTAACCTTATTCTAATGTGTGCATGTCCTTCTGTGGTACTTATATACATGCGTGTACTATGCGGGAGCAAACGCCTTCCCAGTGCGTTTCGTTAGGTCCTAGTCAGCGATGCGTGTTGAATGCGATTCTTTTGAAGCAGTCGTACGCGCTTATAATGCGCCTCCAGCCAACAGCGCAACATCTCAGTTAGGTTAATGGGCGTGAGCCTCACTGCGCGCATTCATCGATCGCTAACACACGCAGATAAGGCGGGTGTTGCGTATGCGAGCGTTGCAACCACATATATTTTCCCCAAGACACCGAGACAAGTGTCCTACCAACTACTACAGTAATAGACTAGTGTCTTACAGTGCTATCTACGCGCAGCGCGCGTAGATATCGTAGAGCCCCCTCTCCCCCCGCTGTTGCACGTGGCGCGTAAACCATCACGCGCTTGCCGAGTCCGTGTCTCCAAGCGGCGGAATCTCGGGGCGGCATTGTACATGGGCGGCTTGGCCGCGTTGAGCCATGCAGAGTGCCTGCATCGCTGTCGTGGTGACGCGTGTCCACTACTGTAACATTGGTAAACCAAATATTCTGCTACGAGAGATACAGGTAAACTATTTGTGGGAAACGATCAGTGTTGCTGTCGGGCAACACTACGAGCCTGTCCATTGGTAGTGTAGGTCCGTCGACATGGATATCAGTGTTGCTTCAATCAGAGCCGCTCCCTAACCAGCCTCACAGTCCGCGTATAAACTGTGTGAGTGCCCGATTAGTGAGTAGATGAAGACGAATCATGTATTTGTTGTTGATTGGTTGCTCGGTTGAGTAGCAGTAGCTATTGCTACCTAGTTGTCCGATGTACTACCATCTTTTCTAGTCAGTCACACCTGGCAAATTCGAGAAGTTCAGATGTGGTCGCAAGAATCGGGCGTCTACTCGGCAGCCGTGTTGTCCAGGGCGAGACCGCTCTGGAAGAACTCCGTGAACTTGGCGAAAGGAATGAGGCCCGTGCGGTCGTACAGATCGACGTGACCGGCACCCGGTACCCAGTACAGCTCCTTGGGCTCAGCGGCAGAAGCGTACGCATCCTCGCTGAACTCGCGAGAGTGAGACAGGTCACCAGACACAAACAGCACCGGACGTGGCGAGATCGTGTCGATGTCGTTGAACGGGTAGAAGTTCACGAACCGCACAATACTCGACAGTGTCGAGTGCGTAGTCAAGGCCCGCGTCGATCCGGGAGGCGTGTACTCGCCACGCGACGTGCGGTAGAAGTCGTAGAACTCGCGTTGGATATCAGGAGTGTCAGCCGTAAGCTCGTGCACAGTGCCGCTAGTGTACTGAGCCTCTCCGCCGGCAGCCTCAACTGAGCGTTGTTGCGTCGCAGAAGCGATGGCGGCCTTGCGTTGCTCGACACTCTGTGTCTTCCTCAAACCATTGCGGCATGCGGCCCCCATGTCATACATGCTCACAGTTGCAACTGCCTTGATACGCGAGTCGATCTTGGCCGCACCGATGGCAAAGGATCCACTGCCGCAGATACCTAGCGCGCCGATGCGCTCCGGGTCGACGAAGTCCTGCAACGTGAGGTAGTCGACGGCAGCGCTGAAAGTCTCCACGTACATATCCGGCAAAACGGCGTTGCGAGGCTCGCCTTCGCTGCCACCCCAGAATGAGAGGTCGACCGACACAGTGACGAAGCCCTGCTCGGCCAGCTTGTTGGCGTAGAGGTTGGCGCTCTGCTCCTTCACAGCACCCATCGGGTGACCAACGACGATGGCAGGCGCACGGACGCCGGTGTCGAAATCCTGGGGGACGAAGAGGTTGGCGGCAATAGTCATTTTGAACTGGTTCTGGAACGTGATCGGCTGGGATGGCGCATTGTTACTGCGGTAGAAGTTGTTGGCTCCGGACATGTTTTGCGAGAAGGCTGGCTGAGTTCGGCAAGACGATGCGGATTGAAGCGCAAATTGCGAAGTGATTGCATACTACGTAGTAGCTTCCAGACTGACTGCTACATGTTCCCGCTGTTTCTCTTGCTTTTTGTATTCCCCAATCTTCGACTTCATAAACTTCGCCTTCATAAACTCGGACTTCATAAACTTCCCCCACCGTAATCACCCAAACGCCTTCGCATGACGTCCCCGGTGGGCGTGGAGTGTAAAGGCAATCGTCTGCCGACATCGATCAGCATGAACCTTGTTCGTCGGGTGTGGATGACGTAAATACTGCGGAGCGTAATTTACGGGGGGGTATTGCAGTAGGTGGATGATCGATCATGAATCTTCTCGCGCAAGTACAAGTGGCGCGCGCCTAGTCGATTTTGGCATTGGCATATTCCAGAGATTTATGAAAAGTCTTCTCCTTTTCGTTATTTCTTTTTCAGATATTGTCGTAACAAGACTTCCATCCGTCCGCTGACGCGCTTGCGCACAAACGCTTGTTCCAGCAGATTTTGCGAGACGCATCCGCATTCGAACAAGAACTCAACATCATAGATGCGTCCATAATGAACAGTGTTTAGAAAATACTTTTCGACTGCCGTGGGAGAAACAGCGCCGGTCTGGAGCAAGAACTTGAGTACACTGGCACTGTGCTGAACTGCTGCTCTCTCAAACGCCTCGTCAATCACAGACGGAGACACAGGCGCTTTGGCATACAGGTACTTGATCACATCGACGCACTGCTGCAAGAAAAACTTGGCTGATCTTCTCCGATGTAATGCAGCCGTTTCCGTACAAGAACTCCATCGCGTCAACTCGCCCGCCAACGACAGCCCCCGCGATAGTGTTAGTAGCTGCGCTTTCAAATGCCTCGATTATAATGTCGTGCGAAAGGGGCTCCTTCCCGTCCAAGAACTTCACAGAATCGAGACAACCATCACGAGCCGCGGCAACGAACGCTTAATTGGTAAAAGCAGTAGACATCTTGAACTCTACAGATACTCCATGGCGTCGATCTTGCCATTAATTGCCGCATTCATGAAAGTCTTATCAAAAGAAGTAGTGGTGCAGCCTCCATGTGCCTGTAGAAACACCATAATGTCCACTTTCCCCCCACCAGCAGCATATTCGAACGCCTCCCGTCCTTGTGGAATAGTTCGACAAGTTCCAGTGGCCCACGAGCAGCCACAACCACCTTCAACTCATCAAGGGGGTAATCTGCATATCCGCCGTTTGCGTACAAATACTTCGCGATCTCCACTTGGCCATGCATGATCGCACATGCAAGTGGTCTTTTATAAACGTCACGATCATTCTCGACTTCGAGCAGTTGGTGTCTGCATTTCTCGAATAAAAACTTGACGATCTCGAAATGTCCGTGGGAAGCTGCAATACCCATTGCCTCAGGAAGGCTCTCCTCCCAACAAGCATCGTACACGTCCTTGAGCACTCGCATACTTCCGTGCCTGGCAGCCCATCGAAGATGACCGACCATGTATGGGTCGTCAACGGACTGATAAATCTCCGCAGCAGCGTGGTCCCTTCCCAACTTCAGAGCCAAGTCAAGTCCGGCGGAGTAGTCGCAATCATAGCCTTCCAGAAGATCGCGAGTAATTGCGAGGTGGCCGCCTTCGATCGCCTTGGCCAGCGAGTCGCCGCATCCAGTCCTGAACTTTTCCTCCTTTCCTTCCTCGTCCTCAGGCGCCCACCAGGTATCCACAAGGTTGAAAACTTCCCAAAATCCATGCGTTGCTGCAGTTTTGATGATTGCACGCGCCACGTCGGCCATCTTGTGACGGAGGTGGGGTAGGAGCTTGCGCAGCCAGTCGATGTCGTTAGCGGCGGCAGCCTGCAGAGCCGCAGCTTCGGTTGACATGGCAAACTCGTCGATGCGCTTCATAATCTGCGGTTTTGCTTGGATCTCGGCAGGAAGTTGGGCGCCTTTCAGGTGTTTGTACTGGCGGTGGGCTTTGTCTGCGTCTCCTTCGGCCCGAGCCCGCTTCATCGTGCTCGAAAATCGAAAAATGACGATAGCCATGCAAATCAAAATATCACGGAAGCTGAGCGTATTGAGGAATTCGCACTTGGGCCACGGCGGCACTGCGTGTACGTAAAGACTTTGACTAGAGTCGGCAGTGTATCGTCAAGTACATCTTATTACGAGTTATGAAATGCAAAAACGTCCTCGCTGACGGTCAGTGCCAGACGCCGGCGCCGAGGCGAATCTCTCTACATAGTGTGGCTATCCTATCTATTTCAACCTACGCCTCGCAGCTTAGGTCGTAAGGTACTGGTCCAAGGACTCGCCCGAGATGTCCTCGATCTGCTTGATGACGCGGTGGCACGTCTTCTCCACCTCGTCGTTCGTGTCCTCCATGAGCTCGGCCAGGAAGGGGATGCTTTCGGGCAGCATCGCCAGGAACTCGTCACCGATCACCTGGTAGCACTTCTCCACCGTCACCAGCGCCGCGAGACGCACAGCGGCGTTGTCACCACGCGACTTCATGAGCACAGCGTAGTGGAGCGGCTTCCACAGGAGGTCGCTCTTGGCGGCCCAGGCCAGGTTCGCAAGGCACGGCGCCACGGTCTCCAACACAAACTCACGCATCGAGCTGTCGTACTGCAGCACGTCCAGCACATCCACCAGCGGGGTGAGCACAACGTCGAAGCGGTCCTTCTCCATAAAACCGTCGGTGTCGTGCACGAAGCAGCCATCCAACGCGCGCACCACGGTGCTCAGTTGCAGCGTGTTCAGCTCGCGCTCGGCCTTGGCATCAACGGTGGAGGCTGACGAGCCAAGCTTGGCCTTCTTCGTCGGCGGTTCCTCCTCGCTCGCGAAGAAGTCGTCGTCATCATCACTGTCGCTTTCCTCCGACGACCGAGGCGGCTTCTGCATCAATAACTTGCGGCTTTCGCGGAGCGCCGTCGTCAGGAACTCGAGCACGTGGGCGTAATAGGGAACGAAGATGCCACGCAGACGCTCCGACAGCTTCACAACCAGCTTGAAGAATGCAATCCGGCGCGAGATGTCACCAGACTTGCCAGAAGATCCGACACGCGTCTGTGCCCACTCGGCCAGCTTCAGGAACAGCGGCTTAAGCTGCTTCTCGCTCAGCTTTAGGATGAACTGCACCAAGCACTCCAGCACCTCGTCTTCAACCTCATCCAGGTCCTCCAACTTAGAAGCATGCACGCGGCGAGCGTCCAAAGCAGTGACGAAGAACCGAGCAAACGAGGGCAGGTGCTTGCGGATAGCAGGCAAGTCCAAATCATTCACGACCGTGCCCACCACCGAGAACAACCGCGTCACACTCGTGTCGCTCTGCAGGGTCAGCACGTGCTCGTACGCTCCAAACAGAGTCGGGAGCAACTGCCGCAGCTCGACGTGATTGCAAAGGTTTAGGAAGCAGCAGTCTACAGACATCAGCACTTGCACGTTGGAAGGAGCAGAAGACAGCACAGCCGGCGTCAGAAGAGCACGCACGACAGCAGGCAGGTAAGGTCCCAGGAACTGCGGGATCTTGTCGGTGAACACCTCCAACGCAGCCAACAAGCACTGCAAAACCGCCTTCGTGCCGCTAACGCTGTTGGCCGACGAACAGTACTCAATACCCTTCAACAGCCGCGGGAAAAACTTCGGCAAGAGCGGGAACACGACCGGGCCCACCGCGCGACAGATCGACGACAGGCACACGAACGCACAGCCGAACAGGTGCAGCGTCATTGGAGGCGCGTTGACGACGTCTTGGTCCACGTACTTCACAACAGTGGGAAGAATCTGCTGGAATCGCTTGGGGTGGCCATCAGCAAAGTTGCGGGCCAAAATGTCCACGCTCAGCAGGGCCGTCTGAATGTTCACGCTGTTCTCGGAGCCTTCCGCGTTCTGAAGAATGTTGTCCAGCTCGTCCAGCATGTCGATAAAGAGCAGCGCCTCACCCGAAGTAAGCGAATCCCGTTCCTCCTGCAGGCGTTCGTTGAACAGCTGCATCGCCTTCTTACGCACCAGGCTGTTGTCGTGGTGCAGGAGTTCACCGATGACAGCAACGAAACCGGGTGTGGACAAAAGCTGCTGAAGCGCGGTGAGAATCTCAATTGAGTCCGAAGCCAGCGTCGACCAGAAGCCGCTTTCATCGTCATGCAGAGACTGCTCTCGTGCCACGCGGCGGAAGTACAACAACACGAGCTGCGCCAGCATCAAATAACTGTGCTGCAGCACGTCGCCCTCTTCCTCCTCCTCGTCGGCCTGGTTGCGCTCGCTCTCATAGCTCAAAATCGTGTAGTGCAGCTCGCGCGCGCGCAGGTGTGCCGTCACAAACTTGACCAGAATTGAGTTGAACTGACGGCAGAGCCCATTCGAACTTGCCAACTGCTCATCAAGCACGAAGCGCTCGTACTCCACATCATCGTCGTCGTCCTCCATGTCATCCGTGTCGGTATCCGCATCTTCGACCACGTGAGGAAGCAGGTCACGCGCCATACGAAGAATCATTACCAAGCACGAGACTTGCTCAGAGCACGTGAAGCTGAAGCACAGGTTGTGTGCAAACTGCACACGCTCGCGTTGGGCGTCCGTGTCCTCCACGACAGCAGCGTGCTGCAACAGCGCTACAGCACAGTATGGCAGAAGTTCAGTGCCCAGCGATCCCACCACCACCTCAAACAAAGCTCCACGCTTGCTCTTCGGGATCTGGTTGAACGCACTCACGAACAGACCAATAAACCGCTGCGGTGTGATCAACGCATTGGTCTGGCGGTTCTTGGCCTCGACGATGTGCGGAACCACAGCCTTGATAATAGTCTCAAGCACATGGAAAGAGTACTCGTCTTCGTGACGAATAGAACCAGCACCAACAAAGCTGAGGATTTTATCCAGAGACGCCAGGACGCTAGCTGGGTGCAAGTTCACTAGCGAGCTAATGAACAGCAGCGCCTCATTGCGCGTCTGGGGGGATGAAGTGCGCGCCAAGCACGTCAGCGAGTGCTTCACAAGAAGCTCGGGCTTCACGTCCGTCACCACGTGCTTCGCAGTCTTCACCGGCCGACCATTCACTTGCTTAGAAGACGACGAGCTGACTTCACAAACGCGACGCAAACAGCTGAAAAGCACCTGAAGGATGTACTCCGAGACCACGCTCTCGTGCTTCGGCTCGCAAAACAGAGCAAGAACGTCACAAAGAGTAGTCAGCAGCTTGCTAATGTCAGCAGCCGGTTCCTCGCAACTTGACGGACTGTCCACCTTGATCGACAGTACTTCAAGAACGCAGCTCAGCTCAGCAAACTCCACTGTAGAATCAAGCTGTTCCTTGAGCAACCGCACAAAAATGTTGTAGCTGATTGGCAAGGCGTTGAGGCATTGGATCAACTTCGAAGCGACGGCCTCGTCGGCAGACATCAGAAGATGGAGAAGCTTGTCGACCACAATGTTGCGAGACACATCGTCAAGGGCCTCGTACAGCGTAGCGGACAGGTTCGTTACAACGAAGAGCTGCAGCGATTTCAAATGGGCAACCACCTCCTTGTCAGCTAGCAAGGTGGCCAGGACGGCATCCAAAAACGCCTTGGGCACTGAAGTCTTGCCTTGCTTCGTCGTCGTAATTGCAACGTCCACATCCAAGTAGTGCGCGAGAAACTCCGTCAGCAGCTTCGCGGTTTCACTATCAGCACCGGATTTCGAGCAACCAGCAAGCGCCTGCTGGAAGAAGTCCACAGATTGAAGCCAGAAGGACTGGGCTTTCACGGGCTTCAGTAATTCAAGAAGCTTCACTGCAATGGACATTTCATCGCTGCTTGCAGAAGATACGAAGTCCATAAGCAGCTGGTTGAAAGCAGCGCTTTCCGTCTGAACGCTGTAAGTGCCGCAGAGCGTAGCCACAGAGTTCGCGTCCATCGTCATGTCCTGCTTGGCTAGGAGGAAGAAGGAAGACGCGTTCTGAAGCACCTTCAGATCCTTCGATTCGGATTCACGAACAGCATCGCCACAGGACAGAACCCAACGATCTAGACAGCTGACCGCAGCTTGTCGCACGACCTTGCTCGAGTCCGATAGCGCCACGATCACCACTGGAATGGCATTGACAAGTTGCTGAAGCTCTTCGTCCGATTCAGAGTAGGAAAAGCCTTCAAGAACTGCAGAAATAATATCCAGCGATCGCGTCTTCGCCAACACGCTCAGCACATCAGTCGAAGAATCAGGCCTCGTGACAATGCGGGCCATAGTGGGCAACAATTGTGATTCCAGCTCCCCATGAAACAGCTCCAGCAGGCACTCTTGAATGCGAATAAATACGGGGGTCGGAGACTGCAGCAACGTAGCAACGCACGTGTCGAAATCGTAACGAGAAACAGCGTAAAGATCGGAAAGCACCTCTGACAGCTTCGAAGCAACGCGCACAGCTTGCGCAATTCGCTCTTCCGACGCTTTTTCTTCGCACAGCGACACAAATTCCTTTTTCAGCACAAACCGGAAAGACTGATCCAGCGATACCTGCTGTTCCTTCGCCTTCTTCGTCTTTGACTTTTTCGAAGCCAGCTGAGTACGGGCAGCAGAAAGCACCTCAATGAGGAAGTTTGTCATGGGAGTTTCGTTGAACTCGGACTTCTGCGACCATCGCAGACAGAACGGAAGCAAGCCCTTAACATTAGCTGCAAGCGCGTGACCGAAGCTTTCAGCCAAGTCGGCAACCGTTTTCTCGCCCTCCGTTGATACCTCGGAAGCGCCGACACCGAAAGGGTGGTTGAGCGCTGCGATCCAGGTCCAGACCGTGTCCACCGTAACGACAGCCTTCTTGTTGGAGTCCTCACCAGCCACGACGGAAACAAACAGGATCAGCAACTTTTCGTCAGCGTCCGTGGAGGCAGCCGTGTTACGGAAGTTCTTCAACGCGAAGTCAGCAATAGCTTCCACCACGGACGCCTCTCCACGAGAAGACCACTTGCGCAATGCCTGTACGATCGTGTCCAGCATCGTCTTCTTGGAGCTCAAGCTCAACATCAGGTCGCCCAGAGAGCTGGAAATCATAAATGCTGCAATTCGCTTGCTGTCGTCCAGGAATCGCCGCAGGAGAACATCACCACTCGTAAGAACCTGGTCATTCGTCTCGGAGTTGGCGTCATTCATCTTTGCCAACGATACCAAAGCCTGGTAGCGGATGTGCTCCGTCGGGTGGTCCAGTGCCAGAGCCAGGGACGTCTTAGCGTCTGTGTTTGATGGTACGAAGTGCGCCGAGTTGGCGACATTTTCAAACGTCTTCGTGAGGAACGCGTCCAGCTTCCTGTGCTTGTTTTTCTTGGCCAGCAGGCCGCTAACAACCGCGTCCACCTTGGTCGCGTTCTTCTTGCTCAGAGCAACAAGAGCCTGGGAAATCGCCTGCAAGCGCGGGTCGTCCATCTTGAATTTCTGCTCCTGCGCCTGCTCCACCAAGGTCTTAACCAGCTCTTCCGTGAAATTATCGAGCACCGAGACGCTCTCGATCAGCGTCGTCAGCAGACGGAAGCAGTCGTCTTCAGTCGACTTCATCTGTTGTGTCAAAAAGATCGCCAGCAACTGCACGAACTTGGCTGACTCGTAGCTGGCTGTGGCGTCGCGCAAAAAGTCCGCAGCGTTCTCCATGTGCACCAGGTGCTTGCCGGCGCTTTTGGACAGACGGAACGACGGCTGCGTCTGCGCCAGGAAGATCACGCACAGAAGCGCGTTCATCTGCGCGCCGGATTGCGCGTACTTGACGAGAGACTTAACCAGCGCGTCCACCACCTTATCCGTAAGCGTCGCCTTAGACGCGAGCTTGGTCACGATCATGTACGAGGACGACTGCAGCTCCGGGAAGTTTTCGCTCTTAAGCGCCGTGAGCAGCTGCGGGATGAGCCAGCGCAGCATCTTCTCCGTGACTTTGCTCTGCTCGAGCATCTGCAGCACCACGAGCGTGTAGAGCGACGTGAGCTTGGGGTTGCTGGCGCCGATGCGCGCGGCGGCCTGGAACACGAACTCGATGACGGACGACTCATCGATGGCGCGCTGCACGAGCGCGGCGCGCAGCAGCGGCGTGCCCTGCGTTTTGACGGGTAGCAGAAACTCCCAGCGGGTCTCGTGGATGTGAAGGATGCGCACCATGCGCACGAACCACGACGACTCGTGGTAGGCCACGATGGTGGCCATGACGGCGTCCACATTGTAGCGGTGCACCTCGTAGCGGCGCACGAGGAACTCGAGCACCTTGTGCGCGGCGCCCAGCAGGAAGTAGGCGCTGAGCGCGTCCAGCACCTTGTGCAGCGCGTCGTTGAGCTCCTGCTCGTCCGCCTTGGTGGTCTGCGCGCGGTGGAAGTGGATGCGCTGGCGGCTGAAGAGCTTGGCCACGCCGGCGTCGGCGTCCAGCTCCTCGAAGCGCGCGTCCAGCTGCTTGAGCTCCAGCAGCCCGTTCCACGCCAGGTTGTACACGGTCTCGTCGTCCAGGCGCGCCGCCTCGCGCTGGTCGTACAGGAACGTATCGGTGCGGCGCTTGCTGCCGGCGCCAGCCTCGCGGAGATGCTGCAGCTGACTCGCTAACGCGCTGGCCATGGCTGTCGGTCGGGAGCGAGAGTGAAGGTCTTTGCGCACTCGCCTGCAGTCAACCAACCAACGGGGCCTGTTTGATACTGCGGCGGTTGATGTCGTTTCACGCGCACAAGTGACTTGGGATCTGTATGCCGCAGGCGTTGACTGGGCGAATGACTGGCGAAGAGCGCAGGAGCCCAATTGAAGAGATCAATTCGCCACTTTTTGGGCTCGAACGAGGAAATGGGGGTATAAAATGGGTCAGGCTTTTTCTAAGCGTGGTGTGGCGCACACCTCGTTGAAGAACGACTCTGTTTGACAGATCAAACCGCGTCTCGGCACTTCCGGAACTGCATCATTGACCGTCGGACATGAAGGTTCCTGCGGCGACGCGCGGACGCCGTGCGATGGCGGCAGCGAGCAAGAGGCTCGCGGCCAGGGCCATGGGCTCGGCCACGCCCACCGCGGCGGCGTCGGGCTACCCGAGCTTCGTGAAGATCGTGGAGGTGGGGCCGCGCGACGGCCTGCAGAACGAGAAGACCATCATCTCGACGCAGGACAAGATCAAGCTCATCAACCTGCTGTCCGACACGGGTCTGTCCGCTATCGAGGCCACGTCGTTCGTGTCACCCAAGTGGGTTCCGCAGGTGAGGTTTTCTAGTTCATCCCTAATGGTAACAATATAAAATAGCATGCATGTGAGGCGAAGGTTGAGTGCGTGCGAGCTGATCATCATTAACGGAGCCGTGGTCCTACCATGCTACAGATGGCCGACAACTCGGACGTGTTGAAGGGCATTGCTCGCAGAGAGGGCGTGTCGTACCCAGTTTTGACGCCTAATATCAAGGTACGTTGGTGGTACCGCGAGGTGTACAGCTTCCGGACGCTAACTGAACGATATGCGTGCAGGGTTTCGACAGTGCTGTGGAGGCTGGAGCGAAAGAGGTGGCCATCTTTGGCGCGGCGTCCGAGGCGTTTAGCCAAAAGAACATCAACTGCTCGATCGAGGAGAGCTTGGAGCGCTTCCGCCCAGTCTGCGAGAAGGCGAGCGGACTCGGAATCCGTGTTCGTGGGTGAGTTCGAGTTTGGATGCCAACTGAGCATCAGTTCATAATTGCTAACGACCACGCAGATATGTGTCGTGCGTGCTAGGCTGTCCGTACCAAGGTCCCGTTGAACCCTCTGCTGTCGCTGTCGTTGCTCAGAAGATGCTCGAGATGGGCTGCTATGAGGTGTCGTTGGGCGACACCATTGGTGTTGGCAACCCGGGTAAGATTTCTGTTGCAATTTCCGGTGAAGCCTATTAGTTACTCAACAACTAACCACTCTCTATTCCTGCTATTATCAGCATCTACGTTGGCTATGTTGAAGGCTGCGAAGCAGGTCGTCCCTGTCGAGCGCCTCGCCGTGCACTTCCACGATACGTACGGGCAGGCGTTGTCGAACACCCTCATTGCGTTACAGGTAACAACCTTGTCGTAAACTTGCGTTTGACGTGCGCATTCAACTCACGACTGTGCCACGTTGCAGGAGGGCATTGCCGTGGTGGACAGCTCCGTCGCCGGTCTCGGTGGCTGCCCGTACGCTAGCGGGGCTTCCGGGAACGTGGCGACTGAGGACGTGCTCTACATGGTGCATGGCCTGGGCATCCAAACTGGCGCGGACCTGCACAAGGTGATGGCAGCGGGCGACTTCATCACGAACCTGCTTGGCCACCCCACCCAATCGAAGGTGGCGCGGGCGCTTGGCCCAAAGTCCAAGAACGCCAGGCTCTAACTACAGTTCCGTTGCTATCAACATGCGAGCCAAACCATTGCAGTAATCGCGCTGCGCTAGTTTTAACCAATCCAAATGCGTTAAATCAGCGTTCTACCAATCACAACCCTCATTTTTGCCATTTTTCTCTTTCAATCGGCGGTGCGTCGACGCTCCTGCCTGCGACCCAGCATGGGCAGCTCCAGTTCCAAGAACAAGCAGCAGTCGTCCTCGGGCGCGGCTGCCAGCAGCAGCAATGGAGCGAGCGGCGTGCGGGCGCAGATCACGTCCAAGGACAAGGCCATCCTCGACCTCAAGAACGCCCGCGACCGCCTCAAGAAGTACCAGGCGCGACTGGACATCGAGGCCAACCAGCTGCACGACAGCGCCAAGCGGCTGCTGCAGGCCGGCAAGAGAGTGCGTGCCGTGCTGGCTGCTCATAGGTTGTGGACGTGGTGGCGGTGGCTATTGGGCTGACGAATTAGAGTCTTGTGGCTCGCTTGATCTGTGTGCGTGCAGGACCGCGCGAAGCTGGCGTTGAAGCTCAAGAAGTACAAGGAACAGCAGATGCACCAGGCCGACGAGCACTTGATCCAGGTGCTGGGTATGCTGGACACGGTGGAGTGGGAGACGCAGCAGCTGCAGGTTTTCGAAGGGCTGAAGGCGGGCAATTCCATTTTGAACGCCATTCATAAGGTGGAGGACGATAGTTTTGGCTGCATGCGGGAAGCATTTGGGGTTTGGCAGTTGCTGACGAATGCAATGGCTCGTACGTGGCGCAGGAAATGACGGTGGAGGCGGTGGAGGAGCTCATGCTCGAGACTGAAGAAGCACAGGCAACGGCTAATGTACGTCTTGCGGCTGCAGTGGCGTTATTAGCACTCGAATTCAATCATTCAACGTGGTAACGCACCGTTTCAACAGGAAATCAGCAGGATCATCGGCGGCAACCTGACCGTCGAGGACGAGGACGCTGTGCTCAGCGAGCTCGCCGAGATCGAGAAGCTGGAAGCAGAGGCGCTGGCTGCAGCGATGCCCGCGGCCCCAACCGCTGCACTCGAATCAGGTACGGCGCTGATGCTTCTCAATGCGTCCCTGCTTGGCGGTAAGACTAACTTGAAGCACTTGTTCACCGCAGCGGACATTTCGGTCGACGTCACCGCAGCAACAACAGAGGAATCCACGAAGTCCAAGACCCGGGTCAAGAACAAGAAGGAGGCCGTAGCAATTCTAGGATGACTCACCGCTGCCTCGTAGATTGCCGTAGCCATCGCATGTGCAGTTTGTCAGTGCCTCCTTGAGCGGATACCTTGGGTCAACATCGTGGTGTGGGTAAAATTCACCCTCATATCATCACTTGATCTGCGACACACCAATTAGTGTGGTACAGCATACTCGGCCCAAGTCAAGTACACACCAACAACATTAGTAACTAAAAACCTGCTGGCACTCGAAAACGTATCAATCGCTTCGTCCTCATTCGCGTAGACCACCCGCCTGCTGGTGAGTCGCTCTACCGGAGCCAGCGTCTGCCCGCCCCGCTTCACCACCCCCATCGCCAGTCCATTACCGATCTTCGTGTCGGTCGGACGCGCTTTCACTCAACCGAGGGTACTCCGCTCCCTTCATGTTGTCCACGACCCCTACGGTCGCGATGGCCGCAACGCACGAGTGCGAGTTCTTCACGCCGTGGTGCGACCCCGCGTCGTTCTACCTGTACCTGGCCATGTCGCTGCTGCTGATCTGCGCTGCCGGTATGATGGCCGGACTCACCATGGGCCTCTTGTCGCTGGACATGCTCAACATGCGCATCCTCGAAATGGAGGGGTCCGAGGACGAGAAGAGGTACGCCAAGCAGGTGCTGCCCGTGCTGACCAAGCACCACTTGCTGCTGGTGACGCTGCTGATCGTGAACGCCAGCGCCAATGAAGCGCTCCCCATCTTCCTCAACAAGCTGGTGCCCGAGGCCGTCTCCATCCTGCTGTCCGTGACCTGTGTGCTGCTCTTCGGTGAGATCATCCCGTCCGCGGTGTTCACCGGCCCCAACCAGCTCAAGATCGCTGCAATGCTGTGCCCCTTTGTGAAGCTTCTGATGGCTATCACGTGCCCCATTTCGTATCCGATCAGCCGCGTGCTCGACATGTGGCTAGGAGACGACCACGACCCGGCCCAGTACAAGCGCAAGGAGATCAAGGCTTTGGTGACGCTGCAGCGTGAGAATGACGCGGCGCGCCGCTCGTTCGTTGATCACATCCGCCAATCGCAGCAACTGGAGGACACCCCGACGCACTCGCACACGGTCACTACGATGTCTGCAATTGGAGACAAGCAACCGTTGTTGACGCCGCACTCGCTGTACGAGGACTCGGCACAAGGAACGCGTCTGCATGTGGATGAAGTCACAATTATTCACGGCGCTTTGGATCTGGCTGCCAAGACTGTCACGGAGGTGATGATTCCCATGGAAGACGTGTACATGCTGGAGCTGGACACGGAGCTTTCACCTGACGTACTGGCCAGTGTACTGGCCTCGGGTCACAGCCGTATCCCGGTGTATGAAAAACACAAGTCGAATATTGTGGGTCTGCTGCTCGTGAAGAAGCTCATCGTGCTGGATCCAGATGACCGCCGTCCGATTCGCGATTTGATTCTGCGTAAGCCGATCATTGCTGGACCTAGGGAATCGTGTTACTCCATCTTGAACGAGTTCCAGAAAGGTCGATCGCACATTGCGCTAGTCACGGAGGATGTCGACGTGGTGTTGAAGTGTTGGAGCTTGGATGAGGAAATCCCTAACAGCGTCGTATTCCAGGGCATAGTGACTTTGGAGGATATTTTAGAGGAACTCATCCAGGAGGAAATTGAAGACGAGAGCGACGTGTACGTTCACGATATCGTGGACTACTGGCAGGCTCGCTATCGCAAGGTGGTCAAGGGCACTGGACCGGCTTTCGTGAAGAAACGTCTGCGTCTTCTTGCGGAACGTGCTCGTCGTCGTGTGAAAAGCCGTCACTCCAAAAAGGCCGCAGAAACAGCGACTGCCAGTTCCATGAGGGCCGCGGGTAAAGCTCAACTCGAAGCTCCTATAGAGATCAAGGTGGTGAGCGAGAAAACCCCTCTTCTGTAGGCACCACATGAGTAACTTGACCCAGAAATGGCGCGCTGAACGGCACGAGCTCTGACCAAGAGACTTCGTCAGTGACTGACTTCAATCTCCTCCCAACGTCCAGTGAGGTCTAGCTGTTCGCTGGTTAGCGTAGCTTCACCTGTCGTGCAGTGCAACTTCAACTTTGGGTCAAGTATGAATTTTTCAATACATTCCTCTTTCGGGGTATTTTGATTTGCATGGGCCATCGTCATTTTTGAATCTGACCGACATGGGCGACAACGATAGCCAGTGCAAACAACTTTAAGACGCAGTCACCCTCTTCGACCCAGGAGCGCTTCATGGTTCCTCGTGATTGTCAGATTCAAATGTGACGATAAGTGTCATGCAAATCAAAATACCCCGAAAGAGGAATGTATTGAGAAATTCATACTTGACCCAAAGTTGAAGTTGCACTGCACGACAGGTGAAGCTACGCTAACCAGCGAACAGCTAGACCTCACTGGACGTTGGGAGGAGATTGAAGTCAGTCACTGACGAAGTCTCTTGGTCAGAGCTCGTGCCGTTCAGCGCGCCATTTCTGGGTCAAAATGCTCCAGATGCAGGTTCCGTGGATGGTGCCATCCCGAGCTATAGCAGCGTTGCTACAGTAGTTAAGGGTAACGGTAATCAATTTGCCATACCCCCCAATTTGCCACATGCATCCGGGAGCACCTTGAAGAGCGCTCCAACATGCTAGATCTTCACGTCCTCGCGTCCTACCCGCGCATTGCTGCGTGCTACCCGCAGATTTCATCTACCCGCTCCTTGCCGCTTCTCATAAAAGTCTCTCATTCTCCTTTCGACCTCAGCGGCGACAAATCATCTCCCCACCTACACCGACATGGCTGTTACTCGACGCATCTCCCTCAAAAAGACCAAGGTCGCCAAGCCGAAGAAGACGTACAAGCAATGGACTGAAAGCGACCTCCTCAGAGCAATGACTGCTGTTAAGAATCACCAGCTCTCGCTGAATGGTGCCAAGCGTGTCTACGGTGTACCCATACGCACTATCAAGCGATACCTGGCTGGAACTCAGATCGACATTTAGATACGTGTTGGCTCACAATAGCCATATAAAAGCGCCCTTGATAATAGACACGTTTTCTTAGAGTTAATGGCTTCGTGAATATGCAACCGTTTGCCATGGTTGACACGTTAAACGAACGACGAAATACTCCGCTTTCGAATGCCACCAGTGGGACTTCATAATTCGCGATAGTTGCGGAGGTATAGTGTGATTTGTGACTTTTTGTGGCAAATTGAGCACCGTTACCCTTAGTCCGTCAAGTGCGCTGTTGATCAATGCGCGAACAGAAGTACGTCTTATTACGAGTTATGGAAGGCAAGAACGTCCTCGCTGGCCATCAGTGGCAGACGCCACAAAGAGTTTATGGAGATACAAAAGCATTCGTCGAGAAGCACCGGGTAGCTGCGACTTTGAAAGATAAGAATTCACTTCGCAATTCGCATTTTCAAAGCCAGATCGTCGCCTTAACACTTGCCGCACCTAGCCTCCTCGCCGACGTGCCCGGAGCGGACAACTTCTACACAGTGACAATGCGCCCTCCCCCATCCGATCACGTTCCAGAACCAGTTCAAGATGACTATCGCGGCCAATCTGTTCGTCCCCAAGGTTCTCGACACTAGCGTCCGTGCACCTGCCATTATCGTCGGCAACCCGATGGGCGCTGTGAAGGAGCAGAGCACCAACCTCTACGCCACCAAGTTGGCCGAGCAGGGCTTTGTCACGATATCGGTCGATCTCTCATGCTGGGGCGGGAGTGAGGGCGAGCCTCGCAACGCCTTCTCGCCGGATATGTAACTGTAGACTTTCAGCGCTGTCGTCGACTATCTCACGTTGCAGGACTTTATCGACCCTGAGCGTATCGGCGCGCTCGGAATTTGCGGTAGTGGCTCCTTTGCGATCAGCGCGTCCAAGATCGACCATCGCATCAAGGCGGTTGCAACGGGACATGGGTGCTGTAAACCGCGACGATTTGAGGAAGGCACAGAGTGTCGAGCAACGCAAGGCCGCCATCGCTTCTGCGACGCAACAATGCTCGCTTGAGGCCGCCGGTGGCGAGGTTCGGTACACTGCACGAACTCGCGGGAGACATACACGAGATCCAGCGCGAGTTCTACGACTTCTAGCGGGCGTCGTGCGGCGAGTGCACACCTCCGGGGTTTTCCCGTAACGTGGCAACGCACCCGACCCTCTCCAGCAATGTGAAGTCCATGAACTTCTACCCGTTCGACGACATCGACACGATCTCGTCGCGTCCGTTGCTGTTTGTGTCTGGTGACCAGGCTCACTCTCCCGAGTTTGGCAAAGATGCGTATGCGGGTGCGGCTGAGCCGAAGAAGCTCTACTGGGTGCCGGGTGCTGGTCATGTGGATCTCTACGTCCGTGTGGACCTCATCCCTTTCGCTAAGTTTGTGGTACTTTTCCAGCGCCGGCTTGCCTCGAACAACACGACTGCTCAGTAGGCTACTCCGTTTGTTGACCTTGCCTCGTCATTTTCGACAAGCATCATACGTGAGGAAGGCTGGTTATCAAGCAAGGAACCAAAATGCCATCGGCAGCTTAGACGCGTCTACCCATCTGCTTGAGCTCGATATCGATGATATCAATGGGAGATCGAATTTGCGTTTGTTTTCATTGCATTCGAACTCGTTTCGTTTCTAGGCGAGGTTCCATTTGAGTCATTTAGTTCTAGTATCCCCAACGTCCATCAAATGCCCGTCATTCAGCGCAGTTAAATCGCCGAACGCTGTGCTGGTTACATGAAGCACCAGCATATGTACGACTGTTACAGTGTACCCTCTTCAGTGGAGGCCCGGCAGTTTGCCTCCGTATCCGGATGTGTGTCTATCCAGTGATCAACATCCCCTTATTGCATTCGAACTCGAGATACATTTATTGGGGTTCCTCGATAATACAATCTAGTATATCGTGGACTATACTGAAGAGTTAGCGGCGGTAGCAACTTGCGTTGATACGGAGAACTTCCACTGGAGAAGTGCTACCAGGTGATCGGGAACGAGTTCCTGGCGATTCTGCCTGAAAGCATTCCACTGACCGACTGCGAGGACGTTTTGCATTTCATAACTCGTAATAAGATGTACTTGACGATACACTGCCGACTCTAGTCAAAGTCTTTACGTACACGCAGTGCCGCCGTGGCCCAAGTGCGAATTCCTCAATACGCTCAGCTTCCGTGATATTTTGATTTGCATGGCTATCGTCATTTTTCGATTTTCGAGCACGATGAAGCGGGCTCGGGCCGAAGGAGACGCAGACAAAGCCCACCGCCAGTACAAACACCTGAAAGGCGCCCAACTTCCTGCCGAGATCCAAGCAAAACCGCAGATTATGAAGCGCATCGACGAGTTTGCCATGTCAACCGAAGCTGCGGCTCTGCAGGCTGCCGCCGCTAATGACATCGACTGGCTGCGGAAGCTCCTACCCCACCTCCGTCACAAGATGGCCGACGTGGCGCGTGCAATCATCAAAACTGCAGCAACGCATGGATTTTGGGAAGTTTTCAACCTTGTGGATACCTGGTGGGCGCCTGAGGACGAGGAAGGAAAGGAGGAAAAGTTCAGGACTGGATGCGGCGACTCGCTGGCCAAGGCGATCGAAGGCGGCCACCTCGCAATTACTCGCGATCTTCTGGAAGGCTATGATTGCGACTACTCCGCCGGACTTGACTTGGCTCTGAAGTTGGGAAGGGACCACGCTGCTGCGGAGATTTATCAGTCCGTTGACGACCCATACATGGTCGGTCATCTTCGATGGGCTGCCAGGCACGGAAGTATGCGAGTACTCAAGTACGCGTACGAGGTTTGTCGGGATGTAAGCCTTTTTGAAGCAATGGGCACTGCAGCCTCCCGCGGGCATTTAGAGATCGTCGAGTTCTTACTCGAGAAGTGCAAGTATCAACTGCTCCGAGTTGAACGTGATCGTGACGCTTCTGAAAGCCCACTTGCCAAAGCGATCATGCATGGCCAGGTGGAGATCGGGAAGTATTTGTACGCATGCGGCGGATATGCTGATTGCTCCCTCGATGATGTGAAGGTAGTTGTGGCTGCTCGTGGGCCACTGGAACTTGTCGAACTATTCCACAAGGACGGACTATACGACGCGTCTTCTCTTTGCGAGGCGTTCGAATATGCTGGCGGTGGAGGGAAAGTCGACATCATGGAGTTTCTACAGACACACGGAGGCTGTACCATTACTTCTTTTGAAAAAGCGTTCATGAAGGCGGCAACCAACGGTAGGATTAACGCCATGGACTACCTGTTCTCTTTGGATGGACACACGGTCTCGACGACTTTTACCAATCAAGCGTTCGTTGCCGCGGCTCGTGATGGTTGTCTCGATTCTGTGAAGTTCTTGAACGGCAAGAAGCCCCGTACGCACGACGTAATTATCCAAACATTCGAAGCGCAGCTACTAACACTATCATGGGGGCTGTCGTTGGCGGGCGAGTTGACGTGATGGAGTTCTTGTACGGAAACGGCTGCATTACATCGGAGAAGGTCAACCAAGTTTTTGTTGCCGCAGCACACACTGGATGCGTCGATGTGCTCAAGTACCTGTACACCGAAGCACACGCTTCTCCATCTGTAGTTGATGCGGCATTTGAGAGAGCGGCCGACCATCACGTTGCCAGTGCCGTCGAGTTCTTGCTGGAGACCGGCGCTGTTTCTCCTGGGGCAGTCGAAAAGTTTTTTCGGAAGGCTATCCATGGTCAATGGATCTATGATGCATAGTTCATACTCAAATGTGGATGCATCTCGCAAAGTCTGCTCGAGCAAGCTTTACGCAAGAACATCAGTAGAGCGATGGAAGCCTTATTACGCCAGTATCTGAAGAAACAATAAATAAAAGATCCTATAAATCTACGCAGCATGATAGGATCCGCTGTAATAGTCGCGTACTGGAGGATGGAGGTTTCAGGCGACGTAAGTTAGATCCAATTTGTGCATGCACCTACGGTTCCTAACCTATGTACCTGCCGTAAATCACGTTCACGCTCAGCTATGTGCGTTCAACTTCAACGAGCAACCAGAGTCCTCATCGTGCGTCCTGGAGAGGGGCTCTTCCATAATGCGGCACTCAGCACTGTACGCGGGGCGCATCCATCCCAGAGCGCGTCAGTTTGGCTACGCAAGCAGGCCACCACTAGCGGAGCATCACGTTTTTTTGTGGTACTGTGGCTTCCTATTTGAGCTTAATTCCTGGCAGTTCTGCTCGAACAAGGTTGCTGCGCTTTGGCTGGGAGACCATTTGTCTACTTCGTATTCATTTAATCGTAGACGTGCAAGCTCTGCTTTGTTATTATCAGACCGATATTTTAGAAAAAAAACAGTTCAAATGCAACCCTCAGTGATGCCGATGATACCATGTTAACCCTCTACGCAAAGTGGACGCGTGTACCAATATGTAGGTGATGTTCGAATACAACTTGTGTATATTCTTCGGTGGCTGGTCCAATAGTGGGCGAACTGCCTGTGGAAGGGTTGGGAGTAAGCCAGAACTGCAGCTTTCGAAAAGCCTGCCATGAACGATTCTAGCAGTCGAAGACAGGCAGATGCTGCGGTTGCGAAGCAGGCGCAGGAGATGCACGTGGATAGCGGTTTAGCAGCACAAATATTGATCTAAGCTTAGTACAAATGTCGAGTCAAGAAGCACTGTTAGTTGATGCTAACTGCCAGCTACTGCGCCTGCTTCGCAGCCGCAGCATCTGGCAGGTAATCAGCGTAGCAGCGCACAGCGGTCGGTCGATTCAAACCTTTTCATAATTTACTTGGACAAGCGGAGCACACGTTCTCGAAATCACAAGCACAAAATAAGGCTTAGCAGAAAGCGTAATCCCGCTGTTTATTGTAGAACAAGTTCTCCACGTGGACCAGGGCCTAAGCAACATGAGCACAGCGAACGTACATGCTCCGCGGACAGGCTTCTAAAGGTCAGCGGTGCGTACTGCACATCAGAGTTCCAGCGGAATGGGGCCAATTCCAGCGGAATGGCCGATCCGCTGGCGCGTACTGCATGCAATTCTAGCGGAAATTCGAGCATATTCCAGCGGATTTCATCCGCCCGAATTCGGGCAGACAGCGGATTGATCCAGCGGATTGAACAGATGGCGCCTTTGCAAAGACATTTTTCGTTAGAGAGTGGGTGGACTCCATTCTCAACGCGTCTCTGTGGCTGCCCGGGGCATACCGCTTGCGGAGGCGATGGCAATGCCGAAGACAGCGAAGAGGGGTGTCGTGACACGGCGGCGGAGTTATCGAATGGAAGCTGTCGCCACTGTGGTAGGAAGGAAACCCGTCATCCAGGTCGACACTCTCACAGGGAGTTTGAGCCAAGTCCTACAGTAAACAGGGCACACGAGTTTGTCCCCTCTACAACTCAATATACGTTTGCTTCTGATGCACGCTCTGTTTACAATATTTGACAGTTTAAAATAGCAATCCGCTGGACAGCAAAATCGCGCACCACTTCTACAACACAAAACAGTGGATTGCTCGTTCCAGCGGGCGAGTCAGTTCCAGTGGATAGAGTCATCCGACGTTTTATCCTGGGCCAGCTTGCTGGTTTACCAGCCTCACAAACTTTAATTCGTCACGAATATATTCCCAGTTACAGGTAACGTTCAGGAAACATCGAAATCGCATTTATTGAGGCTTCAAAGACTTCTGAAGGAGCGAAATTTTTTTGGAAGTGTAAAAGTAAACAAGACTGCTGACTGGAATTTCATTTCGTACTAAATTACCTGCAGCGTTGCGTCAATTTACACTGAAAAATTGATTGAGATTTGCCGTCACGCTACAATTTTAATTGTACAATGTAGGCATTGAATTGTATTCTTGTGGTTTGTATAGGGGTCTGTATGGATCATTTAATTGGCTACCCACGCACATACAGTTATCAAGTCAACTGTCTTGTACAATACAATAAAATCTTTGCAGCCAATTTTCTAATTGTAATTGTTGACCCCAATTTTATCAATAGTTTTATTGCAATTTTTATTTACGCATATCTGTGTATGTGGCGAAGAGCTTAGCAAGAAAATAGGTCTGCGCCGCAGTGCTCCTTATAGCCCCACAGTGCCTCTTATAGCCCCACAGCGTGCCCGGTACACGCGCACATCTACCGACTTGGCCGCAGCAATATACTAACCAGCAACACACGAACCACAAAGTCCGTGACCCTGGGCCAAGGAGAAGGTAAAATTGCCTTTTTCCTACCCGTTGTTTCCTAGCACAAAATTCCCAAGCTGGAAAACTGGACAATGTGCAAATCTTGTTAGCCAGTCACATCGGTGGGGAATGCGTTAAAAAGGGCATAACCCCTTTGATCACAGTAATTACAGTCAAAATGTGTTGTTCAACCATGGTACCGCAAAAGTCTGATCGATTTGGCACCCTGAAAGATTTGGCACGGGTGACCTCGCCTGTATTAAGGGCTGACCAATCAGCGTGCATTTCTTTTCAACCGTGTTTTGTAACAATGTGGGTCACACTAATTATGTGCTTCCATAACTACTTCTGTGGCTGAGACCACAACAACAGGAGAAGAGCTCGCGGGGAAGCGCTTGGCGCAGGCCCAAAATATGAGGTTTCGACTTGCGCTCTCACAAACTCTCGTTCTTGTCAAGACCAGTCATACCGACTGGGATCGACGTACCACCCGCCAGGATGCAGAGACTGATGGGTTCGGTACGTCAAAGGGGGTGTTTGTGCCTGGGGCTTTCCTCCTCGTACCCACTGAGAGGTGCGTGATGTAGGTTTGGCTAAGAGACAATGAATCACTTCGGAATTTGCCTCACTCAACACACGTGTCTTCCTGTCTCCTCCCCTGCTCTTCACTACCTACAAGACTCTATTGACTTACAACTGCTGTTTGAAAACCTCGACATACACTACAGTTCACTCGTCGGTGTGTGTCTCGGAGCGCTTGAGCTGCTAGGTTATGAGCCCAAAGCTCAACACGGCAGAAGATAAGTAAACAACTACGGCAAAGAACAAGACTAAAGAGAGAGTGACGGAAGAGAGAGGATGGCGAACAACGGTGGCAACAACGTCCAAAACGTGCAGCCCCCGGCACCGGCCCTAGCGGTCACCAATCCAGTTCGTGGGAGCAGTAACCCCCCGCGTTTTGAAGGCACGTTTGAGCTTTTTCGTACCGAATTGGAGCTTTACCTGGGTGACCGCGAAGCCTGGGATGTGGTTACCGGAGCAGAGCAACGCCATGCTACCGACGCTGATTTGCAACGCCAGTTTGACCAACGGGACCGCGTGGCTCGGGCTACGATTCTTCGCGGTCTTCGCGGCACCCACAACGACGATGCAGCTAAGATTTGTGAGATGGCTACGGCTCACCATGTGGAATTCGCTGGTAGCGGATAAAACGCAGCACGAGTTTTCGTATGCTGTCTTACTTCGACGGCAACTGTACCAGAACACGCACACGGAAGGGCAGTCTATGGCTGACTATCTTGTTGGCATGACTCGCTTGCGTCAACAACTCCAGAGCATGAGCTCTGAGCACGCTATTTCGGATGAAGAAATGGCTCGCTTGTTGCTCATGGGGGTTTCGTTGACTCATCGAGAACTTGTTGAACAATTTGATTTGCCTACCCGCCAAGGTGACCCCCCACGCTGACTCAAGTGACCAACGCGCTGCGCTCACGAGATGAACGCGACCGGATGGAGCAACAAGTTGCGGCACGACACAATGGAGGCGCTGTCATGAATATGTTGGGGCAGACACGACAGCAGCAGGTTCAATTCAACGGCTGGCGCACCAGCACGAAGAAGCGGAAGTGTTTCCACTGCGGGAAGCCTGGCCATTTCAAGGGAGATTGCTGGCATCGCAAGACATCGTCGAAGAAGGCTCAACCAGGCCTGAAGGGAAACAAAGGAGGCGCCACCAAGGCGAAGCAAGTGATCAAGAAGGAGACTACCGGGAACGAGAAGTCGGGCGCGATTCAACACATGATGTGGCTAAACAGTGGCTTGTCGGACGCAACCACTCCAGGGCGCAATGACAGTAGCAGTGAGAGCAGCGACGATGATGGAAACATGTCGGTTCTCGGCATGGTGGCAAAGCAGAAACATTCGATCGATTCCAGCAAGTGGATGCTGGATTGCGGGAGCACGACCCACGTTTGTATCAACCGCGACCTGTTTTCCAGCAATAAGAAGTCCAAGGCTGTCTTCAAAGTTTGGACCGGGGCTGTTACTAAAGACGTGATGAGCAGTGCGGTTGCGGTCTTTACAGCTAACTCGCACGTCCGTGGGGAGAGCATACGACTGCAGCTGGAAGATGTCGAATATTCGCCTGGTGGATCTGTGAACCTTTTAAGTTTAGGACGAATGGAGAAATTAGGCTGGGTGCCTTCCTTCTCGAACCCGGGGGTGACTCCGCGCACATTTTGGCTAGCTCGCGGGCAAGAACGACTGGAATTCGTCGAAGAGGGTGATCATTATTGGCCGTACACTGTGGACCCTCCTATCGTTGGCGAAGCGGCGATAATGGCGGCGATCGACGCAGATGCCAGCCCTCTGATGCGATGGCATGAGCGTCTGGGGCATCTCAATGTATCCGCATGATGGACAAGGGCGTGGTCTCCGGCATGGACATTCCTGCACACTGGTTTAAGAAGAAGTTTGTGTGTCTGAGCTGTCTGTCTGCAAAGAAGAAGAGGATGTCATACAAGACCAGCGCTAGACACAAGCGGACCACGGTGAATTATGAGAGGCTCATGTCGGATGTTTGCGATATGGGCAAGTATTTGCCCGGTCTGACCGGCAACCGCTACTTCCAGTTGATTCAGGACGAAGGCTCTCGCTACGAATGGTGTTTTCCCCTCAAGTCCAAAGACGATGCCAACGGAAACACACTTCGTCTGATGTCTGAACGAATCGCGCAAGGCCATCGCATTAAAACGTTTTCCAGCGACCGTGGCGGTGAGTTCCTGAACACGGAGTTGAAGACCTTCCTTGCTCTCCATGGCATTCGACTCGTGCCAACCCATCCCTACACGCCTGAGGAAAACGCTTTGGTCGAAAAGCTCAACGGTGTGCTCGTAAACAAGGTGCGGGCGGCGATGCACGCGGCGAATCTACCTGACCAGCTATGGCCGGAGGTCTTGCAGTATATCGTGGACATTGACAACATGAGTGCCACCCGCGCTTTGAATAGCAGAACGCCATCGGAAAAGCTGCTGGGACAGAAACCTGATCTTCACAAGATTCGTGTCTGTGGATCTGTTGGTTTCATTCATGTGCCGAAGGAGAAGCGACGTACCAAGCTTAGCCCTAAGTCGGAGCCCGGACTGCTACTCGGATTCGCACGCCTGTCACCTGGATACAGGTTCCTGCACTTACGAACATGAGCAATCGTCGAGGCACATGACGTTATTTTTCGGGAGAATATCACAGCGAGCAAGAAGTATTTGAACGCGCTTCTGCATGACCAGCACAACCAGTACGAGCAGATCCCATTCGTGCCACTACCGGTTGAAAATGGGAAAACGTCAAAAGGTGTATGCGTTGGGAAAACGTTTGTCAATCGGTGTAGTGGTCGTGGGCGTCACGTCGCGTCATGTCTCATCATACACGTACTGACACACGTTTTGGTTGCCGCGGTATTTCGGCCGAGGTCGGGTCATACAGACCCAGGATCGAGCTTCCAAGCACAGTAACTTATTAACGACGCGCTCGTAGCGAACACGGTCAACTAATAATAGCATATAGAGCAACTGTACTCGACAACTTCGCTATTGTAGCTACAAGGAACTGCCAACGCAAACCGCAAGCGTATATAGCATGACTATACTAGGTAGGTTTTGCATCTGAATTTCGGAGGTGAAGGAGCTGTAGTGAGAGCCCCCAACCGGGGGAGAGAGTAGGTATTGTAGAACTGTGGCAACGCTGAGGCCTGGCTACAATGGATAACGACGTTCATTGTAGTCCCTCAGCCGTACAATTCGCTATCAAAGTCATGGACACCACGAACCAGGCTAGTTGCATCAGGTAGAAGCCTTCCTAACCCCGGGTTTTATGGATTTGGATCTAAGCCCACACACCAGTCACCGCATTCGTTGCTGATGCAGCTTTATCATGCACCTTTGTGCGCTTGGAACCACATACACATACTGTCATACCGACAACCTAGCATACATCTAATGACACAAGTTAACCGCTTTTGACAAAACGTTTCAAATTCATACACCTTTTGACGTTTTCCCGTTGAATATGTTGCCGAAGATGCTGTTCGTGAAGGTGCCAAACGCGAGATTGCGCGCAACCTTCCGAGTTCAGTGACTACAAGTCATGAAGGATTGGCAGCCGGTGAAGGCATGCCAGGTTCCGGGGGAGCGACATCGTCCAGCAGTGACGAGTCGGATGTGGAGGTGACCCACACTAACCGAGCGACTGGACATGGTGCGGTACCAGCACATGGGTCAGCTCGATCTCCCTCGTCAGGACGACGGCTGACACGTCGTCCACGTCGCGGTAATACGACTCCACCAGCGCCAACAAGGGCCCCTTCAACCCGGATTCGACGGCCAAATGTGAGGCTGAGTGACTCTCAGCTCATGGTTGGGGCGGAACCTGTCGTTAAAGAAGAAGCGCTGAGATCACCTCAAAGAGCGCAGTGGTTGCAGACTCTCAACGCAGAATTTGATGCTTTGATTCGGAACCAGACTTGGAAATTGGTGGAGAGACCGTCGTCGACACCAGGCAAGCTGGTCAAAGTGCTTACATCGCGATGGGTGGTCTCTCTGAAGCGAGATGAACATGGGAATATCATCCGATACAAAGCCCGGTTGGTGATCCACGATTTTAAGCAGCGCTATGGATTGGCGTATTGGGACACATACTCACCGGTTGTCTGGCTGATCACCATACTGTTGTTGCTGATGATCGCGCTGATTCTACTGCTAGAGACTCGTCATGTTGATTTTGACACGGCTTTCTTGAATAGCTGGATGCGCGGTGTTGTCATCTACATGGAACAGCCTGCCTATTTTGACGACGACACGGGCCGTGTGTGCCTATTGCAGAAAGGTCTTTACGGCCTCAAGCAAGCTGCGCGTCTCTGGTATCAAACCCTGCATGCGTTCCTCCTGAAACTCGGATTCAAACGCAGCACGTTCGATGTTGGACTTTACTACAAGCAGGTCAACGGACGGATTCTCCTGGTTGCAGTTTACGATGACGATATGCTGATCATCGGACAAACGAGCGACATCGACAAGCTGATTGCTGATCTCCAGGCAGAATTCTCTATTAAGGACCTGGGCCGTGTTCACCACTTCTTGGGCATGGAAGTTCACTATCAGCCTGGCGTCGTGCTGTGCCTTTCGCAAACGGCATATATTGACAAGTTGCTGAGGCGTTTTCAGATGACGGAGGCCCGAACAGTTCGCTCGCCGCAGATCATGAACGAGGAAGTATTGCCAATTGAAAAGGACCCGGCCAAGTTGAATGACCCATCGATCCCTTATCAAGCGTTGGTCGGTGCACTGCAGTATTTAGTGACGTGTACACGGCCGGATTTGGCAAATGCAGTCCGCAGCCTCAGCATGTAACGGGCCAGGTGTGTGTCCGTTACTAGCTTACACGTAGCGGTGAGGAAGCTTAGTTAAAACTCGGATTTAATGAGACCAAGCAGTCAGTCTTGGGTAAAATCAACTCTGTTTTATGTTAGGACCAGGGCGGCTACCCCTGGTCTCATGTGAGCCACTCAAATGCAGGTCAACGCCTGATTGGCTGAAATGGGGCTGGCTCCCCCAATTCAGCCAATGACGATGACCGTGAGTACACGCTAACCGTGTACTGACTTAACTACTTTATGTACTGTCAATCTACCTACTTATGTAACTGGGGCCCATTACATCACCCCCTCTCAAAGTTGCGCTTACGTTGCGTAAGCGCAAAAGACACATTTCCGAAAGAACACCCGAAGAACACCATGGACGACCGAGGCGGCGGAGGAACGGCGCTCGCGCTACCGAGCGACACAGGACGACGCAGGTGCAGCAAGTGTGCACACACCAAGACATCTCGTCGGCGCACACGCCGATGCAATGCGCAGTGCCCAAGTGGCTGCGGACATCCACGGACACCCGAAGGGACGGCGGACGTGGCAATGACGCAGCATGGGGAGCGACACCAACGCTTGACGACAAGCGCAACTGTGATGCGCACGGAGCGGAGACCCGGCGAGTGTCGAGACACAGGATGGCGATCAGCGTGGCGCGACTCTTCGAGACGACCCTTCGAAGTAACTCCCGACGAAGAGTCGCGTAATCGTCGACCCGAACCGACGTGGCAGCGAGACCAGCTTGGACACCTTCGACACCGGCGATCATTGGTGGTGCGGCGTAGTGGGCAAGCGCTCACCGAGCTGAGCTGTGACGTGTGGGTTCAATCCCCACGCGAATCCTTCTTGCCACTTGCCACGCGCAGTCGCTCCAAGCTTGACCAGGTCGCGAGCGTCGTCAAGGGGACTCGAAGCCCAGCTAGCGCAGGGGTCGAACGCTGCGCCACCAAGGCAGAGGTCACCGGTTCGAGTCCGGCGGTCGTCGTCGGATTTTCTTCTTAGTCTTCGCGGTGAACGCCACCGCGAGCTTCCGGTGGGGGTCCACTTCCATCATCATGCTCACTTAAGGCTTCAGCTTCCGCGGGGAGATCCGTGGTCTCTTCAGCAGCAGCGACCTTCGCCTCATAGTGACGAACAACATCGGGGGCATCCCGAAGAAGAGCTGCACGCGTCTCCCACGTGTCCTCGTCAGGTGGAAACCCAAGCCAGCGTACTCGGTAACGTCGCGCAGCCGGCACTGCGTGGCTGGCAAGACCACGCGGCCTCGTGCAGCAGGGGGATCTTCGTGTGCCACAAGCCGCTCGACAATCCAGCGAATCTCGCCCGCCGAGTCAACAATCGGTGGTGGCCCTTCACGGCGGTACGGCGCCGGATGGAGCGGGCGCGGAAGACATCGTGGCTGCTGTGAATCAGTCTTGGGACGCTCAGGCGGAAGCTGAGCGAGCGGACGCGCGTGTATGGCGTGCGGAGCAAGTGGCGACGCAGCTTCGACAGTCGAACCAGGAGTTGTTGACGCGCCTGCGGGGCTTGGAGAGGAGCGTCTATGGAACGGTGCAGACGGGAACTCGTCCGCGGGAGCGGGCGCCTGGCTCGGACGGATAGATGGCGCGCGAGGCACGTCGGGCGGGGCGACCGATGCATGTTCCACCGGGGGCTCCTGGTGGTCAGAGCTCGGGACCTCAGCAGGGTGGTAACGCTTGAGGCACCCGTCGTAAAACGTCGGGTGAAGACGCAGCGAGGTCGGGATGTCCAGCGTGTACGCGTCGCCGAAGGCCTTCAAGACCTTGAAGGGGCCAATGAAGCGTGGAGAGTGCTTGTTGGCGCCGAGGTTGGTCATGGCGGGGAGCGGATGCCTTCGGTAGACAGTAACACACGGTCACCCATGCGAAATGAATTTTTGTTTTTGCGCCCACGGTTGTCTGCATTTTCCTTCTGCTTGTCCACTGCAGCTTGCATTGCGTCCCGCACGAAACGTGTGATTGCCTGACGCTGATGCACAAACTCGGAGACCGCGGAGTGGTCTGCGGGACCCGCCAAGGACTTCGGTGCGTAGTTAGCGGGAATAGCCGGTTGCTGCTTTGTCGCTGGAGCGCCAGCGGGATCGATCAGAGTGCGCTCCGTCCAGTCTGCGAGCGGCGTCACCGCACTGCGCGGTGCAGCCAGGGCCTTCTTCACTTGGGATCGTGTCACTGCATTCGCGCTTGATTCGGTCACTGGTAAGCGTGGCGGCGCCGGTGATTCGACCGGCGACGACTCTGCCGGCGTCTTGGTCGGCGGTGAGTCTTCAGCGGCAGCTCCTCCCCCACCAAACGTAGAGACACGAGCCTCCGTGGGTTGGCCTACGGCAAGCATGGCGGGTACGCGCGGGTGGCGCGCGGAGTTCACGAAGAACGGAGTCATGCCCGTAGACGAGTGCTCGGCGTTGTTCAGAGCGAACTCGGTCAGGGGCAGGAAAGCGCTCCAGCTCGGGAACGACGTAGCGTAGCTGCGGAGCACGTCTTCGACGACGCGGTTGACGCGTTCGGTGTGTCCATCCGTCTCCGGGTGAGCCGCGGTGGACATCACCGGCTTCGTTTCAAGCAACTTGAACAGCTCCGTCCAAAACGCGGACGTGAACCTCAGATCCCGATCCGAGACGATGGAATCGGGCAGACCATGAAGGCGGAAGACGGCGTCGACGAAGTGGGCTGCGGACTCTTCCGCAGTAACCGTGGCAGCCACGGGAACGAGATGCACCATCTTGCTGAACCTGTCGACGAAAACGAGGACTCCCGTGCGCCCGTTTGAGTCGGGTGGAAGACCGAAGACGAAGTCCATCGAGACGGAGCGCCAGGCTTCCGTGGGGACCGGAAGGGGACGCATCGGAGCCTTCGATAACGGCGGGGGCTTTACTCGCTGGCAGATCTCGCAAGTGCGCACCCACTTGCGCACCCACTTGTACAAGTGGGGCCAGAAGAAGTCTCGCGCCACCGCCGCGAAGGTCTTCGTCATTCGGCACCACCACTCTCGGGGCATCGAATCGGTCGATGGTGTACGTCAGCAGGGAGCCATCAAGCCAATATCGCTCGACGTGGCTGCGGGTCGAGCGTGACAGAGCCTTCAATGTCGCTTCGCTTGGAGAGCGGAGGTGGGCCAGGATACTGGCGTACCGCGCGTCACGCTCGTACGCTGCGGCGATCTCGTCCCGAAGCGGCATCTTGGGGACGACGCTCGTCAGGTTCAACCCCGACGTCACACACGTCGCACACGCGTCTTCATCACCTTCGTCAGCTGCCTGGCGCTCGAGGCCTTCGCGTGGGTCGTAGTCTGGACGCCGAGACAGCGCGTCGGCGAGAATATTGTTCTTGCCAGGCTTGTAGTGCACCACGAAGTTGTACTCGGAGAAGAAAGACAGCCAGCGGGCCATGCGCTGGGACAAATGCGGGGATTTCATCGCAGTCCGCAGCGATGCATGGTCGGTGTAGACCGCAAACGTCTGCTCTCCGAGCAGGTAGACCCTGAACTTGACCAATGCGTAGCGCATGGCGAGGAGCTCCTTGTCGTGCTCTGGGTAGTTCCTCTCCGCCGGCTTGAGCTGGCGGGACTGGTAGCTCATCACCCGCTCACGACCCTCGTCGTCGAACTGCATCAGGGCACACCCGATGGCAAAGTCGCTCGCGTCGCAGACGACGTCGAATGACTTCGCATCGTCCGCGAGCATCAAAACAGGGGCGGATGACAGACTCCTCTTCACCGAGTCAAATGCGGCTTGGTGCTCTTCTCGCCACGACCACGTGGTGTCCTTCTTCAGCAGCGACGACAGTGGCTGGATTAACTTCGCGTAGTCCTTGGTGTACTTGTGCAAGTAGTTCGCCATGCCCAGCCACTGACGAAGCTCCGTGGGACGTGGGGGGTCGGCCAAGAGCAGATTGACTCAACCTTCTCAGGGTCGGCGCGGACTCCGTCCTTGCTCACGTAGCAGCCCAACACCGGGATCTCCGGTGCACAGAACACGCACTTCTTCAAGTTGGCGTAGAGATTGTTCTTCCTCATCACCTGGAAGACTTGCCGCAGGTGCTTCAGGTGGACTTCGACAGCACTGAGGTCACCTTCGGCGCGACTGTGCACGAAGATATCATCGAAGTAGCTAGGTGCGAAGTCACGGAGCGGGCGCAGCACATGGGAGACCAAGCGGTTAAACGTGGCCGGCGCGTTCTTCAGACCTTGGGGCATCACCAGCCACTCCCAGAGCATGCCGCTCGGAGTGCTTACCGCTGTGAGAGGTATGTCACACTCTCGCATGAGTATCTGGTAGAACCCATCGGTCAGATCGATGGCGCTGTAGATCACGCTTCCCGCCATAGAGTCCAGCACCATGTCCTTGCGCGGGATTGGCGTCTGCGCGGGTATGGCGCCACCCGCCCGTTGCCTTCTTGACGCAAAAGGTCGGGTTGGAGTGTGGCGAGATGCTTTCGCGCACGTGACCTGCCCGGCGGCGGCTCTCGAAGAAGTCGTTGATGGCCTTCACTTGGTCACGTGGAAGTGGCCACTGCCGCGTCACGCAGTACTTTGTCCCAGGCGCGAGGTCAATGTCGGCGCACGCCTCGGTCCGCCGGGAGCTCAGCGGGGATCTTGTCGGGGAAGATGTCCGCGTACTCGCGGGCAGTTTCGTACACGGGGTTACCGGACTCACGTAGAGCTTCCCAGGATTGCGCCGCGAAGCGCTCCTCGCGCGCTGACTTGGGCTCGGCGTGCTTGGGCCTCGACGGCGCATCCTCGACCTTGACCGCGTGCAGCGTATCCACCGGGACCGCCTCGTGATCATACACACTTGCTCGATCTCGCCTGCCTTCAGGTCTCGCAGGAGGTTCTTCCAGGAGAGTCCTGGGAGACGCGTGATTGTGTTGGCATCGCGAGGCGGACTCGCGACTTCGATGACGCGCGATCGTCGTGGAGCGCCCTCCACGTACTCGAGAGCGCACACCGACTCCTTCGGTGGGTTCTCAGTCGCGGACGGTTCTCGACGGGTCTTCAGGCGGCGTCGCTTGGACTTCTTCTTTCGCTTCGAGCGGGTGCTCGAAGAAGGCGCATCGCTCTCGCTCGACGATGATTCACCCCCCTCTAGGTGTTAGAGGCCACGCTCGATCACACCGGCGGTACGCGGCTGCATCACGCTCTCAGCCGCAACATCGCTGTGCGGGAGCGACTCATGCTGGACCGCCTGTTCAACTTGTGACGGGAACCCACGCTCGACCGCCGTCTGATTGTGCGACGGGAACCCACGCTCGACTTGTTCTCATTGTGTGGGAGCGCACCTCGCTCGACCACGCGTCCGTCATCGCGACCACGCGATGTCATCCGGACATCCTCATCATTCAACAGCACGGCACAGGCCATGCAGAGAGGGCCATCGCTCGCTCTGTGCACAACTTGCGTCGTGGCTGTCTTGTCCACGACGGTAACGTGAGGTCAGTCTCTTGGAGCCACCAAGAGGTGCGTGAACACTTCACGTACGTCGAAGCCGCGTCGACGCTTGACCGACCGAGCCAGCCAGTCAATCTCTGGCTGATACCGTGCAAGCCACGGGATACCCAGAATGCAGTCGAATGCGTAATTCATCTCAATCACCAGGAAGTCATCGTTGCTGCGGAAGCCGTCGAACGTGTACGGCAGCGACACCTCGCGTCGGGCGATGCGATGGGCCTTGCCATCCGCAAGCTTGACCTCCACCTCGCCCGGACCCTTCCGGACGCGAACGCTCGCAGGGAGCACCGACAGATACGACGCGCGGAAGAAGTTGTTCGTGGCTCCTGAGTCAAGGAGTGCGCGCAGTGGACGTCGGGCGCCGGCGACATGGAGGCTGACGATGATCAGCCTCGAGTCGCCACTCGTAGTGGTGGCATTAAACGTGCATAGAGCACGGGAGGGCTAGAAGGCCGGGTTGCCACCGGAGGACCCGGACCTTCGTTCCAACCAGTAGGGGGCCCCGCACCTACTGGCCCCGGCCGGTTTTTGGTTGAGCGGCCGGGCTAGCGTCGACATCGACGTGCGCGAGAACCGGAGCTGGCGCGCGGCACTCTGCTGCGCGATGTCCAATCTTCCGGCAGCGGAAGCAGGTCAGAGGACGAGCGCTCCGACCTCCTCCCCCACCATAAGCCGAGCGCCGTCGATCACCCGACGCCTCAATTGCGTCGATCTCCATGGGCTCGGGCGCGGACACCCGAGAAACGTCCGGCATAGCGCGCGCGTACGATTCCGCCACCACGTAGTCCTCGCGGAGCGCGAGAGCAAATGCCTCCTCGAGCGAGGAGGGTTCGGCTTGCGTGAGACAGTACCGTGTCATGCCTTCGCGCATCCCAAACACAAAGACATGCACCTGAGATGCCATGTCAATGGGGTGGGTGACAATGCACGACGCAAGGTGTCGTGTCTTCTGGGCATAGTCGCGCATGGACATCTTGCCTTGCTTGAGAGCGGAGAACTCTCCGCGAACGCGCGACTCGTCTTGGGGCGGCTCGAACGCGAGCCGGAGATCACTCTGGAGCGACTCCAGAGTAGGGGACGCGTTCTGGTCGACGACGAGCTTGCCGAGGACCCACTCCTTGGCCTTCCCGGACAACCGGGAGGGTAGGAAGTTGACCTTGGCCGCCGACGCTTCGATAATGCGCGAGGCGATAGCGATGTCGATCTCACGGAACCAGCGGTTCAGTGGAAGCCGATCGTCGCCCACGCCAGAGTAGGTGGACGTCTCCAGTTTGACGACATCGTTCCTGGAGGAGCGCGAGGGAGTTGTGACCCGCCGATTCGCGTCGGCGAGCTCGCGTTCCATGGATTCTTGGGCAGCTTGGCGCTGTTGTTCCGGCATCGCTGAGCTCAGCAGCGAAGTGACAACAGCCTCTCCGGACATCGCCGCGAGGCGATGGAGAGCTTCCCACTCAATGCGCGTGAGATGGGGGAAGGCACCGTGCTCCAGGGTTGCCCATGAAGGTCCGGACGTCAGGACTTGGCTCATCTTGGTTTTGGTCGTTGGAAGGACTACAAAGTGCTACCAGGTGTAACGGGCCAGGTGTGTGTCCGTTACTACAGTACCTTAAGTAATTAGTCTGGCCCAGACTAAATCTGAATACCAGATTTTTCATCGCTCACAATTTTTAGTCTGGCCGCAACAGTGACGGACTAATTATGAATAACTAAAAATGTCCGTTTTCCAGTATGAAAACCATTATTTTTGTGAAATGATGTGTTTATACGTATTTGTTTTAGTATTTTTATAGTGTAGCTATATATATATATTATCGTGGCTTTGAAGAGAAATCAAGACTAAATCGTCGCAGATGGTGCTTCTCTAATGGTTAGAGAAGGCTGATACATGGGTTGGATACCCAGGTATCTACTTCTCTGTCCCACGAAAGTATGGGTAGTTAGGTTTTTTGTGTACCACACAACGATATCATTGGTCATTTGACGTGGCTAGGGCAAAATTTGACTTTTGTCCAATGATAGCACACATGATTAGACAAAGCTCATTAATTTTATAGCGAGATATCTCGCTTATCAGGCTTTTCCACAAGCTGTAATTGGTCCACCAAGTTAACATTGGCAATAGGAACTCATCCTGAAATTGCGATGAATTATTGCAAATTTTTTATAGAATTATGAAACAAACATACGAAGGACTAAAATTGCTGGCAGATAAAGCGTTGTTCCTCCTTCAGTTCTCACAGATAATAGGCAGCAAAAATTTGGCGTTAGCGCCTGCCTCTAAGCTTCATGATAAGGCCTCACATGGCCAAAATTCTTAAGTAGAAGCAAAGATAGAGCACAATTTCGAAATCATCATACTTTCGTGAGACAGAGAAGTATTATATCTTGCAGATATTGTACGAGATCTAGTAAATTGGCTGCTGTCAAAGGAGTTTTTCAGCAAGCGGTGCCTTAAAGTAGGTGGGGGTGGACTAGAATCGTGGTCACCACGTCAGACTAATTATGAACATTTTTAGCCAGACTAATAATGAAGACGTCAATTTTTGCTCGACACGAATTAGTCTGGCCCAGACTAATTTTGAAGCCAGACTAATTTTGAGCCCAGACTAATTACTGTAGGCACTGTAGCTTACACGTAGCGGTGAGGAAGCTTAGTTAAAACTCGGATTTAATGAGACCAAGCAGTCAGTCTTGGGTAAAATCAACTCTGTTTTATGTTAGGACCAGGGCGGCTACCCCTGGTCTCATGTGAGCCACTCAAATGCAGGTCAACGCCTGATTGGCTGAAATGGGGCTGGCTCCCCCAATTCAGCCAATGACGATGACCGTGAGTACACGCTAACCGTGTACTGACTTAACTACTTTATGTACTGTCAATCTACCTACTTATGTAACTGGGACCCATTACACAGCAGATACTCCAGTAGCTACTCGAAAGAGAACTATGCCGCGGCTAAACGCGTCCTGCAGTATCTGAAGGCCACACGAACATTCGGACTGGTTTATCGCCTCCGTGATGCTGCACCACGCAGAGAATTGCAGCTGCAGGCATTCAGCGATGCTGATCACGCTAACAGCCCAGAAACTTCAAGGTCGGTGACTAGGTATGTCCTTCAGCTCAACGGCTTCAGTGTTGGATTCCGCAGCAAGATGCAGAGAAGTGTTACTGATGACACATGCAAGTCCGAGCTCGTTGCTGCCAGTATGTGTGTCGAAGATTTGCTGTGGGCGCGAAAACTGCTGATATTACTCAAGTTCGACCTCGACATTACGAGACTCCTAATGGATAACCAGAGCACTATCAAGGTGTGCTCGGACGCTGGCAATTTTGACGGCGTGAAACGCTACGCGAAAAAGAGCAGAAAGCTGGCGGAGCTCGTCGAAAGAAAGAAGCTGGTGATTGACTACACTTCAACATCCGATAACATAGCAGACATGTTTACCAAGGCGCAACAATTTGAGAAACTACGGGGGCTACTTGGTGTTGAAGACGTCGGCACAGCAGTCGCCGATAACCTTGCGGGCGGCGACGACGACATGAAGCCTGACACGGAAACGTAAGTTCCGGGGGAGTATGAGCCGAAGGCTCTGAACTCACGTTCCTGTCAGGTTACAAATTTGGACAAGGAGACGAGAGTTACGGGGGAGTATGAGGTTTCGACTTGCGCTCTCACAAACTCTCGTTCTTGTCAAGACCAGTCATACCGACTGGGATCGACGTACCACCCGCCAGGATGCAGAGACTGATGGGTTCGGTACGTCAAAGGGGGTGTTTGTGCCTGGGGCTTTCCTCCTCGTACCCACTGAGAGGTGCGTGATGTAGGTTGGGTGCAGGTTGGCTAAGAGACAATGAATCACTTCGGAATTTGCCTCACTCAACACACGTGCCTTCCTGTCTCCTCCCCTGCTCTTCACTACCTACAAGACTCTATTGACTTACAACTGCTGTTTGAAAACCTCGACATACACTACAGTTCACTCGTCGGTGTGTGTCTCGAACCGCGCTAGAGCTGCTAAAAAGAAAAGAACGGACAGGTCTCCGCAAACGAACTTGCATATTCACAGCTGGGGTAGTCTCTAGAGCGTGCATCGAGCGCTGAAAAATGCCGTACCGGTGTTGCCAAGCTTGCTGAGGTGGTGCTGGCGCAAATAGAGCGCTGCAAAGCGGCTTTGAAGGCTACTTTTAAACGGCGACATGACGCCCACGCCATTGACGTCGTCAAGGGGTGGACCACTGAGGTACAGCCGGAACGTAGACAGTTTAGACCTCTCTTCACGCCGCTCGCCTTTGATCCAGCCTCGGAGTTCTTCCTCTACACATGATGAGGAGGAGATGCGACCACTACCACCAACAGTCAGCTTCTTAGCACGTTTGTTTACTTCGACAGCTATCTTCACGGTATCATACTTTTCGACCAGTACTGCAGTGGAGAGCGAGAAAATTCGCAACTCGTGGGAAATGCCACCTTAGATGCACCAAACGAAGTAAAATCCTCCACTGTCTTGATCTTGAATTCGATGGTATGGGCTAGCTTGATGCGGTGCGGAGGCATTTTGCCAATGGTACCAGAATCTCCCGCCAAACGACTCTACCCTGTTTTGAAATGCACTCACGTCCAACCACCCCAATACGTCAATTCGATTGGCCAATCAGTGAGCACCTTCAATTTCTAAATTTTTTTGGCACCTTTCAAAACTGCTTTAGGGAGGGGTGCCAAATCTATCAGAGTTTTTGCGGTATTGTGGTACAGTATTACATGTACAGACAATCCTCTTTGGAGTGATATCCAGAATAGGGATACCCTCTGGTTAGCACTAATGGAGGCTCTCCCGATGACCTACGACATACAAATTTAAGTCAAAACATCCTCCAACCTCCGGATAGTGCTTAGGCCTAGTTCTAATCGCGTGCCATCCGTGCCATGCCATGCCATGTCATTTTTCATTGGCCGAGAGCTCCTCGGGTTTAGGTCACTGGTGCCATGAAAGTGCCATGCATGGCACGCTTTGGTGCCATGGCAATTGGTCGTGCCATGTGCCATAATGGGGAAATTGCTCGCGACGGGCGTCAGACTTCACTCTGCTGGTATATACTAGTTCATACACCTATTAGAAACCCATGTAACCCACTTTTGGCCGACGGGGTGCTAAAGTGTGCTTGTATATCACCAGTTCATCTTGCCATGGCGCAGGCCATTTCATTCGGAAACGGATTGCCATGCAAAATCGGTACCTAGCCCTATGGCATGGCATGGCACCATAGCGCGCGGTTAGAACTAGGCCTTAGTGATACGAGATTGGGTTTATCACTATCAAGAGACCGTTAACTATGATAATGCCCAATTCGTAAGCATGTCCGGAAGTTTAACCACAACATGGGTCGCTTGCGACCTTGAATGGACTTGGATTCTCCTAGTTCGCGGACATATTATTTTAATAAACTTCAAAGTTTTGCATGATGTGATTCTGGGACGTGCATTTATCGTTTTGGCCTGGGCGCTAGACTAGATTTCGCGTTGTAGCTACCTGTGCAGTCCTCCCAGTTCCATCTGAATAGTGCGCAGTGTCTCACCACCCTCACACCATAGTATTTGGGGCAAAGCCCCCCTATAATGAAACACACACTATACTTCTTACGCTGATTTACTACACCTTACACCTTTTTACAGCCATAAATAGGCACATAGAAAACGGATTAGGGGATACCATTATTATTCCCCGTCCGGAGGCGATTCGAGCGAAAACAACCTCTTTTTACGAACATAATGGTCAACTGACGGCCCTTTACAACAGTAAACCGTGAAAGATACATTTCATCAGCGATCTAACAATCATTAAAATGAGGGCAAATTTTTATGTAACCCAGGTGTCGACCCTTCGTATGACGCACCATGTGATTGCATGCATTATTGGGCTGTTAGGTAGGCTTTGTGGTCGATGATCGATGATAGGCACCCGGCTCTCCACATACGCATACCCTGATTTGCTGGGACGGCAAGTCTGATTTAATGAATTACGCCGTCAAATCAGACCAACCAGAATGGGCATGCCGTAAGAAGTCTGTAAAAACTCTTTGGTTACACTATTCTGACGTACTGATGCAGCCATTTGAGTTTAGTTAATATGTACGACCTCGTCTAGGACCCATTTCAATGCATTGGCAACTACACCGCAGATGAACAGGGTAAAAGTGTTACTGCCGCGGTAGCGGCCTACCAACGGAGGCAAGCGGTTGCGAGGTAGCGTAGCCACAGCAAACCCGCGCGGGGTGCCCGCGAAGCAGGGTCGCGCGGTATTTGCGGAGGCGGGCCCAGCGCCGAGCATTCCTGCGAGCCGAGGCCTGTACTTGACAACTCACACGCAACAGTGACGGCAGCCTGCCTGTCCTCGCCGAAGATCGTTAGCAGCCACTGCCTCATGGGTTCATTGGGTTCACTCGTAGTCGCTAGCCAGCTAGCAAGATGCCAGGACAATCTCAGTTCTCAATTTGCATAGCAGAGCTCACGTGGTTTTGCACTTTGAAAATTTTCAAACAAGCATCGACCTGGAACACCCGTCGGCCAACACTGCAACATGAGTCGCCTCGCGTCGAAGCCGAAGGACGACAAGGAGCGGTACGTGACGTACTCGATCGTAGTGCGCGCCGCTAACAAGGACAAAGGAATCGAAGAAGAGGTCGTCACGAAGAAGATGACCAAGTTTATCGACGGAGGGCCCAAGGACTTCCTGGAGTGGGTCTACAACTTCAACCAGCTTGCGAAGCTGAAGCCCTGGCTGGCCGAGGACAAGATCCTCAACACTACTATCCTACTCGAAGGCGATCTCCGCGATGCCTTTGAAGAGGCCGCCTTCTCCGACGACGACGTGCGGATGGACGAGGAATACACCGCCGCGCTCCGCAAGGCCTCCATCGTCGTGCTTCCCGTCGATGACAGCGAGAAGCTGCAAGAAGACCTCTGGGAGATTCGCAAGCCCCGCGACGAGTCGCTTGCCGAGTATAGCAAGAGGTTTCGCGCTCTCGCTCGCCAAGAAAACACGCTCGCTCGCCTCAACGGGACGTCTCCGATGTGCGAAGACGCTCTTTGCCGCTTGTACAAGCGCGGTCTCCCCTACGACTGGCAAAACAAGTACGATGCCAGCGGGCAAGTCTACACTACGGTGACCGCGCTCATACCCTTCTTCGAGCGAATCGAGCAAGGCGAGCGTCACCTACACCGCGCAGGTGCCCACAACCAGCGTGGGGACGGCAATGACAACTCACGCCACTCTGGAACCAGAAACAACAACGGCAACCGGCGCAGCAACAACAGCAGCAACAACAACCGCCAGCAGAATCAACGTGGCGGAAACCGCGGCTGTGGACAAGGCAACAACAACGGAAGTCAACACGGGAACGGCCACGTCAACAGCTCAAGCAACAACATGTACTGTACCTTCCATCGTACCACCACCTACAACACGCAGGACTGCCGCTCGCTTCGCGCAAACAATCGCCAAGAGGAACACCACCAAGCCGACCAGCTGCGCGGCTCCCGTCCTGCTCGAAACCGACAGCAAAACTAGCAGACTCGGGTGGAACAACGCAGTCAAGATCTCGGGCACTCAAGTGACGAAGAATACCTGTGCGTTGGGCTCCAAGCGAAGACCGGTCCGAAGCCGCCAGAGATGAGGGTGATGATCAAGTTGGAGAGTGGCAAGGAGCGCTACCGTGCCCTCCTGGGCAGCGGACGCTCCCGCAGTATTATCAGCTCGGAGTTTATGCACACACTGCAGCAGCAAGGTGCAGCCCTGGAGAACACCGATGTCTCGTTCGAGTTGGTCAAGGGGTCGACCCAAAGTCAGGGCGCCATGGTTGTCCGCTTTCGAATCCCGCAGCTCAAGCGCGACTCGATTATTATCCATCAGTTCGAGATTTTGCCGTCGCTAGCTGATGATATGATGACCTGATGGCCGCACTTGGGCTTGTGATTGATTTCGGAACGGGTCGTGTCACCTGGGACGGCAGCGAGATGATTTTTTGCATCGCAAGCAGCAGTTCCCCCCCGTTAGCGCCTATCGCGGCTTGTCCTGACTCAGCTAGTGGTGACGATGATGATGTTTGCGCTGGGGATGATGAATTTTTCGCCGGTGAGGAGACTACAGTGAAACCTCTGGATTTGCTTCCTGAATTTCTAGAACAAGCGCTACAGCACTGCTACTTGAAGCTTCTAGAGGAGTACGTCGATTTGTACAACGGGCGTCTTGGAAGAATCCGCCTCGACGATTACATTCTGCCTCTCCGTGCTGATTATAAGCCGGTGCACACCAAGCCGTACGCCGTACCACGACGGTGATCTTCCCTTTGTGATTGTGTATCTGGACGACATTCTCATCTTTCCGAGAATCCGGAGGATCATTTGGGACATCTGCGCATTGTGTTCGAGCGCCTGCGACAGTTCGACGTCACCCTGAACGCGAAGAAATGCCACATTCTCCGTGAGCAGGTTGATTACCTCGGATTCACGCTGACACCGGAAGGCATACATCCACAGGCCAAGAAAGTGGAGGCGAAACTGCAGATCGCAGAACCGCGAAGCAAGAAAGAACTGCGCCGCTTCCTCGGGATGATCGCTTATTACCGCGCGATTGTCCCCAATAAGTCTGCTTTAACCACGTCTAACCTCGAAGAACGTCCCTTTTGCCTGGACTCCAGAGTATTCGGCAGATTTTCAAGCTGTGAAAGCTGTTCTGGCGCGCAACGTGTGGCTCGCGTTTCCAGATTATCGTCGCAGGTTCCACGTATTTGCAGATGCAAGCGGGCGCCAAATTGGAGGCGTCATTGTGCAGGGCAAACGCATTCTGGCGTGCTTCTCGAGGGCCATGACGGAGACCCAGCGGAAGTACACCACAATGGAATGGGAGCTGCTTTCTGTCGTCGAAATCCTCAAAGAGTATCGTACAATGCTACTGGGGTTTCCTATGGTGCTGCATACGGATCCCAAAAAACCTGCTGTACCCGCGCGAAAACTCCCTTCGCGTTAAGCGCTGGAAGTTGCTGCTCGAAGAATATCGTCTGACTGTGGAGTAGGTGCCAGGAGCTCAAAACGTTGGTGCTGACGCTTTCTCTCGTCTTCAGTAAGATCACGTTAAGCAGGTGACCGAAGACGAGCTGTACGCTATCGAAGATGAAGCTCTACCTATCGACGGCACGGTGATGAAGAAACACCAGCTCGAGGACTCCACGTGCAAGTCGATCATCGAGCGACTGAAGCAGAACGGTGCAGATCCGGATTACGCGCTTCGCCCCGCGCTCGGAACGTTCTACTTCAATATCGGAAGCGCGTCATGGTCCCTGAGTCCCTGCGCCAGGATTTAATCGAGCTCTACCACGACAACTTGCTGTATCCGGGCGGTAAAAAACAGTTCCGCACCATGTCAACGTTTTGGTGGTCCAACATGGAGAAAGATGTGAGCGCGTTCGTCAAGAAGTGTATTGCCTGCAAACGTGCTAAGCTCCATGGTGGAAAGTAAAAGTACGGTCGAATTCCACCGACTCCTGCCACCAACAACGACAGCCCATTCGATGTTGTGCATGTCGACTTGGTCGGGCCATTTGAGGGAGAGCACTATTGCTTGACGGCTATTGAGCAGCAGTTCCGCTGGTTGGAGGTGATCATGCAGCCAGGCAAGACTTCAAAAACTACTGCAATCAGCTTCGAGCGTGCCTGGTTCTGCCGGTTCCCTCGCCTTAAATGTGTCATGCATGACCTGGGCCCTGAATTTACGGACGATGAGTTTCAGTTGCTACTCGCGTTCATGGCAATTAAGGACAAGCCGATCACGTCGAAGAACCCCCAGGCTAATGGTATATGCGAACGTGAATATTCTGCGGGTGAGACTTGATCTACATGACCAACTCGATGTGGCGTTGGACTACGCTGCATACACCATCCGGGCCAGTTATCACTCGGTCCTCCGAGCTTCGCCCGCACAATTGCTGTTCGGTGAAGATATGATCACTTGCGAGCTTAATTTTGCCAACTGGGGATTTCTCTCCAAGCAGCGCTTCATGGCCATCCTACAAGAAAATGAGCGCAAAAACATGAAAAGAATTCAGCACTTCTACAATGTCGGGGACCAAGTTATACTGCGAATCCCTGCTCACGGTCTCAAGAAAACTGATCCTGTCTCTAAGGGGCCATTCATCATCAAGGAGGTGTTCGACAATGGCAACGTCCGTCTCGACACCGGATCGACGGAGTACCGTGTCAACATCCGTCACATTTTCCCCTGCTGATCCTGCATTTGTTCCATTCCTGGCATGAGGGAGAATGATAACTCCCACGCAACCGTGACGCCAACCTGCCTGTCCTCGCCGAAGATCGTTAGCAGCCACTGCCTCATGGGTTCATTGGGTTCACTCGTAGCTTAGTAGTAGTCGCTAGCCAGCTAGTAGGATGCCAGGACAATCTCAGTTCTCAATTTGCATAGCAGAGCTCACGTGGTTTGGCATACTAACACGAATCAGAATGTTCTATCTCTATGGCGTGAGCGAAGCGAACAGCGGGGGCGCCGAAGGGGCGCACAGCCAAACGCAATGCGGCTGGTAATTGTGAATAATAGTGCTAAACCTGGCTGTAGATGGTCTGAACTTTTAGCATCTAGAAGTTGCGTTACGAACTATACAGTGTAACCTCAATTCACCAGTGAGATCTCTGCAATCTTAGACAGTCCAACAAGTACTATAACGCTCCTAACAATTATTTAAGTCATGGGAATCTTGCTGACTGTGCATTAGCCTTTCCTTCGTTGCGATATATCGTATCACACCTATAGATTCTAGATGAGGTTTCTAGATGAGGACATCTTAACTAAAGGGTTAACCCCCCAAAATCATATGCATCGAAATGAAACCACAATAACATTTATATGGAGCCTGACCGCCCGGCGTATAGAGTTCCCTGGTAAGCACCATATATCACTAAGTATCCTAAAGTTCACACCCAAAATACGTAGTGTCACGACCGACTGCTCACTCTGGTACCTAGCATGTTATAAGTGCTGTCCAAACGACATATATGTTAGGATCGAAGAATAACTAACTCATCTACATAAGACTTAGTTTTTTTCCACATCATCACAATTTAAAAAACAACGCTAAAAATGTATGTTTCTGTTTTCCAAATACCGTACCTCAACACACAAAGAATACTTTCGGTCTTTCTCATTTGACACTCAAATTACCGTTAAAAAGCTCTCAATTTCTTCAAAACTACTTTCTTCTTGGTAATATTTTGCAGTTATATGCGTCTTGATTGGCTAAAACTACGTTTCAATTTCAAAAGAATTGCCCCTTGAAATGGTTAACCATTCTTTCTGCGAGGTACGGTAGTATACTTGGATTAAATGTATACTTATTATTGGTAAAAAAAAAACTGAATGGGGGGCGGTGCTGCAGTTATTCAAATAATATTTTGTAGCATTGCCCCCTTAGCAACCCAGGCGACAAATCGCCGTGAGGATGCTGCCATACTAGTAGATATTATAATGCCCAGCGCAACAACAACTTGTATGTAGCGCTTTGACCACGTATCGAGTGCATTACAAGCTCACCACTTATCACTACCCTAGTACCTTGAACGATAATGTACCGCCAATATGGTACAGATCTAGATAGTGATGCCTCTGCATAGTGATAAAAAGTGGAGGCTATCACTACAAAGATGATCGTCTGTATTTTCCAATTTTGAGAGGTTCTAATTTGTAACCCTAACTCGTTCAAAGGCTTCGTACCCATCATATTCAATAAACTAGCTGAGCAGCTCGAGTCGAGTTGCTGGTGGGCTGACCTCTTACGTACAGTAAACTGTACATTTGACGACATCCTCAAAGCATCAGCCTAAGCTTATCAGCGCTACTTGTCACCGTTGTGTGTTTTGAAGTGCTTAGGTTTTACGCTGGGGCAACCATCCGAAAGCACAACGCTGCGTCGAACCTTATTTGCTCACGAATGAGCAGCATTCGTTGCTGACTCGAGCTAGGTTCGCAACAACTTGCAACAAAGCGCAACCTCGGTCAGGTTGGCTCCCTTGCTACCTGTGCATGCAGTTTTGATTAAGAGCAACAATTGTTTTGGTGTATGGCTGTGCTAGTAATGCCGCACTGCGATCAAGTAAGGCAGCTATTCTGTCCCCCAGCAGGTATTGAAAACCATCGCAGTAGTTTCTCTGGCTGGTTCGGTGCATATGATTATTACGGTATGTAGTAGATAGCTAGATCTTTTTACTACATATATGGTAAAGGTGCTATATAAATGGCAGAAGCTTACAGCTAGGCAGGTCACTCGAATACGTGTCATATTGCACTTAGAGTGATCAGCTGATAGCCGTGCACTCAATCTAGCTACCGAGCTTCGGATATGCAGCATGTCTGCCATCGCCCAGCACGCCTTCCTGCGCGGCATCAAAATTGCCAGCAGCTCCTACGCTGCATCAACTCGTGTAGTACACGACGTGTACACGTAGCAGTGTCAGTTTGGCAGCAATGCAACAATTCGTCATCGCATCTAAATCTTGCAGTTATTAATAGACGTTCCCGCCGAACACAAGCCCTTTGCTGAGGCAACAACACTCTCATGTGCGATATTGGATGAATGGGCTGCTGGGCGGCGGTTGTACGTACGGCAAGCTGCCCTTAAGCACTGATATCGCTGGCAGTGACTCGCTGTTGCTGCGCAATCGCCTTAAGGTCGCCACGGCAGAGTTCCAAAGGCGATCCTACGTGCTCATACCGCTGTGATACCGCGAGACGAAGGGGCGTCGTGCACTTATGTACCACTACTTTAAGGCCCTCCGATGACGATGCTCTTACTGAAAGTCTGTGAGGAGTCTCTTGGCGAGAGAGCGTTCTAATCACAGAGGAATATGGTCATTTCACTGAGCGTGGGGTCATTTTACAGAGCGTGGGGTCATTTTACAGAGCGTGGGGTCAAACTACAGACGGTAGTGCATAATCGCAGTGACAGCGATTGCTTCACAGAGCACGCTCCTGTTCGTGTAGCCTTCGGCACAGCGTAACCCGCGCAATTCTGCCGCAGAATTGCCGCACATTTACTATTGCAGACCAAATTTGTTTTGTAGAGGGATACACCCTACCGGAGGTAAAATACCAGACGCCCGATTTTGCTCAAAAAACGAAACGCCCAGATGTATTTATCAAAATTACTAAACTGAGCACTCTACCTCAAGTCTCTCAAGGCCGAATCTCACCAATGCGGCTGCCGACACAGCCCAACTTATTAGCTTGTTCGCCACCACCACCCCAACTTGAGATCGAAGCTCAGTAGAGCAAGCTTTGCGTTTGTTCCTGCCGCCGACAGAAGCACCCCCAGCAGCTATAGTGCTAAACGACGAGCCCATCTTAACACCACTACTTTTCTCTGTAGGTAGACCCGGAAAGAACGTATCTACAGTGAAACAAACATTACAGTGTAGTCTCAGGTGCTCGACAATAGCCTTCTTCATTGCAGCAGTGTAAAATGGTAGGGCCCGCGTCGTTCTTGACCTCCAGACAGGCGAGGGTGACTTGGTGGCGCCCGCGCCGTTGCAGAAATGATCGCGCGCTGAGCGGCCGAGAGTGCAAAAATTACTGGCTTGAAACTGGCGTATCCCTCAACAAGTCAAGCCCTGTCAATCTGAAGGCACAATTGTGATTGGCTAGTACTATCCTGTATCCTATAGGTGGGTGTATCCCTCTACAAAACAAATTCGGTATTATGGCCGGCTCAATGCCTGCGTACAGTGGGTGCTTCTTCTGGTGTGGCGCCCATGAGGGATCACTACAGCCCACCCCCGCTGCCTCCTACTTTCGAACTAGGCGCGCTATTAACGCATGTAGCTCGACCGAAAGGCGAGGTATTTAAGCAGGGGGGGCAGCTACGATATCGTCATGGGGGTCGGTAACGCGAAGCGGATGAAACAGGGCTACGTGTACATCACCTGCATAAATCTAGAATGTCATAGAGTGAAGTGAAATACCAGCTAGCAGCTACAGCTTGCAGTAGCACAGGCTGCGGTTGCCATGCCTCGAGTAGCGGCCCGATGGAGGGCGGAGCGTTGATCGGTACTAGTCAAAAAGAACACTTGCGCCGTGCGCTACAAGTCTCTCAACTATGTCGACGTGGCCGTTTACAGCTGGCCGTGGCCATTGAGCGCGTCGATAGCGGAGGTAGCACACACATCTCTCAGCCAGGTATGCTTGAGACTGCTTTCCGAGCTGGAAGCGCGGCAATGAAACACTCGAGTCCCCATGCGTTTTGCCGCTCTTATGGCAGGTCGATATAGGATCAAATAGTGGTGACTCATGCGGCAGACCGACTGGCGTTGCGTCCGGTGGAGCCCACGTTCAACACTTTGGCGCCATCGACGAAGTTTTCGGTAGGCTACGACGCAGGGAGTAGGATGCGCTATTATATATTATAAAATACTTCCTACACCTCAATGCATGAACTGCAGACTCCTCTGCCTCTTTAAGGCTGTAGCACGATCATGATCGACAGCTTTTATCTTGCGATGTAGCATGAAACTTCTGCTCCTAGCATTGTCTGGTCGCGAGGAGCATAGTTTTAGTGCAACGAGACGGCAGGTATTCATGCAGCAAGCGCACATCCCAAAATACCATATATCTACTCGATCACGGCATAATATCACATAGGAGAGAAAACACACACAGCACCCAGCAGAAACGGCTGGGTCTTTGCTCGTACAGTTCGCAAGTGCCGGTATTTCTGCCAGTAGAATTGCATTTGCTGCTGCCGGTATTGCCCTTATGTACATCTGCCAGCAGAATTGCATGTGGCATGGCCCGCGATGTACATCTGCCGGCAGAATTGCATGTGGCAAGGCCCGCGATGTAACAGGGTTACACGCACAAGTGGCTACAGTCACTTGTAACTCCAACAGACGTCGTGTCTGTTGGAGGTTCGAAAGGATTTCTCGAACTTGGTGTCGACACACCAAAGGCTACATACATTTACGATCATGGTCCATAGAGACTTAGGATTCCTATTGGCTGAAAGCAGCATCTTTTAGCCAAGGAGCGACATACATAGCATCTCATTTTAACCCCAAAACATTATTTGGATCGTTTATTTAGATTAACCCACCGGCGACCGCTCTTATCCCAATTTTGCAGGGATAAAATTAATATAGAAATTTGTATACTTGTGGGATAGGGTAAGAGAGGTCCCCAGCGGCCGGCGCCGACCCTTCGGGCTCCACCGACGTTCAGTCTCATTGGTCAGATCCACCCAATCAAAACTTGACTGAGGTCTTAATACTGAGCTGGTTGAAGACTACGCTGGGAAAAACCTTGGCGTAATTTGTCCTAAATATCGGGATATTTCCTTCTGTAGAGAATCCAAACCAGAATATTGTAAAATATGAGCGAATAGTTGTGATAATACTAACTTACCTTAACAGCGACCCCTCGCGATCCTGCCGATACTGCGGTGTCCAGGTTGCATCTGTAAGTTGTCGTGAAAGCGTGGCGGAGCGCCCTAGATAACGCAAGCAATCCGATCATCTAGAGCATTGCTGGGTCGCGCAGGCGGAGGGGGCACATGGCCGTTCAAATATAAGGATCTAGAACGAGTAGAAAGCGCTGCGTGGGCACCGCAGCTTGAAAATATGGTTAGCCACATTGAGCGCCATCATTATTAAGCATCATGTTTTGATTTATGCTCCCATGCGTGCTGATGAGGCATTGTGAGCAATACCGTCTAACCGCTGTTTGACTCAAACACAGGTTGGCACCTTCATGATACGTAGTTCCGACACAGGGAGGTGGTAATTCCCTAGCATCACGTTCATGTTTGAGCGGGCCGCAAAACCTGCCGAACCAAAGGCGACTAGCTAACTAAAAGGTGGATGAACTCGCTATACCACACCTCTGGTCTCTACGAGACTTACATGACAAGAATAATCAAGCCGAGACGCTGAGCGTCAATGGTCGCTTCTTTCAAGTGGCCAATCTACCGAAAGACAAAGAAGCACGTGCTTCCATTGTATTCGGTCTGGTCCTTATGAAGCGACGTTGATTGTGGCCACGTGGCTACATGTATTAGCTTTTGCATGTTCAACCACGTCAACGTTGCTTCGACGACTTGTCAACATCGACATGTTTGTATTGATCTGAGTATAGTGATTATCATGACAGCAGACATGTCGACATTGACATGTTTGACTAGACTTTTGTATAGATGTCGTTATGTCAAGATTGAGATATTTGTCTAGGTTGCAGTACACGGCAATGTCAACGGCTTCATATATTGCTCTGTTACTCTAATGTAAGCTCAAACTGTCATAAGCCCCGGTCGTTCGCTGAGCTACCCGGCTCGCCGGGAAGTATGGCAGGCTGTCGACGAGGGACTCGCAGGCGCGTTGGCATGCCCGGCTTGTGAGGGGCCGCGATCATGCTTTCCACACAGGGCTTCTAGTGAGGCGCACGCGCGCCGCCCATGCCAATGTTGTCGACCGCCGCGAGCGTGCAGTCCGTATCGGGTTTGGCCCGAACCGCAAGCGTACTGTCCAAGTTGGGATCAGCACGCAGTCAAGGTCGGGCATGGTCGGTGATCGTGAGCCTTGGGATGATCTCGAGCATGCCGTTCGCGCTGGGCTGGTCGAGGGGAGGGGGCAGACGGAGTCGCCGGTATGGCGTTGGTACCGGGCATCTCGGGGGACTCGATCGTGGCTTCCTTGCCAAGACTATCCGGAACAGCACAGGGGCCCACCGAACCGAGCTTGAGGAGGGCGCAGAGCATGCCGACCGTGCCGGGCGTGTCGGGGGTCAGCGAGCATGCCGTCCGTGCCAAGCGTGTCGGGGACCGCGGAAGGGTTGGCCGCGCCAGGCATGTCGGGGATCGCGGAAGGGTTGGCCTCGCCGAGCTTGTCGGGATCCGCGAGCATGTCGACCGTGTCGAGCATGTCAGGGGCTGCCGGTCTTGCGTCGTTGCAGGGCATGTCGGAGGCCGCGCGGGTGTCGTCCTTGCTGGGGCTACTGGGGGCCGTGAACGGGAAGGTCGAGTCGGGTTTGTCGGGCTCGGCGCGCGTGTCGTCCGTCGCGGGCGTGTCGGGTCGCGAGCGGGTCGTCCTTCCCGGGGTCCCGGGTAACCATGAACGGGATGGCGGGGTCAGGCATGGCGAGGGGCTCGGGCATGTCGTTGGTGTCGGGCATGCCGTCGGGCTCGGGCATGACGTCTGTGCCGATCTTGCCGGGGGCCGCGAACGTACTGCCCGCGTCGGCCTTGCCCGGTCCCGCGAGCATGCCGCCTCAGTAGACAGCAGCAACTTCGGGTTCGGCAGAGGTTGAATGAGAGGACGCCGGGGGCCGGGTGCGATCACGACATTGTAGGCGCTTGAGTGCTTGTCGGCGTTTTTAGAAACGAGCTTTCGATGCGGAGCGGCGGCGAGCTTTGGTTCCGATGATACGCTCACGAAGACGCGCCTCAATTCCGAACCCGGGGGAAATTTGTAAGCAAATCTATTGGCTATTTCAGGAGTAATTAGTGATCATTGGCGATATCGTTTGAATACTTGCGATGATTGGTGAAATTGCTTGATGGAAGCAGGAACCGCGCAAGCAGCATGGCGCGAAAGGTGACGAAGATGTGCACGTTGAAGTGATAGCGTGACGTGTATAGCGTAGCTTAAGTATGGAAGTCGGAAATGGCAGCAGTGCCACAAACTAGATTGTCCCGCATTGTGTTACGTTGCAGAAGTGCCCATTTTGGCGGCAGTGGCGGACACCGGTGGCACCAGATCACAGCCGCCGGCCGTCCTAGCTTTAGGATCGCGCTCAAAAGCGACTATAGGATGCAGTGAAACAATTCTAGGCTGTGGTGCGAGCCCGGGCCTCATCAGTGAGCTTCCAATTCCGCAATGAGCACTACGACCGCTATCTCTAGGACCAGGCTCTAGCAGCAAGTCATTCTACGCGACTCCTCGTAAGATCTCGTCCCGAACTCCATCCGTGAAACCACGCACGTGGCTGCCACTGTGTCGAGCACGACAAAAAGAAGTTGATGCCGCTGAGCTGGCGCAACTAGCAACAATCACGCTAAAACAGTAATAGTAAATGTAAGAAAATGCAAAACTACAGTAGTATATAGACTGCAGCCAAGTAATTTCACCACCGTTTCTAATGGCGACATGAAGTAACAAGAGACTAGCTGCAGTATCGCTTCTCTCAAGGTCCAGCTGAATGATCTTGCTGCTCGGTTTTCTCATGTACGTTGAATAGCACACCCCGAAACGATGCAGCAGCCGATATAGCCTGCAACTCCCGACAGATTTTATTTCGCGTGCTGGCCTCCAGCCTCTTCCAGCGATCAGTTAAAAACTGCTTGACAAACTCAGATGCCACCACAAGCGTATACAATCCGGGGCCTTCTGGGTTGGGTATGTAGTGACCAACGCCGTGGAGCACCACCTCAGCCTCTGTTCTGTTAAAAAAATTTACCAAGTTGTCGACATTTTCGAAATAGGACATAAATATCTCCATCTCTTTTTGCCGTGACTCGATGATGCTTTCAACTGTGGACAGGCATTCACGAGCAACACCACCAAAAGTCCGGTAGCGCTGCTCGACTTTATCCAGAACCGAAAGAGCCCCCTCCTCGTAATTCAAGAGGGTATCTGAGGTATCCATCGCCAGATCAAGTGCTTTCGCGGCAGTTTGGAGCTCCTCGAGATCCCACAGGGGCATGAATAGAGTTCGCTTGTGCGGGTTCTTCGCCATCATACGAAACCACGTCTCGTTTGGGCTCGTAAAGCACACCATTTGTGCAGTCTGAGGAGGGAAAATAGGAGGACCATCGTACAGGTAAATCAGCTTGCCTCCCTTGCCCACTTCTTTCTTCGTCTTCACAAGGAGAGCGTCCATCGCGGAATTCTCGTCCGCAGCGTCGCCAATCACTTGTCCGCCTTTCCACACGACCACATTCGTCCTGATTGATTGCGAGTCCGATCGAAGGAAAGAGGCTGTGATGATCGTGGTATCTTTATTCTTAGCGCTGTAGCGCTCAAGGAAGTATGCGTAGAAGACAGACTTGCCAATCCCTGTGCCAAACAAAGAATAATTCAGCTCAGTATACAGGCTCAGAACACAGTCGTTTAGAATCCAGTAGCCGTCTTACCTGGTGTCCCCGAGATCGTCACATACTTAACCTTCTTCACCTCAAGCAGGCGAATAACCAACTCGTAATACTCGGCGTAGCACTTGCGCACATAGTAGATTGGCTGCAGGCAATCGGACTCCATCGGCAGCCCCACGGAAACGTCCTGGTCGTGCTCTCCACCCACGCGGACGCAGATCCGGCGGCCTCCCCCTCAACCTCGACCTTACTAGCTTCAGCTGCGTCAAGTGCACTGCGAGCTGCGCCGGGTGCGGTTGCTCCTGGGTCAATCTTTTGTCGCTTGGGCTCCCTCGGATTCGTGGACATCTTGCGGCAAGATTCTTGGCAATGTGGAGCAAATTCCGATTTGCATTGACGGATTCCCCCGCCGAGGGAATCGACTCGAAAGTCCCTCGGCGAGGTCTCCGGGGACTGACATGGGGTCGCTCATCAGATTGAAGTGGGCCAATCACGGGGCAAACGTGAGGCTGCGACGCGCTCAGTATTGCGCGCTGCGAGCAACGACCTCTTCATGTCTGCCGGGCCCTGGACCCTCGGATCAAATCTCCTCGGCTACCGTAGAGCCGGCCACGCAGGCTCGTCACGCGCTGCTCCAGGCGTCAACTTCGACAAGCGTCGCTTCAGAAATGGCTGAAACTGAAGTTGCACCTGTAGACGCAAAGCTAAAGTGCGATCGGCGGCACTGCCGACAGCGGATCGCCGTCTCCACCGCCGCTGAGACCGGCGAATTTCGCCAGGCAGGTTGCCCCGCCCCCCGGGACGCCGGAACGTCGTGCAGCAGAGCTGACCGCCGGGCGCCCTGTTTAACTCCCGCGAAAAAGGACATTTCATCCATCATCAACATGAGGCGCAAGGTTTTGGGCACGCCCAAGAGCCCCGAAAATCGTCCGCAGCGGGCGCATCGACGGCATCAAAGCTGCAGTAGGTGTCCGAGGTTGCCACAATGCAGTATCCAAGCTGTCAACAGCGCCGCGTTGCCCCATGCCGCGTCGCGGGGCCCGACGCATTGCCACCTCAGATTGGCGAGCCAACTGCAAGTGGGATAGCCGCGGCGGTCGCTGTTAAATACGGTCCAGACCCCGTTCTATGCAGCTCGCGCGACATCGCGCCACCGACCCACTTCAACTGGTGGCAGCAGCGCCACATAACGCGAGCCATTCGGGGCCACGACGGTCGCGCGAAGGCGTGTCGTCCAGCGCCACACGTAGCCTTGTCGGCGGTCTCCGTCACTCGCGAATTCGCCGGCTCAAGCTCTAGCAAGACCCCTCCCTCGCCCTCCTAGTAGACCATGTTCGCCCGCGCCTCCCTCATCTCCGCCTCGACGCTGCGTCGCGCCTTCTCCACGGCCACCGGCCAGCAGAAGGTGGCCGTGCTGGGTGCCGCCGGCGGCATCGGCCAGCCCATGTCGCTGCTGCTCAAGGACTGCGACCACATCGGCCACCTGAGCCTCTTCGACGTGGTCAACACGCCCGGCGTGGCCGCCGACATCGGCCACATCAACACGCACGCCAAGGTGACGGGCCACGTGGGCATGGAGCAGGCCGGCGAGGCCCTCGAGGGCGCCGACGTCGTGGTGATCCCCGCCGGCGTGCCGCGCAAGCCCGGCATGACCCGTGACGACCTGTTCAACACGAACGCCGGCATCGTGCAGTCGCTGGCCGCCGCCGCCGCCGAGCACTGCCCCAACGCCATGATGCTCATCATCGCCAACCCCGTCAACTCGACGGTGCCCATCGTGGCCGAGACCTTCAAGAAGGCCGGCGTGTACGACCCCAAGCGCCTCTTCGGCGTCACGACGCTGGACGTGGTCCGCGCCGCCACATTCGTGGCCGAGAACCAGAAGTGGAACCCGCGCACCACCAACGTCAAGGTGATCGGCGGCCACGCCGGCACGACCATCCTGCCCCTGCTGTCGCAGCTCGAGGGCGCCAAGTTCTCGGAGGAGGACATTGCCAAGCTCACGCACCGCATCCAGTTCGGCGGCGACGAGGTCGTGCAGGCCAAGAACGGCACGGGCTCGGCCACGCTCTCCATGGCCTACGCCGGCGCCCGCTTCACCACGCGCCTCCTGGACGCCATGAACGGCGCCAAGGACGTCGTCGAGTGCTCGTACACGCAGAACGACGTGACCAAGCTGCCCTTCTTCTCGACGCCCGTGACGCTCGGCCCCAACGGTGTGGAGCAGGTGCACCACTTCGGCGAGCTCTCGGCCGTGGAGCAGGCCAACTTCGACGAGATGATCGTGGCCCTCGAGGCCCAGATCAAGAAGGGTGTGGACTTCGCCAAGAACAACTAAGTTGCTGGTCTAAAGGCTGGTTAGCTAGCTGCACCGAGGACGCTTTAGAGCCTCGATAACGCTAGCTCTATCAAACATGTAGCCTTGATATCTGTTTTTGCTCAAACCCGTCACCAACCATCTTTAATGTGAATTTGCATGGATGTGGGTAATGTGTAGCACCAAGTCGCTGTTGCTTACGCTGCCCCGACATCACTCTCAGCTTCACTGGAAGAAGTTAGTTTTAGCCACCTGCTTGACTCGACGCTGACCGCGATCTTCTGCTGCCTCGTCACAAGAAGCTGGAGCTGGCGGTTTCTTGCTCATGGCCTTCTGCTGCTTTCCTAGATCTTGAAGTAAGTCTTGTACTAGGCTGCAGTTGGCTTGTTTGAGTTGGCACGGCTGCATCGGTGGCGTCGGCGTCCAGCCCATCATCTTGTTTGTCGGTGCCATCGAAGTACTGTGAGCGGTGAAGCTTCACTGAGAACTCCACCGCTAACAGTCAGTCTGGGCCTTTGTCGCCGACTTCGTTTGCTACCTGTTCAGCCATAACATGTTCGAGGTAAACGACCTAAAGTTGCAGCTTTTGACTCAAACCTAAAAAATTGAGGTTGCCCTGGTGCCTACGCCCGTGAAGTTGACCAGCCGCTCTCAACTGCTTGGTAGCTGCAGCGCTGATACAGTCCCGAAACCTGCCGGCGGTGCCGATACCAATGAATCCCTGAGTCTCAAAAACAATTCTGGAGTTAATTAGGCTGGCACCGCCCAGGCTTCAAGCAGCAAGGCTCCGCTCCGCAAAAAGGTCACATTTTTTTCTTTTTCGTGTCGCTTTTGTTGAGCAATTTCTTGTTTTCTCTTTATTTTTGAAGATGAACAAGTTGTTTGAAAGTGCTTAGTATGTGTTGTATTGTAAACCTTGGGGCATCATCCACATTTTCGTTTCATACCTGTACATGCATTTTGAAGTGCAATCTTTTTTATGCAAAGAGCTCTCCGTGAGCCGGTTCAATCCGTTTGAGACGGTTCACAAACTTTTTCTGTTCGATGCAAGCGGGCCAAACGAATTGTATTTTTCCCTCGGGCAAATCGCTCCACGGCGCGAATAGTACACCGAATATCCCGGATCAGAGCGCTTACATCGGTCATTTCCGAGCACTAGCCAGATTATTCCACTACAGCCCGCAGCCGCCCTGATCGCTCGATTAAGCGAAGCGCTCGGTCACCCGCCACCCGATCGTCAATACAGTACTTCGACAAAGATCGAAATGAATGACATCCAATTAATCCACGACATGCCACTGTGGTTCTTTAGTATCATACGTCTGACTTCTGCAATTGAGACTACAGTTCATGCTATCCAGCACGAATTAAAATAATACACGAGGCATTCTACTGTACGGTTGCATTCGTTTCGAGGGTACAGTACTGCACATGCATACAGACAAGCAAACAAGGCACAGGCACCTGCACACGTTTGAGCCGGGGGTCCCATCCTAGGATCGCGGTACGCCGTGGAGGCCTTGAAGGCACGCGCCAACTAAAAGCTGGTGGAATGGATGCTACCGTTCCGCTGTGACAGGCGCTATCCACGATCAGATTTGCTACATGTATAACCATCGACTCGTACAAGTCCTGCGCCCTCCAGGAGATCCCGTCAGTTGACTGGGGCGGTGACAGCCACACAAAGGCTGTCGAGCTTGACTCCATCTCGCTCACAACCACTTTCTCCTCCTCGGTCTCATGTGGCACTCCACGCTCGTTCTCCTCCTCTTGATATGCGTCTGCGCGGCGCAGAGCGACTCGGACTCGTCCAGCGGGTCCGCTAACCCCGTCGACATGCTCTCCACGAGTGGCAGCACCGACGACGTGTACAACGTCTGCCCCGTTGTCGTCGGCTTCACCGAGGAGCAGGAGAACCTCTCGGACGAGGAGCTCAAGGCCAACGCCGCCGACGCCGCCATGTCCGCCTACCTGCTGAGCCACCCGAACAACACGCTGTGGGACTACTTCAAGATCGAGCACAAGCAGAAGAAGGAAATGAACAAGCGTCTGCCGCTCAAGCAGCGCATCAAGAACGCGATCAAGGGCGTCGTCGACTACACGGCCAACACGGTCATCGACCTGGCGCAGGACATCGCGGACGCTATCAAATGGATCGTGAACACTCTCCGCGACCCCCTCGTCGGAATCAAGCAAGTCACCACCTTCTTCAAGACGTTCGGCCATAACGTCAAGTCGCTCTGGACGCTCTTCAAGGAGGACCCCAAGGAGACGGCCGAGAACATGGGCGGCGGTCTGCTCCTGCATATCACGCACCACCCCGCTGAGTTCACTGCCGAGACGGTTCTTACGGTTAGCGCTGGTTTCGCCGTGATCGGTGGCCTCATGGCTGGTGTCGAGGCGGTCTTCGGCGGCATGAGCAACGTCATCTCCAACGTCCTCATGTCCGTCCTCATGTTCCTGCACGCCATCGACGACCCGATCTACATCGTCACGCCCCTTGTCAACTCCCTCGTCGACACCGCCGGCGCCATCAACACTAGAAGCAACTCGTCCTCCACGAACGCCACCTCTAATGTGCTTACCATCGACCCTATCAAGCCCTTGAAGGCCTGCAAGATCCCCAAGCAGTACCGCCCGGTGTTCTCCTCCCGCGACCTGTGTCTGAGCTCCCCCGCTCAGGTCCGCGAGCTCATCTTCGGCACGGCCAAGCGCGCGATCAAGATGTCCACCCAGGAGCGGATTGCCGCCTACAACCACTTCCACGACTTCGTATGCTGCTACCTGCAGGACCAGGAGTTCGAGGTGAACGCTCCGGAGATGGACTCGACCGCGTTCGAGGCCAAGCTCGTCGCGACGCCCGTCAAGATGCGCAACTGCACGCAGCTCTTTGCCAACTACAGCGACGAGACGGTGTGGAGGTTTTCCGGAAGCGCGAACCTTGACGATGATCTCGACGATGACTCCAACAACGAATAAATACGACTAGACATCGGTTAAGCAGAGCTAACAAATCCATATTTTTGAAAGTCACAAATCACGTAACTTTACGTTGACCCCGCCACCACCGTAAAGCTTTCAATAACGACCTCAAACTTTACGGAAGTTGCAGCATCCGTACATCTTCACGTGACAGCAGTAATTTTCGGCGAAAAAGATATCACGAAGGTAGGGAGGGGCCTGTGACGAAAATGTCGAAGGTGGGACACAAGGCGAGGCGGTTTGTCGGATTTGCTAAATAGTCAGAAGTGGTTTTCAAATTTGTACAAGCAAACGCAGTAGAGAGTGACATAGACCGATTCATAACCCCTCTTCCACATTGTTGAGAGCTGCCCTTTGGGTTTACTAAAAAAATCCACAAACATCTCTCTCACTGTAATCCACCGATGGTCGCAATTCGGGGCAATCCGGACAGATATTTCCGGGGGTATGGATACAGTCACAGCGCTATGCTTCAGAAATGAGCTCCTTTTGCTTCAAAAAGCGTAACACCCGACGAGGGAGCTCTTTCGAAGAGTGCTTGCGCCAAGCTTTGTCCAGCGACGTCTGGGCGTCGTCGTATCCGCAACTGGATGAAGGCTTTCTCGACCGACTTTGGACTGACAAGGTCAGTTTTGTAGAGAAACCGAACTACTTCAGCGCAGTTGTGCTTTGCCGCTTCTTGGAAGGCTTTGTTAACCAACTTGGGAGAGATCGACCCCTTGGAGTACAAGAGTTCCACAACGTCCAGACGACATCTAAGTGTTGCGTCGGAAAACCCCGCGTCAATGGCTTCGGGGGAGACTCCTCCCTTGTTTACCAAAAATTCCAATACCCGCACTTGGACATCGCGCCGTTCAGACAGAATTCCTGATTCAATTGCAGCGCACTCAAACGCGCTGTTTATCGCTCGACGAGAAATACCCCCTTTGCTGTCCAAATGCTTCAACATATCAAGTTGGAGGCTGCCAGCAGCGTTTTGAAAAGCTTCATCGAGAGAAGCAGCCGAAATCGTGTATCCCTCAATTGCACACAAGTATTCGAGAGCTTCCATTTGGGCACCGCTGACTGCCGATACAAAAGCCTCATCAATAGCAGCCTGCTCAAATTTCTGAAGCGACTGTAGATGCCTCACTATCTCGAGATGACCACCGCGGGCTGCCGATGCGAATGCTCTATCTAACGCAGCAGCATCGAAACCATGCTTGCCAAAGAACATTTCCACCAATTCCAGCGAGCCGGACCAAGCTGCAGCACAGAGTGCTGATATAAACGATGCGTCTTTGTATCCATTGTGCTCGTACAGGTAGTCGACGATATTCCGCTTCCCTTCCTCGATCGCAGTGACGAGGGGGCAGCGAAAGAGAAGGTCACATTCATATAGCTCTGCAAGTTCAGCGCCACACTCTTCCATCACGAACTTGACAATCTCCAGACACCCACGACCGGCCGCATCGATCATTGCTCTGAAGACATTCTCCATCTCGTCCTCGCCATGGAATTGATACACACACTGAAATACCTGGAGGTTGTCCTGCTCAACTGCCCAGTTGAAGAGCTCTCTTGGGTCTTCCGTCTTCTCACAGATCACCCCAATGATCTCCTTCTCCTCGCCCTTCACCGCCTCCTCCAACGCCTCCAACTCGTCGAAATCGTAAGGTGAATGCTTGCCATAATGGTTAAAATACCAGTCTTTGCCAAGTTCAAATTCCTCCCAACTTGCCAGCAGAACTTTGACTGCATCCACATGCCCTCCCCTCACGGCGTTCATCAACGCCTGCTTGCACATTTGCTGCGGCTTGTAGCCGGGTTTCACCCACCACTTGAAGATGGTTTTAATGGCCTCGTGGTGGCCGTGGGCAGCTGCGACGTCCGTGGCTGCACACCCGACGTGGTCCTTGTCCTGGCCGATTTGGGGCAAAAGCGTCCGCAGCCAGTCGATGTCATTGGAGGCCGCAGCTTCCACCGCCGCGTGCTCGGGGGTCGTGGAGAAGAGGTCGATGCGCTTCAAGACATGGGGGAGCGCCTGGATTCGGTGCGGGAACTTGGCCTCCTTCAGCCGCTTGAGCTGGCGAGCGTCGTAGTTGGCATCGCTGGAGTACCGAGGGCGCTTCATCTCGACTGCGAACTTTTGAGACTGACGAATGTATTTGCAATATTTGAGACGAGTGCATTCGCAATATTTCGATTTGCACAAATTGGAATATTAGATTAGCAGACGTGATTTTCTTTCGTTCTTGAATAGAATCTAAGAAAATCTACTTCAAGAATGCATAGCGCTCTATTTCTTCACGGTGCAGGACCACTTAGAAACTTGACACTCCTTGATCGCGAGTCGTTTCTAGCTCTCAGCAAAGAATTCTTGTGGTCTAGCCGGAACCTGCTACTTTTTCAGCGTCTGCTGCTTTTGCCTCAGAAAGTGGAAGACTCGTTCGGGAAGATCACGGGGCGATGTGAACTTACCCAACGCCTTGTCGAGCAGCGTATGGGGATCACATCTGCAACTGAGCAAACACTCCATGACGTAGAGATCTGCTCGCTTGGCAGCGCTGAAGAAAGCGTCCTCAAACGACTTTTGGGTAATTTTGCCGGTTTTGTAGAGGGACTCCACTACTTCGATACTGTTGTCTTCGGTCGCCTTATGGAATGCTGCTTCAACGGCTTCTGATGAAATGGATCCAGTAGACTATAAGAATTCTACAACTGCGGCACTGCAGTGGCCTCCTGCATACGGGAACAGCTCGTCGATCACCTCAGGATACACTTTCCCTTTGCCATGCAAGAACTTTAAAACGCGAACTTGGTCTTTGCCAGTGTCGCCCAATTTTGCGATGTCCTTCACGGCGTTTTCAAATGCTATGGTGACGACTTTACGAGAGAAACCTCCCTTGCCATCCAAGAACTTCAGCATTTCCAAGTGACAGCCGCCAGCTGCGCCTTCGAACCCTTCATCCAGCGAAGGAGCAGAAACTTGATGGCCTTCGATATTGTCCAGGTACTTGGCAGCGTCCAGTTGACCGTTGCTCGCCGCTTCCACAAACGCCTTGTCGGTGGCCTTACCATCGAATTCACGCTTCGCCTGGAGAAACGCCATGATCTCGAGTTGGTTTTTGCTAGCCGCAGATGCAAGCGCCTTTTCAAACCGGATTGGTCGAGATATACCTTCTCGTCGAACATCTTGACCAGCTCCAACGGCCCGTAGGCAGCTGCAGTGCAGAATGCTGGCACGTACGATATATCAAGACACCTATCGTGGGCGTACAGGTAGTCCACCATATCGCGCTGGCCCTGCTTGATCGCAAAAATGAGCGGGCACGAAAACTTTTTGTTCTCGTCAATGTGGTCGAGTAGCTCCTCACCGCAGCTCTCGAACACGAACTTGACGATATGCACGCACCCTCGAGACACCGCAATCAGCAGGGCTCGGGACAGATGATCCATATCTATCTCGTCGTGGAAATCGTACACGTCGTAAAAAACTTGAACATTGTCGTGCTCGGCTGCCCATATGAGCATTTCCCCCGGAATAGTGTTCTTTTCACAGATGACTCGAATGGTCTTGCGGTGGTTGTGCTTTGTCGCCAATTCTAACGCCTCCAGAACATCAAAGTCGTAAACCTGCTCCACGTGGAACTCCTCTTGATCGGTGGGCATGCCATCTAACTCCCGTTCGTACCAATCGGACAGTAAGGCTTTCACGGCCTTGTCATGTCCTGCTGTTGCTGCCTACGCGCGCGCTGGCTCGTAGCCGCCACTCACCCACCACCGGTAGATGGCTTTAATAGCCTCCGTATAGCCCTTTGCGGCTGCAATGTCAGTGCCATTGCACCCGACCTCGTCTCTGTCGCTGTCGACGTCCATTTGGTCCAGAAGTTCCTCTAGCCTCTTGTTGGCCGCAGCCTCCACCGCCGCTTGCTCGACGGTCATGGCGTACAGGTCGATGCGCTTCATGACGTGAGGCAGAGAGCGGATAGTGCGAGGTAGCTGTGCATCTTTCAGGCGCTTCTTCTGGCGGAGGGAGTAGTCGGGGGCGTTTCGTCGTCGTCGCGCGGGTGCTTCATCGCTGTCCAGTCCACAATTTGATGCTTATCGAAATGCATCAATAAAATTAGCAATAGAAATTATTGTCAATATTGGTGTCATATTCTCAAAAGCCAAACTAGATTTTCTGATAAATTTTACTGAGTATATTTACACACATATTGACAGTAAGTTGCTAATTTTATTGATGCATTTCGATAAGCATCAAATTGTGGACTGGACAGCGATGAAGCACCCGCGCGACGACGACGAAACGCCCCCGACTACTCCCTCCGCCAGAAGAAGCGCCTGAAAGATGCACAGCTACCTCGCACTATCCGCTCTCTGCCTCACGTCATGAAGCGCATCGACCTGTACGCCATGACCGTCGAGCAAGCGGCGGTGGAGGCTGCGGCCAACAAGAGGCTAGAGGAACTTCTGGACCAAATGGACGTCGACAGCGACAGAGACGAGGTCGGGTGCAATGGCACTGACATTGCAGCCGCAAAGGGCTATACGGAGGCTATTAAAGCCATCTACCGGTGGTGGGTGAGTGGCGGCTACGAGCCAGCGCGCGCGTAGGCAGCAACAGCAGGACATGACAAGGCCGTGAAAGCCTTACTGTCCGATTGGTACGAACGGGAGTTAGATGGCATGCCCACCGATCAAGAGGAGTTCCACGTGGAGCAGGTTTACGACTTTGATGTTCTGGAGGCGTTAGAATTGGCGACAAAGCACAACCACCGCAAGACCATTCGAGTCATCTGTGAAAAGAACACTATTCCGGGGGAAATGCTCATATGGGCAGCCGAGCACGACAATGTTCAAGTTTTTTACGACGTGTACGATTTCCACGACGAGATAGATATGGATCATCTGTCCCGAGCCCTGCTGATTGCGGTGTCTCGAGGGTGCGTGCATATCGTCAAGTTCGTGTTCGAGAGCTGCGGTGAGGAGCTACTCGACCACATTGACGAGAACAAAAAGTTTTCGTGCCCGCTCATTTTTGCGATCAAGCAGGGCCAGCGCGATATGGTGGACTACCTGTACGCCCACGATAGGTGTCTTGATATATCGTACGTGCCAGCATTCTGCACTGCAGCTGCCTACGGGCCGTTGGAGCTGGTCAAGATGTTCGACGAGAAGGTATATCTCGACCAATCCGGTTTGAAAAAGGCGCTTGCATCTGCGGCTAGCAAAAACCAACTCGAGATCATGGCGTTTCTCCAGGCGAAGCGTGAATTCGATGGTAAGGCCACCGACAAGGCGTTTGTGGAAGCGGCGAGCAACGGTCAACTGGACGCTGCCAAGTACCTGGACAATATCGAAGGCCATCAAGTTTCTGCTCCTTCGCTGGATGAAGGGTTCGAAGGCGCAGCTGGCGGCTGTCACTTGGAAATGCTGAAGTTCTTGGATGGCAAGGGAGGTTTCTCTCGTAAAGTCGTCACCATAGCATTTGAAAACGCCGTGAAGGACATCGCAAAATTGGGCGACACTGGCAAAGACCAAGTTCGCGTTTTAAAGTTCTTGCATGGCAAAGGGAAAGTGTATCCTGAGGTGATCGACGAGCTGTTCCCGTATGCAGGAGGCCACTGCAGTGCCGCAGTTGTAGAATTCTTATAGTCTACTGGATCCATTTCATCAGAAGCCGTTGAAGCAGCATTCCATAAGGCGACCGAAGACAACAGTATCGAAGTAGTGGAGTCCCTCTACAAAACCGGCAAAATTACCCAAAAGTCGTTTGAGGACGCTTTCTTCAGCGCTGCCAAGCGAGCAGATCTCTACGTCATGGAGTGTTTGCTCAGTTGCAGATGTGATCCCCATACGCTGCTCGACAAGGCGTTGGGTAAGTTCACATCGCCCCGTGATCTTCCCGAACGAGTCTTCCACTTTCTGAGGCAAAAGCAGCAGACGCTGAAAAAGTAGCAGGTTCCGGCTAGACCACAAGAATTCTTTGCTGAGAGCTAGAAACGACTCGCGATCAAGGAGTGTCAAGTTTCTAAGTGGTCCTGCACCGTGAAGAAATAGAGCGCTATGCATTCTTGAAGTAGATTTTCTTAGATTCTATTCAAGAACGAAAGAAAATCACGTCTGCTAATCTAATATTCCAATTTGTGCAAATCGAAATATTGCGAATGCACTCGTCTCAAATATTGCAAATACATTCGTCAGTCTCAAAAGTTCGCAGTCGAGATGAAGCGCCCTCGGTACTCCAGCGATGCCAACTACGACGCTCGCCAGCTCAAGCGGCTGAAGGAGGCCAAGTTCCCGCACCGAATCCAGGCGCTCCCCCATGTCTTGAAGCGCATCGACCTCTTCTCCACGACCCCCGAGCACGCGGCGGTGGAAGCTGCGGCCTCCAATGACATCGACTGGCTGCGGACGCTTTTGCCCCAAATCGGCCAGGACAAGGACCACGTCGGGTGTGCAGCCACGGACGTCGCAGCTGCCCACGGCCACCACGAGGCCATTAAAACCATCTTCAAGTGGTGGGTGAAACCCGGCTACAAGCCGCAGCAAATGTGCAAGCAGGCGTTGATGAACGCCGTGAGGGGAGGGCATGTGGATGCAGTCAAAGTTCTGCTGGCAAGTTGGGAGGAATTTGAACTTGGCAAAGACTGGTATTTTAACCATTATGGCAAGCATTCACCTTACGATTTCGACGAGTTGGAGGCGTTGGAGGAGGCGGTGAAGGGCGAGGAGAAGGAGATCATTGGGGTGATCTGTGAGAAGACGGAAGACCCAAGAGAGCTCTTCAACTGGGCAGTTGAGCAGGACAACCTCCAGGTATTTCAGTGTGTGTATCAATTCCATGGCGAGGACGAGATGGAGAATGTCTTCAGAGCAATGATCGATGCGGCCGGTCGTGGGTGTCTGGAGATTGTCAAGTTCGTGATGGAAGAGTGTGGCGCTGAACTTGCAGAGCTATATGAATGTGACCTTCTCTTTCGCTGCCCCCTCGTCACTGCGATCGAGGAAGGGAAGCGGAATATCGTCGACTACCTGTACGAGCACAATGGATACAAAGACGCATCGTTTATATCAGCACTCTGTGCTGCAGCTTGGTCCGGCTCGCTGGAATTGGTGGAAATGTTCTTTGGCAAGCATGGTTTCGATGCTGCTGCGTTAGATAGAGCATTCGCATCGGCAGCCCGCGGTGGTCATCTCGAGATAGTGAGGCATCTACAGTCGCTTCAGAAATTTGAGCAGGCTGCTATTGATGAGGCTTTTGTATCGGCAGTCAGCGGTGCCCAAATGGAAGCTCTCGAATACTTGTGTGCAATTGAGGGATACACGATTTCGGCTGCTTCTCTCGATGAAGCTTTTCAAAACGCTGCTGGCAGCCTCCAACTTGATATGTTGAAGCATTTGGACAGCAAAGGGGGTATTTCTCGTCGAGCGATAAACAGCGCGTTTGAGTGCGCTGCAATTGAATCAGGAATTCTGTCTGAACGGCGCGATGTCCAAGTGCGGGTATTGGAATTTTTGGTAAACAAGGGAGGAGTCTCCCCCGAAGCCATTGACGCGGGGTTTTCCGACGCAACACTTAGATGTCGTCTGGACGTTGTGGAACTCTTGTACTCCAAGGGGTCGATCTCTCCCAAGTTGGTTAACAAAGCCTTCCAAGAAGCGGCAAAGCACAACTGCGCTGAAGTAGTTCGGTTTCTCTACAAAACTGAACTTGTCAGTCCAAAGTCGGTCGAGAAAGCTTTCATCGATGCTGCTGACCGTAGCGATCTCTATGTGATGGAGTGCTTGTTCAGTTGCGGATACGACGACGCCCAGACGTTGTTGGACAAAGCTTGGCGCAAGCACTCTTCGAAAGAGCTCCCTCGTCGGGTGTTACGCTTTTTGAATCAGAAGCAGCAAAAGCTCGAAGCATAGCGATGCCGTTGTGGTGGGTGACTGTTGCGATCGAGTTTTATAGATTCAGTCGAAAGTAAGAAGTTACACGTAAATGTGAAAATACATTTCACCCTTTTATCATTTCCATTCTTGCATAGCAAAAAGAGACAAAACGCGTCATTCGGCAGCTTTCTTCCGCCTGAGGAATAACTGGACTATGCTGTGGTCATCATCATCAGGGGCTACGCGCAGAGCCCTTTCCAGTAATTCCTGCGACGTGCGCCCGCTATTGTACAAAGTCTCCACGAAGTAGATAGCGTTCTCCCCAGCAGCTTCGATGAATACTTCTTCGATCAACTCCGACGAAACTGCGCCGGTTTTACAGAGAAATTCCACTACGGGGGCGGAGTTTCCGCACCTTGCCTCTTCAAATGCTTCGTCCACCACGTCAGACGGCATCGGCCCTGTGTTGAACAAGAACTCGACCACCTCGGTGCTGCTGTAACTCGCGGCTTCTGGGAAAATCTCAGCTATGGCATCCATAGAGATCCATCCTTTCGAGTACAAATACTCCAGAACGCCAACGTGGTCGTCGCTGCTCACGTCTTTTAGCCCTTCATCTGTGGCTGCACTCTGAAACATCTTGACGCCCAGCTCTTCAGTGACATGTTCTTTGTTATCGAAGAACTTGACCACTTCGAGGTGACCACCACCACTCGCTAGGATAGCCGCTTCGTCGATGGCAGTCAAAGCCTCGTGTCCTTCAGACGCGTAAAGTTGCTCGACGATCCTTGTCTGTCCACACCCGGCAGTCCTCACGAAGGCCTCACTAACCACTGAGGCGTCGACGCCTTCTTTTGACCGAAAGAACTCCATGATTGCCGACTGGCCACCTCCAGCCGCAAGGACAAAACCCTTCTTGCGTAGACAAGCATCGCACCTTTCGTCGCTACACATGAGCTGTACGAGTTCAATGGGGCCGTGTGTAGCTGCAGCTGAAAAGATCATATCGAAGGCCGAGGCTAGGAATGCGTTGTTCGTGTACAGGTACTTCGCGATCTCCACCCTGCCTTCTTCTATAGCTCTTGTGAGTGGGCGTCCACCGACAGCGCCACTACGTTCCGGATACAGTTCCTCCCCATACTTTTCGATTAAAAATTGGACGATCGGTAGGTCTCCAGCTGAGGCCACAGCTAAGACGGCTTGATACACGTCCGGCAGATGTATGTCACCGTCCTGGTAATGAAACTCGTAGATGGCTTTTACGACTTCAAGCTGGCCGTTCTCGACTGCCCACGGAAGCGACTTCTTGCACTCAATAGCTTCACACACCAGTCGTACAATCTTGTGGTGATCATTATCCAATGCTTGCTTCAGCGCCTCCAGCGTAGGATCTCGGTATAGCGAAACCAAACACCTCATTGCATCGAGGGTGCCCACCAGCAGTAAAACTTGACCGGTTGCAGCGGCCTCCATCGCCGCTGTTTCGGCTGACATTGCGAACAAGTCAATGAGCTTCGTGACGTGAGGGAGAGCTTGAATGTCACGCGCAAACCACTCTGTCTTGACACACTTCAGCTGGTGGAAATCGTAGGCAGCAGTGTCATACACGTCCTTGGGCTCGGTCGTGCGTTTCTGGGCTGCAACTTGAGGACTGGACTTCCTCAGGTTCTGCCGAAGGAACCGCACAACTCGAACGTGGCCGGGTCTGATGCTCTTCGACTCGCGCGCCATCAGCTCCCGTGAAACATACCCGGAATTGTACAATCTCGCCACAATGTACGTCTCACCCTCGAGAATTGCTAATTTCAATAAGGAACGAACCGAGTGGTTCGAGAGTACTCCTGTGTTGCCAGAAATGTCGTCACGTCACTGCAATTATCTCCCACCGCGTGGGAAAACGCCGCCTCAACCACGTCTGGGGAGATGGAGCCCTTTGCATACAAGAGCTCGACGACTTCAACGCTACTGATCTGCGCGGCAGCCACAAAACAGCCTCGGATAAAGCTTGGAGAGATGCGTCCCGTAGCGTACAAGTACTTCACAACTCCTGCTTGATCGCTAACAGCGGTATGAGCCGTTACCGCTCTCGCAAACGCCTTCTCGGTCGCCTCCCGCGAGAGATTTTCCTTGGTATTCAAGATCTTGACCACTTCCAGGCGTCCTTTACCAGCTGCTTGAGCCAAGACTTCGTCTATCGGCGCAGTTGCAGGCTTAAATCCTTCGATAGAGTACAAATACCTCACCACGTCCGCTTTGCCAAACGATGCTGCCATCACCAGCGAATCACCGAGAGAGGCAGCATCGAAGTCTTCTTTCGACTGAAAGAACTTCATAATCTCAACTTGGCCGCCACCAGCAGCAAACTCAAAGGCCTCCGCCGACGCGCCAGCGTACACTCCACCGTCGTCCAAAAGCTTCACAGCTTCAAAGGGCCCATTGGTGGCCGCAGCTATGGACACCATTTCAAGCGAAGACGCCCTGTGTCCTTTGTTGGCGTAGAGGTATTTGACCATATCCATTCGACCTTTTTTGATCGCACATGCAAGAGGACAGTCGTTGTCGGCCACTTCTTCTGCATCATCACTCTCTCCGTCGTCTCCATCTTCCGTTTCTTCTTCGTCTTCCTGCTGTTCTTCTTCTGCGTCTGCATCATCATCGCTATCACCCGTTCTATTCTCCTCCTTCTTCTCTGCTGCCTTTCCCCCTTTGCCGCCTCGAAATACTACATCCCCGTACGTCTCGTTCAAGTACTGACGATTTCGAAATGTCCGAAGTCGGCCGCCATGGCCATCGCTTTGTACAAAGTACTCCTCCCCTTGTGCGCATCGAAATCTGGCTGTCCGAAAACAATTAATCAGGCGTTTCTGTTTCGGGGTAACGCAGTCCCACCACTCGTAGACTGCGGTGATAACATCCGAGTGGCCGTGAGTGGCGGCGATTTCTGTGAGTTTCTGCGCTGTTTCGTTCATTTTATCGCGAAATTGTGGATAACTCAAAATTTGTTGCAGCCGCTGGACCTGGTTCGTGGCTGCTGCCTCTTGCAAGGCCTCCTCGGGGGACATGGCGAACTGCTCGACGAGGTTCCGAACCGTGGGCTGTTGCTGGACCTCTTGTGGCAAAGGCACCGGCTTCAGTCGCTTGCGCGGGGACAACGCAGCAGGCGGACCCGTGCCATCTTCGCGCCGATTGTGCTTCATGGCGAAAATATTTTGAGTGGCGATGAAAAATATGCGCCCTCCGTTAGAAATGGAGTTGTTCGTGCTTAGAAATAGACCGAACTGAGCTCTCAAAATTGTTTTAGAAATAGACCCAAACATTTGAACTCAATATTTCGAAAAACTAATTGCGAACAACTAAAACTATGCAATTGAAATTGAAATATCAAGCTTATCCTGACAACGTATGTACAGCGTTAACCTGTTTCCGACGAATTTACAACCACGAACAGCTTCTCCTTACACGCCAGCGTAGCCGAAGAGCGTGAGGCTCGACACCATGATGAACATGCCGGCGAACATGCCGATGGACACGAGGTGCGTCTTGCCCTTGGCGAACTTGTACGCCGTGGGGATCAGCTCCTTGACGCAGATGCACACCATGATGCCGCACACGATTCCGAAGAGCACGCCCTCCGACACGGGGTCCATGCCGTCGCCAATCGCCAGCCACGCGATCAGTCCGCCGATCGGCTCCGCGCCCGCCGAGATGGCGCACCACATGATGCCACGCCAGCGCGAGCCCGTGGCAAAGTAGATGGGGGCGGCGACGGCGATGCCCTCCGGGATGTTGTGCAGACCGATGCCCACCGCCAGTGAGATGCCGACGGACGAGTTCTCGAGCGCGCCCACGTACGTGGCGATTCCCTCGGGCAGGTTGTGGATTCCGATGGCCAGCGCGCTGAGCACGCCCATGCGCTGCAAGGCGCGCTTGGCGCTCTCGTCCATCTTCATCTGGTACGTGGTGCGCTGGGGCGTCTGCGACTCCATGTACTCTACTGCGGGCGTGTTGGCGTGGCTCTTGGTGCGCTCGTACTCGTCGATGGACTCGCGGACGCCCTCCAGGTTGCCGATCTCCGTCATCTCGTGCTCGGGCGCGATGCCCTGCACGATCATGTCGATGAAGTAGATGAGGGCGATACCGATAGCGAAGCACGACGTGGCCGAGAGCCAGCCGTGACCCGTGGCCGTCTCCTCCGACATGTCCTCGGTGCGAAGGCCCTCGGTCAGCAGATGCACCGACTCACCGAAGATCTCGACGAGCGAGATGAACATCATGACACCCGACGAGATACTGAGGGCGACCGCCAGACTCATCGGGTTGGCCAGGTACACGAGGCGCTTGCTGAAGACGACCATGCCGCCCAGGATCGTGGCGGCGCCGGCAGCGATGTTGAGCGCGAAGGCGACGGCGACAGCGTGGCCCGTTTGAACCATGGTCTCGGCGGTCTTTTGCTATTGGAAGAGATTTGGCAAATGCGGTCTTACCCCCGGCATGGCCATGGCATGTAAAAAGTCTGCGTGCACTGTTTCACGCGAGCGATACGTATGTGCGCCATGACGATGGCTTGCAGGACAGCGAGCGAGCCAGCGTGATTCAACGGGTGGGCCCCAGCAACTTGCTGAGCAAGCCAGTCGGGGCGCGCGGGCGGGCGCGTCTGATAGCCAGAGGAGATGCGGCGACACATCCAAGATACCGCTGGTGGAGGGCGCGAGCTGATAATACAGTACAGATCGCTCTGGCTGAAGCTGAGGATTAATTTAATACGAATGGCACCGCGTCCTTCGTGCACAAAATGGTCCGCGAGCAGCATAAAATACACCGTCAGCCCCCAAGGTGAACTGTATGCCCATCCAAAGCGTTTTCATTGGGGCGAGGCACCACGCCTTGCGGGGCTCGATCAACATTGATGTTTCAAGACGAAGTGTGTCCTTGGTGCATGGGCTCCGTTCCCACGTGCCCGATTTTGATTCTGAAGCATGTGGTGATAGTGTACAATACAATTTGCTCTCTGGAAGAATTTGCATTCTCAAAGAAATCCAACAGAAAATGTGACGGGTCCACAGTTTTTATTGCATGGGGGGATATGTGTACATGTGTACAGTACTTTGCTGCATTTGTGTTCGTGCACGCCAGTCCGTCTACAGTGCATGTACCTCCGTCGTCGGAGCTGCGCTACGTATCGTTCGTATCGTTTGTGGGTTGCATTCAGCGCTGGTCTCTGCTTACAGTAGCATCATGGCCAGTGGTTTTGTAGGTCCAACTAAGCTACATAGCCGTCTGGCTTCTCAACAGCGGTACAGTACTTCAATGTGAGCCACGGACAAGTTAGACGCCGTTTGTTGGTCATTGCGGAGGTGTATGGTCCAGTCACTCTTCACGGCAGCACACCAAGACAAATTTGTATGTTAGTGTTCCTAACTTTTACAGGGTATCTGTATACCAGCACTACCCCTACAATTCTGTATCCCTCCTTCCAGCAAAGTGAAAAGAATACTTTTGTAGACCACAATTCCTACAGTAAGCTTAGAAGCCCTGGGTGCAGTATTGCTCAAAGAGTACTTAGTATAGTACGAATGGCTCCAACGGTCCACGGCCCTGTTCAGGTTCAAATTTCAGCCGACGACGGGCCGTCGGCAGAGCTGTTAGGGAGGGCAAATCACTCACCCCACTCACGCCCCAATTTTCTGTTCGTCATTGAACCGCCAACCCTCAAAAATAACAAGTTGACGGCGCGAATTGCCACAATGGGAAAACCCTCTGTATCTTCGAAGTGTGGTGCTTCTATCCAATGAGAAAGCTGGCATCTTGGGGGGAGGGTATGATGTTCTTGCTAATCAATCCCACGGGGATTAATGAAGTTAATCGGTGGCTGTTGATTAAATTATTCCTCTTCGAACTTCATGCGTATTTTTACATGGGTGGACACTCTGGGGTCACCTCCTCCTGAGGTTGCCCATAAGGACCTTACAGTATTAAGGTGGCCTCGACATGGGCTCACAATTTACAAACCTGATCCCGTGTGGACAGGTTCGGCCACCGGGAACTGTCGGTCCCATCTCAGGATCGCGATACGGCGCGGGGGCACGCGCCGACGGCGAATCCGCGGCCCCGCCTCGCCGGGAGCCAGGGTCGTCGGAGAAGGCCAAATTGATGGTGCAACTTGCACCGCAAGGGCTGGTTCCTCTGTGACAGACAGCGGTCAGATGGGTTGTGTTTTGCTGTGCGAATTTATGCCGTCTTCGGCTTGAAAAACTTACAAGGTGGGCCTTCCCTCCAGAACGAATTGGTCTGAGTGTCGAGGCCACCCATCCGCTTAGCTGCTGATTCAGCAGTCAGACGCTGTTTCGTTTTATTTCGCCCCACAACTCAATTCGTCTCATCAGTCTCATGTGGCCCTCCACCTTCCTCCTGTTGCTGCTGGCGTGCGTGTGCGCCGCGCAAAGCACCTTTGCCGCCGCTAGCGACTCGTCCAGCGACGTGTCCTCGACCTCCTCGAGCGGCAGCACCGGCGACATCTACAATGTGTGCCCCGTGGTGGTGGACTTCAGCGAGAAGCAGGAAGACCTGTCGGACGAAGAGCTCAAGGCGAACGCGGCCGACGCCGCCATGTCCGCGTACCTGCTGAGCCACCCGAACAACACCCTGTGGGACTACTTCAAGATCGAGCGCAAGCAAAAGCGCGAGATGTTCAAGAAGCTGCCGCTCAAGGAGAAAATCAAAAAGGTGCTCAAGGGCATCGTGGACTTCGCGGCCGACACGACCATCGCCCTTGCGCAGACGATCGCGGACGCCATCGAGTGGATCATCAACACGATCCGCGACCCGCTCGTGGGCGTCCGGCAGATCGGCAACTTCTTCAAGGAGTTCGGCAAGAACCTCAAGTCGCTCTGGGGGCTCATGAAGGAGGACCCGAAGGAGACGGCCGAGAACATGGGCGGCGGTCTGCTGCTGCACATTACGCACCACCCGGCCGAGTTCACGGCCGAGACGGTGCTGATGGTCAGCGGCGGCTTCGCGGTGATCCACGGCCTGATGGCCGGCGTGGAGGCCGTGTTCGGTACGATGAGCAACGTCATCTCGAAAGTGCTGCTGTCCGTGCTCATGTTCATCCACGCCATCGACGACCCGATCTACATCGTCACGCCCCTGGTCACGTCCATTGTGAACACGGCCGGCGATCTCGCGAACGGAGGCAACTCGAGCGCTGAAAGCACCGTGCTGACGATCGACCCGGTGCAGCCGCATAAGTCGTGCCAGATCCCGAAGAAGTTCCGTCCGGTCTTCTCGACGCGGGATCTGTGCCTGAGCACCCCCGCGGAAGTCCGCCAGCTGATCTTCGGCACGACCAAGCGCACGGCCAAGATGACCCAGCCGGAGCGTATCGCGGCGTACAACCGCTTCCACGACTTTGTGTGCTGCTACCTGGAGGACCAGGAGTTCGAGGTGAACGCGCCGAAGATGGACTCGACTGCTTTCGAGAAGGAGCTGGTGGCGACGCCCGTGAAGATGAGCAACTGCTCGCAGCTTCTTGGCAACTACAGCGCCGCCACCGTGTGGGAATCGTCCACGGGCTACGGCGATGACTCCGCGAGCCTCGATGCGAGCGGTGACGAATAGAAAACTTAATATTCACAACAATAGAAGCATTGCTTTAGAGAACAGCAACCAAGTCCTACCGTGATCCCAGCGTTTTCTTCCGTTTCGCAGCGAAGATGGCACGGAGGTGGCACCTCCACTACTTCGCGACCTAGACTGCGACCATCGAGGGGGTCGGCTATGGCGTAGTTTGTACGAGGTAGCTAGGCCACTTATTAGTTACCTAAAAAGGAGAAGTATTCGAGGAAACTCCAAAACCCGCATACTCAATTAAGTATTTGCGTTTCAAATCCACAAAACCCGCATACCGACGTCTGATTCCAGAGTCTCTGAGCACTGCACACTGTATGAAAGTTAGCACTAAGCGAGCGAAGCGAGCTGATTCCCGCGCGTAACCGCGGTAGGGTTAATGCCTTACCAGCAAGGGTTTTTGCGTTCGCGCGGAGCGCGTGCAGGGTGATAGTTTTATTGTTGTATCGATTGCTTTCGCTGCCGAAGGCAGCGCTGTATGCACCCCGACTGCGGTTTACAAGCCGTGCGCGCAGCGTGCGGTCGTAAACCCAGGACAAACCATGTTGAATTCTCGCGATCACGCTCGACCTAATGCAAAGACAGCGTTCGAGCGCGCGGGTTATCTATCCCTAGGTATCAGATGCCGGTATGCGGATTTTGTGGAAGTGTGCGGGTTTTGTGGATTTGAAACTCAAATATGCGGATTTTAGAGTTTCTTTGAAGTATTCACGCTGGAGTAGAAAGTTGGATTCGGAATGCCGGATAAAGTTGTGAAATTAATTTGTAAAGCGATTCACGCCACTTGTGCGGTAAGAATGAAATTGGGTATAGTAGTTCCTTCAGATTTTGTATAGAGAGATCATGCACTTCGAATAGGTTGGTTCTGCGGTCTAACAAGTAGACTAGCTGCCCCAACTCGGTTTTGTGATATGAGGGAAAATCTTAGAAAAAGCTAATGATATACCCCTCGAAGTATTGTTATATTTAATTAGGAACCCTTCATAGTTTTAACATTAAAAATCACCCCCTCTATAATAGTTGAGTACACTTAGCTCTTTGCCGAACAGGCCATAGCAAAGACCATCATACCACCTAACTATGGCGCATCTTGTTCGCTGATGCCGGACATTGAGTCAAAACAGCGACAATTTAGAAGTTGAGGACGATATCAAAACATTCACTGTCTGAAAAAGGCATCCTATTTACATCACGACGTGCTACTCAACCAGGTTCACTGGATATCTGACACAAAGAATATGCTGACTGAACTTCACGTGGAAAGCAGTCGAAACCTGCCCCAATAGCAGATACGCATTCGCATATTTTCACTTTATACTACTACTAGTAGTATTCGGCATTCACAACCGATAAAATAGTGTCAGATTCGTAGTACCCTATGCTTAGCATAGATTACACGCTGTAACTTACAGCTATAGACTAAACCAGATACTTCGCACACCTTAGCCGACCCCCTCGATGGTCGCAGTCTAGGTCGCGAAGTAGTGGAGGTGCCACCTCCGTGCCATCTTCGCTGCGAAACGGAAGAAAACGCTGGGATCACGGTAGGACTTGGTTGCTGTTCTCTAAAGCAATGCTTCTATTGTTGTGAATATTAAGTTTTCTATTCGTCACCGCTCGCATCGAGGCTCGCGGAGTCATCGCCGTAGCCCGTGGACGATTCCCACACGGTGGCGGCGCTGTAGTTGCCAAGAAGCTGCGAGCAGTTGCTCATCTTCACGGGCGTCGCCACCAGCTCCTTCTCGAAAGCAGTCGAGTCCATCTTCGGCGCGTTCACCTCGAACTCCTGGTCCTCCAGGTAGCAGCACACAAAGTCGTGGAAGCGGTTGTACGCCGCGATACGCTCCGGCTGGGTCATCTTGGCCGTGCGCTTGGTCGTGCCGAAGATCAGCTGGCGGACTTCCGCGGGGGTGCTCAGGCACAGATCCCGCGTCGAGAAGACCGGACGGAACTTCTTCGGGATCTGGCACGACTTATGCGGCTGCACCGGGTCGATCGTCAGCACGGTGCTTTCAGCGCTCGAGTTGCCTCCGTTCGCGAGATCGCCGGCCGTGTTCACAATGGACGTGACCAGGGGCGTGACGATGTAGATCGGGTCGTCGATGGCGTGGATGAACATGAGCACGGACAGCAGCACTTTCGAGATGACGTTGCTCATCGTACCGAACACGGCCTCCACGCCGGCCATCAGGCCGTGGATCACCGCGAAGCCGCCGCTGACCATCAGCACCGTCTCGGCCGTGAACTCGGCCGGGTGGTGCGTAATGTGCAGCAGCAGACCGCCGCCCATGTTCTCGGCCGTCTCCTTCGGGTCCTCCTTCATGAGCCCCCAGAGCGACTTGAGGTTCTTGCCGAACTCCTTGAAGAAGTTGCCGATCTGCCGGACGCCCACGAGCGGGTCGCGGATCGTGTTGATGATCCACTCGATGGCGTCCGCGATCGTCTGCGCAAGGGCGATGGTCGTGTCGGCCGCGAAGTCCACGATGCCCTTGAGCACCTTTTTGATTTTCTCCTTGAGCGGCAGCTTCTTGAACATCTCGCGCTTTTGCTTGCGCTCGATCTTGAAGTAGTCCCACAGGGTGTTGTTCGGGTGGCTCAGCAGGTACGCGGACATGGCGGCGTCGGCCGCGTTCGCCTTGAGCTCTTCGTCCGACAGGTCTTCCTGCTCCTCGCTGAAGTCCACCACCACGGGGCACACATTGTAGATGTCGCCGGTGCTGCCGCTCGAGGAGGTCGAGGACACGTCGCTGGACGAGTCGCTAGCGGCGGCAAAGGTGCTTTGCGCGGCGCACACGCACGCCAGCAGCAACAGGAGGAAGGTGGAGGGCCACATGAGACTGATGAGACGAATTGAGTTGTGGGGCGAAATAAAACGAAACAGCGTCTGACTGCTGAATCAGCAGCTAAGCGGATGGGTGGCCTCGACACTCAGACCAATTCGTTCTGGAGGGAAGGCCCACCTTGTAAGTTTTTCAAGCCGAAGACGGCATAAATTCGCACAGCAAAACACAACCCATCTGACCGCTGTCTGTCACAGAGGAACCAGCCCTTGCGGTGCAAGTTGCACCATCAATTTGGCCTTCTCCGACGACCCTGGCTCCCGGCGAGGCGGGGCCGCGGATTCGCCGTCGGCGCGTGCCCCCGCGGCCGTATCGCGATCCTGAGATGGGACCGACAGTTTCCGGTGGCCGAACCTGTCCACACGGGATCAGGTTTGTAAATTGTGAGCCCATGTCGAGGCCTGTAAGATCCTTATGGGCAACCTCAGGAGGAGGTGACCCCAGAGTGTCCACCCATGTAAAAATACGCATGAAGTTCGAAGAGGAATAATTTAATCAACAGCCACCGATTAACTTCATTAATCCCCGTGGGATTGATTAGCAAGAACATCATACCCTCCCCCCAAGATGCCAGCTTTCTCATTGGATAGAAGCACCACACTTCGAAGATACAGAGGGTTTTCCCATTGTGGCAATTCGCGCCGTCAACTTGTTATTTTTGAGGGTTGGCGGTTCAATGACGAACAGAAAATTGGGGCGTGAGTGGGGTGAGTGATTTGCCCTCCCTAACAGCTCTGCCGACGGCCCGTCGTCGGCTGAAGTTTGAACCTGAACAGGGCCGTGGACCGTTGGAGCCATTCGTACTATACTAAGTACTCTTTGAGCAATACTGCACCCAGGGCTTCTAAGCTTACTGTAGGAATTGTGGTCTACAAAAGTATTCTTTTCACTTTGCTGGAAGGAGGGATACAGAATTGTAGGGGTAGTGCTGGTATACAGATACCCTGTAAAAGTTAGGAACACTAACATACAAATTTGTCTTGGTGTGCTGCCGTGAAGAGTGACTGGACCATACACCTCCGCAATGACCAACAAACGGCGTCTAACTTGTCCGTGGCTCACATTGAAGTACTGTACCGCTGTTGAGAAGCCAGACGGCTATGTAGCTTAGTTGGACCTACAAAACCACTGGCCATGATGCTACTGTAAGCAGAGACCAGCGCTGAATGCAACCCACAAACGATACGAACGATACGTAGCGCAGCTCCGACGACGGAGGTACATGCACTGTAGACGGACTGGCGTGCACGAACACAAATGCAGCAAAGTACTGTACACATGTACACATATCCCCCCATGCAATAAAAACTGTGGACCCGTCACATTTTCTGTTGGATTTCTTTAAGAATGCAAATTCTTCCAGAGAGCAAATTGTATTGTACACTATCACCACATGCTTCAGAATCAAAATCGGGCACGTGGGAACGGAGCCCATGCACCAAGGACACACTTCGTCTTGAAACATCAATGTTGATCGAGCCCCGCAAGGCGTGGTGCCTCGCCCCAATGAAAACGCTTTGGATGGGCATACAGTTCACCTTGGGGGCTGACGGTGTATTTTATGCTGCTCGCGGACCATTTTGTGCACGAAGGACGCGGTGCCATTCGTATTAAATTAATCCTCAGCTTCAGCCAGAGCGATCTGTACTGTATTATCAGCTCGCGCCCTCCACCAGCGGTATCTTGGATGTGTCGCCGCATCTCCTCTGGCTATCAGACGCGCCCGCCCGCGCGCCCCGACTGGCTTGCTCAGCAAGTTGCTGGGGCCCACCCGTTGAATCACGCTGGCTCGCTCGCTGTCCTGCAAGCCATCGTCATGGCGCACATACGTATCGCTCGCGTGAAACAGTGCACGCAGACTTTTTACATGCCATGGCCATGCCGGGGGTAAGACCGCATTTGCCAAATCTCTTCCAATAGCAAAAGACCGCCGAGACCATGGTTCAAACGGGCCACGCTGTCGCCGTCGCCTTCGCGCTCAACATCGCTGCCGGCGCCGCCACGATCCTGGGCGGCATGGTCGTCTTCAGCAAGCGCCTCGTGTACCTGGCCAACCCGATGAGTCTGGCGGTCGCCCTCAGTATCTCGTCGGGTGTCATGATGTTCATCTCGCTCGTCGAGATCTTCGGTGAGTCGGTGCATCTGCTGACCGAGGGCCTTCGCACCGAGGACATGTCGGAGGAGACGGCCACGGGTCACGGCTGGCTCTCGGCCACGTCGTGCTTCGCTATCGGTATCGCCCTCATCTACTTCATCGACATGATCGTGCAGGGCATCGCGCCCGAGCACGAGATGACGGAGATCGGCAACCTGGAGGGCGTCCGCGAGTCCATCGACGAGTACGAGCGCACCAAGAGCCACGCCAACACGCCCGCAGTAGAGTACATGGAGTCGCAGACGCCCCAGCGCACCACGTACCAGATGAAGATGGACGAGAGCGCCAAGCGCGCCTTGCAGCGCATGGGCGTGCTCAGCGCGCTGGCCATCGGAATCCACAACCTGCCCGAGGGAATCGCCACGTACGTGGGCGCGCTCGAGAACTCGTCCGTCGGCATCTCACTGGCGGTGGGCATCGGTCTGCACAACATCCCGGAGGGCATCGCCGTCGCCGCCCCCATCTACTTTGCCACGGGCTCGCGCTGGCGTGGCATCATGTGGTGCGCCATCTCGGCGGGCGCGGAGCCGATCGGCGGACTGATCGCGTGGCTGGCGATTGGCGACGGCATGGACCCCGTGTCGGAGGGCGTGCTCTTCGGAATCGTGTGCGGCATCATGGTGTGCATCTGCGTCAAGGAGCTGATCCCCACGGCGTACAAGTTCGCCAAGGGCAAGACGCACCTCGTGTCCATCGGCATGTTCGCCGGCATGTTCATCATGGTGTCGAGCCTCACGCTCTTCGGCTACGCTGGCGTGTAAGGAGAAGCTGTTCGTGGTTGTAAATTCGTCGGAAACAGGTTAACGCTGTACATACGTTGTCAGGATAAGCTTGATATTTCAATTTCAATTGCATAGTTTTAGTTGTTCGCAATTAGTTTTTCGAAATATTGAGTTCAAATGTTTGGGTCTATTTCTAAAACAATTTTGAGAGCTCAGTTCGGTCTATTTCTAAGCACGAACAACTCCATTTCTAACGGAGGGCGCATATTTTTCATCGCCACTCAAAATATTTTCGCCATGAAGCACAATCGGCGCGAAGATGGCACGGGTCCGCCTGCTGCGTTGTCCCCGCGCAAGCGACTGAAGCCGGTGCCTTTGCCACAAGAGGTCCAGCAACAGCCCACGGTTCGGAACCTCGTCGAGCAGTTCGCCATGTCCCCCGAGGAGGCCTTGCAAGAGGCAGCAGCCACGAACCAGGTCCAGCGGCTGCAACAAATTTTGAGTTATCCACAATTTCGCGATAAAATGAACGAAACAGCGCAGAAACTCACAGAAATCGCCGCCACTCACGGCCACTCGGATGTTATCACCGCAGTCTACGAGTGGTGGGACTGCGTTACCCCGAAACAGAAACGCCTGATTAATTGTTTTCGGACAGCCAGATTTCGATGCGCACAAGGGGAGGAGTACTTTGTACAAAGCGATGGCCATGGCGGCCGACTTCGGACATTTCGAAATCGTCAGTACTTGAACGAGACGTACGGGGATGTAGTATTTCGAGGCGGCAAAGGGGGAAAGGCAGCAGAGAAGAAGGAGGAGAATAGAACGGGTGATAGCGATGATGATGCAGACGCAGAAGAAGAACAGCAGGAAGACGAAGAAGAAACGGGGGACGAGAACGACGACAGTGACGACGAAGAAGTTGGCGACAACAACTGCCCCCTTGCATGTGCCATTAAAAAGGGACGATTGGGGATGGTCAAATACCTCTATGCTAACAAGTGCTATACGGCTTCTTCACTCGAGACGGTGTCAATTGGCGCGGCTAACGATGGCCCCCTGGAAGTTCTGAAGCTCTTCGACGCCGATGGTGTCTATGCCGGTGCTTCGAACGCCGCGTTCGAGTTTGCTGCTGGTGGCGGCCAAGTGGAGATTATGGAGTTTTTCCGGTCGAAAGAAGATTTTGACTCCGCCTCCCTCGGGGATTCGTTACTGATGGCGGCAATGTTTGGCAAAGCGGATACGGTGACGTACCTGTACAATATCGAAGGGTTCAAGCCTGCAACTGCTTCAGTTGAAGAAGCGCTGACTCAAGCAGCTGGTGAAGGGCATCTGGAAGTGGTCAAGACCTTGAATATGAAGAGCAAGTTCTCGCGTAAGGTGATTGAGAAGGCGCTTAAGAGAGCGGCGATGGCTCAGACGGTTGCTCGCGACCAAGCTGGAGTTGTGAAGTACTTGTTTGCTACAGGGCACATTTATCCTAGTTTTATCCGAAGTATCTTTGTGGATGCTGCACAGCTTAGTACTGATGAAGTTGTCGAGTTCTTGTACACAAAAGGCTCGATCTCTCCACGAATGACGGAGAAGGCTTTTCTTCACGCGGTGGAAGATAATTGCAGTGGCGTCATGGCATTCCTGTGTACGACAGGGGTCATCACTACCCTGATGTTTCACATGTTGTTGAACCTAGTAGTTGTCGAGGGCGACATTTACATTGTGGCGAGTTTGTACCAATCCGGGTCTGTTTCACGAGAGCTGATGGCACGCGAGGCGAAAATGAACAAAGCTGGCAACATTCGAATTGAGCGGCTTGTCTGACAGAACCTGAGGAAGTCCAGTCGTGATGCCGCAGCCCACAAAGGACCGATCGTACCCAGCAATATTTATGATACTGCTGCCTACGATCCCCATCGACTGAAGCGCGTCAAGGCTGAGTGGTTTCCACGCGACATCCAAGCTCTCCCTGACGTCATGAAGCTCATCGATTTGTTTGCGATGCCAGCCAAAACGGCCGTGATGGAGGCAGCAGCAACTGGCCAAATTGACTGGATAAAGGATCTCTTTCCCCGGGTCAAGGGCCAAGTGGATGTTGTGGCTCGTAAAGTGACCGATCTTGCAGCTACGTTTGGTCATTCCAACGTGATTTTAGCTACCTACAAGTGGAGGAAAGCTACTAGTAATACGGCGTGGGTAGCAGCTGACTACGCTCAATCGAAGGCTGCTGCTGGCGGACACTTCGATGCACTGGAGCGTTTGGCTTCGCTGTACGGGGTTTCCTCGCTGGAGCCGCTGAAACTGGCGGTGGACAGGGGGTACCGCGAAATTGTAAGACTGCTGTGCGAGAAAATGGAGAGTGAAATCATTTTTCTGGGCAGTCGAGAACGACCAACTTGAAGCGGTCAAACTTGTATGCAAGTATCACCCGGAAGACTGTTCAGCATTTTTGGCTTTGGTGCCGTGGTCTCCGCTAACGAAACTCGCGCGATCTCACCCCGAATTCAGCCCGTTCGAACAGCGAGCCGGCAAACTGAACGATACGCCGCTCAGCCGCAGCGCCATCTTGTTGCCGCAGCATAGTTGGTGCTCGCTACACGTACCTACCAGGGCTCCACCTCTACGAGCAACAGTGCAATCGATCCCAATACAAACGCAAAGGCTAGAGGCGTCGGGGGCCACGCATCCCTTCAATCACCACACACCTCTATTTAACTTCTCTGAGGCACAATTTGCTGCGATCTCAGCTGGACATCTACCGATTGTCCAATTTCTAAACGAGACATTCGGCGAGACACTGAGTGAGCGGGGCGGCAGCCAAATCGGCGGGTGCCCACTTACAAGCGCAATCGAGGAAGGCCAGGTGGAGATCGCGAAGTACCTATACACGAACAACGGATTCGTGGCCTCGGCGTTCGAAATGGCCTTTTCAGCTGCAGCTACACACGGCCCCGTTGAAATCGTGGAGTTAGGGCTTTGTCCTTGCGGCTGGAGGTGGCCAATCGGCAATAATGGATTTCTTCCGATCAAAAGAAGCCTTCGACGCATCAGTGGTTAGCGAGGCCTTCGAGAGGGCTGCCGGGTGTGGGCAGACAAGGATCGTCGAGCAACTTTATGCATCTGAAGGACACGAGGCTTTGACTACATTCACGAAGCAGCTATCCTAGCGAGTGGAGGTGGTCATCTTGAAGTGGTCAAGTTCCTTGATAACACAGGACACATCACTGAAGAGCTGGGCGTCAAGATGTTTCTGAGCGCAGCCAAAGATGAAGGTCTAAAGTGCGTAGGCATGGACGACCACGTTGGTGTTCTGGAGTACTTGCACTCGAAAGGATGGATCTCTTCCGATGTTATTACCGAGGTTTTCCCGGAAGCTGTCAACTCCAGTTGCGTCGAGGTGGTCGAGTTCTTGTTCACCAGAGGAGCAATTCCGTCCTATGTGCTGGAAGGTGTGTTTCCGGATGCAAAGTGCGAAAACTGCGCCCCTGTAGTGGAATTTCTCTGTAAAACCGGCGCGGTTTCTTCACAACTGATCGAAAAGGTGTTCGTCGAGGCCGCAGAAGACAACGATATCTATGCGGTAGAAACCCTATACAATTGCGGATGCACGTCGCAGGAATTGCTGCAAAGGGCTTTGCGTGTAGCCCCTCACGACAACATCGTCCAGATATTTCTTAACCGAAAAACAGGAGGGCACTGAGCTGCCGTTTGACGCATTTTTGTCATGCGCGCAGCGAGTCAGCGGAATCTATTCACATTTTACGTGTAGTATTCTCATTTTATCCTGGGAGGACAGCTAGAAGAGCTGTATGGACAGCCTCACACAGATTAATTCGTCGAAAAGAATTTGCTTGCACCTCAGGCAACATTTAAACAGCATCTCGCCACACCATACTCACACAATCGTACACCATACCTACACAAATATAGCCATATTGACATCACGACTGGTACCACACAAAGCCAATTGACAAAGAAATGAGGACAGCGTTAGCGACAAGAGAATGCAGGATGACCAATTAGCCTACAACTACAATGTATTCCATAGTTCCTAGTTACTGACGGATAACTGAGGATGTCATATGTCCAGCAGCTGAGCTCTTGGCCTACATTAAACCTGTCCGCCTGGATCTCGGGCAGCCTCGCTGGCATTAGATCATTGGCTCCATATAAAAAATGGTGGTCGGCGCTGCAAACGCTTACGTCCTTAGCTCTTGGCCCACAAACTATAAAATCTGTCCGGTAGGCAGCTTCGCCGGCAGTAGATAGTTGACTCCATATAAAAAAGGAAAATTCCGGAATATGAACAAAATGAATATGAACTCAAAATGAAATTTTGTGCAAAAGGTGATACAAGGCTTTGTGCCAAGTGCATTTGAAACAACTGGCGGAAACCCGGGTACCCATCGGGACCCCGGTTTCTCCAAAACTACCGGTACCCATGTATGATCAAATGTATTGGAGTGTTGTTCTATGACCTACGTTGAACGTAGCTTAAGCTCGGTAGAGAAACGGAAGGTGAATTCGTCTTTGCTCCCGTCCTGTGTCTCTCATGAAAATCCAGACTCTTGCCTGGTACAGCGGGAGAGGGCTTTCCGGCCACATTGCTAACCTCCTGCTCACGTAAGGTGGACTTTGACATGGTAAGGTACGTTATTCAGGTCTACTCAGTACCGGTGACAGATTAGTGGGAACTCTTTCATCGAGTTTGATGGTTTAACTTGCCCCAACGGTACCAATATGGTGGCCGAAAATTAAATAAATAATTCGCGATTTGGTCGGTATCATTTGCGGGAACCCGGGTTCCCGCCAATGGTTTCATTTGGCCACCGATAGCGGCCAGCACCTGAATGCCATGCACGTCGCTGAATGCACCAATTGTGTCAGTATAGCACTGGGTAAACGCGAAGGCGGTGCCGGTGTAGGCATTGCCCTCTGCTGATAGTTGTTCTGGTGGAGTACGGTCGCCTTCTGTGTCGCTTAAGCGACACTGCCCACGCTGCATAAAGCATCACCGACGGCTTGGATCAGGGGTCGAAAAAAAATTTAGTAAAACAATTATTATGGTATTGTCCCACTACAATTATTTATTATTGGAAGTTCATAAAAACCAATACAATATGATATTGCCCCAATAATAGCAATACAATATAAATACTTTATGAATTCTGGGGTTGGGCGTTCATAAATGATGAAAATGCTATAATAAACTATTATAATCTCTATTTTTCGGGTCGAGGACATAGCCTTGGGTTGCGAGGCTTTTGTGGAGCAAGTGGTGTATACTCAATAGCGCTTTGCCGGACAGCAACACTTCTCAAAACCGTCCTAGAAACAGTACAGGGCTATTGTAATCGTCATCAGCCTCCACCTGTATTTTCTCACTGTATAGGTTGGCCTGACACCTCAGTAATAGTTCGATATCAGCCATTGGACGTTTGCGTAAAGTTCGCGTGAAGTTTACGGCCTTCCTGTCACATTTTGGCAATGAATAGCTCATGTCACGAATGGTACAATATACTTAAATTGTACCAATTATTATTATTGGTTGCCCTCATATTGCCGTTATTACTACTGCAGCTTTGGCCTCGCAATACAATTCCATACTGTATTGTCCGACCCCTGGCTTGGATGCCTTACTCCCCATGTCGCCGCTGGAGGCAACAATGTCGTGGTCCAATGCCCTAACAAATGCTGCTGAACCTGAAATATGTGCTCTCGACACAAATCCCTTTATCACCTTTTGCACAAATTTTAATATTGAGTCACCTTCCTGAAATTTCCCTAAGAAAAATGATGGTAGGCGCTGCAAATGAGGGGCATAGCCCCTCATTTGCTACTTGCATGCGAACATAGTACGTAACCACTGTTTGGTACTGCTAGTGCATGTATTGATGGTTGTTGTTTTGGATTTGGCTTAGCTTTGTAGTGGCGCCAAAACACTCGACCACTCAGTAGGCGAAGTATTAGCACAAGACTTGGCTACTTCGTAGCCAAAGAAGACATCTATTAGTTTCTTGAAAGTGTGCCAGTATGGAAAATATAGTTGTACTCGAGTTAGTAAAATCGAGCTAACGTTATATACAACCGAGCAGACTTTTTGGAATTTAAAGTAGTCCTCCCAGCCTAACGCAACGCACCCTTGTTCCTTCTACGTGGTGACAGCATGACGCATCCAAGCTGCAGCCCGGACATTTTGGTTACGTCTCATCAAGATCTTGTCCCTTTCGCTCCAAAAGCATAGGGGCGGGGGCTGTGTTTGCACCAAGCCTTGTGTAACAACGTCTTCTTGTATCTTCGGGGGACACGCAGCCCCTGTCGAAAAAATACGTCAGTATACAAACTTGGTCATCACGCCTTTCTTACGGGCGCTCCTGAGCCAGATTAGGCTGCAGCACACAGTGCAACATCGCTTTTACCACACTCAGGGATTGGGAAAAATATATTGGCCAGCATTTCTCAGCGTTGGTAAGCATTGCAGTATGGATTGCAATCCACCAACGGTTCTGAGATAACAAAGCAAAGTCGCGCGTTGCACGAAGAAGCTCTGAAATTACAGACAGATCTAGTAGGTAAAGCTCAATTGCTCACTACAGCGCATCTCCTGCGCCTGCTTCGCAGCCGCAGCATCTGCAAAGAACATAGCAATACGTCAGTTTCCTGGAGCATTACCCTCTACAATCAACTTCTGCACACGGAACAATATGCTACTACTTCACCGCCTATTGCTTCTTCTTGATTCAATTTTTCGATGCAAGGTATTGAACACTTTTTTAAATGAAACATTAACGCAACCGCTAGCTCATGCAGAGTTGGTTTTCCGACCTAGTGCGGTTGGTCCCGCGAGTCGCGTGCCGTGACCCACACAGAGCGGCATAGTTGTGATGGGAGCGGAGGTGGGTGTTGCCAAATAGGCAGAGCTTTGTCGGTGTGCTTGGCGAGCGCATTCGGCACGGCACGGCGCAGCTCAAACCGAAAGTGATGATCGTGGACGTTTCTCGGTGTGCAGCGGCGGACGCTTGCCGTCGTCGACGCCCTGCCTGACGTCTACACGGTCAATCTCTTGCGCCGCGTTAAACCGGGTGCTCCCCCATGCGGGGGGGGGGGGGGGCTTGGCTCGTAAGAGCGACAGGGATGACCGGTTGTGCTGCGAGCACCTCACTACAGTAGTCATCGGCAATCACATAACGTTCTTGCTGGTGTGGACTAGCGGCCATCCATATTTTCCAGCGTTCTAATTCATTCGTAGCTAGCCTTCACGGCAACCGAATGATGTACATATCCTGATAGTGCAGCGATGGCTTCAACACACTTTCACGCAACATCAAGATCGTACATAATCGGAGGGGGACGACGACACAGGCAACATTCAGGTAATTTATGAAGTTTCTCGGGTATTTATTAAAGGAAGTGACACTGTACCCCATCAACTACTTTTTATATGCTACCTCTATTTATGAATACCAAATCGGATATATAAATTACCAGACATCAATCAATGGCAAAATCGGATCCTCCCTAGCTCTGAAATAAATTTCAGAGAACAGGTCAATAAAGTAATAGAGTTATACTGAGATAGTAGCGTTAAACATAGATTTTTATTTTAGTATTTAGAACAAAAGTATAGAGTTTTATTAGACGAATCGTCGCATCTCTGCAGAAACTCTGGATTAAAATCCAGAGAACATTATTGCAATACATAGTGCCTCCGCAATATCGTATTACAATACAATCTGCAGTACAGTATCGTATTGTATTGGCATATGGCGGTATTGGTATTGGACCAATATATTTTTTCCTATCCCTGACCACACTCTATCGCGGCAACGAAGGGGTATTCAACAAGGATGCCACTCTCAAATAACCCGCCAAGCTTAGTGCCACACTCTCCCGTCACGAACTTGACAATTTCCAGGAATCCACGACGAGCTGCAATTACCATGGTGTCGAACACACACTCCATGTCACCCTCCCCATGAAGCCGTACACACAGCAGAACACTTGAAGGTTGTCGCGCTCGACCGCTCAATTGAACTCGTTTTACTTTACTGACATCCGGATGGAGATTTTCCGGTGCGAACTGGTGGGACCCAACTTGCCAAATCTAAACACGACCCATTCAATAATCGTTTTTGTTGTTGTTGTGCAACGTGCCCGGAAATGATATGCTTAGGGTTGAATTCCGGATCCAAGATGACTGAACCCAATAATTTCGCCAGCGAAAACAAATTCAGGTGGTCCATTTCCAGTGGGGAGATGCACCTTTCCCGGGCCCCACAACGCTTAGCAGCTCGTAAGTCCCGGCTCAAACCAGAAATCATTCCTAGAACCGTTGCTTTTGGTTTCAGTCGAGACAATATCTGCAATATGTAAGCGGACAATACATTTTAAAGACCACCCTTCTGGTAACTTTGCAGTTTGGTGATACAGAAATGATGAGATACTTCACTTCACCAACTCGACTCAACTTTGCCACACAATCTCGGCACATTTCGACTGAATCAATTATCTTGAAGCTGGCCCACGGACTGTTCTGAACCGGAGCATCTAGCGCAACATGGGACTTGAGTAACACCTTCTCGTCATACCATCGCGGTTCTGGTGGTTTGACCCGACCAACGTCCAGCCGACAGAAGCTCACTTCTCAACTCACCACCGCCAAGACACTCGGCTTACCTCCGCACGCTCTCACCCAAGCACCAGCAACAATGAAGATCATCATCCCCAGCCTCCTCCTCCTCGCCGGCTTGATCGCCTTCGTCCAAGAGCTTGTCTCCCACGTGGAGGCCTCGAGAAGGTTTGTGGCGATGCTGCCCAACGGTGCCAACGTGACCGGCTACCGAGCTATCGGGCATCCTGCTGGTATGAGCCACTCTGCCGCAACGAACAATTTCGGCAAGGCTTTCGCTGATGTTGGCTACGCGTGGACCAAGGAGCTCTGCATGAACGACACCGACGGTGATGGCCAGACGAACGGCCAGGAACTGGGCGATCCCTGCTGCCAGTGGAACATGACGTCGAACCCCGTGGTGCTGTGGACGATTGGAGTCTCGCATCCCGACAACGCCTCGCTCGTTTCCGACCCGCAACTGTGGGCGAACGTAGTGTGCAACACGTCGACTGGCACGCCGACCATGGCCCCGAATGTGACCATGCTTCCTAGCACCACAAGTCCGCCGGCCCCCACCAGTGCGCCAAGTACGACTTCACCACCGGCAACGACCAGCCCTCCCGCCACGACAACTCCTCCGTCGACGACTACCTCGCCGGCAACGACAATCCCTCCTACGACAACCAGTCCTCCTTCGACTACTCGTCCTCCGACAATGACGAACCCTCCAAGCACGACCCGTCCTCCTCCTACTACGACCCCGCTGACTACGACGCGTCCTCCAACTATGACGAAGCCTTCGACTACGACGCGTGCCCCGGCGACAACTCGTCCTTCGACCAGCACCCCGAAGCCGAACAACCAGTACTATCAGTACAAGCCCAAGCACCACTACAAGCCCAAGCGCCACTACAAGCCGAAGCACAACTACATGCCCAAGCACCGCCAGCACCACCTGTAGGTTGGGTGGCCGAAGCATTCCGCTTCTTTCATTCACTGATTTCAGCCGTTTTGTTTGAAAAAATGACGCTTCATCGACGTGCAACCATGACGATAGGAGCCACATCTTATGCTTGTACTACGATTACGAATTGATGCCATGCACTTCCTGGTGGGTTCTAGCACGTTGAATTCAAATCAATTCGATTTTTTCTTTGGGGGGGGGTATTTTTGGATAAGTTTGTTTCGGGACCGTTACATTCAATTGTGATATTTCACGCCGACGGTGATATTTACACCGTGGCGAGTCTGTGCAATTCCGGGTGCGTTTCACGGGAGCTGGTGACACGCGAATCGAAGAGCAACGAAACTACATGTACTTGCGTCCGAACTGAGCATTTTTTGCGACACAATCTGAGGAAATCCGGTCCTGAAATCGCAATTCGACACGGCACGATGGTACCTAGCGACGTGTACGACACTGCTGCCTACGATTTCCACAAACTGAAGTTTGTCAAGGCAAAGTGGTTTCCATGCGATGTCCAAGCTCTTCCTCACGTCATGGAGCTGATCGACTTGTTCTCCATGCCAGCCGAGACGGCGGCGATGGAAGCCTCTGCAACTGGCCAACTTGACTGGTTAACCACACTCTTCCCTCGACTGGAGGACTAGGTGGACGTTGTGGCGAGTAAAGTGGCCGATCTCGCAGCAACTTTCGGTCGTTCGGACGTGATTCTAGCTGCGTACGAGTGGAGGGAAGCTACCAATATACGGAGTGGGTAGCATGTGACTACGCACAGTCGAAGGCTGCTGCTGCTGGGCACTTCGATGCAATGCAGCACTTGGTGTCGCTGTACGGAATTTTTTCGCCGGAGCCGCTGAAACTAGCGTTGGGTAATGGCCACCACGGTATTGTAAGACTGCTGTGCGAAGCAATTGAGTGTGGGGACTCGCTCGTGTGGGCAGCCGAGAACGGACGGCTTGAAGCGATCAAACCTATACACGAGTATCATGAGGATGAGGAAACACCGTACTTCTATGAGGCAGTACTAACTGCAGTCTCAGCTGGAAACCTTCCGATTGTGCAATTTGTAAACAGTCAATTCGGTGAAGAACTCTATGGACTTTACGGTGGCCGTGCAGTCGGCGGGTGCCCACTCACAAGAGCGATTGAAGACGGTAAGGCGGAGATCGCAAAGTACCTGGTTGAGAACAACGGGTACAATGCTTCGATGTTCGAGATGGCCTTTTCAGCGGCGGCTACTTATGGCCCGCTTAAGATCGTAGAGCTAATGCAGAGCGACGAAAGATCAGATGCTTCTCTACGCAAGAAGGGTTTTGGCCTTGCAGCTGGAGGTGGACTGTCGGAAGTCATGGAGTTTTTTCGGTCTAAAGGTGACTTCGCTACTTCAGTGGTTCGCGAGGCATTCCTGAGAGCAGCAGGGTGTGGGCAGACAAGAATTCTCAAGCAACTTTATGCAGATCAAGCGCATGAAATTCTGGCTGTCATCGATGAAGCGGCATTGACAGCGAGTGGAGGCGGCCACCTCGAAGTGGTCAAATTCTTTGATAATAAAGGACACGTCGCGGAAGAGCTGGTTGTCAAGATGTTCGAGTGCGCAGCCACCGATGAGGGTCTGAAGGACGTGAGCATCATCGACGACCAAACTGGCGTTCTGGCGTACTTGCACTCAAAAGGGTGGATCTCTGTCGAAATTATGAATGAAGTCTTCCCAAAAGCTGCCAGTTGCAGCTGCGTCGAGGCGGTCGAGTTTTTGCTCACGACCGGGCCGATTTTCCTTGAGGTGGCGGAGGATGCATTTGAAGAGGCAGCGTGGGATAACTGCACCGTAGTGGAGTACTTCTGTAAGACCCGCGCAGTTTGCCCAGAGTTGATCGAGATTCGTGGAAGCCGCCGCGAAAAACGATATCTACTTGGTAGAGACTCTGTACAATAGCGGGTGCACGTCACCAGAACTGCTGGAAAGAGCGTTGCGCACAGCTTATCAAGGCTACAAAGTCCAGGTGTTTCTTAGCCGAAAACTAGCAGGACACTGAGCGGTGAGTCGTCATGCAGGAACGGAACAAGTAGGATCTGAAGAAAACCAATCACAATAAATACTAATAAATGCAAATCAATCTATTCATTTGCCTCTCAATAGTAAATACTTTGAAGTCTACTATAAAGCCGCACTATTTTTCAAGCTTGTGCTGTTTTTGTGTCAAAAAGCGTATTTCGCCGAGTGTCTGCACCAAGCTTTGCGCAGCAACGCCTTGGAGTCGAATCCGCAGCTGAACATCACGTACAGATCACCACGTTCAGTAGCATCGTTCTCGACCGACTTTGGACGAACAAAGCCAGTTTTGTAGAGAAACTTGACTGTTCTGACTTGTGGCTTCTTGAAAAGCTTTGTCTACCAACTCAGGTGAGATCGACCCCTTGGAGTACAAGAACTCCATAATATCGAGACGACAGCTACTTGCTGCATCGGAAAAGCCCTCACTAATGACTTCGGGGGATACACAGCCCTTGTCGAACAAAAACTTCAAAACGCGAGCCTGGTCGTCATCTGACTCGAATGCGGCATACTCAAAGGCGTTGTTGACCGCTTTACGAGAGACTTCCCCTTTGGAGTTCAAGTACTGCAATATTTCAAGACGGTGGCTGCCGCCAGCGCGTTCAAAGGATTTATCCAGGAAAGCAGGCGACATCTCGTATCCTTCAATTTGCTCAGGTACTTGACAGCTTCCAGTTGACCTCGGCCGGCCGTTGCTTCAAGAGCCTTGTCGATAGCAGTCTGGTCAAATTTCTGGTGGGATTGCAGATGCGTCATCATCTCGAGTTGGCCGCCTTCTGCTGCAGATGCAAACGCATCGTTTAGGGCCGATGGACCGAAATCGCGGGAGCCATTCAACATTTTCACCAACTCCAGCGAACCAGCCTGAGCCGCAGCACAGAATGCTGCTACAAGCGATTTGTCTTGGTATCTCTTCCGCTCGTACAGGTAGTCGACGATATCTCTCTTGCCATGCTTGATCGCACAAACGAGAGGCCACTCGTATCCATAAGAGGACCCGTTTTCAAAGTACTCGCCAAGCTCAGCGCCACTCTCTTCCATCATGAACTTGACAATTCCAAGATATCCACTACCAATCGCAATCGACATCGCGTGGAACACATCCCACGGATTCTTCTTGCCATAAATACCGTAAATGCAACGGAAGACGTGGACGTTGCCGTGACGGGCCGCCCAGTTGAGGATCTGTCTCGGGTTGTCCGTCTGTTCACAGATCACCCGAACAATGGAAAAAACTTTTTTTCATTCTCTCACCGGCTACTTTCAGTTTAGTGGGGATACATTGCATTCTCGACAGCTACATTGCATTTCGGACGGATTAATTTCATTTCGTCCATTTCATTTCGTACTCTCTTCATTGTCAATACAGTATTCAGTTAAGTTCATCAATAACATTAAAAAAAGTTTTAAGACCAACTATTTTTATCCATAAAATAGGACCTTGCAAACAAATTAAAGCCCCTTACAGCTTGCTATTTATTATGTAAAATGATTTGATATAGAAGCGGTTGTGTGAAGCATCGTCTACGCCTGCAACAAATAATACTATTGTTGTTGTTGCAGAAACATCATGCATGATATCTGAGGCGACGCAAAACACTACCAGTCTTAACACATAAGTACGCTAAGTAATTTTTACTAAACGAGGTTACCCGTAGTGAGTATCTGTGGAGGGACGTTTCTGGTTTTACAAAATTTACCTCAAACACCCATAACCCCAGCTGGGCACTTTGCTAGGACAAACAAGGAAAATGGTAGGACAAAACCGTTATTTACCGCAGTTAAGTATACTGTATCATAAGTTTTGTCCTAGCGGTCCGTCTAGGACAAAATTTGTGATACACTATACTGAAATGAAGTAAAAAACGATTTGTCTTCCCGTTTGTCCTAGCAAGAGGGGCGACTGGGGATAAGCTTCTATGGTATTTGAAGCTCAACCAGCATAAACAAACAGGTACTTGCTTTACTACTGCGAGGAGATGTTTTTTATTGAAGAACACGAGATAATATTGGGGTGAAATACATTGGACGCACAGCGGTACTCGAAAGTAATCCTATCTCAGCAAGCCTAGACAATGGGTCTTGCTTATAAAAACCGGACTGAAGTGACGTAAATGATCCGGTTTTGGAGGAGTACAGGTAGTCCTATTTTGTGATTATAATTTACATACTACATCGACCTCGTCTGAGCGGGTTCGAACGTGAGGAGTACGACCCCTTTGAGTTATTCGTTGCCCTGATATGTTGTCACTTGGACTAGCACCTGAACTATACTTGTTAGCACGCATCGTCGAATTATTCTCATTGCATCAGAAACGGTGAGCTAATAAATCACGAGTTTTTCTGTAAGCCCTCGTGAGCTCCTATGCCTACGACGTTAGTATTTGCTCTGGGTCGAGTAATACATACGTATGATGGACACGTTTAGGTTTGATAGTGGCGGAAAGCCGTACGCCCCGCATTTACAAGAATAATGGCGCCACCTACTACCACTGCTGCTAAGCAGGCAAGGTGTGAATCTGTGCGGAGCCTTTCTACGCGTGGTAACTGCATGGAGTGGTAGCCAAAAGGTGTAGTTAAAGCATGATGTGTAGTTAAAGCATGATGTGTGTGTGTTTGTGTGCAGATGATGGTGCAGTGGTGCAGGTCCAGCTAACGCTCAGCGAGCTCCGCACATTCGTAACCCTTAGATGAAACAACTAGCGTTGCGTCTATGGCGGCATTGGTAACGCTGTTACTGTACATGTAGATGGTGTTCTTATTAGAAGTTCTGCAAGTGTTAGGTACCAAGCTTAAACGGGTTAGTTGCTACTACCGTCGGTGGTTCATCGTTTAGATGATATGTGATTGGTAAGATAGAAGCCACGTTGCTTGATCAGTACACCATCAGACTCGCCCGATTAGCTCGGCTCTGGCTTAATTTAAGAATGAAGATGCACTCAACCTTTAAACTCCTCGTGTTCTAAAACTAATTCGCAATAGATGCAAGTTTGGCACTGATCACTTGGGCTACCTGGCGTACACATACCTCAAGTCTCATCTTGACCGTCACCGGCCTCTCCTGCATTCCGCCACGTCGAATATGTTATTGGTTTCGTGTTTGCGCTGCACCAAAAGAGCATGCTAATGATCCTGTCGTGTTTTGTGGGTTGTTCTCGCGACAGACGAGTCCAATTGTCTCAACTCGCGCATCTGTGAACGCCGTTGGGTTCCTGATATCATAGAATGGTTTGCGGAATACGTGCAACCTGCTTTCATTACTGCTGCACCAATTCAAATCCATCTACTTCCAGTGTACAAGCTTTTAGCTTTGTTTACTACGTTAGCAGACACCAGGCGGTAAATCCATGCTGTGTGCATACTTGGAATGCTTTGACGTGTATGTATGTGAGTGTATGGTGTGTGGGGGGTGGGGGTTCTGTTGTAGCATCATCCTTACTACATCTGGCTAGCAGATACAGATCGTACCACGTAGTCAACCCTAAGCACCAGCTTATGAGCCTAGTTCTGCATAGTGCTGTAGTGTCTTGCTTCCGAAAGAAGATGCTGTATATGAAACAGGAACCGTAGTTACGGTAGATGGTTTGATGTTTATTGCAGCGGGGCTGACGTAACGTACAATCAGAGGAAGCGTAATCGGCTCACAGACTCTGCGCTTAAGATAGTTCGCTCTAATATCTGAGTGTACGAGTCCGTACACCTTACGGACTCCAAGAGTAAACTCTAGTCTCTTCAGTATAAATCTCAAACAGATGTTTTCTCTTTATCGCGGCTAAGCTGCCGTACGGTGTAAATATATCTCGTTCACTATCTAGCATAACGAACCTTAGTCAAATGCGCTTCGTAACCCTTCGGGTACTCTCGGGTAACAGCTCTCGCAACGATAACATCCGCAACGAATAGTTGGCTTCATTTATGTACAGAACAAACCAAGCGGAGCCCCGCGAGGGCTCTTGACGAAAGTTGAAGCCAAGCCTTCGCCTCGCTTGCTCGGCGGCGTGTGGTCCACACACGGTCTTGTAATATGGAGGGTTCACGCAGTCCACGTGACTTGCCAAATACAATCGTAAGTGAAAACGTGACATTATGCAGCCAGCGCTCTAAAAAAGCGGGCACGGTGCTCCATAGTTAAGGGATCGTACTTGGTCGCTAAGGGCGCCAGAAATGTATACTAAGTATAGGATACACAAGTGGACTGATAATCACTAAGTGGCGTTTGTAGGACAAGTGAACGCAGTGAGCTCAATCAATGCAATATAACCCTTGTGAATGCAATAACACAATCGAAATGAAAACTAGCCAATAATACATGAAAAACAGACTTTTTGACCATAAATGGAAAGTAGCCGCTAAAAGAATGAAAAAAAAACGCGCCCCCCGAACAATCTCCTTCTGCTCGCTCGTCACTGCCTCCTCCAGTGCCTCCATCACGTCAAAGCTGTAAGGCGAGTGCTTGCCATAATGGTTGTAATACCAATTGTCGCCGTCAAGGTCGAATTCCTCCCAACGTGCCAGCAGAACTTTGACTGCACCGGCGTGTCCTCCATTTACGGCATTCATTAACGCTTGCTTGCACATTTGCTGCGGCTTGTAGCCGGGTTTTACCTACCACTTAAAGATAGTTTTAATGACCTCGTGGTGGCCGTGAGCGGCTGCGACGTCCGTGGCTGCACACCCGACGTGGTCCTTGTCTTGGCCGATTTGGGGCAAAAGTGTCCGCAGCCAGTCGATGTCATTGGAGGCCGCAGCTTCCACCGCCGAGTGCTCGGGGGTCGTGGAGAAGAGGTCGATGCGCTTCAAGACATGGGGGAGCGCCTGGATTCGGTGCGGGAACTTGGCCTCCTTCAGGCGCTTGAGCTGGCGAGCGTCGTAGTTGGCATCGCTGGAGTACCGAGGGCGTTTCATCTCGACTGCGAACTTTTGAGACCGGAAAATGTACAGCCCATGTTTTCGGGTTGGAGGGGGTGAAATGGCCCGCAAATCTATCGTGATGCCGAGACCAAATCGGCATCAGTGGCGTTTGAGAAGCATGAACGACCCGCAAACGTAGCCCCGAAGTAAGGCTTAGGTCTACAGTTCCCTGTCTAGCGCTGGGTCGGCCTTCTAAAGATTTTAAGGACAGGTAGAGCCACATTTAGCAGCTCGATTACCCAGTTCCCAGGGATTTGCAATAGATTTGGGTGCCATGACACCCGTCCTGAAAACCAAAACATGGATGTCCATGATTTCAGCATGTTTTACATGTTTGGAGATCTTACTTGGTTTTAGTATGCCTTTATCCCTAACCCTATTCCGAAACATGGGCTGTAGGACCAGCCTTTTGAGACTGACGAATGTATTTGCAATATTTGAGACGAGTGCATTCGCAATATAACGATTTGCACAAACTGGAATATTAGATTGACAGACGCCATTTTTCTTTCATTCTTGAATAGAATCTAAGAAAATCTACTTCAAGAATGCATAGCGCTCTATTTCTTCACGGTGCAGGACCACTTAGAAACTTGACACTCCTTGATCGCGAGTCGTTTCTAGCTCTCAGCAAAGAATTCTTGTGGTCTAGCCGGAACCTGCTACTTTTTCAGCGTCTGCTGCTTTTGCCTCAGAAAGTGGAAGACTCGTTCGGGAAGATCACGGGGCGATGTGAACTTGCCCAACGCCTTGTCGACCAGCGTATGGGGATCACATCTGCAACTGAGCAAACACTCCATGACGTAGAGATCTGCTCGCTTGGCAGCGCTTAAGAAAGCGTCCTCAAACGACTTTTGGTAATTTTGCCGGTTTTGTAGAGGGACTCCACTACTTCTATGCAGTTATCTCCGGCTGCCTTATGGAATGCTTCGTCAATAGACTGCACTGAAATGGATCCAGTAGAGTATAGGAATTCCACAACTGCGGCACTGCAGTGGCCACCTGCATATGGGAACAGCTCGTCAATCACCTCAGGGTACACGCTCCCTTTGTCATACAAGAACTTTAGAACACGAGCTTGATCTTTGCTAGTGTCGCCCACTTCTGGAATGTCCTTCACTGCATTCTCAAATGCAATGGTGACGACTTTCCGGGAGAAACTTCCTCTGCCATCCAAGAACTTCAGCATTTCCAAGTGACAGCCACAAGCTGCGCAAGCCGTAGAAACTCGATGGCCTTCAATATTCTCCAAGTACTTGGCAGCCTCCAGTTGGCCATTGCTCGCCGCCACACGAACGCCTTGTCGATGGCCTTACCATCAAATTCACGCTTTGATCATAGATACGTCATGGTCTCGAGTTGGCTTCTGCTAGCCGCAGATGCAAACGCCAGCTCCAGCGCGGGTCCATCGAATTTTTCCTTGTCGTAGAACATCTTGGCCAGCTCCAACGGCCCGTAGGCAGCTGCAGTGCAGAACGCTGGGACGTATGAGTCATCTTCGCAGCCAGTATCGTGGGCGTACAAGAAGTCCACCATCTCGCGTTGGCCGTGCTTGATCGCAGTAACCAGTGGGCACGGGGAACTGTCGTCGCCATCAACGTAATCGAGAAGTTCGGCGCCGCGTCTGCCTAACGCGGTCTTGGTGATATGCACGCACCCTCGAGAAACCGCAATCAGCAGAGCGCGGTACAAATTGTCCATATCGCTATCGCCACGGTGATAGTACACGTCGTCAAACACTTGCGCATCGTCGTGCTCAGCCGACCACTTGTATATTTCACCCGGGATTTTGCTATTCTCACAGATCACTCGAGCTGCTTTGTAGTGGTCGTGCTTCAGCGCCAATTCCAACGCCTCCAGAACGATGGTCATGGCGAACTGGTTGATACGCTTCATGACGTGAGGCAGAAACCGGATAGTGCGAGGTAGGTGTGCATCCTTCAGGCGCTTCTTCTGGCGGAGAGAGTAGTCGGGGGTGTCTTCGTCGTCGTCGCGCCCATGCTTCATCGCTGTACCAGTCCACGACTTGATGCTTATCAAAAAATTGTGATAAAATAGCAATAGAAGCTATTGTTAAATTTGTACTCCACAAAAATTCGGTTTCTGAATGTTACTTCGTGTTGCCGTTCAGATTTTTCGTGCTCCCCAGACGTTGAGGCGATCATCTGTTTCTACATACCACACAGATAGCGTCACATTAGTGTTGATGACCGAGTAAAAACTGCCGTTTTGTTTTCTAGGTGGCAGACCTCACCAACCATACTACCCAAATTCCCGAGCACAATACTACGAGGGTTTCGAGTTTGGAGAGCAGCTTTTTTCAACGATACGGCACCTGTTTCCTCCATCCCAGCGCTGCAACGTGCTACGAAGGATCTGCACTTTAATCCCCACACTGCCAAACACCAGAGATTGCTATCACTTCTCAAAACTCGCTCAAACTCCCAAGTTAAGTTTCAGGACTTCCTCATGCGTTTCCACTATATTGCTTTGGCGGCAGCAATCGCCCTTGCTGGTGCCGAGGGCATCTCAACCACTCCGGAGTCCAAGTTGGCCAAGCCTGAACTTCCAGCTCTTCCCCGTCGTCTCAACAGGATTCCGACCAAAAGGCTCCTGGGTGCTCACAAGGCAGCGGATGCTTCTGAAGAGGACGAAGAGAGGGTTGGGTTCTTCAGCTCAATGAACCTGGGCTTCATCGATGATGCCATCGACAACGTGCAGGTAAAGTTGCTCCTCGACGGTCTCAAGAAGAAAGAAACAAGCGTGGGTAATGCCTACAAGGCTCTGCAGGCGGACAAGGTGACGGACAATCTTCTGGCGAGCAAGGAGTTCAAGTTGCTGCAGCAGTACGTGAAGATGACACACGAGAAAGAGCGATCGCGAAGGCCATGACGATCAACTTGGGCGGTGACGGCTTCTCCAAGACGATTTCCGCTGCGATGAAAAATCCAAGCACCAAGGAAATGGCCACGGCTCTGGAAGCTGCGCAGCTCAGTCGCTGGCTGAAGCTGAATCTCAACCCTGCCGATGTACTGAAGGTGCAGAAGCTCGACAAGGCGAGTGACGCGTTATTTGACAGTCCTCAATTCAAAATGTGGTCCAGATACCTGGTGTCTTACAACAACAAGAACCCCACGAAGGAGGTGACGGTGGCCGGGGCCTTCACCAAGAGCTATGGAGAAGAAGGCGTTCTCAAGCTCGTGACGTCACTAGACGACGGTCCTGGGGCTGCGAAGTTCAGGGACGAGATGGTCAAGGGTTGGCTGGCCAATCCCGATCACCCGGCAAACAGGTTCAAGATCATGAAGCTTGACGAAGCAGGGGACGATCTCCTCAGCAGCCCACTGCTGGACATGTGGGTCAAGTACATGAAGGCGTACAATAAGGAGTATCCGTTCGCGAAGACGACGATGATCCAGACGTTCACCAAGAGTTACGGTGATGACAAGCTGGCGACGATGATTGAAGCGGCGACGAAAGTGCCGAAGACGGAGCAATTCGCGAAGAACCTGCAGACTGCCCAGTTCAAGCAGTGGATGGTGGAAAAGAAGACCCCGGACGTCGTCTACAAGAGCGTCCTAAAGCTGGACTCGGACAGCAGCCCGAACGCTGTCATCTGGCGCAAGTACAAAAGTGCCTACAACAATGAGCACTCGTTCTCGTTCAAGCCATAAACGGCTAAATACATGTAGACTTTTCGCGAATTTTGAGCTCAGTTGTGGATCCGGGTGGAGGACTCAAGCATTTTTTTTCACAAAAGTAAATATCATGTGTGAGGTCTTTCCCTGAAGCCGTTTCACGTAAGCGTCCAGGGGGAACTGCACGTCCAGAGTTTTTTATAGAAACATTATTTTTTCTCAAATGACAATGCGTATCCGCGAGCCCACTAGCATCTTCAGCGAGCTTGACTTCGCTCATTAATGCCTAGTACAATGTCTTGCAGTGTTCACAGCAGAAATGTTTAGAACAAGACCTTGCCTTATGAATATCTAACATAAAATGCAGACGAAACCGTTCTGTTGATACTCTTTTGGCGAAACAAAGCAGCAAAGCCGTTGGCACCGCTCATGCAGCACCCCCGTTAGCTTGATTCTTACGGATGGACCCGTAAACGGTTTTGTATATAACTCGAATTGTGGGTATTTATGTACAATCTTACTCTAGGTGCCTGCGATTTCAAATTACTCGCATCACCGTTGAGGTTTACTTGAGATCGAGCCGCAACCAACTACAAGTAATGCGGTTAATAGCACGCGTTTCAACTTGCGGCATTTCACGCAAAAGCATGACAATGATCATCCAGTTTCCTAACGTGGTTTTCTAACTTGCCTGACTACTCAGCTTTAAGTTTTGAAAGTTTTGACTCCCAGCTTGGGGTATAGCATCCCCTCGACCGGAATGTCAGCGTACACACACAGTAGTTCTACCCTGCTTCACCTCCATGATCGTGACACTGCGGTAATGATCGTGCTTAAGTATGAAGAAGGCTTGTGTGCTCCGCAAACATGTTAGTGATTTTTACAACACACTTACTTACAGTTAGTGCTGTTTGCAAACGCGTTTGTATGTTTGCTGCTCTATCACTAGCAGATCAAATTAATGTCTACTGTTACCGGGTCATCCTTACTTTTGAGTACATTTCGCGGACTTTCGAGTAAGGAGTAATGTGCTCGAGTACAACGTAAACTTCATTTAAACTCGAGCGATGCGTCAGCTTGAAACTATTGACTAAACTCTAAAGACGTTGCTTGTTGGGATGTCATTCACGTACACAAATAACGTGCTACAACCCCTTTAAGGCAACTTATCTTTTGTTTTCTGCTAGATGACGCTGAACTCCCTATTAGCTTACTCACGTCCGCATAAGTGGATCGATGCGTTACTTCCCCAGATGCATTCACATTGTATCCTCCTCCGGTCTGGTCCAAGGTGGCGCATGCCGGACGCGTCATCTTCCTAAGTCCCATTATGTGGAATTACTCAGAAGTCAGTGAAACGCACTCACAATTAAGTAGCACCCGTTGTCGAGTCCACAATCCATGTACACACCACGGTTTAGCAAGAGTAATCGCGCTAAGAAGAAGACCTTCGCGTGCAAGTCAGCTTCCGACAAGTGAAAAGAGCTTCAACTCTTTTTAGTTCATAGTTAACAATGGTCTACTTAAGTAACTCCACAAACATGTAAGCCAGATTCACAACACAGTAACAAACAGTTTGCAAATACTACTGTTAGCTATACAGTTAGTGTTGGTGCGAACACTAAAACAAGCAGAAGAAGGGTCTGATTAACAAGTTTGCGGGCATGCCGTGTCGCTAGCTTTGGTAAAAAAAATGTGGTAAGATTTCGCGCTGTATCAATTTGCTCTGTATTCATGAACGTGAATAAGCACTTAGGGCGGTGCTTGTTGTAATGTGCTCTCTTCCTGAACTCGACATCTTTCAGACAGATCCTTTCTGAATGAGAGTTTTGTGAAACTAGATCGTCTTCGACTTGGCTGGTAACACCTGTGGAATAAAATGCTGGTGCTGGTACCGGTGCTAATTGCCGTGATGACTGTAGCCCGCGTGATTCAAGGGCGTGGCCCCGCAGGGGCCACACCCATGAATATCGCGCGTGCCGCAGTTCACTTTCTGAAGCTCTGTTGACGTGCATTTCCTGCCTCAGTCTGTCTTGCTGAAAGTTACCGTTGAACCTGCTCGGTCGACATCCTTCTGGCTGGTGTAGCACGAAGGTTGCGCCAGGTTACGCTTACGCGTCCAATTAATCCGTTGGGAGCTGTCCACCCCCTCATTCTTCGGGTGTTCCCAGTATAACTAGAAAGCTATAATCCTTCACCATTATGTTTATTAAGCCACAAATTTCAGAGCGACTTTGTCTGCGATATCATCTCTATCTATCCCTTATCGATCCATCAGATCGCTGTGTTGATTGAGGAGGCATGGCAACGGTCCGTGTAGTATGAATGTCGTTCGATGCCATTCAAAAACCTCCCCTAATCGACAGTTCTTCGAACTACGAGCTCGTCAAAATAACCCTTTAACTACAATGTCTTCGGAAAAAATACTCTTGAGATGCGCTTACTGCAGTGGTATGATTAACGAAGAGGAATGGGGAATTTTACCATATTGTGAAGCATTTGACTAACCACGGGAAATTATTCGGCGTCGCTCTAGCTATCGTTGTCGTCGGCTTACACTTCCTCGGGACTCCAGCGCCTCTCGCGCAAATTGATGCAGCCTCAGGTACATATTCGCACCCATGGGGCGAATAATCCTTTGCGGGGATCACCCTTGACCTCACTTGTCCCTGCCGGTACCGCCAAGTTGTCCTGGAGGAACATCCCGTCGTGGAAGCTCTTGCTCTTCGCGAAGTGCCGGGCCTCCGTCCAGCGCTTGATGTCCACGTGGTGCCTGCTCTCCGACAGGCGCTTGATCCCCACGTGGTGGCTGTTTACCGCAAAGCGCTTCGAGCCACACTTGGGGCGAAGCTTGGACTGGGGGACACACAGCCCAATGACGCAGACCATAGGCGGACTTAGCGGGAAGTACGCGCACAACCATTGTGCGCCGTCAGCAAGACCTTCCAGGCGTGTGCGCCGTCCGTGAGAAATAGGAGAGTGAGGGAAGTTGCGTAGACGTAAAGGAACGGGGTTCGATTTCGCATTCCATAGTCTTTGGCAAGCCAAGATACTGATGGGCTCATTCACGATTAATATTTTGTGATCTTACTTTTTGTTCGTCCTCTCCAAGAACTCGCTTTCGCACTTCTATAGAAATTGTAGCAATACAGTACGTACACAATTTTTTGACGCAGCGGTAGGAAAGTCGACTTCGAAGAGAGACACAAAACAGGCAAGAATTGGTCAAGTACAGTATCGGAAATATGTAAAAAAAAAAATAAGGATGGAGAGGCTGATGCTGCCAGTTGCGTGTGACCCGTGCCACCTGCAATCCTTGATGATAAAGCGCTATTCTCCTAGACGAATCAGTGTCAGGTAACTTGTGCTTTTCATACTGGGCTGAAAGTTCCTCCCCATCTCCAATTCGCATAGTGCACGTCAGCGTACTGGTGGAGTAGCTTTCGGAATTGATGCAGTATGGGCGAGTGACGGTTGTTGACCCTTTGATCAATCCGATCGAGAAGTTGTTGCTGGTGCACAAGTACGTGACCACGGCCACCACTAAGTAGGTCCCAGTCCCCAGATTCCGAAGAATTCCATCATTTCCATTCGAATAATTCTCGAGATTCCACCAGCACACACGATCCCTGTCGGCCTTAGCTGTTGCCATTAATTGAATAATTTTGGGACTCTCGCTAGAACTTTGAGCAGGTTTCAAACGCAGAGCCCTCATTTCATCCTGCAGGTCACTGCAAAAGTCGTCGTACCCTCAACCTCGGCAAATTCTTTCATTGACTCGAATGAGGACACGGAGGGCTCGGGAGGTCCATGGGAGCGTCAGGTTGTTCATTGTGTGGCTAGCTCCGAAAGTTCGCGAAGTCCTGTGCGGATACTGAGCATTCCCATCAATCGGAATCGAATCTGAACCTGTCCAACCGAAAGGCCGTCGTACTTTTCCATGTGTCGTGTTCATTTCTAAATCCCACAACCAAGACTCCAATAAGGAATTGTTCCACTCGATTCTCCAGTTGCAGCAGCATTCCAATCACTTTTGAAAAATACTCTGACAGGAAGATCATCGATTCCTATGGCCAAACCCTCGCTAGTATTTCCAAGAAGTTTGCACTGTTCTAGTGGTTTGGAGAGTGGCAGGTAGGAGTTCTTATAGTTTGAACCATTTACCACCCACATGGGAAATTATTCCTCGTCGCTGTAGCTATCGCTGTCGTCGGCATACATTTCCTCGACGAATTTGCTGTACTCCAGCGCCTCGTGTGCAAATTGACGCAGACCCAGGTACATGTTCGCACCCACGGGGCGGATACTACTTTGAGGCGATACAAAGTCGTCACCCTCGACCTCAATCGTCAACGCCGGCACCGTCAAGTTGAACTGCAGGAACATGCCGTCGTCGAAGCACCCGTAGGCCTTGTAGAGGTACGCCCCCGTCTCGCTTTGGTACTGCACTTCAGGCTTAGTCGATAGCGCCTTACGTACGCTATCCCCCAGCGCTCGCATTCTTGAACCGAACGGCTCAGCACCCTCTCCTGGTTGATTGCTGAATGGACGCAGCACCTGCCCGCCGAACGTATGCATGTCCACGAGGCCACTCAGCGACTCTAGACTCGTAATGAAGTTAAACAGCCCCGCTGTAGAGGGCTCACTGAGTGGGTATTCACCAGGGTACGTCTCTTCGTCCACGTCACTGGGGTCAAGGTTGAAATACTCCTTCGGTGGCCAGTTCCGGTTCAAGTCCACGCCAGCATCTCTACCGTTCACCTTGGTAATGTGGCGGTTGGTCCGCCACATCCGATCGACTTCCCACGTGTACTGGTACCCGTCAATATTCACGATCGGCACGAAATACCAGTCGACCTTGTTGAACAAACTCGTTACGGCTTCGTCTCCAGCTCGAAGACCGTCCAGCATGGACGCCATCGTGTAGAACGTAGCAGCTCCCGCCTGCCACTCGCGAGCGTGGATAAGCGCCTGCGTGTACAGCACCTTCTTCTCGCTGGTCTCCCCTGAGTTGGTCGAGATCTTGAAAGCCGGGATCGACTGGCCCTCGTACGTCACCGAGACGATCTCGTACTTGGTAATAAACTGCGGGTTCTGCTCCGTCAGCGTGTCGAGGAAATCAAAAACCTCGTGCGACGGTCTAAAGCACTCGAAGAACGGGCTCTCAGTGTACACCACTCCACTACTCGATCCATTGTCCGTCTCTTTCAACGCGTCCAGATACCCCTCCGTGCGCTCCAGACACGCCGTGACCTCCCCTCTGTCCTTCGCCACGACTTGAGCCTCGTTGTACTCTTTGTGCTTAAGAACCTTCAACGGGGACGACGCCGTCGACACTTTGCCCCGGATGTGCTTGCCCATGTGGATGTCAGTGGTCGAGTGGAGCTCCCCAGCGGCCGCAAAGGCCTCTACGTCCTTGTCGGAGCCCACGACGTCCGCCCTCACTTGCGTATCCGCAGTGACTGGCTGGTCGGTGTCTTGAATTGCTTTGATACTGCGGATATCGAGGTGGCCGCGTGCTGTCCGCAGCGCTGCGTCCATTCCTGCCTTCGTGCCTTCAATGGTGTAGCGGTATCTCGATGCGTGGTGGTGACGGTGCGCTGCAGCTGAGGCGTTGCATTCCTCCAGCAGAGGCGAAAGCAACGCTGCTGCGACGTATAACACGCTCCAGACCTTCATGCGCTTCGGTTGTTGATCCCTTGCGGTCGGCGGATATCTCGGAATGACACAATTGAAGCAATGGCGCGCGTCCAGCAGCAATGGCTACGTAACGGAAATCCAGAAGTCAGGTAAAATAGGTTTTTGGGACGGATCTGATATTTTTGGAACAGAGAGTCAGATATGACCTCCCGCTAAAGTTTTTTATTGAGTTCCTAGATAGACAGAATCAGATCGTGCGATACTTAAGTGAAAAGTCCAGGTAACATTGAACCTGGGATCTCATGAAGGCAGCATGAATCTTGGGTTGTACGGCTGCGAGGTTTTCACGAACTCGATGGTTTGGCGGACGAGGGCTTCCATCTTGCGGTGTGATATGAGACTTCGGAAGTGAGGGTGGCGAGGTCGCTCCATCGTCTGTTAAAAAGAATAAACGTTTGGTTAACCAACAGAGAAATTACAGTTGCAAGATACACACGTACGAAGAACTCCTTGAACTTGTCGAGCACGACGAGTTGACGCCGATCGCGTTCATGTTGCTGATATCGAGCGATCTCCAACTTGAAGCGGTAGATCTCGGATCGGAAGTTTTTGCGTTCTTCGCGCAGTTTGTCTCGAAGAGCTCCCCACACTATTGGCGCTGGAATCCGCGGACAGTCACGAAGCAGATCCACGACGTAATAGGACAACTCGCCTTCAGCGATAGGCTGAGCGGCATTGCTGCGACGCAGACGCTGACGGCTGCTCCGCTTGCGAACTTGTGACATCGAAGTGACCCTTTCACCGTTGGAGCCACCGGGAATGCTTATTCGTCGGGAACTTCCTCCTGGGGCCTCTTCCGCCTCCTCCAGCTCGGCATTGTTGGTTTGAGCGAGCATATCTGCAATGTCGCGCTGGGACCCACCGCCGGGGAAGGGCGAGCCGAGCGGGTATCCAGCCAGCCGCTCCAGCTTGTCTTTCCAGTCGAGCAATGGCGCTAGAACGAGACTCGAGGCATCCGTGATCAGCACGAATCGACTGGCACCAGGCCTGAACACCATCAAGTACGGTCTGCACTCGACATCCCCTTCATTCTCAGCCCCACGTGTCGAACTTGGAGATGCATTCGCAAATCCGTGCCCATGGCAGCGGAAATGTTTCACTTCGACCTCCAAGCGCTCCTTTGTCGGGCTTTCCGGGGCTTTGGCACCTGTTTCAACTTCCGAATCCGTAGCGTACGCTCGTAGGACGCCGTCAGGGCTCAATACGAACCGCGCAGTGAACCATCGCTTCTGCTCCGGAAGGTTGAGCAGCTTATGCAACGGAAGCTGAGCTTCCACCGCCACCGTTTGAACTGAGGCGCCTACTACTGAGGCTCGCCTCTTTGCCAACGCGCTAGACGCGCCAGCAGGAGAGAACGCGCCTGCGGTCGCAGGAGGCTGGAACACTCTCTGTAAGTGGGGCATCTGTGCGATATGCTCCGTGCGCAGTCGGTGCTCAACAACCAGCCACTTGTACGCTAAGCATTGCTCGCGGGCGCGCACAACAAGCCGCGCTCGGCGCCACCAGCGCTGGAGCACAATAATCCGGCGCTGCACCCGTCGAACTGCCATCGCGAATCGAACATCCACCGAAAGACCAGACAAAAAACTTCGCAGCAGGTTTGCAGCGCGAATCTTCCGCTCAACTCGTAGCCTGAGGCGATAGCTGAAGGTGCTACTCGCGATAAGTGCCGCCGCTAGGGAACGCATCGCCTCTCGATCGCGGACGTGTGTCCAGGACTGGAAGGTGATGCGTTTGTAGCGCAGTTCTTGAGCACGACGGAGTCGATGCAATACTGCGGCCACGACGAGCAGCCTCACGAACTTGGTTTGCGCGACAGAAAGCACGACTAGTGTACTCCACGCTTGCGAGACTGTCTGTTGGGTCTCCAGATCTTGTACCTCATCCGGAACAGCACCAACGGAGCTTCGCCGCCTATGGACAACTTCTGCTAAATCACTTGAATTCATGCAGAAGAGCGAGTTCCGACGCGGTACCAAAGAAAACCTTCGTCCGTCTTCTTCCTCGACGATTCTTGGCTGCGGTTTGATAGCAGCCTCTCGCATCCGTCTTCGTTGTCGTTGTTCGGCAGACATGCTCTCAATTGCCGCCTTGTTACGCGCAATATAGTCGATAGCAGGCGAGTTCTGAGCCGAGTTTTGGAAAATCTCTCGTCGTCGACCTGGAAATCGCGGGCTACGGCTCCAGTTGGGAATTCCACCTCCGCTCTTCGAGGCCATGTCTCCTGGTGCTGCGAAGCCGCTGGCTGGTACGTAGTAGTAGCTCGACACGACGTCCGCTGTCGCTGGAGCCACCGCGATGGACCCTCGAGGGGGTTCCGCCGTCTGCGTCTGTCTTGGAAGTTGGGAAAACACGACGCGAGCAGAGCGTTTAGCAATGAAGCGATCGTCAGGGAGATACTGGCCAGGTCCTGGAGCGTGTGAATCGGCGATGCCGCCGCCCGCGTGCTCTCGAAACCTGTCGGCCGGACTGAACTTGACGCTGCCGGTTGTAGCGGGTCGTCGGGGAACGACGTCGTATTGACCAGGTCCGAGTGCGAAGAGGGAGGACTTGACCGCTGTACGAGATGAAGTGGTCGTGCGATGGAACGCGACGCCTCCTTCGGCTTTCAGCGTCGAGCGCGGCGGAGAACTGGGAGAGAGCGGGGCAGCACGCGCTCTACTACGTGCTTCAGCAGTGAAAAGTTGTCTGGAGGACTCAAGGATGCGACTTCGACAGTAGTTTCCACTATGTGCATCGCGTTTGGATGGAGATCCTGGAGTGTTTGAGGCTGCGATTGCTAGGGGATGTCGATATGTGGACTGGAAGGCGGTGCGGACTCGTGTACGGTATTCTTGCAGTTGCAGCATCATGGCATGCGAGGTGTAGGAGGTCGGAGCCACTTGAGGTAATGGAGGTCGACATGACGCTGACTCGGTCGAAGCTGGGGGAGCTGCAGGTGGGGGCTTTTCTCCTTTACTTGCAGCGCCGTCATAGCCATTGAGGAGCCTTGCGACCATCATTTGTACGCCTTGATCTTGGGTGAAAAGTCCAACGAGTTCGTCAAAGCCTTAGCTTGCTTGCTCCAGCACAAATAACTTCGGCAAGTGAAGAACAAGAGCACAATGAATAAATGCGACTGTCTTTCTTTAGCTTGCGTGGTCTTGATGTTACGCACCGTTTTGGACTGCAGGCATCGAGTCGCAGCTTACCAGCCCATGGCACAGCCGTCGGCGCGTCCATCGGAGCCAGCACAGAGCACTCCCGTCTTCGGATCCCGCAGAATGATCTGACCGCGACCGAAAGTCGATCGCTTGAAGCCCCCCACCTCTTGAATGTTGTGGCCAAACTCGTCACGCAGCGCTGCGATCACGTCGGGCCCGAGGTCCTTTTCGACCAGAACGGAGCTGCCACCGTCGCTCCGGCCGGGCTTGGTTGGACGATCCACATCGATCATGAAGCGAGGAGCGTCCAGCGCCTCCTGCGGGTTCATCCCGTGCAGCAGCATGTGGCTCAGCACCTGGACGTGGCCCTGGGGCTGCATGAAGCCGCCCATGACGGAGAAACTCGAGTGCAGCTCGCCCGAGTCCGCGAGGGTCGACAGTCCGGGGATGATCGTGTGGTACGGCCGCTTGTTCGGAGCCAAAGTGTTCGGGTGCCCTACGTTGGCGCCGTGCAGCTCGAAGTTGCAGCCGCGGTTCTGCAGCGTGAAACCGCAGCCCTTGGGCACAAGGCCCGTGCCGAATCCTTCGTAGTTGCTGTTCACCATCGACACGGCGTTGCCCTGACCGTCAATGACCTGGAAACTCACAGTGTCACAGCTGAGCTCGGGGCTGCCGTGCTTCGGGTCGATCGCCGCCTTTTTCCGGTTCACCAACGTCGCGCGCTTCTTGGCGTAACTTTCACTCAGCAGTTCGTCAACAGGCAGCGACGTGTTGTGCTCCATGTCGCTCACGAACCACTTGGCATCAGCGAAGGCGAGACGAAGGGCCTCAATCTGCAGATGGACCTCCTCAGCACTTCCCCTCTCGGGCAACCCTCCATCCTTCGTGAGCTGCGACAGAATGTTCAACGCTAGCAGCGCAGTGATCCCCTGTCCATTGGGCGGGATCTCATGGACATCAACCCCCTGGAATCGCGTGCTAATGGGCGTGACGAACGTCGACGTGTGGTTCTTGAGGTCGTCAACGGTCATCACTCCTCCCTTCTCCTTCACCATACTCACAATGGCTTGCGCAATGCGTCCATCATCATAGAACGCCTTCTTGCCCTTCGTCACGATTTCTTCCAAGCATCCAGCCAAGTTCTCGTTCTTAAAGATCTCCCCAGCCTTCGGGGCTTCCCCGTCAGCATTCAGCAGCTCTGCGGCATTGGATCCACGCAGCAATTGGCTCTTGCCACGCTCCCAACTGGCCGCCGTCAACGGACTCACAGGGAACCCCTCTCTTGCCAACTCAATGGCAGGACCCAGGATCTCCCCCAAAGTCAACGTCCCCCAGGCGTCCACTGCATCCACCCAGCCTGCCACAGTGCCGGGTACCGTGACAGCGTGGCCGTGGCCACTGGGGATGACGCTGGCGTCCTGTCCAAGGTCTTTGATCGCCTGCTCGGCCGTGAGAGCCGCAGGACTGCGGCCGCTGCCGTTGAGGCCGCGCACCTGCTTGGTCTGGGCGTCGAAGAAGAGCAGGAAGCAGTCGCCCCCCACGCCCGTGGAGCACGGCTCCGTGACGTTCAGGGCGGCGGCGATGGCGATGGCCGCGTCCACGGCGTTGCCGCCTTGCTTCAAGATGCGCAGGCCGATCTCGGACGCCAAGGGCTGCGAGCACGAGACGATTCCGTGGCGGCCGTAGACCGGCGAGCGCGTGCCGATGGAGACCATGAGGCAGTTGGGGGTGGTGAGGGTGTTGGACTTGCTGGCGGGGCGGTGGATTGAGGAATGAGAGCGTGGAGGGGGGGGTTGAGATTGACACGCAAGGTGAAGTGACGTGGGGGTTGACGTACTGGCGGTTGGACGGAGACTTCAAGCGCTGTGTAGGATGTGTGTACGCATGGGTTTGATTAGCTAAGTGGACCACACAAGTTGGCTGACCTGGCCACTTCAACTAAGTTAACTGTAAAGTTACGGTTGATGCCCCCAGACTTGCAGTAGATTTCCGAGAAGGGGACCGCTGATGGCTGAGAGAGTTTGGCCTGAAGGTCAACCGTCGGGCATTTCGGACTGCTCAGTTGAGAATTTCCCGGCTCGGCAGCAAGCGACTCCATCGACAGTCTTCGGCCAAAGGATGCCGTACACCCAAGCAGCCAGGATGGTACGTAACTAAACTATAAGGAGGGTTGCTGTGGAATATTGCGTGTGGATTATCTTTTCTTGTTGCTTGTTTGTGCTGTTGCCCAGTCGAGCAAACACCCAGTGATCCAGCTTAGACGCAGTGGCGTGCACAAGTGCAACTGCCGGGCTGCACCGCTCACGACGGTCTTGAACAACGCCTGGCTGTACGACAGCCACGCACGTCGTACGTAACCTACGTAGCTAGAGCTAGAGCTAAGCCGTGTTATATGATACTGCATGCAGGCCGAGGGCGATGGACGTGGTGCAGCTGGCGCGGCTGCACAAGTTCCGGGATTTCTTGAAGTTCGACCGCCCCAGCGTCAAGCGAGTGGTCATGGAGCTGACTCCAGACTCGATGGCGGATGCCCACGAGCAGGGATCCCGAAAAATAAATACGCCCGGAAATATATTTGTATTTTCGGAATCAATATTTTATTGTAGGTATACCTCCTTGGTTTATCCGGTATTTATTCCAGCATAGATCAAAACTTCTAGATTTAATTTCTGCGGTTGAATATATCCTTCATGATTGAGAAGTTTTTCCCCCTAATTTTCATTGTGTTAACGCCATCAAATTTTCCCTTTATGCTAAAATGATGTTGTTCAGCAACCTTAACACGGATGTGGCGACCGTGGGCAGTGTTTGTAAGAACCCATGAAGGTAACACGATTGCAGCAATTTACTGAATAATTTACTGCGTCAGCACGGGGTCTTCAGATTATTTATTTCTTCTCTCCTTGGTATACAAACAAATACGTATTTCGTTAACTTGAGAAAATAGATATGTATCGTATTTTCGGCACGCCTGCCCACGAGTACGCGCGTTTCCGCGAGTATCTCGTCAGAGGGCGGCAAGACCAGCCGCGCGCCGGGGTGGCTCTGAAAATGGAGTCACAGGGGTACAAAGTATTCATTTACCCCCCGGCCAAGAAGCCAGGTGCCTCGGCTACTACGGCGACATGATGGTCGCGGTGATTCGATCAAGTTGGTGACTGAACGACATGAACCTCGCCGTCTCAGCGTTACGCAATGCTAACCCCTCAGGACTAAACGTAATCTACAACACTGGAGAGGGAAAAGAGCCTCGCGATGTTGCCTTGCGCACAAAATTCCTCGGTAGTTCGCTAGCAGATTTCCTACGTAAATCTCTCTCCTTCTTTGCTTTTCAGATCCACGCGTGCACCAGAAGTTTGGCGGCCTGAAATGATCGAGCTAACGAGCTTTCATAGTCGTAATCCTCGTCAGCTTGATCATGTCAGGCCGCCGCAACTTGGGAAACGCTTGTCCGCCTTGTGTATCCATCACGAAATGTTAGTCGTGAATGAACTCCATCAGTATCTTGGTGGAATGCAAAATCGAATTCCGTTCGAATGAGAGCCTTTACGTCTACACAGCGCCATATTCTTTTCTCACTCCCCAACTTCCCATCGACGGCGCACACGCTTGGAAGATCTTGCCGACGCTGAATCCACGCGCGCAATGGTGGTGCGGGTACTTACCGCTGGGTCCGCCCATGATCTGCGTCATTGGGCTGTGCGTCCCGCAGTCCATGCTCCGCCTCATGTGTGGCTCCAAGCGCTTTGCGGCAAACAACCGCCCCGTGGGGACCAAGCGCCTGTCGGAGAGTTGGCACCGCGTGCACATCAATCGCTGGTCGGAGAGCTAGCACCCCGCGAGCACCAAACGCTTGTCAGATGCTCGGCACTACGCGAAGAGAAAGAGCTCCCACGAGGACAACTTGACGGCGCCGGCATTGACAAGTGAGGGTGATCCCCGCAAAGTAGTATTCGCCCCGTGGGTGCGAACATGTACCTGGGTCTGCGTCAATTTGCACACGAGGCGCTGGAGTACACCAAATTCGTCGAGGAAGTGTATGCCGACGACAGCGATAGCTTTTTTTACTGCGGTTATCGCCGGAGCACTCGGGCGATAGCTACAGCGACGACGAATTAACTTCCATGGTTGGTTAAATGCTTCAAAATATAAAAGGCTCAAATATGCCTGTCATTTTCCAGTGAGGTTTTGGAATCGATTATCATTGTTTGTCAAAGTATTTCCCAAAGAGTTAGCTAACAGTTTCCAAAATGCTGCTTTCAGGCTCAACTCGAGCGCAACAGCGAGTTCGCGTTGTCTGGGTCGCGTACGCTAATGGTTAAATCGATTGGCGGGAAAAGAATTCTTTACCTACTGTATTGTCGATGCGTAGCGGTACTCGGTATCACCGTTTTAATAGATGATGATGATGAGGTATATTGAACAACTGGGTAACTTCCGAGTCCTAACAACCCTACTGCCGTGGTTTTACCCTTGGCCGATTCTCACTACTTACGTCTTCGTTTGCTGTTCTTCGGGGTCTGCCAGCAGAACCTGCGCGTCTCCCCTTCTATTAGACCATTCCACGAGGCCTTCTTGCAGAAGCTGCGGCATTCTGGGGAATGCCAAGTTGAGGTACTCTGGTGTTGGTTCCAGCGTCTGCCCAGACTCCACCGCCGCAGTTGCCAGACTACACGAACCCTGGTTTGCCGCTTTGGAGGTTTGCATCCATGGTATCACCGTTTTAATAGTCCGGGAGTCCAAGCACGAGCCATACGCGCGAGTTGTACATCGACTGAATCCAATTCCACAGCAGCATACATACATAAGAACGGTTTTTAACGCCAACCGGGTTTCTTCGGTTGCAGCTAAAGACTGTTGTTATGATCACTTGGGGCTCCTGTGTCCCTGTGGGTAAGGCCCACGAGGGTTCGAGTCTCGCCCGGAGCGATTCCGATACAAACGCCACGTAAGTCTATTTTCCGACCCCCGACTACCTCCATCACTATCCCCTGGAACCCCCTAAGTCACCCCCCTTATGGAACTCCCGATTAACCTCTGCAACCGCATCCCCTCAAACCGCCGCCTCACCACGACCTCAGGAAGGGAAACCGATCAACTAGGAATAGTTTAGGGTAACTCACTTAGACGTCAAAGTGCCAGCTTCCAGCAGGCTCCGAAATAAGTGCCTAAATATACGCCACCAGGTCAAGTATGATCACTAACCCTTTGCAATAATATACTTACTTTGACATAAACGGTATTTATTAATAATAGTAGCCTCACCAAAAAAAAGAATCATTCCATGCAGCTTATACCATCTAGTGCTCGTCAGTGTCTATGTTTTTTCTTCTTGTCAACCATGATATTGGCACCAGACTATGGATATGCCGGCATCGCTTCGTAAAATGTTCATGGTCGTTGGGGAATACGAACCTTGCTGTTCTGTAAAAGTAAGTTTTCTTTTCTTACTATTTAAAATCGAAATGTGGTGGCATAAATATTCACCCACCTATTCGCAGGCAATGTATTTTCAAAATGATAGCAACTAAGCTTACTCATAACAACATATATTTAGCCGTCTAACCGCATTCATTGCGGCATCGTACTACCGTATAGTATTGTATTCCAGTTAGATTGAGCCGCAATTTCAACAACAAGTCAATTAACCTCGTAAGCATGATAGACTTTATATGGGCTCGTATACTGATCGGGTCGGTGGATTTGGTCGGGCTTCGCCTGGGTGAGCTCCTCGTTTGCACCGCCAATTTCGCTTCGCTCATGGCGGGCAAGGCGTCGGTAAAAAGATAGTAACTCCTACTTAGGCATACCTACTCCGGCCCACGCGCCGACCATTGCAGACCTACGCTTCGCTACGGTTGCAAACGGTCTCTCTGAGGCCTCTCTCGACAGTGTTTGATCGTTCTACAACACTACAATTGTGTATATTGTATTGTATTGTGAACGTTAGTGCGCCTTTCGCTTAGGGAATCGGTAATGTACACTCGTAGGTTCTGGAGCTTTCGCGCGCTTTTTCAGACCACAAGTTGCAGGCTACAAGTTGTCGCTACTGACACAACGTAAGAGCAATGAGTGCTTTGGTGGTGCCCATGCAGCGGGCTGTACTCGTAGCCCTCTTCAAGCTGCAGACCGAGAAAAGTAATATAAACACACTCCAAACGTGGTCCACACACACCAATCAGTATATGACCCCATTAATATTCTACGGGAAGCATTACTTCGAAGTACAAGAAATGTTTACGATCGCATTGTTCCATTGAAGCACGCAGCTCGGTGGGCCTCTGCGTCCTTGGCTCTCGATGCTTCGACGGTACGTAGGACGCATCTCGACTGCAGCACATCCTGAGGGCATTTCTAGTGACGAAAGGACAACTGGAGGTGACTTCGTAGTCGAGTTCCGACACAGGCAATACCTGCTCACTCTTCTGCTAGAAGAATACTTCTAGGGACTAGGAGTCCAGAAGAGTTAAGCATTAGCAGATCCATAGTCATTCGACTCCACAACTCGGTATAGTAGAACTCGAAAACAACGTCGAGGTGTTACATGTACTGTAGCTGACTACGTGGAACCACTAATCAGGTGCGACAGTGAGTAATTGAGCAAAGCACGATCGAACTGTCCATGAATCTACCGTGTAATACAGAGACCGCGTCAAACAAAAAGACGCTAAGCCACCATTTGGAGTTATCAAGATAATCGGGTTTAAAGTTGACCAATCAAATTTCGGGCATAACCGGACATCAAAAATTTGAAAGTGAAAACCACTCGTAAAACGCGTAAAAACACTCTTATTCGATTGCTTTTAACATGAGCTATCCGATAATATACAATATGTCGAAATCGAAAAAATATTGAGGTCACACGCCCCAATGTATGTAAAAACTTACCTCAGTCTAACGCGTCCCATCTTGTGCAAGTTCCGGCTATCCAGGTGTGACGGGGCTTAGTAGTACAGTACAGGTTTACTAAGACCTAGTGTCACGATAACTTGCGCGGGAGGAGTAGGTCCTCAAAACAACCGGGGAATGCACTCACTGTACAACTACCGGATGCCGGGAATGCGTGACTAATCTTCACTATCCCAATGCTGCTTCCGGTCTCAGAGTCCACTTCTTCCTCAAACGATCGCCGCACCACTTCTCTATTTCCTTCGTCGGGCCACAACTCACTCTTCGTCGTCATGAAGATAACCGCATTCCTTAGCGCCGCTGTTGTCTGCGTCACCGCGATTCAGGCTCTGGAGGTGCAACTAGAAGCCTCAAACTCGGTGGATCTAGAGACATCAAACTCGCAAGACCAAACCCAAAAGCAGCAAGAGCAGCAGCAGCAAGATTTACAGCCCACAGTCACCCCTGCATCAACCCTCGAGACTCCCACTCCCACCCCCGTACTTGAGGCCCCAACTCCAACGCCGACATTAGCTGTTGAGACTCCAACGCCGACCCCCACACTAGCCCCCGAAACTCCAACTCCCACACCCGTACTTGAGACCCCCACTCCGACGCCGACCCCTACATTACTCCTCGAGACGCCAACCCCCACGCCTGCACCGGTACCAGAAACAGCAGCGCCAACGCCGTTGCCAGAAACACCAGCACCAACACAGCCTCCGGCAACACCAGCGCCGACACTGCCACCTGCTCCATGGGTGCCGAAAACAATTGGACATGACGAGGTCGTGCCGTTCAAGCAGCCCGAGCCCGTGACGATCTCTGAACGAGCCGCGGTCAAGTTCAAACCGCAGCTCCACATCTCCAACGGCTGTCACGCGTATCCTGCTGTGAACGAGCTCGGAGAGACCAGCGGCGGTCTCAAGAAAACGGGCGCGCCGAGCTCCAAGTGCAAAGGTTCTGGCTGGGGCTCTCAAGTGTACGGCCGATCTACCTGGTACAATGGCGTCTGGGCCATCATGTACTCGTGGTACTTCCCGAAAGACTCGCCGTCCTCTGGCCTCGGCCACCGCCACGACTGGGAGCACGTCATTGTGTGGATCGACAACCCCGATATGCCGGAGCCCAAGATCTTGGCTGTCACTCCATCGGCCCATAGCGGGTATTCAGCCCAGGTTCCCCCTGATGCCGACAAGGTCGATGGCCCCAGCGTCAAGGTCAACTACGAGAGTAAGTGGCCGATCAACCACGCACTGGAAAGCACGACCAAGGGCGGCGACTACCAAGACTTGATCATGTGGACCCAGATGACCGATGCAGCCCGACAGGCACTGGACAATACAAACTTTGGAAGTGCAAACGTGCCGATGAACAGCGGGAACTTCCTTGGGAAACTCGGCAAGGCCTGGCCGTTTAAGTAGAAAGCGAGCCTATAGCTGGGGTTTAGTGAAATCCCCGAGGTTTTGTCCATCTCAAGCACACAAAAAGTGAATGTAAGCGTTGCGTGGTCTCCTCGAGTTCAAACAAGCATACTTTAAGTATCCATCTCCTACGATATCTAGCTATGCATTCGACCGAATAATAACGTGTGCTTTCGAGTGCACTTCACGTCGTATTTTTGGCTTTGGAAAGATACGAATTGCCACTCTAGAAGAAACAGAAGGAGAACCGAGTACACATGCGCCGATGTGTAAGCTAACAGGGGATTTTGTTGTCTGTCGATGCATTCATGTACGTCGCAATGTGCAAATCCATGCGCTCTCTGTCATGGTATCATCAAGGACTGCTAGCAGATCCTACTCATCCTAGCTCGAACGCGAAGGCTATCAAGTTGAACACGGCAATTAGTAGCGGGTAGAGTTCGTCAGCTGTGATCTACTTTCAACTTTGTGAGTTGACGTTCAAGTGCAAGTTGAGGATGCCATCCTGCATGTTAACATTGCATGTTTGTACGAAGAGTTTACTGAGTGAGTTGTGTAGGCTAGCTAGAAGAAAACTAGTTACGGAAACACGTCTAATTCAATCAGATCTCAATTTACCTGTTCAAGAACAACTAGTGCTGACTGCAACGTCGACGGCATCTTGCCCGAGTGCTTCAGCTACTACTACCCTCTGCTCAAGTGCTACCATACGCATAGCGTGACGACGCTATTGTGACACTCTCGACGGTACTCTAAAGTAGTAAGCCCAACCCATAACTAACTCCTAACTCCTCAATGCCAACTGAGCCAATGATAGCCAAAAATACCCGTAGCTTGTTCTACTCTTCACTGTACTGGCAGCGATGAAGGTGAAAGTTCGCGTCGGCGGACCCGAAACTTGGATAGCGACACTCCCAGAGAGCCTCAAGCATGAATTCTCACGGGAAGAACTCGAGCAGATGAAGCAGCAGGTGGAACGCAGGCGCTGGATCGTGTGAGAGACAAAATACAGTAGCCATAACTTGACAGCGTAAACTCTACATGTAGTTCTCAGACTTTGATACAAGCGGAGACGGTAGCATTGCTGCGTCGGAGCTTACCGTTTTGATGGAGTCGATGGGGATCTCGGCGACGCTCGAAGAAGTACGCACTAATCAGGTCAGCATACTTAGACCCAAGTATCAACACACTTTACGTTTCACACAGGTCCAAGAACTCATCGACAAAGTCGATGAAAACCGGTCGGGCGAGCTGGAATACCACGAGTTTGTCCGGGTATGTGAGGATGAAGGACTTGACTTATGAAGGGGTGTTCGAAAGACTTAACAAACCTCTGCGGTCACTGCAATCGTAGCTTGTCAGCGATATTCGACGAGGAAACGGGGACAAGCTCGCCATGTTCCTGCAGTACTCCAAGCATGTAATGGCGATCCGTCGCGAATTGCTCGACCTGAGCACCCATCCCACAGCTAACTCGCAGGTCTTCATTGTAAAAGGTTTGTGACAAGGATCTACTGTTATTACGGCGCATTCCTCTAGCTGTAACGTGTTACTATGGTTGCCCCACTCGCAGAGAATGCATGGGACTGGAAGGTGCTTATGAATGGACCTGTAGGATCTCCATATGAAGGAGGAGTCCTCAATTTCCACGTTCGGTACGATACAGCTACAGTTTTGACTCGTAGCTTGGTTGCCCCGCCAAAATATGTCATTCATCCGGATCGTTCGTTGCAGGTTTAGTCACGAATATCCCTTCGAAGCACCCGTACTGAGCTGCCTCACCCACATCTATCATCCCAACTTTGTTCCGGTACGCAGCGCCATCTCTTCGGCACTTGCATTGAACAACGAACTAAACGCGTCAAACATTCGACTCGAAAGCTGTTGAACGGCTCCATGTCACTATACGGTTTGCTGCGCCAGTGGGATCCGGAATGGCGCATGCGGAGGCTTCTTGAAGCTGTTGAGGAGCTGCTCGCCACGCCAGACGAAGAGCTCATGGCCGAGTTCGAAGCTGACACAGCTCAGATGTTGCACGGCGGTGGAGTCGACACTCCCACCGCCATCGCCTCCATCATCGCCAGCGCAAAATCCAAAGCTGCTCGGCACCCTCGAGTCATCACACTCGAGTGCATTGCCGCCTACCGCAACAACCACGGAGCCTTCACACGCGATGCCCGAAGACTCACACTTCAATGTGCACAGCAACATCAACTGTAGCCATATCTTCGATACATAGCTACATGTATCCATGTTCTAATACAGAAAGATGCACTGCTCCTATAAAGAGACGTCTGATTGACTGGGCTCCCATTACGGAAGTCGAGGAGCTCCGATAGTGACAATGCTGGCTCAGCAACAGGAAGTCGAGGCGGATGTGCGTGCATATCTCGGGCTGCAGGCCTCCTTTTGAGGCGGTAGAAGCACGACCATGTAGCTGACGCGCTTGTCCCCCAGGTCCGCAAGGAAGACCAGCTGCGCATCAACGAGTTCGGCCGCAACAACGCGTCGCTGCACGAGATCCGCGAGCAGAAGAAGGCGCTCAAGGACAAGCTCGACACTCTGGACGACGCCAACACGGACCTCATGATGGGCGAGGGCGACAACGTCCAGTGCGTGCTCAACATTAATCATTGCAGTCAACTGCACCCTTATTGACGGAGTATGGATTGTTGCAGGCTATTTATTGGGGAGAGCTTCGTGGAGGCCTCGGAGGACTTTGCCCAGGAGTACCTCGAGAAGCGCGTGGAGGTGGGTGGCTGCTGTGCTATTGGGTGTCAAGGTTGCAGTGGGTTTAATGTTGCTGATGGGTGACTTTCCTGGGTGTTTAGGAAGCCAACGCGGAGCTCAAGAAGCTACAGGCGGAGGAGTCCAAGCTCGAGGCGCGGCAGGCGGTGGGTGCTTGGTTGTTATGGTGAGAGTGGTTAAGATGTGGGGTGGCTGATGGCGAGTGGGTGTTGATGATGATGTTCAGGCTCTGAAGAAGGTGCTGTACGGCCGCTTCGGCCAGAGCATCAACCTCGAGGACAGCTAGATGGCGCGAGATAGGGACAACGGGGCGGCTGCTTGACTTGCATCGTACACAAGACTGTTATCTGGAAAGGAAGGCCGTTTTGACATGTTGGGTTTGTTGAGATGACGCCGTTGAATATTGTGTCTATTCATCCACCCGTTTTGTGCTTCTCAAGCTAACCACTTGTAGCGCGAGTTCCGCTCTTCGACGAGAAGGTTGTCTGTGTGCCACATGGAGGACTCCAGCTTGGAGATGAACTCGTCGTTTAATGCTAGAGCCTCGTTGTACTTCTCCCCCACGAGGTCCCATGCGCTCGTCGGTGGAGCAGAAGCATCTTCGAGAGCCAACTGGAGGAGAACAGCGTGCAAATGAGCTCGAAGCGCGTCCTGGCTCGTTGCATGCTCCTCCAGAGCCAGATCGATGCGATGCGGCCCACGCTCCTTTAGCTTCAGATTCAACAGGTACTTCTCCCCCGCGTAAAAGTCCTTCAGCCTTCCGAGAGTCTTAGGACTGCCCTGAGAGAGCTGGTCCAACGTCGCGTCCTCGTGAATGACCGACTTCCCGTGCAGCGTCTGGTACCCGCTGAGCATCGTGGGGATGAACACCTCTCGCTCGCTCACAGCCTTCAAGCCAGGGATCTCTCTCGTCTCAGGACCGGCTCGCAAGAAGTGCGTGGCCACGATATGCAGTCTCTGGCAGTTGAGCGTGCGCAGCTGCACGCAGTCCACGGACTTGTACGTGCTGATCAGGTGCACCGTCGAGAGCACAGCAAACGCCGCCGCCACGTTCAGCGTCGACGAGCCTGTGAACTGCGAGATCAAGATGCCCAGCCCGGTGCCAAAGATCGAGGACGCAATGGCTTGAGACCCCGCCTTGGCCGTCACATCCGCCAGGTTCTCCCGAATCGCGAACGAGTTGTGGAACCCCGCGCGCGTAGCGCTGGCACTAAGCCACGCCACGTTCTTGGCCACATTGGCCAGCGATGCAATGGCAAGGAAGCTGCCGGGCGCCAACGGCGTCAAGATCTCCCCGAGCACCGACACATCCAGCGCCACGGACGACGCCACGCGCCAACGCTTCGGGTCTGCGTCGTACCGGTTGTTGACGATACTAGCGAAGAGTACGCCTCCGAACTGGCCCAGTCCGTCCTTGAGCACCCAATTCACCGCTGCAGCTGTGGGGATGGCTCCAGCTCCGAGTCCAATGGCGTACAGCAGCGACTGCATGGACAGCACGCTGGCTGCGCAGGAGGCCACGGAGCCCACGAAGCTCCACTTGGCGTACGGGAAGTAGTCCTTGGTGAGCGACGCGCGCGCGTCCTTGGGCAGGAACAGGTCCCACAACACGTCGTAGAGCCACGAGCCCGTGCGTCGCGCCGCGGCGAGACTCGTGGGGGCACTGCGGAGTCCTTCGGCCTTGTGGGTCCATAGCCCCAGCGCTCCCCTGGTCTTCTCCACGTGGAATCGCTGCGAGCCGTCGCCCTCGACGCGGTAGATTGTGCGGCCACGGGCGAATCCGTTGTCCTGTGACGCGATGGGGGCTGGGGAGGAGGTGGAAGAGGATGAGGAGGAGGTGGAGGCGATGCAGACCGAAGGACGCAGTAGCGCAGATCGATGCGGGCTGCCAGCCCCGCGCAGCCCCACAAGCGGGCGGCGCAGCGCGAGCCGCAGCATCTTGCCCGCTTCGCTTTGGCTCGGGCCGTTTGGCGGCGCTTCAAGTGATGACTCGGCGGTTGCGATTGGCGAAAAAGAGGACTTCAACTTGTGGCCGAATGATGGTGCCGTTGGTGCAGGATGTCGTACCTGAGAAGCGCGGAGCTACCCAAAGCTGCAGCAAGGATCTCCTATCTGTATGTCTCCTGGAGTTTGCTTTAGTTGCAGTCTCAAAGCGCACTTGCATATATTATTTGATCCGTGGTTTGGTTGGTGGGTAAGCTGGCGTAAGCCGATAACGCCCTCTGCATGCATTATGGGCCGCAACTGTAGCTGCACCCCCATGCACTCGTCGTCGCGCGGCAGATTGGGGGCTGACGAACTCAAAGCTATCAATACCTCTTTACCCGTGAATGAATAATGGCCCGAAGCCCAAGAGCAATGGCATAGCCACGCGAAGGAGGCGGCGACTAAAATACCTGCTCACACCACGCACAGTGAAATGCACAGCGGCGGCGACAGCGATCAGCAGGATTGCTTGAAACATTTCCCGTTCCAAGCGGCCACACACAGTGCAAGCAAGCGCAAGAGGAGCGTAGCCAAGTCAGATCGCCAGAATCAATTTGATTTAGCAGCCGCGCAAGGCATTTTTCATAGGGCGTACAGTTACCGCTCCATTCTTTCTCTTCTTACATCACATAGCCTTGAAGACTAGATTCTCATATCGGGAACGCTATACAAAACCTAGGTTATGCACCCTGTACAATCAAAAGTATTCGAGAATTGAATAATCCAGAAGTGGATGTTTATGAAGAAAAGCCCTGCATTCAAGATTCAGAAGCGACATTTTTTGTTGAGATAAGAGCGCGTGGAAGTGCACCCGTCCAAAAACCATACTGAGCCCAAGTCGCGTTTCGAACCTCGTGCATGGTCCCTTGAGATACCTTTGGCCCTGATGATACATCAACATGGCTGGCAGAAACATACACCTCGGCGCGCAACAGCGTTCCCCATTTCCCTAACGACTTCCAAGAGTCCGCATCAACCCACATCAACACCAGCATGCTGGCGTGCATAACGAGCAGCACCCCGTCGCCCCTGGCGCCGAGGCGGCTGCAGACGCCGGCGGACGAGCAGCTCCGCAAGGGCCCGTACACGATCACCAAGGAGCTCGGCTCGGGGCTGCACGGGCGCGTGCTGCTGGCCTACGACGACCGGCTGCAGCGCGACGTGGCCGTCAAGCTGCCGGCCGCGCTCACGACGGACCGCGTGGACCTCGACGCGCTCGAGCTGCAGGTGGCCTCCATCGTGCACGAGTGCAACGCCATGAACCGCGTGCAGCACCCGAACGTGCTGCAGATCGACCGCCTCGTGTCCGGCAAGAAGCTCGACTGCGACTACGTGGCCATGGTGACCGAGTTCGCGCCCAACGGCGACCTGTTCGACCTGCTCGAGGTCGGCGGCGCGCTGCCGGAGCCGTTGGTCAAGGTCTACATGTGCCAACTGCTGCGCGCGCTGGAGGCGTGCCATGCCAACGGCGTCGTGCACCGAGACGTCAAGCCCGAGAACTTGCTGCTGGATGCCAACTACCAGCTCAAGCTGGCGGACTTTGGCGTTGCAGCGATGGCACCCACGGGCGAGGACGCCTCCGACGTGTTTTCAAGAGACGAGAGCGGGACGGCGCTCTACATGGCGCCCGAGATCAGGTCGAGACAGCTGTACCGCGGCACGCCGGTGGACGTGTGGTCTGCTGGCGTCGTGCTGTTCATCTTGATGACGGGTCTGCCGCCGTTCAACGAGGCCCACAAGGGAGACGCCTGGTACGACGACCTGCTGGCCGGCGACTTGGAGCACTTTTGGCAGACGCAGCCGGACGAGGTGCTGCAGGTCATGACTCCTGGTGCACAGGACCTCATCTCAGCCATGCTGGTCAACCCGGACCAGCGGATCACAGTGGCGGAGGCGCTAGAGCACCCGTGGCTGCGAGGCGCCGACTGCGTTGACTCGGTGCTGATCCGTGACGCTGTGTCGACCCACCTGGAGGCGGCTCGCGCTGCCAGCAAGATCGAAACTGCTTGAAAGCAGCAAAAAGCTAGAGTTGACTGCATGGGGGATGAAGACGCAGCCACTCGCCCGCTCATATAGAATAGTATTTATCAATTGCCAAATGTAAAATAAGTTTTGCTCTCCTCAAGTCATTGTTGTGGACCGATGAGGTGGTGTCCAGTTCGCTAACTGCGCTTTCAGGCCAGTTTTCGCGGATTAATTTCGATGGGGTCATTCGACTACCTAAGTGGCTTCAGAGATACACTGCTAGTCCAGCAGTGCTGGACGATCGCAATAATGCGAAAGGCTACAGATGTAGTTATCGCAAGACGGCCGCAACACCAACGCGATGCAATGCAGCTCCAAGACGCGCTAACTTGATAATAGTGGCTTGTATTTATACACACAAAATTGCAGTCCGGCTGATGGGACTTCGGACGCGGTGCATGGCTCTAGACATGATAATAAACAACGCAGCGGCAGCGACAGATCCCCCGCAGCGCAGAATTGATAAATGGTCACTCCGCACGCGCCGCTTACGCGCACGCCGTGGACCCCGTGTGCATGATCATCTGACGCAGCTTCTTGATCGTGGGCGAGGGCTGTCCGTGCATGATGTTGACGAACGGCGTCCTGAACTTGGCGCCGGAGGTCGAGCGGCCGCGCACCGTCTTCATCGTGTGCATCTGCAGCTGCAGCGTCTCCAGCTCTTCGGCCTGCGAGAGTTCGCTCGAGTTGTCGAAGAACTTGACGTTCTCCTTCCAGTTCATGCGGCGCCACAGGTGCAGCGAGTTGGCCCACTCCTTCATCAGGTCGTTGGTCGGCGCCGCGAACTCGGTCATGCGCGCCTCGCCGAGCTTCATGCGTCGGCCCTCGACGCGCACCACCTCCGCCGAGGACACGGAGAAGCGGTACGGGAACTTGCCGGGCGCGGACTTCTCCACGCGCACCTTGGTCACGTGGCCCGCCAGCTCGAGCTCGCCCACGAACATGCCGCCCTTCTCCTGGAAGTACTTGACCACGCCGTCCTCGAACACGCAGAAGAGCAGTTGCTGCACACAACAACAACCGTTAGCGAGCATGTTCAACAACTGCTTCAATGTCAAACTTCAGCTCAAACTTACCGGTGGGTCATACGTGCTGCGCCCGCACTTGATGAGGTATCCCTCGCGGTACATGCTGCAATGGCTTGTGTTGCGGTGAGGTGCCGGACTTGCAGCGATGGAGGGAGTAGAGCTTCTGAGCCTCTGCGCTCTCGTTTAGGTGTGAGAGTGAGTAGTGTGTCGCGCCTCGCGCCAACTGGCCACAGCCGCAGTAATGGCTCGCTCTTGTGTGTTTCAATGTCCCGCAGCCGTTGCCGCCGAAGAAGTGGAGAAATGCAAGTGCGCCACGCAGCAGCAGCTAGAGGCCTGTCCTTCAGCTGGCTGTTATCGCGGTGAAGGGACGCAAATCGCGCTTTGTAACGGAGCTGCCGAGCGCTTCTTGGGTCGGCGCTGGCGATGTTGCCTTGGTTGCTGCTGGCGGACTGCCAGCCGCGGTCCATCGCGCGAGATAGCCGCCATCTGCCGGCTTACATACAATCCCCCAGTGCGTACGACGCCACGCATCCTGCGCCGCTAGCACGGTCGCAGGGTCTATAACTTGGCTCGTCCGTCAGAGCCTGCAGCTGATTGGTCCAACCGCTTTCGTAGAAGTCAGACTGTGCGTCAGGGAGCCAGACCGGACTTAAGAGCGAGCGCTAACGCACTTAGTGATTAAGTACGGTTCAATATCGCACCTAACTGAATATGTAACCGGTACCATGTACCATCACTAAAAGACCCTAAATGGACCAAATTATAGTCCGCGTGGACCAATTCTCGGCGGGCGAAATGATACGTCAAACGTCAGAGGAGTCCTCTCTGCCTTGAAGCAGGCGTCGCACCTGAGGACGCAATACCCTCGTCTTGCGCATTTGCCGATTCCTCCGCCCACAGCTACAGCCCGTATCAGCAGCTATGAGCGCCGAAGGCAAGAGCAGCAGCAGCCTGGCACTGCTGGACGTGGACAAGTTCGCGCGCTTCAGCAGCTCGACGTTCCGCGCCGACAAGTTCTACAAGACCATCGGCTACGGCCTGGGCGCCATGGGCCACCTGCTGGCGCACACGTCGCAGCAGGAGACGGAGACGTCCAAGGGCCTGCGCGCCATCGCGTCCAACATCTCCATGGCGCGCTACGTCATCCGCTTCACGGGCGGCTTCGAGTCGTACGAGGCCTGGAAGAACGGCTCGTGGTGCTACGGGGACGACAGCGACCACGTGCGGCGCGTCGTCAGTCTGCAGGCGCTGTCCATGATCGCGTACTACCCGCTGGAGCACGTCTCCTACGTCGGCTTCGTGTGAGTCGCTGGAGTTGCAGTTGTGTGCGGGAGTCTAGGGTATCCTAGTTGTTGACGGTGTGACTGTGTGTGTTCTTTCTGGTGGTGCCGGTGGATGATGGCAGCGCCCCGAAGCTGCTAAACATTGACGCGATGAAGGTCTCGCGCCAGTCGTGTCAGGCGTGGGGGATCTACATCCTGCTGGACGTGTACGCCAACGCGCTCCGGTACGTTGAAGTTGCTGATAGGGTTTGAGGGCGTTGTTCGGGCTTCTGACTGGTGTATCTGTGTCGACAGGATCCGCGCGTTGACTGCAAAGGAGAAGGAGATCACGGAGCAGGAAGACCTCTCTGACGAAGAGGTACGGTAGCTGGGACGATGGAATGGTGCTTGTTGTGGAACTTGGGTGGAGGAAGCTGAGCTTGTGTGTGCTTGTGTCGCTTGCATTGGTTGTAGCGCGCGACCCAGCTCGCCGCTATCCAGGCTCGGTAAGAGCTCATTGTGTGTTCTTGTTTACTTCAGGACTGGTATGACTGAGCTTCTGTTGGTCGTTTTGTAGTCGTCGGGAGTTGTACTACGTGCAGCTCCGAAACTTCTTCTACGCTGGACCGTGCATCCACTGGTCACTTGAGAAGGGTTTCCTCCCTGGTGCGTTCATCATTCCATGGTGCCTTAACTGCAGATTGTAGTCTTGTATTAACACTTGATTGACTGTTGCTCGTAGAACCCCTCGTGAGCTTCTTTTGCGCGGCGGAGGCTGCTGTTGGTCTTTGGCGCACGTGGGCAAACACGAAGTAGCCAAGCCCACTTCAGCGTTTTGATCCATCGGAAGTGTGCGCCCCACTACGATGAACACAAATAACAACAGCAAAACTTGCCAGTGTAATTGTCAATCATTCGTCCATCTAAGTCTGGATGAAAGGCAAGACCGAAATTCGAGCAGATACGCGCGATGCGAAACGCGACGTATAACGCGATGTATTCACACGCAGTCATGGGCTTCGTTATCAAGGTGGCGACAAACACTCCAACAACTGTTGCTACAACCACAACTCCCTGTCAATGTTAAAACTGTTTTTATGCGCCTCCTACGAACGCACTGCGCCTCGGAGACGCGTGGATCTCTGTCTGTGCCCCCAACACGAACCGAACTGTCGTTTTCTTACTTGACAAACTCCCACTTGTTGACCATCATCTTCGAGATGCACTGTAGAGCTTGCTTTTGCACCTCTGCGTTCTCGTGAGTCATGAGCTTCATTGCCACCTTCTTCGCTCCAAGCGTCTTGGCGATGTGCTTGCCGTTCGGGTAGAAGCGCACAAACTCTCCCAGATCGAACAGAGCCACAGCAACCGTCTTTGAGTCGTCGGACTCCAACAGGTCGATCAACAAACTGCAGCACACGGCAAGAATGAGTACGACATGAATGAGTATTGGCCAACAAGGTGAATAAAGTGAGATCGAGTCTACTTACCGAATGAGCTCAAAGTCCTTGTTCTCGAACGTCATGAAGTTGTCCTTCCAAAACTTGTCCGTGTGTAGCAGACCCCAGTTCAGGGTTCCCGTTCGTAGTTCCTTCTCGTAGCGCTCCATCGTACTGTTTGCCGAGGCAACAAGACAGAATCAAGTGATCAGCGCTTCATACACCAAGAGCTGGTAGAATGTTTATGTTGTAGTACGTACTTCAGTTCTTTGTACTCACGAATGAGCACATCACGGACGGCCTGAATGCCCTTCGCGATATCTTCATCAGCCCACTTTCTCTCGCGCATGTTGTTTAGCGTCTTCAGCAAGCCGCTGTCAATCATACGCTCGTTGAAGAAGCCACTCAGTTTGCCAAGTAAGTTCTATAAGAAGAAGACACTTCGTGATTAGCAAGACGACACGATTTATTAGGTGCACCCTCAGTTTTTGAAGGAACGAGCTTACCTGAAGAGCTTCCAAGGCAACGCGCACGACCTTCTCGCGAGGAGCTGCTGCCACTTGGAGCACAATTGCATCTAGTGCCTTGGCGGCCACAAACTTCTCCATAGCTTCGTTGCAAAACGCCAAAGTCCACAAGATGAACGTGAGCTGCAACGAATCAGATACAAGCATTAGCACTCCGCGATAACGACGGAAGAACTTGATGAACATACCTCATACGCCAGCTGAGCGCGGTTCTGTGAGCTCTCCAGCAACTCCACCACTCTATCTCAGCAGAAAAAAATAATCGGGTGAGGAGGTACGCCCTCAACGCGCTGCAATACTCAAACAGCAACTTACGGAGCCACACCGCCTTGCTTAACGAACACCACGCGCAGTTTCTCATTGCGCAGGAGCACCATCAAAGACGAGACCGCGGCACGCGTAACGTTTGCGCGGGTTGAGTCGTTCGTCGACGTCGGCAAGGCTCCAGTCTTCAGCGCCTGAATAACCCACTGGCCCAGCGCTTCCGCGTCTTCCTGGCGCGGTCGAATCCTAGTTCCAACCAACCAAAAACGTTAGGATCACCCCAACCTCATCACAATAATAATCAATTGCACAACCCACTCACGTGAGAAAAAGAGCGAGCAAGTGGCTGGCGGCGTATTGCATGTAGCCCGTGTCGTTACGGATCATCCTCAAGAACGGAGCCGCATCCACGTTGCCCCCCTCCGGCACGAAGTACACCATCCGCTTGTGCAGACGAAGACCGTCTGTACGAAAGCCATATAAAATAATACACAAAGTCAATGCCATAGTGTCAACAAACCCTAAAAACCTCTCAGCTCCGCCCGTACCCGGCAGCAGCTCCTCCATGCGGGCCAGGCAGTACTTGAGCACCGTCGGCTCCGTCACATTCTTCACGAGCTTGAGCAGCGCGCTGCCCACCAGCGGCCCAGCATCTGCAGCCCATATGCAATTGTTTAAGTACACAGCATTGGATCCAATAGGGTAGACCTGTCTCACTCACCGCTCATGAACTCGTCCACTGCCTTGACATTCGTGGCGTCGTCTGCTCCCGGCTTGATGACGCCTTCCAGGTCCTTGAGCGCATTGATCTCCGTCTTCTCCAGGGAGAACCCTCCGGCACTAAATAGTCCACACCAAAATAAGATAATAATGCGACGTTAATGACCAATATGTGCAACAAATAAGAAAACCTGATAAAAAGCAGGTACCGCGTGTAGGTGGCCCAGTTGATGTCCCGGAAGCGGTGCAGCGCCTCCTCCCTGGCCAGCGCCACGTCCAGCGAGCCGCTGCCCGACATGTTGATGGCCACGTGGCCCTTGTTCTCCATCGCGGCGCCTGTTATTGTGGCACTTGAAGCGATCCTTCCTCGCACTCTGGAGCGGATCTCAATCAAGATCGAACCGCCTCCCAAAATAGTCCCAGTCACACTATTCTGGTCCACCTTAGAAGGGTACTCATCCTAAATTAGTGTGAACCACACGAATTAGAGCTTTTGTGTGAACGTCGCTTTTTGTCCCCTCGTACGTTTTGGGCAGTTGCAAATTTGACGACGAAGCACCAACTTACCTGAACCTGCCGCCGAGATGTGCGCCGCGCTGACCAAGAAGATCCTGTTCGTGCTGGGCGGCCCTGGCGCCGGCAAGGGCACGCAGTGCGCCAAGCTGGTGGAGAAGTTCGGCTTCGTCCACCTGTCGGTTAGGGAGATTTAGGCCAAAAGATGCAATGTATCATAACTGTCATTGCTGACATGTTGGTGATATTTTGTGTGTGTGCTGCGCAGGCCGGCGACCTGCTACGCGAGGAGCGCCAGTCGGGCTCGGAGAACGGCGAGCTAATCGACCGCATGATCAAGGAGGGCCAGATCGTGCCCGTCAAGATCACGCTGAACCTGCTGCAGCAGGCCATGGTCAAGAGCGGCCGCGACCTGTTCCTCATCGACGGGTTCCCGCGCAACTTCGACAACCTGCAGGGCTGGCAGGAGGAGATGCCCGAGGCCGAGTTCCAGGTGCAGGGCGTGCTCTTCTACGACTGCCCCGAGAGCGTCATGGAGGAGCGCCTGCTCGAGCGCGGCAAGACCAGCGGCCGCACGGACGACAACGCCGAGGCCATCCGCAAGCGCTTCCGCACGTACCTCGACTCCACCATGCCCGTCATCATGTACTACGAGAAGCAGGACAAGGTCTTCAAGGTGGACGCCACCCCCGGCCCCGACGAGGTCTTCGAGGCCACCAGCGCGCTCATCGGACCCCTCGTCGCGGACAAGTAAGCTTACGTACGTCTCAGATCAACGGATTGTGATGAGCCGGACCCAACACTTCAAGTTGACGGCAACTTGCATTGATAAAAAATCACATGAATAAACAACAGCCACGACGACCATAGCAATTGATTGAGAAGATAGTCTATTGAACCTTAGTTAATAGCCTCCTGATATTTTGCATGACGACCATAGCAAAGCGGCATCGTCTCTTTGGGATACACCCCCGATGTGTAGTAAGTCCTCATCGTGAAGTCCTATCGTTTCTTGATACATGAGTCTACGAGTAGTGAGAGTAGTCAAGGTGTTCACTCGATACACGTTTCGTAGCGGTCGCTCGCGGTACACTTGGAGCATCTATGCCATCTAGATCTCTTAAGTGGCTTGTCAAGAATTGTGTTCCACCCACGCCGTCGATTCTACCGCTGCTGAAGACCATCGGAAATATGCAATAGCTTGCGAAGAAGGGCAAGGCCTGCACTATGTATGCCATGGATGAGTTTGGCGTCGTTAAGTGGATTCAAGTGAACAGAGCGAGGGATGCACGTCGGAGGCAGTGAACCAAGTCGCGAGGTTTGGGCACTTGTAAATAGTAAAGTGCTATGTGTTAACCGAGAGGAGGGCTGCACTGTGACTGCGATTGACGAAGCAGCAAGAAACGGGTACTTTCTTGTTGTTCAGTGGCTGTTGGAGAACGGTAAACGTTGCTCAAAAGAGGACTGGGCGCTTTGAAATCTCAGCTTTAATTGTAACACTCTCTGCTGCACCATCAACGGCGTCAATAGTGCAACTCCTCCCCCGGATTTCATCTCCCCTCTGTTCTCTGTCCATGCAATCGCTTGGCCATCGCCAAGTGGCTGCAGCATCCATGCAGCTTTCCGAATAATTATCGTGCAGCTATTGAACCAGGCCAAGTGGCCACTTTCAGTGGCAGCATCGACGCCTTCTTTTACGCTGTCACCCCTGGGCGTCTCATAAATTTGGCTGTCCGCCGGTCTCATCGCGTTGCAGTCCAGCTGATAAAGGTGCAAAGTTCGCCGGGTGTCTTGTATCGCCGCCTCGAGAGATAAGCACCCTTTGTCTGATGCAGTGGCGATGAAGCGAGTGCGGGTAACATTCCGAATGATACGTACTGGCACCCCATCTATCACCAGAATTGCAAATAGACGCAAATTTCTTTTTTAAAAGAAATTTCAGAAATTTAAAGTTTAAAAACTTAAAAGTAATTCGCAGTTCGAATTGGGGAAGGTTTTTGGATGTCATCGAACGACATTCGCGCTACATCCGTTGCTTCTCCCCCCAGCGGATGTCATCAAACAACATTCACACTACATCACACAGCACTCGATCAGATCCGGTCTGAAGGTTTTGATAGATGCCTATTCGCCTCGGAGCTTCTTCTCCTTCTACCGTAGATGTACTTTGTTCATCGTAGTACATAATGGTGCATCTGACAATAAGAGACATCGGTGTTAGTACCTTGAACACAACTGGTGCCATTACCACATCGTATTATACTATATGCAGCTCCAGAGCACTCGACATAGTTGCGTTAAAGCTATAGATTCGATCTGTCCATTCAGTCATGAGTCATAACTCATAATACCCTCCTCTTTCAGACAGTGTTTTTCTGTATGCACAGTTTCTCGGAGAGATTATTGAAAATTGTGTGGTCATTGAATTTGTCTAAATTGTCGGCAGGCTAGTATTGTGGGAATATTCACACTCATTGGAATGAGCCTTGATGGATTAGGTTAAACATTCCGCTAAAACTTTGCCACAAACTACTTCAAGTTTTTAAGGTTGTGCGACCCAAGATGGGAGAGGTATAGCTTGATTTTTTTCGTTCAATATTTTTTAATCCAGCAAACTCTATCCACCGGCAACGCGGGTTCTATACGGCCGCGAGCGAACTTGTTTAGCGGAGAATCAAAAGAGCTGCGCCTGATGGTATGTCTTCTCCGGCGAAAGGGCTATAAGGTAGTGCAAAAAAAATGACAACCGTATATGAAACCGGAAAAAGCCTAGTTCCAATTTATCTAGCTATGAATGGCTCGTGTGGGGGCATTAAGAAGCTAGCTGCACTCACTCAGGTATTATATCTATGAAGACTTTGGATAGTATTATGCTTGCTGGTGGTGTAGAATTATCTACTACTTGATCCTGTTCTTGTCAAAACAACTTCGAAGGACATTGTTACCCATATTAGTTCAGATTATCCTAATGCTACATGAATACGTTACGTTCATGGACAAATCGAAGCTGACACGCTTTTGTTGTTAGATATTCAGGCGACCCGGACGAAATACATGTATGTATGTGTGCGGCTGCGACCTATTTTGTCAAACAGAGTTTCATCGCTCCCGCGTTGTCGCTGTACGTCCCGGATTCTTGTGAGAGAGGAAGCCTGGGCGTACAGCGTCTAAGCGATGAATAAACACCAGGTGTATCCTACTCCTACACGCGATCAAGATCTGCTAGACCTCAGTTTTGGCTTATCAAACTTGAAACAATTAGTGGATTCATCAGGTTACCCTGCAAGTTCAGTTGAACAGTTAGCCTGCTAGCACTAAATATTCGAATGCACGGATTTTTCTTGTTTTGTCGCCACCGGTAAGTTTCCGAGCACAACACTGCAATCTAATAAAGAAAGGACCTGGGTCAGGGCACATTTCAGTGGCAGGAGGGAAGGAAATTACTTCAAGTACGTTGATTAGCTAGTTGTCAAAAACCGTTCTGCTAACTACAAACGAGCCTAAGTTAAAACTAAATCCGTGGAAGCCTAATCCGACGAGCAGGAGGAGGTAGAATCACCGCGGTGGGCTTGGCAAACCCCAAGCGTTGAAGTATCGATTCAACAAACTCTGCGGCGATGTTCACTTCATCGGAGTGACGATATATGAACTGGCAATGCCTTTGAAAAGGAGCGATCAGACTTGGTGCAATTGGTTGTACAATGGCAGTTTAAGCAGATGCTGCGGCTGCGAAGCAGACGCAGGAGATACCCGAGTACATCGTTTCCCTGTACGAGTATCCATACAAATAGCTTCGAACTGCGAAACCCCCCGGGTCCACCACCCGGGTCCCCAATTTGTTTAAAAGAAAAGAGTAGGACGGTTGATCAACTTCAAACAAGAGGAGAGTATTGTCCATAGTGTGCATTGTAGCTGAATGCGTCCTCGACTCCAAGTCGGGTCAACTTGTGCGGACATACCAGTGGATCAGCGGCTACACCCCGCTTGTTGTTGATGTTCACGTGGACATGCCAAGCTTTTCTGCTTGTTCTCAATTAAGCAATCGTGGTAGTCGCCCGCATTCTTCACCGAATTCTTAATTTTCGCCGTCCTTCTAGCCTTTTTCAGGCTTGGAGGGGACTGAGTTAGACAGAATGCTCGTTAAGAACAATCCCCTCTCTTCATCGACGTCATAGTCGTTTTTGCTGGCACGACGAAGCATCCGCTCTTCATCCGTGGGGTCAGATCGGCGATTACAGGGGAGGTTTCGTATCCAGCCACTTGGATTTCGGAGCCGGAACAAGTCGAAGCTCGTGGATCGTGCCTCCTTGACTGATTTTGCGTGGCACGGAGTTGGACAAGCAAGATGGCTGTCCCTGCTTCCGCAGAAGTCGCCGCGTCAAGCCGGAGTTGGTCGGCCACGATGCGATTGATCGTGCGCGGTCAAGTTAATTCTCTTGCTCGTTATGCGGGAGATTCCTGGCCACGACAAACATCGGTTTCCCCCAAACTTGCTCAGGTCGATATTGCGCATAGGTCTGGACGAGCTGACTGAAATGCGTATAGTTTTACATACCATTCAATCCACAACCTTATTCCTGTTTGAGGCTGCGTTGCTTTCCATTGTTCACCGTTCACCTTGTTCTTGCGCTCGTTTCCAGGAGCGTTGTCATGCATATACATGTAATATCGGTACATAGTTTCTGTGGCATTTTACAGTAGTAAGATGTGTATCCATCGTGACATTTTAGTAAACACCCAAACTTTGAGGGGCATTTTAATATTATTCCCTTAACAAAACGTGAGAAAGTCTCACTCAGACTTCCGCCGCCGGACGACGGCCATGAGCTTCGAGGAGAGCGTCACGTGCTTCTACGTGGCGCTCGCGGAGCAGCAGCTGGAGCAGGTGTGCCAGGCGCTCGGGGACATGCGCGTGTCGGCGTCGGCGGCCAACGGGGACGCGCAGACGGCGGCCGTGCGCGACGAGATGCTGCGCAGCTGCGAGGCCAAGGCGCAGAGTCTGCAGGAGCCGGCGCTCGAGCGCCTCCAGCACGCGTGCGCGGGCGCCGACGTGGACGTTGGACGCGGCGCTCTCGGCCTTCGCCGCGCTGCGCCGCTCTGGGGGCCGCGCGCGCCGCCGCGCCGCGCTTCGGCGGCTGCCTGAGTCGCATCTTCGCCACGCAGGCGCGCGCCAGCCTCGAGCGCGTGCGCGGCAGCAAGCAGGCCGCCAAGGTGAACGAACATGGCTACATCGACCGCGCGTTCTACGTGGAGGCGCTGAGCGAGCTGCTCACGGGCGCCTCGGACATTATGAACGCCGTGGCGGACGTCACGGGGGACGCGCAGGTGCTGCAGCAGGTGCTGGAGCCCATCCACGCGTCGTGCGCCGAGATCGCGTTGCAGATGGTCGAGATGTACGCGGGCGACGCGCGCATGGTGGCGTGGGAACGGCGTGCCAACGCGCAGGCCCAGAGGGACCCGAGGCAGGCGCTGGAGGGCGAGGACGTGGAGGCGGACGAGAGTCTGCAGATGATCGACCTGTTCCTGGACGAGCTGGCCTTCATCATCCGCGTGCTCGTGAGCTACACTGCCTTCTTGGCTACGGTGTGTGCTGGGCTGGGACAGCAGATGGAAAGTGGCGAAGGAGGCTTCCAGGTAAAGGTGCAGGAGCTCAGCGGCGTGTACGTGGTGCTGGAGAGATTCTACGTGTTCCAGTCCGTGCACAAGGCCACGGCAATCGCGGAGCCCCAGGAGCTGGAGCAGGGAGTTTATGTGTCAAGTGTTGTTGAAGACGTCTCGTTCGTGCTGAACAAGGCCTTCTTCAGGGCGTCGCAGTGGTGAGTTCGATGTTGGAGCTTATTACCTTTTATAGTATGGTATTAACGAAATTGTTGTTGTGTTTGGTGCAGCATGAACTACCATACGGCTCTATCTATCGTGATCGCGCTTGTGGACGCGTTGGAGTCGCAGTATCTTCCTGCAATCTTGTCATTGCCTAGTCGGCCGTGCGTTATTCCGTTGAGTGTCGCCAATGCAACGTCTGACAAGGACAATGGGTCCGGACGACTCGATGGTGACGGAGATGGTGAAGACGAGGTGTCTTTCTCAGAAATGCTGCTGCAGGCAGTCGACGATGACTTGGAGCGGACTTTGCAGGAGGAGGCGAGGCTGATTATGACGATCAACTCGGCCTTCATGAGTGGCGAATTTGTTCGCGCGCTGCAGGAGAAAATCGACGAGTACTCCCGCGCAGGTTTCCCCAATGATGCGCCGATCCTCGAGTGCCTGCCAACTCCAATTGGCGACATGACGGATGCATTCCACTCCATTGTATCGAACGAGGTTCAAGAAGTGCTGTCCCGATCGCTGCGTAAGCGGCTACTGGAAGTGATCCAGCGTCAGATGGAGGAGAGGCTTAAGTACGTGCTCACCTCAGCTGAGTACGATGCACTGGGCTCTCGGGGCTCGCCATTGCTTCGGCTGGTAGAGCAAGAAGTTTTGAAGAACCGGGAGCTGAAGCGGTACGAGCGTGCCCTGTGCAGTGCCCCCTTCGAGGATCTGGTCGAGGCTGTTACACAAGACCTGACGTCGGGTGTCGAACGCGCGCTTCTTACGACCAAGAAACATTGCAATGACTTGGGTGCGCTGCAGCTCGAGCGCGAAGTTACGAACATGCTCGCTCGTGTGTCGACACTTGTGCCCCAAAAGAGTTTACGCTCAGCCTTCACGCGGCTCTTCCAGATTGTGTTCATTTTGAACCTGATGCAGCCATCGCACGTTCTAGACTATCTTGCTAGTGTGCGTGAAGAGCTGTCGCTAGAGACTATTGCGACTTTACTGCGCATGCGCGTGGATTTCAAGTCCCAAGATATCGCGCGTGCCATTGATCAAATGACAAAAGCGGACGCAAACAACAAAGCATCAAAAGCGGGAAGCTCGTCGTAGATGAATTTACTCAAGTATCACAACGATTTTGCCTCCTTACCCCCTTACCCGGTAGATTTCAATGACAATAGAGATGAGTTGTGTGTTTCCATGGCAATGTGATACTAGTATAAAGAGTATGTTCGACTCTCTGGTTAGACAGGAGCTTCCACCATGCAAGTTGCGGTAATCGACCTACGGGCTGCTCGCAATAATTGCCTTGATACTCCACCTAAGCAAACCCGCCCACCCGAGGACAAATATGATAAACACGATGATACCGATAGTGAGGCCAACACCCGGTTTTTTGCGCACACCAGCAGGGTCCCTTGCGATGTTCGAAACGATACGCTGGAAAGACGGACTTTTCTCGACGGCCTTAACGAACTCTGGATTTTTCTTCGCCAGCGATTCCGCCCTGGCAATCTCACCAGGCTTCTGCTTCTGGGCAGTCTTCAACGCATCAGCACTGCCTCCGCCTGCTGGACGATCGCATTTTCGGAAGTCTTGAGAGCACTGGAGCTTTTCTGGAGTCGCTTGCTACCGAAGGAAAGTTTCTTGGCCATGCCCTTCAGTCGTGTCCACACACCCCTCTCTTCGTCCGTGTCACCTTCGATGCGGACCGTTGAATTGCTTCGTCTCAGGGAACGCTGCACGCTGCCACCCGCACCCGCGGGCGCAATGTTGGGGCGGGATCCCAGTGCTGTGATTGCATTGGTCGAGCTGGCGAGGGTGGCGCAGCACGCCATTAAAATGGCCACTAGGAGCAAAGAAAACTCGGTCAATCGCATGGTTGGTTAACTTCCGCCACAAAAAGTGGTCTTGGGTCTTCTCGGTGGAGCTCAACTTCTGGAATGCTTGACCGACCGTTGCAGGAGTGGTGGTTGACGAATTTTGTGAGGCCAATTGATTACATTTTCCCCAGGCCTGGTTTACAGGTCAAATGACTATGGTGGAGCGAGTACACCGGTGTAGGACCTTGTGTGCAAACTGGACTTCAAAACTTGATCTTTACTGCAAGCACGATAAATAAATGAGATCCAGATTCCTTTTTACTGAACACGTACTATAGAGATGCCCTAAATGGTGTATTGCATCCAACCGTGGTTAGGAGGTCCTCTATTTACGTTTAACGAGAAACTATAGAGTCCTGGAATCTCTGTAGGGTGTTCCGAATCGAATAATGGTCCTGCAACCCCTTTTCGCTACTACTGGTCTTCATTTCGTTCTCTAACCTGGCGGTTAAGTGTTGCGGAATATCTGCTCTCTGGAGTACTGTGTCTGTGTGTCTTGCCAATTGGCGTGATTTCACCAAGGCTTTTACGGCTTTTCGTGGTCCATTCGTTAGCAGTTTCCTTACCAGCATTCCAACACTCGAGATTGGCGCGGCTGTACTGCCGCGAGTATTCGGAAAGGTGCCTTGGAGTGTTAGTCGAACTGTCGATAGTAGTGCACGGTGTGTCAACTGGTTCATCGCCCGCTCTAGAGATTGAGTGATGCTGCCATCTCCATCTTGTGTTTAAATCACGTGTACAAAGCCGACTGCTTCGATTCTGGGTAGCCGCCCAACAAAACCCACGCTCCTCTCCTACTCTTGCCATCCACAACATATCCGACATATAGGAGGAGATACCAGCTTCCATTGCAACTGGTCGATCTGAAGGATTGATTGTTGTGAAGACAGCATAGCATTGTATCACACGAAATCCTTGTGCTTGCGTACGTGGATATGAGGTCATTCCTCGGATGATGTGTATTGAATCCAACCAGCGCACCTGTGTACTATAAAGTGTACTACCACTGAGGGAAAATAAAGAATAGCTTCAATAGGGAGCGAAGAGCTGAACGCCGCGTCAGCATCTATTCTTTGATTTGAATTAAGGACATGTTGTATACCAATCCTCAAGTTGTCTAAAAGTTATATAACTGTCGTAGGGGTTGTCGATGACATCTCAGCTGGTTTCAGGATCCGCATTTCAATGTTTTTGCCGTTGTTTTTGCAGCAAGAGAAAGTATCTTAGCACTACGATACGCTTGTTTTATTTTGTCGAAGTCTATTTGCATACAGTCATTTACGCAAACAGCCCAGCACTGGTTCCTCCGCTTAAACCCTTCATGCATGAAAAAAAATGAAAGCAATGAACGACGAAACATATTTTATTGCTGCAGTTCTGCAGGCTTCCACTTTGCTAGGGGACAAAAATATGTGCTTATCCTGCCTTGCCTTTTTTCGCCTGCTGTCTATTTCTGTTTGCTAGAAAGAGGTTGCTTCTATCGTTTATTTTGCTGTCTACGTGCTTGCTTACTAGGAATTACTCGTTTTGCTCTAGAAGTGGCTCACTTACCCCCAAAAGTTGTGCACCTTTGCGAGGATGCTCCTATCGATGACAAATTCGCCTGGGGGCCAAGATAAGCTGTACGAACTATCAATTTAATCTCGACAATGGGTATTTTTTTTATTTGGCGGACAAGCTTCTACGGCTTACTAGTACTTCAACTTGTCTTCGAGCCGATGACGCAAAGTCTTGGTGCCTACACGTCATTTGCTTCCGAGGATACCCACTCCGCATGCATGACCAATACAGCTCGTGTATGCGCTTTATTGCCATTGGACGCAATCGTCGTTGGACGCGAGCGCCTTGAAGTGGAGCTTCAAGGCTCATCTGGCGGAGAAATATTGCCTGTCCTCGCGATGGCACGATATGATATCCCCCGGGACGAAAGAAATCAATAACCATTCAGCTTGGTTTGTACGTCGAACCAAATGGAGTGCTGTTCTAGCATAAAACTACTCGAGCAAATACGCTACGCGAGTGCTCGTGGCCCGAGCGCAAGTTCCTGAATACGCTGTGGCATGCATGGTCATTCCGCCGGATCGAGGCAAACCAACCCACCTCGCTCTCCGAAAGCAAAAGACTAGCGCCGCCATGTCGTGCGACGCACGTGTCGCACAGAAGATCTGCCCCTAGTGGCTGAGTTGTTGACCACTCATCAGCCCTTTGCCAGCCTTGCATCACGCTACCGCTTGTTGACCAGCAAGCGCCTATCGGGCGAAGGTTAGCAGCGAAGGCACAGGTATTATAGAGCTCTCCTGAGCCTTCTCCAAGCATGTGGCGTCGAGATCTCGCTTCAAATGCAGCTATGCCTGCGCCGCGGCGTACAAGAATGGACGTGGTGGCGTGGTCAGTGAAGATGCAGCGCTGACCGCCAGCGGTAACCGTCTTTGATGTTGAAGTCGAGTGCTGAAACCTAAGAGCGCCGTTGATTGGTCGCCGGATGGGGTTCCGAATTGGAACACGCGCCCCCATTGGTCCGTGGACTGGGTTCCGAATTTTCTGTGGCCGTTACCGCACTTCAAATAGGCGACACAGCAACTTGCGGGTGTCAATGGCTGGAGGAGGAACTCTGGGCTCAGAAAGAGGCGCATGTGACGCGCACGCGCGCAAAGAGTCACGCACGTTGCTGCATCGCATGGGCGGCGAAGGCTTCGGATTGCAGGGGCCCGGACTTTTGGAGCTGCTTGGAGGCTCTCATTCCTGTAGTTTCCCCGTGCTGGGCAGACCAACTCCACCTCGTTTTCAGGATGGATGCCCAGGTAGTCATTTCGCTGCTGATCCTCGCCTTCGTGACCGCCGGCGTCATCTACGACGTCGAGCTGAGCCCCCAAGGGCGGAAGCTGCACTCCAGGGGCTATCGGTACGGTCAGTACCTACAAGTTGTGTTCACTCGAGTTCGCTAACACCTTTTCTTGTTGTGTAGGTGGCGTCGACTACAGAACTGGTTCCCCATGGGCATCGCCTACGCCGCGTTCTACATGGCGAGGTACAACGTGTCTGCCGGTAACGTGCCGTCAGTGCGCAACGACCTTGGCTTCTCCTCCGTCTACATGGGCTGGTACGTTCACGGTTTCGATATTTTACTTGTTATCTGCTTGCTAACTAAGCTGCTCATCCGTTATAGGGTCCTGTCGGCTGGTTCATGGGCGTATGCTATCAGTGCCCCTTTCACAGGACAGATCACCGATCGCATCGGGGGCAGGAACGGCATGATCGTCGCGTGTGTCGGGGCTGCTCTGTGCAACTTGGCGTTGGGGATGATATTCCTCAGCCACGGGTCGCTCCTCGTGAAGCAGATCCTCTTCGTGGTGTTCTACGCATCCAACGTGCTGATGCAGGGCTTCGGCACCAGCGCCGTCGTCAAGATCAACGCTGCCTGGTACACGACGAACGAGCGCGGCGTCTTCGCCGGCGTGTTCAACGTCATGCTCACAAGTGGGTACTACCTGTCGCTGGGCACGGGTAGCAGCATCATCGAGTCACTGGGCTGGGCGTACGTGTTCGTCATCCCGGGGGCCGCTCTCCTCGTCATGTCGGTCATCATCCTGTCGTTCGTGAAGAGCTCCCCTAAGGACACCAACCACTTCTCGACCGATGATCTGCCAACGTTCTCAGCTCAGCTCGAGCCTCAGTGCATGTCGTGTGGTGACGGTCTCGAAGAAGAGGCGCTCACTCCCAAGCAACAGATGCAGCAGCTACTCCGAAACTTTACCTTCCTCGGATACCTCGCCGCGCTGTTCTTCCTGTGCTGGGCAAGGGACGGATTCCTCAACTGGTTCCTGTCCTTCTTCGACGATGTCCGCTCGGAACCTCTCACGTCCAGCGACACCGCGATCATCGGCGGAGCTTGGACCATTGGGGGATTTGTCGGGGGAATTCTCTGCGGTTGGATCAGTGACGCCGTCTTCCACTCGAACCGAGTGAAGCCCATTTTCATCTTCTCCATGTTGCAGGCTGTTGTGCTCGGAGTTATCTACTTCGTGAGCGCTACGTGCAGCGTTGCGATGCTGGGAGCACTCACGTTCCTCTCGAGTGTCTTCATTCTGGGCAACTACACGCTGCTGAGCTACACGGTGCCGACGGATCTGCCTCAAGACATTGCAGCTGGGGCTACGGGCATCATGCACGCGGTCGGGTACTTCTCAACCGGCCTCTCGAGCGCCGTCATGGGCAATGTCATCGATGGTGCGGGCTACATCGTCTGGGCGGTGTCGCTCATTGTTGCGTCGATTCTGTCCGGTGTGTTCGTCAAGCTCGGCTCGCACTTCGCCAAGGACCGGACAGCCGAGTCCAGACATCAGCCGGCAGCCATCACGCCGATGACGGACGTCTCCGATGAGCTCTCGACCTCCTCCGTATCGTTCAACAGCAGCGACTTTATCATGGTGGTGTCGCCGAAGCCTGATAGCGCGACGCCACCGCGCTCAGCCTCGCCATCTTTTTGACTACTAGGTTTGGATTTATGTTGTGTAATCAACGAGTGTCATGACCGTAGTTGTAGTCGCCCACTGGGCAACCAGGATGTACTTCAGCTGCACTCGGTCGGACTAATCACCCAACAGGTGTAATCACCGTACGGACGGTATACAATAGCAAAAAATCAAAAACTTTTTTTTTCACGAGACTTTTACTATGTTTGTAGGCAAAGTCAACAGTAGCCATGCTACATCTTGGCCTGTTCTCTCGATGCAGCTTGCACACGTTCGTTTGCACTAAACGCTGCGATTCAAGCTCAACGTCGAAAAGCTCACGGTGAGTCATCGACGCTGCTGATTGGACGTCTCACAGGGTTCCGATTTTCTCCTCGTTGAACCGTTACGCAGTCTTTCGTTGTGCAAGTTGCAGTCGCTTCGCCATCTCTGCTTGCGAACCAGCGGACGAGCTCAAGCTAAAGAGCAATGCGCTAACATACACTGGGAGCATTCTACCGCCCTTTGTCGTAGCGGAGGTACCAGGCATGACGCAGCTCGACGCGACTGGCTGGGTCGACTGCGCATCTCCATCACTGACGTCGGTGCCCTGCACGCCTTGCCTGGTCGCGCAATATCGGGCGCTCACTCCCTGATCTGCCCCGCCTGCACAAGCCCAAGCCAACTTACGCCGAGCGAGTTGTGCGCCATGGACGTGGAGACGCTCACGTCGCTGCTGATCCTCGTGTTCGTCGTCTGCGGCGCGCTCTACGACGTGGAGCTCAGTCCCGAGGGACGCGCTCTACACTCGCGCGGCTATCGGTAGGGCGCCCTACAATCATCAGGAGTATACGCAGGGTCATTGATATTTCTGGCGTGTTGCGTATAAGATGGCGACGACTGCAGAACTGGTTCCCTATGGGCGTGGCCTATGCCGCGTTCTACATGGCCAGGTACAACGTGGCGGCCGGCAACGTCTCAGCTGTGCGTGACAAGCTCGGCTTCTCCTCCGCGTACATGGGCTGGTACGTCTCGTCGGCTATTGGCACTGGTTGAGTCGCGCGCACTGACGCTGGTATTGCTGCTCCGTCAGGGTCCTCTCGGCTGGATCGTGGGCCTATGCCGTCTCTGGGCCCTTTACGGGTCAGATGACGGACCGCATTGGGGGCAAGAACGGCATCATCGTCGCCTGTCTCGGGGCGGCTCTGTGCAACCTCTCGCTGGGGGTCCTTTTCCTCTGCAAGGTGCCGTTTGTCGTGGAGCAAGTGCTGTTCGTCGTGCTGTACGCCGCCAATGTGCTGGTGCAAGGCTTCGGCACGAGTGCTGTGGTCAAGATCAACGCGGCGTGGTATTCCACCAGTGAGCGAGGAATCTTCGCTGGAGTCTTCAATATCATGCTCACATGTGGCTACTACTTGTCACTGGGGACTGGCAGCAGTATCATCGGGACCTTCGGCTGGGCTTACGTGTTCGCAATCCCTGGTGCCGCGTTGTTTGTAATGGCTCTCGTCATTTCGTGCTACGTGAAGAGCTCCCCAGCCGATACGCACAACTTTTCTGAGGAGATACTACCCACTACGATGAACTCCCAGCGGATATCCTCCTCGGATGGCGAAGATAATGAGTTTTATCTTACTCCGAAGCAGCAGATGCAGCAACTCATGCGGAATTACACTTTCCTCGGGTATCTCGGTGCTGTATTTTTCCTCTGCTGGGCACGCGACGGATTCCTCAACTGGTTCTTCTCCTTCTTCGACGCGGTGCGTGAGGCTCCACTCACGTCGAGCGATACGGCAATTATCGGCGGCGCGTGGACTATGGGGGGATTCGTTGGCGGCATTTTGTGTGGCTGGCTGAGCGACGTCATCTTCCACTCGGACCGCATCATGCCGATCTTCATCTTCTCGCTGCTTCAAGCCGTTGTGCTTGGCCTGATTTACCTCATGAGCGCAACGTGCAGCGTGATGATGCTAGGAGGTTTGGTATTCTTCTCGAGCGTCTTCTTACTGGGCAACTACACGCTGCTGAGCTACACGGTACCGTCGGATTTATCGCAAGATATTGCTGCCGGTGCCGCTGGTGTAATGACGGCTGTGGGTTATTTCTCCACGGGGCTGTCGGGTGCCTTCATGGGCAATGTTGTTGGACGTGGAGGCTACGGAGTGTGGGCGTTCTCCCTGATGGTGGCGTCGGTCTTCGCTGGGGTTTTCACGTTGTTAGGCTCGTACTTCTCTGAAGAGGGCATGATGATGACAAAGGAGCAGGCAGCGGGGACGCCACATCCAGGGGACTTTGAAGAGATGACGCCGCTGTCCCTTGGCAGTGTTAGCAGTCGCCGCGCCTCCATCGTCCGACTTAACAGTGACTTTGTCGTCTCGCCGATGCCGCTACCACGCAAATCTCCGCTACTTGAGCAAGATGAAGCGGCATCGTTTTGACTCGCGCTGGGAGATCACAATTCTTCAACCTCGCTAAGAATACAGATACGTTTTTCAATGCCAGTGAGTTTCGGTGTACGTTGAAAGTCCAAACCATTGATTGGACGTGTGCAGGGTTCCGAATTCTGCTCCGGTGATCAATCTATGCGTTTGAAGCGTTACCACAGAAACATCAACAACAAAACTGAAAATAGGGTCCGATGTGACGGGACAAAGAGATCAGCAGCACGTTCTGGCCAAAAGTTTCCATGCTGCTCGACCTCCCAGTCTCGAATTACGCTTGTTGCTCCAAGCCATGAGCGCTCAAGTGGTCATTTCGCTGTTGATCCTCGCATTTGTGGCGTGCGGTGTGCTTTATGATGCGCTGTTTAGTCCCCAAGGACGTCTGCTACACTCGCAAGCCTATCGGTAAGTACACCGTCAGAGGTGCCTCGATCAAAATGTATTTGGTGACAAAGTTTTTGTACGTAGATGGCGCCGACTTCAGAACTGGTTCCCTATGGGCGTTGCCTACGCTGCCTTCTACATGGCGAGATACAACGTAGCTGCTGGGAATGTCTCGGCGGTGCGCGATAAACTTGGCTTTACCTCATCGTACATGGGCTGGTAGGTTTTGTCTGTTAGACGATCATAATTTTTTTGTTAACCTTCTGTGTGTAACTAGGGTGCTGTCGGCCGGCTCCTGGGCGTACGCCATCAGCGGTCCCTTCACAGGCCAAATCACGGATCGCATTGGAGGCAAGCGAGGCATGCTCGTCGCGTGTATCGGGGCTGCAATTTGCAACCTTCTCCTCGGTGGTCTCTTCCTCTTGAATTCACCCGGAGTCGTCCAGCAAATACTCTTCGTCGTGCTTTATGCGGCCAACGTGTTGGTTCAAGGGTTCGGCACCAGCGCCGTTGTGAAAATCAACGCAGCGTGGTATGCACCGAGCGAGCGCGGGATGTTTGCTGGCGTGTTCAACATTATGTTGACAAGCGGGTACTTTTTGGCTCTGGGCACGGGAAGCAGTATCATTGGGACGTTGGGCTGGCCCTACGTCTTTGTTATCCCGGGCGCAGTGCTCTTCGAAATGGCGCTCGTGATCTCACGCTACGCGAAGAACTCCCCGTCCGACACGCACAACCACACAACGAAGCAATTAATCCTTGTCGCTCCACAGCAACAGACACCGGATACGCTGAAGAATCCGGCCAAAGGCATATCAAAAGACACATTAACGTCGTCCTCAACCCAAAGAGAAGACGAGGACGAAGACGAGAAGGTTCGACTTACGCCGAAGCAGCAGATGAAGCAGCTCATGCGGGACTACACATTCCTGGGATATCTCGTAGCCGTATTCTTCCTCTGCTGGGCTCGAGATGGCTTCCTCAACTGGTTCCTTTCCTTCTTCGACGCTGTACGCGACGCCCCGCTCTCTTCAAGTGATACGGCGATCATCGGTGGTGCGTGGACGGTAGGGGGTTTCGTGGGAGGAATCCTCTGCGGCTGGCTGAGTGATGTTATTTTCCACTCCGACCGCGTCATGCCCATCTTCATCTTCTCGCTGCTTCAAGCGCTCATGCTCGGGGTCATCTACTTCGTCAGCGCCACTTGCAGTGTCACGATGCTCGGCGGCCTCATCTTCCTGTCGAGCGTCTTTTTGCTAGGCAACTACACTCTCTTGAGCTACACCGTGCCGTCGGATCTCCCTCGTGATATCGCAGCTGGCGCGTCTGGCATCATGACTGCGGTCGGCTATTTCTCGACGGGATTGTCCGGCGCCATGATGGGGGGCATCATCGACACCGCAGGCTACGGCGTGTGGGCGCTGTCGCTCATGACTGCGTCCGTGCTGGCAGGCGTCTTCACCAAGCTGGGCTCCTACTTCTCGGCCAACAAGTCCAAGCACCATGCAGTCATCGCCCCGCTGCCTCCCAAAGTCGAGGAACGCATGCCGCTCGCCCCCGACTCGTCCGACAACTAAAACTTCAGAAATGGGACTAATCATCGCGTGGGCGTAATCAATCCATACATTGCAATGCAATGATTTACGTGTTCGCGTAGCCAAATTACACCTGCGCTAGTCTCAGTTTAGCTAGTCGGCGGCATAGTGTGGTGTCCGCATACGTCGAGTCTCCTTTGGCTGGCAGTGAGTCAGCAATGGTAGTCTTGAGGGCCTTCCATTTACGTCGGTCTTGGGCAAGCAGTCGAAGTCTCTCCAAGTCTGAGCTGGTGCGGAGGCGGTACCCACACCCACTAGCATCAAGGTCCTGATCAAGGACAAGAGGCAGTGTGGTACGGGGCCTACCTCTCCACTTGCTGCTGTCTGAGGAAGAGAAATACGCCTTCATCTGGATAAACGCCGGGATATCTTGTGGTCGCAGTAGAATGTGCCCGAGAAGCCGAAGACGTGATCCGGTGACAGAGCGGCCGCTCGTCACACGTTGCGTAGAGATCAGCGTTGGAGATGTGGTATGGGTAACGCACATTGAGGACAGACCGTAGCTGGCGACGGTGAAAGCTTTCGAGTCGGTGAAGCTCCGTTGGTGTAAGCGCCGCAGTATCGATCCATACATTATGTAAATCATTTAAGTACGAAATGACCCAATTGGATTTTTTCCGAGCATTCCCAATTAAACTGCGGACATGGCGGACCTGTTGACGTACGAGTTCGTGTGCAAGCTGTTGGAGCTGCCGTCCGGCTCCAAGAAATGCGTCGAGCTGCCGACCTCGCACCGCAGCGTCATGCTGCTCAATATCCGGGGACAGGTGTTCTGCATGGACCAAGCCTGTTACCGTAAGGAGGGGGAAGATATCCGCGTTCTGGTGGTGGTTAAGTAATAATCTGTACATGTATATTGGATTTTTTGTCTTAACTTTACCTTGGCAGACCACGGAGGACCTCTGGTCAATGGAGACATTGAGGAGATGGGCGGCAAGACGACCATCAAGTGTCCATGGCACGCCTACCATATTGCAGTGGAGACTGGGGAGGGGCTCTACAAGGGGGTGGACATGGCCATGACCCCGTCGGGCAAGCTGCAGCCGTCGTCGCCCAGACTTAAATCCAAGGGTGTCAAGCAGCGCACGCACTTCGTGGAGCTGCGCAACGACGGACAAGATATCTACGTCGCGGACTCCTCAGTAATTCCAGGTAATTACTACTGCACAAGCTTCAGTGGAAGGTGCTGTCGTATTTTTTGTTCCTAACCGTTATCAAAATGGTGCTGCTCGCTTGCTCTGCAGGAGCGTCGATGATCGAGTCCGACGTGTACGCGTTCCGCACGGCCAACATCCCGGAGGCGGCCAAGAAGGGCGAAGTGCGCATCCACTCGCGCTTCGAATAGTCCGCCAGCAATGAAGAAAAGCCCAGCACGCTCCCCACACCGAGGTTAGACACCGCACGCTGCGATGGGCCCAGCAGGGTGCTTTTTTAATTTATTGCATGAGCCGTCATGGTTTGGCTGGAATCGTGAACGCCTTCGAAGTTCTGCAGATCAGATAAGCGACTTGGTCACGATACGCGCAGCTTCTGCACGCACGAAGAGCTTCGGGCGGATGTACGGCTTCTGGCTCTGCAGCCAGTAGGTGGCGTCGTCCATGGTCACCTGGCTGTCAGCCTCCCGCGGCGCATACTTCGTCGAGATGCTCTCGTTGACTCGGCCGTCCACCTTCACCACGCCGCCCTTGTCTTGCTGCAGCAGACGCTCCTTCAGGTCCTTGACAGCCAGCTCCTCGATGTCCATCTCGGCCTCGTCACGCTCATCCTGGTTAAGTTTGCTGCGATCCACCTTCTTGCGCTTCTTGGCGCGCTCTTTCTCGATCTGCTCTTCACGCTTCGCATCCTCCAGTAACTGTGATCGCAGTGCCAAGTCCTCCTGCCGCAATTTGGCAAACGAGTCCTCACAACTTACGCGCAAAATATCTGTCGCGGTGAGCTCCATGTGGTTTCCGGGCCGGCCGTCCATCATCGCTCTTACCCTCTGCGCCTTCTGCAACGCCTCAAGCGAGTGCGCGTACGAGTCACCACGCTGCTTGGAAATTTCCACCATCTCCTCGATCACCTGCTTGAGATACTCGTGGAGAGCGTAAGCCATCACTTCGCTTGTTTGGACTCCAAGCTCGACACCTGACCGCCGGCCGACCTCGCGCATCTGGGTGCGCAGTTTCTCCGAATTAAATAAGTCTTTCTCCACCCACTCTTCTTTCTGGCATGGCAACTGCTCCGCCATGCGCACGCGTCGCACACCTCCCTCCATCATGATCCGCCGTTCCGTGCCCAGCTCAATGTTTGTGTGCGTAAGCACATCCGCCTCCTTGCGAATATCTGCAACACTAGCCTGGGCAAGTTCTTGACTGACCAGCTCGGATGCAGCAGCGCTCTGAGCTGCCACCTCTGCAGCCGTAGCCTTGCCTCGGCTTGTAGAATTGGTACGCGGCTTCTTCAAAGGAGAGCGCGGTGTAGGCGACACAGCACTGCTGCTCCGCTTGTTCAACCCACCGGACGGCGAAGAGGTTACGGCCGATCCTGGCGTCGTATTCACTGCGGGTACCCCAGCCTTAAGGACCTGTGTGTGGGGTGACGGTGTTGGGCTAGCTGCGGGCAGAATCGGCAATAGTCCAATCTTGCACATGGGGCAGTTGGCCGTGTTATTCTTCGCCACACACGTCTTGTAGTGTCCGTACACTTGCTTGTAAGTTTTAGCGCGGGCCTGCTAGCATCAAACAAAAAAATATTAGCATTCAGGTCAATACCGTCGATAAAGCGCAAATGGCACGTACCGGGGGATTCGGAGAGTTTATCTGCTTCATGATCGACTTTGACTCCGCACACTCTTCGCCAACAGGACATGCGCTGGTTGTACACTTCTCCACGTGAAGAATCAGCTGCAGCAGGCGTCCATACTCCTGTGTCATATTGGCGGTCACGTTCTTCTGCTGCGGCTTGGCTGGGGTGGACGTTGCAGTCTGTGCAGCCGCCACAGGTGTTGACACCGTCGACGATGGCCCAGGAGAATTTGTTCTCGGAAGCGATGCGTTGGATATCTTGCGCTTCAGCGGGTGGGCGACCGGCGCTCGAGTAGGCGTGCTCTTGGGAGACTTGGCCTTGGCATTTTTCTTGGCCTTATTCACAGCAGAGGACAGCGGCGTATTGTCATCATCATCGTCACTCCCCATACCGCTGAGTTTTCGTCCAGCCGCTTGAGCTGCCTTCGCCTTCGCCGCCAACGTAGCCTGGTTCTGAGCGTATGTGCGCCGCAAGCCGTCACAGAACGGGATCGAGCAGTGATCGGTAATACCAACAGCGCATTCCTTGGCGTGGTACTTCACCAGTCCCTTCAGCTGCTCGCAATGTGAGCAGCCATTCGCACCTCCACAAGACAAGCTGTGCTTGAACACGCGGCGGACGTCGTCGCACTTCTTAACCTGGCAGACGCCGTGAGTCAACGAGCACGTAGCAGCGTGAGACAATAGCCGCTTCGCGAACATGATCTTCTCCAGAGCTTCGTTCCTGGACTGGGAAACAGCAGAAGCGGCGCTGGGTGAAGAAGTAGTAGCAGTCGTCGACGTGGCTCCCACTGACGTAGCAGTAGTAGAGGCCGGCTCCGGCTTCACACCAACCGCAGCCTTGGCCGGCGGGGTGCTGACCGTCCCAGGCGGCGGCTGAATCGCCGTCGGTCTCGCAACCTGAGCAGCAATAGACGCTGGCATCGCCACCGGCGCGGCTGCCAGAGTCGGCGGGGCAGCAGCAATCGGCCGCGTGTTGGGCGCAATAGCAGTAGGCATGGTCTTCTTCGGCGACGCCGTAGTGGTCGTCGGCACCGCCATCCCGGCGGTTCTCGCGGCCAGCGGTCTACCCAACGACGCCGGCGACGCAACAGTGGGCGCTGGAACTCCAGCAACTCCAGGCTCGGGCTTGACAGCATTAAAGGCACCCTGCAACAACAAAAATCCCAATCAAAACTGAGTTGGTATCCCTCAACACCTCTCAACAGCAGCACAATGTTACCGGTGCGTTGGTAGTGGGGAAGGTCCTCGTAAGGTCCATCTTCTGGATGACACTGGAGAAGATGGCGTCGCCCGCGATCCGCTTGATGATGTCCACGATGGACTTGATGTCGTTGCCGTTGCCCTTGCGCATCTCCGAGTGCAGCGTGGCGTACTGCTCCACGGGCAGCATCTGCTTCAGCAGCGCGAACATTTGCTGGAACATTTGCTGCCCCGAGCCGGGCGCCTGCTTGGTCTGGGGCAGCGCGGCGGGGGGCGACGCAGCGGGGGCGGGCGAAGGCGCCAGTGGCTGCGGCTGTGGGCGGATGGGCGTGGCGCCCGAGGGCGTGAGGGGCTTGGCCCCAGGGGGCACTATTGAGGCGGGCGCCAATAGACCCCCCGGGGGCGCTACGGCCGCCGCCGCGAGCGGGACGCCGCTGTACGAGCGCATGGCGGGCATGGAGGCTACGGGTTTCCGGGCGTAAGTCGGCGTACAGAGCGTTGTTAGAGGCGGGAAAGGTGCGGGTGGAGAGAGGGGGCGCGCGCGCACGTACTGTTCATGTCGTCCTCGTCCCCGGAGTCGTCGCCGCCGAAGAGCAGGTCATCGATGGGGGCGCTCATGCTTCCGCGCGGTTTCACTTCTCTCTTCGCTGGCAAAAGGAGGAGTCGCGAGGGGGCCGGAAGATAAGTTGCGCAAGTGTTGCGGGTAGAGACAGGGTGGAGTGAGAGATGTGTGGTACACATTATTTACTTTTCAGCTTTTATTGTGGGTCAGCCATATTATTCTGGTAAAAATTGCAAACATTTGCGAATTATCGTTTGACACTGTTTGCCCGCAGCCTGGAGGAAATGATCTTAATTTACCCAATTTACGACGCACCGAATGACGAAGAAGAGCAGGAGGCAAATGAAGCAAACCAAGCATGGCTGAGGCAAATAAAGAAGAGATCGGCCAACACCACTGTTGGAGCCAAAGAAAGTAGCGACGGTGGCAGAAGAAAAAGGAGGAAAGACACCGCCGCTTCCTATGCAAAGCAGTCAGCGGGCCAGCGGCGGCAAACGAGGTTGACACCTTGCACTTGAAGAGGAATCGGCTCGATTTTGATTTTGATCTGACTGGAGGACTTGCAAAGTTGCAGGTGCTCTCTGGAAGGCGAACTGCGAAGGGCATGAACAGGCAGTTACGGGCCCCTAATGCAGCAAGATCGTAATTTCGACCGTATCCGTCCCCACCAGAGTCACCACAACGTTTCCTTATACTAAGCTGCAATGCAATGCTTTCGGTGTTAAATACACCTGCGCTAGCCTCAGTTTTGCTAGTCGGATTGGTAAACCCCAACAACGTTTGATCCTCGATGCTTGGTCGCCGTATTACGAGACCTTAACTAGTGAGACTAATGTTCCTGGGGCTGTTGCTCTGTAAGTGTACAGACGAGCACAGATAGCTGAAATTACGGACTAGTATGTCACCCCAGGGCCAACCTGCAGCCTAACCCTTTCTATTTGTATTTGTTGCGGTTTAGACGGCTATCTACCCCCGATACTGCGCGCTGCTGCAGCCTCGCCTACGGGATGCGTGCCTTCCGGACACGAGCCCGCGGTAGTAGCCAGCCTGCGGCCTAACCAGCTCATGATACCAATTAACCCGCTTGCTTTCGAACTCGGTGTCTCGATGCACTTAACCCACCCCCTCCTGCCACTGCCACTCTTGAAGTGCATCCGAAGCTAATCGAGACGCACATCGAGTAATAGACCAATTGGAGTTGTGAGTACTTTTGCAGAAGAAAAGAGATGGGAATGTGTTGTACGTGTTTCGGTAGCGCGGCATGTAAAGAATACACGAAAAGGCAACAAGGGTTCGCACATTAAATGGTTAATAGTACGTAGCAGATGCACAGGCTGGTGTAAAACCATGGTGGTGCACAGCGTACCGTGCATTGCCGTTGGAAGTCACCTATATATCCTTGTTTTCAGGCGAACGGCCAGGCCTTGCGAGCTGAAGCAAGAAATAGTCGTCATTCACCGGGACCTGCACGTTGTCGAAGCTTTGGTCGTTGTTGAGCGCCTCCTGTGCCACGGCGGTCAGCTGGTGCCACATGATCAGGTCCTGCGTGTCGCCATCCTCCGTCGTACTCGCCAGCGTATTGTCACTGTAGCCGACCTTGACGCTGGTACCGCTCACCATACTCGCGTCAGGGGGGGGGGGCTTGCGAGGTGTAACCGCCATTTGAGCTGGACGTCGTAACCGCTAGGATCACCTGGTCAGTGACATTAGAGTTGTTCGTTCACACGATAACGTGTTCCCAGTCGGGGGTGACGTCTGGGAAGCACCAGGCGTACATGATAGCCCACACCCGACCGAACCAAGCGGAGCGACCGTAGACTTGCGAGCCCAGCTTCGAACCCTTGCTTTTTGCGTGGCGTCGGCCTTTTTGAGCCAAGTGCTGATCTGACCGGCCTCGTTCTCAGCAGGGTAGGCGTGGCACCGTGGAGTTGGGGCTTGAACTTGGTCGCAGCCTTCTCAGTGACCGAAGACGGCTCCGGCTCCTCGAACGGCTTCGCCTTTTGGTACGAGATCGTCGATGATGTCGTCGCCGTCGTCGACGCCTCCTTTTCTTTCTTTACCGCTGGGGTTGGATCGTCTTCTTGGATCACACTTCCAGTTGCTCCTCAGGAGCGTGTTGTTAGATAGCGGCACAGGCTAAGCGGCATTAGCAGTTATTGCGCTCCGAGACGAACAGCGTCGAGCCTTGAGTGTGGCAGCGCGGCGCCCGGAAGTAGCAGCGAGTAGTGTAGAGTCTTGACGTCGAGGAGAAGCAGTGGACGAGGGAGAACAGGCTCTTGTCTTGAGTGAGGCAAATTCCAAAGTGATTCATTCTTTTCTTAGCCAACCACACTCAACTACATGCAACGTACCACACTCTCGGGCACGAGGAGGAAAGCCCCAGGCACAAACACCCCCTTTGGCCAACTGCCATGTAGACAGCAGGTCGATCCCAGTCAATACTGACGGGCCTTGACAAGTACGTGAGTTTCCTGGAACTACCGCCGAAAGGCTCATACTCCCCCGGAACTCACGTATCCTTGTCGTCTTCAGCATCGGCTTGGTGCACGTCCAGCGTCGACTTCAACTGCGCGTTCTCCACCACGACACGCTGCTCGATCGCAGCAACGACGTCTTCGACTCCAAGCAAGCGTCTCAACGTCTCGAACTGCTGTGGTCCGAGCGCTTTGGTGAACATATCCGCAATATTATCCGACGTAGGCACGTACTACATCTTGAGCTTCTTCGCTTCAACAAGTTCTGCAATCTTGCGACTCTTCTTAGCGTAGCGCTTGACACCATGAAAGTTGCCTGCTTCACTGCAGACCTTGATCGTGCTCTGGTTGTTAATCTGGAGCACGGGTCTCTGCTGATCCAGTCCCAGCTCCTTCAGCAGCTTCTTGGCCCACAGCAAATCCTCTACACACATGCTGGCAGCGACCAGCTCCGACTTGCACGTGTCGTCGGTAACGCTCTTCTGCATTCTGCTCTTGAATCCAACGCTAAATCCATTCAGCTGAAGCACAAATCCAGTCACCGAACGAGAGGAATCCGGGCAATTGGCGTGATCTGCATCGCTAAATGCTCTTGTAGACGGAGCAGCATCACCGCGCCTGTAGACTAATCCAAACGAGCGAGTTGCCCGAAGATAACGAAGCACTCGCTTGGCACTTGCGTAGTTCTCCTTCGTGTAGCAGCTGGTGTGCCGACTAAGAGTTCGAACTGCATTGGCGATATCGGGTCTTGTGCCCGTTGCCAAATACTGCAAAGCCCCAACTAATTCTTGGTAAGGCAGCGATGGATCGTTCACTTTGGCTGGGTCAGTTTCAATTGCCGGACCCTTCTCGTTCATCATCTGAGGCAATCGCACCGTTCGAGCTTCCGTCATATTAAAACGGCGCAGAATCTTGTCGATGTACGCTGTTTGGGAGATACACAACAGTACACCGGGCTCGTAATGCACTTCCATTCCCAACAAGTGATGCACGCGGCCGAGATCCTTCAACGCGTATTCAACCATCAAATCAGCGATGACTTGGTCGATGTCATGTGGCTTCCCGACGATGACCATATCATCCACATACACTGTGATGAGAATGATCCGTCCATCAACGCACTTGTAGTAGAGACCAACATCAAACGTACTGCGAGAAAATCCGAGCTTCACCAGAGACTTGTGTAGCATTTGATACCACAACCGGGCCGCCTGCTTCAGCCCGTAAAGTCCCTTCAACAGCCGACATACTCGATCGGTGCCGTCTTGGAAGAAGTCCGGCTGTTGCATCAGGATAACAAACTTCTTCAGCACCGTGTTAAGGAACGCGGTATCAAAATCAACGTGCCTTGCCTCCAGTTCCAGGGTCAGCGCAATCAGGAGCACCAGCAAAATCGTAATAATCCTCACCACTGCGGCATAAGTCTTACGATACTCCACCCCGTAGCGCTGCTTGAATCCGTGTATCACAAGTCTGGCCTTGTACCGTAATATTCCGCCGTGTTCATCACGTTTTACGCGCAACACCCACTTTGAAGTGAGAGTCTTGACGGGGTGTCCTGGCAACGACTTCGGTGGGTCGATCAGCTTCCAGGTGTTGTTTCGAATTAGGGCATCATACTCAGCTTTCATGGCAGCCAACCACTCATCTCGCTGAGGCGAGGCCAGGGCTTCTTCGACCGTCGCTGGGTCGCCGACAAATTTCTCCTCCACCATCAACTGGTAATCTCGAAGTCGGACATTTGGTCTCCTCGCACGTTGCGAAGCTCGAGTTGCCGCTAGTGGGGTTCCTGTTCCTGGTTGCAGACGCCGTGGTTGGCGTCGTCTTGGTGCTAGGGGCTGAGTTGACCCATGTGCTGGAACTGCACCATGTCCAGTCGCTCGCGTGTCGTGAACTTCGCCCACTTCCGACTCGTCGCTGCTCGACGAAGTCGCTCCCCCGGGCCCGTGCGCGTCGTCCATGACCGCTGACCCACCGTGACTCGGAGTCACTTCCTTTGGTAGACTGTTCTCCACCGCGCGATCAGCACCATCACGCTCATTGTCCGTAGCAATGTACTCCACTGGCAGTGGCACGTACGGGATCTTCTCGCCCTGATGTCTGCCCACCAAGAGCTTGTTCAGGTACTTGCTACTGACCGTGGCATCTTCGCGGAACTGTACGTCTCGGGCTTCGACAATTTTTCCAGTCCGCAAATTTAGCAGTCTGTAGCCCGTAGTTTAGCGCGCGAATCCCAGCAACAGCGCCGGATCTGCCTTTGGGCTCAACTTGTGCTTTCGCACCGCTTTTGGCACAAACACACCCGCATACCCGAATCTTGCTGATGTCAGGTTTCTTGTTGAAGAGCTTCTCCGACGGAGTTCTGCCCTTGAGTGCCCGTGTTGCCGTCATGTTGTCAATGTCCACCACATACCGCAGTACTTCCGGCCAGAGTTTCTGCGGCAAGTCTACTGCATGCATCGCGGCGCGCATCTTGTTCACCAGCACACCGTTGAGCTTCTCAACGAGTGCATTCTCTTCAGGGGTGTGCCGGTGAGTAGGCACGAACTTAATCCCATGTAATTTCAGGAACCCTTTGAGCTGGTTGTTCACGAATTCGCCTCCGCCGTCGCTTGTGAACGTCTTGATCTTGTGCCCCTGCGCACGCAGCTCCGACATCAGCTCCATCAAGTTGGCGTTGGAGTCGCTCTTCTGCTTGAGCGGATACACCCATTTATACCGAGATCCCTCGTCTTGGATGAGCTGGAAGTACCGATAGTTGCTCACACCGGGGAGATACTTCTGCATATCACAGACATCCGAACTCAAGCGCTCATAGTTGACTTTGGTGCGCTTCTCGGCAGCGCTTGCTTTGTACGACATGCGCTTCCTCTTGGCGCCCATGCAGGTCAGGCACGAGAACTTCTTGAAGAGCTCTTCCGGTATCTCCATGCCTACAACCACTTCGCGAGTCAACATTCCCTTAATGGCAGCCACGTTCAGATGGCCTAACCGCTCATGCCACCACATAAGAGGACTGGCATCGTTGTCGACACTCGCCATCACCATGTCTTCTGGAGCGGGTATTTCTGTGGTGTACAGCCAATAATGATGACCCTTCTTTACGAACTCGAGCCGTTGCTGACCACGGTCCAGCCAGCACCTGCGAGGCACAAACGAGGAGGGAGAGAATGATGGGAGCCAGCCAGCTTCTTCCATCCTGCCGAGGCTGATCAAATTGACCGATCCGAAGGGAGAATATTCCACGTTCTCCACTTGATGTATACAGTATCTTCATTGCCGCAGCCTGTACGGGCATTAGCAGCTGTGACCAGTACGGATCCACTCATAACTCCCTGCGTGACTTCACCGGTCCAGACCTTGAACATTGCCTTCGACTTCTTGCTGCTAGAGAATTGCCCTCGCTCAACACACACGTGCGTAGTGCTCCCACAGTCCAGCATCCAAGCGCCCACCGCGCCTTCACGAGCCAGGCCAGCAACCATTCCCAGGGCAGGAGCTTCTTCATCGCCGTCGCTGTCACTACTACTGTCGCTGGTCGATCCGCGACCGGGGACATCTGGAGCACTGCCATTCAGCCACAGCATGTGCTGGATTACTCCCGGTTTCTTCTCTGCACGATCTCCTTTACTGGCCTTCCCTTCAGTGTTTTTCTTTGACAGCTTGGCAGTCTTCTTGATCTCCTTTCCGCCAGCTTGCACCTTTTTCGACTTTTTCTTCAAGTGCCAGCAATCCCGCTTGAAATGGCCAGGTTTTCCACAGTGGAAACACTTGCTCTTCTTGCCACCGTTACCCCCATTCAGACCCGGCTTCACAGGTGGTCCAGCCCTCATCGTGTTCATCACCACTCCATTTCCATTTCGCGTCCCACCCACTTGCTCGGCCATGCGTGTACGCTCATCCTTGGATCTTAGAGCATTGGTCACTTGTAGCAGCGTGGGTGGGTTGCCTTGACGCGTAGGCAGGTCGAACTGGTCCAGTAACTCAGGATGCGTCACTGCCACGCCCATCAGCAGCAACTGGGCCATGTCGTTGTCCGTAATAGCATGGTCCGGGCCCATATTGCGCAGCTTTTGCCGAAGTTGCCTCATTGTCGTGATGTACTCGGCCAATAATTGGCCCTCATTATGAGAGGTTTGATACAATTTGGTCGCCGCAGGAGTACCGCGTAGGAGAAGTCGCGTTGGGTGTTATCCGCCACCAGTGTATTCCACATTTCCGCAGCCGTAGCCATTCCACACACCTTGGCAGCATCATCATTCTTGCATCCGCGCAGGCCGCGTAGGATAGCCGCACGTGCAATTCGATCTCGCTCGTCATACTGGCGTTGCAGGCCCACATCCGTAGCATGGCGTGTCTCCCCGCCGCTCACTACAGCCCACGAGTCGCGCTCTGCAAGATAGAGCTCCAATTTGGCGCGATAGAGCTCAAACGTGCCTTCGAACCGGGGCGCTTTGTTGCTAGCCCGCGCTGGATTAACGGCAGGTTGTGCTTGTTGTTGCGGCTGGCCTTGCACGTTGCCAGCTCCAGCATTGCTCATTTTGTTTCTTGCGTCGCTTTCACTTTAAGAGACTCGTCACCAACAGTTAGAGCTTTGGGCTCATAATCTAGCAGTTATTGCGCTCCGAGACGAACAGCGTCGAGCCTTGAGTGTGGCAGCGCGGCGCCCGGAAGTAGCAGCGAGTAGTGTAGAGTCTTGACGTCGAGGAGAAGCAGTCGACGAGGGAGAAGTGGCTCTTGTCTTGAGTGAGGCAAATTCCAAAGTGATTCATTCTTTTCTTAGCCAACCACACTCAACTACATGCAACGTACCACACTCTCGGGCACGAGGAGGAAAGCCCCAGGCACAAACACCCCCTTTGGCCAACTGCCATGTAGACAGCAGGTCGATCCCAGTCAATACTGACGGGCCTTGACAAGTACGTGAGTTTCCTGGAACTACCGCCGAAAGGCTCATACGAATCGGTAGGAATGGGGTCGAAGGGCACGTTGTTCCGTATTCGCATGGTCGTGGACATGATTCCGCTCCACTGGACCGTGCAAAGCTTGTCGGTTTGCACCTACGAATACAAACAGTAGGAGGGTGCCTTTTAAACCGATCTTCATCAGACACGTTACTAACGTGCTAATGCGAGAGCAACCAAGATCACTGTACATGTACTACCAATAACGATTCCGTTAGTCCAGGTTGAGGGTGAGGGCCAGTAGTTCAATTGTGTATGCTTTCCCGCGTCACGATCCAGTTTAGTCTCCTCCAATCCCAACAGCTAGCTTGTCGTAAGTCCGGCTCCAACCGTGCATGCATGATGAGAATGCTCATGACGTTCGAGACCTCTGAGATATACATTTAGAGCTAGAAGATCGAGCAGCATTTTCTGGTATCTACCAGTGATGGCCAAAAATGTACGGGAAGGCATTGGAGATAAAGCGATCTGTAGCAATATGAATTGCAGTACCAAGGCAGCCAGCAATAATAACTGGAATACTGCTCGTTCTTGCAATAATTACTGCAATACTAATAACCATACTACTCTGTCGTCGTAGAGGTCGCCGATAGCACATATGCCGTCGGAACTGGGTTTTGAGGACATTATTATCTTGACATTGACAGCCTTGCCTGCTTCTAAGTGAAAAGTACTAGGGTTTGAAGAGTTAATTCGGTTGGCTTAAGACTGCAGTAAGAATTGCAATTCCGCAGCGCTCTGCAACATGTATTGCAATAGCTTGCAAGCTTGCAGTATGGCATTGCAATAAGTATTGGTAAATGTCAATACCTGCAATACTTTTTTGGCCATCACTGATCTCTACAACACACTTCGGTCTAGCGTTCCGACCTGCAGATCGACTTTGTACAAGAAATGACATTACACGAAGCAGAAATGGAGCATTCTGGTGCAGTAGATATTATCCAGAACTAAAAACTATGTACCTTATGTACGATGTAGGTATCATCATAGGCGACACGTTTCAAATCTGAACAGGCGATTGCTTGCGGTACACTCCACGACAAAAGTTTAAGGACATCCCTATTTAATCCAGGTGGCTGTATTCTTGTCAATTTGAATCGTTTCAAGGTAAACACGCGAGAAAGATCTTTAGAGACGATCCCCTCGGTAGTAATCCCCAGGTAAGGATACCTCTTATCAGGCATATAAGTGTGGGTCAAAAGTTGGGACTCCAACAGATTTCTGATATACAAATCCAAGTATTAATAATGATTCCCCTCACCGTTCGTAATAATGAATGCAAATGCACAGAATATGAATGTTCTGAGGTGCTTATGGTAGAAGTCCAATTTGTAAAGGACGTCTGATAAGTTGAGCTAGGACACTAGCTCCTCTTGTCTTTATTTCCTTGCCAATTCATGTGTTAATGCTCGCATGATCTTACGGAACCGCGCACAAGACCTGCTACTACCAGTGCTAATTGCATCCGTTCGAATCCAAAGGATGTTGTCTACGGACTTAATATTATCATGCCAGATTCGTTTGCTCTCAGTATCAGTACCTACATCGTGTTCAGCAGCCATTATTAAGCTGGTAGGTGTTTTCATACTCTTCCGTATCACCGAACTCATGGATCGATAACATCATTAATCTTGTGTCCTCCAATAGATTGAGCAATTTGTTTTCATCATTGTACAGCTAAAAGCTTGTAGAATCTGTACGATATTATATACTTATGAATTTGTATGGTTCAAGATGGTGCACCATTGACATCTCAATGGGGCACCCCATGACAGGAGCACCTTCCACTAGAAATAACAAAGTGGTTTTATGACTACCGAGGGGATTTTGTCCGCTAACATCTTTAGGAGCTCGCATACAAATTAATGGTTCTGTCCAGGTGACAAAACTATGGACAGCTAATCCCCATTCGAGGTACCCGGACTGGTGGTCCGGGGGGTTCGCAGTTCTCAGGAGCGATAAGATGCCAATAACCAATACGAAGTTCCGACCCGCCAAAATTATATACGCGGGTTTATAGACTAGCTTCAAACAGCAATTGTGACTCCTTGAATGATACACAACCCAGGGCTCAGCGAAGGCCGGGATAGGAGGATTTCGGAATACGTGTACTTCGACTTTGTTTTTTTTTGTGTTTTGAGCTAGGAGGAACTTCTTTTACGATACGCAGGCATCTCCTGTCCCTGCTTCGCAGCCGCAGTATTGCCTTGTACGTGCATCAAGTAAAATAACGGTGAAAATTGAATGAAAACTAAAAAAAAGTCATCACTGCCTAACTAAAGGCACAACTATTGTATTAGGCATGACGCTCGGGTTTGAGGCCTCGCTTGCAATGATGATGGGGTGGCGTGCTCAGAATCCGGACATCTCGAGCTGGAGCACTAACATACCGGTTAAATACCGACTAGCTTAAATTACCGGTATGTAGAAGGCCATTTAGCAAGATGTGGGGCAAGATAGTATTTACTGTTAAGGGCCGTTCCTAACGGGATCATGTGGACCCGTAATTATGCTACCTGATTGGCTAAAATAGATACATATGGAGCCTGGTGCCATGACCCCATGATCCAAGCAATGGCTCATGCCCCAATCTCGGATCACGGATCACTGCCAAATGCCGTCAAAGGATTTAGACTCCAGCAGCCTTCGTAGCCACGGTTTTGACTAATGTTCGCCCGAGTGTACACTCTATGAGTGCAAGGAGTTCGTTAAAGCTATTGTGGAACCTAGAAGGCTGTACTTATAGCACTACTGCAGTTTTGCGCAGTCATTCTCTACTGTAGCCACATTGAAGCAGCTTGCATCAAGTGCATTGTCGAAGTGCAAAGCAGCGTTCGATCGCAAATGCACACGAACACAGCTCGTGAAGCTCATAATGGCGGCCGCCCTCAACGCGAACTCGAGCCTTTCGTTATGTATTTGGACATGGATCACGATCTCGTTAGGAACGGCTTTGAGATCATGCTTCCTTCCACCCCAAACCACAGCCGAGATCATGCCCCGGTGATCTCGTTAGGAATGGCCCTAAGTACTAAAGTATAGCAAAACTTAACCTAGAAGCTACTGGTGTGGCCGCGCCGCTAGCTGCAGTTGGCCTTCAAAACCCTGCAAATACGTTTTGCAGACTTATCCCAACATCACCATCGTTATCCGAAACAGCGTGGCATGTGAACAGGCACCCCGTATCGAAGCTACGATAGTGTATTATAATTTAATACTTTTTGTGTCGCTATGCTTATTGCCCTGATATCGCACGGTCGGGCTCACAAACACTTACTTAAAAGTATAGGAACCCCGGGTGAATTTGAGCATTACTTGAAGTAATGCTTATTAGCGATTCAAGAATTTTTGCCCTAGAACAGAGCGACGGCGGTCATATTCGAGCTCGGATCACCAAGATAGAGCGCCTCGTATTGTCGACGCACTTTTAAATGCATGATCCACGGCGCGCTTCGCAGGAGGTGGAGAATTACCTACACTTCCCTCCCAGACCAACAGAGGTCTTTATGGCGCTGCGATCAGTATTGGTACGTACTAAAGCCAGAAAAGTACGGAAAAAAGGTGAAACGTATACCTCTGTGGGGTAAGCTAACCAGTGGTCTGACCTAGTTTCCACGGCGTCTGGCAGCCGCGGCCGCAGCCACGGCCTTTTCTTGCTGTCTCTCGTATTCGACTCCTTTTTTTAGAATGTATACCGTCCAAGCCGACTTGAGAGGCTTGAAGTCATCGAGCTTGTTGAGGCGGGCTAACACCTCCCTTTTGATATCTGCGTTGCCAAACATTTCGTCGAACATAGCCAATCGGATCTTCGAGGCTTCCGCTGATTTCTGTAGAGCAGCCCGGAGCTTCGTCGGGTCGACTAGGTCTTCCACTTTCAAAAGGTCTTTGAACGATATCGCGTTGACAGGCACCGATGCTCTCTCTTCGCCCGCAGCTTCGTGAGACCTCAAGTGCCTGTGTCCGGTGGCAGCCATCGCTGCAGCGTCGATCGTCTGGGTCTCTTCCTTCGCAGTCATTTTTGACAAACCCGCGTGACTTGAAACCGCGGTAACTTCGTTACTTGCGAGGAGGGTGGCCGCGGCCGCTAGTAGAACGAAGCACACGCGCATCGGCACGTGTAGTTGATTGGGTGGTGTTCTGAATGCTGAGTGAAAAGCAGAATGAAGAACTTCGGGCATCAAATCCATGTACTGACGAATACTTCCCGTCAGTGGGAAGGCCCACACCGTAATCATGATCTCAAGTCGAGAGCTGTTGGGCTCCTAGGATGTGTCGTTGTATGCTTTCAACTTGGTTTCCATGTACATATTTTCGGTAACATCCATGTCATATGCTCTGTGATAAACCATGCGAAAGAAATGAAAGCTGGTCCGAATCTGTTCTCGAGCTGCCAACTTTTGCGAGTGCACAAGCGTTCGTACATGTAAACATCAATTCTGGAGACTGCTTGCTATAATACTGTACCTATTATACATGTACTGTACTGTACCGTACCGTACATATGCTATACGTACCATCAATTCGCTTCGAAGCTGGTTCCAGAACAATGGACGCGGCAAGCTACTGTACCGCGCTGTTCAGTCGGCAACGCAATTTGGCACTCGCCGCTCTTACAGTAAAGACAATCATGTGTGTTTTGAGGTCCTTTATTTACGTTGGATTAAGCTATAGAGTCCTGATATCGCTGTATCGCTGTGTAGACTTAAGCCTAATTGATAAATGGTGTCGGGATGGTCCAGGAAAGACAATCCTCTCCGTAGTGATAGGCTTCTCATTGAGACCCCAATTTTATCACTTACAAAAGGCATCGCTATTTATCTAGATTTGTAATTGTACCATAATGACGGTACTTTAGACGCTCTTGTCGTGAGCGGTGGGGTTGACGGTGTCGAAAGGTACAGTGCCACCATTGTACGCACTTCGTGAGTTTGTATTATACTCAATACGTGGCCAAAGCGTTAGATACAAGGTGATTGTTCTGATGAACATCGTTTACTGTCCGCCATTCTATTATTACTAACCAGGGGATATCACAATTCGGGATACGGCTCAAGCATACAGATTGCCCAACTTTGAGCGACACCTACACCTATATTGGGCGTAAACAGTGAGAAAAATGGCGCGTGCAACAATCATTCTCCAGATTTTGCAGCTGGCTCACGAGCATAAGCGCAGGACGGAATGTCCTGTATTTTCCAAATCGAAACATCCCGGCGTCAAATCCTACACAAAATCTAGTATTATTGGCACAAGCTTGGCAAAGTCAATCTTTTGTGCTTTTGCAGGACATGTTGTCCTGCAAGATTTGCTGCATTGCGGATGCCGCACCCGCAATGCAGCAAACTTCCGAGCTAATGCGCCAAGCAGAATATAACACACACGTGGTGTCCGTTAGCGTAGCGTGCCCACCAGGAAGATACAGTATTCATGGCTCGCTCTGTAGACCAAGGAGCATTTTAGTCGTACCAGTTAAAGAAATCTAAGCTCAGCCATACATTTCATACATTCTCAACACTTTTTTTAAACTAAGTCAGCAGTAACGCCGAGTCGAACCAGTACGTATATGAACGCTGAAAGATGTACAAATAATAGCTCTCCATTACCCAGTGCTAATCGCAACATTTAATTGCGGGGGCACACGCTGTGTCGACGCTTGCCATGACTGTTGTATGTGTAGTGTCCCTGGATAGCGAAGAGCAATTGCAGCACCTTCCCTTAGGGTCTGACCCGCTGAAGCCGCCCACGTTCGAGCCTCCGCTGAACGCCCATACCAGAGCTGCCGTACCAGCTAGTTGTCGTGATCGTGATCGTCCTCAACGAAGTCGCCCACGACGCTACCGTAGCGAGCCCTCAGTCTTGATGGTTGCTGGTCTGCGCGCGTCATCTCCTGCCCGTCGAGATCCAGGCCAGCATGCCACCCGAGACCGAATCACCTGTACTCGAAGCCCTCGGCCACTTTGTTTCCTGATACGAGTAGAACGGAGTCATTGGCGTGGGTGGTGAGCATAGAACTAGACTTTTGTTGAGCGCCATATCGCTGACGATGTCCTTGTCGAAGAAGAGCTGGCCGTATTAGCGTGCTTCAACGCCGACTTGGCAATAAATTACAACCGCCTACGCCGGCCCAGTCTCGGCCAGCTTTTCTTGATGATGAAGAGGTAAAGTTATACTATTGTGCAGGTGGGGCAGCCTATGGCATGTTTGCTGTTGCGGTGAGGCCAAACACAGGGAAAACTGCGATGCTATGTTAATTTAATTCTGATTGGACAAAATACTACAATTTTGTGTGTCCTGGTAATGTCCTGTAAAATCCGTTCAAGAATCATTTGCATGCAACCTACATGTACTTCACCACCGTTTGAGCAAGGCCCTCTGGGCCAGAGTATGACACAGAACTACCGGTATATGTAGGTTACTTGGCGACCCACTCGCCTTTATGAAACATCATAACTCTCCGCTGCCAAAAGGTGGTTACCGTATGTAGCTTTATAGAAGTACGAAGTAACCTGCGAATTCCTGCCAATGGTATTACAGTAGTGTTTGAACAGCGGCCGAGGCGAGCCTCAGTATTTGTGCATTTATTATGAAATCCTCCAACCTAATACTGTTGCACATTTTCTTTAAAATAATAACAACCTCAGACGTGCACACTACAGTACATACTTCGGTCGACTGTAGAGAAAGATTGACGCTTGGATCTTCTGAGTCCTCTGTATCTTCTAACTGGACAATTTATTATAGGGGCTCAAGATTAGACCATTATTTTATTTAAAATAAGGGTACGAAACAAGCTGAAAGCTGCAATTGAAGAAGTTGATAATCAACATGATCATGATCAAACCTACAAGTTACGATGCTGCTGACCAACAGACAACTACAGTCAAACCTGTTTATATGAGGCCTGTTGGTGACCATCTACTACAATGACTCATATAAAATGGACTCAGTTAAAAAAAATTATGTGGTGCACGTAAAGAAATCGTGCATAGTTCGCTGCCGCTTTGCCTTCACCGTAGTCTCTCGAACCAAAGCGGTCACGGTCTGTAAAGCTCTTCGTTCTCTGTCAGTCTGCTCTCCGCATTGCAGCAGAAATGCAGCCAGCTCCATGCAGTGTCTCAGAGCAATGGCAGGTTGAATTGCGGGTTCCTGTTCCTCCTCTTCCTCCTGCTCGTCCTGCGAAACTGCATCACTTCCTGCCACTTCGTCCACTAGCACATCTGGCTCGTGCACAGGAACGTCTTCGTCCACTGCCAGATACTCACTAGCGCTAACAGCGCCCTCCCACCTCGATAGCATCGCCGTTAACTCCTCCATCTCGTTGCTGGATACCTCCTCAATGTTATCCGTGCCAGCACGGGTCCTTCCTAGCATCTTTCCTCCCAAAATGCGAGTCTTGACCCAGCAATTTGTAATTGTCGTTGGCGTCACACCCGCCCAAGCATCAATGGAGAATTGGACAGCTTCCAGTACGTTGAGCTTGCGTGTAATGTTAGCTTCAAGTGCATCCAAACACCACCGCACAAAATAGTTTCGGTACCGAGCCTTGAACGACCGGATAATACCTGAATAAAAATAACATCGTAATAGAGTTGGTTAGTTTAGGCTACACCACAATACAGATAAAATATTTATCTGCATCCAGCGGCTGTACGGCGGATGTCATGTTAGGAGGGAGGAAGTGAACAGTCACATGAGTCAGGTTTCGTAGAATCTTGTGGCATGAAGCATTGTCGACTAGAAGTAGGACCTTGCGATTGGCGGCCGCCATTCTCATGTTGGAGAGGTGCAGCCATTCGTCAAAAATGACGGATGTCATCCAGGCGTTCTTGGAGGACTTGTACAATATAGGTTTACCTTTAATCGCCGCTCCCTTTCTAAAGCACCTCGGGTTCTTGGCCGTACCGATGACTATTGGGTCGAGCTTGTCGGAGCCAGTCGCGTTGCAGCAGAAGGCCAAAGTCAAACGTTGCTTCTCCTTTTTCTTGCCCTTGCGAATAGTCGTAGCTAGCGTTCGATTAGGCGCTAAGCGATAGAAAAGCGCCGTTTCGTCGAAGTTGAACACATTATCGGGTGTAAACTGCGCCACCAACTCTTGTAGCTCTAGCCTCGCATCTCGTACTTCATCAGCTTCTACAGCACCACCTTCGCCGTGTAGCGTATGGGAGCGGGTCCCATTGCGCTTCTTACAGCTTTGAAGCCAGCCGTTGCTTAGCCGGAGCTGCGTGGCATCGATGCCTAAGCGCACCGCCAGCTCATGCGCCTTCAGCAGGAGCACGTCGTCCGCCATCGCCGTTTTAGCTTCGTTCTGAAAGAAAAATTCCCTCAGTTCCCGCTCGAACTGAGGGAATTTCACTCGGCGCCGCTTGGTCGCACTCAGGTCGACGTGGCTGAAGTAGGAAGAAGGCAGGTTGCGCAGTCGGGCGAGTGTGGCACGGCTGACCCGGGCCTTGAAAGTTGCGTAGATCCACTCGGCGAGCATGGGGTTGTTCATGCCAGGATTCTGCTTGAGCTTTAGGTGCACTTGGAGCTTTTGTTCTAGCGTCAGTCAGGTGCGAGGAGACATGGCGAGCGAAGAAGGCTTGCGGTAGGCGTTGAGTGTTGAGCAGTGGTGCTTTGAAGAGTGTGTGGCCGTGAGCAGTGTGAATCAAATAAACAGGTGAGACCTAATTTGGTCCCTAAAAATGTGACTCATATACCTTGTATGCATATAAACAGAGATCATACAAAAACTAAGTGAAACATTTGGTAGCGACAAAGCCTGCATCAAATAAACGGCATGGCTCAAATAGAGAGGATCATATAAACAGGTTTGACTGTATCAGCATGTTTCTCACCTTTTAACATAATCGACAAATTCGAACACCTCTTAGAATCCCCCCCCCTCTAACCTCGAACTAGACCATTTTACGCGTAACGCGTGTATTGCCGTTTGCAGATATTTTGGCCAACGCATGCTTATTATCTCGTTAATAATCTCGATTTTAATCCGGCCAGCTCTTAATTAAAACCTAGGTCTGATTTATATATCTCGCCAGTACGGTCTAAGATCCGAGCTTGGGGCTCTGTTTTCTCGACCAAGGCGCTTTTCTACGACTTGGAAACGCAGAAATGCCATTCTAGACGGGCCAAACCGAGTTTCTGGGCCTAAAAGCGGCCCCCAGCAAAGCATAAAGCTAAATCAGCCCTCGCCTATCTCGTGTCCACTCATATTAAGAGACCGGCGTGGTCTATTTTAGAGGGCAAAGTATTTGCAAGCGGCAATATAACTTTTAAGTAATACACAACTTTTAAAAAAATGATAGTGGTGCTCATCTAGTATGAGTAGTGCGAGTACGGCAGCTTCAATAGAGTAAGTGGTTGTATTCGTTACTTTTCAGTTCATCGCATATGTCTCGTTTGAGCTGTAAGTCATACCGGGGATCCAACTGATAGAGCTGTAGACTTGCAGTTGATTCCTCCGGATGACTCGTATAGTCGACAACTGTTCATCGAGATACGTTCCAAAGCTCTTACGTTTGTGTATTCTTGCCGATAATATTTTCACGACCACGAAGTAGTGCCTCCGACCCGAACAAGCTCTAAAAGTTGAGTTTTTTTACGTGTTTATTCTCATTGGTACTATGGTGTTGGAATTTGAGGAAGAAGTATGGCGCTACAGACAATACTACGCCACTTTACTCGTCTAGTTTCGATGTTAGGTATAATTAGTGTCCCTTCTACTACTTAAGCTAAAATGTCCACGTTCACCTTTCCACCCCGACTAAGTATGGTCACCTTGAGCATCCAACCTGCGGATGCGGGTCCGTAACAAGACGACCTGTGCGCCAGATCTCACTGAGCTGAGCTCAGCACTTGATGCTGGAACTCGTCTCGATGCAGCAGCAGATCAGCATCCGACGGGGCGGCTGCAGCTTGCCTTATGATTGCTTATCTGCTTGCTTCCAGCCTTATCGGAGTCGCCTGTGCCTGCATGGGCCGTTTTGCTCGTCCAGCTTCTTCCCTTCTTGGGAGCATCGCCGTCAGCCGCGGTGGTGGCATCAGTAGCAGCGTTTTCCTTCTGACTCTTGGGTTGCTGGAGCGGGGCGCCCGTGGGAGCGATCACCCGACTGGACGCTCGGGCGGATCGTTCACCAACATCCGCAACCACAGAAATACCATCAGTCCAAGCAGGCTAGGCGCCCACACAGTTTGTTTTTGATGAGCATTACCGTGGGTTCCTATAGTGGTAGTATCACTAGTGTTCGTAATTCGAACGAGTAACCTTATTAAGTTGGAGCTACGAATAGCCCGTCCTTGAGGCCTTAGTGGTGCTGCGGCAATTGAATAGCGCGGGCAAGCTTAGCACGACTTGGGTGGGTCGCTTGCTCTAGTAGAAAATTGGTGAGATAACAAAAACACGCAATGCACCCAACGACGCCGCACGATTGATACTTTTCGCTAAGTTCATATGCAGCCACTACGGGTGAAGTATTTTCCTATTGTTATATTCTGACCTGGAAACGCAATCTTCTCTGAAATAAATCTCAGAGAGCTAGGATTAACCTTGCATCTCTGAGATCCCCTCTATTTTGCGCCGCAGCCGCGTCCTCAATTTGTTTTTCGTACTTTTTGCCTCTGTAGAGGCGATACCAGTTCCAACCCACCCTGAGCGACTTCAACTGTCCTGCCTCGTCGAATGCCTTCAGCACGTGGTCTCGATATTCTGGTAGCTCGCCTGTTGTTGATGGCATCCTCCGTTTTCCCGAGGAAAGCCCCAAATTGCTTCTTATCGACAAGATCATCCACTCTCGTCAGGTCTTTCAACGAAACCACACCTAGGGGCAGCAATCTCTCTTCGTCCGCAGCTTTGCCGGTCCTCAGCAGCCTGTGTGTTCGGAGCAGCGTCGATCGACTGGATCTCTTCGTTTGCAGCCACTCTTGACACTTCCGCGCGACTTGAAATGGCGACAACTTGGTGGCTTGCGAGGAGGGCGGCCGCGGCAGCTAATAGGACGTAGCACACGCGCATCGATAGGTATGTGTAGTGTAATTAGCTGTGTGGCTTTTTCTGAGTGGTGGCAAAAAGCAGAATGAAGAGCTTCGAACAGCGAATCCGGCACCAACGAGTAAACTTTCGGTCAAGATGAGCACATGCCACAATCATCATATTCTCGACTTGAGAATTGTTACAGATTCGCCTTATCTTGTCTTTTCTAAGTCCAGTTTTTGGTATTAATACATGTACTGCACCGTGCCGTACTGTACAACATCCATGTCATATGCTCCGCGATAAACCATGCGATGAAAACGAAAACCTGGTCCGAATCTGTTCTGCAAACTCCGAACTTTGGTGATTGGACAAGCTTTTGATTCCGTAGGCAGTAGCTTGCTACTGGACCTAAGGCACAGTTACCGAGGAACTGCGTGCGTACCCTGGTGCAACACATGAATGCACTTGTGCAATAAAATAATACTGACTGTACATGCACATTGCCATCCGTTTGCCTCGAGGTCCTATCATAGAGGGTCATGAATGTGGCGGCTTGTCTTTGGACTGTAAGAAGTTTATCTCTCAAACATCAGGAACCTAAAACCTAATTTTGAACGTAAACAAAACTTCGTGAGAAAAAATGGAGCGTGCAACAATCATTTACATATACAGCACTGTACCAGCGTTTGTGCAAGACACTTTCAAATCTACTGTCCGGCAATGAGAGCACTTAAAGTTTTTAAATTTTAAAAAATCAATATAATAAGGTTAAAATATATGCAATAAATAAAAGTTAAAATATATGCAATAAATAAAAGTTAAAATATATGCAATAAATAAAAGTTAAAATAAATAATCTAAAATAAATATTTTTCGTAAAAGAAAAAAATAATTTAAAAATGACAGATTGATTAATAAAAATGGAAATCATTATTTATGAATAACGAAGTCCCCACTTACATTTGAGTTGATCCCTCAGGGAAGGGGATACATCTGTACTCGTTTAGCTTTTAATTAAGCTTTTTGTCAGGAAGAAGCGATAAATTTAAACAAAATCAATGCAACTAAAACGTACCCAAGGATCAATTCCATAATTGCTGCGACAATAACCGTACCAAGTACTTGATAGTAAATTCCAAGCTTCGGACACAGTTCACTTCCGGCGGCGCTGCTCGTACTCGAGCTGGATCTCTGCACTCGTCTTACCAGACGTCTCGGGTACCAGCTTCAGTCCCATGGAGAAGAACACAGCCAGCAACACCACAAAGGGGACGTAGCTGTAGTCTCTCAACGCATCAGCCAGATACGGGTACGACACCCCCACCACGAGGTTGCAGAGCCAATTAATCCCAATACACAGCGACGACGCGCTTGCGCGAATCGCATCCGGGAACATGTCAGCCGTCATAACCCACACCAGCGGGCCCAGCGTCACGCCAAAACTGATCACGTACAGAGCTGTGAACAGGACGGAAAGCGCAGGGACATTAACGAGAAATGCCAGCGTCATGCCAGCCGCCATGACCAACATACCCGCCAACCCCCACAAAATCATAGTGCGATTCCCGAAGCGAACAGCCAAATACCCAGTGAAAAACGCCGGCCAAATGTTGATAAAGTCAATGATGAGGGTGCCCACCCGCGGGTCCGAGATGCCAGCAGCCGAGAAAATCTCACTTGAGTAGTAGAAAACAGCGTTGATACCCGATAACTGCTGTGAGCACGACAGCAGAATAGCACCAGCCAGTTGTAGGCGATACTTGGGGTCATACGTGGACTCATTCGCCTCTTCCTTGGCGCTCAGGAAGCTCTGCTCGTTCTCTCTGGCAGTCTCCAGCCACTCCAGCACTTTATTCACGTTCTCCACGCCGTACAGTCGGGTTATCACGTGTTCGGCTTCTTCTCGACGGTTTTTCATCAATAACCACGCTGGACTCTCGACGCAAAGTGACGGAGCAAGCAGTAGGAACAATGCGGCCAGTACCAAGGGGAATCCAGCGAGAAATCTCCAGCCAGTGCTTGTATTCGCGAAGAAGAAGGCGACGGCAGGCATCATAATGCCGAAAGTTACCGAAATCTGAAGCCCCAGACCGAGGATGTTCCGCAAGTGTGGAGACGACAGCTCGTTCACGTACGCGCCGATTGTACCCGTAGCAACACCCGACGCAACTCCAGCAATGAGACGCCCAACTGCAAACGGCCAAATGTTCGAGACGCTACTCTGCACGACCGCTCCCGCAGCGATGAACCCGCAGTTCGCAAGTAAAAGCTTCTTCCGCCCCCATTTATCGCTGAACCTTCCGCAGAATAAACTGCCGAGCATGGCGCCGAAAATCCACGCGTTCACCGCGAAAGTCCATTCGAGCTTTGAGTGTCCAGGGAACGTCAAACATGTTCCTTCCGCTACGGGGCGAGCATTGCACTGAGCCGTGTCGTTGAACTGGGCCAGATTGAGCTGGGATGTCGACCAACCGCTTTGGAAAGGTTGGAGCAGCGACACAAGTACGCTCAGGTACAAAGCAGTCTTGGGCTTGACTTGACGCGAATCCGCGGTAGTTGACGACTCCGACATTGTTGGGTCTTCCTGCTCTTCTTTTTTGCCTTGAGCTAAGGAACGATGAATGGAGAATTTTCGTTTGGGACAAGGCGAGAATTCCTGGAAACTGCTTCAGTACATGTATTAATTTTTTTTGCTTTTTTTACTTGCAATAGTCAACAACTACTTGTAGACGTCTAAACGGGCGGCATCGACTCGCGTTTGATGGCGATTTCTCCGAGTATGGGGACCCCGTGGCCGATAACAACTCGTCGTTCTTTGATTTTCTTGCTCAAACGGTTGATTCGGTGCTCTCCAATGACGCTGCACAAAAGCGTAGGTGGAAGAAGCGCAGGTAACACGAACCCAGGCCTAGTAGCCGCGCTGCAGCCCCACATGAATCCCGTCATAATATACTGGAAGAGGCAGCTGAAGTTCAGAATGACGAAGGTAGTTCGTAGATACTTCGCGTCGTTGCGGAGGAATACGATGTTTCCAAGACAAACCACGAGTTTGTTCTTGGACGTCATGTACGTATCAGTATCAGCGCCACCAACCCTGCGTTGCGACTTCAGTGGGTCTAGTGTAGTCTTGGTGAGCGTAGGACTGGTGTCGACGAATGCGAGAGGGAAATGCTTGTTCAAATAGCGCACAGCTTGACTTCTTGACTCCAACTTGGTTTTCTCCTTCAGCACCCGCGACAGCGTGATAACTCGATAAATGTAGCCAGGGTTGCTGGTCAAGGCCGTCCACGTGAAGACTCCGTTAACAACTTGAGAGGCATACTCTGTATACGTGTCCTGGGCGGCTTTGTCTCCCACGTTCAGGACGCCAGCTTTCACGAGCATCATGGATACACCAGCGACGATGGCGATGGCATTCAACAGAGAGTGATATGCTACCGACGCGAGGTTCCATTGTTGGTTTGACTCGTTAGTTTGCCTGTGGCTCTCTTCCAGAATGGGCGTAGCTGGCTCAGGTGTTTGATCAGGCTGGACGTACATGTTGGAATATGACCGCCTTGGTGATGGTGGTTAGCACGCTTTTTCGGAAGTGATGGTTGTCTTGGCATACGATAAATGCCAGTACGAACAGAGCAGTCCAGGTGGCACAGTACATGTACAGCGTGTACGACTGGCTTGTTGGCTCGAGGCATAAACATTCAGCCGTCGATGCAATTCTCGTCAAGGAGTTGCCGTCGATTGTAAAGATCGAGTCCAGAAGGCACTGTATCATACCTACTCTACGACAGTACTTACGGTGGGTTAACAAATGTTGATTTCTTCATGGCTGTGTCTGGATCAAGGGCGAGCCTCAAACTTCTCTAAACCGCCTGATATATAATAGTTCTTTCATTTTTAAATGATTTTCTTTTAAAAAAAAGAAAATATTTTCTTTCGCACTACAGTACCAAGAATGAATATACGGCCTTCCACGATGGGGTTATACTTACAGAAGCCGCATGCATCAAACAATGAGCCAGACGTGAAAGCGAAGTGAAACAGAATGACTTTGCCGCGGCGGGTGGTTGGTTATACATGCGAGTACTGTACAGTCTTACCGGGACAACAGAAACATCATCATCAACGATTAGTAGCCACACGCATCCGAGCACCTGTCCACTACCGGTGCTGGACACGATCTTAAAGCTTTGGTAAACGTAGTATGGATCTCGCTCGCTTTCTCTCTGGACAGACGGATCAATGACAGGCTTCACGGGTATGAACAAGGAGCTAAATTTTGTGTTATCCTACATGTACCACTTCCGACCTCGACGTGATTACTCTACTGTCCATTTCAACGATCCTTTACTGCCATCAACGCTCGCTCGGTTTGACATTTCCCTATGGCTGGCTTCCTTTCTTTTTGCATACGGATTGAGCAGGCTCTGTATTGTCGGCATGAAGGAGAAGGGGGCGGAACAGTGCTGGTGACCAGCTTTCAACATCAGTCCAAGGGCCTTAAGGGCTTAAAGCACCAATGTGGCACCCGTATCCAGTCCACCGATATGCACATACCTACATTATAATCGCACTTCTATGGCAAGCTGCAAACTTGCAATGCGAAGGATCAAGTAGCATTATTAGGAATATACGACAGTTTGTGCACAGCGCTTTAATTAAAATGGGTCCGACATTGAGAAGATGAATGCAGAACGTGACGTGGGGAATATAGTGCAGCTACGTATGATTCCAACGATACCTAGTACAAAACCTCACTGTTTTAACACGACCAGTTCATCTGAGCGTAGACATCTAAGTGGGCGACATCCCGCCCCGCCTACTTGACAGATCTCCGAGAATTGGGACCCCGCCGTCCACGACAACCTGCCGTTCTTTGATTTTCTTGCTCAGACGGTTGATTCGGTACTCGCCGATGACGCTGCACAGAGTCGTAGGTGGAAGCAGCGCTGGCAGTACGAAGATAGGTCTTGTCATCGGGCTGTAGCCCCACATGAACCCCGTCATAACGTACTGGAAGAGACAGCTGAAGTTCAGGATGGTGAACGTTGTCCGCAGGTGCTTAGCATCATTGCGATGATGTTGCTGGCTTGGCTGCTAGTGGCAATCGAAACTTGAGCACGCATTTTCGGAACTGACAGAGCGAACGGCTTGTGCTTTAGGTTGGAATGTGTAACTTAAAGACTGAAATTTCCACTGTCGATGCCATTCCCATCGAGGGGCTGCCGTCCATCGCGTTGATAGATTCAAAGGCCGATTCATCCCGAAGATGAGCTATCCGGGCGGATTGGTTAAAAGTTTTTCGTTTCCTGTTCGTATCGTATCAAGGCATTACATTGGAGCTTAAGGTTCTCTCCCTTACCATTACACTCTACAATTCTACAAAAGGCTACACTACAATGAAAGACTACGTGCATATCCGGATAGCAGAAGTAGCAATAGTATTTTACTTGAAAGTGTACGTGGCCAATTTATCTGTCGAAATGTTCCGGGGTCGCTTTCGCCTTTGTTTAACTTGCTGGCGTTCGGCATTATCGATTCTTGGATAACGAAAGCGTCATCAATCTTTCTGCACTGTACTGTAGCAATCTTGCCCGATCGATTAGTAACCACGAACGCACTAGGAACTGTCCAAACTGGACAGGATCATAATGCACCAGTGTAACGAGATCACTCCAATGAAGTGGATTTTCGTGGTTTATCACCCCGCGCTCAAGGTTGAATATCGGCGTCACCATTGAGACACAATAGATCATCGCAGAGTGCAACAACACGTCCTCCACCACCCGCCGAAAGTGATCGATTACTACGCCGACGACTTCAACAATTCTTTACCGGAAGTCATCTAAAAGGATACTAGTAATTTTCATGACCGGCTTGGTATCACGGAACTTTTCTCCTGCCCATTAATCCAGCAGCACTTGTGCGCCGAACCACGGGGTAGTGACGATGACTCGCTACGCAGTTTTGACCGCAGTGTCAAGCATTCTTCATCATTGCTTAGATACTCGTGCGCAGCGTTGTTGAAAATGGGATTGCAGTCCTTACGTTCTTCAATACTTAGTAAAAAATTACATCCGAGCTGAGCTTACACCTCCGCCGCGCTGTTCGTCATCTCGGTAGGATTCGGGTCGGGGTTCCCCACGGCGTTCGCTCGTCTGGCCTTGATGTCCTTGTTGAGTTTATAGATGCGGTACTGGCCCCCAAAGTTGCACATGAAGGAGAGCGGCAGGAAGACGCCAATGACGAACCCGGGGCGCGTGTCCGAGTTGTAGGCCCACATAACAGCCGTGATCGGGTACTGGAACAAGCAGTTCCAGTTCAGCATCACGAACGTGTTGCGGAGGTGCTCGGCGTCGCTGCGGACGTACGCGACCTCCTCCAGCTGCTCCGCTTCTTCCGCTTCCGCCAGCAGGTACACCTCGCTGTCATCTGCCTCTTGCGCTTCGAGCTTGTGGTCGTGGATTGCCACCGTGTCGACGAACACCAAGGGGAAGTGGCGGCTCAAGTAGCGCGCGGCTCGGACGCGCGTGGCCATTGGCGACGCCCAGTCCCAGCGCCGGACGCCCAGCACCTGCAGCGTCTTGACCAGTCGGTAGAGGAAAAAGGGGTGGTTGGTGATTGCCATCCACGTGAAGACCCCGTTGAGGATCTGCGAGTTGACCTCGATCCAGTCGTCCTTGACGTCCGCGTCCCCGCCGCCGACGGTAATCATCCCCACCATGACCATGAAGAGGATGGCGCCGGACACGACGATCGCAGCATAGAGAGCGACGTTGTAGGCGATCCACGCGTACAGGCGGCGCTTGGCCGCCGGGTCTGCCGCCGCCATGGCTGAGTTATTCCAGCAGAGGCCTTCCTTCCTTCCTCTCTTGGAGCCCAGGCGTTTTCAGAAGTGAGGTAGGCGGCTGACTGACTGACTGACTGCAAGAAGGCGATGATATCCTCGTCGACTCGGACCGCAGCCAACCGATAATCATGAGCACGCATGACGGCGCTCGTTCAACGAGGGTACCGCGCGCCACATAATCATTTCGGTCGGGATGGGGGGGGGGGGGCTCGATTCTTTGCTGGCACGAGAAGGGATAAGACGGCCAGCGTTTGGTTGTTGCCTGTGGTGTGCTGTGGTGTGGTGTTCGTGCTCACTGCTGGTGATTGTCCAAATGCATACAAGGGGATGACGCGGCAACAGCAGCGCCCGGCACCTGGAGCGAAAGTGCGTCTTAGTCGGTGCCGCGAATGCATCTGCACAGTGGATACACGTCCAAGTGGCGCTCGTCACGTTCACCTCGGCTCAGCTCAGCCCGTTGGCGCCTGTCACCCCTCGTTCTTGCCATCCGTTGAGCACACATGGCGCCGTTGGTAACTCGACCACGGCTCGGCCTTCTCGGCCAAAGTGCATGAGCTGCCTCCGCAGAGACCCTGCGACAGCACCGCAGTCGAGTCAGTGTCCATAGAGAGCAGCGTGAGTGGCACGAGGCAAAGCGCCGGCGGACCAAATCCCCGGTCGAGCTTCTCGCTGGATCCTCTCTGCCTCTCTCCTTGCATTTGCAACGCCATTGCCCGCCGCTATGTGCGAGTTCTCCACCGAGAGCATGATCAAATGATCAAAAACTCGCTTTGCCCCCCAAGATACATCCTGGCCAGCCAAACGACATGCCAACGAAGCTCTCAATTAGCGCATTTTTTGAGAAGCAAGGTTTAGCCTAAACCTCCACCTCAGCGCCACTAAATCCCAGCAGCCGTCGCTCCTCCGAGCCATCTGCTGTTTCCACCCGTGACGCAAAAGAACGCCACCTTTACCCTAAACGTCACTGAAGACCGCCGTCTCTACCCCAAACGTCGCATTCTACATTTGGCGCCGCAAGCCCAAAGTCTCCACTTAACACCTTGCTATGCCGCGCGCGCTGCTGCCTCCGCGGCCCGTGCTGTCCTCCATGCCGCCCCCCACGCGCGACGAGGAGCACGCCGTGTGGCTCACAGCGCCCGCCTCCTCCGTGCCCGCTCCGGTGCCGTCCCCGGCGTCGCGCGCGTCGTCGGGCAAGCGTCGCGCGTCCTCCTTGGGGGACCTTTTCCAGCGTCCTCAGACGCCCCAGTCGCCCGCGCGAGCGCTGGTCAACGCGTTCCACTCGGTGTCCTCAAGGACGCACCAGAAGCTGGCCATGTTCCGCTCGCAATCGGACCAATTTATCAAGAAATCCAGTGTCAAAGGTGCCCACGGAGGCTGGCGATTGCCCGGAGCTATTAAAGTTAACAACCCCATTAGAAGAGCCACGCCCGTGGGCGCGCACAGATTCAGGTGGGGCGAGCAGGACCAGCTGCAACACGCACAGGCGGCGTTCGAGTTCCACGCAGAGGACGCCGGCGCAGCGTCCGCCTACTTCCACATTGTGGCGGACGGCGTGTCGTCCCCCTTTGGACGACAGTCGCTCGCTAATTACGACGGAGCACCCGTGTCGTCTGCTATTCTGTCCGCGGAGGTGGTGAGGTGTGTCCAGGTGATGCTGGAGGAGCTGACCAACCACAACAGAGAGCCGCTGGACCAGGCGGCGTTCGAGAGCGCGGTGGTGGACGCTATCAAGACGGCGAGGATCAACTGCTTCCAGTACAGGAAGTCGAGGCTGGCCACGACCCTTGCAGTGTCGTACTTTAACCGGTGGACGGGGAAGCTGATGACGTTCTCGCTCGGAGATTGCAAGTGCTTGGTGGTGAGGAACGGCAATGTCGTCTACGAGACGCTGGCGGTGCTGCGCGAGTTCAACGTGCCGACGGTCGTGAACTTGCGGGAACAGGTGGTGCCCAAGGACTACGTGGTGCAGAGCTTTGGTCTGCAGGAGGGGGACGTGTGTCTTACGTTCTCGGATGGTCTGGGAGATAATGTCTACAAGGACGACATCACGGCTGCACTCGCGGCGCCGGAGCTGTGGGACTCGAAGGGCACAGGACTGCAGAGCGTGTGTGACCAGCTTGTGAATTTGTCAAAGGTGCACGAGAATATTGATAATGGCGCTACTACTGAACGTCAGTTGTATCCGTTCGCTACGGCGGCGGCTCTGGAATACCGTGAACGCACACTGGAAGAGACCAAGCTGGCTGAAGGTGCTCCGTTGGACGCTAGCGGTGTGGACCATTTAGAAGTCGCACGCGAGCTTATGGAGCGACACAAGGGCAGGAAGACTCTCGACCGGCACCTGATGCTGCGCAGACCGTCGCGCAAGCACCACTACTCGCTCATGCAGCTCAAGCTCATGGCCGAGATGCAGACGAAGAAGCCGGACGACATCACGCTCTTCATGACGCGTTTTGTGTAAAGCGGATGGTTTTTTGCTGTTACGCTGCCGCTGTCTACGGGTCTGCTTGTCCCAGTCTCACATATCGGCGATGGGGTTGGCGTGGATGGTGACGGACTTGATCACGATCTCCTTGAGCGGTCGGTTCTTGGCGTCCACAGGCGTCTTCTCCATGGCGTCGAGCGTGTCCATGCCGTCGATGACCCTGCGCAACACCCAAGTCACGTGGAAGGGTTAGTATTTATTTTTTAAGTCTCTCACAACAGTTAGTTGATAACCAGCAGGACTTCAACTCGCACGCCGCGAGTACATTCAACACACAGATCGTTATCTAAGACAAAAACAAAATCATCTCCACATACTTGCCAAAGACCGTGTAGACGTTGTTCAGGTGCGGCTGCTTGGCGTACGTGACGAAGAACTGCTGCTTGTTGGTGTTGGGGCCGCTGTTGGCCATCGACACGATGCCCCGGCAGTTGTGCTGCTCAAAAAGAATAACTATAAGGTTAATCAGTCTCCAAAATGTCCACCGCCTTGACAACGTACTCTGTTCTGCGGGTGGAACTCATCGTCAATTGTTCCGCCCCAAATGCTCTGACCGCCTTTGCCCGTGCCCGTCGGGTCTCCTCCTTGCACCATGAACCCCTTCATGTTGCTGTCATAATAAAATGAAAAAAATTAAATTTAGAGCTCACCGTCATCCCAAATACAACTGTAAAAATGATGTACCGATGGAATTTAGTGCCATCGTAGGCGCCGCTAGCACAAAGTGCCAGGAAGTTCTGCAAAAATAACGATAGAAATGTTTTAGTGACCTGAAAAGTATCAGTAGGGCGAGGTTTATGAGCCTACCTCGGCTGTACGAGGTGCCGTATCACAGCACACCTCGATCTTGATGTCGCCCAGAGTCGTGTGCAATGTGACGGACTAAATGAACAGTGAAAGAAGCGTCAGATGCGTGTAGAGAGCTCGAGCAAGAGGCGCAGGAGACGACGACGCACCATGGTCGATGGCGGCGATGTCAATTGTGTAATAAGCCAATCAGGATATTTTATTCATGATCCAGCCAATCATTCATTCAAATGAAATGACTCGAAAAAAATAAATCTATTCTTACCAACTGGGCGGAAGCCTGATACATGCTCAGACTCGGAGCACTGAATGTATTAATACGGCACTGCCAGCAATGCAAAAACTGTGTTTCTAGCAAATTAACTTAACACGTCCCGTAATACTCCGATTTATTAACCGTACGCATATGTTGTAAAGATCATGCTCGACCAACTACTTCGAAACTTCGAGGAAGAGAACGAGTTTTTCCACCTTGCATGCTGGCTGTTCGCAGGGGACAGAAGAGCGGCACTCATTCTTCATGTAGCGAATGGCTACCAGATCGGCGCGCCCCGACTTGGTACAACCTTCGGAGGCTAACACACGATAGTAGTTTGCGTGATGCAAGGAATCCTTGCTCTTGAGCACATCTTCCATTCGTTTCTTGCGGTTCTTGTCTTGTTTTCGAAAACAAAGACTAAGCAGGGACTTCATGACAACCAGGTGGACGGCACTTTTACGTGGAATATGCTCCAAAATGTCGTTAATGGCGTAGTTGCGGTCGCCCCTGATAACACGCCATTGTTATCCTCCCACCCAGCAAGCACATGGTCGTTCGATTCTCGTTTCTTTCCATCTCGAAAGCCCCAACATTTAGCTCTGTCCGCATTAGGTGATCTGGCCAGTTGGTCCAGGCAAGGCAAGGAAGGGGACTGCCAGAGAAACCACAGACTCTGCTAAGGTCTCGGGAAACCGGATCTGTAAATCTGGCGACGACTGAATTCTCAGCTCATACGGCAGCGCAGACAAAAACTCTGGGAACTTGATCCCAGCGAAGCCATTTCGGTGACTTGATGCTACAATTGCGCCAGCTACCAACATCTCCAGTCGAAGGCGGTCGTAGTGACTCTGGTCGGTACTAAGGTACTTCAGCACTGAATAAAAAGCCTTTTCAGCGTCCAGAAATGCTCGGATAAACGGAATAGATGTCCCGGTAGAATCTTTCAGGGCCTCAAAATGCTTTCCGCCGGATAAACAGAGGTGCAGCAAGCAGTCTTCCTCCGTTGTGGGTAACTCGCTGTGGCACTGCCATGGCTCTGGTCCACCGTCAAAGTTGCTCGGATGGTCTTCACAACCCAATGCGAGCTTCAATGGTGCCGTTTCATGAAGACGAGCGAAATGGTCTCCAATGAGGTGACTCGTGTCTTCAGCTCTGGTCATATTGCTTGTGAAATCATCGGTACCATAACTTGCGCGGAGGAACAGCGATGACTGACCGACTCTAAACACCTCGGACGCAAACCGCTCTTTGGGAGCAAACGCATTCGCCACAGTGCCAGCAATTCCATCCATGTAGCTCACGAAATCCGTAGCAAATGGGTGTTTGGACAGATAATCCACGACCAACGCCGCAAATGACGGTCGACTATTCCGAAAAATTAGCTGCAACTCAAGCGGTATTACCTGCGCATGATGTGGCCGAAAAGCTAGAAGCGTTGGTCTGATGGTACACCACAGTCTGCCGCTCTGCTGAAGGCATCGACCAATGTCCAATGTTGCAAGATCTCTCGCGGCACCGCTAGTGGTGTTCAAAACCACAGCCAGACCAAACGAGCGGAACACGTTCAGCATAAACCGACGCGCAATGTCGCTGGTCCGAATGCTCGAATTGTCGAGTCGAGGGAACTCGTCCAAGAAAACAACAATTTGCCTGCTGCCCTTCGGCCGCGCCTTCAGCTCCTTCCGAACTTCTACAGGCCTTCTTGGGTCCATGAACGAAGATCTCCCGGTCAATATCGCCCAGATGAAGCCAAACGTGTACAAATTCATCTGGGGCAAAATGGTAAAGATTCTTGCGTCGTATACCCCTGGCAGATCCTTTTCCATACAGCGCAAAAACGACTCAGAACGCTGTCCAAATGCCAGCTCCACACCTCCTTGCTGTTGTCCACAGCAAATATAAAGCACTTGGACGTCCTTCCGAGCCATGAGATTAAACGCCATTTGCGTCTTGCCGGTGCCAGACGAGTTCTGCAAGACGACGAAAGGGGTAAGGTACGGATTAATTGCAGCTACTTCACTTATTTGCTGGACATTCTCCACAAGCTCCTCCACTTTGCTGTCGGCGTTTAACTCACGAGCAGCATACTGGTACGATTCTGTGAGGTGCCAGTGCTCCAAGGTAGGGACCACGACCTACATCGGCGCTGTCATAAATATCACGTTGAGATCGTCTGGACCTAAAGAGCGAAATACATCTCGTAGTTTTAGCCCAGGGTGAAGTGCCTTTCGAAAGATCTGCACTTCTGTCGACCTCTGGATCTCCTTGAACTCGGATACGTCAGGCGAAAATCTCGACAGCCAGTTCCCCTCGCGGTCCGTCGCTTTACATGAATAAATGTCTGTTGCGTGAACTTCATCGTCATCACCGAATCTTGCTTTTTTGAGCAGAACCTGCAGGTCGTACACGAAACCTGTCATATCGATGACCACTGGGAAGCTGGACCTGGCTGAATCGCCCACGAGTCTGCACCAAAGAACCTCGTAGGAAACTTCATCGAATGACTCAGGTGCTTCCCTTGTGCGCTTTCCTAGCATTTCTGGCGGTCTTCGTGCCCTGACAAGCAAATGCGTGTTGCCACTTCCCAGATCGGAAAAGTGTGTGTCGAGTGAATTGTGAAACATCAGCGGTGTCCGGCAAATGGCCTCAACAACTGGCCCGCGACCAGCCATCAACGCCCTTGCTTCCGGCCCTTCCGTCTTGATCCATTCTCCGTCTTCTTGCTTGGCCAAGTAGAGAAACACGTAGCAGGGCAAAACCCCAGCGAAGAACGTTGGGTTTTCGGATTCGATGGCCTTGAAGAGATCCCACACGATGTCATCTGGCTTCATAACTAGAGCCTGCGCGGGCTGGCGCGCATCAACCCACAGAAGTGAAATCTCCATGCGTGCTTCTTCCTTCTTCGTCTTCACGCGCGCTTCTTCCTTCGTCGTCTTCGTTATCTCTGGCTTCAGTAATAAGTGATGGTAAACGACCAAATACCAAATAGGTGCAAAACAATTCGCAGTTCGAAGAACTGTCGATTGGGGAAGGGTTTTGGATGACATCGAACGACATTCACGCTACATTCGTCATTTCACCCCGTGCGGATGACATCAAACAACATTCACACAACATCATACAGCAATCGGTCTGACAGGTTTTGATGGATGCTTGTTCTTTTTTTTTCCTTCTACTGTAGATTGATGTCAGATGCCATCAGAGGAAGTGGGGCTCCATCAACTACTACGACGAACAACGTATTGCGTATTAGCGGATGTCACGGGTCACGTCTGAGACCTCAACTGACAGCTTTCCTGACGATGCTCGAAGGCGCGTTAGAGCAGGAAGAGGCGCGACTTCAAGAGGAGCAAGGGCAGGACGGGCTAGCATATCAAGTGTGAGTGGTTATCCCACTCTTCAAGGCAAAGATGACGCGAGATGGCGGGCTGGGCGCGGAACGTTCGGTCGCCAGCCGCCAAGGACGGGTGTCATGAACGCCAGGAACCACTCACACTTGATATGCTAGCCCGTCCTGCCCTTGCTCCTCTTGAAGTCGCGCCTCTTCCTGCTCTAACGCGCCTTCGAGCATCGTCAGGAAAGCTGTCCGTTGAGGTCTCAGACGTGACCCGTGACAACTCTCCCCGACTTCAGGCTGCCGTCCTCGGCCAGCCTCGCCCTTGTCCTCGCTCGTCGCAGTCGCGGGGCACGTCGGACCTTGCCCGTCCGCCTCGTCGACGACCACGGCCACCTCCGGCCCGTTCGTCACCGGCTTCGACGGTACCACCGCCGACCGACGACGTACGCCACGCAGCTTGTTGAGACTTGCCTTCTCTGCGCGCACCCTCGCGTCCTTGCGCTCACGCAGAGCGTCCAACCCCGACCTTGCGACCTTCTTCGGCGCCTTTGTCGGCATGCGCCCGTGGCAGCGTCGTACGAGATGGCTGTAAAGCCCACAAAGCAGCAGCACGCCGCTCACCCTCGTGGTCACCAGCGAGAATCCGCACCAGGCGTTCCACACGCCGAGCACCACAGCGACCCCCGTTGACCCGTGCAGCAGTACTTCGAGGACGTCATACGCAATGCGAGGTGCGTGAACCACGACGGACACACACAGCGCAATCAGCACGTAGGCGCCATCACTTACACGGCCAGCCACAGCCGCTTCGCCGAGCGCACACGCCTAACGCCGCGCGACCTGCAGCATCAGTTGTCCTGCATCCGGCAGGAACAAGAACGCCGTTTGATGTATCGCCACACACCAAGCATGCCACATTTCCCCAACCATGCCGAAAAGCTGCTCGTGCTCCCGCAGCACAGCAATCGGCACCACCACCAGTAGAGATAGCGCAGCCCACGCGTATTCCGACGCTTCCAGCCCTTGGACACGCGAGCTCCTTATCGCCGACATGTACCTGTCGACGCAGGTGAACCCGAAGAAGTAGAGTACGAGCCCAGTCTCGCGCACCGAGGCCCCAAACACCCACAACACGTTCAACACGGGCGTAATGACGTGCCATGCGGCAACGCCCAGCGCCGCCCACACCATCGGATGCACGCCCTTCTCGAAGTAGTCACGCACGTCCGCGAGTATCGTGACGGCCAGCGGCCAATCGTCCATGAGCTGCTGCCGCCGAGTTTCGCAAAATGCAGGGGGGGGGGCAACCAACCGTTGCCGCAGTCAACTGCCATCAGGTCCGTTCTTCGGCAAGTTGCCGACGCCGTTATCGCACTCCACTCCATTCAGAACGTTCTGCAAGAACTTAGTAGGACCGCTCCTGGCGAGCATGCAGCCGCTCTTTCGGCGAATCTCTCATTTGAGAATCTGCCACGCGCCACGTACCACTCGCCACGTACCACTCGCCACTCGCCACGATGTCCAATCTTCGCTGCGCATTCTCGGCGGAGGAGATTGAGGAAATCAAGGAGCTCATCATTGGGCTTCTTGATGACTCTCTCGGGACGGACCAGCGCACCATCAAGACGGCGTTCTGGGAGCGCGTGCGCTGCGTGCTCTCCGCGAACCCTCAGTCCCAGGGACTCGAGCACCTACAGGCAGTCGTCGGCGCCGTGCTCGAGGAGCAGGAAGACCCGATCCTCGGCGGTCTCATCTTCGTGCTGCCGCCACTGCCTTCCGCTCCTCCCTCGACCGATTCCGCCGCTCCCGCTGATCCTCCGTCGTCGCCACGTCCGCCCAAGTCGCGCTCTCCGCCGCCGCCGCCCAAGTCCGGCAAGGGCAAGGGCAAGGCGCCCCGCCGCAGCAACAAACGCGCGGCGTCGCCCAGCCCCGCGAGCACGCCGTCCAGCAAAAAGGCTCGCGCCGAGACCGACGACGAGGTCCAGCCCATTGACATCGACGAGATTCTTCGCGTCAGCCCAGCTGCGCGCAAGACCGTCCGTGACGCCATCGCTGCCGTGCTGGCCAAGTGCGTCGCCGAGGGCAAGATGCCGTAGCGGGTCGCCTATCCGTGGTGCGACCGCAGCCTCTGGTACGACCCGGTAAAGTACCCCCAGGTCTACCGCGAGCACTGGCGTTTCTACATGCTGTTCCGCGCGCTCTTCTGGCACTGGGCGTTCAACGCGCCCTTGATGATCAAGAAGGACACGGACAACCGCCGCAAATCGAAGCTCCGAGCGGCCATCGCGCGCCTCCGCCTCACCAGTCTCTGCATTGAGACTTGGGGCTACTTCGGCTTTTACCGGCTGCTCGAGGGCCACGACGACCTGTATTGGTACGGCGGGCAAGGCAGCAAGGGCTCCGGCGAGAAGCGCACCGACAACGGCGTGTGCGCCGAAGACCTGGCCTCGCTCTACCGCACGGACTCGGAGCGCTTCGAGTTCGTCATCGACAACGCTCTCAACCCGGCGCTGATCGACGACTATGGCTATCACAGCCTACGCCACCTACTCGAGTCCACGCGCGCTCTCGACCCGAAGGCCCCAGCCGAGCACCGTCTCTCCCTCGACGCGCTCGCACGCATCCGCATGGACATCAAGAGCGACGCGCCGAGAAACGCCAACTGGGTGGGAGATGAGGACGTCGGTCCATGGCACGTGCTGATCGACAGCAAGATTGTCCAAGAAACCGAGGCCATCCTGGCCCCAGCGATCAAGGACGGCTCGTGCCAGCCCACGTCGATCACGACGTTCTCGCCCTCCGACATCAAGACCGGCGACTTCTCCGATTTCGAGGACGATGAAGGCAAGCCGACCGCGCTCGCCCCTGCTGCTGACGACGCGTAAGGCGTCCTTCGTTTCTGCGTCCCCCAGACGCCTGCATGTGCCACGCTAATTCCCGTAATTCCGATTAATTCAACTTGAGTCTTCTTTCATCTTGTCGTCTCTGTTTCCATGTTCACAGCAGCGCCGCATTCCCCAAGACGCCCACATCTCCAAGCCGAGTTCCCGAAAAGCAATAAAACACAATATCCAATCCTCACGAGCTTCGAGGCACACTGCCTCCCCTTCAAGCTATCCACAATTACCGCCTCCATCTTCCTAGCGTGGGTCGAGCACGACCCCAACGCCAGAAGAGGAGCTCATCTTCGTCGACCAAGGCGTTGGCTTCCATTAGCCGCACGCTTCGCCGTAGTTCAGGTAGACCTTCCGTCTCCGCATGGCGTTCTAATACGCCGTGATCAGCACGTCATACTCGGGCGAGAGCGCAGCGCGTGACAGCCAGAACGTCTCGTACGTTGCAGTCAGCGCCAAATACTGCACCTCCTTCTTCTCGACGCGTTTCCCCACAATGTCGATCACAGGCGAGCCCGCGTTCGTGAACGCCGTCTCCTCACCGCCGATGGTTACGCGTTCCACGAAGCTCGTCTCCGGTAAGTCGTCCTCTTCGAGAGGCCCTTCTTCTTCGACCTCGGGCGAGCCGTCCACACCTTCGGGCACGTCGTCCACAAAGGGTCGGCTCCATCGCCCCTTGAACCTTTTCAGTCTATTCACGTTCACGGTCACGACCTTGTCGGGATGGCTCGGGATGTCGATCCTGTACGCGTTCTCCCCGACTTGGCCGAGCACTCGGTTGTGTCCGTGCCAAGTGAACGCGAGCTTCTTCGTCTTCCGCTCCCCTCTTCGCGCGCGGAAGAGCTGGTACACCCACACAGCATCTCCCACTGCGAACACGACCTCTTTCTGCCCTCTCAGCCGTCTCTCGTGACGGTCCTGAGCCTTGACCAGCTGGCGCTCAACCATGCGTCGCGAGTCGTGCAGTGACTGGTACAGCTGGCGCCTGTATGCGGCCACCTCACTCGACTTCCAGTCCGAACCGGTGTTCATAAAGGCCAAATCCAGCGTGAGCTTCGGGTCTCGGCTGTAGAGGCTAAAGAACGGCGAGTCGCCGAGGGCCTCATGGTACGAGGACCGATACGCGAACAACACACGCGGCAAGTAGACGTCCCAGTCGTCCTGAGACTCGTGCACAAACATCCTCAGCATGCCCAGCAGCGCGCCGTTGAACCGCTCGACCAGTCCTTGCGTCTGCGGGTGGTACGCCGACCCGAACAGCTTTTTGATGCCAAGCGTCTGGTAGAGCGAGCGCGCTAGCTCGGACGTAAAGTTCGTGCCGCGGTCGCTCAGTAGCCGCTCGGGCACCCCGTGTCTGCAGATCACCCCGTCCACCATGACGTCCACGAACGTGATCGAGTCCAGCGCCGCCACCGCGAACGCCTCCACCCACCTGGTGAAGTAGTCCACGAAGACCAAGATGTACTTGTTGCCGCGCTCCGTCGCGGGCAGCGGGCCTATTGCGTCCACGACCAACAACGAGAACGGACACCGACAAGTCCATGATCGACATCCTCTGCATGCGTCCGGCCTTCCACGGCCGCGACCCCTTTCCGCCATTGCATATCGGGCAGCAGCGCACGTACTCGGCCACGTCCTTCTTCCATCCAGGCCAGTACGCGTGACGCCGCACCCGATCTATAGTCTTCGTCTTGCCCAAGTGGGCCGAAAAGATGTCTGCATGACAGAAGTGTAGCACGGTTTCGATGAACGGTAACGGGATGACCGGCACCGTGATCGTGCTCGCCGGTCCAGCCCGTGCCGTCAGGTATACGCGACGCATCAGCACACCGTTCTTCATCACGAAGTTCGGTGACATCCGTAGAATTAGCACGCGTAGCTGCACGTCCATCGAGAGAGCCCCCCCCTCTCGAGGAACGCTTTCATCGCCACCATCCACGGAGTCCGCCCTTGCTCCTCGACGAACTTCTCGCTGTCGAGCCCGAACGAGTCCACGACGGAGGGAGAGTCCGCCTCCGTCCTGCCGCCCTCGTCCTCTTCCTGCTCCTCCTGCGTGAGACGCGGACCCTCGCCTCGAGCGGCCTCTTCGGAGTCACGCGCGACCTCCGTTCTTCTCTCGTCGTTGCCCCGCTCTCTGGCTGGGACGGTATCTCGCTCGTCCGCTCTCGGAGCCAGGTCCGGCTCGACCCGCTCGCTCAGGCGCTCATCGCCTTCATGCTGCTCTTCGACTTCGACGGCCGTACCCTCGTCGTCAGCCGCTCCAGTCATCCACACGTCCTCCAGACGCAGCGGTCGTCGCCCTTCTCCGCGGCCCTCATCTCGGCCCGAACGCTCCTCGACTTCGTCGGCGCCACGCCCTTCGGGCGTCGCCGCAGGGATCCATACGTCTTCAAGCCGCAAAGGTCGTAGCCGGCCCGGACCGTCACCTTCGAGACGTCCGGGCGGGTTGAGCAGGTCGTTCATGGTCACCGCGCCAATAACGGGCCGCTGTCGAAGCCTCGACAGGCCGTCCGCGTGACCCATGAGCGACCCGGCACGATGATGAATCTTGAAGCGTAGCTGGGACAACTCCATAGCCCAGCGCGCCAAATTCGCGTTCGTCGTCCGCGTATTCTCACCGAAGATCCAGGTCAGGGCCTGGTGGTCCGTATACAGGTCGAACTCCGCGTGGTCGAGATAACACCGGAACTTCCGCGTGGCCCAGACCGCGCCCCAGCACTCGATCTCCGTTGTACCGTCCGTCTTGCGGATCCAGTTCCGCTGCGACCCCACCAGCATCTTGCTCGCGTAGGCGATGGCCCGGTCTCGGCCGTCCACCTCTTGCATCAGGCACGTCCCCACCGCCAGGTGCGAGGAGTCCACGTACAGCTTGAATCTCTTGGTGCAGTCCGGATACACCACGATCGGCGGGCGTACCAAGCTGCGCTGCAGCTGGTAGAACGCCAAATCGCAGTCTCCACCCCAGCAAAAAACCGTCTCCTTCTGCTTCTGCTGTTCCAGTGGCGCAGCGATCGCAGCGTACCCAGGGATATATCTCCTGAAGTAGCTCGTCAGCCCGAGGAAGGCACGCAGCGTGCGTAAGTCGTACGGCTTCGCGATGTTGAGTACCGCCTTCACCTTCTCCGGGTGGGGCAGTATGCCCAAGGGCGTCACTATGTGACCCAGGAACGCAACCTGGGCACGACCCCAATGGCACTTCTTCATCTTCAATTTGAAGCCCGCCGCTCGGAACCGCTCCAGTACCTGCCGCACGCGGACCAAGTGGCTCGCGAAGTCGTCGCTGAACACGACGCAGTCATCCAAGTACACTAGACACGTCCTCCACTTCAAGTCGACCAGCACGTTCTCCATCAAGCGCTCGAAGGCCGGCACCGTGCACAGCCCGAACGGCATGACGAGCCACTCGTACAGGCCGAACTTGCTCGTGAAGGCCGTTTTCTCGACCCTTCCAGGCTCCATGGGCACGCTCCAGTACCCGGACGCGATGTCCATCGTCGAGAAGAGCTTCGCCCGCCCCAGGACGTCCAAGATGTCGTCGATAAGAGGTATAGGGTAGCTATCCTTCACAGTGACTGCATTGAGCTTCCGGTAATCAATACAGAATCGAATTCCACCATCCGGCTTGCGTATCATCAACACTGGGCTTGCCCACGGACTCGTAGACGGCCGGATGAGGTTGAGCTCCAGATACTGCTGGATCTCCGCCTCCATCACGTCACCCTCCGCCTTCGACACTCGGTACGGGGGCTGCTTGATCGGAGCATGCTCCCCCGTGTCGATGCTGAACTGTAGCAAGTCCGTCCGCCCCAGACGCTTCGACGTCTCGACGAACATGTCTTTGAAGTCGCCCAACATGCTCGCGAATAGCTCCTGCTGCTCGGCGTCCATGGCCGAGTCGCTGAAGTCGGCTTGGAGGTCTTCCGCAGCCACCTTGGCCAGCTCCGACTCCATCTTCGCCTCGCGGGCGTCCTGCGACGGATCCGTCTCGGCCGACACCGACCCAATGACCTTGCTCACGTCCTCCGACCCGGACGGCTCTTCACGCTCGAACGAGAAGGCCGACTCAGGCACGGCGGACGCGACGGCTATCACGGCGCCCTCACTGATGACCATCTCCTCGGTCGAGGCGTTGCAAACCCCAACCAGGACTTGCCCTTGATGCACCGTGCACAGCGTCCTGGCCACTCGCAGAGACGCCTCACCGCCAGCGAGTCCTTCGACGAGCACGACGGAGCCTGCCTGGCGCCGCCGCGCACCCTCGATCGTACCAACGCCTGCGAGCCGGGCTCGAGATGCACGGTCGCCGCAACACTCGCGGAGTACGACTCCTCCACGCGAGTTTCGCCCAACGGGATCACCTCGCCCGTATCCTTGAGCGTCATCGTCTGCGCTTCCATGTCGATCACGGCACGGAACGACTGCAGCGAGTCCGGGCCCAGGATCGAATCGACGTGCAGGCGGTTCACGACCGCGAACGGCAACAACTTCCCCACGGAGCCAAGTGTCACGGGCAGGTCGATCACGCCCTTGATCTGGACCTCTTGCCCCGGGACACTGTCCAGTCCGCCCGCGTACGGTCTCAACGTCTCGGCAGAACGCCCGAGCCACTTGAGCACCTTCTTGTCCACCAGACTCGCGATCGCGCCCGTGTCGATGATCATCTCCGTCGGTACGTCGCCGATGAAACCTCCCGCCAGGGCCTCAACACCACCCACACTTCCAATCACGCGCTTGCCTTCGGGGACGACTCGTTCGTCGTCTTCATCCCCATCGTCCACGGGCCTTAGCCCCGGTTTCCGACGCCTCGGCCGCCCCACGGCGCCGATCACGTGAACACAGTGAGGGCTATCCTCTTCCAGAGCCTTGTCTCGCTCAGGAGGCCCCTTCACCACGCACACCGTGCCGCCCACCTGGAACGACACGTGCTTCTCGGCCTTGCCCGGGGCACTATCCTTGCCCACGCGAGCCTCAGCCACTCCTCGTTTCGCGCG